GAATTACACCTCTAGCGTTCAAATACAAATGCCGCCGACCACTCCTATTCATCATTACTTTGGTCTTGAACCTACGAAAATAGAACAAATGTCATAATTCATTATTCCATGCTAACAAATTCAAGCTTGAAAGCCTGCTTTGAACACTCTGCTTACAAAAAAACAAGAATTTGCGGATTAAAGTCACCGTTGCAGATGCTCTAAGACAGTAAATTTTACTGAGTGCGACATTACTTTTTGGAAGCCCTTTAAAAAAAGATAGTTTTTATAGCTGATATTGTACTTCGTTCAATCTTTTGAATATAATCTATCCGCAGACGACTTATTTGTCTTTGTTTATATGCTTTTAGTTCGATTTACCACAAGTGCGCCAGAATGGCAGATAAAACGGTCTTCTCATTACTTTAGAGTGCTTTAAACAGAATTGCTGAACCACATGCAGCACACACTTGGATAGTATTTCCTTCTATATATAATAATCAGTACAGCCAGTAAAAAGATATGTATATCTTCGGACAGCAATAAGCTAATCGCTACGTTGCATCACATTGAGATGTTAGAAATTTTATGGCGTGCAAAAACGATCGGGCGAGCCAAGAAGAGGAAGAAGGAGCGTGAAATAGTGAAAGCAACGGGCTAAAGAAAGGAAGAATACATTATTAATAAGATTCTGTTACAAACGCCGAGCGTGTATCATATCGACATAGAGGTGTAGGATATCTGCGACATGTGTGTATATACACTCTTGCACTTATTCTTGAAAGCTTCGTACTCATATACATATCCGTCTTTCTTCAGGTGTTTTTGTGGGAGTGTAAGGCAAGATCATATGGCGTGGCTGTCCATTTGAGTAAGATAAAGATAAAAACTATCACCAATCTTTACACGCGTCAAGGAAGCCGTTGCCAACAACAATACATAGAGCAACACTCACAACAAAAGGTTATGCTGAAGCTCAAGTCGCCTCTACCTCGAGTAACCATTATATAGTGTCAAGGGCGCAGCCAGTGAAGGGTCGAAGGGGATGATAGCAGCAGAATCGTATTGCAAAATTTAGTCATGGCAGCCGTGGTAGCAAATGATGCAATATGTGGAACACGCTATAACTCAAATTGATCACTAGCCCCATTTCAATTTTAAGTTAGTGCCATTACTTTAACAAACAATCAACGATGACGGTTTAGGAGCAAGGAAACAAAGTCATCGTAGTGCCAGCACCGCATGATGGTTGGACAGACATTAACAAAACGTAATGTACAGTACATAGGCGAGTTGTATTGTATATACACTCTCGCTTCTTCCAAGTGGAATAATACACAAAATACTTTTTATTATTGCTGAGATACGGCAGGTGATTTGACCATTGCATTTAGAAATTCTTCATTCTGTTGTTGTTATCATACATGCGGTAGGCAACAAACAATACACCAACAAGAGCACCGGCTACCAGCAGCTTAAGCAGAAAAGAGAAGAAACCACCAGAGCTCTTCTTGCTGCTTACGGAAGGTTGGACCTATATCATATCAAGCGCAGATCAACATCAATGAGTAAATAGCTACACTAGAAGTGGGGACCGAAAGCAATTGAAACTTACCGGCTTGGCTTCCTTGGCTTTCGCGATAAGGGTCTTAGTAGTGACACCGACAATGTCGTGGTTATCTAAAGAGCTCACAGTTTAGTTAGTTTAAAAAGCTTTCTGCAGCCTATTACTCATTGTTAAGCAATGTTCTTTGAGAAATAATGTTACCTGTCACCTCGCCGGTGTGAGCAGTGAAACCAAGATATATTTGCTCGGGGAGTTGGACATCATCCACCTTTTTCAATTATGACCGCTAGAAAAATTAGCATATCTGTAAAAGAAACCATATCCAAGGGAGAGAATCTCAGAAATGAAACTGTTATCCCTTTTTACCTTGAAGCACTCGCTCCATTCATCTTCCTCACGCCAGATCATGTCGAATTGAAGATAATTGTTCTTGTAATAAGTGAGGCGAGCTTTTGTTGGGAAAGATTTTGCTCGGAAATTGGACTGAATCATAAAAAAGTAATCATTTGAAAAGGGACATTAGCATATTAACAAGAAGTTCGTCAGGTCCCTGCATTTCGCCTACGCTCTCTTTTTCTTCATAGTATCTTTTCATATACCTCACAGCCCGCAAGTTCTGTTGGACGTCCGTCCTTATCATTCTGGTAAGACTTGATACCATCACCAAGCATGGCAGAAATATACGGGAATGTGTGACGCTATTAAAGTGGTGAAGGGAGAAAAAACTGAAGCATTAATTCCATGTGAGTCCATTCGTATGCGCACATACACTTTGCCGAATAGAAATATTACATGTGCTCGCTCGTTATCATAGGTATCAAAGAATACACCAAGGCCTTCAAACTGATCAACCGATCCAAATACAGGTCCAGGTGTCGACCGTTGTTTGGTAAGCCACACTGATGTGTTCCCGAACACAAGAGATATAATAAGCGTTAGAGAGAGAGAGAGAAAGTGTGTCGTTCGGATTGAATTCCATGTTCCATATGTTTCTAAAAAAATACATACTCGCCATGCCATCACCGTACAAATGGCCTGATTGACCTTCCACGTTAAATTCAAATTCGATTTCAAAGTTGGACGCTGTCAATGGCTACACATTAAAAGATGAAAGGGGCCGTTGTTTAGTTTTCAACTGTACTTTCCCGTAGGTTGTCAAGGATTTCTGATTTTTTACCAGTCGTGACCAAAGGTAGCCTTGCTGCGATTGGCGGTTACTCGTTAAGCGGATGTGGCGATTGGTGTTAATAAGAGCGTCTCCACCAAAGTCGAACCAGCGATTTTGCAGCTCATCGTCTATATCCTTTTAACATCAGTAAAGCTATTCCGGGATTTCGGGAAAAGAGTTTACAGAATGAGGGCGCGTTTAAAAACCCAATACTTAACCCACCAATATAAGGCATGGAGATGGAGTGTGTACGAAGAGGTACAGAAGCCTGAGCGACAGCTGTCGCCACGAATGACAAAGTGCCAACGATTACTGCCAGCATCGAACGCATCTTGTTACTTTTGCTTTTAGTTGGTTGTCGCCAGAAGTACAAGAACGCGAGCCTGTAGAAACCACGCATGTGGCATCGACCATGCTGGCTTTGAAAGTACCGCCACCCGTTTTGCAGGCACGATGGTGACCTACTGCCTGCCACCTTACTCCTTTTATTTCCAGCACACGCACTCGACATGGCACGTAGATTAACTCTTTGCTTTACTTGGGACAAACGAACAAAAAGTTTAAAAAGCTTTCCTAACATTGTTCCTTCCTTATCAATTCTACTCTTAAGACCGATCAATATGACTGCGCGCTCGACTTGATGCGCCGCCTTCCTCCCAAAAATGTAGAAGAGAACCTCAACAAGTTGCTCGACTTGGTCAATCCTGACCTAGGTGATGAACTTCTCTCGGCCATCGACCAGCCATTAAAAGTGAGACGCTGTCAACAAACGGGCAAGGACTATTTGATTTGCGATTACAACCGAGATGGCGACTCTTACCGGTAAGATTGTTTCTTTAATCAGACACTATGCTCGGTATATCCTGTTCGCTAATCTCATACTCACATCGCAAATACGTATAATAAAAGCTCACCTTGGAGCAATGAATACGACCCCGAACTTCCGGACGGTGCACTTCCCTCGCCGACATTACGAAAGTTGGAAGTAGCAGCCAATGAAGCATTCGATACTTATCGTGAAATGTACTACGAAGGTGGCATTTCCTCTGTTTATACTTTCGATTTAGATGATAAATTTGCGGTTGTTGTGCTGATCAAAAAAGGTACAAACGTGTTGCTACTGTTGATGCTATTTTAAGTGTGAAAGGAAAATCTGGTAAAAGAAGTGGTAGTCGTGCTTACACTCAAACTTCATAAACCAAAGTTGGCGATGGTGTCCGTCGGATGAAAGGAGCCTGGGATTCAATCCACGTGTTTGAGGTTCAAGAACGAGGCCGTAACGCTCACTACAAGTTGACATCTACCGTGATGCTATACATGATTACCAACAGCCAAGACCTTGGTAACCTGAATTTAAGTGGAAGCATGACACGCCAGGTAAAAAGAAACGCAATCGAGATGCTACTTTGGTAGCGATGGATGTGTTGTATATGTACGAGAGTAGAACACTGATTAAAGGTTATTACGTCTTTTTAGTCCGAGCAAGATTTTGCTGTGGATGATCCATCGGCACACGTTGCGAACATTGGTCGTATGGTGGAGGACATTGAACTCAAGATGCGAAACTCCTTACAAGAAGTCTATTTTGGCAAGACACAAGATATCGTCAACGACCTTCGCAGCCTAGGGTCCCTAGAAGAAAGTCGACAACAGGCTCGCATTCAGCAAGAAATTGTTGGTAGATTGATGGAAAGAAATACCCGTTAATAAGAAGCAAACACAAAATCACCGCAATCATCAATACAACCCATATTCCAGCCCAGAAAATAGTTGTTGATCTTCTCCGATGTTGTCCGTGCGCATTTTCTTTTCTTCTGTATGTTGTGTTCGACGTAGGAAGTAGATGATCGCTGCTGTCCGCATAGACCAAGACATCCTGGCAAGAATTGATCCTTTGAATATGCTTGAAATGCTTCCTTAAATAACCGAGGCCCCGCGTCGGAATAATGATGATGATCTAAATTAATGCATCGCTAATATACATAAAATACCGCGTCTATAAAGTTTTATATGGTCCGATACGCCTTTCATGATACTTGCAAGGAAGTTGCAGATAGTATATCCCATGTACTCGGTGAGTCATCATCAGCAGCAACAGCAGCAAAGAGCACTCGTCATCAAAAGACACCACGACAGCGTTCCGACAACGGATACTGAAAACGAAAACAAAACAAAGTGGCTCCCGATTTAACAACCCAAATATACAACTTCAGTATGGACAGGTGAGGCTGCCCTAGGAGGTTACTCATACAAAGAAAATGCATGGGCAGCAGGGATGGGATTAAAGTAACACTTAATCGCATAATAACAGTCGCTGCGACTGGCATGTGATAATCATCGAAAAATCGAAAGAAGGATAAACAACCACCGTATTGTTTGTCAATACTGTATATATACCTAATGCGCGCTACTATGTGCACTATATCGTCAACAAGAGAGCGACTCAACAATCATACGCCTGTTGAACCAGGAGAATGTTTGGCGGCAATCTCATCGCATATGGTTCTTTCTTACTAGGCGAGCCTCTTTTTCAGAATCAAAAAGACCACTTATCATTTGCAAAAGTATCGCATGACTTGACTCCTTTGTCACCCCGCGAAACTGTGTGTGAGAGTATGATATGCGCACAGGAGATCATCCCACTGCCGTTTATGACACTTGTTACTCGATGGCACCACCACCAATTTAAACATATGCTTCAGCGGAGTTTTTCGCCGCAATACTTATGAGAGAAGTGTGTGTGTGTGCGAAAAAAGCAAACGTTTTGCAACTTGACAAACCTAACCGAATCATGGCAACAAGTAATTGTCACTCTTCTGCTGCATTTTAGTTTTTAGCTTCCTGCAATTGAATGTAGCTTCTAACGTTTATTTTTTAGAACAAGATATACGTATAGCCTGCGTGGTAAGAATAAAAGCAAGAGACCTCCCCTCTCTCTAGACAGCAACAAAAGCACTGCATAGAACCGAACGGACTGAAAAGAGAATGGGGAGCACTGCAGAGACGCTAATAGTAATTTCAATTACAATAAAAAGATGGTTGGACTTCCTGCACGGGGGAAGACCTATATATCTACCAAAAGTAAGCATGCAAGTATATAAGGAGGGGTTAGGAGTGTTTATGTCGTGGCGGCTATGGCGAAGAGAGAAGAACGATGTATAAATGTAAATTGATACATTGTATGCCATACCGTTTTACTCAGTCCGGCGCTACCTCACCTGGCTTGGCATCAAGACACAAGTATTCAATGTGGGCAGTTATCGACAACGAATAGCAGGACTCAATAAGCCGCACACGTTCTTCGATGCGAACAATTCGGACGCAATGAACCAGCGCAAGGAAGCTGCCGAAGCTGCACTGAAGGATATGATCCAATGGTTTGACAAGGACAAGGGTGCTGTCGCTATTTACGATGCAACCAACGGCACGCGGGAACGCAGAGCCTGGGTGCACAAACAATTTACGGCGCGAGGTATAGAGGTCCTCTTTATCGAGTCCCTTTGCGACGATGAAAAGGTCATTCTCGACAACATCCGCGACGTCAAATTGTCGTCGCCCGATTACGAAGGAATGAATCCTGACGAAGCTACCAAGGACTTTGTGGAGCGTATAGAGCATTACAAGGAGTTCTATGAAACGATCACCGAGGACGACTACACGTATATCAAACTCGTCGATGTTGGCAAGCAATACATTATCAATAAGGTACACGGGTACCTGGAAAGTAAAATCGTTTATTACTTGATGAATTTACATGTCCGTCCAAAAAGGATCTGGTTCAGTAGAGTAAGGCCGCTTTTCATATTTCTCACGGTTCCCCGTACGCATATAAAGACGGTCAACTCATTCTTTTTCCATCTTTTACTCTTTTGTACAGCACGGTGAGTCCATGTTCAATTTGGAGGACAAAATTGGAGGAGATGCTGATCTTTCACCGCGGGGCCAAATGTACGCCGATTCCCTTCCAAAACTTATCGAGAAACATCTCGGCGACCGTCCCTTGACTGTGTGGACGTCTTCAATGAAACGCACCATACAAACTGCCAAGAACTTGCAGTATCCAAAGAAACATTGGAAGGCTTTGGATGAGCTTAATACGGGCGTGTGCGATGGAATGACCTATCAGGAAATCGAGGTATATATTACCGACAAGATGCAGTTAGGCTGCTCCTTACTATCCTCTTCTCACACCAATTATACATGTACTCAACCTGTTGTTGTTATAGGAACAATACCCAGAGGATTTTGCTCGTCGTGATGAGGATAAATTCAATTACCGGTACCGTGGTGGCGAGGTAAATTAAGAATTGCACCGTAAAGTCTTTAAGAACTAGAACAAAGTTCTTTTATTGCTTATTTACTCACACACGCGCACAGAGCTACCGAGACCTGGTACTACGACTGGAACCTGTCATTATGGAACTGGAACGTCACGAAAACATTTTAATTATTGCTCATCAGGCCACTATACGATGCATGTATGCATATTTCATGAACCTAGAACATGATGAACTTCCATATGCACGGATTCCACTTCACACCGTCATTGAGCTCGTTCCTCGGGCGTATGGCTGCGAAGAAAAACTTTACAAAGGTATATATCACACCAACTAACACTTCGTATAGACATACAGATGGACCACTCTCCAAGTACACACTCGCTGATATGCTTGTATATACCTTTACGTAGTCGACATCGAAGCTGTAGATACATACCGACCAAAGGTTCCTCCTCGCGCAGCAAAAGACATGAAAGAACCCGAAACAAGTAGAATTGGAGCGAGTGGTGAAATCGCTGATATATCTTTACCTGTCCTCCCCTTATAAGACTCTTTTTCTCCGTCCTCTCGCTCACCACGTTATACCCGATACGTAAAATGTAGACCTTACTCTTATTATATTTATAAAACGAAAGATAAAGAACGGATGATAGATTTATTTTGGTCAAAAGTACGAATGCATGTTTGTATGATATTCATATAAAGACTCGCTCATTGTAGTATAAGGGGCTATTGTTTTGCTTTACTCGCTTCAAATCAGGTTTAGGACCTTGGAAATAAGGTCACTGTATCGCTGTTTATTTGACGACTGATATGGTGCTAGGGTAGGCGTTTCCAAAATTTCACGGATGAGTTTCACTGTCCGACACACGCATGTCGTGTTTTTCCATAAGAAAAGAAGGAAAAGAACTTACACGTTTTTAAGCAACGGGGCTCGTCCTCTCCAAAAAGAAAGCTTCCCGAAACCTGCGCCGGCATGCCGACGGTGCGTCCCACAACATATGAGAAAGACTCTGCCGAAGGAACGTCAATCCCATACTCGTTGCACGAATTCAGCCGAAGCTTCTTTGGACGTGCGATATAACACTGGAAAGCAAGCAACATAAATGCCCTTTGCTCGGGCGCTGTGCTCCCGGTAGTGGCCTGACAAAAACAAAGGTGCGAACCTAAAAGGCCCGCTTCTTTGGGCAACAGAGTTGGAAAGGAATAAAGCAGTTAGCAGTCTAGCTAGACAGACAACGTACATTAAGGCAGCGCACACACAAAGCAACTGCAGAAATGATGTACTGTTATACTTACAGTACTAAAGCAGCGATTCCTTTCTTTGTCCTTGCATCCATCCTTAAGTATGTTGCTTCTATATAAACGATGGAACAATTACGTTGATTTAATATCTTATGCTCCCAGTAGCGATTAACTCCAAATCGTCCCCAGCTTTTCAATATTCTTTTTTTCAAGTATGTAAACTTACCGTTGACCAGATATGAGGCATAAAGCTACTATCTGCCATGTCAGAGAAGAGATTCTTGTAGAAAGACTAGTATCAGATTCAACACAGTAGCAGCCTTTGGAGACAAGTGGCAGCAGGAATTTGTCCACATATGATTCTTTGCTAGCCTTGTAAACCTTGTCCTTGCAGCTATAAGCTTTAACATGACGTATGAACCGAAAGAAAAAGAAAGGTGTAAGTTGATAATATCCATTATGCCAACATCCAGCATTGCTCATCACTTCCAAAAAGTAAGGAACTCGTACATATATCAATTGTCTATGTTTACTATAATAATTAGAGAGCCTTGGCGCAGTCGCAGCAGGAGAAAAGCATGGCCATGATTCATGGATGAATCGCACCGGGACGCCTGTTGAGTGGGCATAAATAAATGAAAGACAATGGAGGAGAAAACGAAAACTACGTAGTGTTCGGTTTATATATACGTCCACGTTGAATGACCCAAAAGAAGGGGCAATCATCATACAGTTTTCAAGAGCAAGATGCGGACCGAGTCGTGAATTTATTTTCCCCCTTTTCACCATGAATTTTTACTATCTAAGGTGTGGCAATATGGATCTCATTTTTTAGCCACGGTCATGTAGTTTTCTTTTGCCTTCAGTTTGCTCGAATAGAAGTCTTGTCGTGTTTACAAAGTAGAGTATAAGCAAAGAAGTGCCATGATCAGTTAGGATAATTCATCATTCCTCAGAACGTATTGTTTCTCATGCAGTCTGTTCCGGTGTCAGTTATCTACATGAGGAAACGCCCATCGTTCGACTATGCGCCTGCCATATTAGTCACTCCATACTGTCATGGTGTTGTTTCATTTTGTTATCGGGGAACTAAAGCATTTGATTGAAGAGCGACACACATAGTGCTATTGACCATACGTGGTACGTACTGCAGCTGAATCATTCCGAAGCATCGGAAAAATTATCGACAATCCGAATAGGAGCTGCTGCTTCAAGCTCCTCCATATGTATTATATACAGCGAGTATATGACCATATGCGAATTCCCATTATGCTAATATAGCAGTAATGTTCCTTCATAATCGAAAGTGGTAATCGAGATTAAGGTGTGTTATTCAGCCTCCAATAATACCGCTCGATAAGAAGACTCGTTTCAAATCTGACAACTACAACTACAACTACAACCACCCCTGTCTGAGGAATACGACGATGATTGGGCGAGGCAGCGCGATGCGAAGCAAGGGATTGCCGATACTCTTCGTGAGTTAAATGCAAGAATCGATAATTATCGTACAATCCTTGGAAGGCGACAGGACCGAGGTAGTCGACCGCAATCGCACTACTCGTACTGATAGACTAAACGAATATTTGACAGTAGTCGGCCGGTATCGAGCCAGACGAACAAGACAAAGAACGTGGCGTGACGACCACCCATTCACTCGCTATCTCTAATTTCCATTATAGTTTCCATTTATCTCGACCTTAGATTTCTTTTTTATCATTTATCCATCTATTTCTACATATTTATATATCTGACCAAACTTTTCTACCTTGACCACAAGATCAAAAGTAAGTATCGAAAAATGAGTGTTTATATCAGTATTTTCACATGTCATGTTACGAAATTAGACAGATACATGCTAACCGTCCAGGGATGGAAGGCTCCGTAGAAAAACATATTATACATAATGCAGGTAGAGAGAAGTTGATATAAATAACGGAAAATTCTACAGTACATAGCGTGCTATTTTATATAGTGTGCGTGCGGACATAGTAGTACTAATTTCCATAGTGATTTATCAATCAGAGCTTGTATTCTGAAAAATGGATTTTGGTTCGGTTACATGATTAACCGTTCGGAGAAAGTAATTTCCGAATTCCGTTACCGTGATTTTTTTTTGAAACGGCTAGGGCTATGGCGTAACAGCGTAAAGCCGATGGCCCCTGTATAATAACACTAAGAATGTTTTACTCTTCTCCATCACAAACAGCCCAGTAAGATAGGTCTACATAGCTGTTGCCGATGTCGACTGATGAGTGGGATCCTTGTGTGCATATGTGTATGATTCTACGTATGTACAATGCTGCAGTTGATCTTGCGCTTTGACATTTAGCTATGCATACATTGCACATATGGTATAGTGATAGCACCTCAGTGTAGACGCAATACAAAGAGCACCTACTAGAGCTATAGCTATGAGTACTGCCTGTCCATTAAACAAGGCAAAGCTGTTTATAAAACTAAATGAGCTTGCGTCTTCTAGTATCTTCAATTCTACGAATGCTCAAAGAATTCTTGTGAGAATAATGGCTCGTTTTGCAGATGCTTCATATTCTATTGGTGATTAGCTTATCATATTATAGCATTTACGCATGTATGCACATTTCTGAAGCTAGATATATACTAGATTTCTATATGCGCGTATCACACTCTACAGCGGCATTAAGCTGATATGTACCTCGGGCTCCTATTTGCAAAAACCTTGCAAAAGTGTTAATCACGACGGATGAACAAATTGGACAGATCACTTTAAGTTACGAGCTTCAATACAATCATGCTCTTTTCATATAGTCAATTTGGAGGCTACAGATACAGTTGGACCAGTATATTGTATCCTCGTGCAGAAAAAAGCACGAATCAATCAAATTAGAGCGACTTGCGAATTCTTCTTTGCGAATACACTGTCCGTTACTAGATCCCTTCTCTTCTTTGCTTCCGCCCTGACCGTTATACCCAGTACATAAGTGTTAAAAGCAGAGATAGCATAATTGGATGAATGATAAATCTATTTATATTTTGAAATTGTGATGCGCAACTACTTTCCGTTAATAACTTTAATGTATCGATGAGTAGTCGAGCGGATAAGCTAAAAGGAAATACCATCACCCAATGTTAGTGTAAGTTCGAAAAGCAGGTGATTACTGACAACGTGCCTCATCCATGGTTGTATAACAAGAAAACAAACTTTACCATTGCCTCTATTTTCTCCACTTGGGTATACGCGTCTTTTCTGAGTAAATGGTCTCGGTTTTGGCAGGTCGGATATACGTCTGAACGTGAAACGACCGTTGCCTTCTGATAATGGCGGATCAGTAGTAGCAGTTGTGCTGCTGGCATTAGTGTATGCTGCTGGCTTTGTTGGTGGCGGTGGTGGTGGTGCGGCATTCCAACGCGACAGCACAGGATTATTTGATTTCGGTGCAGGTGGACGGATGGGAGATGACGATACTGCTGGTGATCCTCCTGGTGGAGGTGGAGGTGGAGGAGGTGGAGGAGGTGGTGCTCCTGCTGAAAAAGATGAAGGTGCTGGAGGTGGTGGCGGATGTGGTGCTGGAGCACCGGGCGAGGTCGACGATGCGGTCGAAGATGAGCGTTTTCTACCTGGGGGTAAAGGCGGTGGAACTGCTAAATTGGCAGCGGATCGCACTGGGCTTGGCACTTGCGGGACATTACGCGAAGGACTTGCACGTCCAGGTGGAGGTGGAACATATCTGCTGGGTGTGCTTGGCGGTGGTGGAACAGCACGTGGTGGTGTGGGAGGAACAGCTCTTTGTGGAGAGCTGCTCGATCTTGTTCTTCCTCCTGGTAAACTTGGTGGTGCAAGCGAAGGTCGTGGTGGTGATGGAGCTGCTGCTCCAGGCGGTGGCGGAGGTGGCGGCGGCGGCGGTGGTGGTGGTGCTCCTGCTCCTGCTCCTCCTGCTGGAGGTGGGGGTGGAGGAGGAGGAGGTGGTGGTGGTGGCGCTCCACCACTTGGAGGAGCTGGCGAACTACGACCAGGAATAGGCGGAGGAGCTTTGAACGATCGAGGAAGGGTTTGAGTCGACGAGGCCGGGGTAGGCGCTTTGCCAGGCAATGAAAAGCGTGCCGAACCGCCGCCAGAAGGTACAGGTGGTGTTGGTGCAGCTGATGCCGGATCTACATAATTGCAAACTGTCAGCTTACTTGTTGCCTCATTTTCAATCCCACCCTTTTACTTATATAAATTACCTGACGTTTGGCCTCGGCCCGTCGCAACTGCAGCTCCTCGGGTTTTGCGCAGAGTTGGCATTCCGTTAGCGAAAAGACCACCTAGTTGTGGACCTCCTCCCAAACTCGGTGCTGAAGTCGATGCGGCCGATGCAACATTACTACTGCCACCGCCCGTGCCGGCTCCCATGCCTGGCATGGGTGGTCGAGCCATTCCTCCTCCAGATGAGGGTGCACTTGGCTTTGTGTCTAGTCATCGTAACGACATGATTAAGAAAAAGTTTGCACGAATCCGAGCACTCAGATGTCTAAGTTAAAAATGACTTACTACCAACTTGTGGAGCCGATCTGTCATTGGTAACTGCTTTCTTTAGCTTTCTTCCATTATGAATGTCTTGCAGGAGTTTACTGTCCATTGTGGAAAATGGTCAAGCAATAATCAATAAGAAGGAAAAAGAAGAGGTTGCATTGAAAGAGCACGCGCTCGAGGAATCTATAATTAACCCCCGCATCAACCAATCATGATAAGCGAACAGCATGAACTACAGAAGCTTTCTGTCCCGGCTTCTTGGCGATAACTCCCAAAAAACCCCATTATGACGTAGTCTGCTACTACACAATGCCCGTAGCACCATCTACATATCGATCAATAACTACATATTTTTACTGGTATACATGTTTTTCGCTGTTAACCCAAAGTACCAAGCTGGGAAGATGTTGCTTAAAACAAGGTTTCGGAAGAAGCACGGAATACATATTGAAGACTCAGTTGAAACTAAAATAGGCAGTCTAGCTACAATTCTGAACAGCCTGTTTGTTGGATGACAGACCATATGTCAAAAGAGTTGTAGCTATCATGAAGTATGCGCAATGGACTGGATCTGCTGAGCCCGAGATGATGCTTCTGCTTTGTAACACAACATCTGCTTGCTTTGACAATGCCTAATGTTATACAAGATGTACTCTCTTCCTTTTATTAGCTTGACTATCAGCGTCATCGAGCTTCTCAGCTTGGCAGATAGAATCAACTAGGTTATATCGCTCTAAAATGTAGGGTAGTATATGCTGTAAATGAATCCAACTTGAGAGCCACCATCATTGATAAGTCGGCTTTCTGTCTAGAAGTAGTGCATCATAGCCATGGCAACAAAAACAGAGATGGCTACTAATTAATACATTTGAGGGAATAAACTAATGATAGTAGTTGTCAGTTTGCCCATATCTTGCTCTTATTCGAGCCCAGTAACCATTGACAGTTTCGCCCTCCCGTAGCAAACCGCGTTGATGATATCATCATCGTTATATAACAGCGTTCGTGTACATGATATGTGATACCCAGAAAGCACATCATCGACGTACAAGTTGAACAACCTTTTGAACATCAAATAGTCTCAATAGAACAACTATGTCTTAACCAGTGTCAGTAGAATGAGCCATATGGAACAACATCACCACATCAACAATCAAAATTTTTCATAAGCCAGCAATCGAAATAAAAGGAAGTTCGATACGGAAGTAATAATGGATGGAATAAATATAGTGAATTTTTCTAAAGATAAGTATGGTAATGTTCTTGATGAAGGAGATCATGTATGTATACAAAAAGATTGAAAGCCTGCCTAGTGAGCTGATGTGTACTCCTCAGAAAACTGATAGTAAAAGATGATGGTAATAAAAATACAAATGTTGACAGGGTTTTTTTCCGTTAGGGTCAGATTAATTAACTAATTACACAGCAGCATCCTGCCTTTTCCTTTTGTCGCTCGTTTTCAGAATACAAATACTCGTTATCGGCCGTATGCTTTTCGCCAATGACCATCGTATCTGAAGTCATGGATGGTGCTATTGAGTACATATTTGAGGAACTTTGTTGATATTGATGATGATGAGATGGTGAATGTCTCGGAGGAGCTGCTGTCGCTGCCATTTTCGGTGCTGGTGTTGGTGGTGCCAATACAGGTGCTTGTAATGGATCGGAATGATGATCGACTGTTTTAACAGCCGCAGGTTGCCGTATGCTCTCTGTAGTATATGCGCTTGAGGGAAGAGGTGTTTGTGGTGCTTGCGGTCGCTGATAAACCGCAAAGGCTGCATGCGAACTGGAAGCAGAAGCACCAGTGGTAGCAGGAGGAGAAAGAGCAGCAGCAGCAGCAGCAGCAGCAGCAGTAGCAGTGCTGCTGTTATTGCTATTAATATCATAGTCAGCAACCACTATATCTTCGTACTCATTTATATTATGCTATATGCAGAAAATAGTTATTAGTGAGTTTCTCCTTTTCTGCCCGATTTTAAATTATTAGCAAAAGGTGCTGCAGTACCGGTATCGAGCAAGATCTACTATAGCGCGAAGTCTGCATAACGAGCTCTTGGTTGGCCCGTGAGACTTTTGGTCGAATCGTAGCACTACTATACTGCTGTGCCGCAGTCGCATCTTCCGGCGGAGGAGGAGAGTATCCGATCAATTTGGAGTAACGCAGCTTGCCTTCAAGCACTTCGCTTTCACGATATTCTTATTTCTCACACGTTAGTTCACTTGTGCACAGTTTTTACGTAACTGGAACTACTCACCAAGTGGTAATTGCTTCACAGTTGGATCACGACGTCCGGAAAGATCAAATACTTGTACTCGCTAAATCTTGTTTCCATTAGTCGGCTAAATTACTTTGTAAGCTAAACAATTTAGCACTTACGTTGTCGTCGCAGAAACGGATCTCGAAAGCGGGTCCTTTTGTAGCAGACGTGGAAGAGTGCTGCTTGGCCATTGCTTGGCTTTATAGAGCTATATAGTAAGCGTCTAAAGGGAAGAAGTCTTTTTAAAAAAAAGAGGTAAGAAAAAAAGCGTTGCTCAACCTTTTTTTTACTCCTTGCAGTTGACCAAGAAAGGTATCCTGACCATTTGATGGAGCACGCTCACAGCTTCTCAATATGGGTATCTCACGTCAAACGAGGGTGAACTCGTGGGTTGCAACTTTTACTTTTGGGATTTTTCTTTTGGTTCCTTAATAAAGTACAGGTAGAATTAGAAAAGAGACTAGAGTAAGAATTAGGATAGGAATAATAAGAATAATAAGAATAAAAATAAACATAGATCAAATGTAATATAATGCAATGTAGAGTGTGTGGTGTGCGTATATATGTATATGTGAGATGTAGATGCGGTATTTTGCGGTGGTTAGAGAATAGGTGCTTTGTCTATGCTTGCACAGTTTTGGTGGTAGTAGTAAGTAGTAGTAATAGTAGCAGTGATGGTTGTAGTAGTAATAGTAGTAGAAGTAGTAGTCTTGTCTACAGCGTGATTACACCGGGATCGCCATTCTATGACAAGTGCGCATAAGGAAAGTGTTAATATCCGACTGACTACATGTAACAGATCCAGGGGAAGGGGGAATATGATGTGCTCTTAAACTTACAAATGGATGTCGCCAGCCACATTGGAATTGGTCCTTGGTATATACGCGATCTTCGCTCGTGGATGTGTTGAATCCGATATGGTGCATAAGTAGTGTTTTGCTGGTCACCAGCGCCTGCTTGCATTGACTGCATTCTGGCAATTCACCACGCAAACACCGCTGGATGACAATGTCTGGCGGCGTCTCCTTATATTGTACAAGAAGATCTGACACCAGTCGAGCAACATGTGGCTTCAAAAAGAGACCACTATTTTGTCTTTGTTAATAAGCGCATCTTCACAGGTCATCCAAATACACGCACGCGAGGAGTATTTACCTTCCACCAGTGGCAACAAAGACACCACAGTGATCCGGGGCATGTTCGTTTGCCTCGTAAATGACATTTTCAATATTCCGCCAGGCATCGGATCCGCATACAGGAAAGTCGTCCTCGACCAAAGAGATGTAGGTACTCTGGAAACTGTCAGCAGCCAGCTGGAGCGCCTTGGACACATGCAGTCGCTGGTTCATTTGATCGCCTTCCTCACGCACCCACTTGAGATAGCGCTGACCCTTCAAGTCGTTGGAGAACTTTTCCCTGGCAACATCAAACTGGGAGTGATTGCTGAAATGGGTGTAAACCATGATTTGTATCCGGCTGTACAGCGAGTTGGGCTCTGGATCGACGGGCCAGTTCGCGAGATACGACGACAAGGTCCTGGACAGCAGTGGCGGATCACCCCGACGTGGCGCAGTCATGACAACAAAAGTAAACATGTATCGATCATTGGTCAGCTGATTCAGAGTAGCAGGATCGACCAGTGACCCCCGAGAATGGTAGTAGCTGTTGAAAATAAACAGGACCGGTAACGTGATCATAACGACAGCTGTTCCTTTTTTTAGCGCAGACCACAGCAGACGCCACAGTGGCGTAGTCGACTTGCTGCTGCGCTGGTACTCTTCGATAACATCCTTTCCACTGCTGTTATTGATGCTGCTGTTGTTCATCGTATCCCACAGGTCGCGCTGCTGCTGTCGCGCGTTGCGCGTAACGAGACAGGTGTATGTCACTTGGGCCACGATGAATCCCGTAAGCAATCCAGTGAGAGACCACCACAGGATGTTTTTGGTAGTGTAGTTGACAAGACACATGAAGAGCTGGAGCGTGACTTTGCGGACAGTCACTTTTTGGTCGAGATCGTCGGCAGTGCCGTAGATCATAATGTACTTGTCGTCGATGCTCAGCGATTGGATAACAAGCAAAGCAAAGAGAAACGGAGCAATACCTATCCCATTCCCCACATCATTGGTGAGCAGATCTGCTTGTCGAGAGACACCCCACTCGCGCTTCATCGCAAGTAACCCTTCAGAATCCAGCACAGCACATACCTTGATTACACTCGTGCATCGAGTTGCTAAAGAAGAGCATCGGCACAGCCCACCCAGTCGACTTTGAAAACACATACCCGAGAGCTTGTCGGACAGCAAACACCCCGAGGACGATACCGAACAGAACGCGCATAAAGCGTCGAGTCCCTCCGAGCATATGCGTCAGCGAACCTTCGAATAGCCCGAGCACCAGGATGTTCCAGCTGAACAAAAGAATGCCTTGCAGTGACCAGTCGAATAGAAACGTGGACAAGAGCATGTTCAGGATTTCGAGTCGGTAGATGACAAAGGATGGTGAGGAGCAGGTCACGTTAAGCAAGTTGAAAAAGTTCAGTGAGGAGACGATCAGGGAGATCAGGATTGTGTAGCGCGTAATCACTGGAAGCGGCCACAAGCATAGCAGCTTTTGTGATTTTGACTTGTCTTTGGCGTCCGTCTTGAGACCTCCTGCTGCCATACTCCACGTCCTGCTCCCACGTCTACCACCGCCGCCCGGCTGCTTTGTTGCGTATATCTGCCTTGATGACCGTCGTACGTGTCTCGAGTTTCTCCGAGTATGTGTTCGTGGTGTTGACATGGCAGCAGTTCCACCAGCAGGAGCACCAGCAATAGCAGCTTGTGGCGATGACGATTGGGTCATACCGAGAAATAAACTTCGGATGCCCCGAGCTGGCTTATTATAACTGTACGATGAGATCCAGAGAGGTAGGCTGGGTGTGGCAGGCGTATAGTTGTTGAACGAAAAGGGCATAGGTTGTACGGAATGAGGCGGCCAAAAAGGTGATGAGGGCGAAGGCTGTTGCTGGTGCTGATGATCCTGGCGTAAGGACGAGCGGTCATGAGAAGGCGATTCGTCTGTTGCTGATGGAGTGTTGGTATCGACGGACAAAACAACCTCAGGGCTGCTACTGCTGTTGTTGTTGCTGTTGTTGTTGTTGCTGGAATCAGGTACGGTGGCGTGTGCTGGAGAAGAAGAAGAGGAGGAGGAGGAGGAGGTTGTGGTGGAGGAAGAAGAAGAAGAAGAAGAAGAAGAGGGAGCAGATCTCGAAACTTCTTGGACCAGTCGAACGGAGCTGAACATTTTGAAGAGGGAATCACGCATGGCGACAATTGATTTTGCTGATTTTTTTCTTTTCCCCCGGGGAGCGATGAGAGGTGGTGTTTGTTTTTTGAAGAACGAAAAAAAAGATAACCAGATATTTAAGGGGGGAGCAGGAGGGAGGAGGGAGGACAAGAATTTGAAAGGGGGGAACAAGCAAGCGTATTATGCAGGAAGCCCTCAGCGATGATCTCTGGGGAACGAGGGGGAGGAGAGTGAAGAAGAAGAAGAAGAAGAAGAAGAGAAAGGTAAAAAATAAAAGAGCTTTTGTGTGTTTTGTCTTTTTGCTCGAGTCGGGATGGACAGAAAGAAGCGTGCCAATTTTGTTCAAAACGATACGTTCTGGGTGTCTGGGAGGTAAAAATAGCACAACGTGCAACCGTTGATTCCTTGTGTCACTGCTGGCTTTTGATTGTGCGGGCGGCGATCTTTTCTTTCGTTCTTTATTTCTTATTTTCATGGTTTGCGCTCTGCTTTGTGCTGCCTTGGTCTGTGTCCCCTGATTAGCAGGCTGTCTGCTTACAGGTGCCCCCCCCAAGCATTCATTCATTCATTCATCACCAGTCGCTTTGCACAGTCCGATCTGTCTGTGCCGTCTGTCATTCCCCCCCGAGGGTGGGGTTCGTCGGAAACTATCTGTAGGCAGGCAGGCACACACACAGTCGCCTTTTAATTGGCAAACGTATTACCTCATCACAGCCAAAATATTAGTCGTGGTTTCTCAGTCCCTCTGTTTTTAGAACCCAGATCTGGTATAGCAGTGGTTCGGTTCCTGAGCCTGGTGTAAGTTACACTGTACTCTGCTGGCCATTCCAGAATCGGCCTTTACCCGGTTTGCTCTTCCGACTGCAAGCGCCAAACACATCTCCCAAGCCTTGTTTTTAGAAGACCTGCATCAGATGACCCGCTGCTTACTTTTCGCCAAGAAGAACCACTACCAAACGCGTGCAACGCATAACGTACAACGCGATCGAAATGCATCTGTCCCTTTCATCCGGGCGAAAAGCAGCCCCTACTGTTTATAATATCTAGCCAAGACCCTGGCCATTCGCTATAGCAATAGCCACATGACGTAGTAGGGTAGATATCCCAATATGAATGGCCATTTTGATTAAAAAGGCGATTTTAGGGAAAAAAAACAATAGAAAGAACAAAAATAAAGATTGACGTCCACCTGCATGCGTCATGCACAGCTCACGCGTTCTGTTTCAAAAGCCAAGATTGCTGTTATGGCACCGTTTCATCATTGTGTAAGCATCGTCTTTCCTTTCTGCAGAAGGTTGACCATCAGAGGAACCGGGTTACTCGTGACCGGCACAGAGCCGCTTCAAATCAAGGTTTTTCCACTAAACCACTTTTGTAGAAATGATGAAAGAATAGCTGTTACTAAAGATATACCAAATACTGTAACAGCGGCAGGACGACCGGCATCCTCTCCTGCAAAGACACATTGCTGTATCCCATCGTTGCAATCCTTATATGAATTTGAAATAAACACACGGCAACTTCGCAGACGACTTCTGGAGGAGGGAAATAATACCCCAGAAACATACTTGACTGCTTTAGGTATGGTCTAGAAAAATCTGTGTAAACCCGCGCCAAGCCCATTATGATATTTTGCTTTTTCTGCAATCATGAGAATTCGCTTCTCTACTATCTGTTTTTGTCTATAAGCAGATGCTACCCCCACTCTCGTCTTGGCAAAACAACTGTACCCTAACTAGAGACAATCGAATAGTATGCCGATGTTGAGCGTCATCTTCCATAGAAATTGTGATGATTACTGTGATATTTGGTTATCTGCGACGTATAGTTCCTTGAAATATTATTGTCTGAATATCAGAATGGGCATCTATGGTGCACCTAAGCGTGAGGCTATCCATCTACCCTTGGGTTGACAGCAACAAAAGTCATAACACGAACACCCCACATGTGTGATCTAAATAACCGTACTTTTGACTTCTAACGCGAAAATGAAAATCTGGCAGTTTAGAACCAGCGGTTTTTTTTGTGTATCATGCGCTTTGGGTGGCATGTCAGTTTGAACAAACAAGTATCTGTGCTCTCAGTTTTAAAAAAAAACATTGGGCTTGTAGTTCAGTGTATCATTGCCACTTGTTCTCTATAGGTGCTTATGCTCGATGACTATCCACTTTGGCAGTAATGTAGACTAAAATGATATCTTTATTGCTCGAATACCCCCATTCATTTAACAAGTGTGCAACCAATTACTCGTATATATGTAGAGCCCTTTAGTAGTGTCTCGTATCATATACTGCAATTATTGATAAGCGAATCACATGTGAAGATAATTGCTTAAAGGAGACAACTCTACGAGATGTAGGTGGAAGACAAGTGTGTCCTCTACGTAGGTATATGCTATTGTCCGTCCAGTCGTCAAACTTTGGCCTTTGATATATACTGCGACGCTCGTCTGTTAATTTCGCTACCATAAAATTCAGAGCGACAAGGACAAGACAGTAAGTGGATGGACAGCTCGATACTTTGCTATGCCAAAAGGTCTGTAATGCTTATTTTCTCTCTTTTTTTTTAAAATATTTTTGACCCATTTATTGAGCTACTCTTCAACCATCCACTCCAAAGCTTGTTTTGTTGTGACGTTTCGCTGCCATTTTATCAAATTTCACAACCACGAAAAAAAAAGCCCAGACTCAATAAAAACCGCTCACGGTCTTTTTTCTTTTTCCAACGGTAATGGAGAGATACTATCGAAGCTACGACGAACGCCCAAGAGGCTATTACGAGCGACCACGATCAGACACATATCGCCCAGGCGAGAGTTATCGATCAGAACGTGATTATCGAGACGGAAATGGGAGTAATTATTCTCCCAGTAGTCGCTACGCATCGTCTCGTTCGCCAGCGCATGGACTAAGCGGTGGAGGAGGACCCGTTGGTTCTAGCAGCTCAAGTAGAAGTGGTGATCGATATCATGATGACCATTGGTACGGTAGTTACCCTGATCCACGATCTCATGGCCCGTCACATTACTCGCCTTCACGAGGTTCGTCTCCTTCTCGATCATCGCCTTCAGTGTCACCCCGCCGACAATCGTACGGGGGCTACTATTCACGGCGATCCAGCCAGTACCCGCCGCCGCATTCTCGTCGCTCGTCGCCTTCACCTGGTAGGCGTGATTCATACGAAAGACGCTCACCATATCATGGTAGTAGTGGTATGTCTGGTGTCGTTGGCAGCAACAGTAGCAGCAACAACAACAACAGCGGCAGTAGCGGTGCAGCACAATTGCCGCCACCCCCACCGCTTCCGCCAGGTGGTTCTTCTAGTGGATTAGCGTATCCGCCGAGCAGCAGTTATTCATACTATCGATCAAGCAGCGGCGCCGGATCGCCGATGCACCCATACGGCTCGTCTTATTCTCCACGACGTAGCCATCATTATCCTGGTCCGCCACCTTCCTCTTCCTATTCACCTCGTTCGTCCTCGCGGCCACCGCCTTTGACAGGATCGCGTTATTATGGGCCGTCGCGAGATGCACCGCAACCGAGAATATCATCGTCGACATCGTCTTCCTCATCGACTTCATCGATAATGCCACCGGGTAGCTCTTATCGACCCGCTGCAACAGCATCTTCAGAACAACAACAGCAACCACCTTACGCTTCTTCCTCAAGACCGACAACACCCACAGCAGCACAACCAGCACCACTTCCACCGCCATCCACCGTAGTATCCTCAGTATCAGCATCATCTACATCAATGGGAGCGCCAGGACCACCACCGCCGCCGCCTCACACACAACCATTATCATCGCCATATTCACCTTCCAGTTACTCTCGCGCTCCCTATAGCAGTCATCACCATCATCACCACCATCATCATTACCAAGGTCCTCCGCCATCATCAACGTCCATTCGCCATCCCCATGTTTCCAGCACACCTCATCCCACATATCGTAGCTACCAGCATCATCACTCACACAACCCACAACCTCCAGCACGGCCAAGACAATCATGGGCACCGGAAGTGGAAAAGGAGGTATGCGTATGATAAGGGTGACACAGAATATAATTCAAAGCATGTCTGACAAAATCTGCGTCTTTTTTCAATCTCAAAGCTGGAGAGATATCATGCTGAGGATCGCAAGTCATGTGCAGAAGAGATCAAGGTGTTGGCGACGACAAGGAAAAGCCGGTTTGAGCTGGAACTGGCGAACTGGGAAACAAGTAAACTTGACCATCAACTGGAACTCGTGCAGAAGCAGTATGATGAATACGATCTCGAAGAGCTGATCAATTCTGAGCTTCGGTCAAAGACGGCTGGAAAGGCGGGAAGGCCTTAGTGTAAAGAGTTGGATCTATCTACATTCAGTGCGCCTTCATAGCTTCTACTTTTTTCTTTTTGTGGACCCAATATATCCTTGCTATGTGATCAATAAATGGATTCTTGCTAGCAGCATAATTACTGTAATATACTATAGACTTCTCGCAACAAACGTATAAAAAAATCATCTTTAAGCATAGAACAGCCGCTATTCGCTTGAACTGAATCAAAGCAACAAGAATGGCTTAAGTTTATGCTATGCTATTACCCCATTTCTGAGTAACGACTATTTGTAGGTTGGTAATTCTGATTGGTTGAACCATACCACCTGCGCTTACACGTTTCGCGTTTCTTTCGCTTTTTCATTTTGGCACGCCACTTCCATGAACGTGTGACCAAGCAATAAATATCAGCCTCCACCCGGCTCATACAGTATCTTTCGCTTTTTTATAAAACCTCAAAGTCCCACTGCGTCCAGCGAGGTCAATCTTTCTATGTGATGAGCGCGAAAATCGCAATAAAAATGGTACACTAACTAAATGTTAGATTTATACACGATACTTAAAACATATATAAGTTCAATAGAGAGTAAACAGTTGAACGCCATAGTTTCTCGCGTGATTTTCTTATTGTAATAATCCTCGACAAAAGATAAGCTACCATAGATAACCTATTAGACGATCAAGAAGATTGTAGAGAGAAAAATAATCTGGTCGCTTTTTTATAAGGTGAATAACCAGAATTAACCAGAACCAGAATTGACCAGCAACCACCAGCCAGATTTCACCAGCAAAAACCAGTAACACGAACAACCAGAATCCATCAGAAATAGCATCAGATTACAATATATTACCAGATTTTATCAGATAAAAGAAACCAAGAACAATCAGGAAATGCTATTTAACTTCTGAGCGGTATTATGATAGTGTAACCATTCATTTCTAGTTATTTCTGTTTATATTCAATAACGCGAGGCCTTCTTCTTGTTGTGTGATTTATCGTACAATAATGCACTGTTAAGGATGAGGGACAAGAGAGGCGGATATAATATAAAGTCATATCTATATACATTCGTGCATAATCTATGTGGTATTGACAATGGATTAACTGCTATTGCTATCGTTGGTCATTCTTCAGCTTATCAAAACACTTACAGTTATGAATGCCGTGCCGTTTTCGACTTGCGGCCACGCGAAATCGGTGTTGTTCGTTTTTTTCCCTTGCCGCCTCTTTCTTGTTGCTTATCTTTTGGCGGCGTCTTTTGTTGTTGGCTACATTTATAAACCAGTCTTAAGCAAAAAAAAGGTAAGGTAATAATGATTACTATTATCATAATGACTCTTTTCATTACCTTTGCGTTTCTTTACGCGAGTTGCCTTCATCGTCGCCACTTTTGGTAAAGTTTCGCCACGCTTGACGTACAAAATGACGAGCACCCCAATGGTTAACGCAACGGTCCAATGGTACTCTGGCATGTTCTACAGCAAGCTGCTCAACCTCGTTGATGGATTTATCAACCAAGGATTGCTTGAACGATTTCAACGGAACTTTTTTTACGCTGATTTCCAGATATGTGCTGCAATCGTTGGTCAACCCATATGAACTGCCTTTCAGAAACCATGGATATTTCGTCGATAATTATAAATCGTAAAACACCAAGGCATGTAGATATTGTATTGCTGACGTCCGCAGAGAGTTCCACAAGCTCGTTTCCATGTTGATTGAAGGCTATATGGAAGGCAAAATGTAGCGTTTGCCCGTTGATATAGAATGCCGCCATATTCGTGGGTGCACATAAAAGTACTGAAGGCTTGTCAAGATTTCGATTCTTAGGCAAGGTCATCAAATTCACGTATACACGTTTCGTATAGCGACGTGATTACACGACTCTTGCCAGTACCAGCACCATCATTTAAAAAGTAGTGGAATGGATTTTCGCTTTTCTGGATTTAATACTTTATATGGTACACAAAGTCACGTTGCTCGGTATTCAGTGTCGCGATCATCTGTTCGTAGCTGTCGTTGTTCATACGATTTGGGGCCACGATTGTTTCCAAATACGGCGTTCTTGCATATGCTCCAGCTTGTTCCATCACATCGACCTCGTTCTTAACCATGTCAGGCATCCCATATTCGTCCAACGGATTGGCCAATCTTCGCTCCTGATCTTTCTCTTCCTGATTGTCTACATATCCGGCCTCGGCATTTTCGGGTGCAAACGCAGCATCGCTTAAAGCACTACTCGCGACGGTTTCCCAATATTCGTCTTAATGTTGCTGAAACTGCTGCGTGGTACAATTATTCAAGAAGTCGAGCAAGATTGAATCGTACACATGATGACAGTGATGAACCAGCAGAGGACAATAACGACCAGAATGATGATGATAATGCAAGTGACAGCAGTGATGACGATACGATTCGGGAGTCATTACATTGCAGGATGGTGATGGTTTCATCCGTCGACGTAAATCCTTCAATGGGATCCGGTACCGCGGCTACAGATTGCAACAAGATGCACAAAACTATCATCTTGAGCTCATAATTCTATACTTACCTTGGAGAGATGAAGAGCTGGACATTCTATTCGTGATCTACCAAACGCAAACGTAGTTAACGTCATGTTTTCCATCGTGGTTGGCCGTTGGCTGTAGTGATCCAGAATGTTTGGCGTGAAGCTATTAGTTGATTCTCGATCATCGATACTGCGAAGTCCTCGTTCTGGTCGCAAGATTCGCCTACGCTCTTCGGGAGGAGAAGTTGGAATGAAGACAACGCCTGAGGTTGATACCGACATTGGCAAGCGAAGGATATTATATGCTGCTTCTTGAGCGGAAATTTCGCTCGTGTTGTAATGGGTACTGCTTAATGCGCGAAGCATTTGTGTAAGCGATGCATCATTTGAGCGTTTTTGTTCGAATTCTCTCGATGGTGTCGCTCATTCCACGATCCGCTTTGTTTATCAAGTCGACGATGTAGGAGCAACATGAGTAAGCATCCAAGACGAATTGAATATCCATATTAGATCTACGAATATGTGCCTTGTTCTCCGCTGTAGGAACACCTTATCTTTGGCAAGAGAGGAACGAACAGGCAAAAGGAAATCATCAAGCATAACATTGTTGGCTTCAAGGAATACGTCAAATGTTATGTCTGGTTCGGTTCCTGGTCTGAATTGTTCCATATAATCTCGTATTTCGAGGTGTTTCTACATATGCATGATGGCAAACATTAATATATGAACTTATCCCTTTAGCTCAGTCTGCTTGGCCGTTTACCTCCTTATGACGTCTAATATCCTCTGGTGAGTATTCATCTGGAGTAAATGGTCGTAATACTCGTGTTTAATCCATTGGCACGAATGGTACACCAAATCTGCATTTAAAATGAGGTTTAGTTCTCTTGTTGCAGGTTCGAGTATGGTGGTGCACTTGACGAGCTATTATTGCCTCCTTTTCTTCGTCGCCGGAATATTGTGACGCATCGCAACTAATGATTCTATGACATCATTGTCACTGTCGACGTTGAACCGTGGAGCGTCTGACAACCAAAGCAACATATGCGCATGTGGTGATCCACGCTGTTGAAACTCGATCCAATGGTAGCGATGAGCCACTGTTCTGTTTCCGAATGTACCCTATGGTGGTTTCCATGTCTTCAGTAGTTCACGGAATCGCATATCAAAGTACCTGGCGCACGTTACGGGGTCCCCTTGTGTCAGTCTTCTTGTTTCATTTGATCCAAGAGCTTCTATTGCTCGTCCGTCAACGCAACTTCATCAACAACTGACCTCGATATTTTGATCAACTCGGTCCATTTGGCTTCTGCAGCAGATAGTGTCACGAATAAGGTTGAAACTCCAAACTGTCGAAACATCGATAGCAGCTTCATTTTTTCTTGTCGCCAATATTCCCCTGATGATCTGATGCCAGTAAAAACTTTGTAGGCTGCATCCCTGCTAACCATTGACGAATGTTATTGGCATCCAGTGTACCACCCACTGGTCGATCAGCGCCTCTACCAGAAGTCGTTTTCTTCAAGCATATCTGGACATTACTTGACAGTTGTGTCAACATCCGCTTTCTGTCCATGAACAGAAGATAATCTGCTCTTTTCACTGCACGTCTGTCATAGGATCTTGTAAATGATTTGCTGATATCAACGTATGAAAGACGCTTGCCATCTGCCGTTTCTGGACGCATGCGATTGCCTGCGAATAATGTTGGAAATGCCAAGAACTCGTTGTCAGTGTCCATAACCGCCAATGTTTCAACTTTGAGATTTAACGTCCGCTTCTTTATTTGGTAATAATCAAATAATAGTAGTGAAATCGTCGCGACGATGTGAGCTGTAAGTACTTTGAATACAGTACCTCACTTTTCCTGGTTTGAATAGCGTGTATAATTTCGCTTCACTGATGTCTCCCTCATAACAACATCACTATTACATTTTGCCAGGTTTTCCACCTGCATTAGCTCTACTTCTTTCTCGCTCTCCAGAGGTAGTTGAGCTTAATATTGTGTATGAGAGCTCAACGTTTCAAGACGAGACTGCTCCTCATCAACAATATAATCCATTGGTTCAGGTCTGCCATACTCGTCGACAACAGAACCTTTCCCATTTTCAACTAAGAATTGAATGTCCAATACGTGAGATTTCTGACGTTGTGAAAAAGAAATAAAACAAAGACAGACATTTGGCGTGCTTTTTTATATATCCTTGAGGGCTTTTCGTACAACCTGAATTTGTTCTCGCCATTGGGCGAGTTAACTTTCCGGAAAGAGTGCACTGTATTCGATAGTAATCGGTGTACTACATGTGCGAATGCTAATATGGAAAGTTTATTGTTTCTATGCATATGGGCTCATTGTGCATAAAGATGTTATTCTACGAAGCGATGATATATTATGCGAAAATTGTACCATTGATTGATATAGTTACTTGTATGAAAACGGCCAGACCGTATTCGTTGTTAATGATAAAATGTATTATATTCCGTGTTATTTAATAATCCAGTAGCGAGCAGATTCGACACTGTTACTATTGCCCGAGGAAGATAGTTGCCTTGGAACATACCAAGAAAAGAACGTGGTGGTCTTGGCACAGTAGGAGCATGTACGAGCGGGCGGTATTTATTTTCGCCTCCATTTGATCAATGTCGACGGTGTAACCAAGGCAACACCCCGCTCCACACATAACTAAGCAAACTATTCTGGACCCACCGACGTACTAATCCCTTCATTCACCTCACGTCTCTTTCCATTCCTTTTAACAGCACTTCCTTTCGTTTCATTAATAATCTTACATTAACTATCATGCTTGTCTCTGCTAGTGCTGCTCTAACGGCTGCTGTTTTGTTAGCCCCTTCAACTCAAGCAGCTCCTGCTCCACCTATCAATCCTGAAGACGATTCATCAGAAATTACAACAGAAGCCGGTGTCCAAGATGACATGGAAAAGGAAATTATCAACGATCTTGCTGACGAGTGGGCTTCGACGGATGATAGTACCGAGAAAAAAGGCACGGACAACGAGGACGAAATGCTACCACCGGATGAACAGCAAGACCTCAACGCAATGAGCGAAGATGATCTCACAACCACCAATGACGACGACGATATTCTTATGGGGAACGAGAATGACGAAGATAGCGTCTTCATCACAACAGCAGAAGACGACACCAGCATTAATGCTGATGAAGTACCCCTGGAGAATGGCGCGGACGCCGGCATTGATGAACCTGTCGATCCTCTGGTTGATGATAATACAGCCAGCGTTGAAGGACAATATAACGACGCATTGCTCGACACTGCAAAAGAAAACGGAAAAGAGAACGTCAGTACGTCCCTCGCTGATGAAGATTCACTGGTTACCGACGCTGAAGTACCGGCTGACGTTCCTGAAGAGCTAATTCCTCAAGAAGATTTGGAGCAGTCCGCTTTCGACGAAGTGACTGAAGAAACTAGTGACTCGATAGAATCGTTGGAAGATCAGGAGCAAGAAGAACCTTTGCATGAAGACGAAGAAGCCGTGGATGACGATCCTGTTGGCAGCGAGCTTACTGTCGACGCCCCGTGGGATGAAAAATCACAAGAGAAAGGAGCGACAGATGCAGACCAAACCGAGCAAGTCATCGATAATGGCGAGGAAACATTCTTGCCAGATGATGGTGATGATTTTTTGGATAACGACGTGGACCTTACTCTCACAAACGGTGCAGACATGGATATTGCTTTGGAGACCGAAAATGACCCGAATCTCACAAATGGAGTCGATCTGGACACTGATGTCGATACTGAGAATGATTCAAATCTCACCAACGGGATCGAGTTGGATGCCATTGTCGACGAATATGATCCAAGTCTGACAAATGACGACGGTATGGACTTGGATGCAGCAACGGAGTACAAGGAGGAGCATATCAACGACGAATCTACAATCATGAACGAAGAGAACTTGAACATACCCCCAGTGGATGATGCTACTCCCAATGTCGCCGACTATACACCACAGGACGACAACCGGGAACAACAAGCTACCACCGACAACAATAAACAATCGCCACAAAATGTTAACGAGCCTGACCTTACTTTGTCAGAGGAAAGCACGATCACAGACAACATAGACGGCACAACATTGGACGATTACCAGGTCGATACTACTGTCCAAGAAATCAATGACACGCTTGAAAAGGCATTGAACGATGTACAACCTGATTCTGCACTGCTACCAAAACAAGAACAGCAGCACCAACAACCGGAATATGATCCGTTTGAAAATGAGTTAGTGAATGCAGCAAATGATCCATCCCAAGGCGGGTTCTTCCCTAGCGAGAGCAACACTGCCACAGTGGGTGATGACAATGATAGCTCTACATTGAACATCCTGCTGCTGCTTGCATTCATCGTACTTGTGTTGTTTAAGCTTCCAAAACTCAAAGTAAGACTTTGAAGTGTAATGCCCTATACTATTGATGTGATACTAAGTTTAATTTCTTTTCTAGCGCTGGCTTTCGTCGGATGACCAATCATCCCTTCCGGTAAGATGAATTATAACGCACACCAGCTGCGTCACGTTTTGTTCAAGTCATCTTACTTATATGATTTTATACTTGATGTTTATTTACAGTATCACATATTGCACAAGCGAACCAAGGACTAGTTATTTAATTACCATTTCATCACATGTACAACATCTTTGAATGTCTTATTATATACACATAATTATATTTTTTTGTATAATCGAATAAAATATCGCATATTTTGAACATCAAGGGGATATCTCACATTGTCTGGATGTCTATACCACCGCGCATCATCACTAATGACAGACTGTAAGTCCTTGATAGCGTCTAGAAGCATATGAACCATATACGTCTTATTGCCAACTTTGAGGTGTGAAAACGATCCTGCTGATTCAACCACCTAAAAAGGAATACGCATGATACGGTTTGTAAGAAAAGGTGGAAGAGGAGGATTTAATTTGCTATCCAACGATACACTTACCAATAAATGGGCACCTTTCTTCATATTGGTAACCAGAGACTGGACCATTTCCATGGCAGCAGCCTTTTTAACAAACAGCTCGTTCATCACAAACATGAAGGTAATCAAATCTGCGTCTGCTATTCTTTGGGCTCGTTCGTCACGCTTGGTCGGATCCAAGATATCCCCTTGCAAATATTGACACGAGAACTGCTCTTCTGTCAGTTTCCAAGATTGCCGTGACGCTGACTCGAACGTTTCCAGAACTTTAGCCCATTCGCCAATATCTTGCATGATAAGCTTTATCCGTTGTCGTTCAGCAGGTACACGCGTCATGGCGGCTGCAAAACTGACAAGCTCTGAACCACTTCCGGATCCAATGGCGTAGATACACGTCCGTCGGGCTAATAGCTTGAGCAGTTGCGACTGACAGAAAATTTCGAAATAGCAAAGAGCGCGTCCAGGAACATAGGCAGCACTATATACTTGTAGGTTACGTGCTTCTGCTGTAAAGATGCCTTCATAGTCCCGTTGTACGAAGTTGGCCTTTATGCTTTGAAGCGTTTTGCCGAAATCGTCTCGTGATAAGGTATCAGTGCAAGCCTGTCGTATAACGTTCAATATATCTAGTCTTTTACTATCAGTTTTTCCTTCTTCTACTTTTCTTTTTAAGATGTATTGCACACTGCTACTACTACTACTACAGCCGCTGCTGCAAATAGCCGAGGAAAGGGTCATGTTTCGCTCTTACTTTGTTCGGGATTCCGTCCAAGAATTTGTAACCGTTGCTTCAATGCCTCCTTGTCATATGATTTTTGACTCAATCGTCCATCTTTTGTAACGAGTTTGTCGGAATCGGATGTTATCGATAAATTGTTGATTTTGCTGGTCAAATCTTTATTGCTGGCACTCATGAAGAAGTCTCCAAAACATGTGCCAAACGAATTTTTTTTTGTTAACGCCACTTTCTTTTGTTTGGTGGCTGCGACTGCATAAATCAAAAAGCCAGCTGTACGTGAATCCACGATTTTCTTTTGTTCTTAGTTGTTACAGTATTTTACAGCTCTAGGATTTGATACATTGTATTTATATGAGACTAAAGGAAGATCTCTGCTGGTTGCGACCGCAGTGAAATAAATTGCTGGCGTGGAAAAGTTGCAATACACTTTATTCACTAATATTATTTGCCTATGGCAAATAAGTTGATATAGAGCAGGTTGTCCAACAAACGGCTCTTGTGGTTGCCTTGAACGACCAGGGAACAGCCTTGACTTCTCAGCCATCCCTGACCACCTTCTACACTTGAATTAGGAATCAGTTTGGCCAGAGACAGCGTCACTAAAGAACAGAGGTCATAAGCCTCAAGACTCAGAGCCATTTCTAACTCCAAGTTTTGGTTGCCAAAAGACTTATTCACCCAATCCTGAGGGTCGAACTAAGAGTGCTATTGTTTGAAAGATACAAATGAAAGTAAGGTGCTCTAAAGACATACAATTGTACATAAAAAGATAAAGTACTTACAACTGGGACTACCCTATTAGAAGGAGCAAAACGAACAGGGCGACGCTGTTGAGAACGACGTTGTTCTCTAAGCTTTGTGACCTCTGGTGTTGGAGCCAGGCTGGGGTGGGGACCTCTTGGGTGGGGAGCCAGATGGTGTGGAACAAATTCCACAGCTATCCCCAGCAAAGGAAGCTGGGCTCACAAGTACCTCCTCTGGAAACTGTAATCTCAGTATCAATATCTGGTCCTTTACACTCTATAATAGTTTAACTACTTACCAGGACAGTTTCTTCCAAAGGTTTGCTGTTGTCAGTGGTGGTGGCCATTCTTTGGCCATTTTGGACTACTCTCCCATTATAGAAGCCAACATGGATAGCCCGTGTCTGGCTATCCATGAAGAAACGCAGGTCGCGCTCCTCCATTACTCTACCAAGGACGTTTAGTAGGTCGCTGGCCTCTACATTAAATATAGACTTAATAAAATTCAACTTGAAAAAAGTATAAACCATAATAACGCGACACGCGCCCTAGCAAAAAGTGCGAGCTGTGTGCAACCATCAGTAATTCAGGTTACACACTGCTTAACGTACACTTCCGCCTTTAAAATCCTGTCTCATGCCCATCAACGACAAAACGTCGAGTTGTATCACGAGAATGTCTTTTTTTTCAAGTAAGGTGGACCGTACGATCCGTTCATAATACATCTATAGACAAATATTACGGTTTAGTTTCATCATTTTGATGGTTTTGAGTCAGTGTGCACCGTGGCTACTGCTAGAAATGATGCTATTTTTGATTTACAGTACATAACAGGCGCTGTAGTATGTATTGGCAATGTAATATATATTTAACCTCTGCGTCCGGTTCTTCACAGTTTCTTTTAACACACAACGCATTTGACGGCAAAGCTACCACCAGTGCGGTTCCTCATATGCGGCAACAAGGCACTGGAGTCACTCAGAGCTCTTTTAAGAACCTTCTTTCAGTTCCATGGCACCGGATAAAAAGAAAAGAGCAGATGCGTTAAGCCGAATACCACCTAACCATGAGCCAACCCAGCATTCATTAAAACGGATTATAATATACCTATCTATTATATGCACTGAGATCAGTATCCGTTAGGAATTACGAAGCAGAAATAAACGACGCGCGAAAGCGGACTCCTCCTTGGTCATTTAATGGTTGTGTTCCGTGCTAGGGTAAGCCCCAGGCTTCTTGGTCTATCGTTCCTAGCAGCCGTAACCATAGAAGTTGATGGTACACTTACCCGATGTTGCCAGTGCATCCACTCTTAATGCTATGGAAGCTATTAGTTTTCAAAAGCAAAATAATATACCATATTGTTTTGAAAGGGTGCAAAATCCATTTATACAGTAATACTCTGGAAGCAAGAGAATGTGTTCCGTCTTCAAATCAACCGCACAGAGTTATGAAGGGTTATATCTTCATTTATTGATGAATGGGGCAATGTCGGTAAAGTTTAATGGCATACGCAATTTTTGGGAGAGAGAGGGGAAGAGGGAGAAAAGTAAAAACTTATCTTGCGGTTGGTCAATGACCATCGGTAGACATAGGAAGCGAAAGAATGGAATCAATTATGCCGAACATTCAAATGGCATGGTCTTTTGCGGTTTTTAGAAACGGTAAACAGTTGGTTGAACTTTTGAGTCGACAAAGTTAGCGTATAGCGGTCCCTGGTACTTGTAGTATCATTGGAAGGAACACAAATTCGGTGAAAAGCATCAAGGACTTTCAGGACATTTGGCAGTTCAGTTACAAAGCTTGACAAGTTTTGGAGTGAGTCAGGGATTTTGATCATCGCCAGTTCAAGCATCACATACAAACGTTTGCCTAGTAGTATGAGGAGATAGAATCGGATTGTTCTGCCGATGATTTGAATACCGAGCACCCATTGCATCAACTGGTTGTCCAAGGCGTCTTTGCAAAAAACAGCTACTTTCCACAAGTCCTTGCATAAAACATAGTGCTCTTTTTCACGGGCAGCAGGTTTAGCCTCACCATATCCGAGGCTTGACATCCATTTTACACCACAGCACTTCGTGATGCACAAATCCGGTCGGTTAGTTGTAAAACCTTCGTATGACTTGGCTTCAAAAGTTGCGTCGTTGGTCCACCGTAAATAGACACCTTGATCAGGGTCATCAAACAAACCAGTAAGGAACGGATCGATGAACCGTGTACACAGCTCAGTTTCATTGGCATCTTCATCCATCGGAACGGGCATCAGCTTCAATATCAATCCACCTAATGCCTTGGCAGTTTTGTGTTCATGCTCACTCAAGGGCAATTTCTTCAGTCTGGCGTCAGCTTCTTCACGATTGATGGTTTTGTTCATGAGATCGTCGATTACACCTAGCATGTCACTAACAGTTTTCAAAGGCATCGGCTGGCGTTTGATATCGCAAAGGTCTTGAATCCAATTGTTGGTGGCCGCCCATTGCTCGATCGTGAAGAACTGTTGTAAGCCGCTGCAGTGGTTATTTGGCGTGAGAAGCAGAATGGAAGTCGCCGCCAAGGCAAGATGGACGTTTTTTTCTAGTGACAGCTTCCATTTGTCATCCATTAATGAGGACTGAAAATCGAAGAACGCTTGAGACACATCGAAGGAATCTATCAGCAAACGGTCGCTGCCGGGTGGCAGGAATACGATACCATCCATGGACAATACTTCATCACGACAGCGTTTTTGTAATGTTGATGGTGAAATCTCTTCCTGATGAAAACAGAGCGCTGCCTCGTCACTACTCTCTTCATTGACGGAAGTAGTGCTGCTTGGGGTAACTTCGCCACATCTTTCATTGGCTGAAGACGTGCTATTCGCGGTATCCTTGTTCCGTTGTTGTTGTAGTTGTGGAGGTCGATAATCGTTGTGTATAATCCCAAAATGGGTTGCAAGGTCCTTCAAACTATCAAAATGATCAATGCAGCATGGGCAGGCAAACCGTTCATTCACAAGATCATCGCCAGCAGCAGGACGATACTTCAGGAACAAGAACTTCTTGCTGTTGTATCGGCGTGTGGATTCCAAACGGACAGGGAAAACAAAACCGTGGATGTCTTGAAGGTGATCGCGTAGGTGCCTTGGCGTGCTGAAGACTTGGTACAATCATTGTCGATGAAGCAGCGATTTTTAAGAAAAACAACTTGTCGAACACCAGACATTTCGAAGTTGGATAAAAAAAAAAGGGAGAGAGCGATCTTCGCTTTTTTTTTTTGTTTGGCAAGAGTTGGCAATCCCGTGACACACGCTGCAGATAGATAGGCATGCCTATGCCTTCTCTCACACCTTCGGCCATGCCTTCTCTCATGCCTTCGGCTATGCCTTCTCTCATACTTTCGTCTATGCCTTCGGCCATGCCTTCTCTCATACCTTCGGCTATGCCTTCTCTCATACTTTCGTCTATGCCTTCGGCTATGCCTTCTCTCACACCTTCGGCTATGCCTTCTCTCACACCTTCGGCTATGCCTTCTCTCATACCTTCGGCTATGCCTTCGGCTATGCCTTCTCTCATACCTTCGGCTATGCCTTCGGCGATGCCTTCTCTCATACCTTCGGCTATGCCTTCTCTCACACCTTCGGCTATGCCTTCTCTCACACCTTCGGCTATGCCTTCTCTCATACCTTCGGCTATGCCTTCGGCTATGCCTTCTCTCATACCTTCGGCTATGCCTTCGGCTATGCCTTCTCTCATACCTTCGGCTATGCCTTCGGCTATGCCTTCTCTCACACTTTCGGCTATGCCTTCTCTCACACCTTCGGCTATGCCTTCTCTCATACCTTCGGCTATGCCTGCTCTCATACCTTCGGCTATGCCTTCTCTCATACTTTCGTCTATGCCTTCTCTCATACTTTCGGCTATGCCTTCTCTCACACCTTCGGCTATGCCTTGGCTCATTGGACTTCTTCCTTTTTTTTTCACTTTTAACCTACTGTGCAAGATTGGCCAATGCCAAATTATTTGCTATATCCACAAATCCCATTATATTTCATCTTTTCCCTCTTCCCTTTCTCTCTCTGTCTCTCTTTTCTTTTCTTTCTTTCTTTCTTTTTTTTTTTTTGAAGTTTTGTCATATTTTTATAACCTCTTCTTGTTGAGACACTTACCAAAACACTTCGCAGAATGAGAAACAAAGCCGTTGAAGTCACTTACATATAAGCTATCGCATGCCTCTCTAATTCTAGTCATAAGCGATTCCTTTTCTAGAAATCTGTTGCGCTTAACTTTACTCTTGATTATTGACCAGAATTGTTCAATTGGGTTCAACTCAGGAGAATATGGAGGAAGATATACACATCGATATCCTCGGGATTGAATATACTTTCCTGTGTCAGCTGAGCTATGAATAGGAGCATTATCCATGACAAGATAATGCCCTTTCATTTCTGGATATTTGTCCATTTCATCAAGAGTGGCTTTTAAAAAGCTAAGATAATGTCCTGTCACTGTTCCTATGCTGTAAGTATTAGTCTCACACCCAAGCTCTCTCTTTTTGATACGTTTTAGGACTCGCAAACTAACGTTAATTAGACCAGTGGCGGATATCGCTCCTAGAATAGATGTTGCCTTGGCCTTAGTCACAGGTACTGTAACTATTGCAGAAGTTCCTTTCTTTGACCAAGCCATACCTCGCTTCAAATTAATATGAAAGGCTGATTCATCAAGAAAGACACAATTGGTTGTAAAGTCCAAGTCAGTTTGTTGCCATTTTTGAACCCAATCGTACCTTAGTTGAATTTTTTCCTCGCTGTTTCTTTCCACAGGTTGGAATTGTGCTTGTTTAATGGATAAATTACACTGCGTTGTCATGAAATTATAGACAGTACTACGAGAAACGTTAATATTTACAAAGTTTTGCAATAAACTTTCTACCAGTTCAGTTAAAACAGCAGAAGGATTATCACCAATGTAATTTAAAATAAATTGCTTATGCTCTTCCCCAAGAATACGACGTCGGCCTGCTTTTTTCTTTTTCTCGAAAATGCTCTCAGGATCTTTATAATAACGCTTGACCCATCTTTGGGCCGCACGAACATGAATACCTAATCGTTTTGCAGCAGCTGAAGCAGTGAGGCATTTACTAAAAAACAAATGAAAAAATCTAGTTTTTTCGTCATCTGAGTAAAATGTATATCGTCTCTTATTGCATAATTCCATATAAGCATCTACATCGTTCCTTTTATCCCTACCTCAACGCAATGTGGGCTTAAACGGTCTCTCTGGGGGTTTATTCTGTAGAAACTGGGTACGAGAACTTATTGTTTCGATAGCAAAAAGCTCCTCGTCAACAGAAAGATCCATTGGCTCAACTCCATGTTCATCAACAACATGTCCTTGTCCATCCTCGTAAAAAAATTGCATCTCCATTTGAATGTTGGCAAAAATAAAAGTAAACTGAATTGAACACAAAGATTTTTTTGACCGACTTCAAATTCAAAACCAGCGACTTTTATTTCCTGAAATGACTGTAAAAGGTAAACAGAAGAGTGAGCATCGGACGTCGGATCAGCCCGCTGTTCTTGTGCGATGTCTTGGCTGTTGGCTGAGAAAAAAGCGGAAGATTGGCAATCAGACATGGGCTGCTGTTGTCACTTTTTGCTAAACTGGCATTACATGTTATCAACCATGAAACGACATCATCGTTAGGCGCTATGACATCGTTACTGACAGACATTAAAGTACTATGAAGCGATATCCAGGCTTCAATTGCAGCAGCAGCAGTAGTAGCACAGTAGCAAGAACCAGTGCCTGATTTGACGTGTGTGTGTGTTCGGAAATAAGCCGCGTAGCATGTACCTAAAAATAACCCCTCCCTTTCTTCTTCATCTTCCTTTTTGGTGTGTGCGTTAGGATAGGAGCAAAGCCTTTTCTGTTGTCTTTCTTCTTTCTGTCTTCCTTTTTTAATTTTCTATGCTGGAGAACATACTTTCGAAAACAAACGACAACCATTCCTCACAAGCAAATTTGTTAAACAGCCAACACCAACAATCAGGGTCAGAGGGAATCAACACTTCCGCCATGAGAGAGGAGCAAGAACAACAACAACAACAACGATCGGTCCAGTTCAGCGATGCTCCAGCACCAACACCGCCTGCTCACGATGCTTCCTCACCTGCGTCGCAATCGCGTGATAACCTCGTTCCACAGGAAACGAGTCGAAATATGTCGCCTATGCCGTCACCACAGCAACAGCAGCAACAACAACCCTACTACAATGGCTACCAATCCTATTCAGCACAACAGCCCTACTACAACTACAATAACTACTATCCAACGCCTCCGCCACATCAAGCAGTTCCTGTTATGATGGGCAATGGCAAGCCCGAGCATTTCTGGTATCGGCGATCATGGCCAGCAGTATGGACCTATCTGACAGGTGCGGCAATGCTCGGTATGCTTGTCTACGAACTGGTCAAGAACCATCAAGTCACTGGCAACGTGATAGAAAGTGCGCATAAATTCTGATTTTTCAATAATTACTGAACAATTCCATGAGCAGCAAGGAGAAGGATGATATTAACTTTTGCGTTCTCTTTTTTTCTTTCCAGTGAGCCCCTTCAATATTATGATTGGCCCGTCCTCAGATACCCTCATTTTAGTCGGTGCACGCTTTGTACCGTGCATGCATGAAACAACACACTTCCCAACCAGTGGGACCTACCAATGCCCTAACATGACCGACTATGGCCAGACTGGCGCTACTGCACCCACGCTTACTCCTGTACAGACGAACACCACCCTCGTGGGCCCGCCATGCACCTTGCAAGATGTATGTGGCATATCTACTTTTGAGGACCCTGATGTACCGGATCAGTGGTACCGCTTCCTTACAGCCATCTTTTTGCACTCGGGCGTCATCCACTGGCTGTTCAACATGTTTGTCCACATGTCACTTGGCGCAAGCATGGAACGGTTCATGAACCCTATACGATATGCCATTGTGTGGCTCGCTTCTGGGGCTTTTGGATTCATTTTCGGTGGTGTCTTTGCGCCTGTCGGTAACGCTTCCGTGGGTTGCTCCGGTGCCCTCTTTGGCGTTGTCGCGCTTCTCTTTATCGATCTCTTTACCCAATGGCGTACCACGCTTAACCCCTGGTGGGAATTCACTAAACTGATTTTCCTCATGCGTAAGTTACATACCTTTGGAAAGACACTTAGCTTTGAGTGCTAATATATTGCCTTACCTATTATTTACCTTTTTGTATGCTCTTAGTGTTCAGTTTTGTATTTGGTCTTTTACCGGGCCTCGACAATGTAAGTACATGATCGCTAAAGAGCCTTACCTAGATGCTTGGTCGCAAAATGTGCAATCCACTCACTCTTGTTGTACAGTTCGCACACATTGGTGGTTTCGTGGCGGGTTTGTTCTCGGGCGTCATCTTCTTTCCAATCCCAACGGCAACCAGAACCTCCAAGGTATGCTTGTGGGTTGTTCGCCTCATTCTTTTGGGCGGTCTTGTCGGGATGTTTTATGGCATGATCGATGTTTTCTATAGTGGTCAGGATCCTCAAGAAGTAAGTTTCAAAAACCAGGGCCTGTCTTCGTTATTACACATTTACTGATATGCCGCTCTAACCTGACTTGTTGCACTTGCGATAGATTTGCCCGTGGTGTAAATACTTGGCATGTTTGCCAATTGCAGATATGTGTGAAGCATATTACGCTTAAATTATTCTATTCTTCTTGTACATTATCTTCTACTTTTCCCCCTTCACATCATTGTAAAATCACAGTCATTATTCTTTCACCCCCTCCATCCCATACACGAGACGTTGAAGCGCACAATGAAAATCTACAATACTCTATACCTTGTCAGAGTGACTCTTTTGCCCAGAACATCATATTTGTTAAGAGGTGCAGCATGTGTTGCGCATCCATAAACTGCTGTATGTACAGTCGTACGATGTCTCAGAGTGATCTTAATGGCAATATTGTATATAGGTCCCTGCTATAAGTGGTACCTCTCTTCTTGCAGTACTGTATCGACAAGTGTTGCTATACAGTGGTAAATATGTTAGAAAGCCCCTTGTGGATATCTGGGTACTTATCATACAATGGATCGGCCTGTCAATTTCTCTAATGTACTAGTCCGCCGCCACTGAGGGTCACTAAGAGGGTGTTAGCGCATTGCTTTTCTTTCGTACAGCCCCTTCAAACAGGTCTGATTGTAAATACAAGGTAAGGTTACTGTACGAGGAGTAATATAAACGCGAATATATCATATATATACATATATATATATGGTGTGTGTGTCTGTGTAATGGTTTGGATTGCTCTAGAGTTCTGTTTTGGAAAAGACAAACTCAATCAAACTTGTTTTTTTTTCATGTAGAATCTTAAAAAAACCCTATTGTACCATATATTCATTACATTAAAACATTCCTCTTCCCTACCGCACACACACAAAAACAAAAAGCTATGGTTCAAGACATGCCCACACCCGTAATCACCGCCAGGGAACACTACAAAGCTACACAACAAGCCTTCATGAACGGTGCTAATGGAACAGCAGGATCGCCGACAACAACAGCAACAACGGTAGCAGCAGGAGGAGGTGTACATGGCTTGATCAACACAAATAATGAATCGTCTCCTGCCTTGCACCAGTTGCCTATACCCATACCTGTACCTATGCCAATGTTAGCACCCATGGCGCACCATCCTGCGCGCCACCATCCACATCAACCACCTCAACAAGCGTTCTTTCCTTCTATGGTGCCCCCGGCAATGACAACGTCAACTGTCGTAACAGCAGGAGGAGGAGCGCCACCACAGCAAAAGCAACAGCAACTACCACAACAACAACGACAACAGCAGCAGCAGCAAACGACAAACAGCACCGCCCCATCCTTGTATAATAGCACACCATCTCTTACGCCAGACCAAAACAACTACTGTGATTACTTGTATCATGTTGGATTCTGTCAAGGTAAGCTTCTTTCTCTCTCTCTCTCTTTCCATTAGAGTGTGCATGTTACATTGGATGTATTCTTTATGCACCCCATTTGACATTTTGTTATTTAAAACTGAAAAAGGACTTTTTTCGGATATCACCGTCAATGTTCCTGCGGTCCAAAAGTCTTACGCCTTACACTCCCTTATCCTTACCCGGTCTCCGGTGCTGTACCGACATTTACTCGGTCTGAGCGTACATCAGCCTCCGTTAGTGATGGACTTGGACATTGTTGCCTCGCCCGAAACAATTCATACAGTCATTGGACATCTCTACCGACCCTTGACACAGCAGGACTTGTTCTTTATCGTCAACGAAAAGCCCCAGTTGTGCTTTGACTTGCTGGATGCGACACAGGAACTAGAATTACAATCACTGCAACGTGAGCTAGTGTATGTCATGGGCCAGAGCTTCAATCAGAACACGATATTATACTGGATTTCAGCACTATTATCCTCCTCGTCACAGCAACAACTTCCTCCTCCTCCTCCTCCTCCTCATCACCACCATCACCAACACCGTTCTCAACCTCGACGCCTATGGGCCGACCTACTCGATCATCATATCGTTCAGTATTTGGTATCGGGTTTACCACGGCAACTAAACAAACAACCACCGCCTACTTCTTCCTGCGATAACAACAGCAAAGAACATGACGGCGGCGACAACAACGAATCTGCCAAAGTCAACTTTGGAACATGCGTCCATGTAGCAGATCCGACAGGAGGATGGCACAACACCGTTGAAGAGTGGGCAAGACTGTATGCAGAATTGCCCTTGGAATATTTGAAAAGATGCCTGGAACACAGTGATCTCATGGTGAAAGATACGGTTGAGCGGTACAAGTTTGCGAAACAGGTGCTTGAATTCCGTGAGCAGTTAGGAAAATGTGGTCTCACGGTCCTTTTACAGTTCTGCGACAGCAACAACGACTGTGGAATTCTGGTTGTTAAGAAGCAAGCATCAAAGTTTGGAAAGTGGGATCCCTCACGCGATTCTAGTATCTAATAGTTCTTAAACTATGTTGTATACCTCTTCAACCTTACACGCAAAACATAAACCCCATTTTCACCCACCACCCATGCACACACAACAGCTCAACACTCTTTCCAGAAAACAGCGCATTCGCCAATGACATCTTTACTCCTTCACACACACTATCTCTCCCCTGACAGAAGCAAGAACAGCAAAGCACACACACATCCCTGGCTTGCTCTCTTTCGCTCCAAACAATATATACACACTTTGCATATCCTGGTTTTTCTAGTAAGAAAAAATAAAGTACGAGGGAATTGGTTGTTTTAGTGGGACAAACGAAGGAAGAAAAAGTGGTAACATTATCGTACATAAGGAAATAGAACAACTAAGGGTAAGCCAAGATGCTTGTTTTGAAATCATCAATGTATGCTCTCAATCGACCGTATTCCGGATATTGCAAATCATCTATTGCATAAGTATCGAGTCAGAACATCTTTTCTCTTTCTTGCTTATTCCCCCCTTTAACCGTTTTTTTTTTCGCTAGCCCGTACCTTCACTGTATGCTTTGCCTTGAACCCCATATGCCTTTTGTAAATACAACCACAGCTTTTCACTGACGATGTCCGCATGCGTTTCTGGAGAAGGACGATACTTGTCATTGGGCAATCTTATGCTGGGATCCAGTGAGCCATTGCTTCGAGCAAGCTTGTGATTCGAGATTTTGCCTGGTAAGGGTGAGCCTTCGCCTATTGTGAGCAAAGATGTTAGACTGGATGATACATTGAATTGATCCTGTAACCACTACTACTACTACTACTGCTACCGGTAGTGCCCTTGTTTATCACTCACACCACATTACAACGAAGGTTGCTCGCCTCTGAGTCTCAGTTACTTACGTGTTCGGAATAACATCCAAGTTCTTCCCCATTGCTTCTCCACCAGATAGTGTTTCAATTTCATGTCCTCTCTTCGGAGCTCTTGGACGTAAAGTAGGTGTTCGGCTTTGCGTCGACGGTCTAGTGATCCTTCCTTTTCATCCTTGAGGTTGTTCATTACCGTCTTGACCTTGTGTTGTTCGTTCAAGTTTGCTTCTTCATCTCCAAGCTATACACATTATTTTTATGTCCACGTTAGCTCTAAATAATCTCAAGCTAGTTGCTATACTCCTGTTGTGACTTTCTCTCTCTCTCTCTTTACCTTGCGTGAGCATGTATCATCCATACACCACAAATTTCCTGTTGCAACTTCTAATTGAACGGGGAATGGTTCTTCGGTAGTCTTGACTTTTACACACGAGCGACACGCTAATGTAAGGAAAAACAATATGAGAATTCAGTCAAATAAAAAAAAGCACCTTTGCTTCCAAAGCAAAACATTTCATTTCTGTTTGTTTGCTGTTCTGTATAAGCTTGTAAATTGGTATCTATTCGTTCTTTTTCCTCGTACCTTGACTTTCCGAAAAAGGGCTCATTGAAAGAAAAACAGCGTCTTCGGAATGACAAAAGTCGCAACGAACGGTGGTTTGTAATGCTGCTCGATAAATGACGCGTTTCGTTTCATTGGGCTCGTCTGGCACTCGAGAGAGATGGCGGCAGCAGATTGGAGCGTTACGCGTACACAGATCCTTGTAGAAACTCTGCCAGGTTTGATCGCCATCCGTGCGCTTATAGTTGATTCCGTAATCTCGTTCAACGAGTCGAGCAAATACACTGTCATTCTTTAAGAGAAAATCGTAGAAATGTTTGCATGTCAAAGCAAGCGCGACCACGTCTCGTGCTTCCAGACAGAGTACAAGCTGGAGTGTCAGTTCTGGTGATAGTCGCTGAATAGGTGGTTGTTTATGACTATTAAGCATGGTAGATTTGGAATGATTATAGCGTAGATATATATGTCGTGTTTCTTTGCTGTATTAATATAAAGTGTAAATGTAGGGGCGTTTTGGTAGTGGTTGTTCTTGTCGTCGTTGTCAAAAAAGTCAGTACAAGAAAAGGAAAGAAAGAAAAGCAAAAGGAAAAGGGAAAAAAACAAGTTGGAAAGAAGAGGGAGCTCTGCAACCTCCGACGCAGAGCGGGCAGCATTTTCTCTCCAGACGTCACAGCACAACAGAGCCATGCTTGTCAAATCTAAATCATTATACAATTACAGTGGACACACTATATCAACAATAATGTAGTTACGCTGCCCGCATAGAGTAATTATGAACTAGAGTTTACATTAGACACAACCTCGGTATCCTTGCTACATATTTGTAAAAGTTGGCATAGCAGCTTACATTTACTATGTTACACGAGCCTTGGATTGTGTATGCCATTCAGACCTAGAACGATTGATTACTTACCACTAAGCTAGTTGTAAGCCGCCCATTTGTATACAATGGGGATGCTAGTTCAAAAAATAGGCAAAACTCCGTTGTATCTTTTGAATCACTACACTCGTGCGCACTTTGCTACCGCCCCGGGCATATAAATGCAATATGGTTTACTGCTGCATGGGGTTTGTATTCATAGGTATCGAAAGTGAGAATTAAATATATACATTTATTACCATGTTATGACTGGAAGTTTTATGATTGATTGTCTGATGTCGATGTCGATGTGGTTGTTGCTGTTGCTGTTGTGGATACTGCGAAACTCTGAAGCTCACTCAAAAAGTCGCTCAGTCCGGTATCAGCCTGTTGTATGCAAATGTATATATATTATTACCAAATTAACACGTTCTTTGGCAGTACCTCTCTCTCCCTCCTTCGTGTGTGTGCATTTAATTTTCATTTTATTACCTCATTGGTACCGTGTAGCTTCTCATACGCTTTGTGTAGACGACTTGATTGACCATGTAACTTATGGCGCTCTGTTTGTGCGGCAAGCATTCGCTTGAGTGCTTGGTCCTGCAAAGCCTTGACACGTTGGGTCTTGTATCTCAGCTCGTCCACCTTTCGGCATAGCGTAGCCTATCATTCAAAGGAACATTTCGTTATCCATTTGAGTAATTATCATAACTTTGATCACGCACGCACTCTGCCTTTAGCATCAATAACTCTTACCTGATGACTAAACGCGTCTTTGATTCTTCCCACCGTAATATCACTAGCTCTTTGATGATACTCGTTACGGCCTCTTAATATACATAGAGAGTAATAAGCCAAAAATGTGGTGCGTGTGTCAGAAGAAGGGACAGTTCTATTGCAGCCAAAAACGGTAGAGAAAGCATGCAGAACGAATTTACCTGAATTCCTCACCGCATTGGAAGGCTAGTACCTCCATATCACGCAACGCTTGGACAAATCCTCGGTTTCGATAAGCTTTTGCGGTGATTCTGAGGGCATCATAAACCTCTTGCCGCAATGCTTCCATGGCAGCCTCATCCAAATGACTACGGGTCGATACCAGATTCGATACAGCAATCCCGTCCCAACTGACTTTGCCACGCCTGGGTTTGCGAGTCATTGGCAGCATACTGCCCTGTTGTTCATGGTTGTCTTGCTCTTGTTGATGTTGTTGCTCCTCTAGGTCTCGCCGTTCTTGTGGACTACTGGCCCGACGATCGATGGGTGCACTTACATTTGTTGAGTTATCATCCCCGTAGTCGTAGACAATATCGAAATCCATATCGTCATCATTATCGTTGTTATTATTCGTATCTATGGGGTCTTGAATCCTGTCGTTATTTTCATCGCGGTCGTCGTCGTTGTGTGCTGGATCTGCTATCGGCGACTTTTGGAGCGGGCTATCATCATAGTGTTTCGACATGTCTGTGCCTGAAGAGGTTGAGAGTTTGGGATCCATAAGGGTTTTATGCATCGGCGTTTGATGAGGTTGCTCGTCCACGCGATCCGACAGGTTTGCGACAGCAGGAGCCGATGGCTTTTGCGAAATATCATCATCGTGCTTGTTGTTGCCATTATCGGTCTGAGTTACCATTTCGTTTGCGTCACGTTCTGACATCTTGTCTGCGTATGCTTCAATTCCTTCGTCGTCCAGAGGCTCGGCAGTTGCTGCACCACCGCTGGTGTCATGTTCCAAAGGTTCAGTAAGCGAAAATTTTGGAGATCTTTTGTTGTCGATGTCATCCCTATCTTTTGCTGATCCTGTCCGTATTTCCGCTACTTGTTGTTGCTGCCGTTTTTGTGAGATGTCATGATGACGGATATCATCCTCTTGTCCCAGTTCAGCTTCTCCGGTTTTGATTTCACTTTTTGTAAATTGTTCACCAAGAAAGCGCTCCATGACGGTTTTCTTTGCTAAAGTCATCAAGTCACTCGTGTCTTCATCGACAACGCTGTTTTTGTCATCTGCAATTGAACTCTTCGTAATACTGTGGATTGAGCGCTCAGACAAAGCTGTTGTAGATTTTGTTGCAGAATGTGCCGACTTTGCCAAAGTTTCCTTTTTGTTGTTGTCTAAGATTTCGTCGTGCGCAATAGCGTTTTCGTCATTTAAACGCATAGATAGTGTTGGGTGTGCCGAATGTTTAGATTGTGCCCCTGACGATCGCATAGAAACCACAGATCTCGGCGCTGCTGAATTGACTGATTGAGTGGATACTGAGCTTTGACGAGTGTTCTTCATTGTCTTATCACCCATTGGTTGTCGCTTAGGTTTTTCTTGTTGCTGTTGCTGCTTGGGTGATGGCTTTTCGTGACTTTCGATATAAGGCCTGATCACGAATTCTTCCGTAGCATGAAGCGTTGTCCTAAAGAAATAAATCATTGTTGTATTATTATAGAGAGAGAAAAACAAAGATAAAGAAGGGAGATTGATAGCGCAGCAAAAACTTTCCTTACCTTTGTCCTCTATGAATACGGGTGAGTTTTTTAGCGTGTTCTTCTGATAAGCCAAACTTATTTTCTTTATCTAATTCTTCCCGCTTTCGTTTTTGCTCTGTAAATCTCAAAGGTGTATTCGGTATGGCTCGGTGGTCAATCTTGTAACGTGCGTCAATTTGTTCCTGACGACGATCTATTGAAGAACGTTGGTTGCATATACATGAGTATGAGCTATTCCTGTTTAATACACTAAAAAGAAAGAATAATAAATTTACAAAAGTCATCCCGTGAGAGAAAAACTAATGGTTCAATTGCATGGACGGGTCTAAATTGTAAATTATGGAAAGGTATTTTACGGTTATTTCTTATTTCAAAATTTTCTCTAAGCTGTCCAATGCCAAATACCTCTCCCCACGCCTGCGTGAAAGGAAGCGGTCAAGTCGTCCTTTAGATAAATTGGAGTTGGACAAATTCATGGTAAAGTATTTTGGATTTGCAGGAGTTGAGGAGCAGAATAAAAATAATTGTGGAGAAGGCGTTTTATTATGGAATGCCTAAAAAGGAAAGTTTGAACCCGACAGAGAACGGCAGCTATGAAATGATTTTTTCTTTTTCTTCCTCCAATACAGTAATTGTTGTACCCGAAGGTAAGATGTTGAGAAGTATTGATTTGAACGACGGACTATAGTAGAGCACTGCCTCCAGTAGTCAGTGATGGTCAAGCCCTCGGTTTGGCTGGAGATGAACGGGCACTGTTACTGGTATCTGGTATCTGCCACTTACTGGGCACGTATTCGAGTTTCTCCGCCTTATTAGTCGTCCGTTTGGCAAGGACAATTTTGTGTTAATGTCTTCTTTTTTTCGTATATCCCACGTTGTGATGTGGCACGAGCATTCAATCTAGAAGCCGGACTCTGTCATCAGTGATTGGCACCAACAGCTCAGCACCATCACCAATGCGAAGTAAATATTGCGCAAACTTGCGAAGCACGTTTGCATCATTGGTGTTGGCAGCTTGTTGGACGTGCATGTTGGTTTCAAGGCGGTGAACGGTGACAGTGGGTCAAATTGATGAGCGGTTTAGGCACTGCTGTACGATTTGCGAGCGCGATGCATTTCGTATCACAGGAAGGACCTACTATTAAATACTTTACTGTGAGTACACCGCTCAATAGTTAAAGAATGCAAAGTAGAAGAGAGGATACAATGTTGGATACCTGGCGAAAGTCACCACCAAAGACCATGATTTTTCCACCAAATGGAACATTGATAAGCGCGGGATCGTCAAGTCTCATGAGATCTTGGATACTCCTGTATACATAGTGTAGTGAATACGTTGATACTTGTATTGTTACTTGTATTCAGCATGTTTAAAGCGATGACACTTCTCAGATGTCGAAGGATTTGAAGTGAGAATCATATTGTTTTAATGACGGTTATACCTTGAGTCTTTCTTCGATGGGATATCCGTCTACTCACATAGTCATACATTCATGTAGAATAAATCTTCTGATCTGGAGGAGCCACACACCTCGGGGCGTCATGAACGTGAGAGAGTAATCTGATTGAATATATTGAACTGGCTCAAATGCCGCGTAGCATGTGTGTTCATTACTATTATATAACCGCGCGGTCGCAGCAATCATGCCGCTCTTCTTCCTCCTCGTCAACGTTTCTAAACCAAAGCTATTCAATGTAAGTATCATTGGAACGGATTAGAGGATCGGAGAGTGTATGTTTACGGTGGTGAGTGAGAAGAGCGTATGCAACCGGTTGTGAGTATACAGTGATTTCTCAAGATCCGTTTATCTCACTTTCTTTCTTTTTTGACACAGACCTTCTTCTCGTCTTAACCTGGCCCTTCTCCCCTTCACGTTGGCTCTTAAAGCACAAATGCAAGTGTAAGTACAATATGGAAAGTATGAAGTGTACTTTGAAATTTTGCATGTGGATGTGATATACGAAAGAAGATCTGAATTTTGACGTTTCTTAAGAAGTGTATGTAGAGCATACAGCCGCTAATGTTATCCTCCTTTCTTCTCTGCTACTACTGTAGGATTCTGAATTTTTGAAACGGTTGGTTCGGTTGGTGTTTGCACCCCACCCTTAAGCACAAGCAACGGCTGTAAGTACGGTAGAAAAAGGAATGTGAGCATGAGCTGGAGAGAAGTCGAGTGTCTCTTGGGGGTGCTCAAGCCATGACGTGTCAAAAGTAGCTGCATATTTAGAACAGTCTGCTTAGAGAATCCCCAGCGGTTGTGCCAAATCCCAATTCCAAATTTGCTATTTTTCTAATGCTGTATGGTCTTTCTTCTTTTCTTTCTACTTTAGGTGGCGCCTTATGCTGGTTGGGTTAATCGTGTCCGGCGGACAAGTAACAGATAGTAAGTATAAGCAAAAGGGGACTTGAACATTGTTAGGTGTCAAAGGTGCAGTGTGCGCAGCAGCGTGACGGGAAAGGATTCCTGACCATGCCGTGTGCAGTATGGCAGTCTCTCAAGATTTTTCTTTCTCTCTTACCCTTTCTTCTTGTTTTTCCTCTCTCTACCTCAAGGCTCTCTTCCTCCAACTCAAGGATGCCATAACAGCAAGTATAGTTGGAAAGAAGCTTGTGCCTGTGTTTGCCCTTGCGTGTTCGTATAACCAGGAAGATGTCTGCCATGACATGTCAAAAAGTGTAACATGTCGTGTACGCAGCTGCTCACAAATGCTTTTTTTTTTCTATTAGAGGCAGGCTCTGAGGTGATCTGTTTGGAATTTATTTGGCTTGAAGCCATCTTTCTCTGTCTACATCTTTTCTTTAAAACGACAAAACAAATGTAAGCATAGCTGCATCCGGCTTGGGATGGAGGATGATGGCCATGCCGTGTCAAATATAAAGATAGCACAGTGGGGCAACCCAATATGATCTTTCTTTTCTCAGCTAGAAGAAGTGTTTTTATCTTGGCTGCGATTCTCTGCTCTGCTCTGGCCGTGTGATCGGCTCTCCTGTGTCTCATCGTAGAAGTATAAGTAAGTATGATATAGCACGATAGGATTCTCTCTCTGTGTGTGTGTTTTAATAGTTTCCCATTATCTGTTCGACTCTTTTGTTTCTCGGAATGGCGATAGTGCACAGACACCTCCATGCTGGTCAAGATTGATGCTCTACTGCCATCCCGCTTCTAGAAGCCGACCTGTCAAGTAGTCCATCGGCTGTGGTCAAGATCTGTCCATCCATCTCGACGTCGGTGGCGTGTGCCTTTTGCTTTGATTTAGACCTGAGGAAGTCGTTAAAAGCCTCATCTTCTTCTTTGCTATGTACATATATTATATCTCTATTGCTCCTTTGTATATTATCCCCCTTCCCCACCTCCCCTTGCTCTAACTCAGGAAGTCGTTAAAAGCGTCTATTGCGTTCTTAATATAGTTTATCCCCCTCCCCTCCCCTCCCTTCCCCCTTGTACAATCCGTATCGCCTAGTAGCCGCTGTTCCGTATCCATCTTCGGATGTTGCATCTTTTCATGCGAACGGCATACTCTCCACACCAGGCAGCCTTCGGGAGTAAGTCCTGTCATTAACATTTACCCCAGCCACGGGTCAAAAGTGCGCTGGTGGTCCCCTGTGAGTTCGGAGAATGCTTTGCGTAAGTACTCGCTTTCTCTCTCACTCTCCATGTGTGGCTGGAATTACATGGAAAGAACTGAGGAAGCTAACTTGTAACTCTTGATTTTTTTTAATAAATAGAAGATACGAGCATCAATACATCTACGCTGTATGTACGCAGACAGAAAAGCTATCGAAATTAGAGTAAATTTTATGTTGGCTTTTATAAAATGCGCTGACAACGAAAAGCTTGAAGGTAAGAAGCATACGGAAGAAGATGCAATCGGTAGTCCTGGCCAATATCACGTTATAAAAGAATAGGATACAGCTCCTTGCAACTTGTCTCTTTGACCAAGGCAAGAATGTTTCTAAGAGGCGGCGAGATAAATATCGCTGATGGAATCAGCATGATTATTGAATCCTTTTAGAGATTCTACATGATAATCAAACTACTTCATCCGAAAGATACGGATTGCCATTTGTATCCTTCGGTAATTTGAGATTTTGGACGCTAAATATTGTGTATATAAACAGTGTTACAATTTTTTGTCTTTTAGCGAGGGAAATGTGCCAAAAAGCGAGACAAGCAGAATATAAGCATCAATTATGCTCAATAAATGTACATACAATTTGGTACTGTCTCATGTTTTAATACTGCATTTGAGAAGGCATTGCCGAGAAACCTCTTATTAATCCTTACATATATGATATCCTCTCTGTTTCCTTATCACATCATTGTGTTTAATTTTCTATCCTTCAGGTTCTTTGTATGTCTTATATCCAGAAAGAAGCTTGCTACAGTAAGTCAACTATATATAACTTTGTACGAGATATAAAAAAGTACGTTTTGTTGCGGTTAATTATAGTAATCAGGCGACAAATACTACATCAATCAAATGACGATACGATAATGCACCTGCGGAGCTACTGTATACATTTAGTATAAATAACAAATAAAGAAATCACTTACGAGTGCTTTGTGAACGTAATAAGCCTATCACATCAAAGCGTACCATGTGCCAATAATTACGTACCAAGAGTCTGTGCAATTAATTTCGTCAATTAGAGAAAAAAATGGACACTGAAAGTATGAGCACATATCGCATGTTCTGTACACATCACTCTGTCAACACTAAACACAAAATAATACATAGATCCTTCTTTCTCTTAAACTCAGTATCAAGAAATCATATGTATCATATTCGTTTTTATCTGGTAGTCGCCATATAATCGAAGTTGCTTTGTTACATAAACCGACTTTATTGTTATGCAACAGTGAAGGGAGCATTGCGCCCCATCCAGATCTATATGTTTCGTGTAACGCCGATCCTGTCAAAACCCGAAACTGGGTTCATTGGTCGTGTTTGTCCACAATGTAAATATTTGCCAATGGTACTGTACATACATTATGCGCTATACCTTTTAACGTTTTAAGTATTTGCAGCTTAGATTTTTATGGTATGGCTCTCTAAATATGTTATTGTCAGGTTAAATGACATGCTCTAATGTTTATGAAAGTGTCTTGCTTGGTTTCAGTCGATATTGATCATGTGGTCACTGTCGTTCACTACTCGGGTTACGCAAGCTTCATTAAGATGGGAAGCATACTTTCAGAGTTGGGACAGCTATTTCAATTCCTCGGATTGTTGATTGAAAAGTAAACTGTGAAGAGGATGATGGGGCGACGTTAGTTAAAGAATTATTTAGTGACATCGGCGTGTTCTCATCAATGTCTTCTCCGTGCCGTCGGCCTGGTCGACCACAGATAATGTATATTACCAAATTGATTTACTACATTGCTGAAAAACAAAGTTGACATATTATGACGAACTGTAGCACTTGTCAAGAGCACGCATTGAAACGCAAACACGTTTACGGCTCCTGGGGTGTCCACGTGCGAAATGCAGTCCGTTGAGATTTTGGAGCATCGTGACACAAAGCTGTTCTTAATGCTGAACGTGCGCTATTGAGCTCCAGTCAGTGGACATTTGGCCATGACACAACAAGGCGATCTTGTATACTTGCTAATGGCAACGATTGAGATAATATACACAGTACAACATGAGTTTGTGTCAATTTTGCATTGTTATATATAAGTGAGAAAAAAGAGTTTCCGCTTTCTTTTTGTTCCTGTACTTTAACAACCTCAAAGCAATCCCCAGCCTCCTCTTCTTCAAGATATACCAGATGAAGTTCCCAATTATTACTGCTGTGATGATGGTGGTTGCCGGTGGTACCGCCATGGCTGCTCCTACCAACTCCAAAACTACCGATGAGATCCGCTTGGTTAGCTGGAATATCCGCATGGACGCCCTATCTGATTCTATTACCGTTGATGAAACTATTGCTGGTTTGCCAACTGAACTTCCTTCGGACCCGGAGTCGTATTTTCCCAACACTGCTGAACGTCCCTGGAGCGAGCGCCGCATCGCCGTAGCAAATACTTTGCTCTTTGACCGCGCCGATCTTATGGGTAAATTTATATGGCTAGTTTTTTTTGTTCTTTTTTTTTCTGCATAGCTTATATGGATTAGGCTGCTTTCTCGATGCATTGTGTAACACTCCTCTTCGTGCAAATGTTGAATGATACACAGGTCTCCAAGAAGTAACGAAGCGTCAATTGGATGATTTGGAGATTCTACTTGGCAACGATTATGCCAATATTGGTGTTGGTCGCGAAGATGGAAAGGAAGACGGCGAGTATAGCCCGATTTTCTATAGAAAGTAGGTTGTAAAATATTATGGTACCTTCTCGCCTCAATCGCCATAGTGCCTTTGTTGTACATACACATGAGAATTATTTTGTACTCATTAAGTGTATTTCCTTTCACGCTTTTCTCACAGATCCGCTGCTAAGCTTATCGAGTGGGACACCTTCTGGCTTAGCGATACGCCATTTGAACCCTCCAAGGTAACAGACTACCAATATTACTTTTATTTTTGTAATTATATACACATGGTATAGCTTTAAAGATTCAGTTCAGCAATACTGATACCCTCGCTATTTATATAACACGTATGCAGTACCCTGGTGCTGGCAACACCCGTATTTGCACCACGGCTCAGTTCAAGGGCAAGTCTGGCATATTTACCTACATGAACACTCATTTGGATCATCTTTCCGACGAGCAACGTGGTTATGGTCTTTCCTTGATTTTGCACCGTGCCAAGTATGAGGCCATCAAGACTAAGCGTCCTGTGTTTGTCACTGGTGACTTTAACTCGCGACCTGATCAATTGGGCTACCAGGTCATCACTGGACAAGTTGAACCATTGGAACTGAACTCGACTTTCACTGAAAAATACAGCTGGAGCGACCAACAAGAGAAGGAATTCGTTTTCAAGGATTTGATCGCGGAAACTGTGCCTGAAAGAAGAAGTGGTGACTATGCTACATTCACTGGGTTTGCCGATCCTGATGGCACGGACAGCTACAGCAGAATCGACTTTGTGATGGCTGGCTCCAATGGCGGATGGAAGAGCAACAGCTTCCGTGTTGCTGGAACGCTTACCGACAATGGGTTGTGGTCTAGGTATGTATGCTCGCACATTTAGCACTTCTTGCTGGGTACAGACACAGTATAATTGATTGTCTTGATTTGTGTGTAGTGATCACAAGCCGGTGATTAGCGACCTTACCATTTACAAGGGCAGATATTAATCAAACAAACACAGTACAATATGTATAATAATATAGATGACAAACGAGCAAATAAAATAGAGTATGAATGTAGGACTACATACAGCGAAAATGCCGATAAAATGAATTATTATAATAACTGTAGTAATATGACATCTCGATTTTTGAGTTTATATGAAGGGTGCTAAGTGTACACAATGGAATCTGGTTATAGAAAGAAAGGGGGCAGTAACAGAGAGAGGTATGAAGAACGGAGAAAAGAAATGCTATATAACAGGGTGATGTGGATGTGATTGATGTGCTTCTTGTTGGTGTTGCTGGTGTTGTGATTGGACACTACTGCTGTTGATAGATGGATGCGGGGATTGCGGTCGTTGTGGCGGTGTAATCTTGATAGATTTGGTTGTTGTTGTTGTTGATGCGGAAGTCGACGAACGACCTTTCCCTTTATTAGCGCCCGAAGAGGTAGTTGTTGGTGGCGGATTGTTCGATTGATTTGGTTTCCGTTTCTTCCTCCGTTTAGTCTCGTCTTCCACCTCCGGCTCGTACCCATGCAATGACTTGGCCTTTCGTGTAGCACGTGTTTCGGAGGAGTATGTCTTCCATTCTTCAAGAAGAGCCATCTTGACTTGGTCACGTTCAAACCACTCTAAAAGCTCAGCAGCAGTAATCCGGTCTTGTGGACGAGTCCGCAGGCATTTTAACAGAAGTTCCTGGCTTACTTTTCCCTTGATATCTTGCTGTAATGCTCTTTCAATCCGATAGTCATCTTCAGCAACATAGCGTAAGCCTTGTAGATCGGTATCCAGCACTCCTCGCCAAGGCTCGGTATCAGTAAACGTCTTCCAAATCATGACGCCTATTGAATAGATATCTTCTGCTTTTGGATGGATAAGCCATTGTAACACTTGAGTGTCCGAGCGCGTTTTTGGTAATGTTTGAATCGATCTAATAAGCACAGAGCATACGCATAAGAGAGAGAGCATGTAAGCTTTTACGTTTTCATTTGTGCAATCATACTACAACATACAAAAGTCGTAGCTTTGTTTTTTTTAATACCTGTACATGCGGTATCCATGATCGGGCTTCCCCTTCACCCACGGTAGGTTCGCACACCATACGTCCAGCTCTTCTTTTGATTCTGGTACGACATCACCGTCGTATTCTGACTCTGCTCGAGGAACGTCGACAAACCAATCACGTACATCTTGTGGCTCACAGAACACGGATTTACCAAAGTCGATAAGGTACAAGCAAACGTTCTCGTTGCCATCTTCGAGCTTCTCGCCGATTCGGTTGACCATAAAGTTGACCTCTGAGAGATCGCGATGCGCCAAACCAGCATCATGGATTACCTTGATACAAAGGATCATTTGACGAATAATGCTGTACTTCTGATGGGCAGACAAGCGATGGTGAGAATGGACATGCGTATACTGTTTTAGCGTTTCTTGGTAGCTAAAACCAGAATTGTCAGTGATAAAAGGAGATACAGCCGCACAGTTATTTGCTTAGCGAGGAGCAGAAATATCTTACCGTTCCATTGTCAGGCCCATAACATCACCATTGTCCTTGTAAATGACTTCTTTCATCTGAGCCATGTGGGGAAGGTTGCGGAGTTTCCTGTTCAATGCAGACTTGGTAAGAAGCTGGTCTATCATTTTCATAACAAACACGCACACAAACAGTAAGCTTACATTAGACAAGCAATTTCTGTGATCCTCTGATACATGGTCATCTGGCGGAAAGTCTGGACGACGACGTCTTGGAGAAAGTATACTTGTTTGAAGTAGCCTTCAGAGTTGGGTGCATTCAGCTTGAGGAAGCCATACTTCTCAGAGATATTTTCCACGTCCACGCCCCTTTCTTTGCAAGCTTGAAACGTGTCAATTATGCGTAAGTCCTTTTCTTCTGTTGTTGTTTTCTTTAGAAAATGTTAGACGCTTGATGATTTACCTTGAAACAGCCTTTGCCATACTTCATGATCGATTTCACGCATGGAAGAAGTTGATGAAGCGGGGGAAGATGACAGTTCTGGTGAAACATGTGCCGCTGATTTGTCTTCTATTTTAGGCAACGCCGCATATTTGCGTCCTGTTTTGACATGTCCATTTGTTGCTGCTTTTTCTTCCTTCTTGACGACCGATGATGCAGCTGCTACTGTTTTCGCTGCTGTCGTGTTTTTCGTATGCTGATGCTGGTGTTGAAGCTTTACATCCGACGATTTCTCTTTCTTTTTTGTTTTAACTGCTTGGATCGTCTTGCTTTCCTCTTCCTGGTCATCTGGTAGAGACAGCACGACCCGTGCAATCTTTCGGAGCAACAGCTTCGTTTCCATATCATCAGAAGATGAATTTGATCCCTTGGCTTGATACGGCGGTGACGGTTGAGAGATGGCTGTGATTTTCGCAGTTGTATACATCCGGCGAAAGTAATCTCGCTCCACAGTCTCATTTGCTTCAAACGACGCATTCTCTACAATCCTCAGTGGGCGCAGATGGATCCACGCTTTAGGTGCAAGCTCGTGTGTGTACTTGTTCAGGCGGTCGATATCGTATAGTGGACTAGCTGGATATGTGATTACGATGTCCGTTACGACTTGGTAGAGCTTTGGCCGAGTCCGTTTCACCCGTGTATTGTAGAATATTGCAAGTACGCCGTACGCGCTCACTTGTTCGAGAAACGTTCGATTTTTTGCAATGTAAAATCGTGGAATGGTGCTGTGGTCGCCTGTTGGATCTTGTTTCATGCGTTCAATTGCTTGGAAAAATGGTCCGTTTAATTGCAGATACAGTAGCTTTTCGTTCGTCAGGCCGCGCTGTTTCGCTTTGGGCTCCATTGGCGACATGGCTGATATTGTGTACACCGTGCTAAATCCAACCATGCATAGAACGTGAGCCTTGAACTTCTCCAAACCATGCTTTTCCGTATCCTTGTCATCTCTTTGCTAACCTGTTCTTACCTGTTAGCGCAGAACAAGCGCGATAAAAGCGAAGGAGCAAGATCGGTTTCTTCAGGTATCCGTTCGATAGGATCGAATTTAAAATCGTTGGTTGCTGTGGGCTTTTGGTTTTTTACAAGTCTATCACATCATTTCCTTGTTGTTACCAATCTCGCTCAAAAAACAGCTATTTTCATCAACCACCGTCATTACTCTCATGTATACCTTATCTGCGTTTTCAGATCCAATACGATTTTGCGAAACAACGCATCCAGCCTGTCGGCGTGTTTGGGGATCGTGCCGGTGTTACTGTGATATGACTTTGCATTCTTCCAGATCAGCAGTATATCCTTTTCAAATTTTGAAAAGGTTGTGTAAGCACCCTCCCATGCCTTCTTTTCGACGGTAGACAAATCCATTGGCGTCTTGATCTCCTGATGATACAGAACCGCCGAGTCAGGAACCGGCTGTATAAATGGCCAGCAGTCTGGCGTCGCAAGCAACATGTTGAGAATGAATCGATATAGACGTAGGAACAACCGAGTCACATTCGAAGGCAGTTCGTATTTGACATTACTCAAATCTGTGAATGTGTCTATCAGAGCCGTCACCTTGGATTCCCGCTGTTGTTGTTGTGTTGGCATGGGAATAGCATTGCCGCTAATCAGTCGCTTGGAAACGATAGTATTTACTGAGATGTTTTTGACCCGAAGGCCCTCCACCACCATGCGCTGCACCGCAACAAGATCACCGTTTGAGATCTGCGAGCCGTCTGTTTGAGAAACATCTTTGTCACCTGATGTCCCAAGTATCATTGTCGTGATGACCTGCATCGCTTGAAGCGGAAGCACCTGGCGCGAATCTGTATCTTTGCGCTCGCTGATACCCACGGATGGTAACTCGTCTATATTTAATACCACGCCTAACCGCCGAAGGATGGCTATGGTTAACCGTTTGATCCCCATTCCATCCAAGCGATGCTGCATTGGATCGCTAGGTTCTTTAATTGGTTTGATTGCTGAAGGTAAATACGAAGATGATGATGCTGCTGCTGCTGTTGGGGATGACAAAGATGATGGATGTTTTTTTATATGTACACGCAGCCGGGGTCGTCGTGGAAAGTCTGCTGTTAGGGTATCGAGTGGATGTTGCTGTGGCAGTGCAGTAGAAATAGGCACGACCGCATCGTTGAGAAAAGACGAAGACGACGTCGACGGCTGCGGCGCCATCCCTGGTACAAAGGAATTGTTTGTCCGTAATCTCACAACGGGTCGATCGTCAACAAGTGGTGTACTCAGGGACGGTGATCGCGATCGTTTCCGTCGCGCAGCAGTGGAGGAAATAGTAGGCATGGGGGATTTCGTAGTCGTTGGTGCTTCGTTAACGTCGTAACTTGACGACGAACCAGAAAAGAGAACTTCAGGGGGATAAGCGTTATTACTGTGCAGTGACGACGAATCGTTGAGTATAACTGGTGAAGGCACTATATATCAAAAAGGGCACTCCAACTTTAGCGTTTGCGTGTGATATATTTAAAGGTTTGGAAAAGGAAAGCAACTTGTCCCACAGTCTCCCTCTCTCTCTCTGTGTGTGTGTGTGTATATATGTATGTCCGTCTGTGGGTGTTGATTTTCACTTTTCCATTTGCTTCTTCAAATAAACATTACCTTCTGTCGACAAATTCAACAGGCGGTCAATGTCATGCTGAAAATCATCTGGAGCGGTGCCGGTCGCATCATTGGGAATAAAGCTTGGAGTTTCGTCGTTTTGCAGTGGTCTGGTTGCGGTGGTGTCGTCGTGCTCGGCTCCAAGTCCAAGTGCTTCGAGGCCTTGGAACTTCCAAAACAGCTGAACGTTATTGACTGTGCCCATAGCAGGGTCGCTGCTTTCTTGAAAGGCCCAGTCGTCCATTCAACGCTTTCTTTGTAGTAGGATCAGAAATGGCGCGATGAGCTGGGAAAAATAAAAAGTGTAAAAGCAGTGGTTGTTGGAATCTCAAGGTGTTGTGGTAAAACAGCAACTCCTTGAACTCAGAGGTGCTCGATATTTTCTACCTTGCTGAAATGGAAAGAGCTGGGTTAAATGCACAAAGTTGCCGCCTCAGTGCGTGGGTTTTTTTGTGGTTCCCCCACCTACTCAACCCACCCCCCCCATCCGTCATGACAAGAATACTACGTACCTCTCTTTTCTTTCTACAGACTCCTCGTGATGTATACTCGCTATTGCCTATTCTCACTCCTATAATATAACTTGCAGCAGTTATAATTAAAGAAGCACATAGCGGTTTGAGCTAGGATATGGTGCTTATTATGTCTCAAACAATGATGAGCATATTATAATATCCCTTGCCTATATGTCTTGCATGAATTGGGGCAATAACAATGTACTCAGTAGCCTTGTTAGGACACAGCAAAAGTGCATGTGTACTTAATTTCCCAAATCGTCGACTGCTTTCAAGTCTCTCCACCGCACTTTATCTTTTTGTATCTAAGCTTTGTAACGAAGATCTGTGTAACGAACAACAACGGCAGCAGTTCTCCATATTTAATCACTCAGGCACCCCAGCATCTTCTAGCCACGTCCGTCAATTACACACGCCAAACTACTGTGTGAGCAATCTTACCCTCTTTGCCCAATTATGTACGACACAGGTATAGCAACCTACTCTGATGCTGGCCTTTTTTGTACTTGATGACCATTGTAGTTCTATTTTCTCCACAGGAATTCATGCGATAAACCCGACAACAGCAACAACGAGATTGCAACAACAAGAGCAGAAAGAAGGTAATGTACGTTGTCATGCCATGCTGTTCTATGATATATGCCAATATTATGCGGTCGTTGAAAGGCATTTAACCTATTCATGGTCAATGTTATCAACAGTGCTAGTGGTCACTAATACCAGGACAGTATAAGGGATAGTCGAGGAAGACAAAAGAGTGGTTCTCCCAATCAAGCATAATCATATACCTTGAGTGTTAATTTCGTCAAACGAAGAAATCTAGTCACCCAGAAGCATTTGAATATCCTGCTTGACACATGTTGTATATTCACTTTTCTTTTTGTCCCATTCATTGTATGACCAAGATAATGGTAGTCACAGAAGCAGCAATGACATCTAAATCTAGGACAATGCCTTTTATAAAGGTATCCATGGCTCAAACAACAAAATGATTGTGATATAGAGCAGTTGATTGACACGTACGATGGGCTAAAGCACCAGTAGCATTGACCAAGACTGTGCTATCATGCAAAATAAGCAACAAGCGACCACTATGTATACAAGTCTCAACAAGGCACAGACGTGCATTGAAATCTCATGATTCAAGGAGCATCAGCAATTTTTGATAAGCTGCCTAACGGAGGTGCAAGCCAACAGCATCTATAACGCACTATCAAATGCTTGTGCTGCTGAAGGGATAAGCTTTACTGGGCCAGAGTCCAAGTCGCCTTTGCTATGTCGCTGTCGTCTGTGCCTATGTATCGGTGTGTATTGTTCCTCCTTGCTTTTGCAAACACATTCTGCGGTATCCTTTACAATTGTGTATCTCATATCTTGTACCTGCAGTGCCACTATACTGTAAACATTATGCTGTGTACGGCTATCTGTACATATACAGTACTGTACCTTTGCGCCGGGAGCAACCTTTTGAAATTGTTCACAGTGTATCATGTACTACAAGTATGAAGATGCCGCGGTATGTATGCAACTGTTTGACGAATTGACTTTCATATCAAAGTTTGCTGCTGCTGAGGGACTAGATGGTCCTAGCTTATAACCTTATACATTTCCTAACTCCCGCTGCTTATTACAGTATTTTATAGATAACCATTCCATTTCTTTCATGTTGCCAAGTGTTACTGCCACGGGTTGATAGAACTTGCTCGAGATTCATACAACTTTTGCTTTTGGCTGCCAAGGATTGTCTATATTTCTATTGCACAGAAATCCAGCTGGTCTGGAGGAAGTGTCCTTTCTTCCTTTTCGTTTAGCCTCTTTCTGTGTGGCACACATACTACGAAAACCAAAGATGGTCATCTCAAGCGCACATACGAACTTTGTGCGAAAGTAAGGAGATGGGGAGCGGGAGCACGTACTGGATAGATGAACGAGGGCCTCCACTTTTCTTTTCCCGGGCGAGGGGCAGTTTCCACGGAGCAGTACAGCAAGTGCCTCTTGCATTCACCCTTCAAAAGTAAAAGCGATGTGTACCCGTCAAGTTCATGAGTACGATGAACAAGACAATTCGATCCTCTTCAAACAAAGTTTTCTTTTTGCGATCTAACACAAAAATAGGGTCTGCTAATCCTTTTCCCCCTCCTGTACCCCGAAAGGTTGGTAGCCCTGCTCGTATTGATTTCTACGAGAGTTAATATTTCTTCGAGGGAATAATAAATAAAGATGCACAGAAGTCAAAACCCTGCACCGCAGAAGCATTTTCCTCTTTTTGGACAAGGCACGCTTTCCGGAAGAAGAGGAGCAAATATTACGTGAAGATCAGTTCATTTGCGCACAGGTGCCCAACACACACACACACACTTACATACTCGCATATCACCCACACAAACATGTCTAAACCTAATTGTCTACCTTTTTTTGGCCCTCCCAAAAAGTGCCGTCATTCGATTCGAATTTGTATCTCTTTTTCACCTCTACTCCTTAAAATCTACTCTTCACTCTCTTTCTTTCTTCGTTCTTGTTTAGCTTTCCTGTTCTCGGTTTCACAGAGTAGCCACTGCAATACTCTTTTCGCTCTTCTTTATTATACCCTCTAATGACACTTTATGTTTACATCGTTCAATATGCAGAATAACAACAACGATCACAACAGCCGATTGTCATCTTCAAATTCACGACAAATGACTGGAATATCACTAGACCAATGCCTCAATGAAGAATTACGTGGTAATGGCATAAAACATTACTACTACCAATGTGTTGACAAAAAAGAACCCATCTGATTTATGTTATATAAGATTTAGCGGAAGAAGACCCCCGGAACGCTGGAGATATCATCACCGAAGAAGCCGATGGCCGTTTACCAACATTCATTTCTTCTACTACTACCTCAAACAAAAAGAAGCAACGGCCTTTATCGCTACCACGTCCATTAACAGCATGGAATCTTGACCAACAAGCTAAAGAAACAACTACAACTAGTAATACCACTAGTGCCGCACGAAGGAGAAATTCTTTGACAAGGGTAGGGTTGTTTGGCATGACATGTCCTCTCTAGCTTTCTCAATCCAGAATCCAAAAAAAGTCTAACACACACCCCTTATTCCACAAACATGCACGTTTCAGTCTTTGAGCATGCTGATCCGACGACTCCGACCGGTAAGATGGGTCACCAGAGCCTAGTGTTAGAGTTTATGTATCGGTCTTGGTGCTAACAAGAAATAACAATCATACCCTTTTCTCGGACATACAAAGAGCTTACGGTGGAATAAAAAGTCAAAAACGAGGAATAATGATGTCGAGTGCGTTTTTAGTTATGCCGGTAAATCTTCCAACGAGCAACAGCGACATAGCATCATCAGTAACAATTGCAATAACAATAACGACGCCTATGTCGGACGCGAAGAAAACCACCTCCAAACGCACACTCTTTTCAATGATGACAACAATGACGATCTACATATTACCGTCGCTCCTCCAATGATATCAGCACACGCGAACCATGACCCGCAACGCGAAAGTGCAGGTTCAGAATTGAGCAGCAGTTACAGCAGGCTGCTTACGAAAGCCAACGAAAAGGGGGCTAATGCTACGTCAGTCTCAGAAACAGATTTTCACGAAAACAAGATCGATCACGTCAGCAGCCTATCCTCAAAAATACAATGTCACACGCATGATGCACTTCTTAATATTGATACTACAGCGCAGCAACATCAGCTGCCGCGAGTTAAAAAGCGCGAGTCTCAGAGCAGCAGTATTGCCAGTAGGGCTGCAAGTCGATCGAGCACGACAGTCAACTCCATCTACAACACATTCTCTCATAACGACGATGAAGATGGACTCTCTCTTGCCGAGCTACCACACAGCAGAGGCCATGCTCGATTATCAATGTGCAGCAGTAAGCTTTCATTGGTGTGCTGTATCGATGGAAAACAACCACAGCAGCAACAGCTAGATCTGTCTCAACAAACCAATACAAACGACGAAGCTATTACCCAGAAACAGCAAGCAATTGCCAATCGGGATGCCCCTCATGAGCGCCGACCTTCACGCTCCTCTTCAGTAATTTACCCGTCAGCTGTAAATTGTTCAGATAGCAGGGTCGACATCACCCACCTTTCTTGTCAGCAAAAGGAATATCAGAATAATGAAGGAAACAGTGTTAACAATATGCCCAAGAACAATACCGACGACAACGTTGATAAGAGTCAAAAAGAGGAAGCAGTTGAGTATATCAAACTAACAGCCGAGCGACTCTGGAACGAAGATGTAGGGGTGTGCGAGCGCGAACGGATAGCTGAATGGCTAGGAACAAAGTACGTGCATCCTCCTCTTCTCCAATTTCATTTCCGGATATGTGTTTTTAATTTTCATTGCGAAGACCCCAATTTAAAAAAGAGGCATCAGTCTTAATCGTCATTTTTCTCCTTCTTGCTTTCTATTCTTTCATAAGTGACCGTTTCAGATGCCATGTTTTGCGCCAGTACATGAGTTATCTCGACTTTACAAATCAAAGAATTGATGAATCATTTCGAAAACTTTGCAGCAAAGTATATTTCAAGGCAGAGGCTCAGCAAATTGACCGTATCTTGGAGGCATTTGCATGTCGGTACTTGGAATGTAATCCATCTACAATTATGCAAAGCTCAGGTTAGTTCATTCTGACCCACTTTCATGTTTGAATGTGATTAACACTTGAATGGTCATCTGTGACTACATTTGACATAACCATGTTCAACCAAAATAACCATCGCGAATACGCTAGATGTTATACACGCAGTAGCAATGGCCTTGGTACTTTTAAACACGGATCTACACGGCGTACACGATAATCACAAGAAAATGTCGCGAGCAAAATTTATCACTAACACAATGACAACCATTCGCGACGTGATGACGATGACAACCCCCGAGAAGCCTACGATACGAAATTCTGTCACTGGTGCTGTTGCTATCACAAACGATAACTCCTCCTCCTCCTCTTTCACAAACGACAATGGTAATAATAAAGCAGCTCGTCGACGGACGCTTTTATCACTCAGCGAAAGCGTGCTTTCTGCATTAACGTCAGCCTCAAACGGCTCTTCTCGCTGGATGATACGCAGAAGCATGAGTTCAAAAAGCGTTAATAGCATACCGTCACCTGGAACCCTCACTACACATAATGAAGCACACAGACAGCAGCCATCATCCAGTAAACAGAACTGGGTAGTCAGTAACAATAATGAGATTGACAACAGCAATAACGATACCGAGCAGCAAAACAGCAGTACCAATAACACTCGATTTGGATTGATCGATGAGCAGCGATCATGGTCAGAAGACATGGAGAATCTTTTGAAGGTTGGTTATATTAAAGCAGCTTTGGATTAAAAAGTTATAGAAACAGTATGTAACTCAGGGATTATGCCCTGATGACGGTATCTCTTTATAGGATCTTTACATATCTGTCAAAGGAAACCAAATCATCCAAAACAACCGAATGAAACGAGCATCAGCATCAACCCACGATCAGACGGACAGAAACACAGCATCCCCATCAAGTAATAACATTGACAGCAGCAGCAGCAATAAAGCCCTACTGCGACGTCGTCGAGGCCAATCACTGCTGTTACCCTTGGCAGGGTTATCTGGTGCTCTTGACGACATTTCTTTGCTGAAACAGAAAAGAAGGCTGTCGCATTCACCTACCGACCCATCGATATATGCCCTTGATAACAGAGGTTGTGAAGCAACGAACATCACCACCTCCTCTACTGGTTCCCCCAATATTAGAATGCGCAAGGAAGGGATTGTTATGCAGAAACACATCATGGAACACGCGACAAAAAAAGCGCGACACCGAGCTTGGCAACCTTGTTTTCTCGTTGTGCATGGAGGGAAAGCCGATCTATGTCGACCACCGCCGTCTTCTTCTGCAACCGCAAAGGAGCAAAAGCGAAAAAGTATATGGGGTGGCTACTCTCACACTATTCACGATTCTTATTATGAGCGCGAGGTAAGACCATCAGAGCTGCTATTTTATTTTGGATAACAATGCAAAAACAAAACGAAATAAAATAAAAGCAAGCAAACAAACAACAATCAAAAAACAAAAATGCGGGAGGATGTGCATGTATTATTAGTTTGCTGACTCGTTCCTGAATTGTAGCAGAATATACTGTGCGCTAGCACTGGCAGCAGCAGCAACAACAACAATAACAGTGCCAAAAGGACCGAAAAGGATCGTCGCGCTGCGCTAGTACAAACAATTGATCTGAAACACTCGATTGCAAATACTCTGCCACCACCGGGCTGGCATGGCGGACGACGCCATGTTTTTAGCTTACAGACTGCTGATGGAGCGGTTTGGCTGTTTGAATCAGTGGACGCGGAATCGACGGTAGCTTGGGTGACTTGTTGCAATTATTGGGCCGCATTGCTAAGCAAAGAGGCGATGCCGGGCGCAATTTGCAATCTTGACTACGGCTGGTGGCATAGTAGCAACATAGGCAATTCATTCGTGTATAACAATAGCGACAGTAATAATGATAGCAGTGGTGCCGACAACAGCAGCAACACCAATATTGATTGTTCTATCGACATTGTGATATCGGACTGGACGCCGCCTTCACCGTCTATGATAGCCAGTCAGCTGTCCGAAACAGAAAAAACGATTGTGTTGAAGAAGCATATCGCATTCTTGCAACAAGAGATCAAAGATCATCGAGCAGTGCGAGAAAGCATATACAAAAGGGTACATCTTCTTGTTATTTTCTTGTACCGCTTTCAACAACCACATACAGTGTTTTTGTTAACCTTTGCTGAATTCTGCCTATAGTTCGCAGGGTATAACAACAAGGACCGCGACTTGAAAAAATCCAAGGCACTCGACAACTGGGAGCGTAAAATGCAATATCTACTGCATGAGGTGATCAAGTTTCGAACCTACGTCGAAGCATTGATGTGTTCCCCGTCAGTATATCGGCAACAGCAGCAACAGTATCAATAACAATTACAGAGGCATACCTTGCGACTGACTGTGGTGTATTTATTATGTTTACCTTTGCTTGTACATATATTACGTTCTTTATCTCTAATTCAATATGTTTCATTATATAACCTTCATTCATGTAATGCGCGTTACTCAAAAAGAAAAGCAAATTGAACAACGTGCTACTATTACTACTACATATTTGATATGATGTGCGTGTGGATGGGTGTACGAATTTGGACAACATATTGGCTACATAGCTGAAGAGTGAAAAGGGGTTGGAAGAAACTTGCAATACTTTCGTATGCGGAACATGCTAAGAAGAGGAGCTGCGTGGGGTGGGGGGAAGATTCTGAATGCGGGAAAGAAGAATATGCCAAAAGGGAGTTTGAGGGTTAGATTAAAAAAAAGAAAGAGAGATCACAATTTTGACACGAGCAAAAACGTAGAAGAGACGAGAAGGATCAGAGCAACAATGCCCTGGTAAAATATGCTGGGGCTGTTTGCGCCAGAAACATGCAATGGACCATATTTGCCAACAGAATCATCCGGATACGGTGCTGATGGTGACGGATGGAAACTGGATAATGTGGAAGAACTAGCAGCACGTGAGGGCATCGAGAGATGCGTCAATACCGAGGTTGTTGTAGTCGATTGTGAAGAATTGAAACCGTGCTGTTCATCATCGTCGCTACTGCTAGAAGTCAGAGGAGTCGGTGTCGGTGTTGCTGAAGCTGTTGCAGATGTATGCTCTGGTGTGCTGATAGCTGCTGTAGTCGTGGAGTGTGGTGACTGATCATTTGTAGGTTGCTGCTGCTGCTGCTGCTGTTGTTGTGCGAGTACAACTACTGCTAACTCAGTACAACACCCGTATAGTATGCAGAATGCAAAGAAAGCTTTGTACATGTATGAGGAAGCAAGAAGAGGAAAACCGAAAAAGAAACGAGAGAGTGAACGAGAGAGTGAAAAGGAGCATAAATTGTTGATTACTCGGTGGAACTTAAAATAAGGAGTTATTCTTTAGATGGGGGTGGATGAGGAGTCCATCCAGGCTTTCACTTCAACTTTTTTGATTTACTTTTTCGTAAACTATGCTTATAGCATTATTATTATTGTTGTTGCTGTAGTCATGGTATGACACATACATGGTAAGCTAGCTGTATTTCTTTTTGGCAGCCCAATCGACCCATCTACTCGCCAGCAGCTTGGCCCAGATAGCAACGTAGCCGAATAGTGCAGGTATAAAAACTTCTCTTTCTCGGCGATCGGACGCATCCAATGTCCGGCGAGCGACAGCACTCGAAGACAGCTTGCCGCGTGTCGATCCTGCTATGGCTTGTCCATCACCTTTGCCGATATCCACAGCCGAATTTCGTAGTTCCGTATCGACCGTTCCTGGGCAAATGATCCCGATGTGGACATTGTAGCGCTCAACTTCAACCCGCAACGAGTCAAAGAAGCCATGAAGAGCATGCTTTGATCCAGCATACAAGGCACGAGTAGGCGCACCGACTTTACCTGCCAACGATGACATGATCATGATATTGGGCGCAACAGATGTTTCGATGAGCATGGGGAGCACAAGCCGACAAAGGCGGACTGGTGCCATATAGTTTACATCGGTGATATGTTCTAAGGCTTCGTCTATAGATGTTGTTGTTGACGATGATGACGATGATGTATCTTGTAGGAGTTTGACGGAAAAGTGCCCTGAGGACGGTGACTGTTGTGAATGAACAACTTTGATCCCACTCGCATCCATGAACGGTCGTACAGAAATGAGTCCGGCACAGAAAACCACAGTGTCCACTCCATCGAGTGTGCGTTTTGTCGCTTCCACGAGGCGTTCCAAATCACTTGTTTGAGTAATGTCCCCGGCAATGGTAACTACATTAGTCGACCCAGCCTGTTCACATTCTTGTCGTAATGAATCAATGAGTGCTTGTCTCCGTGCAAACAGGGCAAGTTTGGCGCCACGTGCAGCATACTTGAGCGCAAGATCTCTGCCTATGCCTGAACTGCAACCGATAAGCATAACGCGCTCCTTGTCCGCAGGTAATGCTCGTAATCTTTGTTTGCCCGCTCTTTTTGCCGAGATGAGGTAAAAAAGCGTAATGGCAGCACATATTGCAATAAGTGCTTCACGCATATCGTTTTGGTTTCACGTTGAACTGGGCACCACTGAGCTGGAAAAGACGGAAACAGAACAAAATCGTGTGATGCATAAAGCAGTTCCGCTAATATAATGAACTTATATATATATGAGCCTTGATGCATGTGAAATGGCATCTTTCGCAACGAAAGAGGACAAATATGCCGATGACCCAATTACAGCATTATGGATATGCTTACGTTGCTGATGGACACCCGTGGATCGTGCAGTAGGACCATCAAGTTCGATTGTTGACTACATAATATGGTTCACTGTTCTCTTCCACCACAATACCTTGTCGATGGATATCCCTGATGCAGCCCGCATATTCACATACGACACACTAATGAAGATGATATAAAAACAGCACCCGTTAAATTTGTTTGCGGTAGATATTTGATGAAAGTTTTACAAGAGGAAAAAAATGTATACTTGGCGCTAGTACTTGACTTGATAACAACAATAGCATTGATATATATAGAAGAAGATTGAGAAGGAGGGTGACTTTTGGCTCTCTCTTTTGATATAGAAGAAAAACAATGATATAAAGAAGAATAGCAACAGCAAGAAGGGTAGAAAAGGAATGTAGTAGGATAAGGAAAGGTTTTGGGGTGGGATGTATATTATATTTACACTACGTGATGATGGTCAGGAAGGCTATTTCGCAGTAATACAAACTCTTCACCTTCAGCAATGTCACGTCTGGTCCAACAAACCATTTGATTCAATAAAGGCCCTTCCAACATGTACATGTTGGGGGTTCCCAATGACGTTGTACTGCGCATGTAGTGGAACGGACAAAGTATAACATCTTTGCGGTAAAGACGACCATTTTCGTCTGTGGGATCCAGCACTGTCTTGCTCTTGTATATGATGCTGTACTCGGTGGCAAGACCAACACCATCTTTGAGCGAATCGAACTCGTCAGTTGTCATCGGTACGCCAAAGTAAAACCCCACTGGTGTGTTGCCTGGTATAGGTCGCGTCGCAACTACAGTCACTCGTGGTTCCTGTTGTTCTTCCCGCTTGTGTTGTTGTTGTTCTTGTTGCTGCTGCTGCTCCTGTTGATGATTTTGCGGTGCTGTACCTGTTTCAGTTTCAACGATGCGCATCAAATCGTGCCATGTCCTAGGCACCTGAGATAAATCAACATCTTCAAACGACAAATAATTTTTCCTCGGTTGCTGCTTTTTTGATAATAGAAACGCATCGAATTCAGTCATCGTCGCCGTAGAAGATGGTTTTGCTGTTATTGTCGTTGATGATGATGATGGTGTATCTTGCTTCCGTTTTTGTTTGCCAAAATACAGAGGCCACTCTTCTTGTGCAAGACGCGTTTCCCATTGGGTGTACTCTTCCACAGCATCCTTCAGATTGCCAGGATCAAATGCAAGTTTGAAGTGCATGCAGCGGCTGCCGTGTGGACGGAAAGGGACAAAATATCGGTCGATGTTGTTCGTTAGGATGGCCGATGCAGAATTTGACGGTGTCTACACCATAGTTGTATGCTCATATAAGAGCGTTTTCTTTTAGCATCACCTCTTACAGCCTCTTATACAAAAACTAAACCAGACCCCCATCCATATTCTAACCGAAAAATTCGAATAAAGACTCCTTCAACTTTTCTTTGGGTTTACCTTGCCTCGAAACACTCTCGGTAGATTGCGCTCACTGCTTATTTTCTCATCCAGCGCCAAAGCAGCCTTAATGAGATCTGTTCGAGGTAATGACTTGGTCGGGTGTTGCCGTAATGCCAGGTAAAGCAAATATGACTGACTGTGCCAGCGTGGCAAATTGCTTTCTGAAGAGCGCTGCCGACGTCGACTACTGCTGCCACCATTAGTACTGTTGCTGTTGTCGCCATTCTTGGATAATGAACGGTCGTCGTCAGAAGCAAGACTGGTTGCTCGTTGTCGCTTGTCGGTCAACCCGCTGTTTGCTACCACTGTAGCCTGAAGTCCTGTTAGTGGTGATTCTGCTTTACGTTTTCGGTCCTTGTTTCTGTTCACGCTATGTGCTGTTGCTGTCGTCGTCGTTGTCACTGCTGGAGATCCATAGGAGCGGCGATTGCTGCTATGTTGTAATACAAGTTGCGGTGATGAAGAAATGTCTGTCCATGTCATTCTTGAGTATAAACAGTTATAATAGAAACGCAAAGAGGAATAAAGAAAAAGAAAGAGGAGTGTATGTAGCTCCCAACTTCACATTTAAGCGCGTCTCTCACTTTTATTTCAAAAGCCCGCAGAATACTTGCTAGCTGTGAAAAACTGCATAAAATATCCCTTTTCTACCCTCATTTTTGATCCGTTACGGCAGCATCTCCCAAATCCAAAGCCGCCATTTCTGTTTCTTCCGTCTTTGGTGGTTGTATAGGAGCCGCATTTGGGTTTGTAGGTGGAGGAGGCTTTTTGATTATTGTGCCTGGCCTGCCACCGTCCTTGACAGCAGCATTTCTGGGGTGGAGTTTAGGTGATATGGGCAGAATCGGTGACATTGCATCTTTGACGATCTCTCCACTTGCGCCTACAGGTAACTTTAGGGTCAAGCCGTCATTGGCCTTGCCAGCTGTAGACTGGGCTGCAGAGGGTGTTGGATGAACAACCTTGGGAGGTTTTGGACGATGTGTATCCACGGCGTCGATGTCCACTATTTATTTGTACGTTTTTTTTAGTCAGTATTCATGTAGCCTGCAATCCAAAGCCAGAGGAATCTTTTCTTGTACCTTTAAAGCGTTTCTCTTCACATCCATAAGCCTTCGGCGTCAACTCAATCACAGTGTGCAGTGGAATATTGATATACGGCAGATCCTCGTGGTTGTAATTCATAAAATATGCATAAATGCATCGCAAGATAGCCTGATGACCGATGATCAAAATGTTTTCATGTCTTTCTAAAGCCATGATAACAGGTTCTAGTCGCAGAACGACATCTCTGTAAGACTGTAGCAGCAGTTATAAAAGTATTATTCCGGCATTAGATTTCGCTGATCAGCTTAAATGGATACTTCTACGATAATGTAACAAAAGGAGAGTACTTACCTCGCCGCCTCTGTATCTATAATTGAATTTATCTTCATCGCGATTCGCAAAATCCTCTGGATATTTTTCCTGTAGAACAAAAGTTGTTGGTGCCTCGTCCAAATAATACAAAAGCGTAGCCGCCCAAACAAAAACGAAGGTTACCTCGATTTCCTCATAGGTCATTCCGTCGCATACGCCAGCATCCAGTTCATCCAATGCTTTCCACGTAAGCTTAGGGTACGGTAATAGCTCGCCTGTTTGAATTGTGCGCTTCATAGTAGACGTCCAAACCGTCAGACCTTGATCACCCAGATTTTCGCGTATCAGAGCAGGAAGCTTTGTTGCGTACAGGCTGCCACGTGGCGAAAGTTCAGAATCACCACCGATTTTCCCGTTCACGTTGTACATTGACTCGCCATGCTATGGAGAGGCCACACACGTACAAACATAAAAATAAGCTTCGTTTCTTGTACAACCACCTGCGTTTCGAGAAAACCTTACCCGACTGAAATAGATCTTTCGTGGCGCAATATGCAAGTTCATTAAATAATATATGATGCGCGATTCCAGATACCCCTGAATCATGTTTATAATCACTTGGCTGCCCACATTGATCAGTTTGATATACGTAAAGTCCTCTTCCGTGATTGTCTGATATAGCTCTTGATAATGATCGATGCGTGCTCTAAAGTCAACCGCAGCTGCATTGGGATCCATGTTCACGTAATCGGGTGAGGATAATTTGACATCCTTAATGTTGGCCAAAATCAGAGATTCATCCTGACAGATCGATTCAATAAACAGCACCAAAATGTCCTGCTTCGTCAGTTCGTCATGCAACCATTTGCGTCGTTGGTACGTGCTGTTGGTCGCATCGTATAATGCCACGATTCCTTGCTCCTTGTCGAACCATCCAAGCATGTCTTCAAGCGCCGCCGCTGCCGCTTCTTTGCGATGCTGTTCACCAACGGGGTTATGTGGGTCGAAGAAGGTGTGTGGCAAGCTCGCGCCGTGCAGCTTTCGACGATAGTTACCGACGTTGAATACTTTGGTCTTGATGCCCAACCATGTCAGGTATCTGCACACTATAACAACAGCACAAATGGCAGTGATATTGGTTGTATCAGTATACTCACGCACGTTTCTTTCGTCGGTTTCTCCCCCTCCATTGTCTGCTTCGTTAGCAAGAATATATACAACAAAAATAGAAAAATCCAAACCTTTCTGAGAAATATAAGTCTTGCCACGTGCAGGCAAGCCCACCATCTGTCATTGTGTGTGTGTAATACCATTTTTTAGCTGAACAGATTCCCAAAAGCAGCAGCTCGCTTGTCAACCTGTTCCTGGGTCACACTCTACAATCTCACGTAAACATACCACGCAAGCTATCCGGAGATCTAGCAACAGCAGCAGCAGAAAATATTTAGTTTTATATGGACATCACGAGCTCCAGCACACAATAGCAAAGAGTCTTTTTTAAAGAACTTCGGAAAACGGGGAGTCTTACTGAAACTATTCATTATTTTTAAAGATGAGACGAGGAGATCAAAGAATGGTTTGAAAGGAATATAGACGACGGCTGACTGTCAAATATGGGCTGCTTATCGTTGGGTACAATACCGCATTCTCCCATCCTGCATTGTATGCATGTGGCGTTTATGTTCCCGAAAATCTTTTTTTAGCCCCTTCGATGCAAAGAACTGTGACGGACGTAACTGTGCACAATATCAGTGAAACTGCATAATGACACACATTAAGAGAACGATAGACATGTGTGTATAACAGGTCGTCGTACTACAAGGGTAAGTACATAATAAAGTAGTAAGTTTTCTACATTGTCTTTCTGCTACCGTTGTCCTCGTGTTAGACCGGGATCACTGAACTTACCATCGCAAAAAATAGAAAACCTTTTTGTTGCTTAACATGGGCAACTTGTCACCCTTCTAAGCATTATGCTAACCAGCCGAGCTGTGATGATTTGAAAACTCTCGAAAAGTGCCGAATTGCTCATATATGCAACAAAAGGTTTCTAACTTTTTGGACATCACAAAGCCTTACTTCATAGCCTACATACTCGTTCGATAATTATAACATTTTAAGGAAAAAGAACTTGCTGGTCTTGCGAAGAAGCGGATTCCTGGTGACACGCTCAGCCAGACAAGAAACAGTTAATGTACGTTTGCGACTTTTTCGTGTCGACTTGTAATATGTGCCAGGATAAAAGAGTGTGTATACTAACAACTAATGCGCAATCTATAATGCGTTCATACGCTGTCCACCAGCAATGTTGAGCCAGAGGAGTGCCAGGAGCCGAAACCGCAAGCAAATAGCATCGGTATATGCTGGCCGCAGCCCCGTAAGAAACAGGAACATCAACTACCAAAAAGTGCTGGAGGATGCCAAGTGAACAACATTAATCTCATCACTTGTGTTACTGATACTATGGGTAATTGCTCGCTTGGGTTTTGTACAACACAAAGACGAAATAAATGGAAAGGTCAACAAACAAAGGATCAAAAGATGATTTTGACGAAGGGGAAGGCATGCTGTAACGTATGCCGAAAGTTCTTTAGACTTCTTGCACATCTGCCAGTATGCGATTTTTTATTCCGTAGCAATCCGATGCATGTATGATGTGTTCATGGATACACCATTTGATGGCTTTTCTGCGACTTTATGGACGAAGGATCCGATACATCTAGCGACAAGAAGGCTGAAAAGTTTGTATAAATTGTCCGGCGCGTGATGGCCAGATTCCATTTGTCGACGCACCCGGCAGTTCATGCTTATCACCAACCATGAGCGCCGTTTCTTGGTGAAATTGCAGTGATTTCCCGTTTAATTTCATCCACGAAGGGAGTCAATAAAGTGTTGAAACTACTGAGAATTGACACAAAACGAGGATGATTCAAGCAGTGTTATATGCTTAAAGGGGGTATAGAAAAAAGTTGAAATAACTGAGGGTTTATCATATTGAGAGTGAAATTAAACGGGAAACCACTGTACCGGACATCGCAAATTGCAAAACGTTAAAAAAATTCATAAGTAATTGTATATAAATCCTCTCTATCCCAGTCGCCAAGAACAAAAGGCCGCTTAGCACCACTTGTTTGAACGAAACATTTTCGAAGACTTTGATGGTATGAACAGGGAAGTCAATAATATATCTGTTCGAAAAAATTAACACAGCTCTTGATAAAGCTGTATTCGAGTCTGCAAAAAAATAAAGATTCGATGTTTGAACAAACAACTAAAAGACATATCAGGTAGATTATTTACATCTTCGAGTCACTAATCATTCTTTTGATTAGATTCATCATCGACTTCTTGGTTTTTCTGTTCAATAGAACTATAGGTATAGTTCTCTTCTACTATTACCTCCACCTACAGACGGCATCACAACGAGAAACTACAAAACCCACCATGTCAAGTTCTCACGTTAGGCATTGTATGATCGTTTTACATATTATGTTTGAAAGGAAGAATAACGATGGGCAAGAATCGAAGCGGAATAAGTAGAACAAGATATTGTAGCTCACATTACAGTGAGTGCGTGAGAGCTTTTTAGGAAACTTTGGAAAAAAAAAATCACAAGCAATTCAACGATTAACGTCACTACAATAGCAAATTGATAGAAACCCAACATTCTTCCTATGTATCCAAGTGGGCTTGTACTGTATTATGAGCTGGTCGTAATACACTGGTCGACGATAATAGCTGCTTAGTGACTAGTTCCTTCTTGTTCAAAATAGCTATAGCGAACACACTGTGGCAATGAGAAGTAAACTTCGTACATGACTGTGTCCGCTTGTACTACTGTAGTTGCTGTTGCTTGATTGAAAGCTACCCATGGTATGATCGTGGAGAACCCAATAACCGTATCAAAAACAAATCATGGATATCTTTTTATTACGACTATTTGTATTAGTACAACCGAGTAATTAATAAAAATAACGGAAAGAAAATTATAGGAAGTACTGGGATGCGATATGTAGTTTATAGTTATCATAGAACGTTGAGACTGCAGAATAAACACTCTAGCATTCGATTGTTGAGCAACGTAGTATATCTTCGCCAAACAATATCGACCTTCAACTTTTGTATTGAAGACAAAGCACCGTATTATGGTGTGCGCAATCCGTGTTACCAATAATTATAGGTGCTGTTGATGTTTTTAATTACTGTATATTGACTGCAACGGATCAAGTATGTAATTCTGGCCCAAAGAAAAAGACCATTTTGTTAATATACCATACGCCGTTTCTATTATGCTGTTAGCTGCTTACGAGGTGTGTCCGTAGAGGCTGATTATATTTGTACTCGTCAAAAAGTTACTGGATCGATATATAACATTTTTAATAAATCACTAAGCGCGCACGCATATGAGGTCACTATAGCAACGAAGTATTTATTGGAAGACTTGGTGACATGCGCCATTGGGCCTATAGTCGCTTCCTTGCTGTACGCTATTATAATAAAAAAGGTAAAAACAGATAATCTGACGTCGCTCAAATAGGATAAAAGTTTAGAGGGAAGGAATAGCAATGGGCGCGGGTTATTATATATTTAGTCTAAAGTATCCTCTGCCGCTGGCTCTTATCAAGTACATAAGAAAAGATACGACTTGACAGACTATAGTCTTCTATAGGGATACTTGATATTGATAGTGAACAAGACATATCATATAAATAGTGATTAGAAGATTTAAAATTTATAGCGAATAATTAACCAAACGAAGATTCACCACTGAGCTGTGGATGGTGGTGATGCTTTCCTGCTCGTTCTGCGTCTCACGGCTACAACGACGGTAGCTACAGTAGTAAATCAACTGTTGCCGTATGTACAGCACATGAGTACACACATACACAGAGTCTCTCTCCTTTCTCCAGTTATTCAACGTACTCTCTACTCTGTTAGAAACTCAAAGATCGTCTAACTGTAGTTGTATTTATATGTGAGTAAAAAGTCTTAGACAAAGGAGCGGATATTTCCAATCGTTAATTCAAGTTAAACATGGGAATAGGTGCACCTTACCGTGGTAACATTTGTAGACCCAGTGACGTGGTGTTATTTAAGCTTTTCAATGCATACTGAAATCCCTATATTGTCAGCAATATCATGCATGGCAGTCAGCGTCGGCACACCATTCTGCCATAGCATTGCAGCCAATCACAGGCCTTGAAATTGGACCATTTCAGTTTTCGCGTTCTCTTTCCCACTTTTTAAGCCCCACAATTTTTTGCACACGTCATGTCATCAACCTCATCAACGATTTTCTTATTGTTGTCTCGATCATGGGTTACAGACTGATCACTCTTTTCTCTTTTTTGTTTCTTTAGCACAACTGTAGGAATCGATCAACGACAGCACGCTATCGATGGCGACCTGTCGCCCATATTTTTCAAATGCGTGCATTCATGAGGAGGTTGAACCTGGAATTAGCGCTGCACAGGGCCTATTCAACTAGGTGTGTGCAAGAGGCTTGTGAGGTCTACCACCAACAAAAAGCCGAGTGAAACCGTCCCGCTTACTTGCATTGAGAATGGAGTTTAGCTTCTACCGGCACCTTTTCAACCTGGAGCCGACGCGTCAGCGAAGATGAAGTTCTCAGTCATGGACCTGTGAATGCACGCCCTTTGATCAACGACTACGAATACAACTACGAGTACGAATACGAGTACGAATACGGATACGGATACAACTACGAATACTAATACTAATATTAATACGAATACGAATACAACTACGAGTACGAATACAACTACGAGTACGAATACAACTACTACGAGTACGAACACGAATACGGCTACAACTACAACTACGATTACGAAAAATACAACGAATACAAGTGAACCAAAGGAAACGAACAAGAATAGGAGATGAAGAGAAGCAAAACTTGCAAGTGAGGTGCAGGTTGACTGTTGGTTTTGGATTTTTATAAACTGTGTATCGTTCCTGCTAAAGCTTTGGCTTTGGCTTTGGATTCATTCTTTGAATGAACAATATTTTTGGAAGCTAAAGTAGTGCCACCTCGTGGTAGCTTCTGGAAGCATTGCTATCAAGCAGTGGCTAAGAGCACTACAAATATCATAGTAAACATAATAAATCTAATAAATGACTTTTCGTATAAAAAGCATATTATCTCTATGGTCTTGATACATCTTTTGCTTGGTTTCTTATACGTCTACTTGGCCGCATGCAATCTCGAATCATTGCTGAGCGTTATGTTGCATCCACCTGTGGATCCCGCCTGGTCTGCCAAAGGTGATGGTATGAGAGGCATTTGTGACGAAGTGGCCCTTTCGTGTGGGGATTACCTTTGCGTAAGTTATTGCCTGTTATATGTAGTTTGCACGGACAATACTATTTCCTTATAGCACAAAAGCACTAATAGCAGACCCTTAGGCGAATGCCCATCTACAACGGCGACTGCATACATGCGTAAAAATGGCATAGAATTTCGGTCACTGTTAGTAAACCTCTGTCTCTCTCTTCCTTTCTCTGTTTGTGTGTGTGTGTGTGTGGATATCCTGGCAGAGGGCGCTGTTGGTATGGAATGTTTGGGTTCACAGATCCAATTACTCGCTAAAATGGCGACATAACACCTCAGTGACTGAATACTAATTTCGCATCCACTTCTAGTAGGTAACGTACATGGCCACGCCAGTGTTTTCAAACTGGTTTCCTCCGTTGACTTTGTCTTTGCGCTGAGCTTCTCAGCTGCACTTCTCGAAAAAAAACTGTACGCACGTACCCAGGGATCGTAATACATATTATTAAGTAGGAGGAGTAGAGCATATTCTATTATATGTTACAATTACAGAGATAATGACTGTTTATGTGAGCAGCGTCATCATAAAAGCGGATCCACCGCAAGGATTGGGAAAGGTTTTTGTTTTCTTAAAAAGGATCCCATTTCTCTGCATCGACCAAGCTCGCCAGGTTAGGATCATCGTCAATCACGCTGACCACTGAGTTCGATGCGAGGCTAAAATGGACAAGTAGTCTACCTCCCAGGATGTGGAAAACTCTATCAAGCGTATTCAGCAGCGTCGTGTACCAGTGATGTCTCCAAGCTCGGGATCCCCTCCGATGTCCTCCCCCCACACACTCCCTACACCCCCAATTTTATTTTCACGGCCAGCACGAACGGTCTGCGCATATAGAGGCCGAGTATGATAGCAAAGTACAATGGAGACCCTGCACGAAAAGCATCGTAACTTGGCCACAGAGCCGCAGAAAGACAAGGTCCTGGTATGTACGTGTTGCCAGGAGTCTTTACATTGTGCTGGTTGCAATTGTGTGAAAAAAGCTTTGCGAATCTCTTCGCGAGAACAGCCGCCATTCCGCGCGGAATTGGCCAAAATGGGTGACGCGACGAATACAATAAAATAAATTTTTGACATGCTTGACATGGCAACAAGCAGCTTTCAGGAACAGGAAATGTCACGACCCTGAATGCCATGGCAACAAAAAAGTCTTTTTCTGCTGTATAGCTCTTCGAAAACAAGCTTCCAGTTGTCTGCTTCAAAGGTCCCATAAGTCATAAAGAAGGATCTTTAATGTGAGTGGTAAGAGATCATCGGGCAAGGCAACCCAAAAAAGGAAATTATTTGTGCATATCAAATCAAATCATATCAGAGCAAGTATAGATAAGGAAGCAGGATACAAAAAAACGCGTTTTTCTTTTTCTTCTCTTCTTTACCAGTTTTTCTATTCTTCCGTACTTTTACGATGAGCACTCACGCTGAAAACACCTACGACCAAGCCACAGGCTACTACAACTTCGACCACGACGATGCGTCCACCATCCCCTACGACCCTGACGCGGCATCACAGCTTTCATACCATTCCCGTTCCACCATCTCCTCCGCGCCACCCCAATTCTCGCCCGTCCTTACACCCACCTTCAGCTTCGATAACGCCAGCACGGCCTCACACCACTCCTTCGTCACCGTCTTCTCTTCCGACTCCTCCCTCATCATTGACCTCGGCAACAATGATGATGCGTCCAGTGCTCTGTCGCGTGCGGGTTCGTCCCCACCGCCATCACCGCAGTTCAGTCCTTTGCATTCTCCCGTCTTGCCGCCGTCCCCTCTTCCTCACCATTCTGCTCCCGCTTCCCCTGTCCTCTTCCCCGCTCTCGCTCCTCCGATGGTTGAGGTTGCCGATGACGAAGAGGCTGAGGAGGCGCCTGTGCCAGAAGAGGACGAAGAGATCCCATATGCTGGTGATCTCATGGACATTGACAGCGATGACATGGATATTGACGACGATCAGAGCAATCTGATGCACGTTGACTGGGTACCGCCCTCGTACCCCTGGTGGTACTGAAAAAACCTATAAAGTAAGCTACTCCACATTGACCTTTTTATTGAGCACGTTCACTGACTTGGACACGTCTATTCTTTCTGTTATGATAGATCCCAACAAAAAAAGAAAAAACACCACAAAAGGTAAGTAATGTTTCTGCTGGTCTTGTGCTTCTGCTTCTTTGCTATCATAGACGCGCATCTTTGATACCGCCTTCTTCTTTTTCGTACAAATTTTTATAGCACTTAAAAAAAATTCAAAAGTCAAAACCCTCAAAAAAACATTCAGTATTCCGCATTCAGTATTCAGTATTCCGTATAACTATTGGTAACAAGTTAATCCTCGTTTTACTAAGCCTGCTTCAAACACATTGCTGCCTGATAAAGATGAGAACTAACATTGCTGGCTGGTCGATTTAATAGGCCCTCCTTTTCCTGCTTCCGTTCTTCTTTACCTGCTCCTGCTTTATCCTCTTCTTCCCGCTTGTTGGCGTTGGTTTGTGTTGGCGCGTCGGCGTCGTGGTGATGTGTCGGTTCCTCGGTGGTGCCTTCTCGGCATGGCTTCTTGGGGTGGTTCGTTTGGGCCCTCTTTGGTCGGCTTATTTGCGTGGGCTGTTTTGGTATGTAGTTTAAAGAAGGCTGTCTCATATTCAAGGAATATATTTACTGATTGGATCCATGTTCTTTAGGTCTTTGCGTGGTCGGTTCGGCTGCGATGCTTCTGGTGTTTTGTCTGGCGGCTTCCGCCTTCGTCAGGCGATGGGGTGCAGTGGAGGGTACCCGGAGTAAGGTAAGGGCTGAGATGGAAGGCTGTGGCAAGGCACTGTGCTATCGCCTGTATAGGGAGATATAGGGGGCCTCTGCGCATGTTTCACGATGACTTTGGACTAGATGGCTGTGGCACCACCGGTGTGCTGTATGGTGATGCTAGGAACATTGCATTGTCGTTTGTCGGTTTTGGAGGACGTGGGTGACACCTTGCATAGCAGGAATGTACAATGGAGCGGCCCGGTAGACCATGGCTCTGTTTGCAGGCACGTATTGATCATCTTTACTTTCACGTAATAAAGGAAAACAAAGTGAGCATGATTTACTAACTAATTCAAAGTATTTTTGCTAGTCGTCCATCCCCCTTTCTTGTAGCAGTTAATCGTTTTGACGATTGCTAATACAAGGGAGGGGAGCAGCTCTATGTAGGACCTGGAGACCGTCTTTGCATTGTAGCATTTTCTTAGTCGTGGTTGCTCCATTGGTTCACACTGGCTCAAAAGACACCCCGTGGTACTCCTGCGTCGACAATACCACAAAGCATTGTTCCACAAGCATTACCACCTCACCGACCCCACAGCACGGTTCTCGGTCGTCCTCTGGAATGTGTTTACGCCTAAACCGCGTCTGATCCCTCAGGGGGCCTGGGTAGCAGTTAGCTGTCCCTCTGCTATGGAAGTGAGTATCCTTCTGTCTCATAACCCTTACCCTCTGCTTCGGGTGCCTGAAGCTGGGGTGTCCGGGCTGGGGTTGTCCTGGCGAGAGCGATGGAGGTAGTAGTACGCTGCCATGTTGGGAGAGCGCCAGCTTTCCAGGCTAGCCGAGTAAAAAAAAACTTGGCGCTGATCGTGGATTAGCAGAATCCCGTCTTTGGCTTGATTACATCGTCGTTGCGTGTGGTTAGTATGCATGTGCCTGACATGCCGTCATGGTGAGGTGGCGCCAAATTTCAGGCTAGCCGAGTACAAAAGCACCCTTGTGTCGAATCGAGGATTCGGAGAATCCCGTCTTTGGCTTGATTTTCTCTTGTCAAAATGCATGCCCATCACGAAAAAGCGTGCAACGGTGAATCACATGTTTCAGCGCAGCAATTTTATCATCACATCAAGAAGTAGCGCAACTCAGTGATACGGATAACAAGCAAGAAGTTGTAGCAACGAAGAGGCATCAGCATGGCTGACGGTTCAACTCGAGTATCTCAACAAGTTACGTTAAGGCGGCAAGGACATGTAAGGAGCAACACATAAAAGAGAGCGGTATCAGCACGTTGTAGACATAAAACCGAAAAGCACAAGAGCGGAAAGAATTGACAACATTGCAAATGCAATTGCTAAAGGTCGGATCGAGATGATGAGTCACCTCTGCTTATGACAACAAACAGCAAGATTTATTCATGCGACAACATCGACGCAACAAAATAGTCGGCATCGGCATTGATGACATCCAACTTGGTGGCAACAACTCAGGCAAACAGCATTTGCGGTAACAATTGACAACAGCGGGAACAGAACAAGCTTTCGAGCGGATCTTCATCATGGCACAACAAGATATCAAGAGCTTCGGACGACAACATCAACCAAGGCAGGAAGGTGGCAGCTAAACCCTGGAATCTGGCGACAGCACACTTATCAAACAATCAAGCGGTCAACAGCTTTTCAATTACATGACAATTCTCGTCCGCTTCTGATCGTTTATCGTTGAAGAGAAACAAGAAGCCATGGGAACGCTTTTCTGTCAAACCTGCATAATCTGGCGATAATATAGTATGAAGCGTAATGACAACCACACATCAGAGACAACAAGAGCGGCAAGAAATGATGTAGGCAGCACAATGAGTCATTTTACTTGCTACTTTATGAAGCGAAAGTAAGTGCGTATGGTTTTCTGATGACACTGAAATTCAAGTCAAAAACAATGGTATGCTCATATCTATTATCTCTTCTTGGAAATCGTAAAGGCGATCCTAAAACTTGGCGATGACCTCCAGACAACAAAGCATCGCGGGTTTGGACGAAATGGAGCAGTAAGGAAACCAATGCGAACAATTAACTCAACAAAGTGGCATCACATCATACGTGATGGTTTCATTCACTTAACGGGTGGTGAATGGAAACGCAGCTGAAGCGGACGCAAATCAAACACAGGACACAGCTATTCGAACAATACAAGGTCTCGCTCATAAGGCGCATCAAACACGACATTGGCTTTGAGGGCATCATCATCAAGTGGCCCATCATAATTAGATCGACACGACGGCACCGTATACCAACAAAGCGGGAAACAAGAAGAGCCTACCACAAGTATACAGTCTACGATACATTGGTGAGAGAGACGATCCTACAAACCTGATCGGTGGCAAGCGGAAGCAGTCAATACATCTTTCAAAGTCAAGATGGAAGACACATATGCACATACACACTCAAGGCACATCAATGAAACGCACATGATTGTCCACCGAGCATCCATATTGCTCGCTCAATTATTATGCGACGACAATAAGATCATTTGTGGAGAAAAGGAAAAAACGGTAATTGTGCAGTGCTTTAGAAGGATTACAACAAACTTCATTGGGACAATACCACATATATTCATCAAAACTTCAAACCATCCATTAGCAAAAGTGGCGGCCGAACGATATTGCTATTTAATGCGTCCTCAAGAGATGCAGACACATGCTTCAAGAAAATCAGCTACAGACAGCAAGATATACCAGGGGCAATAGGCATTTAGAAAAGCATTACGGTAAGAATTAGTGGCAAAAAGCAATTGATCCACCTTGTAATGTTACGCAATTGTGCTCACATTGCTTTGTCGTAGAGCCCTGCATGTTCCTATATACCAGTCAACGATATCTCTCACGAATATATTCCCACTACAGATGTTTGGTAAGTTAATGTCCAGGTAATGATAGACCCCATGAATAAGGAAAAGAAAAAAGAAAAGAAAAAACCAGAAAAAAAAGAAAAGAAAAAAAATTATATACAAGACACGAGTTGCAAGGCAAATGCTGCAAAAAAAAAAAAAGGCAACTCGAGAACAAAAAAAAAGAACGACAAAAAGCAGCACCTAGAGCAAGCTTATGGAAAATTATGATACAAGGTCAATACGTTTCGTAAGATACGAATGCACTTGTATCAATTCCGGGCTGAAGACAAACAATTGCATTCAAGACAAACATCGAAACAACGATAGGCATTACCTATACAAGTGGACCAATTATGGAAAAGTGATTTTAACTGTAAGTACAAAACACATGATGATATGTTGCCATCAATTTCATCGGTAGCTAACGTCACAAAGTTCATGTTATGTTTTCAATATTTCAAACAACAGTAACGAAATCAAGATTCTCGAGTTTTGTAATCGCAAACAACTTATCCATACCTCTAATCAAAAATGACGTCCGTGATCCACAAGAAGAGATGACGAGATCATCATACAACGGATGTAGCTGATGAGTGATACAACAACAATACCGTTATACAAAAGCAAAAAATTACGAAGGATAACCATAAAGTACAACGAGCAACTGCAGCACAGCCTTGGCATTTATAGCAGAAACTTAGACTAGAAGCAAAAGAATAAGGGGCTATCATTACCACGGACGTAAACTTACTAACATTTGGTAGAATAAACATATCTTTCTTATCAGCTCAGAATAACACTTACTTTTGCTAGAGGAAATTGCTCAAGATTAGGGATTGTTGCATATAACCATTTTCGTAGAATATATCATTTATTTATACAGTAGTGAGATCTAATGTTATCATAATGAACCAGTTTGTAACTCCTTCCGGGTCTCGTTGACTTATTTTGTCCCTTTAGGTTTATTTGATAATACAGTGACTCAAAAAGCCAGGTAAGTGTTGCCTTTATCATACGTTGATCATCAATCTAACCTACAAACGCATCATTAAGAATATGTACATATTCGGATGCTCGCTTCAATAAGAGCAGCTGAATTATTAGCAGTGCATAATAGCATGCTACGATTGAGCTACGTACATGTGATACTGCATATACATGTCTTAGAAGATATGCGATGACGAATTGTATCAATTATGTTTTGCTCCTCTTGTTGCAGATCTGATTGATAATACTACTACATGTATATAGCAAGGTTTTAAACAATCTTGTCTACTGAATTCCTTGCATGTAGGTAGTTGCTGCTTGCTTGATTGAAAGTTACCCATCGTACGAAACCAAAAGCTTCTACAAAAGTGAGCAGAAGGCACGCACTGCATTTAATTCAAACAGTAGCGAAAACATTGTGTATTTGATTGACCGCAATTATCACGGTAATTGAACCAACCTTAGATTACCATCCATGGCAAAGAACGACAATAGGCACGACAACGAACCCGGAAAAACAGATTCAGAAGAGGCAAATAAGAACAGATAAGATAAGGACGAGCAAGTCAAAAAAGAAAGCATTGCTTTCTGTTAAAATGTGAAAGGCAACGTAAAACCTGCTGGTCAACTTATAGAAAAAGACACCGCCGTCGACGATGGTAGCACCCCTAATAACGACGAGAGAAGACCCAGCAAATAGAAATTGTTCCAGTCATCATCACATAAAGAAAACGTCTAAACAAAAAAGAAATGATGATGTAGATTAACACAGTTGTCAGTCAAGTTAATTTTGCTAAGCGGGCTCGAGGGGATTGTTTGTTGTTTTCGAAGAAAAATGTATTGTTATTAATGAAAAGGTCAATTGTACTACTTTAATGATTAAAACAAATAGCTAGAAACTATGTATACATGAAGAATGTGGTGACAAGAAAAAGCGCTACTTTTGATGATGAGAAAAATGATGCAAACAGGGGGGGGTGGGGTGTGGGGGAGAAAGGTAAGAGATGAGAACTGTACAATGATTACATGAGAAAGTATTATCGCTTACACTACTAGCTGTTATTATACTATTATTATTACTGTTGTATCGAGCAAAAACAAGTTAGGTCACGGTCACTTGGCGCAACCAATGGATTGTTTTCATTTCTGCAGAATCATCAACAGCCCGTTGTTGCTCGCTATGATCGCCATACCACTGTTCAAAATACTCCAGTGTTTCGCGTGCGAGATCCATGACTGCTTGGCTTTCAGGTCTGGTATACTCAAGCTCGCCGGACGATGATGAAGATGAATCATTGTCGTTGTCACGGTGTCGATGGTAATGGTATCGGCGTTGTTTTCGCATATGGTCTCGCCGTTCAGTAGGTCGTACGGAAAATCGTTCCTTATACAAAGCCATGGACCGTTCGTGCTCAGCCCACAAAGTCGCCATAGGGGGGCCCATGGCTTGAACGGTATCGCTAATAATTTTGCTTCCGGTCAGAGGGGGCCAGCACTTTGGAATGGCGACAGTGAGGCCGGATGATGCGGCAAAAGAAGCTAATGCAGTGCTACCACGGTTGTCGGTTATAGCAGCCAATCGCCTGCTCTTTTGTTGTTGTTGTTGTTGTTGGCGGTGGTGTTTTGGTTTGCTTTGTTTTGCATAATGTAGCCGCTGTTGTGGTTCGTGCACCGTCGTTGCTGTCGTCACATGCGTTTCTTGCTGCCATGCTGATGTCAATGCAATACATAGGGCTGTTTGTAGTAACAAATGTGTAACGAGCCAGACACTTAAAAGTCGCAAGCTATTTCCCGTATGGTGCCGATGAAGAACGACATCCGCTTTTTGCAGGTGCTTGCCTTCTTCCGTTGCTGACACTACTGTTGTTGCGGTATCCACATCCGATGCTGTGGTTATACAACAAGGGTCGTTGTTAAAGGTTACACACGTACTTGTCGTGGTTGATGCAGATGAAATCGTCGATGTGATCGAGAATCGGCTAGACGATGATATGGATGAGCACTGGTCTGGGCTTTGCCCAGCCATCGTATTCTCTGGAGACTGGGTGTCGTTTTGGACATGCTGGAGTTGCTTCTGGTCTTGCTCCTCCTGCTGGACGATCGCATGGGTACGTGCATCATTCACCCAATCGAAGGGATGGCGTAACCAGCTCTTGATAAGTGGGCTACCATGCACGACTGCAGTCGCATTGAATTGACGTTGACAAGGTATGACGGCTAATGGATGATCATTAGACGACTGCTGACGATGGTGATTATGAGTGCTGTCAACCATGGTATTTCTTCCAGAGTCAAGCTTCTTCTCTTTAGTGGATGCTTGTTTCTCGGGGGCTACTGTGATTCGACGATAAAGTGAGCTCCACCAAGGACCCTGAATAAATTGGCGCGTGCGGTGTTGCTGTTGATCCGAAGCCAGAAAAGAAGCTATTGATTGATAATGATAATGATGATGATGATGTGCGCTCAGGGTGGTAGTGGTGCTGTTGGTGATCTGGGGTCGATGCTGAGCGAAAGAAGAAAGTGATGAAGCCCATGATGAAACGCGGGGAAAGTGTTTCTGTCGTTGCTGATGCTCTTTTTTGTTCAATAGTTTGTTGCTCATCAGTTTGCTCGTGGATTAGAGAGAGAGAAAGAGAGAGAGGAAGGCAATAAGAATAAAAGGGAAAAAAACGTGGACTATGAGTTTATAAAGTAATCCATTGTGAGTTGAATCAGGTGGGCTATGGGAAGAAGAGGATCGTGTGTGGAAATAAGGGTTTTCTCTTCCTTTGGTCTAGCTACTAGTCTTTCCAGGACTCTCTGGAGTAGAGCAGAAGGTGCTCCTTTTTTTCTTTTGAAAAAAAAAAAACACCTATCCAACGTAGAGTACTCCTTCTTCCTAATAGCACAATAACCCATCAAGAACCGTTTCCCTAAACGGAAGCGATCATCATTACCAATACTCTCTGTCGTATGTTTTCCTACAAAACCTAAATGTCCTTTTTCTTCAGTCTTAAAAAGACGACGTTTTGAGGAGTGTTCGAAAGGAAAAAAAGGTGGGTTAGCCACCACTGTGCACAGTGATGAGGAGTGGGCTTTTTCGGTGAAAACAAGTGTCTTTGACGAGTACATTTCAGTGGCAGCAGGAGTGCCTCTTTGCTTACTATTTCTTTTCTTAGCTTATATTTTGGGAGTCAAGAAAGACAGAGAAAAAAAAAAGGGAAAAAAGCTTATTATTCTTTCTATCACAATGGTCGGGTATGTTCCTTTCTTTTCCAACCAACAAAAACTGCAGTGCGATTCTTTTGATGCCATCCAAAAAATAGCTAACAATGCTCACTCTTGAGCCTATAAAATAAGGGGGAGAGGGCCGTTCTTGAGTTTAATTTTGACTGTGACGCTGCGAGCTTGTTGCTCTTTCCATTTCTTCTGTGCGCTACACATCCGTCTCTTTTCGTAGAAATGCAAGTGTGCTCAAGTAGTGAAAAAGGAAAAAGAAAGTGTATGTGCTGTGTGTAAAGATAGCACAACCGACAGCTCGCTACTGCTCTTTCATTCTTTTTCTTACGATTTCTCTCTCTCTCTCTCTCTCTCTCTCTCTCCTTCTAACTTGCTCGCTCGTACACATGTCTTCTACTAAATATTTCATGATCTATGCTCCTTATCGCAACGACGACGGCGTCAACGTCCTCGATTTTGTTCCAAGCCATTCGATCGTAGCTCGTGGCATTTTTCTTGACAGGGATACTCCCTTTAGGAGCGACAATCGCCCTAGACGCGGCTTTACGCCCGATGAGAGATAATAAATACAGTAGCTGGTGTGATACGTAGTGATGATGACGAGAAAAATTGTGATCAAGGAGAGTTTACGAAGAGGAGGTCAAGGGAAACCCTACGAGGGAGAGAAAAAGTGTTATCTTGAAGTAAGGAGCTAGAAGAGAAATCTTTAGTCATTAATGACATGACCATTAGCAGCAATAGCGATAGCAATAGTGACAGTAGGCGTTGTGCAACAATGGAGATGGTGATGATGTTAAAAGTCACATCGGAAGCCACCCACCTCCTCGGAGCAGGTGTGCGAAGATCAGCATGGTGTTGTGCGACAATGCTGTCCAAGAGTTAAGCGTGCGTACAGATAGCTACCGGGTCTCGGACTGGGTCAAACGCGAGTATCTGGTGATGCTAATAACCTCGAAAAGATTGACGCAAAGTAAAAAAAAAAAAACCACCTTAACGTGGCATGGACAGTTAAAGTAGATGATCGACACTTTGTGTGTGGACCCACATCAGTATTGCATACCAATGCATTGGAATTGCTTCTTGTACTGAAAAACGTCTTATACTAGATGGTTTTGCCTGTTTAATAAGCGAGTAATAATCATTTTAAGGAGTAAAGCCATTTGGGTAATACAAAAGCACAAAAAAAAAACAAACTTGAGATCGCACAGGCCATTGTAAATGAAAAGCTAGACTCCGCGCATGATTAAATCTGCAAGTATATTGTATTATTTGGCTCTGATAACCAATAGACAATTGAGCAATGATAAATGCCCAAAAGAACAATGTGTAGCCTGCGTACAGGTTTTTTGACAGGTTTGGTGGTTGCTGCTCGATTAGCCTGAATGTTTTCTTAGTCCGTGCTCGTTCCCATACTAGTCCGGCTTGTGAAACAAGTTACACACAATAAATGAGCAGTGTAAACAAAGCAACTGACGAGTAGAAGAAGGTGTGGGTATGATATGTGCTGTGAGATAGCAAAAGTAGGAAAAGGAACGGTCTCCGTGGTTACCATTGCCAAGTTCTCGGCAATGCGTATGAAAAGGGATTTCTAGCAAATGAGATAACGCGTAAGCATGTGGAATATGAAGAGACCCCGGGGACACCTCGGGCAATTGTGCATCATCCATCCATCATTTGGGGGGTGGGGACAGCGTGAGGGGGAGACCGAGGGGAGGGGGCTGTTTGGGGGGTGAGAGAGAGAGAGAGAGAGAGAGAGTTGGGATCTGGCCCTGGATTTTGGGAAAAGCTATTTTAAGCTTCCCTGTTTCGTCTCGCGTTTCTTGCTTTCTTTTTCTTCTCACTTTACTACTTTGCAATCAGAAGCCAACTTCTTGGTGACCATACTTACCTGCTACTCGCTGCTACTTCCAACGCCCCTGACCCTTTCCTTTCTTCGACTGATCGACTTGTACATAACAATGAAAACTGTCATCATCAAACTTGGCGGCGCGGCAATTACCAACAAGAAGGGTTCCTGTCAACTCGCTGATGAACATACACTGGATGCGTTGATGCAACAGATCCAGCAAGCCCACGAATATCTCTCTGCGCAAGGCCACCGCCTCATCCTCATCCATGGCGCCGGCAGCTTCGGACACCCTCAGGCCCGCCAATACAATCTCAAACAGGGCTGGGTAACAACCTCTGGCCTATCCACACCACCCTTGACGAGTGCCGACGACGACGATCCGCTGGACCAAAAGGCAGGATTCGCGCATACGCGCAAGTGTCTTTTGGAGCTGCATCTGGCGCTACTTTCGCGATTGCAACAGCGTGGCCTCCCGGTCCTTGGCCTATCACCCTTCGAGCACTTGGAGACGGACGGTGGAGACAAGAGCCCGAACGCATGCTTTGAGAAGCTCGCCAACCGCACGAGCCAGTACCTGAAACTAGGTTTCATCCCATTGTTGCACGGAGATGCTGTTCTGGATCGCTCGCTCGGTTGCACCATTCTTTCAGGCGATATTGTCATGCACAAGCTCGTCATGCTGATGCCCAACATCACGCGCTGCGTGTTTGTTACCGACGTGGAAGGCATCTATGATGCAGATCCAAAGACGACAAAGCGTCCCAAGCTGATCAAACACATGCCCGTCCGCGCTGAGGAGGAGAACAACAACAACAACAACAACAACAACAAGCGTTTGCCTAAACGCGGCAGTGCAACCAAGACTGCAGCAAACAGAAAACAACGCCGCTTGGCCCCTGTCTCCACCGGCGTCGTCGACGTTACTGGCGGCATGGGCGGCAAGGTCAAGTGGGCCCGTCAAATCATGCTCGATGCCGCATCCACGCTGAAACGAACCGATTTGGATATCGTCATTTGCAAGGCGGCCTCGCCCGAAGCTACCAGGGTGATGAGTCTTGAGCCTGTCCTCGAAAAAGGGTTGCCTGTGCCTGGTCAGCTCATGACAGTGTTCTCCTGGGCTCAGTAACTGTTGCTGTTGCACTTTGTGTGCGGTTGCATCAAACACGACCATACCAGTGTGTTACCAAAGCATCCTTCGCCCTTCTTTGCTCTCTTCCGTTCTGCCTCCGCCTTCCCCAAACCACCGTCACCACCCAAAAGCATCCATCCACCCGCCTTTTCACCGAGAGAGAGAGCGAGAAAAAAGCTACTTGATAGATGTCGTCGTTGCCTATATCGATTTGTGATACCCGTTCATTATCTTTCTACTCGTTCATTGCCATTTTTCTGTACACTACATTATTTTATCAGTTTGTCTGTTTTCTTTTTCAGTCGCTTTAGATACTATTAAAAAAGATTTGCATCCTTTATATATGTTGGCTTCTGGTTATTTTTATCATCATTTAGCAAGGTAATCTTGGACCAACTGGCGAACGTGCTCGGGTTGTTTAGAGTACACAGCAAGTAACCGCTCTGTGGCAAGGGCATGTAGGTCTCCTCCATGATCTGCACCCGTCAGTTTGGATGCACACTACATGTCAAGTATTTGTTGTTGTTGTTGTTGGTGTCTTGCTGTTAGCAAAACAAGTGGTCATCCACATCTCAAACAGATCAACAAATTGGAAAAAGTTGGACTTACCAGCTGCAGGCCATAGAGTGCCCGCACATTATCCGTACACAACTCCAACACCTTGCAATAATGCTTCATTGCCAACGACCAGTTTCCCAGTGTGTAGACAATCTCGGCGTACTTGAGATACCAGATGTGGTTGGCAGGCTGGAGAATGATCAGCTCCTCGCAGCAAAATGCGGCTTGTTCATAGTAATGTTGGTCCATATACATGTTGCAAAGTTCAATCCATCCTTCATGGTCATCGTAGTAGGTATCCAAGTATTCCGTCATGGCTGCAATTGCTTCCTCCGTCTTGTTCCGTTCCTTTAGGAGCACAATTTGACGTTTTGAAGCCAACTAGAGCGTGCATATACATATAGCATGTCAACTTTCATAGATTTTTCATTGTTGTTGTACATGACTTATTTTTATCTTGGGTTACCAAATGAGTTGCATCCTTCTCCAATATGCTATCATACACCGTTTGTGCCTCGTCTAGTTTTCCTTGTGCTTCCAAAAACATGCCCTTTAATCGTTGTAGTCGAAGTGAACTGTCCCCAAACCGTGCCTGCAGTTGATCGAGACAGTGCTAAAATAGTAAAAACAACCGACGTCCCCCCCCCCCACCATTCAACATTAGCTTCTAAATATTCGCTAAAGTCCCTTTCCAACTTTTTGTCTCTTACTTGTGCTAGTTCGAAATCTTCAACATCGAGAGCTGCAATTGTTATTTGCTCATAAAGGGGCCATACTGTTGCAAAATTATACTTTTAGACGCGCAACGCACACATGCACACTCCAAGATGGATCCAGCTTTTGACCAACTTGCCTTGATCTTTAAGTTTATCAATATATTTGTCCCTAATTAAACGTGCACCTACTGATGCTACATATTCTGAACGGCGTTCATTGGTTGTTCGGAAGGTTTGTAGTTCTTCGATCGCGGCTGTATAGTCGAAACGCGGCATATTGAAAGAGGGCAACCAAAAGACAATGTTGGTTCGCTGGGCGGAGTCATTTTGTCTCTCCATCCATGGGATTCAAACGCCCCTTCATTGCGAATCTAGGTACTATTTCAAGGCCTATGTGATCTACTATATCTTTTCACAAATTCTCTTACACATCAATTCATAGCAACTGTTTAGCATTAATTTTGTGCTATTCAATATACACTTCGATGGTTTCAGATAGTTTCATGTACTAGCGCTCTATACAGTACAGTTAATTGCATGAAAGATGCTAAGTGTACAAAATTTTGCTCTGTTTCACTTGGTCGGTACGTCTTCACAACAAACTACCACAAGTACTTTCGTCAGTGAACATTCATCCACATAAAGTAGATAATAGTGTTTCACAATGCCTTCAGTATACAGTAAATATACGCATTAGAGACGCAGCAGCGAAATAGAAAACGACCTGATACAATCATCTATTAAGTTGGCAACAATATCAATCAGAGTAATGGCTTAAAAGTTGATGGGATCGTGATACATAGAGCCGCAAAATTAAAAGGGCTTAGGAGCACTTTTCGATTCATTGCATATGTGTTTGTATAGCTAAATAGAGCTTGTCAGGTTCACATGATGATGAGGATGTTCATTGCACCGTTTTGAATAATGTACTGCTTCTGCTACTTTCTACATTATCAGTAATCTATCTATTAGCAGGTTAAAAAAAAGGATTAGTTGGTTTTGGGATTTCTTTTCTCCTACGGCACTAAAGTTTGATTGCGTGGATAAAACGAGCATGCATAACAAATTAATGTGGTATAGCGCAGCACACACACAGCTACCTATTGATACTTTGATGATTAACTAAAAACAAGTGCACAATCACTTAAAGAGATATAATACTAGCTGTGACCGGTATAACCATCTATCAAATTTAGCCATCAACTACTATATGTTGTTTTTCTGTTCATGCTGTAACATTTACTTGCTTTATTCTAAATAATAAGACTCACTATTTACCGTAGATGCGACACAACGGTAGAGGAAGAAAGGGGGATTTTTGATAGATAGTGTAGCAGCTTATATTGCATAAGTAGTATAGGCAAGTATGTACGTCTAATGCAGGGTAAATAGTACAGGGTTTTCTTTCTATCTGCTGCTTTCTTTTGGCTTTCTTTATAACATTACGTGCGTCGTATAAAAGTAAATCAACTTTTGATGAATTTGTTTATCGACTATCAAGCAGGTCCATCTTTGCATTCTTTAAAAGTTTAAGGCTCTATATGTATAGTCATCATGATGTCGATTTTGGACCTTGGCATGTACATTTAAGTTATTAAGATAAAGCTCTGACATTTAGTAGCATTGTGCTGTTTAATTGATAAGATTGACGACACGCAACTGTGAGAAAACGGTGGTATCATAGTCTTTACCACTTTATCTTGATGCCTGGAATGCCCACGGCCACGCATTGGGTCTGCGTCTTCTCTCTCTAAGATCTGAGCAATATGTTTGGTATTATTTTTTGTTATAAACAACGCATGCGACGAGTATTTGAATAATATGGCAGTTCATGTTTAGTAGATGCACATGCATGATTACTATTGCTTGGAGTTGTATACATAACATACTAATGTATTGCCAACAACGCATGTATAGGGTCTGTATGTATGCATTTTAAATAGATGACACATGCTGCACTGTCATTTCTTTCGATGGATCAAGACACGACGCCTTTAGCAAGCAGCGACTATGCAACTGACTCGAAATACTATGAGAATTTGAGCACGATACACAACTATCTAGTCTTAGAAATACCGAAAAGTGGCGCTTTGGGTGAAAGAAATGAAAAAAATCAAATTTTTTTAATGTAAAGACTCGACATTACTCAATATGATTTAAAAAATGATGATGGTGTTAGAAAGCGATGGCGCTCCAGTAGTAGATTCGATTGACTTTTGCTCAACACCTACCTATGCTCATATCATACTACAGTATCACAGCTGAATAGACATAGCATGATACGTAATGAGAGCAAGAGAATAATTGATAATGAATGATTTTATCAAAACTACTTCGCATACTATAGCTCAGATGTATTGCAGAGTTGTTAGTCTAGACATGGACAACAATACACAGAATCAAAAAATTTGATACAAGGACAAAATCCGCCGGCGGCGCACCGCTACTTTGATATATGTTATCACCTTTCTTTCAATGTTATAATTGTTGTTACTTCTATCATTGCGGTATAGTAGTACCGTTCAGCTTTACCTTCCAAATTCGGTGCTTAGGCCATCATCGTCACACAGAGTAGTGTGGCGCATTATAAATTACCATTTTTGGTTTCGATATACAGTCATTTCAAAAAAACAAAGTCGTTGGTTTTGAATTCAAAAAAAGTCTTGATGTTCAACAATGATGTCAGTTGGTCCAACAATAAAGTCGTTTGATGAACCTTGTTTATTTTTACATATCGCTTATTAGTAATTGCCCAATGATACTCTTGGCATTTATTTTGGTATAAATAAAAGTGATGTTTTGAATTCCCTTGTTTCTTTGTCAAAAATGGTATACGAAGATGGGCAAGGGCACGTTGTCGATGAACATGGAGTTGAGCCGATGGATCTTGCCGTTGATGAGGAGCTTTTCGCCATCGAAACAATAAGTTCTTATACTCAGTTTTTACAGAATAAACCTCCAGAGAAACCATCTAAGCCTAAATTGCATTCAACTGGAGACGAAAGGAATCATGCAGATGTTTATATGGATCTTTGCAATAAGAGACGATGTACATCTTACTCAGATGACGAAATGACTCGATTTTTTCGTATGTTTTTTAGTAAATGCCTCAAAGCCTGCTGTTGAAACATATGTGATGTACTTACTCGCAGAGATCAAGTTACCAAACTCGATTCAGGGCTTATCTGGATTTATCACTGAAGTGCCATCCATACTCAAAATTCTGCATGTCTTCGATACAGTCTGTGTATCTTTTGATATCCCTGATATCATTGCCAGGCGACGAGCACCAACTCTGTCAAAAATTTCAACAAATCATCTCTAAATCTAAGAGCCGAAAGCGATCTTGCCATCTCCACCGCAGACGAATTGAATACTGGCTGCATCTCACTTCAAAACCATTTCCACGTCTCGTTCCTTAAAAAAATTCCCCTCATAACGATCACCCAAACAATTCCTATATCAGCCCATCGAATAAATAAACGATCACTTTCTATTAAAAGCTCATCATCAGTGGTACATTTGATACTGTTTTGGGACTGTTTGTATTAAGCTGTACTTGCAATAAAAAAATAAATCTTAAAATATAATAATAAGTAATAGAAATCCTGGCTTGAAAGACTACGTTCAAGACTATCAAAATGGGGACCAATACCACACACGGGGATAACTGATAATTTATTGATGAATTAAAGTGGTTTTTTATATGTTTCTTTTTGTTATGGTTACTTGCGTCATCGTGCAGCAAGTAATCATTTTCTGCTTTTTGTTATTTTGTAATCTTAGTAGGGCGACGCAGCAACCAACCCTTTACCCACACCACAATACAGTATACCTCTCTCTACCTCTCTCTACCTCTCTTTACCTCTCTTTACCTTTCTATACCTCTCTTACCTTGTAGAGACACTTACCGAAGCATTTGGCAGAATGAAAAACAAAGCCTTGGAAGTCACTTAAACTCTAAACTATCATAAGCTTCGCTAATTCTGGTCATCAACGTCCCTTTTTTCAAGAACTTGTTTCGCTTCACCATTACTCTTGATAACTGACCATAACTGCTCCATTGGATTCAATTCAGGAGAATATGGAGGAATATATACAAGTCGATATCCTCGATAATGTATAAATACTTTTCTATATCAGTTGAGCTTGGATATTAGGAGCATTAATTATCACAAGATAGTGTCCCTTCAGTTCTGGATACTTGTCCATTTCATCAAGAGTAGCTTTTATAAACCTCAAATAATGTCCTGTCACTGTTTCTATACCATAAACATCAGTCTTATACCTAAGCTTTCTCTTTTTGATTCGTTTTGGAACTCGTAAACTAACATTTAATTAGACCGGTGGCAGATATTGCACCTAAAATCGATGTTGCTTTTGTCAAAGGCACTGTAACTACTGCAGGGGTTCCTTCTTTCTTTGACCATGCCATACCTAGTTTCAAATTAATATAAAAGGCTGATTCATCAAGAAAAACACAGTTTGTTGTAAAGTCCAATAATCAGTTTGTTGCCACTATTTGTACCCAATCATACCTTTGTTGAATTTTTTCCTCACTGTTTCTTTCCAAAGGTTGGAATTGCGCCTGTTGGATAGATAAGCTACACTGCGTTGTCATGAAGTTATAGACAGTAGTACGAGAAACGTTAAGATTTACAAAGTATTGCAGTAAACTTTCTGCCACTTCAGTTAAAACAAAAGAAGGATTCTCGTCAATGTAATCTAAACTAAATTGCTTATAATGCTCTTCCCCAAGAATACGACGTCGGCCTGATTTTTCAGGATTTTCATAATATCGCTTGACCCATCTTTGGGCCGCACGACTATGATGGATACCTAATTGTTTCGCAACAGCAGCCGAAGCACTGAGGCATTTACCAAAAACAAATGAAAAAATCGAGTCTTTTCTTCGTCTGAGTAAAATGTATACTGTCTCTTATTGCGTTAACTATAAACATCTACATGATTCCTTTCATCTCCAGTTGAATGCAATGTAGGCTTAGATGGTTTCTCTGGAGGTTTATTCAGTGAGAACTGAGTATGAGCACTTAATGTTTCGATGGCGAAAAGCTCCTCATCAACGGCAAGATCCATTGGCTCAACTCCATGTTCATCGACAACGTGCCCTTGCCCATCTTCGTAAAAAAATTGCATATCCATTTTTATAAAAGAACAATATCATAGGGCAACTACTAAGCGATATGTAAAAATAAACAAGGTTCATCAAACGACTTCAGTGTTGGACCAACTGACTTCATTGTTGAACATCAAGATTTTTTTGACTTCAAAACCAACGACTTTACTTCTTGAAATGACTGTACATACCTTTGAAAAAGTAACAATTTGACGTAGTACATTACGAGTCCAGCTGCTGGAAACGAACGAACGATGTGGATTAAGGCTTAGAAAGTGGGGCTGAAGCCCTCTATGACTCCTCTCTTTCTCCGGGTTTCTCTTGGCGTGCTGCGTAACCATCAGTTTCGAGCAACAGAATCAACAAGAAATGTATGACAGTAAAGAAAAAGGTGATCGATTTGATATATTATCGTCTCGTACAGAAAATACATGCTATACTATATTTACTACCTCCTCCTCTTCCTCCTTTCCGCTTCATGATTTTTGGGGGGACCCGATTTTTACCTATACGGCTTCTTTTTATAAATACTTGCCATTCTTATAAAGATACCGGCCGTAAATCGATCTTTCTTTCTGCATCAGCAGTGTATGCACTGTTGTTGCTATCATTATCATCAGTACTATTAAATCTGCTATAGTGCTATTTTGTACAAAGTAGGCTTTTTTTATCAGCCCCCTCATTTTCTGTCAGAAAATCATTGATGTCTCATGGTGCTTAAAATGATAAGCCAATACTACCAAAAATGCATGGAAAACCTCGCATCTTTAATTTAATTCATTTATCAGCAACAAGCTTGATATACATTAAGTAGGGTGACGATGATCGTCATTGTTTAGAATTATACAAGCCCCCCCCCCCCCAAGAAGTGAGTAATTCTTTTTGATAATTATTGGACCATCATCATAATTCTATACGAAACATTTCCCCCTTTTGTTTATTGGGTGCGTGGTGCCACTTATTACTTTTCTGGTGCAACAATGAACCCCGGGGGGGGGTGGTTCCGGAGCATCTTGTGTGCCTCGTCTGCCTATTCCCACATAGGGGGCGGAAGTTCGCCGGTTTCTGTAATGGTTCGATGGACGCAGTAACCATTCACTTGTGTCTCAATGGCCCCGACAATTGAAAAAGAAAGAGAAGCTCAGGCTCAGCAACAATGCATAAAGCGCCGAAAAAAATAACAATAAACAAAAATTCGGAAAAGAACAAAGAAACTTTTGAGAAAAAGGTGCCAAACGAGAACTTGCTGCTGATGGGGCATACTAACTGCTACATCATACAATAAACGCAAAAGAAATGGATGAGGGTGACCCAATACAACGTAGTATAGCGGTAGTAGGTAGGAAAATAGTTATACGAATGATGTTATGGCTCTTGCGGAATTGTGTAACTCTGAATTAAGGTAGCAATCTGCTGAATTACATGTGGAAGTGACTCCCATACTACATAATAAATGTGGCTCATAGATACTAAAAGAATTCTGATAGAAATTAGCTATCATGACTCATTTATGTATATATATGTTGTCAAAATGTAATAAAGCCAATCTTCAACCAACAATCAAGTTGTCATTGTCGATGAAGCCAGATGAGCCTATTGTTTGTTTTGATTCTAAGAATGATTTTTATCCAAAGTGAAAGGTTCTTACTTCTTCTCAGCAACGTATACGTTGTGACAATGTGCACTAAATGTGACCTTTTACAAAAATGCTCGCCGATGTGGTAAAGTTACTAGTATGGAAACATAAAGAACTATTCTTTATCACGATCATTCCTTAGATCATCAGAGGCGGCCCTGAAGTAGCGAAGCCTGCTCGTTTTTCACACGCAAAAGAGCGTAGAAGCTTTATTGACAGTTTTGATTTCAATGCTTGACTGGATACACGAGAGAGAAAAACGATATACGTTTTGAGCATACAAGTTTTACCTGGCATAGTCGACATGGTTTATAACTTTTTTTTAAAAAAGTTGTTGTTGAGCTTGACCACTAGAAATCGATATTCTTCGTTCCAAACTTTCTGGTCGGCTAATAGGTCAAGCCCACAACCAAGAAAGAAATGCTTAGACGTCTGTTGTCAACCGATTTACTATTGTTGCAGTAGTATTGTACCTAATTTTTCTGTGATGATACAGTAGCAAGGACGTAATGCTATATATGTTATGGAACGTCACAGGCCGTGATTCAAAAGCATACCACTATTTTAGAAATCACTCGCGCCGCCAAACACATTGTACAAGCAAGTTATACAAGGATGGAGGTGCTTCTGTATTGGTAAGATATGATTTTCGTCTTGTGCTTTAGAAGCATTAGTTTTCAAACTTTCTCCTAAGCAACAGTTGAGCTGATTGTTCTTCCTTATTCTTGAATGAAAAAAGCTTACACACACACACACACTTGCATGGCGTATAAAGCATTGACGCTATGTACGTCGCTTATGATTCCGGAGTAGCACTGTACGATGACGACTATTCGCCAGAAACGGATGGATGGCTTTTTATGGGCAGCAACATCAGCAGGAGCCAAAAATGGACCCAAATGCTGACTGAAGATACCCGATAACGCACCGTTCTTTCCATTATCATCAGCAGCAACCTATCAATGGTAAAGAAAGAAAAGCCGATAGGTTGAGAGAGAGAGAGAGAGAGAGAGACAGAAAGATGCATCTGATTATTCCTATATACAGGAATAATCAAGAGCAACAACGTATGTGCGTCACCCCATTATGTATCTGTGATCAATGGTTCTGAATCAATACGACAGGGACCAATGTCAATGATGGATGACTTCTCTGTCAATGTTGTATCTACAATTACCTATCCAAGCCCTCAGCAGCAACAACTACCGCCACTACTCCTGCAACAACAAGAGCAAAAAGCACTGGAGCGACAATTCATTGCGGTTGCTGGTCCAGGTCTTGCCGAATTGCTGCTTCCACACGAGGACACATGTATCCTTATCGAAACCGACCTTGGCTCACGAACCCGTTGGCGAGCAGAACGACGTGTACATTCTCCTCTAACAGACCCTTTTTACAAATCGACGTTCTTTTGGCTCGCGAATGCCGTGGAAGGGTATTCAAGGTCATCTAATCAAGAATCAATTCTGTTCTGTGGCGATATAGTAAGAAAATGTCAAGAGCATGGGAAAAAAAAGGGACGACCCAGTAACAGAAAGAGATCTTTCTTTGTGGAAATTGCTTCTGGTGTTCATCAATGGATGCCGCTTTGGGTCAAGGAAAAAAAATGGACTCTAAACGAGATTGCAAAGGAAATACATTTATATTCGTGAACGTGTAGGCAGCCTTTACGATTTACAAAGAGGTAAGCCCCCCACCCCCCAACCCCAGCAAAAAAGCATATAAAGTCTTGTATCCAAAATCATCAATCCAAGAGATGTACAAAGTATGTCATTGAAAATTTCGTAGAGTATCCAGAGGACTTGGTCAAGGGGATGTCATACCAAAAAGCAATATTAGCACCCGAACTAGACAGACCTTTCACCACTTTTTCCAAGGCCTCTGTTATTTTATCAACGCGAGTGGCTGGCGGGACCCATGGGTACGGCTGCAACTAGTTGATGTCGTCATTCCATTCATCACTGGCATGGTTTCTGTTTCTTCTGACAAGGACATTGTATGGTCGAGCGAAACGGTCAGCTGTTGTATGTTTATTTGGCCACAGTTGCCTGAGAATGTGCCTGGCAAACCCATAGCAAACCATCTGCCCCAGTTCCCAGCATGGATTGATAAAAGTCGCTTATTTGAGACTACCATGGAAGACGACGATGACCAAGCTATCGTATTATGCAAAAATAAATGGCGGCCGCGGCACTACCACTACTAGTAGTAGTACGATTAGAAGCTGCTGCTGCAGTGCAGCAGCTACTGTAGCAAGAGTAGTCTCGGAACGATCCTGCATGGCAATACATTGACGCACAAGCAGTTGGCCCTGAAGGGGGGTTGGGGCGCTTGGGGTAAGGATGTTGCTACGCCTACTTACTATGTAGTAGTACGGTTACTAGTGCCGATAACGCCGACGTGAGGCAGCATCGATTTACGGCGCGCAGAATGCAACAATAGCAACAAAACGACGACGGCGTAATAATAAAAAAAAAAAAGAGCAAGATGTATCGAACTGCTTGTCCAACATTCATTTGACAAAACTCTGCCCCCCCCCCCATTTGGATCAAGTACACACATGAATCCACGGTATTCGAATTGCTTCAAAATGATCATATTGGCCAATGGGTCATATGGCACTCTGGGTAGTATGCCGCAAATCGATAAGGTCACAAAATAAAATGGGTAAATATGGAGCCACTTTTTTTATTATTAAATTTGTGAAAAAAAGCTGACAACATGAATTACATACAAAACGTCAAGGTGACCATCCAGAATATGTGGACAAATCTACGGGTGCTACGAGAACGTGGACAGAAGAAAACGGTTACCAAAGTGCTCGAACGATTTACAACAGCACGGTCATCGCGAACTGTTGCGAGGACTCTGTCTCTCTCTTTTTCTCTTCCACTTTTTTTTTTCTCGGGGAGATAAATTTGGACCGAATGATCTTTTTTTTTTTTGGGTTGACCAGTTGCCGTAATTTCGACGACACGATCTAACAAAGCTTTGTACAAGTTCTATTGAAGAAGGACGCCGGATCTGGACGAGCCTAGCACGCGACGCATCTTTGTACAAATAGCGGTGTGCATCATCTGCATTTACGGGCCTTCAAGTGATTCATCGGGACATCAAGGACGAAAAGATCACGATCATCATATCCGCCTGATAATTTTTTGGAAGCGCAGCATTTATATTTTTAAAGAAAAAGAAGGAGACGAAGGTGGTAATAGTAGTAGTAATAGTAGTACATTATTGCTCAACACATTTGTAGGTACCATCGCCTATGCATCGCCCGAGGTAGTTGCTTCTTCATGGCAACAAGTAACACGGGTCCACTACGCAGGATATCTGGGCACTCGGAGTGCTTCTCTACACCCTAGTTTATCATTTGAACCCATTCCATTCTCCGGAATATATTATCAACCGGAATTTGCTGTTTCCCTTCCAAACTGCCTGACAGTAACGTTTCCTTTCTTTTCTCACTTTGTATACATGCAGGACAAACGTCCCTGTCTGTTGTCTGCTCGCCGGTTCCCCGAATCGTTTTACATATAGATCTGCGCGAGCTTATTGCATGAATGCTTGACGTAAAAGTCGACCATTCAACAAGTGATTGACCACGGATGGCTCTGCTGGCTGTAGTAGTACTAGTAGTAGGCCACACAACAACGCAGTATATAATAGGAGCTTGATATATACCTTTTCTCCCTCTTTGTTTTTCCCCACCACCTCTGCCCATTCATTTGTGGATAGACATTCCACTATCCTTCAACATATCTTTGGGTGGCTAACCCTTGACGACACCAATAATTCATTGTGTATATTATTACAATTACGAAAATGCTAAAATGTGCCGCGCGCACAATTTCGTCGGAACAATGTGTGTGTGTGCTACAATGGGGCAAAAAAAAGGGGGGGGAGGGAAAGAAGACACATACAATTTGTGCCACGTTGCCCTGTGCTTGTGACACACTCTAATGCAATTTGTAACCATGAAGCAACAATCATCATGAAGATCAATCACCACTACTACTACCACATCACCGTCGGCCCTGTTTATGCTACTCTTTGTAACTTATTGTTGTCGTGGTGATGGGGGGGGGGCTCCGCTGTATGAATCCGTGGCACAATACTTCATTCACTTGCAGCAACAACAACAACAACAACATGTCCTTTTTGTTGTTATTAAAAAAGCTATTAACTTGCACACAGCAGCATGACACTTTCTAATTACTGATTGAAAGAAAGATCAGTCGATATACGACTCCATGCTCGTTTATTATTTCTCAATCAAGATGTTATAATAGAGACACTATCAGCACGAACATCAAATGCTGCAGCTTTCTTTTCTTTTGTTGGTTTCAAGGAGACAAGGAGAGAACAGGGAGATGATGATGATGATGAAGGAGGTGGGGTTTTTCTTCCTTTAACACACAAAATAAAAAAGGAGGGGAAGCGCTTAAAAAAAAGATAAAGAGCCTTTATCAAAAAAAGCAAAAGACACATAAAACGGAGAAGGGTGGAAAAGGGGAGAATGACAGGCGGACCAAAAAACGAGCGAGCAATTTAGGAGGAAAAAAAAAAAGAAAAGAAATACGACGAAAAAAGAGAAAAGAATGTTGCGTGTCAAAATTCATCCTGGCGCAAAATGCATTGCATTGCAGCAACTACAGCCGCTGCTTTTCTTTTCCCTTTTGCTTTTTTGTAAGAACCCTATTTCCCTCTCTCTCTCTCTCTCTCTCTCTCTCTCTCTCTCTCTCTTTCTCTCTCCCTTTTCTTTACGTTTCTATTCCCTTACTCTCTCTCTTTTTTTTTACCCTGAGCTCAGTCAGTCAGTCACTCAGTCAGGGAGCAAAGATCCGACATCTAAATCAACGACTCACAGCAGAAAAAGACCGTCCGTCGCACTTGAAGTCTACTACTACTACTACTACCACTACCAACCCTTTCTACTTGTACACATCCCAAAAAACCGGTTTACAGCTCCTGGTCTAGGCATGCAAAGGTACGTTTGTGTGTATTGCGTTTAGAACAAGAACAAGAAAAAGATTCCCTATTTTTTTTAATTCTTTCTCCTCTACTTTGTAAAAAAGAAAACTAACGCCTCTTTTGCCCCACTATACCTTCCCTCGTTACCCTTTCCATTTCGACATTCCACCATTCCAACATTGACGCTCATGAACACAACTACGACGACGACGACGACGACGACATTGTTACCTTCCGACAACACGACTACTACTACCACTTTTTGCAACAATAGCATTACTCGTCCTACTACACCCTCCGTGGTTGTCACTCCGCCAGATCTGGACACGCCTAACAACGTGGTGGTATCCGTGATAACAGCCAACAACAAGAGTGACAACACACGCGTCACCAGCGACGATGATGATATGGATGACGATTCCACTGTAGCAAAGTCTGTCTCTACTGTGGTCGTCGTTAAAACTGATCCTGCACGACGACCATCATCTAAAAATAACAATAACAACAATACATCAGCAGCAGCAGCATCATCCTCATCCTCATCTAATAACAACAACAATAACAATAGTAGCAGTAGTAGTAGTAGTAATGATTCTACCACTGCTGCTACCGTTTCATTTCGATACCCATCCAATACTGCATTCACTACTACCAACAACACTCGAAAAGCCATCCCACAGTTCTTTTTTCCTCATGGCAAACCAATAGCTTCTGAAGAACGAGACCGCAAAAACCGCAAAATCATGGTACGCAAACCTTTACGAGCCATGTTTTTTTTTCTCCTCAACTCCTACGATTCCCCTCCCAACCACAGAACCCAAAAAAAAAAAAAAAGATACATGAAACGAAACGCAAAAGCAAAAAAAAAAACAGCCAAATGTTTTATGATTGGATCACATAATCAATATTTTAAAAAAAAATCCCATTACAGGCCATCGTTCGCCACCTCTATGGCGCCCAATCCTGCTTGTTGGAATCCCATTTTGTGGCAATCACCAGGACGTGTGGTTTGCCACGCTACATGAATATTGCTCTGTTCCGAAGAATCGACTCTATGCACCAACGCGATGAGCGAATCACGCTGGAGCAATTTGCACAGTGAGTGTCTGGGGTAGGAAAGGGGCCGGGGGATCCGCTTAGCTACAGTCGTGTTGTTGTTGTTGTTGCCTAAATGAAAGAGAGAGAATAATAACAAAAACAACAACAGTGGCTGGACCGAATTATCGCGGGATCGATACGACGATGAATCACTCTTTTTCAATATTCTGAGGAAACCGGGCTGTGCCTGGTTATTACCAGAAGACTTTCTACCCGTGATGGAGGGTAGGTAGAATTTTTTTAAAAAAAAAGAAAATGAAACTCTCTTTTTTATTTTTCTCAACATTTTCTTTTTTTTTTGTGTAGATATTGTGCTTCATCATCCAGGATTACGATTTCTAGCTGATAATCCCATGTTCCAAGAACGCTACAGTGAGTTGGTCTTTTTTTTATTTCTCCTAAGAAAAAGAAAAAGTAAGCGGGGGGAGAATAACACATACACACTTTTTTTATATTTCAGTTGAAACTGTGATTTGTCGATTATACTATGAAGCACGGTGTCCAAGCGGCAAAATGACGCTGGCACAATTCCGACGCAGTGACTTTGCGCACATGATCCATACGCTCGGACCCAATGTGGATCTCAATAGCGTAAGAAGAAGAAGAAGGCCATCGAGTTTCAAACATTTTGGGCAACTTTTTTTAAAAAAAAAAAATAACACCATGTGTGTATGTAGACCCGTGATTGCTTCTCGTACAAGCACTTTTATGTACTCTACTGCAAATTCTGGTCCCTCGACGACGATCATGACTTGATCATTTCGGAAGCCAACCTGGCCAAATACAATCAGGCCGCACTGACCCCGCGTGTAGTTCATCGCATCATGCAGTGTGGCCGTATTGCCGCGTTTGCTCGGGATCAAAGCGGTGGGGCCGTGTGGGGTGATGCCCCCACGTTGACCTATCTTGATTATATCTGTAAGCACCAGTAGTAGTAGTAGTAGTAGTAGTAGTAGTAGTAGTAGTACCTCTTTAAGATATGTGTTTTTCTTTCTCTCTTGCTATACACATTGCGTACTCATGTTTTTTTATGCATGCAGGGTTTCTATTGTCAGAGGTTGACAAGAGCACTCCGATGGCGATCGAATACTGGTAATGTTTATTCTTGTGAAGCCCCACTCCCCTCCCTCCTCTCTTCAACCCGTGTTTTTATACATGTCCCTTACAAGAGGAGGAGATACTGAAAAGTGAAGCGCGGTGATGTAGGTTCCGATGTATGGATACCGATGGCGATGGTGTGCTATCTAGTTATGAATTGGCTCAGTTCTGGCAGGAGCAAGAAGCTAGGTAAAAAAAATCTATGATATCATCACAGCCTATCACATTAACAATTTCACATGGTCCTTGGTATCATTATTCTCACACACAATCCCCCACCTCTTTTGACTTTGTAATAGACAACGGTTCTATGGAGTGGCAGACGACGATCAAATTCAGTTTCAAAATATTCTCTGCCAAATGTACGTGACATCAGGAATAAAAGAGGGCGTAGGTGGTGTATGTGCGTATGTGTGAGGGGGGGGTGGGGACAGGAGGTATTGTGTCGCATTTTTCAAGGGGAGAATAAGGGGAGATAGGTACACACACCTCACCTAGTAAAATTTTTAAGCTGACACTACGGACTTGGATCTAGGAACGACCTGATCCAACCTCAGGTACCCGGCCAATTTAGGCTCCATGACCTGAAACGAAACGGCTACCTTGCCGAACGTTTCTTTGACACCTTTTGCAATTTTGATCGCTTCCAGATCCATGAGTCCTACCAGGGATCCATCCGTGCCAAGCGGAAACAAGAGCAAGATAAACGACGCCAACAACAGCATTTAATGGAAACTGGCAATGGTTCAGATGCAGCAGCATCGTGTTCCTCTGTTGTTGAAGATGAAATTGCTGTTTTGGACGACAGTCTCGGCTATTTCATGATTAGCGACTGGTGTGAATACGCCGAAGCAGAATATCAGCAGTTATTATTAAGCGAGCGAAACGATGTTGTTTGGGACGATGACGATGATGATGATGATGATGATGAAGACGAGGACGAAGAAGAAGAAGATGTTGGCTATCTCGGTGAAGAAGATGACGAAGATGAAGAAGCAGTAGTGTCCTCAGAAGAGGAGAGTTTGTCTCCTGCAGTGGCTGCTATTGCTGCTGTGGTCATGTCAACTGTGTCAGAAGCCGAGAAAGAGCGAATCGTTTCCAAAGCAGTAGTACACGATGAAGGTGATGAAGGCAACAAGGACGAAGAGGAGGAGGATGATGATGATGCAGTGAACCCTGGAGAATCAAGCGGTACAAGTGACCATGATAGCGACACAAGCGCCCCGACGACGCCCACCAAGGATCCGACACCTGCGCCACCGAGTTGGTCGACTGCAGTGGCCAATACGACTACAGCAACAACGACGGCAGCGACCACAGAAGCTGTGGTTCATGTCAAACACAACGACGTGCATCGTCATCACCACCAGCCTTGGCTCTGGCAGCCCCACGGTGAAGACGAGCATGACGATGATGAAGAAGAAGAACGTGAAGACCGAGCAGCCGAGTGGATATGGTGGCTTTCCAGACAGAGGTTATCCGAGCCATCCTCATAGAAAATGTTCGCATGGTCCTCAGACTACATTTGTTTTTATTTTATTTTTTTGAGCAGCTTCCCCCTTTTTTCTACATTCTAGTAATCTATTATACCTTTTTTTTCTTGTTTGTTAATGTTGTTTAATTTTTGTCATTTCCAAGTAGTTTTACCCTCTCTCTACCCGAGTAAAGATAAACGTGGACTCTTTCTCTTCAGTGATACCACCACTCAATTCCATGTATAACCCTTGAAAAGTGTGCGCGTGGGCAATAGAATGAGAGCTTCTTGTCTCTGTGCGTATGATAGATAGCCCATTGCTAGTGACACACCCAAAGGCGTGGGTTGTTGTACACACTTTTAAATGGTCACGGTTATCAAAGTAATCCAGGCACACGCTTCTAGTTGCTACTGCTGCTGCTGCTGCTGCTCCAAGTACCACATGTCGAGGCACTCGGCTCTTTTTTTTTTTGTCATGCTATTTTAATGCTGCTAGTAGTAGTAGTAGTAGTAGTAGTAGTAGTGCTGCTTGGTCGTGTTCCCCGAGAAAAAAGCATACCACACATACACACAGCGCGCGCAAGATAATCGAGAGGCATTTTTGATTGTTTTGGGAAATAATCGCTCTCCCATTAAACTCCATTCAAATCATTCATACTTGGCAGCCTTTTTCCAGTATATGATATATATACAGCTAAGCAATCTCATCATAGTCAAAGGCAAGTGGGTCAGGTAGTAGGATTTAACCGGACAAAAAGGTGCACTATCACCTCTTCTCCCATGCAAAAAAGGCCACCACGCGGATATATCGTCATCAGCGTCTTATACATACTACATACCCAAGAAATAGGTACTGTAGCATTTTTATTATCGTTGTTGTGTCACCTCAATTCGCCCTTGAAAAAAAAAATAAACCTGTTGAATGATCATTGGGCTGGCGCAGATGACTTTAATATTTCTCTTGGAATTGAAGAGAGAGAGAGAGAGAGAGAGAGCTCCGATCACATGTTGCTCTCTATTTCTGTAACTACATAAAATAAAAGTGGGGTGGAGTGAGGCGAGGCACACCACACCCGCTATCGAGTCAACTCACTTGATACGATAACACACACACACAGAGAGAGAGAGAGAGAGAGAGGGTATATGTGTGTGAGAGTAAGAAGGAACTTAATTCACCTTGTCCTATCTGTTCCTTGTGGAATTGGCCCTGGGGTGTCCAACCGAAACAGGCCACTCCCTCTTTTTTCAACTACTGGCTGGTAGTAGTAGCTGACTTGGCTGGGTTCGAGTATGGGTTTTCGGGGGTTGGGTGGGGGTTGGTGGGTGGAGACAAAAGATGGGCACGCGGCGTCCTCCGAAATAAAAGTAAAAACCTTTTCCAGCGCCCGCCCGGTCGGGCTCATCACATCTCACAGCACACAGAGTCAGTCAGCCAGTCAGTCAGTCAGTCAGTCAGTCAGTCAGTCAGCTACTGCCACTGCTAGCGAGACCGGTGGATAATAAACGATCATGTAATTGTGTGCTTCGTTTTTCAAAAAAAAACCCTTTCTCTCTCTTTTTCCCTTCATAACTCTCGCCATTCTCCCCCTTCCTCTTTTATTTCTTTTCTTATCTTTAAAGCCTACAATCACACATAATTTCTTTAACGCCACTTTTTTTTTCTTTGATAATTCCAATTTATTTTATGCCCTAACAAAAACTATATAAACCAACACACACACACAAACTGTATTTTCCAATACCATCACAACACTGACAAGTTCAATTTGTTCTGACCACCAACAACAACAACAATCATGGCCTTGGCAACTCTAGCCCATATTCCTGCACAGCATTCGACGTCCACGTCCACTACAACAACAACCAGCAGCAGCAGCAGCAGCAGTACAACAGCAAACAGCAGCTACAGCAGTCGTTGGCGAAAAGGTCTTGCGCTGTTCCAGAAAAGCCGATCCAAGTGCTGGTCGCCCATGACGCTTGCTGCAGCCACCGAGAAATACGTTCGTCACAAGTCACCGCCCCAAGTCAAGTGTGAAGACTTGACCGCACGCGAGTTTGCCCAGTTGACTGGCATCAAAATCGTCGACGCCACCTGCACCTCTCCACCGCTCGAGTACAGTAACGAAACAACCACCCTTTCCAACGACAGCTGCACTACTACTGCTACTACTGCACAGCCACGTATCTGGGATTCCGATTTCTGGCAGCAACAGGGAGGACAGCGACGACAACAACAACAACAACAACAACCAGAGCACTGTCATCATCATCATCATCACCATCATGAACCTCCCAATCCTCGTGTGATTATGAAAGGTCGGTTCAAGATCATGATGGGTGAAGACGACGAGGATCGGGATTCCAATAACACCACGGCAAGTGTTCCAATAACGAACTGTGCCCGCCAGGTGGTCGAGTGGAAGCGGAAACGATCAGCGTAAACCTGCGACTCCTTCAACACAGCAACAACAACAATCTTCGCTCCTTAGTATTCAAACAACTTCCATCCATATACCCTTTACTTACCTTCTTCATCCATCTGTACAACTCACACATTATCATTAAAAAAAATGCACACTTCTCTTTGGGAGGAGTGTGAGAGAGAGAAAGAAAACAAACCTCCATCGTTCAACATCTTCCTTCAACCCTCCCTCTCTCTCTCTCTCTCTCTCTCTCTCTATCTCTCTTATATACACAACTTTGTATCCTGACACATACTCGGAGCTCTCTCTCTCTCTTTCTATCACACAAACACACATTCTACATAGCACAACTCAATCTATATCATCAAACACACCCCTTTGTTCCTTTGTTTATGCAGCTAATATGTCATTATTCCTAGCGAAGAAAAGATAATAATAATAATAATAATAATCATCAACATCTAAAACTCTGTACATTACAGCAAAAAACAAAAAAAAAAGAAGCCTGCCCTCTTGACGGACCCCATGTTATGATGTCAACTAAGCACCTGTTTATATTATCTAGCTTAGGTTTTGGAGCATGTGATTTGCATGCACTTGGATTCTTCTAATGGCATTATCCTTGAAACCTGACTCTCATTCTACACTTGTTTGCATAGTAGGAATGCTTGCTATTCTACACACACACACACAGACGTGCTTTATGCATAAAGAAAATCTTTTTTTTTTGGGGGGGGGGAGGAGGCTGTGCAAGATCATCAATTCACCAAATTTAGTAAAATTCAAAGAGACGTGCCCTGCTCACATAGTTTCCAGATTGAAATGCTTTTTGATTTATGCGACAGTATTCTTAGCCGGTGTGCCCATGGAGAAAAATTGCTGCTGTTGTCAACGACGCGTATTATTGAGAGAGAGAGAGTGAGAAAGAAGAAGCGGTGTTTATGACGTTTTGAAACATTGTTGGGTGTTGTGGTGCGATGTTTTCGATAAAAGTGTTTTAAAAATGACATCTGTCTCGTGTTGTAGCATGAGCCATAGATGGACATATTACAATATATTTTACTCTGCTTAAACCGAATCGAAATGAGCCCATATCAAGAACCTACTACTACTACTGTGATAGATGCACTTGAAGTGTGTAGTATGGAGAGGCATCATCATCAGGGGATGTCCGTAATTGGATATTTTGACCGAGCAAGAAGCGAAACGTCCTCTAAGATCACTTGATGCTATTGTCAGCAAAGCCTTTTTTCTTAATGCATGTTCAAGTTCTTCCGAATGACTGTTGTTTGCGTTAGATAAAGTTAAAACGAGCTTTATTTTCATCATTATTTACACGACCCCATAGTGTTACAAGACAATGAAAAAAAAGGAGGTGGACCCTGTTTGTTCTAATGATCTAGTTATTTATATACAAATAGCATTGTTGTTGTTAACAAACAAACAAAATAACAAAAGATGCTAAAAGCAACCACAAGTGCTACAACGATGAAGGTCATAGATTTTGGCATAGCCAAGAAGATTCAAGATGAGAATGGTCAGTGTTGAAAGAAACGCAATCGCTAATTCAAGAGGAGTGGATTCTTAAACTTGGAAAGAATAACATGGAAAGAAATGGGATGTGGGGAAGGTTCTGAAGGCGGTCTAGGCAATACGCATACTATGATATCATATGCAGCGCTTCACCTGATATATATACAGCACCTATTCATGTCTGACAGGAGCAGCAGCCTTAACATCAAGCGACAACAAGTAGAATTACCGGACTAGATGCGGTTTTTCATGAATCTGAAGAATGGATCATAGCCACCAGCAGAAAGTAGTAGAATTCATGATCAAAGCAGATTTAATGATCAGGCTAGCAAGCGACCCTGAGTTGCTTTAAAATACTCTAAATCTTATCATGTACATTTACAGTAGGAAGAATCCCAGCAGACAAGTGCAAGTGACACTATGCAATTCTTGTGGGAGAACGTACAGTGCGCAAAATTCAGCTGAAGAATTAAATCCCAATCGACTCTATCACGATAATAGTTCTGGTAGGAGCCATTATCCAATTCACTTGCTAACCTTTTTCGACAAGAGCTTGCCAAAGATTATTACCAAGTAAAGTGTCGCTTTTTTCGCCCATCACCCATTGTCTCCTTGAAGGGCGTTGTTCTGCCACAGGTGAAGAGAGGTCAGCTGCATGCATTGTGTAAAACTACAGAAACGCATTAGGGCAATAAACCTTTTGCGGCAGATGTTACCATGCAACACTTGCCACAAGAGTCCCACCTCCTTCCAAGCGGACCCCTAAAAGAAAGAGCTAGCTACACGTAAAATTACGCGAACAGCGCGCGTTTTTTTACTCTTCCAACAGCACACCACCACCACCCGCGATTATTCTCTCCAAAGAAAACATGAGTGCAATGGATATAGATGTGGCCCCTCTGCGCGACAAAGGAAAAGGCAAACTTTGCGCTGCACCACAACAAAACGGCGAACCCGATAATTTGCCATGGTATAGCATCCTTTAAGAAAAAACACACACACACACACACACGAAATAATAGAATTCACACAAAGATGCTAAATTAGAATCAATTAGGGTTGAAAAGTATCGCCCAAAAACACTGGACGATCTCGTATCACAAAAAGACGTTACCTCAACAAGTAAGATTATAATTGAACCTTTAAGAAATAAAGAACAAGCAAGCTAACTGAAAAACTTGCAAAATGACGGGTTTTATAAGTTGAAACATTCATTGACGCGAATCGATTACCACACTTGTTGTTCTATGGTCCCCCTGGTACTGGCAAGACTTCAACGATTCTTGCCTCTGCGCGCAAACTGTATGGTGACAATTTCAAAAGCATGATTCTAGAGGTATGACCAAAAAAAAAAAAGCCGTACCGAATACTACTACTATTTCAAAAGTAATTTTAGATACTAAACCAAACCTACTTTTTTGTGGGTAGTTGAACGCGTCCGATGATCGTGGTATTGACGTTGTTCGAGAACAAATCAAAAACTTTGCAAGCACACGAACCATCTTTAGCTCTGGTTTCAAATTGATTATTTTGGATGAAGCCGATTCCATGACAAACCAAGCTCAAGCGGCTTTGCGTCGAGGTAATGAAATTGGACGGATGGTTTATAATAGAAAGAGAGAGAGAGAGTGTGTGTATGTTTTTGTTGTTTTTTTTTGCTGTTGTGTGTACACAAGGAAAAAGGTAAGGATCGGATCCATTGATTCTAATGAAAAAAAAACTGTATATAGTGATTGAAAAGTACACCAAGAACGTGCGGTTCTGTATCATTTGCAATTATGTGAGCAAGATAATACCTGCTATCCAATCACGATGTACGCGTTTCCGTTTCGCACCCTTGGAGAGTGAACAAGTACAAGACCGATTACAAACCATTATTCATGCAGAAGGGTATGCTATCTGACTAAGAAAAAAAAGAGCCTAAAGAGGATGGTGTACTTGAAAGTTGACGGTACATGGAGTGTATTTAAAAAATTGGATTTGGAACTTATCAAATATTCCAAAAAAATAGTGTAAATATCACAGACGATGGCAATACAGCACTGTTGAGACTCTGCAACGGTGATATGCGACGCGCATTGAACATTTTACAAGCATGTCACGCGGCTTATGACAGAGTAGACGAGACTGCCATTTACAACTGTACAGGGCATCCACATCCACAGGATATTGAGCGTATTGTCACATGGATGATGTCGGATGAATTCAGCACCATCTATTCCAGTAAGTGTTTCTTTTCGAGAAAATAACTCCAATTGATAAAGACTGGGTACAAAAAAGGGCTAAACTGTTTATTTTTTCCCATTAAATTGTGAATTAAACAAGATGTCGAGAAGCTGCAACGGGAAGCTGGTCTGGCGTTGCAGGATATCATTAGTGAAATCTACTATTATATCCTTGCGATCGAATTCCCGCCCGATATGCGTATATTCTTGTTGGACCATCTTGCCGAGATTGAGTAAGTGTTTCTATTTGGGGTTTGTCGTTTGCAGAGAGTGCAATACGTGAGACCAAGTACTTTGATCTTTCTTTCTTTTTGTTGACTTGCACAATATACTGAATTATATAAACTGTTTCTAATAGATATCGATTGGCAGAGGGTGCCAATGAGAACATTCAGTTGGGTGCTCTTGTCGGTGCTTTCAAGACAGCTCTTGAAATTGCTGCAACATCCTCTACTTGAAAAGAATAAAAGAAAAAGATAGTCTGGAAAATATGCATCTCGTATTGCCTTTTTTAAGTTTTTGCCAGCTTGGGCCTTTCGCTAAGCTTGAAATTCGAATACAAAGGACCCACACATGTCACACGACCTGTAAAGTTAGCCAGGCCTTGGGCTAGTTTTCTCTAAAAAAAATCAGCAAGTACTGTCATGACCAGGAACGTCTTAACCAAAGAAATCGGTCCGTTGAGAAAGAACAGCGCCAAGAATCCATTCTCATCAACATCCGCCGTGGCAAATCAACAGCTGCGAAGCACACTTGTAAACGGCTCTTACTCTATTCCACGATGAATAGAAGAAAGAAAACAAAGCGGCACAATTCACGGATTTAATGAAAAAAGTGGAACTCGTGCTCAAGCATGACGATGACGATACCTCTGGTTAAATGTAATGACAGTTTCCAATTAAAAAAGATACGTCTTTATGTAATTCGGTATCGAGTAGTTTATCTAATTTTATGCAAGCGATTTGTCAAAAAGCGCCTAGATTTGATACAGTTTCACTCGAATTTACCAGTCAATGGACCCCGACGAAAAAATGGCGGCTTAAGAGTGGAAGATATGTCAAAGGTGATTTGCATATGTTTGGATCATCTTTAACGTACGAACAGTAAAAGTCATTGTAAAAAAAAAAATAACACCTAATGATATTTGGAAAGTTATGTCTAAAAATCTGAGCATCATCTGTTTACTAGTTTATGCCATTCATATATCATTGACCCCTGTGATCAAACCTGCAAAGCACAAAGCGTGTCCACTGCGGATGAACTCGGAGGAAATCAATACCTTCAAGCAAAAAGTCGCGTCCACCTAATTTCACAAAAAGCTCTTGAATATCTGGATTTACATAAAACTGTACGGAATGAAACTCGTTATACTATTATCATCTACTACGAACAGTTTTGCTATTCATAGGTATGCTAACGAATGCCATCCGGATGTGTGTATGTAGCCCAAAATCAGCAGCAACAGATGGTCCGCAAAACTAGTTCTTAAACACTCACGCTGTGAGATATCCACACTGGAGGTGGTGTTCTCTAACATTGCATTGGAAAAAATGAGGATTTGAGGATTCCTGAGAAATTTATCATTTCCATCATCATTGATTCCTTCAATGTTATTCATTACATGAATATGCAGCAGCCGTGGGTGGAAACTTTGACACAACCGTTTCCCATGATCTGAGTTGGTCAAGACACATCTATTACATATTGTAAGATGATTTCTATTTATTTCATTTGACTTGATATAACAACCATGCATTGAATTAACCTAACAACTAGAATACGTGAACTCGAACATTGGCGACATGAACTCTTTAGAGTGATCTGAAACACACGGTTACTCGCTAGAGTCTGGACAATGGTTGACCGAGCGTTCGACGATACCAAAGCAAATATGTTGTCCGGTAAGCATATGTACCCTATGAGTAAGCCTTTATTCACATTCTCGTGTCTCTGCTTGTTTCTCACCGAGATGTGCCTAACATTATATCAGCGGGTGAAATCACGTCATCGGCATCAAGTGCACGAAAAAACAAAAGATCGTCTGCCTCAAGGCAAAGAAAAAAGTGGAGCGACGAAAGATGGGCCGCCGACTTGATATGTTGCTGAGAAGTTGAAAGTTGGGTTGTGGTGAAGCGGGCCGTAGTACGGAGGAATATGATTTGAAGCTGTTTACGTGAACGAGAACTTCGACTGCCTCAAGCCCTAAAAGCCATGATGTCGAAACTGGGGGATGGAATGGATGACGATGACCAGTGGCTGCAAAAGTAGGAAATAGTGGGATTACTCGAGTATGGCACGTGTGGTAACACTATGTAGGGTTTTAATAACTCGCTCTTTTATAACAGGCCTACGTCTATCGACAATGTTCCTGAATATCACAAGTACATATACTTTCCGCAGGTTCACCATGTTAAGACTTTTACTTCCTCTAAATAGTCTAGCTTACCATAGCTAGAGTCAAGACCAGTCGTTGCCAACATGGTCAAGTCTCGTCCCATATGCTTGCTATGAAGATTCAATCGGTAGTAGCGACGGGCGGTGTGTACAAAAGGTAGGGACGTAATCAACGCAAGATGATGACTTGCGCTTACTAGGAATTCCTCGTTGAAGAGCAATATTCGCAATGCTCTATTCCCCTGCACGAAATTGTTCTTCCTGGATATCACAAGTACATGTACCTGTCGCATCACTCACACAAAAAAACTGTCAAAGTACCTTTAGAGTTGAAACATTTACCAAAGATTTTGGCAACATCCGCAAAAGCAACTGTACAGAGAAGCCTTGATGTTCTCGACGAAGATGGCCAAGAAGACCTGACATCAGTCATGGGCCCTCCTCCCACAAACGTAACGGACAGTATGCCAAGCAGTCTCAATTCGCCAACACAAGGTTCTAGAATCCGTGTCGTCTACAAACTTTAAAATAACAGAATATCCACATCAACTTATACACAGAAATACCTTATCACATTAAATAATACCAACATCAAAGACTTACAGAACTTCTTTTCCATCCCTTTCGTCATAAATAAATTCACAAACACTGCATATTACATTTATCATTTCAAATCTGTCTTCACTGAAAGTTTACTTTGCTTTAGGTGTGTCAACCGACTATCTGCTATCGTATCGTAGTTGAAGTGATACAAAAGAAAGGGTCTAAATTGTAGATGTTGCTGCCAAGAATTTCTCAACTTAACCCGCTGGTTCAGCAGTTGGGAAAGCTTAGAAAGGATAACAGGACAGCAGGAATCGAAATGTCATAATCGGCTGAAGGTCAACATTTTGTCATACTACACCATCACTGTTACTACATTTGCTCATAGTCGCTTGTTGGATCATGCCAAACTCTCCTCTAATATGATATCAAAGGATCAACATTATTAAAGGAGACAACAACGTGAGGTCTCGCCATTCTACATGAAATGTCTTTGGCTGCTACTATAACGTGTGAATTGTCTGAATGGTCTGGACTTTATCAGATATATATTATGATGATTATGCAGGCAGGATCAGTGCGATCAGACGATTATGATTTACGTCATGATATAGGATTGTGGAATCAATATAATGACGCGTCATTGCTACGGACGACTGCAAAATACGTGTGACAAGAAGATGCGTCCGAATAATGAAATGTCCATACACTTGAGGGTATAAGGGAATTCATCTGCCACCGCTATTGTCAAAGTTAGATACAGAAACTCCTCATGCCTCATTAGTTCTAAGCATTCTCAACTATCGTACATGTATTGACGTCTATAAAAACTCTTCCCTGAAAATGCAAAAAAATGTCTACAGCCATTGTATTCCTTTTAAACCAGTCGGTGTCTATAGATCATTTAATACACCCATATATCAAACATTAATGTTGGCATATTTCTGGGTATGACCATTATTAAGTAGATGATATAAAAACGTTGTCTTGTTGCTCACGACTGAGACTGAAGGAGAGTATAGCGACCCTTCAGATACACATCGTTTTTCAGATGGGCTAAATGAGTGAAATTACAAGACACTGACTATGTTCTATACATTTACAACAAGTTCTGTTCGGCACCACGCTTTAACGCCATGTACAACACTCTATTCAAAATGTGTGCGACATTGCTTTTGGTTGTATCTATGCAGTGTCCTTTCAAAAAGATTAGCACAAGACAGGCGATCTGCAACGTATGTTTATCTTGTACAAGCTAGCGAAGAGACAATGTCATCTGAAAATCTCTGCAGTCTTTTACACACGCCTTAGTAGCCAATTAGCTGTGATTACCATATCCGCGGTGGATATGGGAAATTTGACAACAATAGGTAGGGTTTGCACTTTCATGTGAAAAAGAAAAGATTAATAGTATTTCTATGTACAGCCAAATAAGGATATTAAAAATGCAAAAAAAGGAAGGGAGGAACAAAGTTCAACGCTAGAAGGTGATAAAAGAAAAAAAAGAAATGCGGGAAGTTGGAGGAGAAACATTGTCGAAACAAGTAAAATTGCAGGTCATATATCTTTTTGAAAATGCTAATATAAAAGAGATTTGTAAGGTTGGATGAGTACGTTGCGAGATAGTGTGTTTAGATGCGTTAGTGATTAATCGGATGAAAATGTGTGTGTGTGTGTGTGTGCTAACCGCAATAAATACGTATAAGAACTAGACATAAACTGTCAATGTCGAGCTTTTGGCAGTCGGTAATTGGTCTTCCAACTTTCTAAGTACTTGCGCTTCCAATTCCGTATCCGTCGTGGATAATGCTTCGTGAAACTCGTCACTTGAAGAATCATCGTCACCTTCTTCATTATCTTCTGGAACAGCTTCCAAACCTTCGCTCGTACGACGAGCCGATAAAGAATCGAGGACACGTCCTTCACGTGGCGCAATCACGCTACGATAGCAAAAATCAGCAAACACGGTGTCTGCACGGTCCAGCATTGCCTTGTCCTTGACGACTTCCCGCACACAGAACCAATCTAAATCCGTCCCCGAAATCGTTATTCATTAGTTTCAACCAGCATTATCTCCCATTTACAACGTCAACTCATGTATGGATAGCGGGTGAATAAAAATAAGTAATGATGCTTTACCATGCACACAGTCTTCGACAACACTTTCCCATTGCACACCATCCTGCTCAGCCTTTTCTGCTAGATCCAGCGCATCATCTCGTAGCACCTCCTTGTTGCCAATGTACATGAGCACCTGTTGGGGCAAGAAGGCATGGAAGCCAGTTTGCAGCTTGGCGATGCCGAGAATAGGGCTTGCCTCCGTAGGACCATCGGGATCGTTGGGTGTCTTTTCGAAATAATCGCGTTTGATGACCTTGGCTGTGTGTTGTGAAATGAAATCGTATTTGACGTTTTCGCGCCATGATTCTGACGTTGTTTCGTCGGTGACCAGAGGCGAGACAAACACGGCGCCTGCTGGTCGTGGCAACTCGCTCACCATGGGTCCACCCATATCCTCCTCTTCTGGATCATCCGTCACAATTTCGAACCTGTCATTTTGATCATTTTGGTAAGTTACCATGGTTTTTGTTTGTCGTATTCAATAATGCATATTACTGAGAGAGAGAGAGACTTGATTACATGGATGGATCGTGCGTCAAGAACAACATCTCTAGCAACAATGAAGCTCCAGCCGAGTCGCCCGTAATAACCACTCTTCCCGGATCAACACCCATCGTTTGCACCAAATGCTCATATGCTTTCACAACGTCCTCCACCGGACTAGGATACTTGTACTCGGGTGCCAGTCTATTGGGACGAAAAAATAAAAAAAGTAGTCAGACCAAAGTTAGTCATTACCCCGTGGGGGACGAGGCTAAGACAACAATTATAATAATGACAATCATAGTGGAAATTACCGATAGTCAATAGACATGATGAGGGCTTTTAAATTGTACTTCTTTTTGAGGAAAGTGATCCACCGGATATAGGTGTCCATGTACATCGTGGATGTTCCCAGGCGGAATCCGCCGCCTGTGGTTTGTTGTCGTTGATTTTGTCAAAGGTTCCACAAATTAAAATGAATATCACACAGGCACACTACACCAGCCTTTTTATTTTTCTTTCCAATCGCCGACTCACGGACAACCCAACTCACTCACCGTGGACGTTGAAGAAGATAATGTCAGCTTGATCGATACGTCTTTGCAAGGCGATCGCGTCGAGCTTGTGTACTTGTTCGCCAATCCAACATCCGGACCATGCGTTGTTCCAGGATACCTTGTGGATCCAGGGCTTATGCGTTTTACGTGGACGAGTGATATCGTTCAAGATCATGCGCGCGGCAGGTGCTGGATAAGCAAAGACTTTGCGCAAGACCTTGATCACCGCGGCTGGTGGAAGTCGTCGAAGTTGTTTGCGGATGCCGTCCATCAATCAAGTGTTTTAGCCAAGTAGCGTAGATGATGAAACAAAGAAAAAGAAGAAGGAAGAAAAAGAAAGTAAACACGTTTGCGTCTAAAAAGACAGACACTTTATATATAAGAGTCCGCACCATCAACTCTATACATACACACACACACACACACCAACCCCAACTACACGACTGTTGTCTTGTGTTACCATATGGGTTTTTTCTTTGTTTTATTGCCATAGTGTGAAAAAAAAAGAGCCTTTTTATGTACAAGGAACAAGGTGTTGCTGAAATGGACAAGTTCGATTAAATGCGTGCTGAATGCTTATGTGTGTGCTGTGGATTGGTGTGTGCGCCCCAGAAAGAATAAGGGGGGGGGTATAGCTGACAAATGATAGTTTATGCGTTCAATTGGCCTATAGGTAACGTCACCTTATAGTTCCACCACCCGTCGCCCTGTCCAAACGTCGCATTCGAATCTTGCCGTACGTCAAACAACCGTGATTGATGCAAATCGATCCAGCACCGTCCTTGTCCCCAATAGCACGTCGATGAGAACAAGGCGATCAACAGCAACGTGCAATAAATACTAGTGCAAGAGAAAACCCCGCAATGAGTTATTCAATGATCTAAACGTTCTATTTTAAACGTATGATTTCTTACCAAGGCTTCTGATGTAAAAAGAAAGACACTAGAAACAAGATGACAAAAATAGGCGGCGCATCGGGAAATGGTAACAGTAGTAATGGAACAAAGTATCGCATGCAGTACATTTTATCAAAGTTAAAAAATAAAATTAAAGAGAACGTGTGTGTCTGTTCTCTTTTTTCACCTCTGCCCCCCAACCCACAGTGAAAAAGTCACGAGCCAGCAAATTGCAGTGGCGGGCTTAAATCTCTCAAAGGAAAAACACAGCCAGTGATCTCGCCCGGCAGATTCTTTACAGTGAGTGTGATTATCGTTTATTTGACATTTCCATCATTTTTGTCTGGATCGTCGTCATCACCCGTCGCAACGTTTACTATCGTAAGCTCATCATCGTCTCGGACTGACGATGCTTCCGAACTACTTCTTTCCCGGTTTCCAAGAAGCTTGTTGTTTACCGGCTTGACTGGATTACTGCTACTGCGTCGTCTCATCCACTTGCTATTCTTGGCATCTGCTTCTGACGGCACGTCAAACGCTACAGACTTGTCCTTGTGTTTCTCCAGTGGCGTTGTATCTCCAGATCTTGATCCTGATCCTCCTCCTCCTACTGCTGCTCCGGTTGTACTTGCCCTTGCTATTACTACCGCTACATCTGATGATGCTGCTGCTGCTGCTGCTGCTGCTGCTGAAGATGATGATGATGATGATGACGGTATTTCTTCCATAGTGAATGGGAAAGGCGGTATCTGTGGACACGAGGACCTCCGTGTGCTTTTTTCGTCCTCGGCTGGCTTGAGCATTTCTGACGATGATGATGGCGTATCCTCTCCTGTCTGGCTCCACATGACTTCTCCATGATCATCATCAAACGGCATCGGACTCACTGTATAACTGCGCGGCGGCAAGCTGCTAGCACCACCACCACCCGCCTCGCGATCGATTTGTGCAAGAGCGGGCGATGTTGCTGATCGATGCGCTGCAAGAATATTGGCTGGCACCAGCGAGCGCGACAAGAGTGGGGCTGACATTTTTCGTGTTGTCATGGTCGCCGCTACTGCTTCTGCTTGAGACAAGGCTACTTCCAAGAACTCGCGATAACACTCTAATCGTTGCATCTCGAGCCGTTTTGCATGGACGCGTCTGCCAACCATTTCTGCAAAATAAAGAATACGTTCCTTGCTCGGTTTTTGTAGCGGCACCAGGACCATCAAGTTTCGCCTTAGTTGTAAATCGCGTTCCAGCAGTCGTTCCAGCTCAACCATTTTATGAGATAATTCGAGAATTTTGACCTTGGCCCGTTCTTCTCGCTTCACTCGATCCCCTGATGATCGCCCACCATGGTGATGGTGTCTTGATGATGAGGGTGACGACGGCTTGAGCCGTACGCCTGTCGTCTTTATCGTTGCTGCGTAGTTGATCTTGGTCATCCAATCGTCCATGTCAGCATCACTTTTAGCGCGTATCAGGAATAGTTGACCGTCGCCCGTCATTAGCCGGAAAACATGTGGGTATTTGGTGTAGGATTCGTCGTAAATGCACACGGCATCTGCGAGCGATATAATCTGTACAGGTCTAAGAAGGTTGTTGTGGTGGTTATTGGGGCTGCTGTTAATAATGGGCGTTGAAGGACTAGAGGGTATAGGGACAATGCTGTTCGTCAGCGAGTGTGTAGAGTAGATGGATGATGTGAACGAATGCGAATGGCTGGTCGTGTCTATTGTTGAGGTGGATACACTTGGGAATCGAAAGGGTGGTGGTGTGCTAGATGAAGAAGAGGATGAAGACGTTCGTTCCGAGGCGGGTCTACTACTTGTTGTTGTTGTTGAACACTGTCGTGGTGATTCACGTTCCCGTCGTTCTTCCTCGGCAAGCCAGGAGTCAAATGCCAAGACATCTGCGAAAAAGATTATTTGGGTACCACTCAGAATGACACCAAACGGTCGCCATCCTCGGGCCGTTGCCCTTTTGCCCCCTGGCAACATGTCGTATTTGCGCTCGATGATGGCTGCTTTAGCAACTCGGATTGTGTAAGTGTTACTGCCATCATTGCTGCTATTATGGCGACCTCGTACACCACCGAGGCTCAAAGGTCGTGCGTGATGGAATGCCATGTGCGCTTCATTCAGTTGGATCGGTCTTGGTATGCGCTTGTAATGAAACGAATTTTCGGGCGGCATGAGCTGCGTTAATTTCGGATAAAGATCCTCGACCGCATTTGCCTTTTATGGGAGGTGTGGAATATATTCACGGTAAAGATTAGACTTCACGCTGTTAACAGGATTTTCCTTTTCCAAATAGATACAAGAAGCTTACCGGTGTCAATGCACTGCTGGATTCACTTCTCGCTAATCGGCCGAACCAGGACGTCGGTGTGCGTGCTCTGAACAAATCGTCATCGTTGCCTTCTGCATAAGTGAATTCAGTCGACACGATATTGTCATACATAATCTACAGATAGAATGAGATGAGCGTTCGTTAAGACATGTATGGAAACGCCTTTGTGTATTCTAGGTAGTATCTGCAAACACCGTCCTTCTCCATGTCTCGCACACACACACACACACACACATACACAGAGAGAGACTGGCTCTCTATACTTTGCAGCCTGGCTTACATCCAATATTTCAGCTGGCACATTCTCGCCACCTTCAACGATCCCCTTCCGCATAATAAACGTATCCTTGTTCATCTTTTGTCGCACATTCTTATTGTGCGCATCTGTATGAAGTAATAGCAGCAAAAATGCAACGGCATAGGCAGCGTCTACAGATAGACAAATGTGTGATCAACCCAAACCAATCCGTTAAACTTGATAGCTAATATACTACTACCCTTGAAGCATATACCAGCTATTACTATCTTACCTGGACTGTCAGCCAGGCCTGGATTGCATTCATGATACCGTTTGGCAAAGTCTTCCATGGCTCGGTCGATTTGTTGTGCTTCTTTGGGCAAGTGCGCCTTTGCCAACAGCTTTCTAAAAAAACACCAAGTTTTTTTTTTGTTGGGTGATGAGCCTTCACTTCTTTTTTCTTATGCCCCATTTTCCTTCCCCTCCTCCACAAGTCGTGTGCCCTTCAACTGGGGGAGTGTGTTTTTCGCTTTCTGTTGTTCTTTGGTGGTCTAGTACCTCAGCGCCATATCAACAGCATCGCCACGAAAGTCAAAGGTTTGTAATTGGTCAGCAAATGTAGGTCGATGTTTATTATTGCTGCTACTAGTGCTGCTATTTCCATTGCTGTTGTCGAGTGCTGCAGCAGTTGTCGTGGTTGTTGTTGTTGTTGTTGTTGAGCTACTGCTACTCGTTGTCATCGCATCACCTGGGCCGGCCATGATGTTTCTTTTTTTTTACGTTGTTTATGAAAAAGAAAAGTGGTGAATTTGTTGTGTAGTGTTCGACAAGAAGGAGAAGGGAAGTTTTTTTATAAGAGGAACCAGCCTGTAGTCATAGGATAACAATAAGAGAGTTTGGGGGTTTGTGTGCTGTTGTGGCTCGACTAGCAATATGTGTGTATTATGTGCGTGTCTGTTCGATGGTATTTAGAGCATCCCCAGCGGTATCGCAAAAAAAATCGCGAAATTTGAGCAAGCTTTCGGTCTCGAAATTTCGCTATTGCTGTAGATCCCCAGCGGACTCGCGAAAGATTTCACTTCCTCAAACTCTCTTTTTATAAAAATGCCAACCACTCGCGAACTTGCCCAAATATTTTCTGATGTTGATGCCGATGAGCTACTCTGGCTTGAACTCCATCACCGAGCAATGGAAGCTTTGAGAAAGGAGATTGAGGAAGGAGGTACCTTGAAACGTGGATCAGTCTTTGGGCGAAAGTACAAAGAGAGAAGACGCGAATTGGGACAAATGTTGCTTCAACGTGACTATTTCGACGAAGTTCCACTTCATGGTCCAGAAGAATTTCGCCGTCGTTTTCGGATGTTCCGTCCACTTTTCCTAAAAATCGTCGATGCCATTGGTAAAGAAGACGATTACTTCGTTCAAAAGAAGGATGCTGCTGGGAAGCTGGGGTTCTCGGCCATCGCGAAAGCAACTGCAGCAATGAGGCAACTTGCCTATGGTGTGCCTGCTGATGCAGTGGACGATTACCTGCGTATTGGCGAAGAGACTGCTCGTCAATGCCTGCTCCGTTTTTGTCAAGCAGTCATCGATGTTTTCGGTGAAACGTATTTACGTACACCAAATGAATCAGACATGGCAAGACTATTGGCTCAAGGAGAAGCACGCGGCTTCCCTGGAATGCTAGGCTCGGTGGATTGTACCCATTGGATTTGGAAGAATTGTCCCAAAGCGTGGCATGGAATGTACAGGGGCAAGGAAGGAGAAGCAACAGTGATTTTGGAAGCAGTAGCAGACTTTGACCTATGGATATGGCATGCTTATTTTGGGCTTCCAGGAAGCCTCAATGATATCAATGTTTTGGATCGCTCACCTTTGTTTTTGGATCTTGCTGCTGGACGTACACCACCGGTAGCATACCGCATCAACGAAAACGAGTATACGATAGGGTATTATCTTGCTGATGGGATATATCCCAAATGGGCAACATTGGTGCAATCCATCAAGATGCCTGAAAACCTTCAAGAACAGGTATATTAAACTATTTGTTTTGTAACGCCAATATAATAATCATTTATTCTTTTGTAGCATTTCAACACGATGCAAGAAAGCGTGCGCAAAGATGTTGAGCGCGCGTTTGGTGTTCTAAAAGCTCGATACCACATCATCCAGCAGCCAGCACGTCATTGGAATATTGCAACTCTCACCAAAATTATTAACGCTTGCATCATTCTCCATAACATGACCATTGAGGATGAACGCGGTACAGAAGTTGACTATGAGTACGATGATGAAGCAACTCGCCGAGAAAAAGCACGCCGCAACAAAAACAGAAAGCGAGTTCGAGTCAGCACTTCTGATTCAGATGGTATTGATGTGAATCCAGAAGAGGTTGCAGCAACAACATTAGCTACAGTGCCCGGTGATGACGCTGTTTTCAAACAGTATCTTAGTCGATATCAAGAAATCCGCGATACTCAGAAGCATCAACAACTACAAGATGATCTTGTTGTACATTTGTGGAAATCGTATGGTAAAGTCAAATGATGGATACTTTTTCTTGATTAAAAAAACTCTTATCTTCATCTTAATCCTACTCAACTACATCATGTTCATCCCCTGATGGTTCTACTGCTTCTACTTCTTCAACTTCTTCGTTCTCTTCTTCAAACTTCTCATCTTCTTCTCCATCGTCTTCTTCATCCTCTTCATCTTCTGCTCCTCCTGCAAGCAATCTTTCTAAGATCTGTTTTTGCCGGATCTCAAAGAACTGACGGCGGACGGGATCCAATTGTGAAGGATCGACAGCCATGATCTTCTCATCCCTTTCTTTTCTGTCGTCCTTCGCTTTTCTTTTCTCTACCGCCACGAGCTGCTCCAAATATCTGCTCTTTTTTCTCGTTTCTTCGAGAAATGCGGCTTGATTTTTCATCGCTTCATCAAAGTCGCGCTTGAGCTCTGTTCGAGCCTTTTCTTTTTTGTTTCCATCCGGTCTTTTGTTGGTGGATTGCGCGGTCGACGATTCACCATTATCGCCTTCTTGACCGACATTGGAAACTGCAGGTGCTTTACCTTTACCCTTCTTATTGTTGTCGGCAGGTGTATTTTTCTTTGCCTTCATTTCTTCCAGCTTGTCGTTCCACTTGTCAAAAGAACGGAGGGTTTCCCAACAAAGCTCAAATGCGAATTGTTTCTTTTCGAATCTGAAATACGCTTCCTTTGCTTGCGTACGCTGAAAGTTACTTATATCAGGCCCTGTATACTAACATGTTTTTCTTATACTTTTTATTCAATACTAACCAGACCCAGTTCATTCTGGCCACTTTGTTTCAAACCCTTAATCTGAGCGTAGTGTCCACAGAACTTTGCAACTTCTTTCTGGATGTTACGACTCCAACGGCTCATCAAGGCTTTGGCCGTTCGTTCGCCTCTGGGATCCTCGATATGCGAAGCAAAATGGGTAGCAACTTTTTGCCAGAATTGGCCACCATCCTGGTCTGTCCCTGTTTCGGCATTGATCGAGATCTTCAACCATGATTTACACAGTTGAAGATCTTCTGCTGGAGAATAGTTCAGGTTGCCTTCGCGACCTCCTGCCTTTCCAATACTCTTCTTTTCCTTCACGGAAGAGGACGAAGTAGTGGTAGGAGCGGAAGTAGGCAAAGGGGAGTTAGGTGGTTGTGGGGTGTTGGGGCGATTTTCTTGCATTTTGGTGATGATTGTGAAGTTGTTGTTGTTTTTGAGTTTATTTTAAAAAATGAGGTACAGGATCAACAAGTAGTTTCGCGAGTCGACAAATTTCGCGAGCTTGGACTCAGAATTCTGCGACTCTCAAATTATGCAAATGGTTTGGCGAGTCCGCTAGGAACAAAAAAATACAAACTCGCTCGCAAAAATTTCGAGATTTGAAATTTCGCGAGTCCGCTAGGGATGCTCTTAATAAGAAAAGGAAACGGGAATAGGGCAAGCTGAGTACCAAACCGCATTTCGTGTGTGTGTTATATGCTCTCTTGAAACCACCAGTCGGTGCTTTTAGCGCTTTTCATATCTGGCATATAGCATCAACAATAGACAGATGTTGTGAGTGTAGTATGCAAGAGAGACCCATCCGTTGTAGTATGGCTCCTTATTTTTAAAATATGTAGAATATGCTGTAGTATGAGTCGTATGTGACATATTATCAGATAAAATGAAGTGCCAGGGTATACTAGTAGTAGTAACAACACCAACAGCAGCAGCAGCAGCAGTAGTACTAGTAGTATAGTGGTATAGTAATGCGCCCCTGAACACTTCTTTTTTATTGCTTATTGAGTCGCATTTTCCACATTTTGCTTTTTTGCGGGACGTCTATTTTCCTGGCCACTGTTACGTGTAGTAGAAGAGACACTACTAGAGGGCCGCTTAATCGGTCGAACAGGCGTCATTCCGCGCAACATAAACATTTTCTGCATCGTTGCTGATGTTCGAGCGTTGGTCTTTGGTGTGAATTTCAATGAGCTCGATGCAGTGGCTCGCGTTAATTTAGATAATGTGCTACTATTTTTTGAGGATGACGATGCTGCTGTTGCTGCTGTTGCTGTTGTGGATGCATCTTTTGCTGCAGGTTTGGATATTAAGACAGACGATGACGTAGCTTTGCTGGCGGTGGGGGTAGCTGGTCTCTTTGCGTTGGGTATTTTGGATCCTCTTGCTGAAAGCGATGCAGACATGGATGTTCGTGGACGCTGTGGGATCGGTAATTTGGCTGTGGATAATTGTGGTGCACTGTTTCTGCTCTTAGGTCGCGGCAGTCGCGTACCAGCGTGTTTAACGACACGTCCCACAGCGTGAGATGTCGTCAGAGATGCTGGTGCGTTCTTTGTAGCGGATGTTGAGGAAGTAGTAGAGGAAAAGGACGAGGCTGAGGATGTTCTGGATAAGAGTTTGGATGTTGGCCTTCTTTCGGTCACGGTCAGGTATTTCTTGATATCGGCGGGTAACTTTTCTTCAAACCTAGTTTTGTTTGCTCGTTGTCAATGATAAAATCCTTCTCTAATCATTCTTCCCCCAACCCCCACCTCCCGTTTTTATCTTCTTGAGCTTACTTTGAAGCAGATTCAGGGAACTTTATGCTATAGGTCTTGTAGCAACATCGAATAGCTAAACGCACGTCTGGCGCTGAATCCATGGCAGTCATACGGATTGCGTCTTCAATCAGAGTTTGATGCGGTGCGATATCTTCCTTTGTGTTAGTTTCAACCAGTTTGTCGAGACAGGCGGCAACGCACTGTCGAACAGATTTGCTCGTCTCCTTTTGCGATTTCAAGAGTGTCGATAATTTAGGGATCATCCGTGGCAACTTGGCGTGATCGATAATTGTCTTGTAGCACTCGACAGCGCGGGTGAGCATCACCTTGTTGGTTCTGGCAAACATGCGCAGTAACGTGGGCGCAAACAAGTCGTGGACGTGTTGGTCATAGTCGCGTTGCATGGCTTCTGATACCTTTTTTAAGAACTCTGTTGCTGCACCAGAGAGTCGTGTGCGTTCAGTGGTAAGCTACACAAACGAAAAAGGCAATTGGTCATCAGTGTGTTATACTACCCGAACAATAGTGCAAGACGCGAAAAAAAAAATGAAACAGTGCTTACAGTTTTGATCAAAGGTCTTTGCAACATTTTTAAATGATCTACAAAACCATCGTATTCGTGTGCCTTATCTTCCAATGTCCAGACACCAAGGTTTTTCAATGCAATATTAAAGAACTCCCACGTTTCTTCTGTTTCGCCCTTGCTAAAGAGTTGTTGGATTCGCCGCATCTCTTTATCCAACTCTGCCTTTGAGGCGATCTGAACAATATTCACACATCAAGATTTCAACTATTAACAGACCGAAAGAACACAAAGATACAGCTTTTATAGTATACAGCAGACTCTACCCTGATTGGCTTTTTAGGATAAATCTCCATTTTGCTTTGTTATTGTTAATTGCAGTGAAAAAAGCAAAGAGGAAAATAAAATACAGGAAAGGTGGAGGTTGAATAACAGGAACAAAGAAGGTACGCACCGCGCTACATATACAGCTTCATTGCACGACGGCAAAGTAAAATTGTGTTTTGTAAGCTGATCGATTGATCCATTCCTTTTCGCTCTGCTGCAGTCATGGTTTCCTGTAGCTTAGCGATAGATAGCCCATAGCAACGAAGGCTTCCTTTCTTGTGGCAACTATTCTTCTTTGTCCCTCATCTAAGGGTAAAAGCGTCTCTTCTCGAGGTACATAGCAACCATAGTTTTGTCCGTGAGGATGCATTCGGTTACTACTGACCATAGAAGCACCCGCATTTTTGCTTGTACCAACACACATATGAACAAGTCTCTGCTTGGTGCTGTTATGCTCTTGTCGTCGGTTTTGAAACCTGTTTTCAACTTGAACCTCCCTTGAAAATCTGTAATATTCGAATGTTAGTATATGTGTACGTTGCCGCACAGATGCACACTAGCAAGTGTCTCATCGCAAATAACTTGATGCTCCCTCCGAATTAACAGCAGTGATTAAATACTACGCTGGGAAATGTATGTCATCAGCGAGTGTACCATAAGGTGCGGCACGATATATTCCACAACAGCTTTTTAGAAGTGTGTGCTGTTAATGCTATGATGCATATAGAATATAGCCCGGCTTCTAAAGTCATCTCCTTTAGCCCTCATAAACCCTTCATAATACTTTAACAATAAAACCCATCTTGTGATGAGTATGCTTAACAAAGCTCTCTCTGACCCGGGATGTTATTTTGGTCTGTTACCATCAGGTTAAAAAATGGCGATCGATGTAAAAACAGTCGTCAATGATGATGTAGTTGTGTATGTGCAAGCCTAGCTCTTGCTCGTATGAAGTCTTGCCGCTTGATGAGATAACCTTATTTGATACAACACAACAGCACCGGTAAATGTAGTGATCTGTATCATCACAATGGGCTAGTTCATGCCGCAGCGGAGAAAAGCACAACCAACATTCACTGTGAGCAACCCCAGTCCGAAGCCTCGGTTCCAAAATTATATAACCAAGTCTGGCCTGTACTTCTTTTTTTTACACTTCACTGTCAAATATAATAATATGCCTTCTCCGGATCAGCCTCGACTCTCGGCCATACGAGCATACCCTATTAAATCATGTCATTGCGTTGAGCTGAAAGAATGCGAAATCGATTCAATGGGTCTTCAAATCGATCGTCGTTTCATGTTCATTGAAGCAAAGTCTGGTCGCTTCATTACTCAACGGTATATTATCTTTCCGCTCACCCTTCCACTTCCTTTTTTGCGTTTTTGGGGGGTCTACAAAACGAGAGGGATAGACCGATTACATATTTTTAATAGCCACACGCATTTTTTGCTTATGAACCAACTAGCAAATACTCGTCGATGGCACTTATTCGCCCTTTGGTGGACACGACAGCAGACACGCTGACATTGACAGCTCCTGGACAGTCTGATTTGGTTCTTCCACTTCATCCATCCTTGGGCCGCCAGTTTACTGCAAAGCTATGGGAGGACACATTGACCGTGTTTGATATGGGCGATGAGGCATCACACTGGGTTGGCAAGTTTTTCAACGACCATCGGGATCATAATAAGCAAAACCCCGTCGGAGACGACGATGAGATCAATTTTGACGCACAGTTACCTGAGCTGCGCCTTGTCACATTGGATGATCCTGCCAAGGGAATCTACACTCGACCCACTCACCAGAAATTGCCTGGTTTGCATTCGCCTTTTTCGGATTGGTCGCCCGTCTCATTTGGTTTCGAAGCGAGTCTGGAAAGTGTCAATCATGGCTTGGAGGAAACCGGAATGAGCAACGGCAAGTCGATCTCTATGGATCGGTTCCGTAACAACCTTACAATTTCTAGTACGATCCCGTGGGAAGAAGACGAGTGGCTCGTGGCAAAGTAAATAATCCCGTACACATATTCCGGTTCAGGCGTAGAGCAAGATATATAACATGCAGGGTCAGTAGAAGAATAACTATTTGGATCTTATATATTTTTTGCTCTGTAGAATTGGTGAAGTAACGTTTTATATCATGCGTCCCACTGCTCGTTGCCCTGGTATGTTCATTTATATAGCCATTTCAAAGGGTGCGTTTATTACGCAAATGATATGAAAACGTGCTGAAGGCTATCGTTTTTCCTAGTACCTGGGATTGACCAGGATACCGGCGTCAAGGATGATTGGGGTTGTGTTACCGACTATCTCAAGAAAAAACGAAACATCCCGGACAAGCCAGGCAGAAATAATGGATGCTTCTGTGTAGATGCTGCACCACTTACTGCTGGCACTATCCGTGTTGGTGATCCAATTCAAGTACTCGAACGAATTCCCGCCGATTGTGTCGAACATCCTATCCCACCACCTACATATTAAAAACACAGAATATGTCTTATTAATGTAGCAAAGAAGGGTTTTGTACTTTAGTAATTTGCGGTTATTTCTGTTTTACATTACTGCATCACTCAATAATTGTATGATGATAATGTCATTACTGCTGTGAAAGGAACTTAATACATTTTCAGTTTACACGAAAGTTCATTTTTGAGTGTGAGCTTGAGTAACATTAAATGCTATAAAGCTACAATGAATATTCTTTTTTGTTTGCTACTCTAGTACATATAGCGGCTAAGTGAATATGATCAGTCGCTCACGCTATATCTTTCGCTATGCTTTAGATACTATCCTATACATGCTGGCGATTAACGGGAAACGACAACGGTAAATACTGGGTCATTTCACGTCCTTGTGTCTTCCTTCATCCACCAGTTCCAGCATCATTAATTCGTTTATCAACTTTATGAGCTATAAACTCTCTAGCTTCCGTTCTTTCTCTTTAAAAAAGACGGCCAGAACATGATCATGCACAAATATTTCGAGACATCATATATCAATAAACACACGCAGGTAATAGTTGTCTCCGGCTTGTCATTTGCTTTAATATCCTTCACAAAGGCGATCATGGCTTCCTCAGATAACTGTAGTGTGTTGATGAGTCAAAAAAATAATTTAAACACGCAATTTCTTCCACCAAGGTTATATGCATGCATCGACAAGATTCGACATGAAGAGTTCTAACAAGTCCCTCCAGGTTTATTTATCCAACAGTGAATAGAGGGTTCCATACGGTATCCTGTTGGTGATGCTGATGATGAAGGTGTGAATGTTGTATATGTGTTATTTCTGCCTCGATAGAGTCGAGATCAGGACGCTTCCGGTTCAATGCTTTGCTGATGGCTTCAAGCACAACTTGAGCAATTTTTCTGCAGGTCAAGATGATATGACTTCTTCCAACTTTGGGCAATTGCGAATAAGGACTCGAGCGTATCCCCACGACGCGCGATAGCATTGCACAACCGACAACGAAACGTGAGTGACCGAACAGACGTAAGCGCAGGCTAATCTTTGCCATTGAGAAACATGCGCGTAAAGAACTAGCACAAATGCAAAGTATTTCAAAATATGCTGATGCTCCTTAACAAATATAATGACTAATATTTTTATAAACGCGAAGCAGCTAAGATACCTGATTTTTGTCGGCTTCTTATGATGATAATGCAAAGTAGGTACACTACTGACGTATGCTTCGTCATTGCTTTAGATGAAATGGGGATGTTACGGTTTGTATTAAACGCCAGGAACTGCAGTTTGGGACACAAGGTGAAAGCCAGTTCAATAGCCGTCGTTGTGCTGTTGCGAGGGCAAAGACTGGCGTTTTGTCGATGCGCGATACTGCTGTGGCTGTTGGCGCTACCACCATGAATGGAGGTAGAATTGCAATAATACATTTTTTGGGGGTTTTGTCCTTCAGCAGATGCTAGCAAGGGTGTGCTTCTGCTCGAGAGATTTGACAAGCAAGACAAGCAAGTTGAAAAAATGCCTGGGGATGGGTGCTTAACGTTTGTCTTTGTGTAAAGTTGCACTGAGAGACAAATGGATCAAGTTGTCGACTATCTTGCTATCTTCTGAAAGTAGACCAGAAGATGAATCAGAGTATGGGTCACATGCGTACCAAATCCTCGGACTCGTTGTATGGGTCAGTCTTGAACGAAAATTCACGTAACTTGAAGCAAACAGCCATGATGAGGCGTAATCGCCAAGCTGTGTCCTCCATGCTACAAGAAAGCAATCTTGCGTGAATTGATGGCAAGCATTCGCAAGCTCTTAAAAAAGTGCCCGTAATCGGTAATTTTACAAGTTTCATAAATTTGAGACGTAGCGTAAGGAAAGGAGGGAAAAATGTATGAACTAGTAAGGTTCTTGTCGTCACTCGGCAATAGGTATACTCGAAGCACGCGCATCATTTTCAAGAGCGGGGGTTGCTTGCAGAAATGACCGATGGCTATTACCTTTACATGGGATCCGAAGCATCGATGCAGTCGGGTGTTGTTGAGATCATATTGACAGTAAGCGAGCTGTACCGTGGTTTTAAATGTTCGTGGTAAGAGCACGCAGACAGTCCGTTGGGTCGAGGTACGAAAATATATGACAAAGCGTGTCAAAAGTGAGATGTTAATAGACCAGACTCATCCGTCAAAAATTTTGTTCCCAGATGTTGCTGTTGTCGTTGCTGCTTTCACGCTAGACATTGACAACGGAATACGATTTTGCCGTTTATTGAGCCCAACGCGCGTCGAATAAAGTAAAGCAAGCGATTGTTGTTGTTTCGGTTGCTGATAACTAGATGAATTCTGTAGGACCAATGCTTGACATTGATGCAGATTGTATATTTGACTGCTGCTTTGCGTTTTTCAACTCGTCTACGACTGCTTGGTTGATGGTTTGCTCGCCTTTATCTGATTGATGACCACCTGTCATTAGTATCGTTGCTGATATCACCCCTTCTCCTTCTCAGTGCTCATAGGTCGATGTAAGACGACGACGCCTCTATTTGAAATAAAAGAAAGAAGAAGATTGAGCAATTTCGATAAAAACCTGCAGAAGTCCCTATTGTGCTAGAGCATAGGATTACATATTTTACTACAAGTAAGATACATGCGTACAAGATGATGCTTATAGTGACTCGAGGTTAATCTATAGCAGCCCTTTCAATTAATATTACACCATAATCATTAGTAATAATAATAGACCTATCAGCAATGCACTGCACACACGCATGCAGTGTTGTGTATATGTGATGCTGCATGGCTTTGTCTTATATGTATCAGTACTGCCCAATGCCACCACGCAACAGACAGCATACAAGGCAAGAAGCCCCACTTTTCTCCTTTGGCACTGCTGGTTACACAGACATGGATTGTCGCCGCATAAGGAGTGGACATGTGAGAAAGAACTTGGAGAAGTTCCATTGTCCTGCGACAATAATTCTGAATACAGTTGATGGTTGATCTTTTCTTTCCTTGATAATCGCTCTCTCCCTTCTCTTCCTCGCCCCTTCATTCCCCTTAACTCTTTTCCCTTTGTTACTTCGCCGAGTCAGAAAAATAGAAACGCATTCTTCAACCTGGATATAACAAGGAGTACATTAAACACACCAGCTGAAAACAATAATAATAAACATAACGATCATTAGCGCCGAAGTCACCCTGGAATACAGATTAAAAAAACAAACATGTATGATGCCAGCTACGTACGTAGCGTACAGAGAGCGATGCGGGGCACTAATGGCCAAGTGGGTTTTTCTTCTGCAGAATCCCAGTCTATCCAAGCCATAACCCGCAGTAAGTTTCATATACGATGCCAGTACTAATGCTTGCTGTCGTATCAATACAGTAAGTCACAGGATGCCAAACAACATCTTCTCGGAGCCAGTGCCGCTGTTGCCGTTGCTGCCGGACATCGTCGGACTTTGTGGGCGCTTGACATGCTTCTGAATGCTGCAACCGGATCAAAGGAGGAGCTATTCTACTTTCTGTCCTTCTCTCTTTCCTTCCTCTCACTTTTTCTTTTATTTACTCTTCGTACACGCACAGTTCGTATACGCAATGGGGTTACTAAAAGCATTTGATACGATTGTTCATGGCGGTATCCAACGTCCGGACTCTTACCACAAAAAAAAATGCTACCAATTTGGTGCTACTCTGGGTAATGTTTCTCTCCTCACTCTTGTACCTGCTTGAAACAATAAACTGACGCTATACATAAAAATTCCAAAGGCACCGGCTCATTCGGCTTTGTGAAACAGGCAACAAGGCTAACAGATAATAAAGAAGTGGCAATAAAAGTCATTCCGAAACGCAATGTCAAAGGTCATTTCGACATGGTCTATGCTGAAACCAAGGTACTCGAAGGGTTACACCACGAGAACGTCATTGACTTTTTGGATTTTTTTGAGTCTCGTGAAAAGTTTTATCTGGTATTTGAGCTGTAAGAAGGGTCCAATATCTCTTTTTCAAGTAGTGATGGTGGTGATGATGTATTCTATCACAATGCATACGTGGTATGTCGTATGGGATCCATTCACTCTACACTCACTCACTCACCTGAAACTGGTTGCTACGAATAAAGGGCGACAGGCGGCGAACTGTTTGAACGACTCTTTGACCGCGGCAAATTTACAGAAAAGGACGCCATCTCTGTCGTACGATCAATTCTGAGCGGGCTAGAGTATCTCCATGCCAACAATATAGTCCACCGAGGTATACTTGCTCAACAATCATAGCGTGATGGATCGCCGTTGGGGTGGTTACATGGCGTTAGTTACCTGGGGGAGGAATTGGGGATGTTTCTGATCTGGGTGCCGTTTAACTTTTACAGATATGAAACCTGAAAATTTGCTTTTCAAGAGCGATGAGCCAGATGCAGATTTGGCTATATGCGATTTTGGGTACAGTCTCCTTTCTATCCTTGCTACCGTGGATCATTCTTCTTCCAAAGCAACAAGTCTAAACAAGTTGGATGTTGCTCATCAAATAGTATCGCCAAATTAAGCAACGAAGAGACGACGCTCGAGACGGTCTGTGGCTCGCCTGGATATGTCGGTAGGTGTTCCATTTTGATTTAATGCATATCTTCCATGTAAGGGTGGAGTTTATCTGACCTGTGCAATTAATTTCTATTAATAGCACCTGAAGTGCTACGACGACAGCCTTATGGAGCACCCATTGACATATGGGCTGTAGGGTAAATATACAGCATCTCACCATCGCTCAGCTCATTTACTCAAACGTATATACTAATCTGGCTGCTTGGCCTTCTTGCTTATTATAAAGTGTTATTACCTACACTCTGTAAGTTTACTATCTAACAAGTTGAAGTTCGGGCGTTTTTAAGGATAGGGGATAGTTATTGACGGTTTCTTTATGATAGCCTTTCCGGTTACAGTCCCTTTGTAGCCGAAGATCAACTTGGATTAATCAACGAAATTATAAACGTACGATATGAGTTTCATGACAGATACTGGCGAAATATATCACAAGATGGTAACCACCCAAAAGCCTATAAGCGATTAAAAAGAGAGAAAGAGAGAGGGTATTAGTGCATAAATTAAACTCACCCGTATATTCTCTCTGCAAGCCAAAGATTTCATTCGACGAATTTTGATTCAGGATCCCAACAGCCGGCCATCGGCGACGGAAGCGCTTAACGACAGATGGATGACAGGCTCAACGGCGACAGAAGTGGATTTATTGCCAACAGTACGCGAGAACTTTTGCCCTCGACGTGCGTTTAGGAAAGCTGTAGGCGCTGTCAGAGCTGTAAACCGTCTGCGAACCAGCATCTCTTTAGCATCAACCGCATCCCCAGTGTCTTCATCTGCAGAAGCCAACAGCAACAGCAGCAACATCATCCGAACACCGACACCGGCAAACGACAAATCTTCTTTCCTAATAGCCGATGATCATCATCATTATAAACATCATATCAACGATCAACCAACACCACCGCAGGAGACAACATGATAGTTGAAGATAGTTTTTATCCTCTTTTTTTTCATTAATAGTTGTTTTCCTTTCATATTTACAAACGCATGCATGGAATTGTTCATTGTTGTTGTAATAATTGCATTTTCAATAATCTTATTAAATAGTAGCATCATCAGCATCACCTACAATTTTCCGTTTTGCTGTTAAAAAGTAGTTGACTTCTAAGGATTCTAATCCACCAGCACCAATCAGTCCTTTCTCTTGGGCCACACGCCACTGACGACATGCTGGATCCCAGAAAACACCACGTACATCTTGTACAGCCCAGTCCTGACCCATCGATTCAACCGCACTGATTAATTCTTTGCTCGTAATGTACTTTGTCCAATCATGCGTGCCCTGGTGTACCAATCGAAGCACATCCTCGGCCAGTGCGACAGTCAATAAATATGAAGCAAACGTGCGTGACATGGTCGATAAGAACAAGGTACCGCCTGGTCGAACTAAGTCGCCGCATGTTCGCAAGAATTGGAGTGGGTTGTTGACGTGTTCAATAATCTCCATGGCCAATACTACATCAAAGGACTCTTTGGATGCCAGCAGATCCTCTATTATCAAATTCGATGATAAGTTTCTACTTTAGTTCGAATTCTTTACTAGAGCATATAGAGTAAGAGAAAAATATTGTAGATTCCATTATTACCGGCTGTAGTGTGTCTGTAATAAAGTTGTCCAGGACCTCGCCATAATTGAGGGTCTTGTCGTTTATGAATTTGTGCCATTTTAATGTTGTCAGGCGACGCGTCGGCTCCGAGCACTCGTCCACCTAGCCGTGTTAGCGACTAAACAAACTATATGTTAAAAGTTGTCGTTCTTTGCCCTTGCCACGGAAAACAGATGAAGGTATTCAAAGCGGCATATCGTATTACCTCAGAAAGAAGACCACCACCACAACCAATGTCCAGCATTTTCATATTTTGAAATGGTTTAGGCTCAATAGCAGAAAATCCCAGTTGTTCGCGAACATAACGTACACGAGCAGGATTCATTAATTGAAGCATGCCGAATTCACCGTCAGGATCCCACCATTCTGCAGATTTTTCACTAAATTTCCTGACTTCGCTTGCGTCAATGGTTGAGAACCGTCGTCGGCTCACGTATTGATATATCCGGTTTCTCCACATGTTTTTTTGGTTTTGTTATTATTGCCCGAAAGGTGTGTAATAGGTCAAAGTTATGAACCCCCGCTTCCAGAACAATAATCTCACTGGTCGACAAGTCACGTAGTGCACACGGCCATGATGCATATCCAACACGATTGCATAACAATACTAGTTTAGCTTTTGCCAAGATTAGCTATGAGACAGTTACACGTATATCGTAAAAGCGCGTAAATCTGTACCTAAAAAAAGAAACAGTTAACTTCTCTCCTCAGGGACGACTTCGTTTACTTTATGGATTTAACCACTGTCACATGTTAATATACCAAGAAACAACATTTCAGGTAGTATCCATGACTTTTATTATTCAGTTGAGCTGTGATTAGCCCTAATACTCATTTACAAATTGAAGCTGCTAGAAAGAACTCGGTCAGCACTGAATATTTGCTAAATAGCATCCATGGATTTTGGATTTTGATTGCTGTTTCTGTGTAACAGTCCGAGAACAGCGGCAGATCCATGTCAAAAATCTTAGTATTGACGTAATTGGAAAAGTGTATTCAGCTCTGCCAGCTGTTATTATATTTTCAGACGCGAAGTTTAGTAGTGAAGAGGGATGTTTTCGAGCGAAAGGTTTTTTTGTCAATAGACGTATTGATCAGTGAACAGGAAGTTGGAGCAACTTTAGTGGTAACTACTACTATAATGATGATCATCATTGTTATCACTAGAATTATGTACAATTAAGTATTTCTTATAAATTCTGTTGTTGTGGTTATTGCAGAAATATCGTATGTGGAGGAATGCAGATGTTAGTACGTGAGTCATATTAGGAGTTCGTGTTCATGTCAAGATAAACCGGACGCATTTTGAGCCGTTGGAGTTGTAGTTGCCGTGGACATATAGTCTGGAGATGGACCACTATCGTCGTTACATTGGATTTTGCTGTTATCATCGATGGTGGAAGAGTGTGGCAGTGAGGGTCGTTGTGGGTGGCATGAGTAGTCGTTATTGGTATATTCACCGCCTTCGCCAACGAATAGCGATTCTGCGTTTCGTTTTGCTGTTTCTTGCTCTACCAAATACAGAATGTAATCGTTTGTAAAGACCCATAACTTCTCAAAGCATTCTACATGATAATATAGCTAACTTGTCAGCAAACTGGCAATGTATTGTAGTTTTGTTTTGTTTTTTGCTTCTCACCAACAATGACAGAATCTGCACGTTTACTGTAGCTATGTAGCTCCATCTCCCGCCTTGCAAAGGAGGTGTAGGTCGACCATATTAATGCTAACTTCTTAATATGCTCGTAGCTTTGTCCGCGCGCCAGGTGCAAGCTCATTACCGAGTTCATCCAGTCGATCCAGCGCCGAACACCACGCCACCGTGTTACATCATTGTCGCTGTGCTCTGCTGGCTGAGTTAGTAGTCGAGTAATGTGGTTAACTATAATACAACAATGAAGGTTTGTTACTTAGAACGATTATTGAACAGTTATCAGCCCATCATAAAAATAAACAAGAGATAGCCATTTACATTGCTGACCAATGGCTACTGCACCGTTGTTTCCAGTAATCCATTCTGCTCGATCAAAAACCTGAGAAAAGTTTATCCGTTTCCACAAGTCCAGCATATAGCCCGAGTTTTCTCGTAATATCTGATTTGATGCTTGTGCCAGGATATTGAGATGCATGATTCGTTCCAACTTTGTGCCAAATATTTTTGTTACTGCGATATAGAAAAAGTGGGAGTCAGTGAGAATAACAAGTATAAGCGACGAAGAGCCAGTATTATAAAGTAGTTGGCAGAACTACAATAATTTACCAGCCAGTTTGTTTTCGACGAGCTCAAGAGGGTAGTTTTGCAGAGCTTCAGGAATGATACTGATCAAGCTAGAGCACAATTCTGATAGACGTCGTGGAACAACCGATATATTCACTTCTGCATCGATCGTAGGATAATATAGAGAAATCAATACCTAGCAGTAGTATTTGAAACGAGTGAGTGTAAGTTATCGGTAGAAGATATATAAATGAAATTGATTGTCATTACATCGTAAAAGACACAATCCCAGCTGCATATTGTCTCGATGAGGTCAGAGCCGTTAGATCGTAAAAATTCAACGATATCGTGAGGCACCGTGGTGTCGTAGAATGTTATTATGGGGTTTCTGATCTAGTAAACGTGCCGTGATATATACTAATGAATTATTATAGTTTACCATGGATGTCAACATGACGGTGGGGTAAGAGAAGAACATTACATTTTTGTGTGTATCGATTAGATGAAGGATCTGGTTACAATGCTGGCGATATCTCTGGACTAACTCTTCTGCTTGCGGATTGAGCTGCAGTGATGGTGACATTGTTAAAGGAGGAATCAAGTCAATAATGCTGGTGTCGTGTTGTTGTTGCGTTGATGGTTCTGTGATTTGTCTTTTTGTTTCATTTAAACAGCAAAGAAAAGGCGTTGTTTGCGTCAGTAGCTGTCATCATCTTTAGTATCAACTTGATAACTTACTCGTGATCGGTATCAATGATCATCTGATCATCATGACTCTCCGTTGACGCCGGTGCTGTTTGGGCAGGCGCGTCGATCTCTTTAATGCCACAGTAATAGTACTTTGATTGTCCTCGGTTGCCCAGCCGACGCGTCTTGATATTTGTAAAGACAGATCGTACAAGCTTGCCAAACGTTGCAGAGTTCACTGGAGGTTGAGCAGCTGTCCGCTGTTGACTATACTGCTGCTGATAGCGCTCATATATACTAGCTCGAGGAACTCCAGGAATAGCGGAACTGCCAACGGAAGTCCAACCACACTCTCGGTAGTTATCTTTTAGCCTAATGACACGAAAAAAAGGCAACGCCGTTTTGTTCTCAATTAACTAATAGTGGGGTGAGGGTGTACTTCCTCGGAATGGCATTGTTTGCCTAGTGTGATTGCTTTGTCGTACCATTGTATCGTCGCTTCATGTTCATTTGCTGCTATTGATCTCGATTGCTGCTGTTGATTGGCTGGTGACATGATTCAACAAGCAGAGGTTGTATGTATAAGAAGCCAGATCACTAGAAGCGTTTGAGCCGCTCGATTGAATGAAGAAAAAGAAGTGCACGTAATTTGACAAGACACGTGCAGACGTTAGGAGCTTTGTAATTGCGTTCTTTTGCTCGAGAGAACAACGAAGGGGAGAAAAAAGAATGATAGGTTTGGAAGCACAGGCACGAAATGCATCGTCTGAAATTAAGCTCCTTCTGAGTGAACCTGTAGTTGTTAAGAGCATGGAATTATATTCAAATATTTACAACGTGATGGTGATGATGAATTTAAAGATGATTAAAAATATGACCTATCAACTAATTAAAGTCATACAGATACTTGTCGATTTCAAAGCGCACACTGTTTGCGACAGCTCGGATGAACTCGAAACTGACATTACACTTGAACTTGGCTCCATCCAAACGGTCCATGTTGTTTGCCCGTACCAGTAGCCGCAGGGTCGTTAGACTTGTGATCTGTTTATTATTTCGTTCATGTAAGCTGTGTGTATGTGCAAGTCGCTTTTTATGTATATCCAATGCAGACAAAATAAAATGCGTACCTGAGTCTGGACATCGATGGAATCCTCCAAAGTATCGTCAATGATACTATAAAAGATGGCAAGCATACGTTCAACAGGGAATGCTTTAGGGCCGAGAAGTTGCGGTCGCATCTAAGTATTATGATTAGACATAATCCGTCATCACTGTCAGATCAAAGCTTCATAACCCTCTTTGACCCTTTATCCGCCGGTTTTAACAACAAAGCAAACTTACTTTTCCGCCACCCTGATCAGCCTTTCCTTTACGAGTGCCGCCACCTTTCTTTCGTGCCCGTGTTTCTCCCATTTTAGAGAAGTATCGAACATCATATCGTGCAGGATTATATGACGCTAGATACGATGACAAGAGTAGAAATTTTGTATAATACGGTAAATCGAACTCGCCTAAGATGCAATATTCAATGTGAGTATTTTATATACATCTTGTATCTACAGTCTCTTCGAATTTACCTTTCTCACGAGCCAAGGGTCTTTTCAGGAACGCCATATTCACATCTCCACCCGCGTCCTCCATATTTTCTATTCGCCGCGTTTCTCGACTCCACTCGGTACTCGATATTTCACGTAGGTACAATTTGTCTGTTGCTTGTGCAAAATAGGGTTGTGCATGTTTTAAAAGTCTTGCTTTTTCATGCATCTGAACTGTATTGACAACACCATCATTAGCCAAAAGATGGGTTTTTTTTTTTCATTTGACACGCATATCTATACACTATCCATCCACTCCCCTGATTCGTCTATCCTGCTTAACTACTTACCCTGGCGTTTCCGGATTGGTTTGATATATAACGGAAACAAGAGCGCGGCAATATACTTGAGTTCATTGATATCTTTGCAGTTATGATTGAAAATGGTATAGATAACTTCGCAGAACCCCGTGAAAAACTCGTCGTCCAGCTCCACAAATTCTGGTTCCGGATCGTTATTGCTTTCGTCTCCGTTATCCTCATTATCTTCCTCTTCCTCTTCATCTCCGTTTCTGTCTCGTCGAAGCTCGATACGGCGATCCGTAGTTTCGAATAACAGCTGTAATATCTGAAGCGTATCCTCCTTTGAATATTCGGAGAATCGTATGTATAATGGCTCGTACGCTCCTCCCTTGACTTTGAACTTTTCGAACACAATTGTGCTAAGCAAGATCACACAAATGTTTCGTCCGGTCTTATGTAATTTCACAGATAGAAAATTGAGATTTGCTATTTTGATTCACGTATTGTTCCTTCTCCCTGAAAAAAAAACAAGCCTCTTTAGACTTACCAGCTCGGATAAACGCAATAAAACGGGTAAAAGAGTAGGGCCCATATCACGAAGTCTTTCTGCACGGTCAAGTACCTATGTGGTTGATACAGTATCTAAATATATCAGAGCACATGCACAACGTATTATCATCCGAAAAGACTGGCAAAGTCCATACCAAATAATGCGTTTCTTCCTTTCCAAATTGGACCACCGTATTGTTATCGTCAACAGCGACACCCTCTTCAACAGCCTTGACAAATTGATGGACGTTTTGAATACGACATATGCCCGTAAAACGGTTTTCAACCGACGGTGTCCAGTGACACCACTGATTCAAAGCGTGTTCAAAGATCATATGGGGTGTGTGACACTCAACACAATTAATATACGCCCACTGCGATCGTTTGAGTGATTTCTCGAAAATGGCGCGAACAACACTAGTTTTGCCTGACGATGGATGTCCGTAAATAAAAATGCTCGGTATAACGCGATCGTGAGGCTAATTGTGTTTATTTGAGAATCCCAGAGAAAAAATTAAATAAATTATCAGTGACATGATCAGCAACCTTGAATCACGCTGCTAGATTCTAACCTTTCCCATGAGCCCCATTAAACTCGCTATTTGTTTTGATCTTCCTGGGAATTGATTTTGTAATTCCTGCTGGACTGACGGCTTCTCTGTCATTCTTCGAGACGCGGATAGAATAGAGGTTGGTGGATAAGGGGAAAGGCGAGAAAGGCGAGAAGAAAAAAGAGATCCGCAGGAACAGGTCAAGCTCAGCTTTTTCCTTATTGTATTGAAGCCATTCTTTTTTTTATATTGCAGAATTGTATCTTCCACTAAGAACAGTAAAGGATGCCGGTGAAGCAAAGCGATTTAAGCGTGCATTATAGATAGGATGTGAAGAAAGGGTGAGGGAGAGGATCAATCATACACTTTGAGTTCGAGCTATGGTATAAAGGGCAAATACGAAAAATAGAGCGTTAACGAAATAAGCTTTTCATCATGCCATTGATTGCTCGAAATTTATTTCTGCTTACGAAAAGGCAGGCACATCGGATGGGATTGGAGATGGATACGTCGTGTTGATGGTACAAAGACTCGTTTTCAGATTGTATAAAGGCAAGCAAACGTCGAATACACTATTGTTTTAGGCGCAGATTAGCATGTACTATTAGGAGCCAATGTATTGTATTCATGTAATAAGGACAACAACTGACCCGTTGATAGTGAGTGGAGAAAAAGATGGGCCAGGTATAAATGGTCAGGCACTCCATAACATTGTCAAACACAGCATTCCATGATACGCGCTCTGCTTCTTCCAAAAGCCGGTTTATACCATCTATGGTATGTTGGAACTGTTCGGACGATATCTGCAGACAGTTTATATTGTAAGTATTACAACATTTTTAAATCCTCTTCACACCGCAATAATGCAATTAACGGTCAAGACAATCATACCCGACCAGCCAAAAGTGGAGGATAATCGGTAGCAAAGCGAGTGATACCATCTCCTCGAGAATAATCGCGGTCTACTCGAATTGCTTTATCGGGAACTCGTCTAGAAATATCAATAACTTGGTGGTCTACGGAATCATGTCGTTCGGGGGACGACGTTGGCGGCATCGAGGAACGTGTTGCCATGGCATTATGATTGTTGCATTCGGTGTTATTAGAAATGTTTGCCTTCGAGCCAGCAGTGGTAACAGTGCAAGGTGTACTTTTAGTTGTAGTTGTTGAGAGGGTATTGTTATTGTTTGTTGTTGTACAATTATTGTTTTTGGTTAAGGATATTGCTGGGAATGTTCAATGACCACAACGAATGGCGGGAAAGAAAATGAGAGTAGGTCAAAATTGAAGAAGTAAAAAGCGTACAATGATATGTATATGACGGCGAGCAGTAGATAGGGAAGACGCGAGAGAGAGAAAAGAAGGGAGAGGGAGGAAGAGGAAGAGAGAGAAAAGAAAGTTAGTGAGAAAAAAAAGTTCCGTTTACCATGTGCTTCTCTCGCTCTAATCATAAAAGTCATGGGTGCAGTGTGCGTGCAGTGAAAATATGTGGATCCTTACTTTCTATGTACTGGAGTTGTTGCCGTTGTTGACGATCACAGTCCGGTATGTTGTTAATGTTGCTCTTGGCTACTGCTGTCGTTGGTGTTGATGTTACTGCGGTTACTGCTCCCAAACTGTTACTGTCGTAGGAGGATAGCGAATAAAGATCCGGCAAAAGAGGAGTGGTGTCCAAGGAAAATGCCTTACGATGCTGGCGAAGAAAGGTGGTGCCGCTGCAGTTTGTAATAAGGGCGGAAGAATGGCTACCAATTGCTGCCGAGTGCCTCCTCCTCCTCTTCTTGCCTGAAAATAGGGGTGCCGTTCTTCCTGTTGTTGTTGTTGCTGATGCCGCTATGCCTGCAGAAATAGTAGTAGCTGCTGCTTTTGTCGATGAATGAATGCATGCGTCGATAGCGTGGCTATTGTGCTCCTGCTGATCACCGATGCCTTTTCTCGACTTGAGGACGCCGCTGTTCATCGGTACTCGTTTTAGGTTAAAGTATGTTGTATGATGCTTACAACTGTAAAAAAGTGTGAAAGAGTAAAAAAAAGAGAGGGGTTCTCTTTTTTCCACACACAACAATTTTTTTCCTTCTCTATTCATGACCACATAACCGGGTTCTCGTGCTACCCCACTTGTGGCCGAAATGAGCCCCCCTTTCTCGTTTAACACTCCCCAAGTGCTTGAAGTTTTTGGAATAGAGAACACAGAAAAAGTCTCATTTATCAGATTTGAATATAAGGGCACGGGCATATAATAATGCATAGTTTGTTAACAACATTACAGTTATACAGCACAGGAACCTAAATTTTGTGTTTTTAAATCAGCCTGCTGTCCATCATTTCCCCTTTCCCGAGCAAAAGCATTAAACCATATAATGTTCTAACCTGAACGGATCTTTGCTACTTCATTGAGCAACTCGTTGCTCGAGGTATCTTCATCGACAGACCATACCATGGCTCCACCTAAACCCTGGCATAATGCATAGTCAATCTTGATCCCGATCGACTGTGGATCGTCATACGAGATAAATGTCTTGTCCGTAGGATTGAATAACCACGGGGTCTGGGTGACTTTGTCCCACTTGCGAATCCAAGGAGGTGCTGCCGAAGTTGGAGTAGTCAAGACACCTTGCGATCGTAGATTACCGTAACGCCAGACGCCAGATAGACTGCCAGGATCTTTGCTACAGTACGGATCTTGCCAAAATGCATCATACGAGTCACCATGAGGAGGCTTACTAGCAACCTGCCCTTGGTATTGGGAATCCGATTGGGACATATCGACAGTAGATGCTGATATCCGGATAGTTGTGTTCAATTCATTAGCATTGTGGAATGAAAAGGTAGTTAAGAGCTGATCCTTCCCATTTATAGAATATATATGTAGCGACTAGGGAGATAGAGGAAAGGATCTTCATCACCACATTATCACTGCTACTTACTTGCTGATCGACCATAGAAGGCAATGCCGGGGACAAGCTTGTTTTTAGGCGCGCCTGCCTGTAGCCACCCTTGGATACCAGAGACATAACTATCGGCATCACCATAACCAGGCTCGAAATTGAATGGGGCGTTGGGACCAGTTGTAGTGTTCCAAGCACCATTGATATCGTATGTCATAATGTTGATACGGTCGACGATATTTGCAAATCCGGAAACATCTGTCATGTACCCAGATGGCGTGACAAACGGACGCACATGTGCTGCAAACGAAAGTTCCTTTCGAGGACCAGTCAATCCGTCTAAAGCTGTACGGAGCTCTTTGAGTAGCACGAGATAATTATTAGCGTCATTTGCCACATCGAATGCATTACACCCTGCTCCTTGGCGGCCCGGATATTCCCAGTCTGTTTTCGGTGATATGAGGTTGTAAATGTTATAATTTATTAGTATAGTACTCCTTCATATTCGCTCGGCTATTATATAATGTTATGTATATAGTCTGGTTGTGGACAAAAGAAAGGAAACTTACCAATATCAACACCATCTGTGCCATACTTCTTGATTTGATCAATGTTCCACTGAATAAAGTTTTTTCTTTGTCCAGGGTCCGCGGCCATGGTACTGAATGTCAAGCAACCCGACCAACCGCCAACGGATATCAACACCTTGGCATTACTGGCATGGGCGGCCTTGACCAGAGCGGGCAGCTGGGTGTCAACTTGGGATGGATCTGTCCATTCAGGCGTGTCCCCTTTTATGAGAATGGAAAACGCATAATGGATGTGTGTATATACCGAAAAGTCGATGTTGGAGGCGGGCCAGCGAGCATATAACCCTATTGTTTATCCAATACCACCCAATTGCCCTTTGTAAGAGAAACTATCGCATATAATTTACACATATTTATCGTACATCTACTATATAAACATATGTATATGGCAATTCATCATAGCTTACAATTTGGAAAGTAGCCAACGATTACTTTGTCTGCAAGTGCGCATACGGCTAGCATGCTGAGACTGACAACGAAAGTGAGTTGCGACCGGAGGAAGACCATTTGCTATGTTCGTAGAACGTCTAATATATTTGGATCGTAGTGAATTAATGTGGTAGTACTTGATTACAAGTGCTAGTTTGTTAATAGCAATCCACACCATCAGAAGTTGTTGTTTTTATATCTTTTCGAAATACTTTTCCTTTGTTTTGCTATCATGCGCACTCCATTGTCGTCTAACACTCGCACTTATTCTCTTCGATACATTACTACAAATGGATTAGAAGTGTCCGATTTTTCTTTTGTTTTTCACTCCAGCTGATAGAATTAATAGCAAGAAATGTGATATCATCTGGCCTTTAGCTATATAGCAAGGGATGAAAAGGGTCCTATCACGGAGTCAGCATTGTCAGCGCGTGATTGAGCACGGCTTTTTCATAGATCTGGTACTAGAAACTAGGGAAAGCTTCTATCTATCCAACGTTAGTGTACTATGATACGTAGTCAAGAAACAATCTTGGCTGATTATGAGCATAACAAATAGTTGAGAGGCTTCACGGGTGAATAGATGAAAAACTCTCAGTAAGTTGGAGAATACGTACAGAACATCGTCTCATCAATGCGAGTATTCTTATATATTAAGATAATAAGCAGGCACTAACAGTATCAAGAGCTAATCAAATTCGCTGTGTTCTTTTATTTGGTGTCTAAATTAGGAAATGTTGCCGAGGAACAATGACAAAACAGCATAGTATCATCATATCGTGTAATCTAGTGACGCTTCGTGTCTCTTCCTCTCAATGTCATTCGATAGTCATATGAAAGAATAAGATAATAATGAACCCTAAGATCCAAAGACCCTTGAAAGACCCTAGGAACTCTTACTAATAAGAATGCCCACATGGTATTACGTTAACGAAATGTTACTACTGGTAAACTTTCACATGAATTCTATCAGTGTTGCTGTTAGTCAGAGTTTATTGACGAGTGCTAACTAACAAAAGAAATTCTGTTTCATAAAAGATAGATAACAAGTCAAAAGTTTGGTTGCACAAAAAGATAAATTCACGCATATACAGTAGCTTCTATCAATATCCAGCCTGCAGTAAACAGACATTGTAAGTATTTGTTCTGCGAATCACATCTACAGCAAGTAGCTGATATGGTGAGCAAAAAAGTTCTCACAGATACTATGGCGGGCATGAGCATTCTTGATCAACCACACGGGCTCGCTACATTGTCACACGGTTCCTCGGGCTTGTTGATGCCTATGCATGTGTATATGAAGATGGCGGATCGTTGTCGTGGACATGGGTCAGCATGACGCGGCTGAATACAAAAACAATGATGCACTTTATTGATTCAAGCGTGAGAAGAAATGAATTGACTGCAAAAATTTAAATTCTCATACCATCAAATGATCCACCATTACTTTCTTTGACAATAAATGATCCAACATGACGGCATAAAAGGAAGAGGTATTCTTAAATGATTATCATCCAGCTGTTATCAGATACTGGCAATCGAATAATCTCAATTGTTAAAAGAAAATCATTAGTCTCTTGGTACAGGTGACAAAGAATAAAAAGTCTCAACGACAGTTTAAAATGCCTCTTTACTCGAGGTCTACGGAGCGAGGTTGAACAAGTATAATGATGACAATTTTTACGATGTACTAATTATGAGATATTCACTAGCTTACTGCAAGCTGTTCGCTCATACTCTATAAACTCGCACAGCTGATCTTAAAAGAACCCTTTCACATTTCTATAGTCGGATGCGAAAACCTTGTCATCGGATTCGAATAATGCTTTGCTTTGCAACATTGCTATTCAACGTTTTCTATTCGCGCGAAACTTTTTATATTGTATTATTACTGCGCAGTAGAAAAGATTTAGAGCAATATGAATGTGGTGATGATATTTGACTTCCCACATATTAAACACGCACTTTATTTCCGGTACTTAGAGAGGATGAATGATGCAGTTGAGATTTAGTTCATGAGTATCTCAGTACGTCTATATACATTAGCCCCGCCAGCGCCAACCTGCCGTATTAATGTCTACAACTATAACTTTCAAAAGAGCCTATATAAAGCATGCAATGTATTATTTTTATGGAAGGTGTGATGCTTTAGGGCATCTCGCCAGGTAGAGAAATCAAGAAGTCGAGAAGTTATGAAGTTGGGTATGACCAGCGCTTGAAAGTTGCTTGGAAGAAGCTCTAGTTGCATGATACACCTGTAGCAAAAAAGGCGCTTATATCCTGTCGACTTTCTGGTTGCTTCTATTCAGTCTTCTCTACACCATAACATTTCAACGTCTGTGGCCGCTTCGATGTCATCAACATAAACATTGGGCTGACAACATTCGCCCCAGGAGCGCTGCTACCAGTGTAGTAGCAGTTAGACATGGAACAATTCAAACTGATGCTGAGGAACTTATATCAGCTATTATACAGACAGCTCCTTTCACCGTCGTTTGAATTAGACGTCAAGAAGCCAAACACGTTCACTGTAGGAAAAGAAACCTCAATAATCCTGGAAAAAACCTAAAGCCTTGAAAGGCTTGAATGGACCTAATACACTTCCATATACCTGGTTTCTCTGTTCACCGTATTGGTCTGCAAATGCATGGAAAGTGCTCAAACGTGTTTTTGAAAATTGAGTACATATCATGTGTCTTATTGGTCGTTGCACATATGGCTGTTTCCGTCTGCGAGCATCATTGGATTTTCATTAGCTATTCACATTTCTCCATTGGGCCCCTTTCGTATTATATGTGCAAAAAACTGATTTTTATTGGATGACAATAAGTTTATTACTGAACTTTGCTTTCTATAATATCTTTACCGAATAATTGCTGTTTGATGTAGGGTGAAAGTACAAATGAGTTCGACTCGTTTAATTGCGACCGCGACCACGACCGCGAGCACGAGCGCCTCTGGTGCTGTCAATGGAATCGTCAGTAGAGCGATCGCACAAATGGGCGCGTTTGCGCGATGTAGCTGCTGTTTCCATTTGAAATTCGTGTTGTCATATCGTGGATGCTCGTTTTGTGCCATGCAAATATGGATTGTTGATTTACTGTTTACCTTGGTTTAGAGACAGCAATCACTGGGCAATTGCGCCGTTCCTTCATCTTCCGACTCTAACGCTAGAAGCCGTGAACCGTCTGTGCCTGATATCGACGGCAACGCCGCTTTGATAGAGCCGCCAGTGTGTGAGTATGTATATGCTAGAAAGTATGATATATCAAACACATAAACCATCGCCACTTCAGCTTCGCACTTCACCTCTTATTGGTGTTTCTGAAGCGACAGCTCAAGCACAACTCTACAGCGGTGGCAGTAATGGACGTCCCAAGAAAGATAGGCCACACATCCACTGAATCCTCGTCTCATCATCAATATATGCTGATTATCGTCCTCCTAGGATTACCACAAGATATGGTACAGCTCCTACAAGTCGCCGAGAAACATTCGCGAGACTTAGGCTGCTCTTGATACCCCGATAGATGCACCATTATCGACCACTCCACACCAGTCAATCAACCACATCCCACACTTCGTATCTACAACAAACCATTGCGCACCGTCGAATAATTCCAGTGTCTTGGTACTCCATTCACCTGTCAGGGTATTGACGCTCAATAACTTATCAGCGAACGCAACTGAAGGAAGGGCTCACCTGCGAAGACTCGGCGTACACCAAGTTGACATGGGTCTTTGGCCCACGTTACGAACGTATCGAGCGTTCATCCGCCCGTTTCTTGAATACGGCCTTGCAATCATTGCCTTATCAGCCACCCAACTCAAAAAGATACATCAAGCACGAAACAGCTGCGTCAAAATGACGTTCAATCGCAACACCACCACCTCATTTCCTACGATCGTATTTCTAGTGCTGGCCTATCTACCATTTATGCAAACTCGCATCCGAACCCTCCATCTCAATTTTGTCACCTGCTACGCTCTCTGCCTGCATCCAGCATGGCTAGAATAATTGAACTCTTCCTGCTTTGGAGTAAGCAAGGCGATGACCATTGGAGGAGAATTACTACCACCAATCCTCTGCACCAACGATATCAGAAGCTCATGAGCAAGACAACCCGCCGAACGATGCAGTGGAAGTGGCGATCTCCCAAAAGCGAGATGACGAACTTGCACGTCGATGCAGCTCATTCTAAATCATCCGGTGTCTCCGGCCATTTAGGGTAGTTGACCCTATACTCTATCCGTCTGCTTTTCCCGGGTACGGCTGTCGCCTCATCAGATGGATAACTTCGCGTGCTGCGTGAAATTGATAAGTCAAGCCACTCGGACACTGACTACGACACAAATGAACCGGCACCCGAAAAAGCGCTAGACTTGGACAATGTGGCATCGTCATCACCCTCACATCCCTCACTACACTCATAGCGTCTATAGACAGCTCTTCTCTCCCCCGTCTTACATCTTCACTTCTCTCTTCCTTTCCTTATTTTTTTTCCTACTTCGTTACCTCTCTTCACCAAACATCTTATTCCGACTTGACTTTTCCCCTCTTCAGAAGTTGGGTTTTTCCAGTTAAAGCACCACCTCCTACTATGTGTTTTTTTTTCTTCTCAATCACCGCACTGCAAGGAAGCGACAAGAATGCTATCAGCGTATCGTCATATGCCTTCCAATAAATATAAACTTTAAACTATGCATTAATATTGCTCAAAATGGAAATTGCTAAAGAAACACCAACTTCGTTGCCTGTTTGCGACCTACTCAACGAAAGTAATGACGTTTTGGCGTATTTTTAACACTCCAAGCTTTACATTAACCACCGTATATTGTCAGGCCGCTCCATCAGTGCGATATGGCCCCGTGCCACTGTCACTAGCTTTTTAGGCCTCTTATATATTCTCACTATTGCAAGTAATCTGGCTGCGTCTCCATCGCAATGCTGGCTGGAAGCACACTACCAAAATTTTACATGATGTATAAGCCTGGACTGCTGAGCACAACTGTTACGCTGCCTGTCGGTGTTAAAGGTTTGAGCCACCTTTGAAGCAGAGAATAAAGAAAAAAGAAAGACGTTGGCATATAGAAATGAAGAGTAAAAAACAGCCTATGGTATGTCAGAATTAAAGGTTGTAGTGAGTAGGTTATAGTAATTATCTAAAAAAATAAAGATCCATTGGGTGTTCAGGTGGGCTGGTGCAATCCTGGTTGAATACTAGATTTTCTCAGGTTTTTTTAGGTATTTTTAGGTTAGTTTTCCTTCGGTGGTTGCTAACCCCTTTATTGCATGATTGGTGCATATTAAAACTTTATAAGCAGTAACGAAGGTTACTTGCGATATGCGTCGCATCGCCTTTTGCATATATATGCTTAAATAGGCATTGACTCAGCGATGTATTTTTACAGTGCTCTTTCTCTCGTCCCTGGCTGATTTCTTACTTTCTTAGACAACGATGGTTTTGGATACCTTTCCATTTATCTCGCGTCGTTCTGTGGTTTATGGAACTGACGGAATGGTTGCTAGCTCGTAAGTTTCAGGCATTTTTCATTAAGTAAAAGACAGACGCGATCGACAAATCAAGCTCTACATAGTTCTTTCTCTCCCCGGTGCGAACGGATTATTTAATACAACCACTATTCTCACTGGTACTGCTAGACAACCACTTGCGACACAAGCAGGTATTGAGATTTTAAAGAAAGGAGGAAATGCGGCTGTAAGTCCTTTTATTATATATCCGTGGTTATGGGTTTGTTTATACATTGTATGACGTGGTACTGATCACAGATTGTTTCAAAAATTGATTCTCTATGCTCTTGCTAGGATGCAGCTGTTGCAGTCGGTACGTCAATAAAATACTCAATGTAGATATGACTGAATTACTACTAACGAGGCAAACTACACATAAAATTTGATAACATTTTGCTTAGCTGCTGCTCTGGGCGTGACAGGTATACAACGTAGAAGCTACAGTTCTGTCATCATATTCTATCACTTAACGAAGTTGACATAACGTAACTGTGTTGTATACTGTTCGGATTCTATGATTGATGAAATGCAGAAGCGGCTTCAACGGGTATTGGTGGCGATGCATGCTGCTTGTACTATGATGCAAAGACTAAAAAGATTACTGGACTTAATGGTTCTGGAAGGTGGGTTTCGCAGCTACTATGAATACAGCCGCTTGATTACAAATTAAGGAAGAAAGAAGTATGAGAACTAAGCCATTTACTTTCTCATAGAACACCAGCAGCGCTGACAACAGAGCACGTTTATAAAGACATTAAAGATGGTAATGTCACGCTTTCCGAAAGCAATATTCATGCAGTTACAGTACCTGGAGCACCAGCGGTATGGGTGGACACTATAAAACTCTTTGGTTCAGACAAGTTAGATATGGCCACTATCTTGCAGCCGGCAATCGATCTAGCAGAAAACGGGTAAGAGGGATTTATATTGAACAAGATAGCTGTAATGATATCATATATAGACAGGCTTCTATCTTTCATGATATCATGAGCTACTAACTCATCATTCGCTTCGTTAGTTTTCCTGTATCACACATCTCAGCGCAATTGGTATGCTCACGGTGATGACGCGTAAGATTCGAAATGAAGCTAACAGAATTTGTTATGGGAAAAGTGGAAAAAACCAGAGAAGGCACTCAAGGAGTATAACAGTCCCGAGAACCGCTTACTTATTGATGGCGTCCATGCACCCGCTGAAGGCGATATTATGCATTTCCCTGACCTTGCAGAGTAAGCTTTAGCGCTACATGTGTGGAGTTGGCTGGAATAGCAATTTCTCACATTACCCCATCGATGACCTTATTCATAGAACTTACAAGCTTGTCGCTGAACGAGGCAATGATGGATTTTACAAGGGACGTATTGCCGATGCTATTGTTGAGGCTGTCAAGACTCGTGGAAGCTTGATGACACACGAAGATCTTGCTTCATACACGTCCGAGCTCGTCAAGCCAATCTCCATTGACTATCACGGGTGGACTGTTTGGGAACTGCCGCCGAATAGTCAAGGTATCACTGCTCTGATGGCCCTAGGAATTATTCGTGCTTTAGAGGAAGAACATGGATTGAACCTTGCCCGAGCCGAGCACAACTCGGCAGAGTACTTGCACGTTATTGTTGAGGCACTACGTTTGGCGTTCGCTGATACTCGTCACTACATTACCGACCCTCAAGTGTTGTCTGTGCCAACTGAAAGGCTTTTGAGCAAAGAATATCTGTCGGAGCGTGCTAAATTGGTCGATCTGAAAAAGCGAAACGGCAAGATCAAGAAAGGATATCCAGACAAAACGAGTGACACTGTATATTTCTCCGTCATTGATGGAGAAGGCAATGCATGTAGCTTTATGGTAAGGAAATACTTGGTCCAGCATAATATGTATTATTGCTATGAGTATGGGTCCGCGACTACATAAATTTTTTACTAACAGTTCACCTAACCTTCATGCTAAAGAGCTCTGTGTTTGCACCTTTTGGTGTGAGTAATCGTATCTCCCATAACAATAATCATGCTAGATTTTCCTGATCAATCTTCTCCTTTTTACACCATAGTCTTGTATCGTCCCCAACAGATGTGGGTTCCCTTTGCACAACCGAGGAAGCAGTTTTGTACTTATTGATGGTCACCCCAATTGTATTGGTCCCAAGAAACGACCTTATCTTACGCTTATGCCGTCTATGGTTACTCGCAAAACATCTTCCGGTGACCATGACCTTGAGGCGTGCTTTGGCAGTAAGTAAAGCGATACCTTAGCAATTCAAAGATTATATAAAACTGCGTGCTCTCTTCATCTAATGTATCGAATTGTATACAGTCATGGGTGCGTACATGCAACCCCAAGGTCATGTGCAGTATATCATGAATATGCTGCATCTTCTTGCCAACCCCCAGCATGCCATTGACCTCCCCAGAATTTGCGTTGGTCCGCCTAAAGAGAGGGTAGTAGGATACGTACCTCCTCCTCATGCCCGTCCTTTCACGGACATGAGCACCGCCATTGTATACGTTGAAGACGGTCTTGCCGCTGAAGCTGTCAAAAAACTAGAAGCTATGGGACATACATGCCATATCGTTAAGGGGAAAGCTCGTTCGATGTTTGGCTATGGTCAGATCATTCGTGTGCAGCATGACACTTTTACCGGTAAACGCGTCTTAGCCGCTGGTAGCGATCCTCGCTGTGATGGTCAAGCTGCAGGCTGGTCAGGCAATAATTTGGCAAAGCTTTAAGTAGGCTTCTTAGATAAAATGGCTGAACTGTATTTTTGTTTGTAACACTGCTAATGCATATTTGCTTATGCCTATAATAAACACTTTAGCTACATCTGCGAAACAAAAGGCTTCGTAGCTCACGTACATACATAAGTTGGTATACTACTGATATGTTCGTAAATACTTTTTGAATAATAGCACAGTCCCATACATAATTGTGAAAGGCCGCATTCGTTGCAACGATGCTGTTGGTTTCTCGTCTTATATTTTTTTACACTTTTCCGTTGACCTGGTCCGCGACTTAAATAAATTAATCATAGCACCATCATCTTCTTTCGATCTCGTTACCTCATTGCATTTCATCATTTTCGCTAAATACTGCTCAACTTGGATGCCCCGTTACCTCATTGATGATTTTTTTTACTCTTTTACTAAGAAATACAACCTGTTGCTGTTTTTTGTTTGTAAATGCGACCAACTGCATATGTGTTTGTAGATCTGATTGTAATTACGGGGCAATGTTTTTTAAATCTGATATAAAAGACTTGACTTCCGCGAACGTGCATATCCTCTTTTTCTCCCATTTGCTAACTATTATGAGTCCAGAAGCCTTGCCGTTTATCTCACGTCGCTCTGTGGTGTATGGTACTAATGGAATGGTTGCGAGCTCGTAGGTGTAATCAATAGCGTATACATGGAATACTAGAGTAATGGCCACCAATGACCTAGTCCTAGATAACTTACAACATTGGTGCTGCCGATGCAACTTTCTAGGCAGCCACTTGCAACCCAAGCTGGCATCGATATTTTGAAGAAAGGAGGAAATGCAGCTGTAAGAAGCATATACAAATAGGACAGACATTAGGTTAACGGGGAAATATAGCATCGATGGTAATCCAAAAAAAATATTATTGTAGGATGCAGCTATTTCAGTGGGTACGAACGCTTTTGCATTCATAAATGTTTACAGTTGAACAAACTACACCCCTATTGATAAACATCCCCCTGCCAACTTTTTATTTTTAGCCGCTGCTTTGGGTGTAACTGGTAAATTTTTAAAGCACACTGAGTCCTGTTGATAGACCGTTTCATGCAACATTCTCCTAAACCAAAGCATCTGCATAGAGCCTGGGTCCACGGGAATCGGTGGGGATTTCTCCTGTCTGTACTACGATGCTAAAACACGCAAAATCAGTGGTCTTAATGGCACTGGAAGGTATAATTTTTTGGGTATTAGCAAGCTGCATTAGAGGAAAGGGGGCATCATGCTGGATTTTTGATATGGCGCAAATAACCAAACATCGCTTTTTTGCGAAGATAGGACCCCGGCTGCATTAACATTCAACCATATTCGAGAGACTGGTGAAATTCGAGATTCATCGCTTCCTAACACCAGCATTCACGCAGTGACAGTTCCTGGTGCAGCTGCTGCCTGGTCTGATACGATCGAGCATTTTGGGTCCGGAAAGCTGGATATAGCAGACGTCTTGCAGCCAGCAATTGCTCTCGCTGAACACGGGTAAGAATTACTACATATTAAAGTATATCTAAAAGGCATTGTATCCGGGGAAGTGATACTTTTTCTGTAAGGTCACGTTAGCTGATATCTTTATCATCTATGGTATGAAAAGTTTTCCAGCGTCCTACATGGCGTCGATAGCAGTATGTCATATCTTATTCCAAGTATCAATTGTGAACGCTCGTAACGATAATACTGATGAATGAATAAACTGACTAATAGTGGAAGAAGAAGGAAGACTTACTCAAAAAAACAAACAATGCCGAGAATAATTTGCTTATTGGCGGTATACACCCCCCTGAAGAAGGCGACATTGTGCAGCAGCTTGACCTTGCAAGGTAATTCTAGATCGACAACGTACTTCAACGAAATGGCTCAACGTTTTTATAATTGGCCATATATAGGACATACAAGCTTCTTGCTGAGCGAGGCAAGGAGGTGTTTTACAAAGGACATATTGCCGATGCTATCATTGAAGCTATCCAGTCTCGCGGAGGTTTGATGACTCATGAAGATTTAGCTTCACACACGTCCGAGCTAGTGGATCCCATCTCCTTTGACTATCATGGTTGGACTATATGGGAGCCGCCACCAAACAGCCAAGGCATTACAACACTCATTGCGCTTGGCATCATTCGCGCTTTGGAAGAAGAAAACGGTTTGGACCTCTCGAAGATGGAACACAATTCAGCAGAGTACCTGCACATTATCATTGAAGTGCTGCGGTTAGCATTTGCTGACACACGCTATTATGTAACCGATCCCCAAGTGGTACCGGTTCCAACCGAAAAACTTTTGAGTAAACAATATCTTTCTGCGCGCGCCAAATTGGTGGATTTTGAATCACGAAACGATAAGATCGAGAAGGGATATCCAGATCGAACAAGCAATACCGTATACTTTTCCGTGGTTGATGATCAAGGAAACGCGTGTAGCGTTCTTGTAAGTAGATGATAAAGATAAGTGCGACTGGGAGATGTTATACAACCTTGCGTGATAAAGAGCTGAATGCTAACTAATAAAATCCCTTTAATGGTAATCAAAGAGTTCGGTTTTTGCTTATTTTGGGGTATGTAGTTATACATGTTCAGTAGCAGTGGTATATTGATCATGCGTCGGCAGTTCTTTAACTTTATCTTCAACTTTACTTTCAGTCTACTATTGTACCTGACCGATGCGGGTTCCCACTCCACAATCGAGGATGCAGCTTTGTGCTTATGGAAGATCATCCCAATTGCATTGGTCCCAAAAAACGACCCTATCACACTCTCATTCCAACAATGGTTACACGCAAGACAACATCTAGTGAACATGAGCTTGAAATCTGTTTTGGGAGTAAGTTAGTTAATTTTAATTATGAAATAGTAAAGACGAAAATATATGTTTAGCTCGCTACTAATGATATACGTCAGTCATGGGCGCATTTATGCAACCTCAAGGACAGATTCAATTAATCATGAATATGATGCATTTTCTTGCCAACCCTCAACATGCGGTCGACCTGCCCAGAATCTGTATCGCTCCTCCTGAGTCGCAGAATGAAACTTCAGCCAATAGTTCAAGACAGCAAATGACTCGTATGTTTACGGACGTAAAGGACTCTGTAGTATACCTCGAAAAAGGTATCGCGCCTCATGTTATTGAACAACTTGAAGCCATGGGTCATACTTGTATTGTTACCGAGGATAATAGCAATCGCTCATCGTTTGGTGCTGGTCAGATCATCCGCGTAGTAAGGGGAGGTGACTTTACTGGGAAACGCGCACTAGCCGCGGGCAGCGATCCGCGAGTTGACGGACATGCCGCAGGATTGTCAGGATTCACTCGGCTGGCAAAGCTTTGAAAAACATGGGGATTTGTTTCGTTGGTATGGGGAGCATTAACGGCGACATTTATTATGATAAAATAAAATAGCCGTTATTATTTGTAGTTATTCACTGTGAAGCACATTTATGAGGTTGATGCAGTTTGGTCGTGGTTGATATCGCATTCTAGTATAGAGGTTAACGACCTAGTTAAAAATGCAGGTATAATCTAAGCAACAATTTCAACAAACAACGCATAACCAGTAGATCAAAGGCTGTTGTTGATTCATTCATCAATAAAAGCGTAGGCAACGACTATGCTAAACCCCGTGCGAACCTCCGAGTGTCATCCAGTATCTGTCAAAATGGTGCTACTTACTGATGCCTGTACATGACGAATTCAAATAGGTGGCGTTGTGAGTCACAAGGAGGTATTGCAAAAATTAAAAATGGAGCATTAATTACATGATGTATTCCAGAGAAAAGCATGCATCAGTAGATACGAGAAGTTGCAAGCGTATAATACTTGTCGATCTGGATGAGGCTGTTGAGTGATGATTCATTTATCTGCTTTTTTTATAAAATGAATCTGGTACAAAGTAATATATTTAAGTGCACAGTGAATGATACCTTGTCATAATTACATTCTTCAATGCTACTGGCTACAATCTTTTTCATGAAATCTTATTCTTTCCTACATTTCCTCCAAGAAGTTCTCAAATATTTACTGTTTCTAGCTATATAGTATACGGAGTGTCACACCTCAAGGACAAACAATAATGATGAGACATGTGTTAGTATTCCGGGTTCTCACGATCCAGGGCTTTAGGTTTTTTGATTAGGAGCAGATCGGTCATATCCCATCTTTGAGACTCCAACGCTTACAATGTTCGTTGCTTAGCCACGTCTCCAAAATGCCACCCGGGAACCTGCATTGTCAGACATCTTCTTTGTTTGGAAGCATGCAGAATTAAATAAACAAATCAACAAAATCTAGAATTGGCACCGGTTATCGGGTCTCTGTAATACTTACAATCTCCAAGTCTAAAGGAAAACCAAGAGTGGGGATTCAAAGACCATTCGTAATCAGCGGCAACGAATTGCTTTTGTTGCACAAAGCTTGATCTGGTTGCACTTTATCGGCCAAAGCCACAACGTTGGTGGATATCGATTGTCAACAACCCTAACTATCAACATGACAAACGTTACATGATTGTCGACGCGCTAACTTTAACCTGAGCTTCCACCAGGTTGGTAGTAGCGCCAGTCAGCTGAATTGTAGAAACGTATTGATGTGAAGAAAACAGGCACCCGGGTATTATTTTAAGAAAAGTGATTCAGATGCCGCCAAAGCTTATCATATAAAGTACATCCGAGAGGTCGGACTAACGGTTGTTCTTCCCCACTCCATTAACTAGTGAATTGTAGCATGACTCTAGATACTTTGCCCTTTATTTCACGTCGTTCTGCTGTGTATGGTACCCATGGAATGGTTGCTAGCTCGTATGTACTAATTCTTTCTTGCAGTAGAACGATTTGATGGTGACATGTAGCTTTTGGATAAATGGAAAAGATGATAATTAAAACGAAATAAATTGGTAGGCAACCACTTGCAACGCAGGCAGGTGTCGATATTCTCAAGAAAGGAGGAAATGCAGCTGTAAGTAAGCATTACCAGCTGGCTGTATCTTGACCTTGCAACTATTAACCTCGCTTATATACTCTAGGATGCAGCTGTTGCAGTTGGTAATGGATTCTACAGTGCATGATTGTTTATCACTCGGCGTGGAACACCAGTATTGACTCAATTTTTTTCTTTCTTTAGCTGCTGCTCTTAATGTTACAGGTTAGCTTATTAACGCTACTGTCTTTCGCTCTCTCTTTCGCAACTAACTTTGTAGCCTAATTTAACACTTGTGCATTGTAGAACCCGCGTCGACCGGCATTGGTGGCGATGCATTCTGTTTGTTTTACGATGCCAAAACTCGCAAAGTCCGTGGTTTGAACGGTTCTGGAAGGTAAAAGCCTAACAAGTGAACACGGGTATTACACAAAGCGAGATATGAAAATCCTATAACATCTTCCCCGCAAAAACACAGAACTCCAGCTGCCCTCACCATTGAGTATCTCCGTGAAAAAGCCAGTCTTCATGGCTCTTCGCTCCCTAATTATAGCGTCCATGCGGTAACTGTACCTGGTGCCGCAGCTGCGTGGGTTGACACGGTCGAGCATTTTGGCTCTGGAAAGGTGGATATGGCTACTGTCTTGCAGCCTGCTATTGACCTTGCCGAGAACGGGTATCTATTTTAACTTTTTTTTTGGGGGGGGAAATGATACTGTGTGTTGTTATGTAAAGGCTATAACTTACTGATCTATACTGTATCACTCTTTCTTTTTAAAGTTTCCCAGTGTCGCACATTTCAGCACGATCGGTATACCTTTAATAAGGGTTTTAAAGCACTGGACCTGAAATTAACCGATAAGAGGGCGTATTCTGTAGTGGAAAGAAGAGGAAAAGACCCTCAAAGAATTAAACACCACCAAAGATAACATGCTTATTGACGGCGTTCGTGCACCTGCCGAGGGCGATATCATGCAACTAACGAACCTTGCAGAGTGAGTTGATCTGACAACACTGGATGGACATTTAAAGGAAAATTATCCTTTTATATCTTTTTCTTTCAAATTAATACCACGTTTGATAATAATAGAACCTACAAAGCCGTTGCTGCTCAGGGCAAAGATGCGTTTTACAAGGGACGCATTGCCGATGCTATTGTTGATGCTGTCAAGTCTCGTGGAGGCTTGATGACACACGAAGACCTTGCTTCACACACGTCCGAGTTTGTCGACCCAATCTCCATAGATTATCATGATTGGACCGTCTGGGAAATCCCACCCAATGGTCAAGGCATCACTGCATTGATTGCACTTGGTATTATCCGTGCCTTGGAAGAGCAACATGGATTGAATCTTGCCAAACTCGAGCACAACTCGGCAGAGTACTTGCATATCATTATTGAAGCACTGCGTTTGGCATTTGCTGATACCCGCTATTATGTAACTGATCCTCAAGTGCTGCCTGTGCCAACTGAAAAGCTCTTGAGCAAAGAGTATCTCTCAGAACGTGCTAAATCGGTGGATTTGAAGAAGCGAAACGACAAGGTCGAAAAAGGATACCCAGACGAGACTAGTAATACCGTTTACTTTTCTGTCGTGGATGGAGAAGGCAATGCCTGCAGTTTCATTGTAAGTATTACATACAATGTAATATTTTCATACCTTTAACTAAATATAACTCATCTACACGGTATCTACATCTATTTATGATAGAACTCAAACTTTATGCACTTTGGAGTAAGTATTGTTCATCGTGGGTATAGACTGTTGAATGGGCTTAATATTCATCCTTTCAACCTATTTTCTCTGTAGTCTCATATCGTCCCTGACAACTGTGGATTCACGCTCCACAACCGAGGATGTAACTTTGTACTTATTGAGGGTCATCCCAACTGCATTAACCCCAAGAAGCGACCATACCACACAATTATTCCCTCCATGATTACGCGCAAGACACCCTCTGGCGATCATGATCTCGAAGCCTGCTTTGGCGGTAAGTCGATTGCATGAGACCCCTGATCCTTTTTGCGAAAACATAAGTTTGCTGATATGGAGCCGATATACAAAAGTGATGGGCGCCTTTATGCAACCTCAGGGCCATGTCCAAGTCGTCATGAACTTACTGCACTACCTTGCAAATCCCCAGCACGCCCTCGATCTTCCTAGAATCTGCATCGCTCCACCCAAGCCCGACGGCCTGTTAGCAGCCAATGCATATAGCTTTACAGACGTCTCCAGCTCTGTCGTGTATGTCGAAGACGGTATTGCTCCTGAAGAAGTTGAAAAGCTCGAAGCCATGGGCCACACATGCTATACCGTCAGAGACCAAGGACGTTCGATGTTTGGTCGCGGTCAAATTATTCGTGCGAAGAAGGATGCTCATACCGGCAAACTCGTATTGGGTGCTGGTAGTGACCCTCGCGGCGACGGACATGCTGCAGGCTGGTAGAAAAGAAAAGCGTGTATAAAATAATCATTTTCTGATGATGTGGCAAGGAAAAACAACAACAGCACTGGTGTTTATTTTTTTGTGTGTGTACAAGATGAGGATGGGTGAAAAATAGTAATTGGTCGATAAGAATCCACTTATTTTTTCTAATAAAATATGTATTAGCTTGACACCCGATAGCAAAAGCCCTTTGATTATACCCCTTCTTTCTTTAATACGTACCTTGTTAGCCTCTTCCTCAGCCTTGTCACGGGCACGCTTCTCACGGGCACCGAGGGTACGGGCCTCAGAGCGAGCATAACGGAGCTTCTTGAAAGCGTTGACGGACTTCTCTTCGGCAGTGATGGCACGAGCCTCAGGAGCAGCAGCGAGCTGCTGGATGGGGAGGATACCACCACGGAGTTGGACAGCGGAAGCAACCTCAGCAGCCTCAGAGTCACCCTGCTTGGGCTTGCCAGCCTTGCGGGGGAAGACAATGAGTTTAGCCTTGTAAGCCTTCAATCGCTGGACGTTCAATTCTAAAGACTCCTGCGAGTGGTTGCGACGGCGGTGGTCAACGGCAATACCGACGGTGCGGGCAACCTTCTTGTTGATACCAGCTTCCTATTGAAAATACAAATTCACCCCAAGTTCATAAAATTAATAATCGTGTTCAACTCTTTTCAATTCGTATATATACTCTTTTGCAAAAAAATCTCTCTAGTACCTTGAGTTCTTCCAAGGTGAAACCACGGCCAGCACGCAACTTCATGTTGTAGCGCTGGGTGGGGCAGCGGACAGCAGGACGCAAAAGACCATCGACGGGTCTGGGGGCGATGCGAGCGGCCTTTTGGATGCGTGCAGTTCTTCTGGACTTCTTGCGACCGGGCTGATCGAACCAGGTCTTAACGCGACGCTGCCAGTCCTTGCGGAAATGTTGGTTCGGCAATTGATTGTTGTGCTTCAATACCATTTTGACCTATCGATATGAGATTGGAAAAAATCGCCCGTAATCATCAGTCCATCCGTTTCATCCATCGATCCATCTATTCATCCGTTCGTTTTTCGCAATAATGGATCGTCAAAATTTCTTTCTGGTGCCATACACGTACCGATTACCAATGTGGGGGAAAGAGGGAGCTTCACAGTCGTTGTCAAGAAGTCCTGTTGCACACGGGCACCAGGCGTCCAATTGAAATTCCGCGAATCAAAGTGCCTGCTCATTAATGCTTCTCGTCTGTTGTCTGGTTATGCTTGACTGGCAAACACAATACACTTGTTATATACGTTATGTTGTCGAATTCTTTGTAGATATCATAGCTAGCCGTAAATAATGATTACTTATAACTAAAACTATTATGAATCTGTTTAGCTCACTATGATGCATCCAATTGTGTCCAGCCAGTCGTCCCGCAGACGATACTACTCATCCTCTGTTACCAAGTACCATAGAGCTTTGCTACAGGAACAACTGCTAGGTACTCGTGGTATGATATTTGAGATTTTATCTTATTAAACTGTGGTAACTCTTAAAGGAGTATATTTCTACGGTATATGGAATCATGAAGAGCCAACCATTCTTAGATGCTCTTTAGTGCTGTTAGCATTTCAACTCATATGAACAGAGCACTGGTATAATTCTTTCTGTCCAAGCCGTCTTCTGGCTCTTTACGAGATTCTGTCCATATGATCTACTCGCCTATAGCGCTGTATGAGAGTTGGAACAAGACGAGGTAGTAGGGTTTGGCATGCATAGCTTACGAAAGAAACGCCGCATCTTCATCTGCTTCCTTTTTGGGCGATACTGGTAGACCAAATCCCGGCCGTAACTTTTTTTTTGTATACATAACACAAATGGGCATATATTCGCGAGTACGAAGCAGCCCATACTTTGTACCCGCGGCCCGAGCATTAGCATGGTTTCCGGTAGTCATGTTTTTCGTCGACCATGGGTTCAGTTACGGTACAGTCCATGGCCGGTCCATGCAAGTAAGATCGATTAAGCGCGATCTAGACGATCAACATTACAACCAAAATCCCACACTGAACTGGTTGACATTACACCTTTGTATAGCCTACATTCAATCCTGATAGCAATCAATTGTTGCGCGATCGCGTACTATTAAACAAATGGGCCGTAACAGACCACGAGTTTGAACGTGGTGAAGTAGTTACTTTGACGTGAGTGAGTTTGTGTCGTATCTCTTAAGGCTGACATATTGTAGTTTGTGCCTGTGTCTGTGACACGTGTATAAAACTAACATCAGCAAACATACACTTATGTAGTTCCCCCAGTGATCCAAAATGTGTGCTCACAAAACGTATCATTGCTCTCGAAGGTGATACCGTACAACCATTAAAGCATAAAAAATCTTTAGGTAACAAATGAATCCTCGTTGGTTATAAAGTATCGTTGTCCATTGATAATATACAACAATACATAGTGTATGTGCCCAAGGGCCATTGCTGGGTAGAAGGCGATGAAGCATTCCATTCGAGAGATAGTAACACATTTGGAACTGTAAGTTTTCTAAGTAAATTCATCAAAGGAGAGGAAAGCTAATTAAAGCGATTTTTTATATTGGCACGGTGTAGGTACCGATGGGATTAATTAAGGCTAAGGTCACATACGTTCTATTCCCATTTTCTCGTTTTGGACCAGTAGAAAAGAAACCGGTATCGAGTAGAGTATCAGTAGGATTTATCCAACCGGGTCATGATGATGATTATTGGTGAAAACAATAGTATTTCCATGTACAGTACATACAACATACAAAACTGCACACTTTATAGAACTTTTTTATCTCCGTTTTTTAATAACCACGTTGAGCTTACTTCATAGCATCCATCAAGTGCTATTTCTTATGCAGCTCGTCTGTACATATTAACATAAGTAACCTTTGCCGGCGAGGGGCTAACTAAATCGTTAATCGAGTTTCACAGATTGCCCGACTCAGATACAATCGCTTTGAAAGGCGTCGGCCATGGGACTGCTCTAAGCAAGCAGTCTTTGTAATGCTTAAGGATTGAGCAGGCAGAGCTATAGCAAATACATAATCCACACCGTCCTGGATGAACTTTATATACTTTCAAACACGGATTCGAAACTGTAACTGTATATTAAAACCTATTTTCTTTGAAGACTTAATCAATAATTTCATGCCCTGCCATTTTCTCTTAAAATGATCTGCTAAAACGGCATATGGCAGTTACGATAAGGGTATTGTTTCTACAGTTAGAGCCCACCACTTGTAAATCCAAAATCCTTTTTGTATAACAGCCGATGCTACAATCACCATATCACACAGTAAGCACATATGCTCTTATACTGGCTGAAGACCGGTAAGCATGCCAACAAGTATCCAGGACATGGCCACTACTAGCGATGACTATAAATATCACCGTTTTTTGGACTAAAATAGCAGAAGAGGCATCTGGCTAGATGCACAGTAAAAACTTGGATTTCTGACGAATTTGCTTTTCAGAATTATTACTACTATTATTAAGAGCACCCATTAAGACACTGCTACGATACAAATAGATGAAGAAATCATACTCACTATTACACTCGTATATCAAATTGTTATACTATACTTGATCCCTGTTGTCTAAATATTTCGTCAGCGATAGCATAATATCGAAGGTATGTAAGGGAAGTACCGATTTAATGTCGTAAATGCTTTGCTACTTTTTTATCCAAGTATGATCCTGCCTCTAGCTTCTATCGCTGATAGATATATTGAACGTAGAAACTAGCTATAATCGGTCTGAAAAGCAGAAGATAAGAAAAAGCGACCGATCACTTTTTACAGTAGTCGAGTCGTCACGTTCAAAAAGGCATCAAGTTTCCAATGCATATAACAGATTGATTGTTAACAGGTAGAGTAACCCTACTTTTGATGTCTAGGGGAATCGTCAAAAGGATGGCTCGTCGAGGGTGGCGTCCATGATTAAAAGTAGAACGTAAGCCACGTGACAAACTTCTCGCGTGTGTCAAAATGAGAAATCATTTGACCGATGTTGCCACCTATTCCATGTACGCTCGCGATTTGACCAGACAGGATGCTGCTAATCACTCAACTATTAAAGCTAGAACCCTACAGAGCCGTGAAAAGCGGTACAAGAAGCGAGGCTACATGTCTGAAACGAGGGGCCGTGCCCTATTTTATGAGCTACTCCTACGATCAAAACGAGTATTTCTCGCTTCCTTGACGAGCATAGGACGGTGGCAGTCCATCAAGTTCTTCGTAAAATTGCCATAGCCTAGATGTTTCGCTTTCCGCGATATGAAGCTTATCGTGAGAGGGGTTTTAGCTTGGGCCACGCCGTGTAGAAATCTGACCACCTCAGGGATACGAATAAGGTGAAATAAGCGACTATATAAATGAAGATCAAGAAGGGTAATTAGGTGTGCATGCTGGGAAGTGCACCTAGCTCGGTGCATTTTTGTCCGTGTACTGGCATTTGAGGTGTGCATCACCGAAAGTACCTCCCCGTGAGTCAACTCAGCTGTCGGCAGCTCCCGAAACCAAGGACTTAAAATACAGTATTGAGGTTCTGTACTAATGTAATTTCGCACACACAACGCGTGCAACTGATCCACGAAAAGACAGATATTGTGAGCTTAAATGATTCTGATACTGTAGGTGACCACGTTAAAGCAGAGATGGAGAAGCTGTATGATCTCGGCAGTATTATAATCATTTTCACAGTATCTTTTCTAACTCTTGTAACCAAATATATTGACTCCAGTTCCTCCTTTTAAGAACTATACTTTCTACTCTTAGTCCTTGCTTGAACACTTTTTCACTGTATCTTTTGCCGTTTTTGTTATACACGCGTTGTTTCTCATCCTTCCGCATGACGTTCCTCCCTCGTATCATTATTTCTTATTATGTCATTTTTTTTCTATTCAATCATGCCTTTACGCCGTCGCTTCTTAGTAGTCGCTATGTCTCGCGATGTTAATAAGTTTGTGCATATTTTGCATACTTAAATCGTAGCAATAAAAAATAGTGTGGACATACAAAGAAAGAAACAAAAAAGAGGGTGAACTGAAAGATTCAGATATACAAGCGAGAGGAGTATAGTTAAAAATGAGCGACAAACGGGAATATACAGCTAAAAATTATCAGCATGATTACAGTGCTCACTGAAATATACAACTGAGTGCGCAGTCCAGTCCCCAGAGTCACCTAGAGTCACTTCGGCTACCACCGTCATTAAAAGCTCTGTGAATAAATCTGTTTGAATTAGACTGTAAGCTGTAAATTATTGGCTACTGGTTCATCCTCATTGCCTTCTTATCGTCTTCTAGCTCTTACTAACTGCATTAATAACACTGTCGCTTTCTATATCATCCTTTGAGGGATCGCGTCTGTAAACTGATTTAGCCTTGGGAGAAAAACTTAATGGTGTGGTGTAAAAGAGGTGAGTAAGGTGGCATACATGTGAACTCGTGATTTCGTTTTGCATTGACCCATTCTGTCTTCCTTGAGCCGCGTTACAACCGCTTTTTCAACCGGCGGAAAGTCATGGCTATATTTTCGACCTTTGGTGGAAATTATATATGCCTTAAGGGGACCAATACTAGAGGCAGCTGCCATAAGCGATCTGGAACTATATCTCATTGTTTGATTGATGATATACACTCTGGTGCGCCACAAGCGGAATATGGGTCATGCTGGCGTTGAAAGATGCCTCGTCAAGGAAAATACAGTCTTGCGTGTAGTCATGCTTTCCAGTGTTGAAGAGTGTTTCTATTTACCCGAATCAATTTCTTTGACGTCGTTACTGTTGCGAAATTATAAATATCGCTGTACACGTTATACGTGATGTTGCGTCGCTCAGTAAGGTGACGTTTAATATTAGAGGGATGCAAGTTTGTGCTGAACTACTTTTTATATTTTCAATTAAGTAGTTCCTGTGTTGTTGTATTATGCTTTATGCAGCTGGATTAAGTCTACCATAGAAACATGTGGCCAGCAACTGAAGCCATCAAATGAGCCGAATCATTGCCAGTTTCCGATGGTTTGCTTTCAAGTGTCGCCCGAGCGTTGAGTGTGCTTTTGACTGTACTGTTCGACTAGACCAAGAGTCTTTGCATCAACACAGGCGATCTGAAGACATATGGATTTTTTCTCTCAATCTCACACTGACTTGACTGAGATAAAAACGACGCGCACACCCTCCTTCATTCTCGCCGCGATGTCACAGGCTAAAGATGGTAACCTGAGATGCTAATTCACTGTTACAATAAATGTTTGCTGGTACAGCTGGGCTACCGTTCTCTGATAAGGATGGCGTCTCTCGAGAATACTGTCATTTCAGTCTTTCTCTTATATTTTGAGCGATAATGTCTTCAAGAACTATACCACCATCACCACCCCTGCCTTGTACAATGTTGCTGTTGACCCCAGTAAGTATAAATTTTTGCGTGCAGGAACAGCTAAATAAATCCGTCGATCTATATCATTACTATGACACCGCTAGGGCAAATCGGCAAGCAGCTCGCTTTTGGACTGTCGATTGTTACGGTTATTCTATTCGAGGGAGAATATGACGAGCGACTGAAACGTATCATACCTGTTATTGATGCAGCAGATGTAGCTCGTGGTGAAGATTTTATTAGTATCATGGTGAATACAGCTTACAAGAAGTACATTCGCGTATATCCCTATAATCTTCTAGTACTCATGTAGGTATGAGTAATAAGGAATTAAATCATACGCGCTTTTGGGTATTTTTTTTTGTTGAAAATTGACTTGCTTACAAGTGCCTGTTCATTGTTGGCCGACTTTGGTGTAGAAGAATGCATATAAAATTATTTTTACTTCTACCCTTAGCAACTACAAACTTTTTATAAATCCACCCCGTGATGATAGAACGGAATTCGCGGATTATAATATATAGAGCTGGTACAGTTGACGGTGTATGATACATAATACGGGCTTGGTTGGGTATGTTCAGTTAACCCATATCGGTCTCGGCTTTCCTGTGGCGAAAACATTTAAGTCAACTCACCACATACGAATGCAATACACCACCCAGCGCTCCTATGTGAGTAAAAGATTAAGCTTATTGAGTGCTTAGCTCAAACCAGTATGCGTTTTTGGAAGAATCTCACACTTCAGACATAAAAGGACTACATCTTCCACTTTCTAGACGAAGGTATATATGTTTTTCAGTACAGTACAGGAGCGACGTATTTATTAAATAGTTTTGAAAAAAAAAAAAAGACAAGAAACATTTGGCAATTTTGTACTTTTTATACCATGTCACTGTAGTACAGTTCTTGCCTCTCTACACATACCAGCATCTCCAACAGTATCTTGCGATGCTAGCCAGATCCAGCGTATAGTAATATCTACCTTAAAATAAGTTCCTTTTGAAATTGACAATCGTAGAAATCAGGATGGCATTCTACTATTACTCTTTTTTTTTCTTTGGATTCGATGCCAAACACAAAGTCATGCTATATTTAAAAGCATAAATATACCATAGCTTTCATAATAATAAACGTTCTCATGACCGTTACATAGCTTTGGAGTGATTCCTTTCCCACCGCTGCTGGGAACGTAGCACGGTATTTTAGTACAGTGGTTCTCTGTTTAATCTCACTCTGAATATCATAAGCCCTCAGTTTTTCCAATTTTTTTCTACACCCCCTTCAAGCGATAATACTGCTTGAATCACGCTCATGTGTGTCAACCCTCAGTAGTTTCAACACTTTATAAAACCCCTTTGAGGTTGAAATTAAACAGGGAACCACTGTCTACAAGCCAAATACGATTTGCAATGATTATAATTGTTTTATTTAATTGTACTGGCATAGTCGCATCAATTTTACAAAATACAGCTTATTCTTATGAGCATGTCAGGATTAAGATATTGGAAAGATCGTCGGAGAGCTATGAAAAGGAGACAAAGAATGAATATAAACAATAATAGAGTTCGCGCACAACAAAAAAAACAAAGAAAAAAACTCAGATTATGGAAAAGTTGAACTGTCGAATTCGACAGCTGATGGTAACAGTGAGATTCGAACTCACGCCTCTTGCGAGACCAGAACTTGAGTCTGGCGCCTTAGACCAACTCGGCCATGTTACCATGTTACCACGCTTCTTCCACTCTCCATTACTTTTTTTGGATAGTGACCTACATACTTTTTATTATTTTCGCTCAAAACTCTTAAGAAAACTACAAAAAAACCCCCCAAAAATCAGTAAAAATAGCACCCTCAACACCTATACCACCGAACAGTACCAACAACACGCCCACTAACAGCCAAGTGTCCAGCGACATTTCGCAATTGCACTCATCCCCATCTGGCGAAAACCATTCAGCATCAGCAGCCCCCATTCCATCACGCCCGAAGCGATTGCGCCAATCTCACATACCTGTGCGGCCATCAACAATCCCCGCATTCAAAAAGAATCGGACATCATCTCTGCGCTCAACAATTGTAAAAAATTGTCAAAACGAAATGACCAAAGCGCCGAAAACGAAGACAACAGCAGTAACGAGCACTATTGGTAAAAAAGGAGCTGCCCCTTACAAACAGCCTTTGAACCCCGAGTTCATTAAAACTGTGGAACAGAACTTTGCCACTGGAAAACCCTATATTGTGTGCCCGAACACACAATGTAAGGACTTTGGTACCATTAACATGTCCGCTGACCTTAACACAGCTTTTGACCCCCCAGCCCCCACCTTCCACTGCATGCAATGCCGCAAAAAATTCACCCATAGCATCATGCTGGAACCACTCACTGTTGCAGCCCTTGAAGCAGGTACGTATCAACGCCAACAACCAAGGGTACAGAACGCCTCTCCTTTGCATAGTACCAAAAAGCCTATACAAACTACAGCTGCTACTGAAATGGAAACCGAACACGAGGAACATATCGACCTACCTGTGCCCCAGCAACAACAACAACAGTTTGATGAAAACAACTGGGCCGAGCATATTGAACGCCTTGCTACGGAAACTGCCAGAGAAGATAGTGATCAATATGACCACCTTCACCCTAACATGCCACAATATGTTATGGACATCCATAAGCGTATTGATAAAACTAACAAAGTGGTCGCACAGCTGGCAGAGGCCCTTGCCGAAAACAGCAAACTAATAAAAGAAAATGCTACACTAACACAAGAACTCCAAGCAGCACGAGCAGAGATAGCCAAGCTCCAGCAACAACATCAACCGCAGCAAAAAGAGCACGCAGCTATCACCAGTTCGGAGGACCCAGCACCGCAAGGATCGCAGGCATCCAAATATGCACCTGGCACTGAAAAACCCTCTTCACTACCAGCATCAAAAACTACCCCTAGCTACGCCAAAGTAGCAGCTAAAGGTGTCCGTGCACCCAAGAAGCGTGCAGTTGCAGCAGCAGCCCGCCACTTGACCGAAGTTCCAGCGAACCAGGGATATCAATTCATCTATATCCCTTGCCGCCATCGTATGACGATCACCAACATGCGTGGTCTTTTGCGCACGCTCCGGATCGAGAATTCGCGTGTTTTAGACATCCATTTTCCCGACCATCAAACTGCAGCTTTATTGGTTCATAACGAATATGCTGGTGCTATAGCAGCTCGCCTGCTCAAGCTCGGTGTCAATGTCAAAGATGACTTTAATCCCTTGGATCCCAACCTACTAAAAGATCCAAAACTAGCTGAACTAACCGTGGAAGAACGTACACAGAAAATCACAGAAGTCCACCATGGTCACATACTTAAAGCCCTGGGTTTTATCCGTGCACCGGTAAAGTATTCAGTTGCTCGTTCTTTCTTTCTGGAAAATTTGATCACACAGGAAGAATATGATGATGTCCGTGGATCAACTCGCTCTCGACAAACCACTCCAGAGGCCGAAGCTGCTGCAATTGCTGCTTTGCAATCGCTTGGCAGAGGCACTGATGATGACGGTGATGCCCCCATGGGTGATAGCAGATCGGATAGCCCGATCATTGGTAACGAACAGCCTCAAAGTGGCAGCACAACAACTAACAGCGCTCATAACGATTCCCAATAATTAATATGACAAATACAAATAATATCAGATTAACATTATGGAATGCAAATGGTATGGTCCGTCAGGCCATACAACCAATTACTACTTTATTTTCAGATTCATCATTAATATTTCTAACAGAAACCTTTCTACTTTCCCCACATCGCTACCCTACTGACTGGATCCAACATCACACATATGGCCAACCGGTTAATAATAATAATCGTGGTCAAATGGGCGTTGCTCTTCTAGTCAATCCCTCCTTCCCCTACCCCGTAAATGTACTCCCTTCCACATCCCCTTATGTATTATCATGCCAGGTCATTGACCTCCTTATCCATTGTGTCTATCTTCCCCCCTCCCGCTCTTTCTCTGATACCGAGGCCATGGTAATCCTCCATTCCCTTCCTTTAGATCCTAATAGCACTTGCCAAAACACAATCATATGCGGTGATTTCAACGCCCGTGATATCCAACTACTTGGCGACAGCACTACAAATGGCCGCGGTGTGCTATTCCGTGATTGGATCCGTGCACGACAACTGCATTGCTGGAATGCTGAACTCACCTTTGGCGAGAACACCTTTGAGCGGTTCCGAGAACGGACCGACATCTATGAACAAAGTATCATTGATTTGTTTGTGAGCACTAATACTTTGGATAATGTGGATTTGACTATAGCAACAGAGCAGGACCTTGGCTCTCCACATAAACCAGTTCATCTCTCCTTCACCACCCCGATTCCACCTCCCGACCGCCTCGACCACCCACGACAACTATGGGCCCTCAGCAAATTACAAGAGACTAACAAACGACAAGAATACCAACAAAACTTTAAAGATCATGTCGGCAGTATTCATGAAAGTCTCCAAAATGCACTAACCCTTGATGTTGAGCCTGATATCGAACAGCTGGCCAACAGCCTCACCACAGCCATCCACAACGCGTTGGATGAGACTTTGGGTCGAAAAGCTCCGCGACTTCCAAAGGCCACCTGGTTTTGGAACGATAAATTGCAGCAGGCCTTCAATCATCGCGAACATTGTTATCAGCGCAGTCGCACAGCAACAGGTATACAAAAAGGAGTGTGGCTCACCCGGCACCAAGAAGCAGTAAAACGCATGAAGTCCTTGATCCAAAAACGGCGACGTCAAACCTGGCGCACCTTTTGTCACCAGCTTGCCACTGATGACTTCTCAAAGACCACCGCATCCATCAGGCATATTCGCCAAAATCGTAAAGTACAGCCAACCTTTACAGATACCGCCGGTCCACAAGTCGCAGCCGAACGCATGAAACAGCACCTAGAAATGGTATATGCCGGTGCCAACTTACCAGCAAATCGAGATGAAGCACCCCTCCCAGCACATGGACCACATGAAATTGAGGATGATTGCCCGTTCACTCACCTTCAAGTAAAAACTGCCATTGAAACTGTTGCTCGCCGTAAAGCACCTGGTGTTGATCACCTGCGTGCTGAAATGCTCTCACCGATCCACAATGAACTGCTGCCACCATTAACTGCTTTGTTCCAACTTTGCTGGAAATGGTCATTAACTCCTGTAGCATGGCGTGTAGCACAAGTCATTCCTATATTCAAAAAAGGGGATGCTACTATGCCCAATAACTACCGCCCTATTAGCCTGACATCAGTATTTCAAAAAATAATGGAAATTTGCTTATCCGACAGTCTTCATGCTGCTTCTCCCCCTCTTGATATAGCCCAAGGTGGTTTCCGTCCGCAACGTAGTGCCCTCGACCAAGCCCTATGTCTACAAGAGCTTGCCGAAAGAGACCGCCGTGCTGGTGGACGTAACCGATTGCCTGTCCTAGTTTTCCTTGACATCAAGTCAGCTTACGACACTGTTGATCGTGCGATTATTTGGCGTGCGCTTGCTCCTGTGGCCTCTCCTGCTCTACTTGGTCTCCTCCGGAATCTGTTCGATGAGGTATCCATAGAGGTTATTCTCTCTGGTGTCAAATCCAGTTCATTCAAGCCAACAACCGGTGTCCTACAAGGATCAATTTTGTCCCCTCACTTATATTCCCTCTACATTAATTCTCTTCCCGCCTTTCTACGTACCCACATTTCTTCTTTTACTACTTCTTCTTCATCACCATCAGATGATTTTGTTTCCTCTTCAGTTCAGCCTGTGTTTCGACCGGTAGGTGGGCAGTGGGTTAACTGCTTGTTGTATGCTGATGATGTAGCTCTTGTGGCCGACGCTGCAGAAATGCCACGCTTACTTGCCAAGGCTGAGGAACATTCCTACCAGCTTGGTTATCGATGGAACCCAGAAAAGTGCGTTGCCTTGTATCCCCATAGCTCCTCACCAAATTCTCAGCCACTCCACTTGTACGGCCAACCGCTTATTACCCAACAACAGTTCACATACCTGGGCGTCCCTTTCAACACCAGCATGAAAATCGACACCAAGGCCCTGATCCAACGCAATACGGGTTCGGTTCGTGCAGCAATGTCCACCCTCAAAACCATTGGTTGCAATCCTTCAGGGTTTCCGCGTCTCCTTTCTACCCGCCTCTACCAACAGTTCATCCGCCCAAAAATGGAGTATGGCTTGGCACTCTGCAACTTTTACAAGTACGAAACGAAAGCCCTCAACACAGCACAAGATGAATGCTTACGTATGATCTTTGGCGGGCATCGCACTTCCTCAACAACCGTTTTCCGTCATATGACTGGGTTACCAACTATGGCCGAACGGGTGCAGATCCTTGGCGTCAAATTCCTCATCCGTGCCCACTTCCTGCCTGCCGATGCTCTATTGTCCAAGCTTCGTCCTCTCCTCCGTGCAAAAGACCATCTTTGGTGCAAGCTTCTTAAGCACAACCTGCTATGGTCCCAGCTGCCTGACCCACCACAAGACGCTGATAAACGCGCACTCAACACTGTCATCCGCACCCACCGCATGGAAAACCTGCAGATGCTTCGCAGTGATCAGCACAGCGGGAAACTGCTGAAGGCCGCACGTCCCTCCCTCGGTATCGATCCCATTCTTTGGTTACCAATGACAACCCGTGACAGGAGCCGCCTATTGCGCTGGCGCATGGGTTGGCTACCAGGTCGTCCAATTTCTTGCCTTTGTGGCACCACTCGCACAAGTCGCCATCATCTGATCGACTGCCTCCAAGTGGCGTCGTGTCTTGGGGTGCCTGCTGACGCGGAACCAAACCCGATCGACTTTCTGTTGAACAAGCTGCCTCGCCGGAAACCGCGCTCCCCCACCATCATCGACTATTGGCAACGCCACTGGCCAAAGCTCATGGCAGTAATGGCGGATATCGACCGAACATGCCACCCGGATGATGACTGGCCGGACTCCGACGACCTCGGACAAGAACTGTTGGACTGGTTGTCCCCAGAACCACCACCACGACTCGACCCCGACACGCTTCTTGCAACAGTCGATCGTCTCTTTTCATAATGAGCGCATTTCGTTATAATGTTAAAAATATACAAAAACTGAGAATAAGAAAAAAAACAAAAAAAAACAAAAGAACTGAACCATAGACAAAAATAACCAAAGAAACAAAAAAAAGAACGCAAAACAGAAAAAAGTCAAAAAAAGAGACAAAAAGAAAACAGTCAAACAAGACAAAAAAAAAAAGATTTTCCCGCATACACCCCCTTCTCCCCACACACTCTCACACTAACGCTCACACTCGTATTTCAACTCAGATTGTACTAACCAACTGTGCACGGACCATCGAAACACAGGCTGCTGAACTTCTTTATTTTATACTTCTTTAGCGCACTCCTACACTTACTTTGAATTTCGCTTGCACTCTCTTCCCACCTACTACTTTTTTCCCTGGCAACTTGCAGGGTTTTTATATCCCTAGACTGTTACATAATTTATTTGTATATAAGCACTTCAGGGCGACCATATGCTCCATTGAGCGCGGGTCTTCATGCTCTTTAATAAACAAACCCTTTCATCTCGGCCATGTTACCTTATGTTACCTTTACTTTACCTTACTTATCCTCATAGAAAAATAAATGCTGCTATAAATAATAGTAGAAAAAAGGATGCTGCTATAGAAAAAGGGATGCAGTTATAGAAAAAAGGATGCTGCTATAGAAAAAAGGATGCTGCTATAGAAAAAGGGATGCTGCTATAGAAAAAGGGATGCACCTAGGGGTCGCAATTGGACGGGTTGGGTCGGGTCGGGTCAAGGGTCTGACCCGTTGACCCGTAGGTCAAGAAAACACTGACCCGACCCGACCCGTTCAACTCGACAGGTCAAAACTCGGGTTGACGGGTCAAGATTGATTTTAATGTAGTGATCAAGGAAGTGTCAATCAGCCTGAACTTGAGCACTGGAAGTGCAAAACTCCATATATATATAGCTCTCTAAGATGATGGCACGCAAATTCCTAGCAGTGCTAGCAACATCTACGTTTTGAGTGATTATTCTTAAAGGTAAAGGGTTCTGTGCCATCACAAAAGAAATCGCTTAGGCTCACATGCTTTAAAGAAAGCATAATATTTAAAGTGTGGTTGAAAATCGACTTCCCTATATGCCCCTTATCCTTTTCCCTTTTCCCTTTTCTTTTCACTTCTTTCTTCTTCCTTCGATTTTCTTTTCTCAATTCCTTTTCTGTCTTTTGTTAAATCGCGTCTCTTACTGCCACCCTCTATTGTATATTCTTATTGCACTATTGCTACTTCTTTACTCCTATCATTGTATCATATATATTGCTTATAGCTTACTTATCCCATACTGTTGAATATAAAGTATAATCCCACAATAAAAAGAATTAAGTACGTTTTATGCTATAGTTCTATAGCAGATATATTGACAACTAATGATGTTTCCCAACAAGAAGATTGACTACTTAAATATAAGTACTTCATACATATTATGTGTATACACGGGTCACGACGGGTCAACGGGTCAGGTCAAGGGTTGGATGGGTCGACCCACGGGTCAGAAAAGCATCAACCCGACCCGTTGACCCGTCCTCAACCCACGGGTCGGTTTTGACCCGTGGGTCAGATTGCGACCCCTAGATGCACCTATAGAAAAAGGGATGCACCTGTAGAAAAAGATATACATATTTGCACCTTTATTTTTTTTTTATTTTTTTATTCCTAAACTCTTAGAAAAACTACAAAAAATCCCAGAAAAAGTCATTAAAAATAACACCCTGCCATCGAACAGTAACAACAGTTCGCCCCAGCAGCCAAGTATTAAATAACACTATATAATTGCACTCTTCTCTATCTAGTGAGATTCATTTTTATTATTAGCAACCTCTATTCTACCATACCCTAATAAACAATTACACCAATTTCACATAACTTACTGGATGCAATAACTCTTGACACCAAACAAGACATCGAACAACTCACAGACTCCCTCACCACTGACATCTCTATAGCATTAGATTAAACAATCGGTAGGAAAGTCCCATCTGCCAAAAGAAGCTAATTGGTCTCAGACAGACAAATTACAATAGGAAGGATAATCCTCAATTATAGTTTAAGTAAAGTTTTACATTTAAAAGTTATATATATAGTAGGATAAACATTTCAAAACTGCTAAGCCGAAAATCAAAGATTTTCTATGGAGTTTCGAGAACCTTTCTCTGGAGAAAGAACCACAAAGAGTCGCTGCATAAGGTGTAAAACACCTTGTGTACTGGAGGGAGGAGCAACTTATTACTCCTGTAAGTTAGAATCTTCGTTACCACTCCAGGGGGAGCTTTTAATTCATAAAGGTTCTATCTATTTATCTTTTAAAACTTAAATCTTTAAGATAATTATCAATTGAAGGATTAAACATTTATATATTTCATCTTTTTTAATCATTAAAATTTTAAAATAAATTCAAAAAGTTAAACCTTTTTTTAAATTAATTATAATTATATTTATAAAAGATACATCATTTAAAAGAAATACCATTTTTAACATTATTTTTAAACTATAACCTTTACAAGGTCAATGATACAAAGGTTTAATCTATGGTTAAGGATTGCTCCCCTTCCCCTAGGCCTTCAACCATCATCAAGAGTACTGCTACTACCAATGTGACCGAGCAGCTACTACAGGTATACACAAAGCAGTTTGAATGCAATGCCACTAAGACGCAGTAAAGAGCGTCAAGGTACTACTGCAAAAACTGGCGATGATAAACTTGACGTGATTTCTTCTGTCACAAACTCTCAGTCAATGATTTTTCAATGACAACTGCTGCATCTATCCACCACATCTGCCAAAATCGTAGAATCCAGCCAACCTTTACAGTTACTGAGGGCCCACAGAAGGTTTCTGCCAAAAGGATGAAACAGCACTTGGAAATAGTATATGCTGGTGCCAATCCTCCCATTCAGGAAACAAGTCCACATAAAATAGAGGACCGTTCACTCTCCTTTAGGTTCAATCATCACTTGACACTTGAAACGTTGCCTGTCACAAAGCACCTGGCGTAAACTATTTGCACGCAGAGAGGTTTGCTGTCATTCAGGATGAACTCTTGCCACCCTTAACCCCTCTATTTCAACTGTGTTGGAGATGGTCCTTTACTCTTTACTCCTTTAGCATGGCGAGTTGCACGAGTCATTCCGATATACAAAAAGGGTGACGAAACTTTGCCCATCAACTACCACCCCCATTAGTCTTTTATTTGTCATTAGAAAGATAATGAAATATGCTTAACCCCTCACGTCCATGCCGCAAGGATTTGTATGTATTGCTATATCTCTTCCTTTCTTGTAACATATATAATTTTTACTGCAATTACTGACTCACTCCGATATGTAGTGTAATAAATAGAAATGCCTTCAAAAAGGTTATTCACCCTCTTAGGATCCGATCAGCAAAAGTAGAGCAATACGGAGTCTGGTGCTTACCTTAGTATACTGGTGATAGGTTGCAACAGGGTAGTAAGTCAAGCATCATACTTCCCATCACTATCATAAGTCTTTGGCGCACATCTTCAACTGCTAGGTTTGCTTCATGATAATAGCTCTTTGACATCCATTTCGTACAACAACCTCTTCTATTATATTGACACATGACTCGCGTCTACTACCTTATACATTTTTAAGAGATCCCCCATACCTTCTGCAGCAGTAAGCAGCATTAATCAAGTCGCAGCATGCATAATTGACAATTCCACCTTCAGACAAAGGTATAACTATTGATATTTATCAACCACTGCTTTGATGCTCTTTCAATGGGTTTTTCTCATATGATGTGTGCCAAACTTGTCAAGCTTGGTTACATCGAATCTGGATAGAGTTAATCATAACAAGATACACGCTCTTACTGAATCAGTCTTCTTACTGTATAATATACTTGAAGAAAGCTGTAGCATGTCACAGATAATAAAAATTATTTATATTTCTGATGACATCATGACAAGGTCCTAATGAATGTCAAGTGTTGTTTATTAAAGAACCTTTTGCTTCTCACCGTACACCACATAAACTTCACGTTCTGTAGAGACACATTGTTTGAAGCTGATGAATGTAAGTGAAGAGCTTGAAATATATTCTGGTCGGTGAAATTGGACGCGGTGAAAGAATGAATCAGTAATACGATGGGCTTCCCTGTGGAGAGCACATAATTGGCAGGGTCGGGTTGATTCCCCCAAATTTATGCAGACAAAAGTTCTTTGTTCTTTCTTCGTCTTTTTCTTTTCCAAGAAACGTCAACATGGCACAAACAACAGCCCATCCTCATTCAGCACTTCATTTATATAATTTTCTATGTGCAATTCGATCGACGTTTTCAAGTGCTGATGAGTACCAACAAGAGTTCGAAAGTGTTTTACTGGCCCCACGATACACACCCGAATTGTTCAATGGTGTTGTGACACTACTGCAAGGTGTCATGTCAATGTCAGCAACAGCAACCACCACTGAACGAGCCACTTTTTGGCCTGAGCTGCAACACATTATGCAAGCAGCACATAAGGATCCACACTACGACTCGCTTCTGTCACGCGTAACAGAAAGTTTCTTCTTTATTCGTCATGTGGATTCTGTGTTGAACAATGACAACCAGTTGGAAGCATTCATACGAAGCTTACTTTTGGACTATCCGGATGCCCAGCATGCGCAAGTCATGGAATCTATTGCTGGTTTCTTGGCAACCCTTGACTCTACAACGCGTGCTGGCGTGGAATCTGTGCTTAACGATCAACGACACTCCTCTGCTGAACAAGGTAATATAAACTTTTCAAAAGGCGAGTGAGCTCCGGGCGAGATGGGGGAAATTGTGCTGATTGATAGTTGCAAACTAGGCTCTCCAGATCATTTGCTTCGTATCCGACGGATCCTCGATGACGATGCGCTATTTATGGAGTTTAAGGACATTGTGGATACGGATACCGTGGCAGGCGTCCCATGGAACGATACGCTGTTAAAACTGTACGGATTGATTCGATTACGCAAACCAGAAGTATGGGAATCCATCAGTTATATCTTGGATCAGGCACAAGCAGCGCATGGTACGTAGTCAAAGGCGCGAACACTAGTAGTGCAGCAATACTGATTATTTAAATGTATAGATACAACCCAGTACAGCTCATACGAAGAATACGTTCAGAAGAACTTTTTGGAAGATGGGGGTCAACAGTATTTGGATAGTGAGATTGACCGAGCACGCGTGGAAAGTATGCTGGATAGTCTAACAATGTAAAGATTAAAAAATTGCATGCATGTCTATATCATAAGGTGATGTATTTTTGGTATTTTTGATGTATATGCGGGAGTGTGAGAAGAGTTGGGTGATACAATGCATGTGAATGAATGAATGAATGAATGGAATAATGTGCTGAGAGAAAGAGATTATGGCTGTTATGTGGATGAAAGCATGGTGGTTGGCGGGATATTCGTTTAAAAATCATTTTCAGAAGGGAGCAAGTAGACGATACCGTAACTTGCACCTGCTGCCAAAGCACCAATGAGCAAGGTCTGGATGGCGCCCTTGAATGCACCCTTGGGGTTGATAAGTCGACTCTTGGCGTAGCCAAAGATCAACAGCGTGAGCGAGGTGACGGCGATCGAGATGTACAGAGCCAATGTGGCGTCCTCCATGAACACATATGGTAGTAATGGGATCAAGCCGCCAATAAAGTACGAGGAGCCGATTGTCAATGCCGAGATCTAGCATTTCATGTGTCATTAATACGTTCGTGAGAAAAATGAATCAAAAAGCTAATATGCAGCTGCCCATTATGAGAAAATCGATAGTGAATCAAACTCACCCAGCTTCGTCGTGGATCGGGCATTTCAAGGTTAAGTTCGAATTTCATCATAAAGTCGACAAACTTTTCGGGGTCACTCTTGAGCTGGTCGATTAAGGGCTGAAGTGCTTCACGATCCAAGCCATAGGGTTCTAAAATCTCGACAATTTCATCCTCCTCGTCCTGCGGGCACTCTTCCACTTCGCGTTCTTCGCGCATACGTTCTGTCTTGTAATGGTCCATTTCGGACCGTGCTGCCAAGTAGCCTCCCAAACCCATTGAAATTGCACCACTTTTTTTTTGTGTTCCAAACAAAAGAAGATTGGGTTAATAAACAAACAACAACAATGAGCTATAAATTACAAAGATGTCAACTCGCTGTTTCTTTTTACCTGACAAGCTCTAAAAACACACAAAAAGACAATGAGTTTAACTATGAAGCGAGTGCTGTTGTTTGGCAAGAAGCTTACTTACCAGCTGCACCACCGTAAACCACGATTTTGCTAACACCAAGCGAGGATAAACCGGCGGCGAGTGCGAAGGGTACAGTGAGACCGTCTGTAAAAGAGCTTTTTGCATAAGCCCAAGGATAGTGATAAAAGAATTATATCGCAGTAAATTAAAACCATACCCGACAAGCCAATGATAGCGTCACGGACTACTTCTGCAGATTCAAAGTGTTCTTCTCGATGGCCCACAGGCTGATATTCTTGGGATGGACGACGACGAAGTCGATCTAAAAATGAACTCATCTTTTGGTGGATTCGATAGTTTTTTTTTGTTTTGGCGGAATGGAAAAAGAGGGAAAAAAAAAGGGCGTGTTGCGTGGACATGCACGTACAGTTTTAACACAGCAATCTTGTGTCACCATCAAAAAAACTTGCCGAAGATGCCGACGGAGCGCGCTGTGCTATATTTTTTCCCTTCCCCTCTCAGCCACTCCTTTTAGCTCTGAAACTGACGTTTGCTAGACTGCGATCATCATCAGAGAGATAGAGAGTGGGGGTTGATGGTATTGTATTCAACGAGCCCCTCCTTTTTTTTTATCATTGTATAATACACAAATGAAGCTACTACTGCTATTTACTACACTTCATCCTCTTCACCCATTTCTTGACGTGTTATCCTCTTTTTATGATGCTGTCCAGGCCGTTTCAGCTTTGTCAGCACCAAAAAGCCTGAGCGTTGGTTGTTCACTTTTTTGTTTTGCGTCCGCCATCGTGATAGCAGTTTGGATGCACTATCTGATTCTTGATGTTGTTGATGTTGTTGTTGTTGTTGCAATGTAGATGAAGACGATGACGAAGACCCTGAATCCATTATGGTGTTTTCTGTTGCATCGTCCAGCAACAGTTGTTGACTTGCGCTGTGGATCCATCGATGGTTGTTACCATGGGTGCCTCGTCGGTACCGTGACGACGACGATGATGATGCAGTATTATTGTTGCCATGAGCACCAGCAGCAGTAGCAGCAGAATTTGTGGTCGTGGTATTGCCTGCAGTACCGGCAGGAGGCCACATGATCATAGCTGTTGGTTTTGGTAATGGTTGTTGGGCAAACATGTTCAAGATGCGGTCATCCTCATCCACCCAATGCGCCGTACACAATCGATGTTCCAACGGTACCATCACATCCGCTTTCTCTACCCACTGACCGCGCGTGACATAGCTGTCGAAATAAGGGCCGTGACAAGATGAGCATGCTTTAGCAGAATGGAGGTATGTGACAAGGTGTGTAGGTAGGTCATTCGTTGCATAAAGTTGCTGTCGTCCCTGTTTTTGATGTTTTTCTTTCCGTGATAGAGGTGATGGTGATGATGATGATGTTGTTGTTGTTGTTGCGTATGGCAAAAACTGCTGTTCCTGATGTTGCCGTACAACAATCCGTGCACATGTTTCCAATAGACTCGGAGGACCTCTTTGCCGTAATGAATATGCATGCGTGTCTTCTGTTTTTAATGGACATCCATCCAGTTGTAGACGTCGAAGGTATGGTAACTGTGCTAGCTCGGCGGGCAGTACTTGGATGGGGTTACCGGAGAGGTCAAGTGTAGCGAGATGTGTCATATTGGCAATGTGATAGGACAGATGTGATATAGTGTTGTTGGCGGCATGAAGGGTATGTAGCTTTTTTGACACGACGCGGAAGCATGGGGTGAGATCGGTGATGTGATTGTACGAGACGTCGAATTCGGTGAGCTTTGATAGACAGCTTATTGTGTCGGGTATCTCTGTGAGCTGGTTATGTGATAGACGAAGGTGCTCCAGGTTCTCCAGACAGCCGATAGCTTCTGGTAAATACGTAAGCTGGTTATGTGATCTGGATAAACAAAAATACGTCAGCATTGCTTTCTCTCTTTTCTTGCCAACAGCAACAGACCCCTCTTCACCCGGTCATGTTTTGCCACTTATGCATGCGGCCTCAATCGTTCCTCCTTTCATTTCGTTTTGCACAATCCCCCCCCTACATCCAGATCCATCCAACGTGCAGTAAGATAGAATACACATCCACCCACCCACCCACACCCACACACATTCTCATTTTAATTTATGTCGATATACATACGCGCGCGCACGCACTTTTTCCCTCTTTCGCCCATTCTCCCCTTTCATATACGCACACACATGCACATTTCCCGCCTCTTTCGGTAGCGATAAGAATCAAATATTAACTTACAAGTCCAATTTCCGTACCATGGTCAGACGGGCAATGTTGCAGCTGAGATTGACGAGCCGTCGGGCCGAGAGATTGATTTCTTGCATTGATTTGTCCACAGTGCCGCTACTGCACGCATCCAGAAATGTAAATCGCACATTTAAAGTCGTCGTCGTTGTCGTTTCCGTTGTCCCCGCATGTGTTTGATCGTCACTATGTCCGTCGTCTTCATTCATTTTATACGTTCGGGCGCTCGTAGAAGAGGAGCTGCTGTAGTACTTTGCGTCAATGTAAGCGAGCTCTTTTGGCAGTAATCGTTGTTGTTGTTGTTGTTGTTGTATGTGCTGAGTATGGTTGCTGCTATTATTACTGTTGTGTATGGCTTGTTCGTCATAACCCGAGTCAACTCGACCAAGCAGCACAGCAGTGGCGCACTTTGGTGTTGTTGACGGAGTCGGTGGTGGTGAGGGGATCATTGGCGATTCAGCTAATGCGTAAAGATGGGGATGTGTAAGCACGAGGTCATTGCGCTTGCGGTTACTGCTGCTTTTACACCTATCGGTGTTGCTGCTTTCGGTAGTGTCGTTGCTGCTGCTGTCAGTGGCAGCGGGAGAGGAGGAAGTGGAGGAGGAGACAGAAACGTGGCCAAAGGTGAGTGCCCCTTGGTTTTTACTAGCTGCTTGACCCATGGTGGTAGTGGTAGTGGTGCCTGATAGAAGTATGTGTGGTAGACCCCTTCCTCGCGCGTGGAGAAAAAAAGTAAAGGTGTAGAGAGCGGGGGGAGGTGTGGACGAGCAAAGAGTGACAAAGAAAAGAAGAGGGAAGAACAAGAAAGAAGAGAAAAAGAAAGCCCATCGTATCATCTGAAAAAACAACGATATAAAAATGGTCAAATCTATTTTAATAACCAAATCCGCCCACCTTGTTGATTGCACACGCATACGCACACACACACACAGCACACGCACAGCACTAGCTCACACATACAGCAGACTACACTTGCTGTTCGCTTCCACATCCGACTGTTATTAACACATGCACTTATTGCTAAATCATTCGACAAGAGGTGACTTTAATGGCTTGTTACCTCTTTAGGCTTCAGTTGATTTCTGCTGCTGATGGATGCATCCTCAACATAAGCTTCGTCATTCCATGTGGACACTCCTCCCTTTCTCCTCTTGCCACTTTAGTTGAGCAAATATAAACAAAACGCGGCAAAGGAGATGGAGGCGGGACAGTGCAGAACACTGATGGCCCGCTGCATGCAGTGAAACGTTCGTATGCAGCCAAATGGATCAGCAATCGGAAAGAGTTCCTTTGCTGATCATGTCCCTCAGTGATGCTGTTTAATACAACACCTTCTTTTGGGTTTCGTGCTCAGACTTGGCGGCCTTTATCAACTGATCGTTATTGACTTATTGTATCGCTGTGTTGTCCTACTACTCCATACCCAGTGGTCGCTCTTTCTTCTGCTCTCGACATAGCGTCATCGTGAAGCTGAGCGTTGCTTATGTCTTCTTACCGCGGACGCAGCCTAATGGTGGTGCGGAATAATGCGATGATTTGTTTTGCTGCATGTCAAGCAGCTCTTCTTTCAGCCCCTCTCCTTGGATTGCGTTGTTCATGCGGTCTTTAGTTAATATCGAGGAGACGGGAGAGACATGGCACAGCGGCATCGCTTCCGTGGATGTATCGTAGCACCGAGGCGCATTCCCAATAGCGCCATGGTATGACAAACGTACCGTGGCCATTCTCTTTTGCGACAAAAGACACGAAAAAGAAATACCAGTTTGGTGCTGCAGTGACACAAGCTTTTTTTTTTTGACAAAGATAATCGGCTATGCAACCTTGATCCATTTCCGAACAGGTGGAGAGAGACGGCATATGTTTTGTTTGTTTGTTGGGAACAGCCCTTCTTTTTTACCAGCATCATCACCCGCAGCCCCACTGTTTTGTTGACACATACAACTTGTTAGAGTTAAACCACGCGGTGTCAAAAGGTAAATTGTTTCGTCCCTCCCTTCTTTTGATAACCATCGTAATTGTAAATGATAAATTGCCGTCATCGTCATTTATAGTATTATACAATCAAGGAACGGTATATAGGCACTAAAACAACAGCCAGATATAGCCTACCAATAGCTTTTCCCACTTCTCTGGATGGAGAATTAACTAGTGACAACAACAGCATTTTTTGACAAGGTCGATCCTTCCTTACAGCAATAACAAGAAAGCAATGTGATATATGCGGTCTGTTTTTCTATACTACGCATAACGTAAGATGTCGACAATAATGGATCGTCTTATTACACAAGAAGCATAATGATAACGGAAGTTCAATTCAGATGCATTTGGTAGTAGTAGTAGTAGTAGTAGTAGTAGTAGTAGCAAGTATAGGAGAAACAGTGATATAGTGTATACATAGCTGTCTGATGATCATCTCATGTCCCTGAGCAATGTCTCTGTTTATTACTGTAGTCTATTATAGTTCTAATCCTCACGTAACATACCCACGCTCCTGTTGCGTGTGTGACGGACAATAAGCACAATCGCAAAAAAAAAGGAGCAATCTTTATATGTGCGTACCGATATTATAGTTCGGCCCAGATGTATAAGTCTTACAGAAATCATCATCATCCTCATCGTTATAACGACAGCACAGCTCATGCTCATCACCACGTTGAGGGCTACTGTAATCAACCCAACGAATTTTTACTGAATCCATTTTGATTTAGGGAGGCTTGTTGACTCTTCATTGTTGGGGCGACAGCGAAAACTCGAGCAAATTTTTACTGTTTTCCTGCAAAACTTTTCTAATAGCAATAGCATTGGTGCCCTTTGAGTAGCTTCGACAAAGAACAAAGGAAGGAGGGGGGCGTGTATATTTCAAATAAATTGCCAAATTATGTTTCATTTATGCGGGTATTATGCATATTGTATTGCCAATTACGTTTATTTATTATCACACAACTACTCGTAGCGTCAACAATATAGCCATTACCATGATTAGTTGCGTAGCATAAAAGTAGCAGAAATGACAACGATAATCGTCTACAGTCGAGGATAACGATAGCTTTTACGAAAAGAAGATAGAAAAGTTTATACCTAATTAAAGCGCTGCTTATAGCTATCTGATGTCCTCGTTATTCATTGCTTTTTTAATTTTGCTAGGTTATATTTGTGCGTATTAGTGTTAAAAGTATCATATCAAAAGCAATAGTGATACTGCTGAACGCGCAAATCTTTTCTTACCTTCAACAATTTGGTTATTATGTGTAACAATACATCAAGCTGATACTAATGACCCTAGACGCACGATGTGCAAACAACGCATATGTTAACTTGTTAATGACGAGTCAAATTTGACAATACCATTATTAGTTACGGTAATACATCTTTAAAAACAATTTTCGTCAAAAATATACCTTTTCTTTGGTTCTGTATTGACGATTTTCTAACAGTAAAGGGTATTAATAGTAGTGTCGGTGAAAATCTAGCGAAGGTGGATTACTATACGCGCTGCAAAAATCGGATCAAATACGCTGGTCGTGCAGCGAATGTGTTCTCTATCATCATAGATTTTAAAAGTAAGTGAAGCATCTATGAACCGCCGACAGTACAAAGGTAAGAAATTCATGCGCTCAAATATCCTTTTCTGATAACCGTCGTAATGATGAAATGGACTACTACATGATGATCATTGTTATTTGACAAACAGCAACCACAGCAACAGCAGCACAACTTTGAGTCTCTACGTATTGTCATGATGAGAAATCTCATTAGTTAATACTTCAAATCATGTGATATACTGGCTACTAAAGAACTAAAGGGGCGTTATAGTTGTCTGGAATGTCTAAGTTACCGAGCTTACAGGGACAGGCCAAAAACTTACTGTACAGCACACCCATTCAATGCAACCAACCCATTTCGTTTGACAAGCCCCTGTTCCCCAAATGCATACGTGTCTTATTCAGCATGACCTTGAGTATTTTATGGTAAAGCATTATTACAAATACTAGATAACAGTAGAGTTTTTGGGGATGGTACTTGTCTCTCAGATTTGAAAATAGCGGCCTACAAGCTGATTGAATATCAGCAGCGGTCGGTACTGCCAGACCTTCCTTTTATCAAGAACGGTCTCAGCATTGCAGTAGACGAGTGTGGCAAGGGGTATGCTGGCGGCTTTAGCAAGGAGAGGCTTATAGAACTACGATCATATTTACTCAAGATTGTGAAGAACATGCCCATCATGTTCTAAGCAAAGGCAACAAGTGCTCCTTTCTCAAAGTCATTGTATGAAAACGAAGCGTTGAGTAGATATATCATTACAATTGCCACCTCAAACTGTCGTAGACGAAGTATGTGCTTATATGCCGCCAGTCGTCATCTTAAATAGGTGCAAGAGCCTGTCCTTGGGTATCCCAAGAGGCTACGTTATTTAGGCGATTGACCATAGTAGAGGTTTCCACTTATACTAGATGTCTTTGGTAATTAAACAAGCTGGCAAACGCATAAAAAGAACGCTTAAACTGACATTGATGTGATTTTCAAGAAACGTTTCTTCATAATGCAAAACATAACTAGTCGATTGAGACCTGCCAGGTTTTTGTATGTATTTTCTCAAAGGCAAAGAAATGACAGACCCTCGACTCGTGCTAGTCACATAAGCTGCTTATCCGTGACATACGTAAAAAGGAAATTTTCCGAAAGGAGGCGAGACTTTCTGTTGGTTTATATTTTTTAATCTGGTTAGCTACGGTGTAAAACATCATTTGTTTTATACTGTTTTCTTTACTTATGTTCGATAAATGACTTTGATATGATAATGTTATAATATGATTCAAGGTAGTTCCAGGTACGCTGTTGTCATTCCGTGGTTAAGAATGATCTTTTCTAAGGTTGGATTAGCTGTCCTCTTATTTCAATATGACTTTGGTTTTGTCAGACACCACGGCTGTAACATGCAATGGAGAGTCCGCGGGGCCGGACAGTTCAAAGAAAAGAGAAAAAATCGCAATGTACGCTGGGGGACTAGCATGGGATGCAATTGGCGTACCAACGCAATGACTTTTTGTCGACACAAAGCAAAATATACCACCACTCCCTTTACCAAAAGCTCTCAACACACTCAAAGACTTTACTCCTCCAGCAATCTTTGTTAAAACAGTACCAATGTTCCTTTGTTCCAACTATCAATAATTATCCCTCAGGTCAAGATTTCACGGACTGAAATGTGGTATGTGAAACCTGAGGTCATGAGACACACAACATGCAGGACAGCAATCTACACTGCAGGGACTGATTCACAAGACTTGTATAGAAAAGAAAAAATTGTTTGCAGGATTTCAATCATGCTGGAAGACTATAATTGATTACTAGTCGATTGCATAATTGACGCGTTTCCCTGGAAGAGATATCAATAGACGGCTGGAAATAATATATTATTCAACATTATCACACAAAGTACTCTGCACTGAATGGCTGGATAGAACGCGTAGACAAGAAAGAACTGTTCAGTAACGCTTGGTGAATATCACTTTAAGATCGATTGGCTTGATAACACCAAGTCCGTTCGTAATCACTTTTTCTTTGTGGATCGAGTTTTCCGGCAAACGCCATTCATATTTCATTACTATATAGCATTTTGTTGTAATAATCCCGTTGGCGTTTAGCAAACTAAAAAAGACAGGAAACATCATTTATATTAAAGAAAGAAAGCTTCGGCTTACATAGCATTGGTAACAAAACACGTTGTTCCATCAGACTGAAATTCATGCCAATACACTGGCGCGATCCATTTGAGAAAGGAGCCCATGGCATACCGTCGGCCATCACGTCTGATTCTCCCCCAGGTGCAAATCGGTCGGGATCAAACTGATCTGGATCCTTCCACACCTATAGGAATAGCATTATTACTTTACAGGGCTATCAAACCCATTCGAAAAAGAAAAGGTAAGCTAAATAAAAACCTCTGGATTGTGGTGGAGCTCGTAGAGATCGACCGTAAGCCGTGTGCCTTTGGGAATAAACACACCTGATAACTCGGTGTCTTGGGTTGCTATGCGTGGAACCATGCTCACAGCCGGAGGTTCCATTCTCAAAGTCTAAAGTCGATTCGTTTAAACAGAAAAAAAAAAGTATTCAAAAAACATGCAGGAGAATAAAACGACAACAACAACAGATCTTTACTTCTTTAATGACTCTGTTCAAATAGTCCAATTCGCGTGTTTGTTCAACTGTTGGCAAGATATCGTATCCATCACCAAAGATTCTGGTCACTTCTTCTCGGGCACGCTGCTGTATATCCTAAGTTTTAAAAGACCATGGAGAAAATATTTTCTCACGCTTTTAACTAGAGATTACAAACACACAAGAATGTTTTTCCTATTTTCAATCTATATATATATATATATATATATATAAATATATACCGAATTCACTGCCAAATGGTAGATAGCAAATGCAATGGCTGCTGCCGTGGTCTCGTGACCAGCCAAAAAGAAGACAGAAAGATTGCTCTACAACAGGGTAGGGGGAGGGGTTCTTTAGATGAGCACTTCAGGTCTTTTAGCCCAACGCCCCCCCAACAGCAAGTAAATGTACCTGCAGTTCCTCGTCTGATAAGCGGCCTTGACCTTCCTGTTCAGCCTCAATCATCAAGGTCAACAAATCCTTCTCTTGATCATTTGCTGCCAATTTTGAGCCCGAACTATTGGGACCACTACTACTACTTTCAACAAGTGCTTGTCGCTTCTTCTCGGCAATCGAGCTCATCATATTCAGGAAGATCGAGAGCTCGCCGTGTGCCTTGTTACGTTCCGGGATCCAAGTCTTGAATCGCCGTTCGATGGACGGAAACATGAAATAGAATGGCTTCTGAGCCGATTCAACGACACAGTTGTACCGCGTGACCCATTCATTGGTGTCGCGGTCATCCAACGCATGGAACTGAAACCCAAAGGCCGACTCGCCCAACACATCCAACGCCCAGCGCTGACTCATGGCATGGATGTCAACCGGTCCAGTTTCCTGTTCCATGACATCCAGCATTTTTTGAGATAGGCGACCAAAGAGCTGGATGGGCATGCTTCGGTGAAAGGCAGGGTTGATCACCTATGGAAATAAAGTTTAGCTGTTGTTTATACATTGTGGCTTTTGTGTACATGGAGGGCAGGTGACCAACAACAAAAATCAAACCGCTTTTTTGCGGGTGTGTGTGCCAGACTTATGAGGGTTGTCGCTTTTTAATTAAACAGAGGGGTTCTGTCAAGAGGATATTATAACATTTACCTTGCGCTGTTCTTTCCATTGCTCGCCAGCCAAAAAGAGAATGTTTGGACCAAGCAACAGACGTCCGGCCAAAGTGCCTCTTCGAGTATGTATCGAAGTGCTTGACTTGGGAAAAAGGTCTTTGTAAGAGAGTAAAACGTAGTATTATATGAGTATTTCTAGCTAATATTATTGCTGCGCATAATGCGGTTTTTTTTCTTGTTTCGCAGGACAACAACCATTCGTCATTAGGATTTTTTTGACAGCTTCTGGACGCGTAACGTGCACTGTCCAGCCAAGATTGTCGAAGCGCTAAAGAAACTTTCAGTTGTTAGGTAAATACTCTATGGTTACCAGTATAACTCTCTCTCCAAAAAAAAAAAAAAGAGTGATAGCTTGCCACATAGAAACCATGGCTGCCACCTTTGGCAGCAGCTGGGAGGGTAACTTGACGCGCTATTTGATCGATCGGCTTTTGCTTTGCAATCGCTATCAACACGGCGAAAAAGCCGGCCTGGGGGATATGACAAAGTGATGCGGGTGGTTTGGTGATTTTGCTGTACACAAGGCGCAAACCAAAAGCAGCTGTCGCAAGTCGAATCAGCCACCTATGCTCGACCACGATGGCTTTTATCAAATCGAGTGTAGACTGGTTGAATAAAAGTGGCATAAGAGAGTTGAGTAGGGGAGGAAGAAAGGAAATAGTAAAAGGAAGAGAGAGAGAGAGAGAGAGTGTGTGGTGGTGACGACGCATAAAAGTTTCGCTGTTGCTGATCTCTCTTTCATGTTGCACTGCGTAAGGCCTAAGCCAATGTTACATCCAATCGCAGCGGGGCATTGGTTGGGGAGAGGGAAGCGTGGCGTTGAGCAAAAAATAGAAGATGGTCGCAAATTGATTGGGCAATTAATATAAAAAATGTGTGTAAATTTAGAATGTCCTAAAAACAATCCAGCATGAAACTTCTTGAGCCATGGACAACAAACAAGCAAGTGGAGTGCACCCACTCTCGACCAAGGAGTTGAGAGCAACGGCTGCTATGGGGCTAGACAGTAATCCAGCAAGTGAGGGAAGCGATGCCCATGTATGTATGTATGTGTGTGTCTTGCACTATGGAACGAGTGCGTACAGAACAGCAAACAATAAAAAATATCAGTTTGGGAACCCGATTCATAATAAAATGTTCATTTGATTGAATGAAAAGGTTCGTGGATAATAATAACAACAACACTAATAGCACAACCCTTCTTCATACGTCTCTCTTCTTCTTCTTCTTCCTCTTCTTCACCATTACCTTCCTTTTCTTTGCTTTCCTTTCCTTCCTCTCCTTTCCTTCATGCTCTTTGATCGATACCGTAAAGGTAGCGGTGCAGCTGCCAAACACCAACAGCAACACAATACCAATAGCAACAACAACAACAACAACAATAGCAGTAGACCTGAACCACAAAAGACCACCAGCAGCAGCCTCGCCAGCGCCTTTTTCCGTGCTCTGACAAGAAGAGCATGGCACCAACCTGCCCCGCAACAGCAGCAACGTCAGGATTTTGGTGTTGTTGACATTGTCCCTCGCCATTCAGCCTCATTGCCAAACATTGCCCGCTACTCTACTACTACGACAACCAGCTCATCCGTCGTTGTCGTTGCCGCTGCTGCTGCCAACGAACCTCGCTTTCGCCCTCCTGTCTTGTTATTCTCCAACCATGATCGTCCAATCTCAAAACGCCATTCTGCCGGTCAGGCACTAATCAAGGACGCCAAAAAGAAAAAGAAACGACGCCATTCATTCACGTACGGACACCAACCTGTCGGTGTGAAAGTCTCGATTATGCCTCGGCGATCGGTCAGTCATCAACAGCATCACAAGCGGAAGCAAGTCCCACGTGGTGACAGTAATAGCAGTATTAGTACGAGTACCAGTACTACGAGTAGCAGTACTGGTGGTGCTCGCCGAAACAACAGTAGCACTGCTGCTGCTGCTGCTGCTGCCCTTTCCGCAGACCAACTCGCTGCCATGTTGCGAGAAAAGACACAGGACGTAACCCTGATTGACGTGCGCCACCTGTTTGATTATCAAAAACGACGTATCGATGGCTCATTGAACGTCAACTTGCCCTCGTTGCTGATCAAACGGTACCAGCGCGGCACGGTGAGCAATTTTAATTTAGAAAACTTCATCACGACGGCTGAGGGACGGGCACGGTACCGTGCCGGTGCAAAGCCGCGTCAATGGGTTGTGTATGACGACGACATGGTCGATCAGACGTCGCAGGCGTGGACACTGGTGAATGTGCTCGACAGGATCGGAGACGTCTACTATCTCGAGGGCGGGTTCAAGGCATTCCAGTCGGACGAACTGCTCGTGGAAGGGTTTGACGACGACGAACCACAGGAGCATGAGGAAACCCAACCAGAACCGTTGGTGCAGCTACCACGACGGTCGCTTAGTTATACCATGGGCGCAGGCGTCGACAAAAGTCATTTGCATCGTCGTACGAGTCTTTTTAGTCTTGATACACAGGCGGCAAGGGCCAACAATGCAAGTGCGCTGGCTCGCCGAGCAAACAAACGGTCATTGCTATTAGAGCAACACCAACAAGATCATCTTCATCAGCAACTGCAACAGCAACAACTCCTATTACCACAACAACAACATAACCAGCAGCATCTGGATCTGCTGGTGGCACCAAGTGCGACAACATCCACATCATCGTCTTTGACCCGAGTGGTAGAAGACGAGGATGATGATGACGAGGATGATGACGATGACACCGCTGGCGGCATATCGCCTCAAACCGAGGCAGATTTTGAGTTTATTATCTCAGAAATCATCCCGGGCTTTTTGTTTGTTGGCCCAGAGATCGAGACGATCGAACAGGCAGAGCAGCTCGAAGCGCGCAAGATCCGACGAGTCTTGAACATGGCTGAAGAATGCAACGACGACGTTTTGCAAAAGGACATTCTCTATCGCAAGATTGCTGCACGAGACACGGTTGAAATGAAGAACATTGATTGGGTCATGATGGAAGCTGTTTGTTTTATCGGTATGTAATCTCACTACTGGTTATCTAAAAAAAAACACACACACACACACACACACACCGCATTTTTGTTGTTGTTGTTGCTAAACTTTGATGCATGTTGCCGTACATTTTTAAACTACTATTCAGAGGATGCAAAGCGCCACCACGAACCGATCTACGTCCACTGCAAGGCAGGCAAGTCGCGCTCGGTCACGGCCATCCTCGCCTACCTCGTCTGCTCCGAACGCTGGACGCTCAAGCAGGCGTATCGGCATGTCATCAAGGCCCGTCCAAACATGTCACCCAACATTGGCTTTATTGCCGAGCTCATGAAGATGGAAGGGCGCGTGCACGGTCGTGTCAGCAGTTTCATGGAGACAGATTGGCAATCGACCTCGCTGCCAAGCCCTGAATTTACGCGGGAGTTGAAGCAACTGGAACGAGCATGGCAACAGACTCCTCGTGATTCTGTGCCATCCGTTGCATTAAGATGAGCCGTTTCATATCATCATCGTCATCATCGTCATCGTCATTTCCACTAACGAACCCTTTCTCTCTCTCTCTCTTTTGCTCGCACAACCTTACACAAACCACCAACACCCCCATATTTTGCATTCAGCTCTCGATTTTGCCCCTGTTGAAGGGGGTTAGAGAAGAAAAAAAAAAGACTATACACAGACACACCTACTACTATTACTACTACTGCTACCACTACACCCTCGTGTATATACTCTAATACCACCACTACTACCATTATAACACACACACGCACGCAAAGCAATCGACATCGACATCTTCATCATTATCTTCTTTCGCTATTACTTGTTTGTCTCTCTTTTTTTCTTTATACTTTAATAAATGTTCTTGAGTTCTTTTTTTTCCTTTTGAGTTGTGATTTACTGTTGTGGTGCTGCATCGGCTTCTGCTTCTGGTCTGTCGGCTGTTGATGACTGGGTGTTCTCTGCAGCAGACGTTTGCTGTTTGTCTTCTACATAAGAGAGAGAGAGTGTGTGTGTTACACATAATGAGTACTACTACTACTACTACTACTACTACTATCTCACTCTAACACCCCCTCCTCCCCTCTCTCTCTCTACACACACACAAAAAAAAAAAGGGTTGCTGGCGTGCTTACCATCCTGCATATCGCTCATCCACAGTGTCAAGTTATCTCTCAGCAGCTGCATGATCAGCGTAGAGTCCTTGTAAGACTCTTCACTGAGCGTGTCGAGCTCGGCAATGGCGTCATCAAAGGCCTGTTTTGCCAACTGACACGCCTTGGAGGGCGAGGACTTGATTTCATAGTAAAACACCGAGTAGTTCAAGGCCAAGCCAAGACGAATAGGATGCGTGGGAGGCAGCTCTGTCACTGCCACATTAAAGGCCTCGTCGTAGGCTTCGCCGGACTTTTCAGCCGCATTTTCCTTGTCAGACCCGACCAAAAACTCAGCAAGGTAGCGCAAGTAGTCGCCCTTCATCTTGAGGTAGAACACCTTGGACTCGCCCGTCGATGCCGACTTGACCAGATGCTCGTCAAGCACCTTGAGAATGTCGTTGCACACGTCCTTGAGCTCGTCTTCGATCTTTGTTCGGTAGCCCTGGATCTTTTCCACATGATCCTTGTTGCCCTTGCCCTTTTCCTTTTCTTCGATGGAGGATACGATCCGCCAGGACGCACGACGGGCCCCGATCGAGTTTTTGTACGCCACGCTCAACAGGTTGCGTTCTTCTACAGACAGCTCTTGGCCTGATGCTGCTACTTGCTTCATATTGTCCACCATTTCTGTGTGTCATTATTCACCGTAGTAAAGAAATGGGTAAGGGGGCAAAAAAAAGCCATGACGATTATATATAAGTTCTCCGTTTTTGCTTTTGCTTTGTCTTCCTCTCGGGTGACTCATGCTTTACCTTCGTATCGCTCAGCTTGTTCAGCGAGCTTGGCCAAGTAGACATAGTCGTCGCGTGAGGTCATTGTAGTTTGTGAGATTGAGGGTATTAGCGTGTGTGTGTGTGTGTGTGTGTTTAGTGAGAAGAAGGGGAGAAAGATGGAAAAAGAAAGAGAGAGAGAGAAAAAAAAAGAGAGAGAGAGACACACGGGGTTGTTGCGCCCGAATTGAATTTTTTTTTTTATTTGCTTTGGAGACACGGCACACACACACACACAAAGACACAAAGGCTCGGAAGGGGCATCCCGAGGGGGTGGAACGGGGGGCTGCGGGAGTCTATGTGGCATGTTACGAGTTATATACGAGCAGTGTGATTGTATTTAGGGTTTAGGTGGATCCAATAGACTTTTGATCACCACTCAACAGGCGATAGAACTCAGTGTGCGACTGCTCCATTTCAAACAGCATCTGACGCGCCTGTTCTTCCGTGATCTCGTCGCTTGCCTTCATGGCGTTCAGTGTAATGAGCCACTGCCGCACCTTGGATCTGCCGTCAAAGTCCGCAGGAAGTCCAGGAACATTGTTCAGCGACTGGATCAAGTCGGCCAGGATGGGATGCAGCTCGTCCACAGCGTGTCGGTTCAGTCGCAGTGTGTCCATCACCGTAATAAAGTGCTATCATCATCATTCATATAAAGCAGCCGCACCACCCCCCCTCTTTTCTTTTAGTAATATGCCCCTCTACAGCAAGTCCTTTCTATATAGATACCATCAACGGCAGTAGTAGTCATACGAAAAGAAAACCGCTTACCAGCACAGTTTCGGCAATGTACTTTGCAGACTTGCCCATGTCCTGCTTCGTGTCGCCCACAGCGTGTTCGTACGTGGCTGGTACTCCAATCTTGAATCGATTCACGGCGGCTGGGCACGTTAGCTAAACAAACCAAAACCCCGTAAATCCACCACCCCCCCAAAAAAAAAGCATTAGAGTCGGGCTTTTTCTTGGCTCCTGCCCTTGGCTGTGCTCCCAAAAAAAAGAACCCAAAGAGAAAAAGAAACCTTGTAGTCGTTCATGAAGGTTTCAAGATTGGTCACGCTTTCTGATAAGAATGTCATTGTTGTCTTGTATTTGGCAATCAAGTTAGCACACTGGGGCGTATATCTGCCATGATCGTTTTATATATATGATATAATGTATGTATATGTACGTGCGTCAGAATAAAAAGAAGGAGGGGTGGGTGGGGGGTTATAAACCATCATAGACACGCGTTCACCCTGCTGCTGCTGCTGCTGCTGATGCCCTCCCCGAAATACCCACTCTCTCTCCCCCACCCCTTAATGTGTACGTGTACGCTGCGTATGGGAGCGCATATATTTTTTTTAAGGAAAAAACCAAAACAACCCTTACTCTTCGGCTGTGATGGAGTCACGTATGAATGCTTTTTCAAGATGCTCCATAAGAACAATAATGGCAAACAGGTCTGCCATATTGTCGTATTTGTCTCGATCTTTGTTATTTTTGAATAACCGTACTTCCTAACAAATGCTGCCATTTTAGAATTGTGCTCTTTAATCCCTTGTGTGTGGCATTCGTCATTCAATTACCTCATCTAGGTTAATCGCTACAATTATTAACACTTGAAGTCAATATAACTTTGTCATCTGATAATGTTTTTTCCTACTGAACAACTGAATGTTTAGTTTACTTGGGTAGTAGTTGGGAGCATATCTCGGTACGTGGTTGTGTGCGCTTGCCGATTCCATGATTTTTTTTTGTGTGTTTCTGAGAGAAAAAAGAGAGTAGTTGCTTTTTTTTTATGTTGTGCGATATTGCGAGTGAAAAATAATAATAATAAAAAAAAATGTTATAGAAAATGATACAAAAAGGGCCGCTTTGAGAATGAGATGGTGTTGTAGAGTGTGTGAAGTTTTGAGAGAGAAATGTAGGTAGCTGTATGATTAATAAAAAACAAAGAAGAAAAAAACAAAAAATTATGCACTATTGACGTATTCCAAGGCCTTTTCCTTGACTCGATCAGCATCCTCTTCAGTGCCATGCTCATTTTCATATTGCAGCCACTTTTTGAAGAAGAACTTCATCTTTTTGGAGGAGATTTTCATGGCAGTGACACGTTCAAAGAGACGTCTAAACACACATGGGAGGAGAAAGACAATGTTTAGAACCTCTCTCTCTCTCTTTTTTTTGCTCTCACTATCGCATAGAACCGCAAAAGCAACTTACCGGATAGATTCCTGATCGCCAGCCTTGATTTCCATATCCAAATACACGCTCCACAAATCAATGCGTTTCGGGTGGTTGCTCAACAATCCTTCAAAGATCGTCCGTCCACGCTCAGGCTCACCATGCTTGAATTCGAGCTGTGCAAACTTGCTGATCGTCTCGGTGTGTGCAAACGTGGGCAGCACCTTCAAACTGCGCTGTAATAACGCGCGTGCTCCCTCGACATTGTCCTGCTTGAGATAAAACAGGCCAAACTGTGTCCACACCTTGGGGTTCTGTGAGAACTGCTTGGTGATCTCCTGCCACAACGCCTCGGCCTTTTCGACCTTGTTGCTTCGCTCATAAATGTTGGCGAGCTGGAGATATACTTTTTCGGCTTCGCAGTAGACACACGCGCGCTTAAAGATGGCTTCCAACGTTTCGTCCGTGCCGTAGCTGTTCTCCAGGTTGAGCATCGCGACCCACACGTTGAGCTTTTCTTGCTCTTCGCGAAAGTTAATGGTCGTCAGTGCGCGCTCGCCAATGTCGCGTGCCTTGTCGATCTCGGACAATTGGAGCTGGTGTGCCATGTAGTTGATCCACAAGTAGGAAGAGTTGGGTGAGCCCACAATCAATCGCTCATAGTCGGCCGCGCCTTGTGGTGCGCTGGTCGAGAGCTCGGCGGTCTTGTCTTCGACTTGCTGCTGCTTGGCCTTGCTCTTTTTGCTCTTGCTGGTCTCTTCTTCCTCGTCTGAAGAGGCTTCTTCTTCGTCCTCTTGGTTGGTATCATCAGGTACTTGACCCGTCCAGTCAAAGCCGCCATTGAGTTTCAGTGCGTCCACTTGTTGTTCTTCGTCGTCAACGTCTGATTCGTCGTCAGATTCTTCGTCTGATTTTTGAGCCGATTCAAGCATATCTTCATCGATATCCTTGACATCCAACATTTCTTCGTCCGAGTCTTGTTCTTCTTTGTCACCTTCCTCATCCTCGCTTTCATCTTCTTCATCAGAGGAGGACGAAGAAGCATCTTCCATTTCATCATCGCTATCATCAGCCCGGGTGGTCTTCTTCTTCTTGGGTGCTGGCAATCCTTCGACAAGACTCTTCTTCAAGGTAGCTTCTACCTGCTTGTTCTCCACATCGACATGCAGAATCTTGCACTTGACAAGTTGACCAACCTTGAAAACGCCCTTCCATTCCTTGACAAACTCGTCAGAGACATGGGCGATCTTGACGCGTGCATTGACCTTGCGGCCCAAGCCGACAAACACACCGGTGTTGGCAATATTGTCAATGTAGCCAGAGAGGACCTGACCGGCCTCCAAATCTGCCACAGAGTTAATTTCCTTGTTGTTGTTGTCTTGTTCCGACGACTCCACTGGATCCACACGGCATCGACGCAGTGACAATTCGACGCGCTTCTTGTCCTTGTCGACACCGGCAACAGCATAGCGTACCAACATGCCTTCCTTGAACGACTCTGTTGGGTTCTCGGTGTATTGATCGAGCAAATCGCTACGGTGGACACGACCATTGACACCAGGGCAGAGCTGGACAACGAGACCATAGGCGCGCATGATCTTTTGCACCAAACCAATACCAACAAGACCTTCTTGGACGGACTCGATGCCATGGATACGAGGAACCTTGTCGTCCTGAGCAATCAATTCAATCACGTGGTGCTCTTCATCCTTGGACAACACCTCCAGAGGGATCGCCTCACCGACAACGAATTCATGGTTTTGGCAGTAGTCCAGATCGGTAGACAAGAGCTGCTTGCGGACTTGACCCGTGATATTTGAGCCCAAGTACACGTCAATGCGACGTTTTTCAACAGACTTGACAAAACCAACCACCTTATCGCCCACGTTCAAATCCTTTTGCTCCAACACCTTGGCATCCTTGTTCAACGAGCACTCGACGATGCTCTTGGTTTGACCCGTATGCGAAATTGGCAAAAACTTGTGCGTTTTGGCATCGCGCGAGCCAATGACCTTGACTTGGATTTCTTGGCCCTTTTTGAAAGCCTTTGACAAAGGCTTGCGGCGATTCTTGATTGCGTCGATCGAGCTGAACGCTTCGCTGATATGGACACGACCCTCACGTTGTCCGTTGCTGAGCTCAATGTTGAGTTGAAGAGGTTTGACATCCTTGATGACAGCAGAGATGGTCTCGCCAACAGCAAATTTGGCTTCTTGGGCCGCCTTTTTGGCCTTCTTTTCCTCGCGCTTGGCTTGCGTGGCCTTGGTAAGCGAAAGCAACAGGACCTTGTCCTCCTTGTCAAGCTTCATCACAGTCGCCTTGACCGTCTGGCCGATGCGGAACACAGAGGCGAGGTTGGCGACCTTGGTCTCAGTCATGTGGCTAGCAGGCACGAAGCCAGTGATGTTGTTGTAGAAGCGAACAACAGCACCCTTGTCACGAATGCTGGTAATGGTACCATGGCTCATGAGGCCTTCTTCAAGCGACTCCCAGTCCTTGATCACAGCAAGTGGCGATTCCAGCAGACTTCGCTTCAGTGTAAGAAACACACGACGCTTGCCAATGTCGACAGAGAGTACGCGTGCACGGACCTTGCTGTCCTTCTTGAACTTGATTTCTGGATGGGTCAACTTGACATCGGCCATATGCATCGTAGGCACGAGTGCTTGAATCGTAGACGAGAGACGCACAATCACGCCCGCATGGCAAACATTCACCACTGTTCCTTCCACGTCTTCGCCCACGGGCACGTCACCCACACGCATATATTCGTCAGCCAATGTGCTTTCCTTGGTCGTGAGCAGCAACACGGCATCCAACGAATTGTAGCTCAATACACGCGCGCGATGCGTGCTTCCAACGCCAAAGGTGTCATCGTTCTTGGTCAACTTTTCGACACGCCCGTCGGCCAAGTTGCTGATATGCACAAACCCACGCACATTGTCCAAATCCTTGACAGAGACAAAGACACCCTTTTTGCCAACAACACGGGTAATAGTGACTTGTTCCAACAGGGTGCCATAGGTGCGCACGCTTTCGGTCAAATCTTGAGGTGTGTTGAGACGGATCAGATGGGGCAACAGCGTACCGGCAATACGTTTGGGTTCGGTGTCAAAGATGCAATACAAGATACGGAATTCAATGTTCTGGCCAACCTTGTAGGTCTCATCGAGGGGCAAGTGGACCGCATCGATAGACGCATCGTAAAGGCCCATGAATTTGACGCTCAGTCCATTCTCTTGGACAGATTGTACAGTGCCCTTGACCAACAGACCAGGAACAACAGCATCCACCGTCGCTGATGGTTCGTTCACAACGCCCTTTGCTACCTTGTCATGGTCCAATGTTACCTTGACCGTACGCTTCTTCTTTGCATTTTCCAAAGCAACACACTGTACTATCTGACCAGGCACAAGTGGGTTTCCGTTGTTGTAATCTTCAATGTATTTCTTTGCATCTGCAGTCTTGCAGAATCCTGTCAACTCTTTGATGCCAAACGAAAGAACGTAGCCATGATCTTCAGCGCTTTGAACATATGCTGATAAGGCCTATCATCATCAAAAGAAAAAATAAGCATTTACTAAACAATTCCCCCCTCCCCGTTTTTTTTCCCCCATTTGTTAACGTACCACACCAGGAGCTACATCCACCTTGGGCACGTTGCGATTGACAGCCTCAGGACGCAAGGTAAGTTCGATCGAGCTCTTCTTTTTCGTCTCGCTGCGCTCTTTTGCTGACGATACACGACATGGCACGTATTGCCCAACTTTAAAAATGTCGTTGAGGTCGGGAATGCCGCGCTGTTCTTCGTCGTCGTCTTCGTCGTCGTCTTCATCCTCTTGTTGATTCGCTACACGTTCAACAGCTGCTGTCAAAGGATCCGAAATTTCGGTGATGGGTACAACGCCGTGCAGTTGATAGGGGAGCGAGACGACAAGTTCCAGTTCGTTGATTTGTGAAATACATCCAAGGAGTACCGTATCCTGCGTCAATTGCTAAAACATAGGGCATAGAAAGTTTTTCATTAAAGACTCAACTTAGTGTGGCATAAATATTTAATCTTACCTTGAATGTCAAATCGTAAATGGCATGTGAAGCTGATTTATCTGCTTGAGTGGTAGATTCCTTTGTTGTTGGCTTTTTGCTCTTTTTCGACGACGACGACGACTTTTTGCTACTACTGGTATCTGCTTTTAAACGCTTCTTTGCGGGTTCATCGCTATTACCACCCTTACGCTAAAATGGAGGCCAAAAAAAAAAATAATTCACCATTCGTTCGCTGTTTGTCAATAGCTGGCTGGGGGGGGGGGTGTTCTCAATGGCTTCTTACCGTGAATAAGTCTTTGGCAGCCTTGAGTGAGATCTCTTTATGTTCAAGCGGCGTCAAGACACTTGCACCACCTCGAGGGAAACTCGTTTCTTCTTGTCGAAGGGCACCCACCACTGCGGTCGATCCCGACTGTTTGGTCACTGTTTCGTCTGCTGTCGATTTCTCGGACGACTTTCTCTTTTTTGCAACCATGACCCCCGAAATTATATTGGTTTAAAAGAAAAAAAGGTTGCTTTAGTTGGGTTGCTCAAAGAGAGTTTAAAGAAAAAAAAAAGTTACGCTTTCTGCATTTCTCTTTGTGGCTTTGACCGTCGGAGTGTCAAGCCTATTTTATGCTTTTTGGCAGTAGAGAGGTAGAGTGTCAAGCAAACAAGAGTAAGCATGTGTTGTTGGCTGTAATAGTGAGTGACATATAGAGACAGTGATAGTATTAGCAGCACTTGCCGAAATCAGGTAACCCAAAATCAAAAAGTGGGTGCTACATAGTAGTATCATTCATACCAAAAGACATAAAGTGGATTTTAATAAACCATTCATGGGCGATTACAGAGAACTGTTGTTCGGCCAGATTGGGGGATCCTGCAAGTAATGACATCAGAAATAGTTACATATATAGAGCGGCACATGGAGGGGGAACAATAAGGTTCAATTAGTAATGTACCGGAATATCATTTAGTCGGATGTCGTCGTCGTCGTCGTCGATAATACTTTGGCTGGGTGTGTGTGGTGCCCCGCAACCTGTGGGTGATAAAGAATGGGGTGACAAAATCATCGGCCAAAGGAGGAGTATATTTTTTTTTTTTTCCAACCTTGTTGACAGGCCACCAAAATAAAAGGCGCGGTGGGCACACACACACACACACACACACAAATGAAGAAATTACCGACTCGTCCCATCCAATCACAGAAATATGTATTACCTAAGTTCCATTGTTACACACAGCCTGAGCGCGGGGTGTGCAACTTTTTGCCCCCTCCCGAATTCTTCCTCTTATTTCACATGATCCTTACGCTGGGAACCGAGACGAAAAAAGGAAAAAAAAAACAGACCCTGTTATACATATACATAGAGGTCGGTGTATCCTGCTTGTAAGTTTATGTAGCGCGCGCGTAAATAATAACACCCGTTTTTGGTATATATAGTCAAAAGTATCTAAGAGTTAAAGGCGAATAATAACAGTAGTAGTGTACATATGTATAAAAGAGAATAAGAGGAAGTTGGAAATGAATGACTGGAGAGAGAGAGAGAGGGAAGGGAATGAGGGGTACATATAATATCTACACATCCACAACACGTTGGACTCTATTGCAATCTGGAAAGTGTTCACCGCGATACTTGATGAGATATTCGCCATTGTCTTTCCATGTCACCGTCTTATTCACAGGGCAGCCCTAGCGTTTCGTTATAATAACAAATAACAGCAGCATACCAACGAGGTAATAGTAAGTACTAAAGTAAAAAAACTTCCAGGCTACCTGAAAAAATGGTGCAAGTCATCATTACCTTTGCGCTGTTGGAGCATTTGTAGTAAACACTCTTGTTGCCGGTCTTTTTCTGGATCGTGTTTCCATTGTTCTTCCAAAAGTAGCCGTCGACGTAGGGGTATTCTTTTGTTTCAACAATCTTGGTGATCGCCTGCATTTCACGTCGTCGTCGAGGTCGATGCGGGAAATATGGATCATAGCGTTGAATCGGTGGTGATGGGAATGTTGTCGTCGTCGTTGGTTCGACAAAGGGGGATGTCTTGTAGGATGGCATTGGGAAAGATACGGGAGAAAACACTTCGTCTTCGGAATGATAAGAGGGCGATTCACGATGGAGTGGTATACTCGTTGGATGTGGATTATGGTGGTGTACTGCGGTGGCATTGTCGAGGATAGCGTCCAGGCTAGTTCGACGTTGTTGTTGTTGTTGTTGAAAGTCATTATGGTGATGATGATGATGATGATGATGCTCTTGTTGTTGTTGTGGTTGTTGTGGCTGTTGAATATGTAATGCAGTGGAAGTAGTAGTAGTGGTAGTGGTGGGTGTAGTGCTTGTGGTGGCGATGGAATGGGTCGAGGATGAAGTGGGTGTCATAGGTGGAGGAGGAGGAGGAGGAGGAGGAAGAGACGGGGTCGGCTGTGATGGTTCCATATTGACAACGATGCGTTGCTGTTGCTGCTGTTGAAGGATCAGTAGATCGAGCTCTTTGGCCCTTAGTTTGGCTTCTTCTGCCCGTCGTTTATCTTCTTCAACTTTGCTCTGTAAGATCAGTCGCAGTAGCTCTGGTTGTGATTGGTAATAGAAAATGACGTCCTGGAGATCACAATTGGCAGGATCAGCAGAGTCTTCTTTGCGTTGCTGCTGCTGCTGTTGCTGCTGCAACGGATGTGGATGATGTGATTGTTGTTGTTGCTGTTGTTGTTGTGGAGGTAAGGAATGAAAAGGCACCTGCTCATGATGATAAAGAGGTACCGATTTGAGCTCTCTATAGTCGTTCATGTCAAAAATATTATCAACAAAAAAAAAAAAAAAAAGAAGGGAAAGAAGAAGAAACCTTGAATTTTCCCGTTTTCTTCTTATATTCGCAAAAAAATAGAGGTGGGATTCCGCGGTAATGGAATAAAAATCCAGCAAATGAGCGGACGCCTGTCTCCACCCCTCCCCCACATCTCTCCTCCACACAATTCAGCCACTTTTTCAAATCCCGGTCCCTGTGAAAAAAAAATTCACACCCATATTATTATTTTTTTTTTTTGTCCGACGAACCCGCAAAGGAACATGGAGAGAGAGGGACGATCAAAAAGCAGGGTCTTTTGGGCAAACGTGGGTGCCACCTGACCTGGACGTTTGCCCAATTCTCAGGCTGATGGTCCTTTGATAACGGCCGAAAGAGAGCGAGAGAGAGAGAGAAAGAGCTGGTGTATAGACAACAAATCAAGTATTCCCCACTTTTTTTACTATTACTAGAATTAATTGAAAGACTTTGAACCGTCCCTCATTCCGTATCGTGCCGAGGGGGGGGGGTGGTGTGGGCGGGATTCCCCACTACCTACAAAGTTCAACTCCCCGGTCCCAAATGTGTTTTGTTCAATTGCACCGTGCGTACTTGGTAATATACCTAGCTAGCTATTAGCAGCAACAGCAGCAAGAACAACGTGGAGTACACCTGACCCGCGCATCTTTTTTTTACATGAAATGTTCTCAGGCCTGTCTGGTGCCGTTGATCTCCACAAAATAAAAAAAGAAAAGAGCGCGCTTTGTTACACACACACACACACACCGTTCGATACTCACGCTTACAGTGCTAAACATACTACTCCACCAGTATTAAGCGGACTATTCGTACCACAGCCATTTGTAAAGGCAAAAGCCCTCTCTTCATCATATGTATATATACACCCTGCAAAATGAAATAGATTCAAACAAGTATGTATGATCAAGAAAGAGAGTAGACAACCCTGACCATGTGGCTATGTGCTCATCATAAATTGAGGGGAGACTACACAGACTCTTCCTGGTACAATATCGTACGACATGTGTTGCACGACCCATACACGCATAGATGCACAGTTTATTCCTCATCATGAATGTACTCTTTGCACAGCCATTTCCTATGACAGAAGCCAATCTATCATGCTACGAGTTTTTAATATGGATCAAAGTTTTTATTAATGCTTAAAATTACTGTCGCTTGCTAGGAACCTACTATCTATCGATGTAGTGTTGCTCTCTCTCTCTCTCTCCATGTCAATGTTCTAAATGCTACTTTTTGTATCACACCCGAAAGATCCTGACGATGCAAAAGGAGAATAATCGATAAAGCAATAGGTTTCGCACCAAAAAAGGTATACCGTCGAAACTTTGCCTTTTCATTCTACTGTATAGCAATGGCAATCGTAGCACATCGCGCCCAAGAGCATCCCCCCCGTTCAGCGTACTACTACTGTTTATAATCAAACTGTTCACAAGTTGGAAAATCAGAGCGTCTATCCAATGCATCCAGCTGGGTGGGTGGGGCAGAATGTGTCGGTAAGCCGGGTAAAACTGGAAAACAGAAGGACCAGCAGCTTTCCAAAGTGACACGTACTCTAATCCTTTTTCTATCTCGTTAGTGAGAAGGAGCGGGAGAGGGGTACGGGGGAAAGTAATGGTGGAGGTGGAGAGCGGGCAAGCTATCAACATCATTTAATATATATTTTTTAAAGAGGGTCGATCCCCCATACCCATCACTCACTAGAATTAAAATACGACAGGTGGCACCAACAGTAGTAGTAGTAGCAAAAAACCACGTTGGATGTTTCTCATGGCTTATGTTATAACCTCAAACCACAATGAATCATATCAGCCACGCTATAGTAAAAAAAGAAGAAACATGGAAAAGATTCTTAGGAATCCCACATCAAGTTGTACGTTGTGTGTACACAACAAAAGAAAGAAAGTTTCCCGGTTGTTCGTGGTTCTGTACATTTGGATGACAGAAATAAAATATGGGGTGTGCTGTGTGAGAACAAAGAGGGCAACAAGTCCATCTTGTGCAACCACCCGCAGTCTTCCCCGGATCATAGCGTCATTATTATTGGATGATTAAAGAGTTAGAGGGTAGAGAGAGGGGGTGGGTTCTGGGTATAGAGAGAGAGAGAGAGAGAGAGAAAGAGAGAGGGAGGGTATATAGGATCGCCCTGGGTCCATCCATTTGGAATCATAGTAGCACATCTTCACCTTTCCAGATCTTGACATAGCACACTTCTACAGCGAGATTGAAGCCTGCTAATGTATCAATCCAAGCCTTTTGCGTTTCCGACAGTTTGTCTCCAGGGCCTTTGACTGTCAACAACAATGTATCCGATGGTTAGCATGTTTAGGGGTAATGATGTGTTGCAAAAATAAAACAAATGAACCCTTACCTTCAACAAATAAGCATTTCTTTCCTTCGTAGTCCCAGCAGCTGGTATTAGGACAGTTAAAATCAAGAAAAAACAAATCGCACGCGCGCGGGATCTTAAGAAACATATCAATTTACCACAAATCAGGCATGCCACCGCGGCGTTGTCCAAATTCTTCTGCCAATAGCCGACACAAGGATGAAAGTGCCATTGCACCCATACACTAAAATCACATTCACCAAATCGATAAGCAAATCCTAATAAAGTCATGGTGCGTGTGTTGCTTTACCTCTGCTAACTGCAATAGTTCTTCCAGCGTATAATCCCAGTGCACACCGACACATACAGTCTGTCGTGGTCGTTCACGTTCATCTACTCGAGTAATCAACTCTAGGAATTTCCCTTGCTCTATGTCCGCGATCCTGCCGTTGATCATACCAACGCGCCCTACAAGTAAGGTTCATTTTTTTTTGGTACACATAGCGTGTGAGTGTGTGTTCCTTGTTGTTGCATATACACATAGATAGACGCATTTAAATTGTACAACCATGCCAAGACTGTATAACTTTTTACCAGCATAAAAGGAATCAGAACCCATATCCAGCGGCGCAGTTTGGTAGGGTGTTTCAAACACGCCATCCCTAGGCGCAAACACAATGTCCCAAAACAGTAGCATGAAAAGCATCGAAAGCATGCCGTTCTCTGTGTGGTGCCCTTGGGTATAGCCTTGCTTCTTGTAATAGTCGAGCGCCAGCGCTTCAACCGAACATTCTGCACCATCGTCCGCTCGCCATACTGATTTGAACCCTGTCACCGCGTCTGAGATCCGTTCGCCATAAATAATTCGCTCTTCCGGCTTTCGCAGTTTCAGGTATGAAAAGTCCAATTGTTCGCGTTTGGGTATCGCAAGATCACGTTCCAGTCTATGGATACGTCGATGCAGTCTGTGAAGATCGACTATCATCATCCTCAATTCAGTAACTTTGTATCAAGTCGACATGGAATAAAAAAAAAAGGGGGGGTGGGGAGAGAATATATAATTTACTGGAATGCACCGTTGGATCCTGGACGCCTTCAATACACGTTGCCAACGCTTGCTTTTTCGCCTTGCGATCCACGTTTTTCATTTGCACCAGCGCTAGACGGTCGTACCAATAGCCCCGCTTAGCAAGTCTGTACACTTTCTGATCCAGCAGTTTGCGTAACATGATGCCTTCTAATTCATATTCATGGAGTTTCGCAAGAACGTGTGTTCCATGGTCCAAGAGTCGCGTGTACACACGGCATGCTTCGAATTGTCGCAAGGCATAGCATCGTGTCTCGTCCCTTGTTTTCAGCATATCCTCCCATACACCGATGCAATTCTCGCAAAGCTCCCAGCATGCAAGCATGTCGCCTACGACGACTCGACTTGCCGTTGAACATGTTAAACTTTGCTCTTCAAATTGCCGCTCAATTTGCAAAGCCTGCTCGTATGCTAAAAAGTCATCCCGTGACGGCCAGACGTTTGTGGTACGACATGTCACATACTCGGGATAGTTGCGTCGGCTGATACGTGCTAATATGGCAGCCACCATGGGGTTATCTTGTTCGAGAACCGTGAGACGGTAGTAGATTAAATGGACTCGATGGAATAGCGCGTGTACGTGCTCATCGAGTAAGATGCAAGAACCAACACGGCGACGGATTTCGGCAGCATTGTATTGCGTCTTGATGGCTGCAAGATAGCCGGCTCTCTAGTTTCCCAATTTTCTGTGAGTGTCTCCAAATTTCCCCAGTATGTCACACAAGAGAGAGTAGGATGCGTCAAAGGAATTCTTACGTTGGTTGCCCTGCAGGGCGCAATTAGTTTCAGTTCCTCAACCGACAAGAGCTCCAACGCGTCGTCCACTGGAATTTCGTGTGTCGCAAGGAGACCGTGCTCACGTAGCTGTCGTCCAGCAACATCGAAATCGCGTACATGCTTATTGTTCGCTTTGAGCTTATCGAGTCGTACCCATCGTCTCTTTCTTCGCATCCACAGTCGAACAAAGAGATGCTTCGCTTCGCCTACATACATTTTTTTTTTTTCGGTCATCCAAAATTTGTTCCTTTAAAAACAGGGCGGTACCTGTTTAGGTTCACCTGAAACAAAAACAAAATAAAATACCGTCTAATTTGTGTTGATACGCGTGGAATACGGCCAGTTCACTAGGCGTGAATAAAAACTGTTCTCCGTCTAGTACAGTGGCAAGCATCGTGTTGAATTCGTCCGTGTACATTGAGCTTTCATAGATCGTTTCGTCTTTTTCTGGTCCTTTGTCATTATTTTCTCTGGCGTTCGTGTCAACGACTGGCAATGGTGATCGATCGGCAGTGAATGGTGGATCGTGGTTCTGGTTTTCTTTTTCGCTCTCCCCGTTGTTAGGGTCAAGTTGTTCTTGTTTGGCTTTGGGCAGAGTAAAAAAGAAATCAAGCTTCTTTTGCTCTGGATGAGGGATGGTTTTTATTTTTTTCTTGATGGATCGTTTCGTTGTGGGGTTGTCACTGTTGCTGCGCTTTGTTTCCATGGTTTGGTTAGAAAAGGAAAGAGAAAGTGGCTGCTCCGACTCTTCTTTTTTTCGCCTGCGTAGCACAGAGATATGGAAAGGATGACAGCGGAGTCCAGCCTGTTACTGACCATGTACTGTACGTACAGAGTAAGCTGATGGTGGATTGTTTCGGTCAATGTTTATTTGTAAGTAGTGGTAGTTTACATGTTCGAAATATATTAAAAAAGTGATGATGATGATGATGGTGATGATGATTCTTTCTTTTTTACTGCATATCCACGTCTTCCTCTTCACCCAACTCGGCCTTGATCCTCTCGCCAAATGTCTCGACGCAAGCAACTTTACGTTCATGAACCTCATCCAAATCGTTCAGATAGTCTTCGTAATTTTGTACAGTTGTCGCAAGCTCGTCACAGTCTTGTTCATCATCTTCGTTAAAGTCATGGCGACTGGATATGTTGAGCGACAGCTTGGATATCATCTTTTTCTCCAGCTTTATACACTCTTCGATTTCTTTAAGCTGTGCTCGATGCAGCTTGATGAAATCCCGAATGTGTTTGACCGATATTTGAGGCGTATCGGACGGTGTTGCAGATGGAGACTTTGGCATAGAATTGGGTCCACGGTTGGCGATGACTGCTGTTCTTGAAGAACCTGGATTGGACATACGAGGTGTGGAATGGAAAGGATCCTCTATAGGTGTGCTAAACACTTCTTCGGGTGGTGACGAGAGTCGTCGAAGATACTGCTGTTGTCTTTGTGGTGAGTCCGCATTGTCCTCATCATCAACGTCATCAGGGTGGTGGTGCGCTTGTGGCGTAGCCAATGCATTGTTGCTCATCTGGCTTGGGATATCGATATCGAACAGGTTTTCTGTTTGTTCCTCATCATACATTTCATCTGAGTTTGCAATGCTGGCTAATTCGTCCCTATGCTCACTCGTATCCAATCCACCCATGCTGGCATTGGTGTCGTTTCTGGCCGTAACAAGTCCGACAGACTCTTGCTGTTGCTCTGCTAAAAGTCGCGGATCTGATTCTCCTTTGAGCTCTTTGACTCTATCGATAATTAATTTTTTTAAACGCGGGTAAGTTGACATGCACCTTGTTTTCTTGATGAAATAATGGCGCGCGCTCCCATTTACCTATCCGCATAACGTAATGTATTCAAAGTATGCTCACTGTTTGGATTGTTTGGCGATATCGTGGCAATCATACATGTTCTTGAATTTCCAACGAAAGAATCTCGGAGTACCTTTAAAAATGCAAACAAACGAGAAAAAACTTAATGTTATAAGAGCACATATATACGCTAATTTTGCGACTGTACCTGTGTCAGTTTGCTTCCGCGGAAAGGCGTGTGTCGCTGATCCTGATCTAATGCACGAATACACTCCTTGAGCGCGAGTAAGCTCTTATTGATCTCTGCGCCTTCCATTCTAAATATAAAGCATTAGAACAAATTGACGATTATTTGTAAACGACCGTTACCTTGTTTTTTGGTTCGCTTCACCACGGTCTGCTCCTCGTTCACTACCAGCCAAGTCAATGAAGCTCAATTTGCCATGGATGGAACCATCTTCCTTCTTTATGAGCACTTGCAGTACAGCATGTGACCGCGATGAATTGTTATTCGCACCAGTTCGTCCTATACAAAAAAAAGAGCAATTGTTAGTCTTGGGATGTACAATCTACTTCTTACTACTGACGTTTACGAATAGAGTATATTGTATTGGCTCTCTCTGGGCATACCTGTTGTTCGTGCTTGGCTTCCAACATCAAATACTTCCATTAATCGGCTGACGTCTTTGATAGGAAACTCTTTAAGGCCGGCAATAATGACGTTACTATTTCCATCATCGCGGGGTACAAGCTTGTTGCGCTGGTTCAGCAGGTCGTATAAATGCCCTTGATAGATTTCATAAAAACCCACCCAGGCAGACAAGTGGGCATATTGGGGTAGGCCGAGCATAGCAAAAATATCGTGAGCCGCTCGTACATACAGACCGTGCTGAGGATCCAGCATCGTATATGTTTTTCCTGAACCAGTTTGGCCACTATATAGGATCGTATTACAGCAGGCAAGTTAATGTTACGTATCCTCACACTTTTTTAATTCGATAATAAGGTGTAACTTTAAAAAAAGGGGTCAAGCGTTCAGAAACTTACTATGCAAAGCATGTTGCTTTACCACCTGAAAACATGTACTCGACGAGCGGTAAAGCTGTCCGGCGATATATCTATACGAATCATTCGTCTCTTTTTAATCAGTTCTTTTTTTTTCTCGAGTCACAATATTATCAAGAGCAGGTGCGTACATTGAGATTGCCTGTGTTACTGTCAAATACATCGTCAAACGTAAAAGAGTGTTGTTCGGTGAATCGTGTGAGATCCACTTTTGTTCTAAAATTGTATTTAGCATTGGTAAACCCAAAGATCATCATCACCTACACAAAATATGCGCAGTAACTTGAAATTCACTTACTTTGGTGCGTTGACTTGTATTGTTCGTGCACCAACAACAGGTGCCACATCTGTATCACCGAGCATAGTTTCTTTTTTGCTTAAAGGCCGTTTACGGACACATACACGTATACGCTGATGTAAATCACTTGAAGTTGTTGTGCTTGTTATCGTGGATTGGTGGTGGTGGTGGTGTTGTTGTACTGGTGATCGTGATTCAATATATTCTTCATACGAAATAAGTGGGCCTGGCACTTCTGCGCTCAATCGTCGCTTCGATGGCCCAACAGGTATACCATATGCATTCAGCAATCGTCCCGATTTCTGAACTTGTGGCAAATCTTCCTCCACTTTCACCTCGACACCCAAGTCTTCCAGATACTTGGGCATCTTGGGCGGCGTTTTGCTGTGATTTACGCGTGACGGACTCACTGTTGTCGCTGCTGTCACCGACATATTTGCTGCTGTTGTCGCTCGTCCATTGCGAATGGGTGACCGATTGGATGGTAACGCAGGCTGGCGTGAATAGTAGGATAACCTCCGTGGAGCAACGGTGCTTGTGCGTACGGTGGATGATGCTTTTGGTGAAGTACTCGTGCGTGGTAATGTCTGCTGAGCCAAAGTCATTCGTCTAGCATGTTTTTCTGGTGGCGTTTTATCGGTTGTGGACGTACGTTTGCGAGACTGTTGTGGCGATCTGGCCGTTGATGTAGTGCTCGTGTTGGAAGATTTCGCTCGCATTTGTTGTTTCAAGTCGTCCGCTAGCGCCATAAACTTCCGTTTGTCGTCGATAGAACGGACACCTACTTTTGTGCAATCTTGCATAGACAACTGTAACAAGATCATGTACGCTGTGAGTAGATGTCTACCTTTACTAATGTGTTTTAAAACACTAAATGATAGATCAAATCTCACCTCTGCCAAGCTGTGAAGTGTCGACATGCCGTGAGAGTATAAACTTTTGAAAATTATCGTGGGGAAATTAATGACTGTGTGTGTTGCTATTCAAGTGTGGTCTAGTAATTAGCTAAAAGACAACTGTACCTAGGATAATACTGCAAGAAGAAAAGACACTGAATTAGGTACGGCGTTCCATGACGAGCTTAACAGCAAGAATTATTGGTCAGGCCCTTTTTTTCATTACCTGTTGTAAATTGTATTTCTTCAAAGCATCAAGAAATAGTGTACTACTCATCGAACTGGCTTTTATTATTGCGTTTTCGAAAAGGACAAAGGAAAAAAGAAACGAGTGAGTTGAAAGGGGGGAGGGGGAAAAGCGCGTAATTCCTGCTGCTGTGCTGAAAGAGAAAAAAACCAAGCTACACTACGCGAGTCACGCGCTTTGGTCCAGTTGTTGCAACTTTTCTTCCAATTTTCTGACGCGCTCTTCGAGTTTATCAACGTGCTCCTTTGTCGATCGATCGGGCGCGCTGCTTCTTGACTGATACAATTCGTACAATTTGCGATCCAACCAGGATTGATCGTCTTTAGAGTACAAGTAACGCGATCCTTCAACATCGTTATAAATGTGTCTGGCTTCCAATGCCACAAGTCCATCGACTGCTACCGTGCGTACCGTGAGATTGGGGTCGCGTAACAACTTGGCTGTTACACATGGATGTAAAATTGATAAATGTGAGAGGGTTTTCGTTAAATAAAAATAAAAACAGTTTCAGCTATCTTGCTAACTTTACCAAACGTTTCCACAGCAAGTCTTTGGAGTTGTTTCTCTTGCCATTCGGCAGAGTACTTGAGACCCTCCAATGCTTGCGCACGAGCGCGCATGGGTTCGATGTTGTAACCAACGCGGCTGATGAGGTACTTGAAGCCTTCTTCGCTACGATGATAACCAAGTGCTGGATAGCCCCCCCCAAGGTAAACGAATATCAGTCAATTGAAAACGACGCATTGAATGGCCTGATGATGTATTTCACGTAGTGTGGTTCTTCAACCGAAGAAAGTACCTTTCAGTGCACCTGCACGAATCAGACCGTGCTGACCAATCTTGGCGTCATCTTGAGCAACACGTAAAAGGTACTGCAGATCTGCATCGTTTTGTTGGACTGCCAGTGCTACTAAAGCAGCGGCATGCGCCCTATAAATGATTAGCACAAAAAAGTTAGCACTGTTATTTTCATAGACCACGAATGATGGGGTTATATGGAAGACATGTATTATCAGCAACGTGTCTCTTACCTGTAAGGCAGTTGGTCTGCGCGTGATAAGACATCCAAGATTGCTTCTCTTAGAGTATCATCTTGGATTTGGCATGCCGTTATGACCGTAGACATTGCAAGCGGTTCGGTTTCTTTTTTGACCATCGAAGCGAGAATCTTGAGTGCAAATCCGCTTTTTTGTTTAGCTAATAACGCCGAAACTATTGATTTTCCACATATGTTTAATAAACATGACACTCTTTTTGAAGATATATCTCTTGAATCTCGATCTTTTACTGGGGGTACGTACCTTGAGCACGAACACCATAGAATTGCTCTTGCAGAATATGATCTTGAATAAACTTGAGCGCAGAGTACGATCCGTTCTTGATCAGCTCGTTATATGCCCAGATACGAGAAGGCACGTCTTCAGCTTGAGTAGCAGTGTTTTCCAAAACGCGTTGATCAGTTGACATATCCAATGTGTGAAGTACACGGAAATGCGGATCTACACGCACCATCGACGGAAGTGTGCCCTTATCGCAAAGTACAAACGTCGTCACCCTAGTCGCATCGCGGTCGAATTTGATTGTATTCTCGTACTTGTTTCCCTTGTCGTCCGTCAACTCAATGTCAAGATCAAATGAAAACAGAGGAACATCGCCATCCACTTGAGTTTGCGTGATGGACACCTCCACTAAACCACGGCTCAAATCGTGATTAAAGTTTCCCTTGAGCATAGGATAACCTTTTGAGTACAGCCATTCATCGAAAAAGCGTGTTAGATTGAGTCCAGATGCCCATTCCAAAGATGCTTGAAAGTCGCTCGTTTGCACGGTTTTGGTTGAAAACTTTTCAACATAGTGTTTGACACCAGCCCAAAAAGCTTCATCACCAAGAATTGCGCGTAGCATGTGGATGCGCCATGCACCACCTGGATATGTGTGAGAGTCAAACATATCCCACGACGAATCGTACATGCGCGTAACAATAGGACGCTACAACCGTCATGATTATTAGTTAAAAGGCAAGAAAGCAAACGTTTTCATGATTACATAAATTAATACTACTTACCATGTAATCTTTGTTGCATTCCTTCATATAACCGTGAGCATTTGTAAGCATCTCAAAACGGAAATCGTCCTCAGAGAGATTATCTTGTAACCAGCCTGCATGCAGAATTGTTTTTCTTTGTTATTTGCTTGTTCCCTTTTTCTTTTGCACATATGTTTCTCACGGTTATTGCTGTTTTCATATTTTGATAATACTCACAGGACTCCATATAGGTGGCCCAACTCTCCTACATATGATACCAGTGCTCCAAGTCATCAGTTACTAGTTTCTGCCCCTCTCGTCTCTGCTCACGCAAATTTCAGTAATTGAAGGGTGTTATTATTGCAAACCTTCAACCAAGCATGTTCAAAGTGACGTATGACTAATAGATCGCCGAAATAAGTGTGTGCTAGCAAAAGAAACAACAATATAAGTTTGGTATAATATTTGTCAGGAAAGTGCAGATGTAATACGTTGACGCGTAAAGATATACCCATTTCATGCACGTTCACAATGTCCACGATATACTGGCGCTCCTTGGCATTGATCTTGTCTAAAACTAGCATGTCCGTCCAAGTAACCTACAGATATGCCATTACTACCCCTCCAATCCCCCTCCTTGCTCCACAAAATCAGCCCGTTGTAATATATTTAACAAATTGATATTTACCAACGAAATGTTCTCCATGGCACCTCGAATAGCAGGCAAAGCGATCTGATAATACTTTGGCCACGGGACTACGATTGACCAATGAGTCAAAACTTTAGTGGCACAATAATCCTCTGGCCGGTTGTTTGTTCCTTTCTATGTAGTATAGCAGCTTACATGGTACGCCAACCTTAGCTTCGAGCCACTTGATCATATCAGGCGTTTTACCAAACGAGCGCTCAAGATCATCCGATGCGTAACCGCGCGCTGTGTAGTACTAAAAGTCATTGTGAGGTTACACTTGTTTACAGCAGAGACAATTTATGGACCTTACTTTAACAGGCTTTCCATCGACTTGGCCAGCGTCCACCGAAACGAAATCCCCCACAGCGAAGCATACAAGATACGACGGGCTGGTGTTTTAGATATGAGCTTCATTTTATCATGTTGATAACCCGATCTGAGAACATATCTCCTTTCTCTTTTCCTCTCTCTCTCTCTCTCGATCTCTCTCTCGATCTCGAAAATTGAAGAAAAGTAATGACTGGATTGTATTACCAAGGGTAATCGAGCTTCCAACGTGTTGTTGTATATCCATTTTCTGTTTGCTCAGAGATCAAGGCACCGTTTGCCAAAGACGTATATTGGGATGGCGCAGAAATTGCCCACGTCAGCGTCGTCCGAGCCGTCGGAAAATCGATCGTGGGCAACCAATAACGTGCCCTTTTTTTTTGAACACGGGAACCATCATATAACATAGTACAGAGGAAGAATCAGTTTTTTGAAAGAATACAACACTGTATTACGTGTACGTGCCCTCATGCTATTGTTTGTGTATATATTTATATACGGGTAAATATTTGCTAATAACCTACTTTTCTGTTTCATGATCGGTGATCGCCCAACAGCACTCCTTGTCGTTCATAAGTGAGTCTTCATTTTGAAAATACAGGCCGGCAATCGGATGTTCTACTTTGTAGCTCACAGTGACGTTGCGCTGGGTGTTTTTTTCAAATGGTTCAGGCCAGTGCAATTGGATCCGATGACCATCATAACTATGGGATGCACCTTCGACGTGCAGCTGCTCGAACCCTTCAGCGTTCAGGGTGACAGACGATAGTTCTTCTCTATCTCTAATAAGCGCCTGGCCTCCATATCCAAACGTAATTGTTACGGTGGCTGTAAGGCGCTTGTCATGCAGATCATTGAGCTTGAGCTGTATATCTATTTATTTTTTTTGATTTGGTGTTTTAGTCCTGAGGCCTTGATCGAAGAGTGATGCCGTGGAGCAAAGAATGCTGAAATGCTAGAAAGAGAAACAAGGTTCCCATTTTTTTTACAATATTAACATACCTAGATGCTTTGGCTCAATTACAGTGTTTGGTGCATACTGGTTTACTGCGTTTGCCGAAGCGAAATAAGAGGTTGCACTTTTACAGCAAAGGAGATTGGGCATGCTTTCAGACAAGAGAGAAAGAGCCAGAAGTCGGCATGAAATCTCGGAGAGAAACGTCGTTTTTACCTGTTGTTCGTCGCCCAGCCACGTGCCCTCATCGCCCCGATTACTCCTCTTCAGAGTCCAATAAAGTCACACGTCACTGCATTTCCGTACACTTTGCAAAAAGCGAACATTCGGGAAGTCGCATGCATGCATGCTTTCAGGGCCATTACTTTGGATGTATGTACTGCATGATGCGTCGAAGAATTACATACCAAAAAACTGCAATTCGCTACTGTGACCTGGTTTACATACTGTAAGCTGTTTCAAGTTTCTGTAGAACAAAACCGGTGTCTCGGTATTGTGGTGCAACCAGTAAATAAGATAGTGTACATATCGTTAGGGATCATAAATAATCCAGGAGCCGGAACTGTTATGTTTCCAAATCACATTTTAAAACTTTATGGGAAAATGTAGAACTCGGGTAACAAACAGTACGAGGCATCATATTGACAATAAGAGCCAGTATTCAGGAAGAACCTGTAAACAGGAGACAACTATAATGCAGGTGGTGCATGCTGCCGGATGCAGATCATGAATCAAGGTTATGGTTCTTTTTTTCACATAAAATAGATTTACAAATCCACTCATTTGTAGCAATCAGTCAAGGTTGTGTTACTACAGTCGACAAACAGACGAACTTCTTCACAACGTGTAAATGAGAAGCGCTTTCAGTAGCTTTCATCTATCTTGAAACCACGGTCACAATGTTATCATTGGAAACGACAGGAACGTCATTTAAAACAAATGCTTCACTTTCCTTTACTAGAGTCGATTATACTATCAAATAGCAAAATACGAAAGCGGACAGAATTGCTTTATGCAGTACTACTGACTTGCTGATTATTAGCTCCACGACAGATGGCGGACGTTATATTATGCTAACTGATCGGTTTGCTGTTCAAAATAATAAAATTGAAACAAAGCTGGGGCAGGGAAAATAGAGAGTATCAAAGAACCATTATTCGAGTCGCAATGATTAACGAGAGAAAGCTTATAAAATCTATCAAGCAGCCAAGTCCCATGCAGGTTGTGGAAAGGTGCTCTTACCTGACAACACAAGGGATAAAAAAAAACCACCTACTTGAATGAATGTAGTTCAAAATGACATACTGTTTGCCGAGTGGACTCGGTAGGTGGTCTTGATATATGTTATTAATAGTTGATAATGTCACCTGTGGCCTCATTTTGCTTACAGATTGCCGTAAGCGTCTTGCATTAAAGGACCTGTAGATATCAACTGAGTCTACGCATCCCAAGATATAGGGTGGTTGTCATTGGCTGGATTCCAAATGTTTTGCTTCTGTTCTGTTGCCAGGAACCGACAGACCCTTGAACAGGTACTTCCTGGTATAATATGCTTTCACGCACGATCTCAAGGTGTTCGCGACCGGCCATTCGGGCTGCCATATTCACCACTAGTATGTTTTTGCTCCATTACGGCGTACTGTATGTGTAGACATTTCGAGGGGTTTTTTTAGCGTTAAAGTAAATGACTTTTTTCATTTTTAAGAACCTCCCACTACCGCTCTTCGATCACTTCATGTCAATCGATCACTTTTTTGTGCACAAACCGAGAATGCCAACGGTAACGAGTTCACCTCCACTGCGCTCTCTTTTAAAGCCAAAAAATATCTACAGGGTTTGATGTATCCTGAATCTGGATTGACCCGAAACCCCTCACAACCACCTCCTTAGACTTGGCTCAACTGAGCGATCTAGATCATCGAGCCATTGGCAAGGCGCAATCGCTTTTCATGATCCACCCCTGTAGTCCAGGATCCATATTTATGCTCCCACACGGTACCCGCATTGTCCGAAAACTGCAAGACTTCTTGCGCGACGAATATACACGTTATGGCTACGAAGAGGTCATGACGCCGATTATTTACAAGAAAGACCTGTGGGAGACAAGTGGCCACTGGCAAAACTATAAAGAGGATATGTTTATGGTACACAGCGGACGCGAGTCAGCAGAAGAAGCGGGCGAGGACGACAGTTTATATGGCTTGAAGCCCATGAATTGCCCTGGTCATTGTTTAATCTTTGACAGCACCCCCAAATCGTACCGAGATTTGCCAATCCGATTGGCTGACTTCAGTCCTTTGCACAGGTAAATTTGAATGCAATTCATCTTCTCTTTCTATGATACAGTATGCTTAATTATGTACAACACCAGAAATGAAGCATCTGGAGCACTTTCAGGTTTGACACGCGTACGGCGCTTTCATCAAGATGATGCCCATATCTTCTGCGCTGAGAATCAGATCTCACCCGAGATTGCAGCATGTCTATCGTTTGTGGACCGTGTCTACACCGCATTCAAGTTCCCCCACTATGAGTTGACGCTGTCAACTCGTCCCGAGGCTAACTATATCGGCAGTGTCGAGGAATGGGACCACGCAGAAGACTCATTAAAAGAAGCACTCAGCGGTACGGGACGACCTTGGTCTGTCAAAGAAGGAGACGGTGCTTTCTATGGACCTAAGATAGATATTATGGTCAAGGACTCGAGCGGTCGGTCACATCAAACAGCAACAATTCAATTGGATTTTCAACTGCCACGACGTTTCGGATTAAAATATGTTGACGAAAACGACCAACCACGCACGCCTGTCATCGTCCACCGTGCTATCCTGGGATCGATTGAACGAATGATGGCTATTCTAATTGAGCATACTGGCGGAAAGTGGCCTTTCTGGTTGAGCCCGCGACAAGGAGTTGTGATACCCGTGGCAACACAGTTTGCAGACTATGCAGAAAAGGTTGCCAAGGAACTGTCACAGGGTAGCAACAACAGCAATGCTGCGGGGGATAGCAGCACATCAGCGCCAGGACAGTATTATGTGGATGTGGATCGGTCACCTCGAGACAGACTCAACAAGATGATCCGACAGGCACAGCTAGAGCGATATAACTTTATCTTTGTGGTTGGCCAAAAGGAAGTGGATGCCGGTACAGTCAATGTGCGCACCCGGAGTGGCAAGATTCTGGGAAGCATGCCAGTGGAAGAAGTGCGAAGCATGTTTGCTGAGCTTACTGAAAAATTAGAATAAATGTTTGTTACATGCCAAGCTTTATTAGGCAGTTTTGGCATGCGTATTTCATCGGGAATCGAGACTTGCCCAATCGTCTTCACCCAATATACGTCTCGAAAAGAGTTCCTGCAAAATTAGCCTGGTTTTTCCTCTCTCTCTCTCCCCCCCCAACAACCCTTCCTTCCCCCCTCACCACTCTTTTTTCTTTCCTTCTATCTTTCCAAATGTCATACCTCTCCGCCGAAAAGGCAGAATCAGAGCTCACACAGAGCATCAAGAAAGCGACGAGCATTGAGGAAACTGCACCAAAGCAAAAGCATGTTCGAAGTAAGCTAGAGCAATTCTGAAAAAAAAGAAACCAGGGTTATGTGCGTTTCTGAATATTATACAAGGTGTGCCTGACACTTTCATCTCGTCAACTAGAGTGCATTGTGTATACATGGGATCATCGTACCTCGGCAGTCGTATGGAACGTTATCAAGGTGCAGCCATTGCTTTCGGACGAAGTTCAAACTTTCAAAGCGCTCATTACTGTCCACAGGATCATCCACGATGGCCATCCCAACGTAATTGTTCTTTCAATCAATATTAATTTTGCTTCTACCGGGGCTTATATTGATAGGGGAGGGGTAAAAAAATATATAGGTTATCAAGGATGCGCTTCGCGAGACAGGCTGGCTCGAGGCGTGTACTCGTAGCGTCATGGCCGACGGTGTACGTGGATATGGCACGTTGATCCGCAACTACGTCGATTTGTTATTGCACAAGCTTTCGTACCATCGTAATCATCCCGAGTTCAACGGCAGCTTTGGCTATGAAGAGTACATTAGTTTGAAGAACATTGACGATCCAAACGAAGGGTATGTTTCTCGGTTTCTTGGTGTAAAGCTTGTGTACAACATTGGCTTTACATTTTTTCTCTGGGTTTCTATAGGTTCGAGACGATCAACGACTTGATGCAGTTGCAAGATCATATCGACCGGTTCCAGAAGGTCGTGTTCAACAGCTTCCGCACGGCTACCAACAATGAATGCCGCATTGCATCTTTGGTCCCTCTTGTTGAAGAAAGCTACGGTATTTACACCTTTATCACTAGCATGTTACGCGCCATGCATAAACGTAAGTACCGAGAATAATGTATGCATATATAAATCCAAGGCGATGGAATTGTGTTGGAAAATTAAACTATAAAAATGGGTATAGGAACGGGTGCCACGGATGCTTTAGCGCCACTGCGTCAGCGTTACAACGGTCAACACTACAATTTGCTCAAGTTCTACTACGAATGCTCAAACCTGAAATATCTCACGAGCTTAATCGATGTACCTAAACTTCCTAACGACCCACCATCTTTGATTGAAGCAAGTACACCCAAGCTTCCCAAGCGACCTTCGCCCGTTGAAACGACTGCTCCATCTCAACCATCACCAGAACCTGTCATTGATTTCTGGTCCGAACAGCAAGCGAAGCAACAACGCGAATATGAAGAAGAGCAAAAGCGACTGGAACAGCAACGTGCTGACGAACAAGAACGTATGCGACAGATGCAAATGCAGCAACAGCGCGATTTTGAGGAACAACAACGGTTACTGGCCGAGCGTGAGCGACAACAGCAAGAGGAATTATTGCGTCAGCAGATGCAAAATCACCAAGCAGGCAGAATTAACGACCTGGAAATGCAGTTATTGAACTATCGTAACCAGCTGGAACGTGATCAGATGCTTTTGGAACAATATGATCGAGTAAGCTTGCATAAAAAACACCTTACTAAAGAAGTGCAATTTAAGATACAAATGGATAAGCTAATGGTTTTGTTTGTGGTATGGCTATATAGCGAGTGAAGGCTTTGGAACAGGAACTGGTGCAAGTGAATGCACACGTTCAACAGCGAGATGCATCCAAGGATGAACTGATCCGATCGTTACAAAGTAAGAGGAAACGAGGAAAAAGAAAAGATTTCTTCTACGCATGATGGTTAACACGAGGGTATTTCAGATGAAATTCAAATGTGGAAGAACAAGTACGAAGCCCTCGCAAAATTGTACAGTCAGCTTCGTAAGGAGCACATTGATCTTTTGAACAAGTACAAGCAACTTCAAGTCAAGGCCAATTCAGCACAGGAAGCCAATGAGAAATTAGAACGCATGCAAGCCGATATGCGTGCCAAGAACGTAGAATTGGCAGATCTGATCCGTGAACGTGATCGAGCACGCAACGAACTGGCAAGACTTCAAGGAGTAAGTAAATTGCAATTCTTGGCGGCTTGGTGTTTCACTCAATAACTAAAATATTTAATTATTATTTTCAAGAATCAACGTGATGATGTCGAACGTCTTCAACGTGAATTGGATGATGCACGAAACCAAGCTCAGAACGCTGGGAAATCCAAGGGTGCCGAAGTCAGTGCTTTATTGACCAAGTTTAACCGTGAGAAGGCTGAATTAGAAGCAAGTTTGACCGAGAAACAAGCAATTATCGATGAATTTTTGAGGCAAATGGAGGATCAGCAAGGTGATGCTGATCGTGTTCGTCAGGTAATTTTCTGGAAATAACAGTGATTAAAATGCGAAATAGCTTATCGATCGTATCTGTACACCTTTGTTATAATCTAGGAAAAAGACGAAGAGATCGCTGTCTTGCAGGCTGGTATGGATGAGGTCTTGGCACAACTTGCCGAATTACAAGGAGTAAGTAGTTTTATTTATACACAAGGGAAGGTTTGAAAGGCTAAATATTCATGTTATTTTGTAGAACGACAGACAAGCAGATTTGCAAGAAGAACTCGATCGCCTGGAAGCACAACAGGCCGATAAGCTCAACCAGATTTTGGATAGCATCTTGACAACGTGTGTGCAGAAGGTCAACGATGGCGTGTACGAACTTGAGAACCCTGGCAATCACGGCAACGAGAACGCGACACCCGAACTAACTCTCTCTATGATTGAGCGAGCGAGTATCATGTCTGTCGAGTTCATGTCTGCGTTCAGCAAATTCTTGGACGGCAGCAACTCTGGTGATCACACTGTTACCATTACCCGAGCTCTTGAATTTGCCGAAACTATCATTGACGTTCTTTTACACGCTAAGGGTATCACTCGCCTTGTTCTGAACGACGCAGATATTGACGAGATCATCAAGATGGCACGCCAGTCTGCCGAATCTGTCATTCAATACTTTAGCAGTGTCATGTCGAGCTATCTCAAAATGCTCCCACTGGCACAGCGACCCGAGGTCCTTATCCAAGGCGACATGCGTGTGCAAGAAGCACTTACCAAACTGTCGCAAAAGACTGAAGACCTGATTCTAACTGGCGCTACTGACATTAACAAGCTGGCTGAAACCGAAATTGGCGATCTGGTCGAACAAGAAATGTCCAATGCTGCACGGGCTATTGAAGAAGCTACTGCTAAGATCCAGGCATTGATGCAACGACCCAGCAACCCAGAATTCTCGGCCACCGATCTGCAGGTGCACAAGCTCCTCCTGAACTCTGTTTTGGCATTGACCAATGCTATTGCCAATTTGATCAAATGCGCCACCGCCTCTCAGCAAGAAATTGTTGCCCAGGGCCGCGGTACCTCATCCAAGGCCGCATTCTACAAGAAGCATAACCGCTGGACCGAGGGTTTGATTTCCGCCGCCAAGGCCGTCGCTGTGGCCACTAATCTGTTGGTGGAAGCTGCTGATGGTGTTATCAGCAAAACGCATTCGTTGGAACAATTGATTGTTGCGTCCAATGAAGTCAGCGCTGCCACAGCTCAGTTGGTCGCTGCCTCGCGCGTCAAGTCGACGTTCATGTCGCGTACTCAGGAACGTCTGGAAATGGCGGCCAAGGCAGTCAAGGATGCTGCTGCTGAGCTTGTCAAGCAGGTTCGCAACCTGGTGGCTCAAAAGGCCGAGAGCGACGGTTTGGATATTGACTTTAACAAGCTGTCAGTACACGAGTTCAAGCGAAGAGAAATGGAACAGCAAGTCAAGATTTTAAAACTGGATGCCGAATTGACAAATGCACGCCGTATTTTGGCAGAAATGCGCCGTAGTGGATACCATACCGGTAAGTTATAATTTTCAGCACAGTTTTGCCGCATCGCAGCAATCAAATTAATAAGATCGTTCTATTCAATCTCGCTACAGAGGAAACCGATTAAAACACACACATTCATACAACGATAATAAAAAGAAAGGCATCACGTTTATTTTAGCTACTAGATTATATAAAATAGTTTCGCACCCTTTTTACTACACTATGTAGTTAATGTTTATTGACACCAACAATGATTGACAGATAGCAGATTTGGAGCAGCATTTTGTTTTAGATGGACGATCTTGATCTGCTTCAAGCTGCTTGATAGGGATGCGGCTCCGTCTGCTCATATGTGCATGGTCTTCTTCTCTTACTGAAAAGCATACATGAATCACACATCTGTCTTTTATCATTGTCGGCAGGAGCATTCCTAATAAATAAGAAACAGGGCCATTGCTTATGTAACTTTTCGCTGCCGAACTCGGCTTAATTATATTCACCGTCCCAAATAAGTGAGCTCTTGATTGTCTCAAATATAGGCCAAGTGCTAATTAAGTAATGATTGAACTCAATTTGAGCAGTCAGAGGTGTTAAGATTTCTGTACACAATTTTATCGTCGATCTCTCATGAAGGGAAAATCAACTGACAGAATTGTTTGCCACATGATACAGCAGTTATAATCAAAGTATCTCTTGATTTTTTGTCAAATAAAAAATTTAAAATATAGACGAACATGTGCTTTTGAAAACGGTATTTTTATTGATAATGCATGGATGTCATAATAGGTGCTTTGACTACTCTGCTAAGGGCTGCTACCCGAGATTTTTGTTATGGATGCTTCGACGAAAAACTGGATTAATTCGTTCAAGAAGAAAACAAGTACATTGAAGTTCCCTATCCACACAGAACATATGCAACATTGTGAGAGTCAGCTTTGTAGGTACTACCAGTTGTAAGTTTATAGAAGCTCATTTTCATATTGGCATACCAATGCTCTCTACGTTCGCCAAAGTCAACTCTTCCAGTATCAGAGTTGTGTAGAACGTCCAGTTCATCATGAACTGTTCTGCAGAGAATCGAAAACGTCTGACATCATTTGCCTAAGTTTTGTCATAAAGAAGTATATTACTTTAATGATCATTTACTCGTACTTAGTATCACAACAAAATCGATGATGACGCAGTCTAGCAAAGACTTACAAGTGATGGTAAGAGCAGACTCAAATAATGCTCAATTACGGATTCCATCTGAGTAATCCACAGCATAAATTCAACTCTGCCACATAATAGATCGCCAATGTTGTCGACCACTGAAAGATGCACGTTACTCATTATCATTAGCTTCATGGGAAAAAAAGTCATAATTTTTATCGTACAGCAAAGTTACGGAGGATACTTACTTATACGCTTGATTTTCTTACCATCCGCAACACAGCACTCTTCGCGTGGTAAGCGCGACGCATGATCAATGGCAAAAGCTATGTCAACGCCTTCCCAATTCGTCCGCAAGGCATTCAAAACATCTGGTCGGTATATCAAGGTAGCAACAGATTCTGCCAAGCGAATAAGTCTAATATGTCGCCATGATTTAGACACAAAGGCGCGGGCCACTATAGTACGAGGAACATCATGAGAAGTAGTATACTTAATACAATATTGCTTGTTGTCAGTATCAAAAGAGCAAAACATTATTAAAAAAAAGTAATGTATACCCTGCACTTTTTTTTCGAATAGCTTAATAGGATATCCTTCCAACCCCTTCTTCAGATAGTTCTCAAGCTGGTGTGTGTACTCTTCTACTGCTGCAAGCAATTCATTGTTCGTAGGAGAGCAGGACATAATGGACAACATGCTCACTTTGATGGTCTAATAATAAACAATATGTTAGCAGATATGAGTATTTTCGTATGTTAGGTTTAATTTCACCAGATGCATGCAGCAGTCAATACATATTAAAGTATAAGCATACCTCATAGAGTGAAGTGTCACACTGGCAAATTGGTTCGATTATCTCTTGCAACTGCTCATGAATCAAATTTGGAAACTTCTCGGGAAGTCGATGCCGATAAAATACAACGATACAGCTCTCTATCTACATGATAAAGTATGTAATATGTACGAGCAGTACACCATGTATGAGGACAAACGTTCTACTGCTACTACTATCAATTATTAACCAAGAAAAAGGTTATGAAACAAAGCCTTACATAATCAAGTCGTCTCGCTTGAATTAGTTCCAAGACTTCGTTGCAATGATCCTTGTAGAAGCTCAAGAAATCACTCATTGCATTTTGCTGCGTAAGGGAGTTTGATGAAGGAAATCGAGTGTCAATTGCAGATGCTTGCGGGTTGGTGTCACTAATAGACCGCTGGACAAGGAATTGCTCGTTTGGGACCTGTGCGGTCGCTGATGCTGATGATGCTCTTTCCCTTGTATAACTGCTCATAGCAGAATCTCTCTGATTGTTTCTGTTGTTTCCAAAGATCATTGACAAGGGCTTTGCTGATAACAACGTCGATGATGATGATAAAAGATTTTAATGCTTTCTAGCGATGTATTCCTGACGATATTCTGTTGCTGGCTCTAAAGGAATAAAACGCAAAAGGAAAGAAAAGAGGAAGGGGAAAAACAAAAGATTGTATATATATATAGAGTCGACCTGCAGCTGTCGTCACTGTGGTAATTGTGCTGGTGCTGACCATCGACGGATCGGATACGTGACAACAATGTCTCTTCCTCATTTTTAAAAGATGTTAGAGAGACCATGGAAGTGATAGCAGACGACGGCGTTCCAACAGATGACAAACAACGATAACGACGAGCGACGTTGAAGTGAGAATGCATCCTGAGATGAAGGCTTAGCAAAACTGTCTGGGAACTCTTTACGGATCAGAGGACCGAAACTGTTTTTTGCAACTGCCGTAACATTTGTCGACAGACACGATGAATGATACTCCCGGTACGTTTTAGAAAACAACAACTTGCTATCTGGAATGGTATTATCAGATTTATTTCTCACCGGCAGCCATCGCTATTCGTAAAGTGCTACTACTGCTTATATGTGTTATACAGTTTTGTATATTCATGCATAGATTTCTAGAGGGTCTTGATGTATAAACCAATTTCGAGTAAATGCGATATCCGTTGACGTTATTATACGTCTTGCATTAAATATACTGGCACTGTTGGTGGTCATTATGATGGTGGCATTGACAGATAAAGAGAGAAAAGCAAGGTAGTAGATTGATCGAGAGTAAAAAAGTGTTAATTCAAATTACTTGTATGTCAAGTTGTCAGAAAGAAGTATTGTGAACGCAATCATCGTGTCATCTATCAATTATACTTAAGTCAGTTCCTTGACCCATTTTGCATAAGGAAACTTTTATGTCTTTTAGACAGACCCTGCGACTGTAGTGGTCAATGTTAGATTTAGCGGGAAATTGCTAGTTGGTATGTGAAATTTTGTTAAACAAAGACGCCGTTTATAATTATTACGAGTCAGTGTGTCAAGTGTCAGCGTCAAAGCAAGTGCTACCACGAGTAATGACCACTGTTCCACTGATGAGATTCCCAAGCCTAATGCAACCGCCATATTCGGGACGGCTTTAAGTCGCTTGTGGAGGCACTCAAACGACAATTACACCGACTAGGGAACTGACACCTGAAAACGCTCTACTCCGACCACAAGTGACATTGATTGGCTGAACGAGCGAGCCATATGTGTAGTAGTGCGAGTAGTCCAATGACAAGCCTTCCCAATTCAAACGGCGTTCTTATTTTTCCTTATCTTGGCAAGAAGAAAAAAGTATTACCCTAGTGATTTACCTTATTTGGGATTTTCAACATATAATAAGCGGTAGGAATACGGTCAGTTTCGTCTGCGTAATATCCTGTTTTAGAAGCTTATCGTCTTGGTAGCAAAAACTGATAAATTCTATGTAGCTAAATCTGATGCAGTTCAATCATTAATAAAAAGATAAGCAAAGTAAGCGCTCATTGTTATGACCCTGGACTACAAAATTAGAAAACACAGCAGGCCCCATCCGATCCGATCGCACAGAAAGAGATTGAGTTCAAAACGTTTCGCACGGCTCCGAAAATGGTCAATTTGCATTCGAAAAGGACAAGAACAGGTGACACACTACGTTTGTTTAAATTTCATATTGGGAAATTTGTTCGTTTTGAGATACGTGATGTCGCGTTATCTCCTCTATGTCAAGAAGAAGGTATTAATAGACTGCAGACGTGCATAAGCTGCATCAACCCGATTGCAATGCATAGCATGAGGGCCTTGCGTATCTTTTGCTGGGTGGCTGGGCTGGGTTTTCCTTCGTTGTGTCTAAAGTGGTCGGCAACGGAAAAAAAAAGAAAGACTGAAGATCGCTTGTTTTTTGTATTTTCTTTTTTCCTTCTTTCTCTTCCGCTTCCCCAATCTTCTTCCCGCGTATTTCCATACATACCCTCATCTCTATTACATGTCCGAGAAAATAAGCCGCCTCGAAGAGGGCGCAAAGGAGCAATACTACAATGAAACGGGTATGACTCACGGCAGCGAGAAGCTTGACGAATACGACCCAACATGCATGTCCCAACAGAGCGCCGTCGACCCAGAGACAACGTTCCAAGGAACAAAGCGAGGTCTAAACGCACGTCATATCCAAATGATCTCGTTAGGTGGCGCCATTGGGTAAGTGTATCTCGTGGTTGACTGGACGTTATTTTAACAATAAGCGACAGACGATACCTTAATTTCTCGGTTGACAAGCAAACAAATTGACGCACCTTGTAATATATCTTTCTTATAGTACGGGTCTGTTTCTGAGTTCCGGACAGAATATTGCGACGGTGAGGAATAACAACTTATACGAAACGACGACAGTTAGACTTTCTGTATATTTATATATCGACAATTCCGATGTGTTCGATTAATAGGCTGGACCTGGTGGTGCATTGATCGCTTATTGTGTTATTGGTTTTATGGTAAGCAGAATCAATGGAAAGTAAAGTAGTCTCCAGGGCCTCATGTATATATTCTCTTTGACCGGATATAGGTTTACTGTATTATGACATGTTTGGGAGAGATGGCAACGTTTATGCCAGGTAAAACAGCAAACAACAGCACGGACCGACTCATTGCTCGAATATCGCATAAGCTAGACGTAACTAACATTTTACATTTTTTTCCCTCTCACTCCAAAATAAAGTGTCCGGATCTTTTAATCATTACGCAACTCGCTTCATCGACCCTTCATTGGGATTCGCTTTAGGCTGGAACTATTGGTAAGTATCACTATTATCTTGGTTAGTAAAGTTTCTTTTTCTCACAGATTTCAATGTGTATCTCATAGGTTTTCAGTAAGTATTCAGATTGTAAACTATCATGCATGCCCATGCACATGTGTAAAATGCATGCAGCTCCTTCTATTTTCTATGAAGAAGCTTACTTATCACCTTTCCTTTTTTGCTACTCTGCAATGACCCCTGGGTCCACAGTGGGTATGTATGTTTTCTATTTCGATACTGCAACTATGATATATTTTACTGAACACATAATCACCCACTTGTGTGTTATATATTCGATTTTGCTGCGTTGCAGGCGGTTACAATTGCTACAGGTTCGTCGATGTTTCGAGCTTACGAACAACGCATATGTCCCATGTGACTCTGGGTTTAGTCTCTCATTCCTTTCTTTTTTTCTTTCGTAACAGAACTTTCTGCTGCTGCAACCATTATTAACTGGTGGAAGCCAGTAATGCCAGACGCTGCATGGTCTGCTATTTTCTTGGTTCTTATCATTGCCATTAACTTAGTTGGAGTTCGGTAAGATTGCCCAGCAAACTGATGCTAGAATTTATGCATACATCATGGTCATATCACTGACTTATAAGCGACGTGTACGTATTGTTGCTATTATTTCGGTAATATAGAATCTATGGTGAACTGGAGTACTGGTTTGCTCTCATCAAGATTCTTATTACTATCGTTTTTATCATCATTGGTAAGCAGTCTGGACAGTAACTGAAAACAGTGTGTGAGAAGTTAATGGATAGCTCTTGCTAACTCAAAGTATTATTATATAGCCATTTGTGTATCCACAGGTGGTCTGGGCGGTGAAGTTATCGGTTTCAAATACTGGCATGATCCTGGTGCTTTCGTAGGCGGTGGTGTGGGAACTGTTAGTGTGCTTCTTACTGCAGGTTTCTCCTTCCAGGGCACAGAAATCGGTAAGTTGTTTCTAACCAAGATTTTTATTTCAAGTATCTGCTAGTAATAATCATTCGTAAAAATTAACATAAATGCAATCGATTATAGTTGGTATCACTGCTGGTGAAGCAAAGAATCCCACAAAGACTGTACCCCGAGCTATCCGTAATACATTCTGGCGTATCGTCTTCTTTTATATCGTCACCATGTTCTTGCTTGGTATCACTTTGCCAAATGACGATCCGAATCTTGAGAATAGCGACGACAGCGCCGGAACAGCTGCTTTCACACTAGTTTTCCAAAAGGCAGGAATTGATGCAGGCGCTCACGTGATCAACGCCATTATTCTTACTAGGCAAGTATTGTAGTTGATATCGAAGTGCATAAATAGAACTAATTAAATCTTTTTGAACCTTTTGATTTAGTGTGTTGTCAGCTGCCAATTCGGCGCTTTATACCTGCTCGCGCACCTTACTCGGTCTTGCCCATGATGGTAACGGCCCTGCATTTCTCTCACGCACCAACCGCTACGGTTCGCCTTACTGGTAAGTGTGGTTTTTTTTCTCTTGCTTTAACCAAGGAAATGAAATTTCTAACCTTATCAAACTTTGTCACGAAAAATTATAGGGCCGTCATTATCTCTTCAATTATCGGTTTTGCCTGTGTATTCGCATCTATCTATAGCGCTTCTGAAGCTTTCAACTGGTTCTTAAGTATCACCGCTGTCAGTGGCTTTATCAGTTGGTGGGGCATTGCATTCGTCCATCTCCGTTTCCGACGTGCATACAAGCGACAAGGAAGACTTCTCGAAGACTTACCCTACAAAGCATTCCTTTATCCCTACTCTGCCATTTTTGCTTGTGTACTGTGTATCCTCATTATTCTGGGTCAGGGGTACACTGCATTTACACCCGAATTCGATGGCGTTTTGTTCGTCACAAACTACATTGGTATCGTACCAGCCATTCTCTGCTATGTTATTTACAAGCTTGTTCGACGTACGCGCGTGGTCCCATTGGATGAAGTTGGTGAGTTTAGAGCAAGCAATTCTCGAGAAAAGTGAGGCCAACTCTATTATGTATAGTACTAATAGCTTTTTTCGTCCGTTTTTCAAATCTAGATTTTGATACGGGACGTGTATCTCGATTTGAAATGGAACAGGAAGAAGCAGAGGAGAGGAATTTGCCTTGGTATCGCAAAGTTTTCAACGTCATTGCTTAAATTATTATCATGTACTTTTACCTTGTATTTTTATTTGTATTATTATATATTTCAATCACGACAAAGAAAAGGAGAATCAAGCAATATTAAATCGTGGGTGCTAGGTGGACCCGAGGGTTGCGAACTGTGATTATTTGTATTATAACAAGATGCTGTGTGCACTACTTGTGCTTGTGAAGTAATATAAGGGTAGAAAATTATGCAATAAGAGAAAGTGTGTGTGTTTCTATGTATGATTTCCATATTCTGGAACACATCCCTCGAGTTACGAACTTGCTGCTTTTAGAGTCATGTAGTCGCCGTTTAACATAACGTTCCTTTACTCATCACTGGGCATCCACAGATGACTTTTAGTAGATATGCTTCCGTTCAAACATACGTTAATCTTTTCACTTCGTTCAAAGCTTCAAACATACTAACAGCATGCTCATATGTGTATTCAAGCTTGCGGTATTTAGCTTTCTACTTACATCTCACGTAATTTTAAACTCTCATAGTGTGTGAGTTATGCTAATAAAACCTTTGGTCGTATGGAAGATGGTTGATAGATCCGCTGAATAAATGTGGTTGCGCAGGCCCTAGAGCAGCTTTGACTACAACGTCGAGTGGTGGTCTCTTAAGATAAAGTGCAGGTGCCACATCATTATATTGAGCCCAGCCAGAAAAATACCCCAACGAAAGTTAGTGGAGCTAATAGCACACGCATACTATTAGTTAAGCCTTTGACAACCTATAAGAGCATTTATCAACTGAAAAAAAGGGCAAACCAGCTATCGATGAAGAGGATATTGTATTGTATCAGAAAAGAACAGAGGAGAGGAGCATAAAGTCTAATTATGAATACGCTCAGCGAATGAAATTGCAGAATAGGGCTTCCTTTTTACAGCGGGATTCGATTTTATTGGATGAAGGCGAACATCATTGAACGGCCTCTTCCTTTGCTTCAAAAATGGTATGTGTGTCAATATGAAAAAGGAAGAAGGGACGACGACGAAACGCGTTAAAGAATGAAACATACGAACGGCTAGATAGATGGATGAATGGATGACTCTGATGGATGGATCGATCAGGTCAATGAAAAGAAAGGGTGGATATTGATTTCTATAATATATGCATTTCGAATGTAGGTGAACATTCCCAAGACCCGCAACACCTTCTGCAAGGGCGCCAAGTGCCGCAAGCACACTCCCCACAAGGTCACCCAGTACAAGACTGGTAAGGCTTCGTTGGCTGCCCAGGGTAAGCGTCGTTACGATCGTAAGCAGTCCGGTTATGGTGGTCAGACCAAGCCCGTTTTCCACAAGAAGGCAAAGACCACCAAGAAGATTGTGCTCCGTCTTGAATGCACTGGTAATTATTTTTTTGAGTCAATTTACGACAACTGACGAACGAAATTGGAGTACAAAGCTGATACGTTATACTTTTCTTTTAGCCTGCAAGTACAAGATGCAGCTCCCCATCAAGCGCTGCAAGCACTTCGAATTGGGTGGTGACAAGAAGACCAAGGGTGCTGCTCTTGTTTTCTAAGCTTATTTTTTGTTCACGCTTTGTATCTCGGCTCGAATAAAAACGATAAGCAAAAAACAACCCACATATACAACAACATACGCAGTACTGCATATATTTTTCGGAACGCTTGACTCGTTATCATGACATATGTTGCTTTGGATATCAGCAGAAAAGAGAGCCTGGATTTAATACTGTTGGGTGATGGGGGTGTTGGAGGGTCGGAACTAGTCATAGCGAGTTGGATCCCATTCTGTCACAAAATGCTCGTCGAAACCATCCAATGTGTTCATGTCTTCATCGCTGATCTCAAAGTCGAAAACCTCCGTGTTGCTGACGATACGCTCTTGGTGAACGGACTTGGGCAACGGGACGTAACCGTGTTGGATGGACCTAGGAAGGAGGAAGAAACAAACAGTGCGAGGTTTAGATATTGCTTGTATGAAAACGCGTTTTCGGATAGGTGAATAGTCTTTACCATCGGATGAGAATATGCGCTGTGCTCTTGTTATATTTGTTTGCGATCTCAACAAGTGCCGAATCTTTAAGCTTTTCTCCCATTGTCAAGGGAGAGTACTATGTGTCCATCGTAAGTATATCGGAGGAATCCTTGCGTATTATCTGTTCCTCGGAGAGCTGCCTTACCGCCTCAAGTATAATGTTATGCTCCTTGCAAAACTTTTCGATATCTGTGCGTGCGAGATAAGGTGTAATCTGGTGGGATGGAGCATTTGCTGATTAATAGAGCATTCTTTATCTATTTCCCTGAAATGTAATGTATACGTGCCTCGACCTGGTTCACAACGGGTTTAATTTCGCAAACTTCAAGCAGTTCCTTCAAGTGATGCACGCCGTAATTTGAAACACCTTATATACGAGTTTGTATGCTTCTGTTTATTTTCAAGGGAACATATGCGATCTGAAAAAATTGAATACTTACCGATGCTCTTAACCTTGCCAGACTTTTTTAAATGCTCCATTGCCTTCCATGTTTCGAGACGAAGCTTGGTGCCGGGAGAAGGACTGTGGACAAGGTACAGATCCACATAATCTAAGCCGAGCTTACCAATACTCTTATCGAAAGCTGCCAAAGCCTTTTCATAACCTTGATCCGTATCCCAGAGCTTGGTGGTAACGAATATCTATTTTCAAACAAGATTAGTGTCTCAATCTCATATTAAAATATGGCGCAATCTAGCGTGATAATTACGTCGCTACGAGGCACTTGTCTAATAAAATGATGGAAGAATTGATTAGCAAAAGGAGTAACCACAAAAGAAATCGCGCAATTTGTTGCTGCAAGGACGGTACGACTAGTTCTGAGCTCACGTTTTGCTTAGAGCCTTGCCAACACCTTCTTCGTTTCGGTAGCAAGAAGCAGTATCGACATGACGATAACCAGCCTGTAATACATTGTTTTCGTTTAAAAGGTCTGGAGTAATTTAATCAAGCTGATTGTATGTTTATTCTTTTGTATACCTCTAAAGCCCAAAGGAGAGCTTGCTCAGTTTGAATGCCAGGTTTGGTGTTATAAACACCAAAACCAACGCATGGAATAGCGTTACCGTCATTGAGTTGTCTTTTGCTTGCAAGTCCAGTAATTGTTGCCATAGTGCTAAAAGAAGACGCGTCGGACATGCTAGGGCAGGCGTTTCCAAAATTTCAACCAAATTAAGAAAATCCGCTTGACCCATCCACGTTTGCTGGATCCAGAGGAATTAGGTGAAAGTTCTCCAAAAGACCATAACCATGTACAGCCGTGTCATGGACGTTGATGTCTACCGCGACCAAGCTACCAATCTATTCATGGGAACGGATTTGCAGTGATTGATCAACAACTGTTGGAAGGCGAATAAGCTTTCACCACCTTGCACCACCTTGGACCACCATATGCCTTAGTGCAGTGACGATGACAACCTCAATTACCATTTACTGACATGGAACCACACTGCTTCCGATGTCACTCAGCATCTCACGTCGTTCGTGATTGCTCGCTGCGTCGCAGCAACCAACATGAGTGCTGATCTTGCAATAAAACATTAGACGCGCATCTGGCGAAACCACTCGCTAGTGCACCACCAGTACCTGCTGCTACCAAACCATCTTCTTTGAAACAGGACGTTTGCAATGTCACCCAAGAAACAAACCCTGTGAACTCAGACGCCGACGTCTCGAAGCTTACGTTCTTGAGAATCAAGTCTTAAACTTCTTTGGCAACCCCGAGACCCCGACAGCTTAATGCATTGGGCTTTTTTGCAATTACAATAATCACCAGCATTTAAAGTATCAGTCAATTTTTATAGCAACGATCGACTTCAAACTATAGCTGTAAAATGATGATCTTTAAGTTTTTGAGCAAAGTCCTCAAAGTTTAAGACCCATAGTATATATTTATGAAAGTAAATTTCTTGCTTAAAACGAAAATAAACAATACTTCCACAACAACAACAACCTCTCCGCCTCTGCAGTTATGATACTACAGCTGAAACCTCTACACCCCCCCACCACCAACACACACTCCATTGTCAACATCACGGACTCTGCTCCTGAAGCTCAAATTGTTTCAATATGGATTCTAACTAAATCAGTATCACTAATATACAGTTCATAGATATGGTTATATACTCATTTTCTTTCTGATTTTGTAGGCTTTTACTGGTTGCTTGTCACCCACAAGTATATTATGTATTTTTATAATGGATAGAAGATGGAGAAGATACGACACCAATAATAGTATAGAATATGAAGGCATTGGTATCCATGTACATGATTGATCTGGTTTTATACTGTGCTTGAAATTTTTGAAGTATAACAATCAATACGATTGCAAATGGTCGATGAGGGAAGGGATGCCATTTGTTCTGTTTGTAGTGCATATATACGGCGACAACAAGTTGGCCAACTCCTCGCCAAGAGAATTCAGCACTGAGTTTCCGATGATAGGAATGGAGGCATCAGTTTCGAACAAGCTGAGTATACGTAGAAAAACGTCCTTGGTCTTGGTATCCTTGGTGAATAGGGAAGAATAAACATTATTAATAAATATTTTTGAAAACTATAAAATTTTTTCAATCACTAGATTGTAAAAAATTATTATATTTTCTTATCTCATTTAAGAAATATTAAAAATTAAATTCTAGAATTTATATTTTTATTTTTCCATATTACTTTTAAAAAAATCAAAAAATATAATCCTGGGATTAGATTTTTATTATTCTAATAATAATAATAACAAAAACAAAAATAATTATTTTATTTTATTTTTCTTTAAGTCTAAAAAATAATATTTATTTTATTTTAGCGAAGCTAATACTTTTCGGGTCTTTATACCCTTCAAGTCTTTTTTTAAATCAAAAATTACAATTTTTGAGGCGAAGCCTTGCTTCTTACTTTTTAATTTATTAAAAAGATTGAAACTTCGTTTCACTAAAAAGAACAAATTCTTTTTTTATTTAATAGAAAGACTTAAAAGGGGATAAACCCCGGTTTATAGCTCCTTTTAGTCGCTAAATATAAATTAAAGATTTATATTTTCAAGGACTTAAAGAAAAAAAAAAAAAATAATTTGTTATTTTTTTTGATATATAATTTAAGTGTTCAACTAGAAAAAGTTAAGTGTAACTTTACTTTTCTAATGAACATTATGGGTGATTTATGATATATAAAAAGAAATTATAGATTATAAAAAATTTATTAAATTTTTTTAATCACTATATTAATAGTTAACCCTCAGGGCTGTAAGCTTTTCCAGATCATTCTTGCTCAAACAGGCATTTTCACCTTCCCTCATGACCGCGGTTGCCAAGGCAGCCAATAACTTCGATGCTAAGACTCCGGAATTGAGCGATGTGGTCGTTTTGCCGTATGTGAACACCGTGATCGGCTGCTGAAGGTGTCCATAGAATAGTAAAGATCGTGATGAATAGTACATAACAGAACTTAATTCCATAAAATAAAATCATTTAGGTATTTCAAAAGTAATATTTTTATCATTATTGTTTATATTTATATTTTTAATGTGATTATATTTCTTGTTTCTTTTATCACAATATCCTTTTATACAAATTAAACATTCTTTTTTATTATTATAAGGGTTCCAATCATCAGGATGTACGTAAATACAATCTTCATCCCAACAATAACCATTATTATAACATTTATTTTTGATTATATCATCTTCACCGTGAGCAAAATTACATTCTTCTTTTGTATACTTGTACGTATCATCCTTCTATTTCTTACATATAATTCTCTTAATCTTGTTTAGAACAGTTTTTTCTATCCATTGATAAAATTAGATAAATATTTAAAAATTTCAATAATTTTTTCTAAACATAAAAAAAATATTAGATAACTTTTTTTAAAATTTTAATAAATATTATTAAGAAACAATGGTTAAAATGTATTAAGTTTTATATGTTGTATAGAGTACAAAACTATATATTTATGAAGTAATTTTTAGTATTTTGCCTAACAAATAAATTAATTTAAGTTTCTATATTTTAAAATTATGGAAAAAAGGTTATTCTTTAATTTCATATTAATTATTCATAATGATTTATTTAAGTCTTGGCATAAAAAGAAAAATTAACAAAAAAGTTTTAAAAAAAATTTATTAATTAATATAATGAAGGATAGATAAACTGTTTTTTAGATATTTATTACATTTTTTTAAAATTTCTCAGAAATTATAAAACGATACTTTTTTAAGTTTATTTAGTAAAAATGTTTGTTTTAATATTAAAGATTTAAATATTAATAATAGAATAAATTCTAAAAATTTAATTTTAAAAAAAATATTTGTAAAATTGATAAAGAAGATATATTAATAAATCCCAATTATGAAGATAATTTTAAATTAGATATAAATGATAATAAAGAATTTCCTCCTATGAATAATATTTTGAAAAATATTAATAAAGAAAACAAACTACTTTATTCAGAAATTTTAAAAAAAGATGAAAAAAAGGGTATCTATTGGCGAGCTCCAAGTCTTTACGTCATCATTTTCTCCTACTTGCAAGGACTTGATTCCATTGGCTGCTTCAATATTCATTTCATTTTGATTATAAAAGGCAGGAGATATCCAGCGTCATATATATCATGAAATTTTGTTTTGAGCTATCGCAGCTGCATATGCCGGGAGTGGGTGTAAATGGAATTCGAATTGTCATTATTGTCAAGCACCGAAGAATCGGACCATGATTGCGAGTCCAGGTATAATTTATATATTGACCGTGGAGGTACCACAAAGTTTACTGTGCTTGGCCCACACTCTAGATGATGCGCAACACTGTCAATTCGCATGCTTGCAGTGACAAGGGCGTTGAAGGGGTGGGCACCAAGTATAAGCTTGACAGAGACATTCTTTCCTTCCGTTTGGTGCAGCGTGCCTATCGCGAAATCGTTGCAGTCTATTGACGGGACTGATGTTGATAAGTGGGTGGAGCCGACAGTGCTTCGTTGCTCAGCGTGGCTTTCAATTTCAGGGTCGCGACCATACACCTCCAATGACAGAATGAGGAGACCACGATGGTTTTCAGAGTCCACTATAACTGATCCACTGAGCGCTCTTGCAACCATGTAACGCTGGTTGGGCTTGATTTCCCAGTCTTGATTCAGTTTTTAATAATTTCTTTATTCAATTCGATATAGTGACGCTTTGACAGGTAATTCGAGATTGCGCCCTTTTTACCAAGGCTGTGAACAGTATCACGTGTCAGAAACATATTGACTGGGGACAGCTCTTGAGTTGGACGCGTCAAGGTTAGCTGTTGTGGTCTTGCAAGCATAGTTTGTAGTTGTTCGATGTGGCTTGGTGACAAGATCAAATCCACTTCGCTACCATCCTCATCGGTTAAAGCAACAGGTACAACGTCATAGAAGTCTGCAAACATCAACGCGCGTTTTTTGGAGCGATCAGTGGCAGTTGTTTCTCCCATTGCGTGTAAAAAAGCTTCGTTGTAGCTCCTTCGTGGATTGCGATTGTCTAAAAAAATTAACAAGTGAGATTGAATAAATGCGAATATGAATTAAAAAAGTGAAACATACCCATTGATAAAAAGAGTAAAGCAGCCGTTAAGGAAGTAGTAAGACACCGTTGTAAAATTTATATTAAGCCGTTAAGAAAAGTATAAGTTCCCGTTGTAAAATAATTTAGCGGATATTGAAATACAGATTTGTTGCACGAAAGGCTTCATGTCTCGCTTCCATATTTACAACGCGGATGTGATGAATTCACAACCTTGATTCATTAACATATTAACAACGCCTTCAAGTGATGCATGCTAAAACACATACAGTCTGAAGGATTGTGAATACTTACCGATGCTCTTAACCTTGCCAGACTTTTTTAAATGCTCCATTGCCTTCCATGTTTCGGGACGAAGCTTGGTGCCGGGAGAAGGACTGTGGACAAGGTACAGATCCACATAATCTAAGCCGAGCTTACCAATACTCTTATCGAAAGCTACCAAAGCCTTTTCATAACCTTGATCCGTATTCCAGAGCTTGGTGGTAACGAATATCTATTTGCAAACGAGATTAGTGTTCCAATCTCATATTCGAAATTATGGCGCAACCTTGCGTAAACAATACGTCGCTACGAGACACTTGACTAATATGATACTGTGAAGAATTGTTTAGCAAAAGGAGTAGCCACAAGAGAGATCGTGCAAATTGTTGCTACAAGGAAGGTACCAGTAGTTTTGAGCTCACGTTTTGCTTTGAGCCTTGCCAGAACTTTCTTCATTATTTTCGTTCATAAGGTCTGGAGTAATTTAATTATAAGCTGATTGTACGTTTATTCTTTAAATACCTCTAAAGCCCAAAGGACAGCTTGCTCAGTTTGAGTACCAGGTCTGGTCCTATAAACAACAAAACTAACGCATGGAATAGCGTTACCGTCATTGAATCCTATTTTTACTTGCAAGTCCAGTGAATACTGCTATAGTGCTAACGAAGACGCGTCAGAAACTCACGCGTGAAAGGCAAGGTTTTATAACCAGGTTATCATACGATGTATAGAAAGGCAGAAATTCCAGCCTATGATAGCGCCTTTGATAATAATGAGGATGCATGTTATCAAATGCTTCGGTTTTAACGTGGTGTACAGTACTACTTTATGAGTAGTGGACTGATCAGTTTGAAGTTTGAAAGAATGAGCAGAGATTAATACAGGATGAAGTGGGAATGCTATGTCTATTGTAGAATTTACAGGGTAAAAAGTACGTGATTAATGTGATTTATGTGGTTGTAATGTTCGGTAGAATGGGCGAAGGATTAATAGGTGGTTGGGTGTAAGGGTGTGTATGCGTAGATGGGGTAAGGGGTAGGAAAGAGAAAATGATTTACAAGATAAAAGTAAAAAGACTACTATATAGTACTATCGAATGCAATTTTATGGATACCAGTGACGATGCCTTCCATATCACCATCGTCACCTTGTGCTTGGTTTTGATGTTTTCGTGACAACGGGAGCTTGAACAGAGATCTTTTTCTCAGCATTGCCTCCGTCACCTTCTTTTCGTACTCATCATCCATATTCTCATCTTTCACGGATTGTTGCTGCTCTCCTTGCTGCTCTTCTCCTTGTGTTTTTCGTTTAGCAGATGGGACATATCGTGCCGCTTCTATCGATTCTTTGCCGATCTTGGTCATTTTGTCTGTGGCAAATCGCTGTATTTCTGAATATGTCCGTTTCAAGCTATTGAACGGGCTCCCAGACTGATAAAGCCGCCAATCAGAGCTAGCGACTTTAACAATACATACGGAAAACACTAGAAGCTATTAACAAATATTAGTGTCAGTAGTCCGTATAATACAATCTCTCGTGTTCTCCCAAATAGCTGGTTTGCGTACCAATGGAATAGTGATTAAAGCGATTCCCATGGCGATATATACGGTTTGCTCGCCTGCATAACCAAGTACCACGAGTAGACCGAACCGTGCCACGTATAAAAGTCGCTGAACAACCTATATATTTCACGAGACAAGTTAGTGATCAGCAACAACAGCTCAAGGAAATTACAGTGGTCAAAATGAGTTCTATTTACCTTGTAGGCGCCCCATCGCTTTATCCGCGACTCCTCAAAGTACGTTTTTGAGGCTTTTGGGTGCCAATCCATCCATAGAAATGACAATAGGCATACGAATGCAAACGAGGTGGCGTGATCTGAAACGTCCCAATGACAACTTTCTTCGCTTTCAGGTGCTATGAAACATATCGTGGCCTGATGTATACTCTGTGCCACATCCCATGCCCGTTGTATGACAAGCATTAACCCGGCTTTAGCAAATTCTGAAAACGTAATTTCGAGTGGTGAATGGCGGAAAAAACTCGTCAAATCTACAGTGGATATCATAAACGTCTCCCAGAACCGTGACAAATCCGTTGTTAAATGTGCGTTTTTTCGTAGTACAGGTGGATACCAATAAGCTAAAAAGAAAAATCCACAAATAGGCGTGTCAGCTATTTTATATTTCTCTACACGTAAGACACCATGCTTACCATATAGACATATGAGTAATGTCATTGAATGAAGCCACAGCCATAATAAACCTAATATCCGGTACTCGGTTTTCGACGGCTTTCTCGGTGCTTTTGTCGTCATACTTCGCGTCAGCTTTTCGTTGAAACGTCGTTGCCGTAATGCAGCTTTTTGTTCAGTCACTATCTCATCGACGATAGCTTGACAATTGTCGCATAGAGCATACTTCTGATGTAAAGATGCCTTGTAGTCATCTGCCGTTCGGACATAGTAGTCATAATCGGGATCCTATCAATGAAAAACAAAAAGGATTTAGCACCTGTTCAGATACGAACTCTGGGATACACACACTTACACTTTCGTCTCGGATGTAATCACTCATGATTTGGTATATTAGTGCCTGGTTCCGTTCACAGCTTTCACATAGTCGCCGAGTTTGGAACTTTCGTGAAGCATCTTGAATGGGAGTTACTATAATAATTTTGTGTATGATACACAAATTAGTTTAACGGTTTATTTGCATATGTGCATTTGTGCTTATTTCTAGGCTTTACTTACTGGAGCGATTCAGTGACGCATCGTACATTACTGGCAACGTGTCTACAATTTCACCACTCTTTATGGCTGCGTATTAAATAACTGTTTCTTTTTTTCGTACAAGGCAGTTTGTGAAGACCAAAGATAGATTTGCTTACCTCGTCTTTTACGTTGGTGTTTTCGCAAATGTTACAGTGCCAGTACCCCTCGGTCTGTTTGCTTCCAGGCAGCAAATAAGAATCTTGGTTACAGTACCAACAATTCACCTTGACAGGAAGATCAGTAAAACCCAAGAATCCAAGAAGCACTGTTCTCCATGGGGGACGCCTATTGGTAACGTGGTTGCTCATGGATTGGGTCTACACACACTTTTTGGAAATAAGAAAGCAACGACTGGTGTGTGGGAGGGGAGGGGGGGAGCGGAATTGAAGCAACTTTGTGTGTGTGTGACGGTGGAGAAGACCTGATTGCATTGTGCTACAACTCAGCTTTCCCTTTACAATTATCTAAACTGGATCCTCCAAAACAATGGACTCCTCGTCACAAACCGACGAATTCTTTGACGACTGGGGATCGCCTGGCTTTAGGGACCAGCTGTTTCGGAATGTCGCCTTAGCCGAAAAACAGGCAGAGCAAGCGCTTGCCACCAACAGCAATAACAACGTAACTATAGCAAAGAGCGTGTTTGTGTCTTATTGTGTCATGATACTCCTTATTAATCGTGCCGTATACAATGAATTATGTACAGCTGTTTTCACATAAAAAAACGCACGGTGATATCCACGAACGTCCTTGCACGGCATTCCACGTTTTTCGAGACCCATTACAGCGTGAGAATCGCGTCACCGTGCCACCGCAGCAACAGCAACAGACTTTGAAACCGTTACGCGAAATCGATACCAATCAGCATGAGAATAGTAATGTTTATGGCGACAATCAGAAGAAAAAAGGAAGTCAACCTGTCCTTGATTCCAAACAAGGTACAACATGAAAAAATGCTCCAAATGACTTTCAGGAGGAAGATTGTGCAGTAATCTAATTTGTAAAAGCATATATAAAAGCTGACTGGAGAACGACCAACAATACCATCGCCACGACTACAATAGGAACAACAACCACATGCTCCGCCAAAATGGAGATACAAGCAACGCTCCCTGCTAAGATAAACCAACCCCAACTGCCGTTATCACCACTACAGTTGTCATCCAATATGGATACGAAAAAGACGGAATCTGACGAAGACGAAGAAATGTGGGGAATAGAATTCGACATTGATTTTCCATCTTTGATAAACGACTTGGAGAATAGTGGCAGCAGTACCCAGCTTGACCAGGCCTCTAATGAGCCCAATAAGCAGCAACAGGAGACAAAAGACGCGCTTTTCATAAAACCACTGATGGAATCGACATTGGACAAGTTTGGTGGATTCATGACTGCGGGTAGCAAAAAGTCAGTGGCAATCGATAGCACGGCTCGACAAAAGGCACTCGCATTTTTCAATAATGCTCCTACCACGATCACCAAATCCAGTCAAACCAATTTACCTTCTAATGATCGGGAAGATTGTAGTCCTAAGCAGACGGTCGACAGCAGACTACCACTGCCAGCATCATCGTCCTCATCATCACCACCAGTAAGCGCGCAAGCGACGTCCGTAACGAGTGGAAAGAACAGCACCTTTGACTATATCGATACCCTGAACGCTCAAAATCAAAAGAAACCTGTTCCAACAAAGTTAGGTGGATTCACTACTGGTTCTGGTCGTCCTGTCGCTTCTAGCTCTAAAGAAGCCTTACGCAAAGCCGAAGATTTGTTACAATTAATTCAATCACTCAACGAAGAGTCCAAGGAACCAGAGAAAAAAGAAAAACAGCAGACATTGCATGTACCTGCGCATGTTGAAGAACAGCCTTCGAAATGTGGCGAGAAACGCCCTGCCGAAAATGACATTGGTCCTGACAATATAGACAACGAGGAATTGCAGTTCAAGTACGAGGATGTGCTATCGCACTATGGAGGCTTTATGATGGGCAATAGCAGAACTACAATATCGGTATCTGCAGATGCAAAGCAACGAGCCGTTGCCCTTTTTAATACTTCTGAAACGACGAGAGAGCTCACACAAGCCTCACAATCTCCATTATCACAACGACCTTTCCCTCCTTCATCGCCGTCCTCTTCAGCAAACTCACAGCAAGCATCACCATTACGGAGGACAATATCTTATGAAGACGAGCCACAATTACAGTTATCACCGCAAAAGCCTAATGAAACGCTCGACAGCAGGTCACAGCAACGCGAAGCGACACCACCACCACCACCATCGGTACCCCCAGCACAAGAACAGCTTTCTGCTCCTACTCCAACACAAAAGCCAATGGAGCAAGTACGTCCCTCACCTCCACACAAACGGTTAAAAAGACGACATGTAGCAGCAAATCCGAAAATGAAGCCATTTAAATCGCCAGTTCTCCAAGAGAATTACGAACTCACCAAGGCTGCTGCTTCTGGAAAATTGCCCTCCTGCTCGATTCAATGTAAAGGACGAACCGTATTTTCCATGCATGGTAAGTTTGGTATCGGATGTGAAAGGAAGACGCTGAAGTCCTTTTTAGAAATTACTCATAAACATGTCAGCAACGGGCACACGTTATCCTCTGTCGCAGCTAGGAAAGCCTCTTCAGCACAGTCTCAATGATCTCAAGAATATGAATATGTAAGCCATTAAAGGTGACAAGAAAATATAGCGAATCAAACAATTTGGGAGAGAAGGGCTATTGAACTGATCGTTTGCTTCTAAATACAGCTCTGATGAAATTCTGCATTTGACTGCTGCTGATGCCGGTAAAGTACGGTTCTCTAACTGGGGCCCTAAAGAAGCTTATAAAGCTATATGTAAGGCTGGTGTTCTGGACCGATTTATATCCGATGCATGGGTGGAGAACCATTATCGCTGGATAGTCTGGAAACTTGCTTGTATGATCCGCTCGTACCCATCAAAATTCAGAGACTGGTGGTGCTCACGTAAAGTTGTTGAGCAGCTTTTATACAGGTAAAGCACAACACGGGATCGGGTGATTAGGAGCGCATAACTAATAATAAGAATATTAGATATGAGCGTGAGATCAACTTGGGTCATCAATCTGTGCTCAAGCGGATACACGAACAAGACGATAACCCTGCAAAACATATGGTGCTTGCTGTTGCCGACATAAAGCCATTCGTTGCAGCGGACGGCGGTGGGCAAGGTAAAACGGTAGTTTTCTTTTCTAAATTACGTCCTGCATATTTCCGTTTCTATTTCTTCCTAACTTACATAAAATATTGTAACATTCTACTACTAGCTGCTGCTGCTGTTGCACGAAAATACCAGCTGGTCTTAACAGATGGATGGTATCAGATCAACGCAGTAACAGATCCTAGATTGGAGCGTGCGATTGCAAAAGGCAAAGTCTCTATCGGATCAAAACTGTCAATATGTGGAGCACAGGTACAAAGATTACTATTAATTAGCTTTATATTTTTTAATGTCCGTAAACTGGTATCTAACGGTAAATATATGTAATCAGCTTAACGGAGATGCACAGCCACGATCGCCTTTAAGCGCATCATCCAATGATTCCATTTTATCTATAACAACAAATGGTTCTTGGCTAGCAGCGTGGGATGCTAAACTTGGATATCAACGAAACCGACTCGTCTTGCGCTCTCTTTCGAGCGTATATGAAGATGGAGGTATAATTACTGTACTGGATGTCGTTGTATGTCGCAAGTATCCCATGATGTATACCGAAGTTTTACCAAATGGCACGCGGATAAAACGGACAGCCAGAGAAGAGGAAGAGGAGCGAAGGCGCGCTGGAGCTGAACTCCACCAACATTGGGATGATGGAGGTGGGGGTGGGTGGGCACCACGCTTTCACGAGCATGGCGGTATGCGCATGGTACAATCACGAGGAAAGCCCCTCGAAGAACCATCACCGACGAAACCCGAGGAGCGTACTGTTTCAGCTCATTTTAGAGTGCAGCTATGTGATTATCGCAGTAATTCCAACAGCAGCAACAGCAGCGACGGCGGCGGCAGTGAGCAAAGGATGGCAACGCTACTGTTATTGGATGCAAATGAGCTGAAACACCTGGATATCTGCGAGGGCAGCCGGTACAAGATCTACTTTACAATGCCGTACACACTTTCAGACAAAAGCATAAACAACAACTCATCTACAATACATCTAAAAACGACAAGAAAAACTCAATGGGAGAGTGTGTCAGATATCGACGAAGCCACACTTGCATCTACTCTGTATATACCCCGCCAAATCTCTTTGACAGCTACCTTGCCAACCCTCGATAAAGGCTCAGAAATTGACATTGCTGTCTTGGTTCTCCGTAAGTGTGTCTAATAGTAATCATTTCGGGCAGATTTATGTCGACACTGCCACTAACAATTATTTTGATAAACACAAGATTCTACATGTTCTGGTGAAGAGTCCCGCACTATCGAAGGCCGAGCACTCTGGTACCAAACATTGCTTGTGACCGATGCTAGTGGAGGATTATGTCAAGTCAAGTTAAAGCTACCCTGTCGTCCTTTAAAGGGTATCGATGGCCAGGTAAGATGGAACGGACCTAGATGAGAAGATCATCCTTAGAGTATATGTATAATGGTGTCTCTAATGTATCCCTGTTGATCCCACTATCCGACAGATTGTTGGCTTCACTAATGTGACTCGCGAAGTGCACGACACGAAGTATTCGATTACACATCTAAAAGTTGGAGATAACAGTGAGGCCTTCAACAAGCAGAAGGCAGCTCCCTATATGCAGCAAGCAATCAATAGCGTGCGTCAGTGGGCTCAAACGTACGTGTTTCCATATTGCACATATTCTTCATATATGTAACTTACCGTACTTACATATGTTTTTGCATATGTATATAGTAATCCTGAAGAACTGCAAGCGATAAAGCAGCGCGTAAACCAGTTTTTGCTTTGATAGCAAGTTGAACTGGGATGATTACGACGGGTTAGAGACACCCCCCGGGAATAACTGGATCTAGCTAGATATAGTGTTGTAATTGACCGTGTTTTCTTTCAACAAAAAAATCAATGATATACCACATAATATTTCTGAGTATGCATATTGTGTATCAGCGTTCCATTTACGATACTAAAAATGGCATGTCAATAATTGATACTCATGGATTTAATTCTTTTAACTCAAAAGACGTTTATTGTAGCTGTTGATGATCAGAGCTATATGATGGTATATAAAGTGGCTATTTATCGATAGACGTGCTGAATCTATAGTAAAACTGTAGTCAAACAACTATATCAGAAGGGAAGAAAGGTGTGCGTTTAGGTTGAATAAGCACTGAGCTGACTGTAAAAACCAAAATCGCCTGCTATGCGACGAATTTGCCAACTTTGCTTTTCAGTGATAGCCGGCTCTCTCTATCTTTAACACAATGTCACAAGATTTGGTAAGACATTCTCACTCATCGAAACCAATTTTAATGCACAACTAGCTAAATAAAAGCCATTGGGTTTCGTCTGGCTTATTATAGGCACTTGGCAACGAAGAATTGTTTGGTGGTGAAATTGGTGACGATCTTGAGCTGTCCGATTTCGAGGGCGATCAAGGTATGTAACATATGATATGACCTTGTTTGTCAACGACAACGACAACATCGCTGATTTTTTTCTTTCTAATAAAAAAAATAAAGGTTCCGCCGATGAGAACGACAAGCCAGATTCGAATGGTAACGAAGAAAATCACCAAAGCAACGAAGAATCAACAGCACATTACGAAAAGGAGCAACCACAACAGGAGCAGCAGCAGCAAACACCAGGAGAAGCTTTATTTAGTCGAGAAGACGACAATTATGACGATGAAGAAGAGGAAGAAGAGGACGAGGAAGAAGCCGTAATGAGACGACCCCGATTGCCTTCATTTAAACGAGCTCAGCGCGATTCAACACAAGAAGACGATCCCGATCTGGAACGGATGCGGGAGGAACTACGATCAAAGCGACAGGTTGCTGCCGGTGAAGATGGTGGCGACTCACAACACGTCTCGCAGCAGCCGCCTGGGGAATTGGATCCTGGCCAAGGTAAGTTACAATCGAAAAAGGAGACGCTATCAGCGTGCGTGTGTTTCAATGGCTTTGCCTTTTAATCAAACATCTCAAAAAAATAGCCTTTTTGGAGGTCTTTGATCGATACTCGGAAAAGGTCATGTCTAGCGGCAAACGTAAAAGAAAGAAAGCCGACGAAGAGGATTTGGAACGAGCTATGGATGATGAGCTCTCATCTTTACGTGATAAGATGAAGATGGCTGCAGAACAAGACAATCATTCAAACAGCCAACGAAAGCCGGCTCTTGCCAAACTCAAAATGCTACAAGAAGCCAAAGCATTATTGACTCTGTATGTATTTCTTTTCTATATCCTTTGTTTTATATTGATTGGATAATGAGATGTGTGTTTGGTGGATGGTTCTGGATATTCATTTTGTTACTGATTTTCACACTTCTGCTATAGAGATGCTGCGCAAGATAGTATTTTGGACAACAATCTACTTGACACCATTCGGCTTTGGCTCGAGCCTTTGCCAGATCGCTCACTTCCAAGTCTCGATATTCAAAACACGATGCTTGATATCTTGAACTCTGTAAGTTATGAAGCAATGTATCCTTTTTCTTTGGTTAATAGAGAGGAGTAGTGTACCATATCATACGAAAAAACAGCGGTTTTAAATTTTTTTTTCAACCATTGTATTAGTTAACAATAAGCAGTGGACACTTACGAGAAAGTGGTGTGGGTAAAATCGTATACTTTTATCAAAAGTCGCCTCGAGTTGAGCCACGGGTGAAGCGAAAAGCAGAACAGCTTGTGGCCAAGTGGAGTAGACTTGTTATCAAGCGTAGTGATAATTACAGAGAACGCATGCATGAAGAACAAGATTACTCGCGCGAGCAGTCGTAAGTTTCACTATAGTAGATGCATGTAAGTGGACTTGGAAGTTTTGCTAATCGAAATTTTTCCATCTAGAATGGCGCAACGTAAACGATACAGACCATCAAATGAACAACCTAGAGAAGGAGGGTACGTGTTATTTTATAGCTGCGAATGGTGAGTGAGATAGCTTTTGTTGACTTCTTTTACTCTTCTTAGTGATGACCCTCGACGACGGGTTCATGTTCATATCCCTCAGGCTGTGGCTCCTGATTATGATATCATTCCTAAAAGCGTTGTAAAGAAAGAAAGAAGGATAAAATCAAAAGAAGTAGGTGTATTTTCATGTTCAACAGCGGTACAGAACTTATGCTTATTTGCTATTTTGTTTACAAAACTTGTAGCAGGGTACCATGAAACGACTCACAAACACGATTCGATCGATGAAGAAATAATAATAATAATAAAGCTATTCAACAATGAAGATTACAAAAGACATTATGACGAAAAGGGATGTGTCGTTTTGGGTGGAAGGATAAAGGAAGGGAAATGAAGGGTGAAGGAGAAAATCTACTTTTTGGGAGTGGCTATCAGAGCACAATTCTCTAAACTAGTTGCAGAATCCACGTAGTAAACCAATTTCACGTCAAATCCAAACTGTTCCAAGTAGCGCACTCGTCCCATATCGATCGCTCGTTTGCATTGATAACCAATCTTTTCTCTATCTGAATGATCCAACCCTGAGTAATGGCCACTAACAATATGCGCGAGAGAGGGTGTGAGTGAATTGATAAATACAGCGTAACCACATTTTATCATCTTTTACCCTTGCCAAATGGGAAAAGAAAGACAAACTTACGTCGTTTGATCAGCATCCTCGGCTTCTTGAGCCGTAGTAGCATGTTCATCTTGATCATCGCCACTACCGCTGCAATCTGGTTGCCGAAGACCACAGATTGCCCAGCTGCTCATTTTGCACAAACGAGCAAAATCCAACTTGTCAAATCCATTCTCGTTCAGGTACGCCGTGTTGGGGTACATTTCATAGCGACAAAGTTGATGACAACATAGCGCAATAATGATGCCGGAGATAGGGTCACTATTTAAATGAAGTTAGCTACCACTTCTATCGCACCGTATTCTCTCTCTCTCTCTTCATCCCCATGTTGATTGATGATACTTGCGTATTGCCAGCTGCCTTTTCGCTTTCAACATAGTTCATTAAGCATTTCAAAGTAATATCTGTGGCACTACCACATAAATGTTTGGATAATGCGACCACTTTTTTCCGCTTGCCAGTTTCCTTGTCGGAAAGTGCTTGGACTTTTGATAAATCCAAATCTTTAATATCGATGGTGACGCGTTGAACGGTAGAGCGGTTGCGTGAATTGCCTAGCAATGTGTTGTCGGTCTTGTTGCGTACCAGTTTTCGATCAATCAAAACGTATGTTGCTTCACCATTTATTTCGGCAACAGCCTGCTTGACATAGCTGGAAAGCTCTCCCTTTCCTGCACCAAATTCAATAAAAGACGCTTCCTTATTGTCCAGCATGCCCTCCTTTGCCATATAACCTAGCAAAGACGACTGCAGTTGCTCACGTATATACATACATATATGAGCTAACTTATCCTTCAAAGTAATATTCTCATTTAGCTGATATTTACCTGTTGATCTAAATGCTTCGTTTGTTTTACACCCTCTCTAAAAACACCAAAGCAGCAGACACCGATTAGCTATTGAATCATTGCGCGTGTAAACATGTTAACACTACCTCTTGCTTTCAGCTGCATCATGCTTAAGCATGGATAGCTCAATTTCCGGTACATGGATATCCTTGACCTCGTCGATCAGGGTCCTTAAATCCTGTTGAGGAAGCTGTGCCAACTGCACCCGCGTGATCCATGGCTGAGCATGTAAATGCTTGTGCGAGAAGATATTCTTTTGAAACTCCAGTTCTTCGGCAGAAAGTGGAATAGTGCAATTGATATTTAAACTGTGAAAAACCTCTGGCTCGCGTGGACGTGAATTGCATTTCGTCTTCATGTGGTTTTCCAAATCCTTTTCGTACACCGTACTTATATATTCATATTAGCCAAGGGAACTTTCCATAGATCGTATATGCAGTATTTTGACAGGGCACTTACTGTGAATTGTCATACGGACAAGGCACACGGCGATCACGTTCACTAGTTTCTTGCTGATTCAAATGCTCACCACAATATTTGTTGGTCTTTTTGGCAGGTAAACTGCAATAACGTCGTTTGCGAGAAACCCAGTAATGACCTGTCAAAAATAAACCAGTGGAGTTAGATCTCACGGGGAAACGAGAAGCGATCAAGCTTGATCATGAGGTGCAAATCAATATTACATTGCTGTGGTTTGTCGGGAGGAGGTGGAATGGGTTCCTCGACCTTTTGCTTCTTTTTCTTTTGTGCAATCTCGGAGGGTTTGGCGTGAGGCTCTTTTGGCATATTGTTGTGTGGAGTTATAGAAATAAAAAAAAATCTCTTTGAGCGTCGCAGCACCGAACTTAAAAATCATGAACCGATCCACCAAGTGCTCTTTCCGGTAGCAAAAGCAGCAGCAGCAGTAGTAGTGGTAACGTCTCGCCTATAGTTGATCATCCGAACCGTCTCTAATGAAGCAATGCTCCAGTTAAGTAAATATTGCAACCATGGTTCTTGCATTTACGTGAGAGAACATTGTCATATATCAACACATGTACTAGAATTACGTGATACGTTACAAGTGTGATAAGATCAACACACGTCGAATAATGGATACACTAGTTACCCCACAGTATCTTACAACTCTTTGCTTAGCTAGAAAATAGCAACTCTCAAACTCAAAACGCGTGGAATACAAAAGCACACGCGTGTGTGTATACGGACATGTATGTTACGCGGATGGAAATAAACACGTACATAAAAAAAGATTAATGCCAAAATTGTGCTGAGCTTTTTCCTCTCTTAACAACTTACACCAACAATGGGCAAATCAAAAAAGAACGCATCGTCGGCACGCGCAGTACCTCCTTCCAAACAAAATCCAGTTGGATCGTTTGATCGATCCTCTTCGCCATCAAGTGAAGAATATGAAAAAGTTGAAAACGTCGAAAACGCCGCGAATTCAGACGATATAAGCAACTGGTCCAAAGTTGGTGGTGGAGCTGATTCCGGAACAGATAATGAGAACAGCAGCAATAATAGTCAGCAACCACCAACATCGTCTACTACCGCTCCTCCCACCACAACAACTGGATCTAAAAAAGTAATTTGCAATGAGACGTGCGAAACAAGAGAGCAGAGAGAAAAGAATCATTCGTTGGCATGGCGTCGGGAACTTTTCATACTGAGCGTTTGAAACAATTTGTAGGAACAATCAATGCTTTCTTCGGATTCAGAAGCTTATCAGGTACGTTTCACTTTGGGCAAACAATCACGGTTTGGTAGGGCGAGGAAAGAACAAACAACTAATAGAAAACGACCTTGGAAATATAACAAATAAAAGGCACACGATGACAACGACAAAAAGCGAACAGTGTCATCCAAAGAACAGGTAAGGCAATGGATTACGATATCAAGTGATGAGCGTTATCTATACTGATACATCGATTCTGTATAATATTTTGCATTATGTAGCAGCCAAGTGCCAGTAAGAACGATAGAGACAATGAAGAGGTACACAAGGAAACCTAATGTAGCAGTAGTCTGTATACGTTGAAGTATCTGTTTGCGAGCACTAACAACAAAACTTCGTCTGCTTGCTTTTAGGACAAGACTTTGATTTATGAGCGCATCACAGAATTGAGGGATAGTGCACCGAAAACACGCAAAGAGGTAATGTTACATGCTGCGTCCCAGCTTTGATACCGATAAAAAAATGGCTAATTGGACTGTCGGGTTGAATCAATGATAGCTTTATCAAAGCTCTTATGCGATCTTTTCGAAAATTGAACAACTCGACAACAAAAAGAAAGCAACCTCACTTTCATATTCATACTCTATCAGTTTAACTCGGTAAACGACTTTCCTTTTGAATGTAAAACAATGAAACGGCAAAAGGATACCTATGTTGCATACGAGCTATTATATATAATATTAACACTTGCTTCTTTCCAGGAAATTCAATATAGCAAAATGTGTAAACGAATACACTAGTCTCCTCTTCCAATATTTTGAATATTTGAACCAGGTTTGTAGCAAATGTATTTACTTGACCAAAAAAAAAAGAAGAAAGAGTGGGATATACTTACAGAATAGCTTTATACGCATGTAGAATGGAGGTGACAAGGATGAAAAGGCATATGTTGGCGATTTGCTGCGGATATGGGATTTATGCGAACGACTTAACTTTTCTGGAAATACGGACGATGCTGTTGTCGCGGATATGGTGGATTGGCTTAGCTTGCATTGGCCTTCAGGTACAAAAGAAGGGGGATGGAACTTCGTACTGCCTCAAGTGATAAATGATATCAACTAGAGCAATTATATTCAACGATATCTTCTATTTAGAAGAAACATCTACGCAAGATCTGCAACGTTTTGGCAGTTTCGACAGTGATGACGAAGAACTTGTTATTGTGGATCACGACGATATCAGCAATGGAGATGACGATCAGGAAGATTCAGAAGAAAAAGTTGCTGTGGACTGGTTACTTATTCGAAGGTAAAGTAATGTTCTATTTTATGTACTTATCAACAGACAAACAAACAATGAACCTTATTCACGCATATGCATTTCATAACACAGAAACTTGTTACGAGGCAATGTTGTGGAAGCCATCCAGATGCTCAAATCTTGTCTCGACACACTTTCTGCGGACAATCGAGGCTGCTTGAAACGCGTCATCCAGCTTGCCGAGTCTATGCCCACCTTACCACAACGACAAAATGACGCCAGCAGTTTAGCCGCCTGGCAAGCTTGGACGATATATCGATTGCAAGTCAGTGACGAGTTCGAAGGATTTCTTTCGAGTGGAGCTTCTTCTCAAGGCATTCAGCTTACTGATCGACGCGTGCGTAAAGAAATCAATCATTTGCTCAAGATTCTGTGTGGTGATGAAAAGGTGATTAGCAAGGCTGGCACGTTCCTGGAAAGTTTTGTTGGGTACTTGATCTACTGCGAGCCGTTCCGAACACGCACAGACACAGCTGCTGTTGCCGAACGTCTGTTCCTCCAGTCTTCTTCTCTTTCCACGTCAGACGAACAGCAACAACAAATCGATGTGGTCCTTGCTGCATGCCAATACATCCTGCTCCGTGACTGGGATGGCGCTTTAAGCGTGTTTGATGATTACTATCTGCAAACACATATTGGTCATGCATTCATTTGTGCAGGCATCATGGACAGAGGCTGTGGACCGGCGCCTAGTATGGCTCACGAGGCGTGTATCAATCCAGTGTATCATATCATGAATGCATATGCAAACTCGATTGCACATGAGGAAGATATGTGGGAAGAGGCCATGGGCTATGTTTCCGCATGCAGTACGAACCGTGACTACTGGGCCAAAGAAGTATGTATATGATGATTTAAAAGAAGAGAGAAAGGAGAAAAAGAAGAAGAGGATCTAACATTACTTTTGGATCACAAATTTACTGATGTATTGTATACAACGTAGTTGTTGAACGAACGGATAGAATCCGCCAAAAGCACTGATGATTTGAAAGAAATGATGCAAACCTGTGATGACTACCAACTTTTAGAGCTAAAGAAGCTGCTATGCAAGGTGAGTTGCAGGATTGCCACCCGTGCATTTCCCCTGACCCTCCCCTGACTTTTTGCTTTCCTACGTCCCATGTTTTCACTTTCGCCACCTGAACTAAATATGCTTTACACAACACACAACATATCCAAAGGTTATGGCAGAAAAGTATGAAGAAGAAGGCAACACGCAAGAGGCGACTATCAGTTATGCCACAGCTGGTGATGTTGCTTCTTTGGACAAACTGGCGGATAAGGCACTACAACGATATCTGGAAAGTGGTAAAGTATATGCTACCTTTATCTGTATACGTATTCACTGTATGCACGATAAATGTGACTGACTATATATCCGGATGCTCGTCGTAGGTGTTCTGGAACAAGTTGTTACGGAAACAAATGAGATTCGGGCTACTATAGAAAAGAGCACACACTACAAGTTTCTTTTCCAATACCAACGGTTACGCAATCTTCTCGAGGTAGTGTCACAAAAGTGCTTCATCAAAGAAGAAACAGCATGGAAACTGACGTCTATTATTTGTTTATGGCCAATCTCGGAACCTAGAAAAACCAGCATGACGAGGCTGCAAATCTTATCAAGCAGATGTTGACGTCCATCGATGCCCCTGCAGAATTCCAGGTCATTTTGCTGATTGACAGTATGTCCATATTAGAAGGTATTTACTGCACAGCTGACTGCTTAGCGATCTAGTGGTCTTTCCAAAGCCTTTAGTACCATTATCAATGCATACGTCTGATTGTTTCTTTTTTTTCTAGAAACGACCAACGACCGTGTTATTTTCAGTGAAAGCGAGACATTAGATTTGATGCGACGGCTGCAACGAACGCGCAACAGCCTGCATGCAAACGTATTCACGCAATGCTATAACCGTGTCCGACCATCCTCACCCCCTCTTGCTGGAGCAACAGATAGCTGCTCTTCCATTACCAACGACAACGATGTTGTTTCCAAAATATCACAAAGTCTGGCGTTTAATCTTGCCAATGCACTTATTTCACAATGAAAAATAAAAAGTCTTAGTGAGTAATCTAACAATCAAGAAATTTTTGTGTCTATTGACGGGGAGCATGGTACTCTTCTTGCTCTCCGCCATCTTTTCGGCGACGCCGCCGCCACACTGGTGCAACCAAAGCCGCGGGCTCATGAGTTCTAATTGATGATAAACTACAAAGCTGTGATGAGACGGGGGGGGGGGTTCTTCTATGCACCGCCACACCACACACTTTATCTATTGGCGCAAAAAAAAATAAAGGTAGTGGATATGGTCGGTAAACCCCAGGTGGTTATAAAAAGGTGACCCGCAAAAAATTGTAAAATTCAAATAGCGGTTGAAGGGGACTCGCAAAATGAAATCAGAACCCCGTTCCCGACTCATTATTGCTTATACATTTTTCGCTTTTCTTTTCCTTCTTTCTTTCCTTCTCCACTTCTTTTCCTCTTTAGTTTAATTCAACCTACTTTCCTTTTTGTACACACGCATTACAATAAAAATAGTTTATTGGCTATGGATGGAGGCTCGTCGCCATCATTGGACTGGTCCAATGTATTAACTGCTTCCATCTTTGTATTCTTTACCGGTACATATCAAGCATGTCCTTTTCATCTGTAGCAACCACTGTTCTTTTACAACAAACAGAGATTAACAAAAACATCCTATATCAACGTCGCACACGAACGTTTATATCATTCCATAGCATGGATCAGTCATTCCTGGGGCTTACGGTTAGGTTTTCCGCTGATCATATCAAGTATACGATGCGTATTGCAGCTCACACTGATGGTATGCTTGATTTAAACTGCTTTCATATTATTTGCTGTACAGCAAAATGCTGATTTCTAGCATGTATAAAGGGCCTTGTCCTCGACGACGTGTTAAATGTCAATAATGCCACGCCAGTAATGCTGATCACAGGTAAACAAAAGAAGCCTTGTCCTCTATCAAGATCCTACACACCAAACAAATTATATATATAATTTTTGCGTCTAAACTAATGATGCATGAATATAGTTGCTTTGGTACTTGTTGGATCGTACGAAACTGTGTTCCATCGTACTAGCAGGACGCTTAAAGGACTGGTAAATGACGTTATATCGGAATTGCTGCAAGGAGATTCCTTGTGATTTTATGAAGAGATCAACTGACTCGTTCGTTATATTGTTTTATCAGTTCCCGATCATCTTTCTGGTTCTGCTGATTAGCAATGGCGTGGTATGTTTTCTGGGCGTGACGCTTGCATTGAACGAATCACCCTTTTGGAAACCGGTTACTTTTATTCCCGTGATGGGTATGTTGCTCGGCAACTCGATGGGCAGTGTTGCCATGGCCACTGGTGTATGCATTGAATCTATAGCGTAAGTAAACGACAAGAGTAAAAAAAAATAACATCAAGGACATGTTACACGGGGGAAGCTCACATCAAAAGCAAAAACGCAGGCTTCATGCATCGGTTATAGAAACGCGATTGTCATTTGGCGCCTCGCGATACGAAGCAGTCAAATCATTGGCAATACAAGCTATTCGTATGTCCATGCTGCCATCGCTAACACAGCTGAGCGTGATGGGCATGATAAACATACCTGGGATGATGACTGGCCAAATCTTGGCCGGAACGCCCGTACAACAGGCTGTTATATATCAAGAAGTAATCATGTTCATGGTCTCGGCGAGCTGCGGGTTCGGTGTGCTGATGACTGTTTGTGTAAGTTACGGTGTCTCCTTTTCGTGTGTGTGGTGTGTTTTTATTTGTTTGCTTCACAGAAAGAGGAATGTTCAGAGGAAAAGAGAGTTTAGTAACTCGAAATCTATTTTCTTAGGCATGTATGCTGTTGCTTGTTGATGGGCATCATGCAATACGTAAAGATAGGATTGTAGAAGCCCATCCGGAATTTATACGAATAGCATGTCGCCGAGTGTTTTATGGCATTCAGTGGCTCGTACGATCTTGCTGTCGATCTGGTCCTCGTCGACGTCACCATGAGTGATTAGTTATCACCTAAAAAAACGCATAGTAGCATACCCTTATTTACCTCCTACACCGCCCATTTACACTCACACACACCACCCTCTGCATTTTACACTCTAACTCGTATTTTTTTTCCTTTTAGCATTTTGAGCATTTCGAGTTAATCATTTGCATGTAGATTAGAAGTATTGTCATTTTGCCGTTTGTTTTTTCATTTTGCAGTAACAGTAATAATGATTAATATAACATTCAAAAGAAATTCTATTCTTTCCAATTGGTGTATCAGCGCTAGGCCATGAAACTTAACCAATCCCCGATAAGCTATGCCATAATGCGTGGATATATAAAGTTCCCAAAAGTTGAATTGGTTCCTTTTTTCTCTTTCTTTGAACAAAATCTCCCTTTTCCTTCTCACATAACCATGGGTCTTTTCTCAAAACGCTCCTCTACCGCTGGCTCCCCTGCACAGCCTCAACCGTATCAAGAGGCGCCTCCACCGTACTCGCAAAGCAATGCTTCGCCCGGTCCTCAGCAACAACAACAACAACCATCCCCGAGCCAACAGCAAGCACCGAAGCAGCAGCCTCAGCAGCAGTATGCACCTCCTCCAACGCCCAATGAGCAAAACCCTGATAGTCGGCCGTTAGACTCTGGATGGATCACACAGTTCGATCCTTCTTCAGGACGATGGTTCTACGTATATACACCACAGGCGCATCGTCAATGGGAACATCCTGCAGATAGGCCCATGGGTGCTCCGCCACCCCAGCAACGTGGAGCTCCAGATGGCTATGGACAGCAGCAACCTTATGGTCAACCCTATGGACAGCAGCCTTACGGACAGCCTTACGGACAGCAGCCTTATGGTCAACAACCTTATGGACAGCAGCCTTATGGACAGCAGCCTTACGGCCAACAACCTTACGGCCAACCCTATGGTCAACAACCCCAGATGATGATGGCAAACCAAAGACGAGGTGGTGGTGGCGGTATGGGCATGGGCGGTGCTGCACTAGTTGGTCTCGGAGCTGGTGCACTTGGTTTCATGGCTGCCGATGCCGTCTTTGATGATGATTGTGGTGGAGGCGATATGGGCGATTTCTAATCCTTCTTACATAAACATTGCGCACTCTACTTTGACATGACGTATATTTTCTCTGTTGCAACATAAACACACACGCATAATTATATATGTATATTTATACGGACGTATACGAATATGAATATCCCCTTTATTACACAGACGAAAACCTTGTAAATTGTATAATTAATTTTCATAACCTGCAAAACAAAAAGAATTTAAGCTTTTTTCTTCTTTCCTTTTGGCCGTGGACCTTGTCGTAAAACAACGGGACCAGAGGGTGAGAGAATAACAAGAATTTTCTCTTGCAACCAGCGGAAGTGCAAAAAATGGGGTTTCCGGTTCTCATGATCACCAGGTTTTCCGTCGAATTTCTTGTGCGGGTCTTTGTTTGAGTTATTTGATAGGATGCCGTCGACAGCGATTGGGTGAAAGCTCGATCCAACATTTCAATTAAATCCGTGATCGTGGATAAGCAATCTTTTTTTTGGAATCATCGATTGTTCCAAAGAAAGATCGTCATGACCTGAGCCAAGAAGTGTGCGCACATGGAATGTTGCACAAAAAGTAGGGGCATCAAGACACCACATCCATCGATGATCGAAAGGAAGCTGCTGAGCAGAAAGCATGCATCAAAGGGAAAAGGCACACGTAAGCTGCTGCCTTCTTCTTTTGGAAAACTATGCACAAGATGGAGGGGCACTGTTATCTTGGCCAGGGTTCAACCCAAAGTCGAGAGAACAAAACAAACAGGTTGGTATTTACTTTAGGGGGGAGGACGATAATTACAGTAAACGAAAGAACAACGGAAAACAAACAAGAGTCTATGTATTGTATATAAAGCGTGGATGTGGGACGATCTATGTAGTAGTAGTGGTTTTAAGAGGGATCAAGCTGTATACGTATTCCAGCACCAGGAACTGGAGGGAATGAATCGGAAATGCGCGCAACAACGTAACATTCAAGCCACGATACAGTCCACGCACACCGTCGCGCTGTACTACATCCAAGGTGCATGCACGGATGGATTTGTATTTGGGGTCATCCATCATGACCTGCTTCTGCAGTCGGCTCTTGACCAAGTCGACAGGAAACACAATCAGCCAGCTCAAGACACCGCACATGCCACCGGCCATAAAGTGCGTCATTGGGCTGGACTTGGCATCAGGCCGGTTACCACTCAACACACGTTTGACCGTCTCGTAGGTACCGAAATAGATGGATGTGCCCATTGTCTCCCGGACCGTGTGACACCGCAATCCACTCCACAGACCGAAAATGCCCTTTTTCTGAACAATCTGTCGTGCAGCATTCCAGGACGATGATGATGCTGTAGACAGACCCTTTTCCTTGGCAATCATTTGCTCGAGCTGACGCTGGATCTTGATCAGTTCGAGTGGACAGCTGAGCACAGCAATAAAGGCACCGCTCGATGCACCGCTCAGCGATGCGAGCGTTGTCAATGAGCCGAGCGTTTGGCCATGGAGACCCGGATAATGCTTCAGACGGTGCTTTGTGCCTTCATAGACCGAAAACGATACCGATTTGATCGCGCTGACAGTAATCAGGGGTGGTATCATGCCTGTTTATCATCGCAAACAAGGATTTAGCCACTTCTTTTCTTACTCCTAACGTAGTATGCATGACATGATGATCTATAGTATCTACCTCGAAAAAAACCTCGAGCACCTTCCTCCTTGTAGGTTATCTTTACACATTCCATCAGGGAATTATAATGATGCGTTTGCATTCGTGTCTTGACCGAATCAAACTATAGTTTATATACGAGAGTTAGAAAAAGTCCAGTGGATAGGCCTCTTTATGCGTTGTCCGACTCGTTTGTCTTACCGGAAAACCAGAAAGAACCGATGTCACTGCAGCACAGGAAGCGGCAACTGCTGTCCTGTTTGCTAATATCATACAAACAATTTCTTAGCCACTGAATACAGTAATTCAAAGGTCTCCAGTGACAGTCGAGCGAAATAGATAACTAACCAACAACGATATCCCACCACTTTGACGACGATGAATGTGGTTCGACATTGCCCCGGATATCGAGTAGTGATTCGTTTCTGTTTATTATTTTTCAGTCCCAACAATAAAGTATTGAGCATCTTGATTGTTCTCGTTTTTTACACAAGGGACCCGTTTCTCTCTTTGAAAATTAGAAAGAAACAATGCCTTACCTGAGGTTTTTCAAAGTCATACTCTCCACGTTCTCATTCGAATCAAACGTTAACAGAAAGAATGGATAAGCGAAAAGAAAAGTTACAGCAAGTTGAAAAAAAGTAAGGTGAGCCTGACTTCAAAAGGAAATTAAAGTTCGTCGGTATACCCATCGACACGGTTTACCAACAAGGTTGACTTTTTCTTTCCTTACAAAAAAAATACCTAAATGGATTCAGCAGAAATTCGAAATGAGATTATTGCCACAATTACCAACGCGCTTTTGTATCCAGAAGTGTACGGCGATCGTTTTTTTGCACAACTTGTTTCCTCGGACGATCGCGGATTTGTACCGCTGACACTAATTCAAAACATGATCAAAGAACTTGATACGGTGCCGGTCAAATATATCGAACATTGTGCAGACAAGGAACCTGATCGACTGCAGCTCAGTATTGATCGTACCAAGATAAGGATTGCCGGACAGTATGAGGACGACCCAATGGATGAGCGGGAACGCGAAACTGACGCCTACGGCAAGCAGCAGCAGCAGCAGCAGACGATAGCTCAAGAACGAAAAGACACATCGTCATCGACACCACCATCGACACCCTCGTCACCATCATCGTTTAAAACAGCACCATCATCACCAATAAAGGAAGAAGAAGAAGGAACAGAGCCACCACGAAACAAAGCATCTGAATACTTTCGACCGTATATTCCATCATATGCATCAAAACAATCAATTGCAGCCCCGATCTATTATAACAACGGCAAATTCTACAATGATGAGAGAGAGTTGAACAAAATAGTGGGTCGAGATCGACCAGTGGAGGTTCCGTCATATGAAAGACTTGAAGTCGATACAATAGGTGATTCGAGGATCAGGTAACTCATTCACTCGCTTTAAAGAAAGGAAATCACGACAGTTGATTGAAGGATTGTTTACACATGTGCTTTCGATTGTTTGTTTTTTCTTAGAGAGAACGTACACGTATGCTGGAACTGTGGGAGCGAAGTACATAAGTACAGTGATTGTCCCAAACCGCGCAATGATGCCATGGTCAACGAGTATCGCAAACGTCTCAAGAAGAATGCCAAGGGGCAACCCAATATGGGCCGATTTTTCATGAACTTGGAATTCAAAGACAAGATTGACAAGCTTCATCCTGGACGCATATCCCTCCAGCTGCAAGAAGCATTAGGTATGGACAATCGGTACCCTGAACCACCGTACTATTCGAAAATGCGACAACACGGATATCCGCCTGGGTATTGGGGAACTCCTGAAGATAAAGGTATCATTTGCTTTTGCCACAAAAAAAAAGTCATTCCACTATTTCCCTCGAGAACAGAAACCTCTTTAATAATTAATCTTTTTTAAAAGATGCGCTATTATCTCAGTGGAACGATTCTATTGGTTGTTCTGAAGAGCTGCTTTATGAGAACGTCCCAGAGCTAAACATTTATACGGATGCTGAATCTTACGAGCAAAACCACGATGAAGATGATGAAGGTCCAGTGATAAGCGTTGGAACAAACGAACGTGTCAAGTTAGTCCATTATCCCGGTCTGGAAACAAGGAGTGAGCTGCGAAAACACAGGCACACGACGACCACTACGCCCCATCTGGACTATACCTATGCCCCGGCTTACTATTTGGAAAATAGTCAACCGTACTCCAAAACGACTCGTACTACTACGGCTGACAATACCACCACCACTGTTACTGCTACTGTTCCTACCGCACATGTGCAGACAACAGCGGCAACCGAAGTTTACCCATCACCATCTCCAGTTCCACCAACACAAGGATCACAAGAGCAGTATTACTATTCGTATTACTATCAGCATTCTCAACAACAACAATATCAACCATCTGTACCTTACTATCCACATTCTGATTACCCACAACCTGTACAAAGTAGCATTTCCGGGATTCCCCAGCTGGAACAACCTGTATCATACCTCCCAGAGAAAGCCGATGAAAAGATGGATGATGGCGAGTCTGACATGGACATCTCTGATGTTGACGACTAATAAACATTTATGTTTTCTGATCTACACGTTATTATTACATGTTTTGGGACAGTCATCTATTCAAGGGGATATATCCGTGATGCTCCTTGCCGTCGAAGGGTTATGCGTCCGAGACGACAATTCATGCTGCTGGTTTTGAATAGTTAGCCTTCTCGCACCTTTTGATTAGGCTTGAGCTAATAATAGTGCACTCTTATCTGTCATCGCCGTAAGATCCTCCAGCTGTACTTACCTTGGTATTTTTTGGTGCCTGGAGCACATTTGTGTGATGAGAATTGTATTCCTTGTAAGCTTGAACTTGCTCGTTGCTCACAGAAGTAGTTGGTTTGAACACACGACCAGACAAAAAGGTTGTGAACTGCCTACTAAGTTACAACTATCAGGATTCAAGGGGTTTGTATTATCATAAACAAGAGTGAACCTGATAGCAATGCACTGTGCTAGCATGCTCACAGTCTAGTACAGTAGTTGGCTCAACCTTTATCATGTATAAACGAAAACACGTAATCAGAAAAGTCAATTGCGAGATGGGAAAACCGTGGGTTGTGCATTTTACTTGATTTGTAACGAATATCCAAAAGTGTGCTAAGTAGTACCAGCAACTAAATCAGATAAGGTTTTCCTTGTTTAACGTCCGGTAGAGCGATCAATGAGAGGGGAACAGCTGTGGTTGCACTGCATATCCATCATTACTTACCCGCCAAATGACAAGAGGACTGAAGGTAAGTGACCGTCCATCGTTTGCTGTATCCGTCAGAGACAAAATTCATTGAATCCTCCGAGATAGAAACTCAATATGCGTACCTCGACATGGACAGGTATAATTTTTCAGGCTTTTACTAGATATAATAGTGTCTTGTCAGTGGTTAAAAGTGATAAGCGATAGGCTAAACTTTGTCAGCATCAAAATTGCCTATGCACAACCCGACGCTCGGCCCTTCCCTTTGAACGATGGTTACCTTCTGTCACACCAAAATCTCCGCATAAAAGTGGAAAATGCGGCCGCCCCGACATGACGGAACGTTTTTTTTTTCTTCTTTGCCTCTTTTTCTTTCTTTTTCTCTCTTTCTTTCGAACAAAGGAGTGTTCAGTTTTTTCGTCCCCTATTTGCTATGGCGGCAAACTACACAGCCCTGCCGCAGGATGTTCCCGGCGCGGAAACAGGAAGTGCATCTATGAAACCATCTCTTTTGGATAAGACCCGTCAATGGTGGAACAAGAAAAACTATGACGAACGGGCACCTTTGCTCGATCGCAAAAGAATGACGCTTGAACCTCCGAAGAAGGCTACCCTCAAGGTTGTCTTGTGGGTGGTCGCTGTCATCTTTTCTGTCTTGATTCTCGGTGCTGGTCTTGTTCTTTGGCTGGAAGATGAAAATACTGGTAAAGAAAAAAGCAATAAAATCAAGTGCATTGCAAAAAAAAATAGTCTTTTGTCATATCACGGTGCATTTTGAAAAAGAAGTAGCGGCTTCCTTGACTTTGCGTAAAACCGTATATGGTTGTGTGCATATCCTTATTATCAATCCCACCTTCACACTATGTAGAGCCTGTCCAACATGTTCTTACAACGGCTGAAAAACTGATGCTCGAACTGCCTTCCAACGAGAATACGCGCGATTTCTTAAAGATCTACACCTCGGAAGCCCATTTGGCCGGTTCTGAAGCCGATAAGCGCCAGGCTGAATGGACTCGCGACAAGTTTATTGAATTTGGCATCGAAGACACCAAGATCGAAACTTACTACACTTTGGTCAACTATCCTTTGGAAAGACGCCTTGCACTGGTGTCTGGTCCAGAAGAATTCCGTTACGAAGCTGAGCTTCGCGAAGATCCTGTCGATGAAGATGAGACGAGTCAAGATCCTGATGTGGTTCCCACGTTTCATGGTAAATAACAACAGCAGACAATAATATAGAGAGAGTGAGAGAGACAGAGAAAAGCAAGCTGAGTGGGTAGAAAAAACAATAATGAGGGAGAGACGACAACAAAAGAAACCTTAAATCAATTCTTATGTTGCTATGGATATGTTACTCAGGCTACTCCAAAAATGGAAGTGTCACAGGCCCTGTGGTGTATGCCAATTATGGCCGTCTGGAGGATTTCCAATATCTGGTCGACCATGGTGTCAACCTGACTGGCACAATTGCTTTGGTGCGTTACGGTGGCGCATTCCGTGGTCTCAAAGTGCGTGCCGCCGAAGTATTTGGCTGCGTTGGTGCGCTCGTTTATTCCGATCCTATCGATGATGGACCTCTGAACAAGGAAGGATACCCGTACGTGAACCCAGCCAAGCCTTATCCCGAAGGCCCCTGGCGCTCGGAAAGTTCTGTCCAGCGCGGATCGGTCGAGTACCTGTCCTTGATTACTGGTGATCCGACCACACCTGGCTATGCTTCTACCAAGGATGCTCCCCGCATCAAGATGGAAGATTCGCCTGGCTTGCCCAAAATCCCCTCGTTACCCTTGTCGTACCGTGATGCTTTGCCCTTGCTGAAGGCAACCCAAGGTCGTGGCGTTCGTGGTGAGCATGATTGGGCTGGAGGATTAGAAGACGTCGACTACTACAGTGGTCCCACAGAAGGGGATGCCATTTTGGAAAACATCCTTGATTACAAGATCACTCCTATCTGGGATACTATTGGCGTTATCAAAGGTTCTCAAGAGCCTGACAAAGCGATTATCTTGGGTGTGTATATTATTCTGTCATCTTTCAAAACAATATGTAAACACGTGACAGGAACAGGTTTTGCTGATCGTCCGGATGTTTTGTATCTAGGTAACCATCGCGACGCTTGGGTATACGGTGCCGTCGACCCTTCATCCGGCTCCGCTTCTATGGTAATGAACAAACTCACATTGCAACAACTGCTATTCGCAACGACCTAACCGTGCTTTATCATTTAGCTTGAATTGGCCCGTGTCTTTGGTGAGCTCCTCAAGACTGGCTGGCAGCCCGCACGTACTATCATCTTGGCTTCGTGGGATCAGGAAGAATATGGCTTGGTAAATTTTTAGCAAGAAAAGTGGGTGCAACGAAAACGCCAGTATCAGTGTTGATTGAACAAGATGATGTTAATGATGCGTAGGTTGGCTCTACGGAATGGGTTGAAGACAACAGCGACTGGCTTAGCAAGGAAGGCACTGTGTACATTAACGTTGATGTGGCCGTCTCGGGTCCACACTTTCAAGCCCAAGCATCGCCTTCCTTACAGCGATTGCTGTACGAAGTAACTAGCTATATCCCTGACCCACGTACCAACAAGACTGTGTATGAAGCTTGGGGCGACTTCACCAACCGTACTGGCACGCCTGCTGCCCAACCCTTTGTTGGCCAATTGGGCTCGGGCTCCGACTTTGTCCCCTTTTTGGATCACTTGGGTATTGCCAGTATCAGTCTTGAATTCGATGGCGACTACGGTGTTTACCACAGCAACTACGACAGCTTCCACTGGATGGATACTTACGGCGATCCAGGTTTCTACTACCATCAGACCATGGTCAAAGTCTGGGGCATGCTTGCGCTCCGCTTGGCAGACAGCCCAATCTTGCCTTTGCATCCAGGCGACTATGCTGATGCACTGACAGAATATGCTTCGCGTCTTTCAGTGTATGCTGAAAGCAAAAAGGATAAGGGCCCATTCCCGATCTTGAGCAAGGCTATTCACAAGTTGTCCAAAGCTGCTAATAAGTTTGAAAAGAACTTGGCTCGTTTGGAATATCAAGTACAGGGCTACAACAATGTGGCTAGTCTTCCCTCAAAACTTGCCCATCGTGTCGCCAAAGCGAACGATCGTTTAACATACTTTGAGCGTGGATTGTTGGACCCTGAAGGTATCAAGGATCGTACTTGGTTCAAGCACGTTGTGGTACGTTTTTTTAATTATCTTGTGGCTAAATGCTCGAAGAGCGAGCAGGCGATTGATTTTCTTTTTGGATCATGATAGTACGCTCCTGGACTGTGGACCGGCTACGCTTCCCAAGTATTCCCAGCCATTGCCGATGCATTGGACGAGGGCGATGCTGATCTGGTTAAGCACACTGAGAAAAGGGCCGCCCTCAGCATCAACCAGGCCAGAAAGTCGCTCAAAAACTAAGAATGATTCCATTTCTATTAAATATTCAAGTTTTTCCATGTATAATAAAGGTTGTTTATATTTATTGTGTGCCCGAGCACTCATTACAGTTTACAATTTGTACACGGAAATGATATGTTTGGAAGAAGCGCGGGTATTAAGTGATTTTGTAGCTTTGTTTGTAACTTCATCGTTATTATACATTACAGTTGTACCCCGGTTTTTGCAACCGAGGGTTTTCCGAATTTTTTTTTGCAAAAAGTGAGGATTTGCAAGTAACGGGGTAAACAATTCTGCTTCAAATAGACACTGGATAAGTCATCCTATTAACACTAGCCCATTGTTTATCTGTCAGAGATTATGTACGATACGTTCTATTGGGAATATTCATACAGCTCTAAATGTTACTATCATACTTGCATATATAAGGCCGTTCTTTTATTAAGCTGTCTAGTGGTTTGATAATTATTAGCGCTTTTAAGCATGACAAAATCGTTCCACAAGTTCACATTTAAGCAAGAGGAACCTACGACGAGCACTTGAGCGGGCGGTGGACGATAACGCTGATTCGCCTATTCCAGGGCCAACGTCGAAGGGAAAACAGGTTGCAATTGCAGGAGTTTTGAGCTTTTTGGATAATATCGATGACTGAGACTTAAAGAAGTCTTTGCGTAGGATTCAAGAGAGTCTCAGGCAGCAATCATTCTCCCGACAATCATCCCTTGATGACTTCTTCGATGTATGTAGTTGAAAGCTCATTTGAGCAAACATTCTGTTTCTATATCTATATGTAGTGTGTTCACTTTTTCTTATATCTTCATCATTTCTTTTATGGATTCAACCCAATCAGTGCTATATATGTGTCCCGATTCTACTGGCTCAACTACCAAGTAATAATTTTTATTTCGACAAAAAATACATCTTCATATTTACATATTTATCTTGCAGTAACCGTATCATTTTATTCCTCATAATGCGCAACAGATGCTTCTTTCAGTTGATATTGCAAAAATTGAAGCTGTTTTTACCCCGATAACGTGCAAATCGTATAAACTCATTTGCAAGTTGCAAATTTGCGAAACTACTAAGTTTTCTTTTGGATTTCTCAAAAAAAGTTGCAGATATACGAGGAATTGCAAACCCGGGGGTTGCAAAAACCGGGGTACAACTGTATGACAAACAATATATGGCGCTGTAATAGATAGAGGAGTTACCATTATGTATCAACATTAGAAAATAATTTCTTTCTACAGATATCTCATAAGATTTTGTAGTAAATCATCAATATCCCATGATTCTTCTCGCACAACCAGACGATCCGTGCCAATCTGGTCCCAGCCACGTATATAAATGACCCGGGCCGAGCCTGCAGTAAACCCTTCAGTGGTCATCAATGCGCATCTTATGACCTCTTGACTCTTTTCGCTCAGTTGGGTGCTCTCTAAGCCAGGTTCGACCCAATGTTTTATACCAAAGTCGTCTAACATCAACTCCTTTGCCATCGAAGATTGCAATTGTGTCGGTGGTACGTTCAAGGAGTAACTACGCCGTTTGGCTGTACGGTGCTTCTGTGGTCTTGCATCCAAGGGACATGCATAAATCTGGCTATGGATACTCTCTGGACTTGCTGAGGAAACGGGAATAGAGCGTGGTGGTGACAAGCTGTCTAACAGATCATCCGACACTGGCGATGTGCTATGTCGATTTATTGACTTGACAAGCGAGGTATCGCCAACCCGTCCGGCAAATTGTTTGGCAATTTTTATGCTTTTTGATGGCGACGCACCTCGGCTCCAAACGTGCTGAAATATGGATTTGTCTTTTGACCATGGCTGTGATGACAAGTCCGATACGCGGCGAAAGAGACGTGGCCGAGATCCACTCAAGTGCTGCTGCTGTGGGTCATGGTCTCCTGGTTTCGTTTCAGCAGGATGAATTGGATAAATCTCCTTGTGTTCGGCACCACCGCCTGTATCCGTAACTGTCAAAACAAACTTTTCTGCGCTACCGCTGCTACTATTAGGAGATTTGGTGCTTTTGCGTGAACTTGCATCCTTTCCCGGTCGTAAGCTGCTGAACGGTGGTTCTCGTTCGAATGACCGTAGCCGTTGCAGGATTGGTCTTTTGCCCTTTGGATCGAGATTATCTTCGCTGTCGCCTACTTTAAGTCGATCTTCTTGGCTACTTACAGTGCACCAGGAGCGCGCATAAGCTCCGGAGGTCTTGGGTTTGTCTAAGCTTGTTGCCGAAGGATTAAAATTAACCGCGCGAATACTGCTTCGTCTAAAGAATTGGTCTGAGCTGTCGCTTTCGTCAGCTGTGTCTTCTGCTGCTGCTTCCTCTTGCTCTTCTTGCTTTTGCATCTGATCGGCAGTTGCAGGTTCTGATGATGATCCACCCTTTGGTACTGGCTGAAGTGGGGCCGCTCTTCCTGTCGTAACGTCAACTAATTCGACCGGTCGTTCGTGGTTATCCGCGTTTGGTTTCACACCGAACACTTTTGTTAACAGCCAATGCATAAACATGGCAATATATGGGTGCCGATATGGCTCTACTATCTGGACTGGCTCGTTCCTGGGTTGTACCGATGTTGTATTGTTGTTCGAACTGAACGTGCTTGCACCACTGTTCCTCAAAGTTGACCCATTGGGCAATGTATGCTGCCGCTGCAACATGTCTAGCGCCCATATCTCATTCATACTCAAGGTTTCCATATGAGCTCTTCGTCTCGAATTTCGGTTACCACTAATGCGGTGCATTGGCATCATGACGATCCGATCATCTTGCTCCACCAAACAAGGAAATAATGTTTCATAGACGCTCGTGATCAACACGAGAGCACGATGTCGTTCTTCTTTTTGTAATGATGGAGATCCTGGTATCGATGTTATTTCGGCAGTAGTGTTGACACGATCCACCATTTCAGCAATACGACCATGTGGATCACGGGTATCGATATGTGGGTATGTATATCGTCGTCCTGTTGCTATCTGTGCAAGAGTTTCTTGTTCTTCTCCCCTTTCCTTTCTTGCTCGAGTATTGGCTAATATGCCATTGGCCACAGACGAACGCCCAGCAACCATATCTTGTACCGTAAGTCCATTCAAATGTTGTACGTTGTTTGCTGACACGGCATCATCACTGTTATCGCTAGTAACAGGTGAAGATGTTGTATATAAGGATAAATCTGACCGGGAAGACTGTTTGGAAATAATGGACGCGTCGTCAGCACTGAAAAGCCGGCGGGAGCCTCGACTCGGTGTTCTGTCATGGGAGGGACGCGCAGGTGGTACGCTAGATGGCGGCGGCTGTGATGGTTTTCTAAGTAATGGCTGCGCGGGACAGTACTCATATACATAGCGGCGTTTAATGCGCTTGCCAAGTTCGCGAGCCACTGCAATCACAGACGGGTCTGTAAAATAGATACAGCTAACAAGAACACCTACGGTAATTTCTCTTTATAAATAAGGCTCAAAACAGAAATAGAATGTATTTGATAGTGTGAAGGGTACGGAAGCTGTGCTTTTAATTCATAAACACTTTTTTTTGTATACTTACCGATTAGGTTGCCAAGAAATGCATCAATAACCAGTGCAGCAACAGGTATATACTTTTTTGCAATGCTTGCAGACTCTATACCTACTCCCGCTCCTTTACATATTACAGGTACTAAAAGAACAGTAAAATCCGAATGATTAAGAAATTATAGGAGGGTGCTACCCTTCATATCATTTTGTTTGTTTATCATCGCACTTACTAAGAGGGTAGCAAATGCACCGCAAAATTACTTTACGGAAGATAACAGTAGATTTTTGGCCAGTGCGCATCGGTCGTCTTCTCGGCATCACTTCCGTATGGGCCGAAGCATCTCCCCGTGAAGCCATATCCAATGTGCCTGCAAACATATCTTGTCGCCGCAGAAACTTGGCAATGGTCAGGGTGCTGCATATAGTCGCCAGGATAATGGCAAGCAAAAGACAACAATAGTACCACAACTACTTTTTTGATGACATTCTATTTTCGTGTTAAAATATCTGGACTGAAAGCATCTGAGCTCTATGTATTATGACCTTAAATATTGGCAACTTGCCCATTTACGGTAACGCGAAACTCGACCGACAAAGTAGTAATGATACCTATACAAAGCATAATCAAGAAAGTAAGGTTTTTAGTGGGCAGGATGTAATCGCTTATATCATATCTATGCCATCCTTTACGCCATATGTACCAGCAAGATTTCCCCGACATTTCCGCCCTTTCGAGAGTAAATGCCATTGGTACCAATATGCCTACTAGCATGAAGAAGATGGTGAATGCGTAGTAGTATTTTTCCATTTTTGCTGGATGGTTGACTCGAACTATCAATATCATAACGAGATTGACGCCAATCATTGCAAGGCACCAGCATAATCCAATGTCTGCAGATAGGATAAAGTATATCATCACAGTACATGCGGTTGACGTATCGATGATGCCAGTGATAACCACTGTCATTGTTGTGTAGATGATATTGTAGAAACATGCACATACAATCAGGCGTAGCGAGATACGGTTGACCGTGGATGCTTGATACCAGAGATTATGTAGGTAGCTCAGGATAACGGATACGCTCATTAAGAGCGAGACACCCCCCGTACCTTGAACGAATCCGAGAATTAGTGTTCGTCCTGCTTCTTCTGCGAAATCTGGATCCTGTCCATTGTTGTCCATATTTGCGCGTGCAAAGGTTGGTAAGAAGAGGAAGATGAAAAAGACGTAATGGCGGAGAGAAAAAAAGTGGGAAGAAAGGGGAAGATTATGAGGATGCGATTTTCCGAGGAATGGATTAGTGTTTGGACCAATGTATTACATACTGAGTTCAGTATCAATTCTGACGTTCTTTGACGTTACGAGCCACATCACTATCATTTGTCACCTTCGCACCACGTTAGTTCATAGCAATCATTTAGTGTACGCCATTAATTAACTTATCATTTTCAACCCACATCCGACCTTTGCTACAGCACTATATCGCATGCAATGATTTTGAAGTACAAAATGAACAGTTTTGGATTTTATGGTATTTTATGCAATCAATAAGACAATAAACGATAATAATAGAGAGAGAAAAAAAAACAATGTATGCGTCGTTGGTACATATTTACAAAGTGCCGGGGAAAGAGGAAACAAATTAAACTTATTCACTAGTAGCGTCCTCTACTTCTTCATCAACGTCCTGTTCGTCGTTGTCGTCGTCATCCTCTTCTTCTTCTTTTTGCTGCTTCTGCTGCAATCGTCGTTGCTCGAACTGTTCCTTTTTCTTTTGCTTTCTCTTTGCAGCTTGACGAGCAGTCTTTTGCTTTTGCTTTTCCTCTGCAACCTAGGTTCGTAATAATTGGCAAAGAATTGGCACAAAATCTAAATATGAATGGCCGCTCGAATCAAGTAAAAAGAACACATACTGCTTGACGCTCTTGTTCAATTTGGTTCAAAAGCTCTTCTTTGAAAGGCCAAGAGTTGGGAATGCCAGGATCCTTCTTTGATTCTAAAGTTTAAAGAAGCAAACGTTAAACTACTTTTCTTTCATTGAATGATCGAGAGCAAGAGAAAAGATCCTTACTCTTTGAAGGAGGGTTCTTTTTGGCTAATCGGTTCTGCTTTCGTTTATACTCCTTGATATTATTTTTGATTCTGTACTTGAGACCCAAGCTCTGGCGCTTGCTTTTGACCTCTATTATTTGAATTAGATAGTGTTAGCTACAGTAATGTCTTGGGTATGAAATATCAAAAGGGGCTTTGAATCGTTACGATCATGTTACTTTTCTTAACCATGGTGAATGAAAAAGCAGACAAGAGAAAAATGCGCACAAAAAATCTTTTTCTCTAATGATTTCCTGCGTTGAGTTTAAATTTTAGAGCATTTCGCTTAGCGTGCTGGTTCCTGTGTCGTCCACACACAGAGAAGCTACTACTTCTTTACATCGTCAATGAATCAGGCAAAAATAAGCAACAGTATCAAGTGTGAGCTACACTCATTAAATAATCAAATACCAATTATCCATAGCGCTATGTTTATTGTATGGCCTCTTAGGACAGTTACAAGGACCATGTAAATGCTAAACAAGAAGAGCTTGTCACTCGGAGACAGGCGTAGTGCTGCATATCAGCTTGTTTTGGAAGTTCGTAGTATATACATCGACCGAAGTTATGTGTGGATTGTGGGGAAGAGGAGGGCATTATATATAAGCAAATAGGTTGATGACAATGTGTGTAAGATAGTAAAACGAGATAGAGAGGCGAGCGTATGCGTGTTAATAAAGTGTTTTACGTATGACAAGAGAGAGGAAGAAGAATATGTGTTGTGTTGTGTTGTTGCTATTGTAATTGTTGCTTGTTATATATACCCGTGCATGTTTGTGGTAGTAGTGGTAGTGATGTGTTTGTGTGTGTTATGTGTTTTGATGGAAGGTAGGGAAGATAGTATAATAAAACAAGAGGAGAGTAATTTACATCAAAGGCACTGGTTTTGATCTGCCCTGCTGCTGCTGCTGTTGTTGCTGCTGCTGCTGCTGCTGTGGCCGTCCATTGTACTGTCTACCTCCTCCACGTCCACCGCGTCCTCTATTACCACGAAATGCGCCACGGTAACCACCCCGTCCATTATTATCATACCGCCTCTGTTGCTGCTGCTGGTCAGATTCCTGCTGTTGTCTTTGTCGCTGTTGGGTAGCAATTGCAAGGTCACGGTTTGGCTGCTGTACCTGGGCGTCATCCAATGCATTCGGTGCAACATACAACTTCTTGTCAATCACGGCTGGAATAGGCCTGATCTCGGTGCCCAATTCGCGCTCAATCTTGTACAGATTAAACCGGTCTTCATACGTAATCAAGTTGATAGCCAAACCAAAGTGGCCGTAACGACCAGAACGACCAATACGATGCAAATATGTCTCTGCATTCTTGGGAAAGTCAAAGTTGATCACCACATTCACCGCTTGGATGTCAATACCACGGGTCAAGAGATCTATAGCAGCAGATTTCGTGCGTTAGACATACTTTTTAATATAAAAGAGTTACGGCAGAGAAACATACCAGAGCAGACCAAGTTGCGGCATACACCGTTTCTAAAGTCATGGAAAACGCGGTTTCGATGGCTTTGAAGCATACGGGCATGAGAGTAGAAGCAAGAGTAACCCAGTTCGGTGATCTTTTTGGCAAGCAATTCGACTCGGTTCGTGGAATTACAGAAGATGATGGATTGGTTGATTTGCAACTGTAAGCAGTAGAGCATTCTTAAGTAAAATATACCCAACCAAAACTTCTGTACAAGACTAGCCAATTCCTTACCTTGGAAAACAAAGTGTTCAAGCAGTGCACCTTTTGCTTTTCTTCGACATAGGCATAGTACTGCGTCACACCGCGCAGAGTAAGCTCCTCCATTAGATTGATCTCGTAAGGCTTGGTCAAGTACTTTTCCTTGAACGTCTTGACCATCATTGGGAACGTGGCACTGAACAGCATGATCTGGCGCTCCTTGGGGAAGTACGACAACAGCTGATCAATAAGCGGGGTAAACTCGGGCGACAGCAGCTTGTCGGCCTCATCCATGACAAACGTATGCGCCTCGCTAAAGTCCGCAATGTTCTTGCCCGCCAAGTCGAGGATTCTTCCTGGTGTGCCCACAACAATGTGGACGGCCTCCTCCAAACGCATAATGTCGTCCTTGAGCGTCGTGCCGCCCGTCGTTACCATGACGTTCAATCCCAAATGCTTACCTAGGGTCTTGCACACCTGGGATGTCTGCAGTGCAAGCTCACGCGTAGGCACCAACAGCAAGGCTTGGATCTTGTTCTTTTTGTTGTTGATCTTTTCGAGCGTCGGGATCACAAATGCGGCAGTTTTGCCCGTACCATTCTTTGCGCGTGCGAGAATGTCGCGACCCGTCAGTGCAATGGGAATCGCTTCTTCTTGGATGGGCGACGGTCGTTCAAACCCGGCTTCAAAGATTCCCATTAGCAGCTCTCGTTTCAAAAAATAGTCTTCGAATTCATTGCCTTTGGTTGCAGTGACATCCTTTTTTTTGTTGTTGTTCATTATATATTTAAAAAATCGCTTCATGTGTAATTACGATTAAAAAAACAAAATCACGGCTTACCTCAGTTTGAGGACGAAGGTCCTTGGCAGGAATATCAATGTTTTGTTTCCAGGTGTCGTTTTCGTGACTAATATAACATTCGTTCACGCACACAATACCCACGAATTTTTAATTAACAATCTTATGAGGTTCTTCTTTCGTTTCTTTTGTACTTATACATCAAAAGCAGAGCATTTACCTCATTGGTTAAAATCTCGTCAAATTATAAGTTGTAAATATGCCAATTGTGGCTCGAATAAATTGTATCGTATACTTCTACTAAAATTCGTGTTTCTTTGCGAGGAGAAGGAAAAAAAACGAGTTGGAAAGCGTTGTGCAAACAGTCCGCTCTATGGCAAAAAAAAGCCCGTCAGTCGCCGTCTCTGGTGACGTATAAGAAGCAGCAGGCAGGACGACCAGCAGAATGAATTAAGCGGAGCTTATCTCTTTTTGAACTCTTTTCTTTTTGACGATCCAAGTATACCATGGGTGGAGGAGGTAAGAAGAAGGCCATAAGTCTTTTTATTTAACCATTGATCTTGCTAATCGATAGCTAATTAACAATGCTTTACAGATCTAAATTTAAAGAAAAGCTGGCATCCAGCCACACTTAAGAACCAGGAACGAGTATGGAAAGAAGAACGCAAACATTCTGACGAACAGAAAAAGATTGAGCAAATGAAAAAAGAGTTGATGGAGGAACGGCAATTGCAAGAACTTCAACAACTTCAAGAACAAGCTGGATCAAAGTAAGCTTCTACTCTTACTGATTTGATTGTAGAAGCAAGAGATATAGATCACTCTTCATCTAACACAATCTTCCTTTTAGACAACGATCCGATCGACTCGATTGGATGTATGCTGCGCCCAATTCAAGCTCTGCTGGTGGCAATCAAGATGACATGGAAGCCTTTTTGCTCGGTAAAAAGAGCGTAGATCAGCTTATACGAGACAAAAACAGCAAAGAAACTGTAAGTATGCTTGTTTTATATGTTATGCACGTATGAATCGTGTGACCAAAAAGAACAGCGGCTTAACAGATTAATTATATAGGTTGCCAGCAGCGCAACAGAACGATTCGCTATTTCTAACGCAAATGCCAACAACGAACGAGATATCCAAGCTAAAATCCGAGAAGACCCACTCCTCATGATTAAAAAACGAGAACAACAATCATTACGAGCTATTCTGGATAACCCATTACGGATGAAGGAGCTGAAAAAGGATAAAAAGGATAAGAAAGAGAAAAAGAAAAAGAAGAGCAAAAAGGAAAGCAGCGATTCAAAACCAGTATTATCATCATCATCATCATCAAAGCGCCACCGCCATCACAGCAGCCATCGTCATGAAGAATACAGCACTAGTCGCGAAGCACGGCATCGACATCGATCACGGTCTCCAGTGGCTGACAGCAGCAGTAGACGATCACCAACCAGAAGAAGTCGCCATCGTTCACGGACACCTGAGAGACCCAGTCGGCGCTATTCACCGGATGAACGTCGTCGTTATCGTGATTAAAATAAAAGCAGTTTATACTGTTTGCTAAAAAAAAAGTGGTATTTTTCTTTTGGTTGGAATTGTATGTGAGAGAGAGAAGATTTCTAGTTAGTGTGGGCTATTGTCAATTTGACATTTTTTTATGGATACAAAATGCATAAGGGTATCCACACCATGGAAAACTATTATTGTAAGATCATTCATGTCCAAACAGCAGCAGCGGGCTGTCATGCTTAACCGGCTGAGCGGACTTACGTGACGTAAGCTCACGGACGCGTTGGTGGAAGCACAGAGAAAGAGAGAGCTACGAACCCTCTTCCTGAACTTTACCGCTTTCCTTTTTATTTTACTTTATCACTTTGCTTTAAACAACTTCTCGTATACGTAACGCCATGTCTGACGGAAAACTCGAAAAAATGGAAAAGGACTATAGTCCTCAGGTCGATGCACTTTTGCCTGAGACTGATGCACTTGTCAAGGTACCGTAATCTTGTACAGCTTCCTTTTTTTTGTGTTCACGATCTACTTTATACACACATGGATTCAATCTTCGCTGGTTACAAGTATTAAAAACAACTTTGCTTCTCAATATAGCAAGGAAAATTACAAGAAGCTATTGATAAATTGATGGCATTGGAAAAGCAAGCTCGTAATGTAAGCGAACGTATTCTTAAGACTGGGATGAGAGGGATAAGACGCGCGATGAGACCGACGAAAGCCAGCGACTTTTTTCTTTTCTCTTTGGATTCCAACAAACGATTAATTGGTTTATGGCATGAAATTCTTGTTCGATCTAGGCTGCCGATCCTAACTCGACTTCTCGCATCCTCGTTCAAGTTGTCAAACTCTGCCGTGAGGCTCAAGATTGGAAATTGCTCAACGAAGAGATTGTTCTTTTGTCAAAGAAGCACGGTCAATTGAAAGCGGTGAGCTTACGTTTATATCTCAACTTATTAGTTGAAGGGAGAGGGTGTCTTACGTAAAATATCGCGCGTGAATATATATAGGCTACCACCAAAATGATCCAAGAAGCATTCTCATATCTCGATAACACACCCAGCATGGACATCAAACTCGAACTGATCGATACATTGCGAACAGTGACTGAGGGCAAGGTACAGAATAATGGCATATTCTAAAGATGCATTTATACTTGAAACGAAAGACATGATTTGAGGAGATACTGATATTAATTCTTATTTACTAGATCTATGTTGAAGTAGAGCGTGCACGCGTCACTCGTTTGTTGGCTCAAATTCGTGAGGAGGAAGGCAAAATCAATGACGCTGCAGATATTCTTCAAGAGCTTCAGGTATTGTTTCAAGAGAAACAGTAAAAGAATGTGTTAATGGATGCAAGAAAGGGACTGATCATAAGTGTTGTATATGTTGCTTCAGGTCGAGACATTTGGCTCGATGGAGAAGCGAGAAAAGACAGATTTCATCTTAGAACAGATGCGATTATCCTTGGCCAAGCACGACTACGTACGAACGCAAATTATTTCGAAAAAGATCAATAACAAATTCTTCCAAGAAAAAGAAAACGAGGCAAGTATTCTTAAATGAGGATTTTAATTGATGATGATACGTAATAGAATATTGACGCTTCTCTTTGTTGTCGCTTCTTAGGATTTGAAACTTCGTTTCTATGATCTGATGATTAAGCATGCTCTTCACGAGGGTCAGTACTTGAACGTTCACAAATTCTACAAGCAAATCTATGACTCTGAGTCTATCCAGCAGGATGAACCCAAGTGGAAGGAGGTAAAGAAAAGAAAAATAGCGACTAGGTAATGCGGCAGTGTGATTAACATGGTTGCTTACTATATGACAGGCTCTTCAAAACGCCGTTCTTTTCATCGTTTTATCACCCTACGACAACGAACAATCGGATCTGTTGCATCGCATCTTTGAAGACACCAAACTCGCTCAAATTCCCCTCTACTAGTAAGTTTTTTTTTCATTGCGACGACGGCAGCTATCAATACACCTAATCTTACACAACAATTATACCAATATAGCGAATTGACAAAATGCTTTGTAACGACTGAACTGATGCGCTGGCCCAAGATTGAAGAGGTCTATGGCCAAACTTTGGGAGAAACCTTTGTGTTTTCTAAATCGGCCGAAGAAGGACAAAAGCGATGGAAGGAGCTTCACAATCGAGTGATTGAGCACAACATTCGTGTTGTAGCCAAGTATTATACACGTGTCACAACCAAGCGATTGATGCAGCTGCTTGATCTGAATGAGCGGGACACTGAAGAGTTCTTGTCGAAATTGGTTGTGTCCAAGACGATCTATGCCCGTGTTGACCGACCAGCAGGCATCGTTTCATTCCAAGTCAAGAAGGATGCAAACCAGGTCTTGAATGACTGGTCAAGCGACATCAACTCATTGTTAAACTTGGTGGAAAAGACTTGTCACTTGATTTCCAAAGAGGTAAGGATGACACTAGCAACAACCATAACTGGAGCATTTATGACTCATATCTGCTGGTATCTTGTTTGTATACAGGAAATGGTGCACAGCATAGCTAAAGTCAAGTAGTGTCATAATTTCAACACTGTTTTCTTTTTGGTCATCACACATTATCCTTTCAATTCCATATACAGAATAAACCCAAAATAAACATTTGCAATCGTTGACTCACAAATTGATGACAGAGGGAGCGAGCGTAGCGTGACTGAAGAACATTTTCGAAACGCGTATAAAACTCAAATTTCTGCGGGAAAAAAGGCTTGTTTATTAATACCATAATGTCAGAACCCGTCAAGGAAGACCAAGTCGACGAAATCATTCAGAAGACTGAAGAAGTCGTTCTCGAGTAAGAACAACAAACTTTGTTTTATCTCTCTTTTTTACCCACATTACACGTTTACTTGTCGCTTTTCTATTTAAACTTGACCACTTTCGACTCTGTTAATTCATGAATTCTTTTCTAGTGACGAAGGCAAGCCCTTGTCCAAGAAGGCTCTGAAGAAGCTTCAAAAGGAGCGTGAAAAGGCTGAGCGCAAGGCTGCCACTGCTGCCAAACTCGCTGAAGAAAAGGCAGCTCGCGATGCTTCCAATGTGGTAAATGTCCTTCTTTTTTTTTATGTTGCAACCTCGAAAATAACCCTGGTGCATACACTAAAGTACTCACCCTTACAACGTATAGGACTATTCCACGGATCGCTATGGAAAGCTTCCCATGAACCAGTCGCAAACTCGCACAGGTAATGAATAGCTGGCGGGAGCAGTAACCTTGTCAGATCAGTATTGATAGACACTCACAAATACTTAGGCACCAAGTACGAGGACATCAAGACTGTCAACGGCAGCCGTGAAGGCGAAAACGTTGTGATCCGTGCTCGCGTCCACACCTCGCGTGCCACTGGCAACAAGATGTGCTTCTTCGTCTTCCGCCAAGGCGTCTCCACTATGCAGGGTATCATCACTGCCGACGAAGACACCATCAGCAAGCCCATGGTCAAGTTCTGCGTCGGTATTCCTGCTGAATCGATCGTGATTGTTGAAGGCAAAATCACCAAGCCTGTCGACGAAGTCAAGAGCTGCACCATCTCGGATGCTGAACTTGCCATTTCCAAGATCCACGTTGTGTCTGAAGCCCAGGGCCGTCTTGCCTTCTCGCTTGAAGATGCCTCGCGTCGCGAAACCGACTACGAGCAGGAAGACACGCAGCTCGTGCGTGTCAACTTGGACACCCGTCTCAACAACCGTGTCTTGGATTTGCGCACGACCACCAACAACGCCATCTTCCGCTTGCAGTCGGCTGTCTGCTTGTTGTTCCGTGAGTTCTTGATCCAAAAGAACTTTATGGAAATCCACACGCCCAAGATGATTTCCACTGCTTCTGAGGGTGGTTCAAACGTGTTCAAGGTCTCGTACTTCAAGTCGAGCGCATTCTTGGCCCAGTCGCCTCAGTTGTACAAGCAAATGTGCATTGCTGCCGACTTTGACCGTGTGTTTGAAATTGCACCCGTTTTCCGTGCCGAGGATTCCAATACCCATCGCCACATGACCGAGTTTGTTGGTTTGGATATGGAAATGGCCTTCAAGGAGCATTACCATGAGGTCGTTGAAGTCTTGGATGAAATGTTCGTCTACATTTTCTCCAACCTCCAGAAGCGCTTCCGCACCGAAATCGATGCCGTCAAGAAGCAGTATCCTCACGAAGACTTCCAGTTCTTGGACAAGACTTTGCGCTTAAAGTATGCTGAGGGTATCCAGATGCTCCGTGATGCTGGTGTTGAGCTTGGCGACTATGACGACTTGAGGTAAGCCAGCAAATGTTTGAGGGATTTTGAAGGCGACACTTTTGGTAGTAGAGAAATACTAACGCGATAAACTGTTTCGCTCAATGATAGCACCACCAACGAAAAGTTGCTCGGCAAGTTGGTTAAGGAAAAGTACAACACCGACTTTTACATCTTGGACAAGTTCCCTCTTGCGGTTCGACCTTTCTACACCATGCCCGATCCCGAAAACCCCAAGTACTCCAACTCTTACGATATCTTCATGCGCGGTGAAGAAGTTCTTTCTGGTGCCCAGCGTATCCACGATCCCGACTTTTTGATTGAGCGTGCCAATTTCCATGGCGTTGATATCTCGACCATCCAGCCCTATATCGATGCCTTCAAGATTGGTGCTCCTCCACATGCTGGTGGTGGTGTCGGTCTCGAGCGTGTTGTCATGTTGTTCTTGCAACTGGGCAACATCCGTCGTACCAGTCTCTTCCCCCGTGACCCCAAGCGTTTGGAACCATAAATAATCTTCTTCTCTGTTAATAGATACACACACACACACACACACACATACTCTTTCGTCCCGTTTCCTTCTTTTTTTTTTCTTAAAAAAATACAAAATGTTTTGTTTATATATAAAAAAAAGTGGTAACAACAACAGAATGAAAAAAAAAGCATGATTAAAGTGTTTGAAATGTACATCTATCGTGATCGCTTCTTGCTTCGACCGGCGCCAGACTATCAAAAAAAAGCAGCGCATATTAGAAATCTATACAAACATTCAAACACACACAGAGGAGATTGTACAAGCATAGCCTACCTCTGACCGTTGTCGCTTGCGGTTCAGAACGTTCTTGAATCGTTCATTCTCTTCTTCTTCCACATCTTGGATACCCACCAAGTTGTTAAAGTCGTTCAAATTCTAGATATCACATGCAAGATGAAACCAATTTAACACCCTTTCCTTTTTGGATCATTACTTTATGAGATAAAGAAACTTACATCAAATTCGGTCTCAAAGCGCATACGGTTCTTTGCCTTTAATCGCTGCTTCTCCTTTCGTGTTACTGCCAGACGGACATAGTTGTTTTCTTCGTAATCATCCTTCTCCTTGAGCTGTTCATCGAAACGTTCACCGTAGCCCATGCCTTCATTGACACCACCCATTGCATCCACTTCTTCTGGCGCATCGTTCATATCCGCCATCAAATCACGAATGACACGAGATCGCGAAGAGCGTTCGCGCAAACGTTCTTGATCTTTTTCGTATTTGGATTTTCTGCCCTTGCTTTCGTCGTATACAACAGGTGCAAGTTTGGGCGGTCTGTACACGCCAGATTTGCCTTCTATATTATCAGATCCAATGAGACTTCTCATAAAATAACCTTCCCACAGTAGAACCCTACTCCTTTTTTTTTCCTTTTCTGTCTTACCTTCTTCACCTTCTTCTTCTTCTTCCTCTTCTTCTTCATCCCGAGCCAACAAGTTCATAGGGTTAGGTTTGAATGCCAAAGGATCCTGGTTGCCCACCTCAGGCTGCTTCTGTGTGCCCATGACAGCCGTTCGCACCAATTTGTCGATTTGATATTTAAGCTTATTCTCGATTGGCTTCATTTTATCCAAAATGACACGCAGTTCGATCAGTGAATTAACAACAGGGTGGTTTTCAATCGATTTTCCCGAGAGTTTCAAATGAACATAATATGCGAGTTCTGTAATGTATTGGACCATGAGCTGGTACTTTACTTCGAGGAACGAAACACCTTTAGATGTCTTGATCTCACCATCGTGGTATCTAATGTAACATATGTATTATGAGTAAGCGTACAAGTTTATCTAAAATCGTCTCATGAGATCTATACCTTTGAATAATGGGTTTGAGTTGCGTTTTCAACTCGGTAACTTTGCTTTTGAGATCTTTAAGTATTACGCTCAATTCAGAGGCTACGCAGTAATAATAAAAAAGAGAGAAAATGTTAGCTTCTTCATAGCAATGTGTAGAAGGATTCAAAGTGAAGTTTACGTTTATTTTCTGTTGATGTAGAGGTTGCGATCGGTGAATCGGCCATGGCGATCTATCGAGAAACTGGAGCTTGTCAAAGAAAGAAGCCGCAGAGTCAGAAAAATTTTGTTTCTCTGCATTATGTGCAACCTCACCCCGCTCTTGCTATAAACTTGTAGGAAAAGGAGCTGGTGCAGCACCGAAAGCCATGACACCACCTTCCAAAACGTATGGTGGAAACATGCTCTCGTTTAGTTTCAGAAATCTGGAATTCTGTTCAATTATTAGCATGAAAACGAATGGCAAAGCAGCAAACAAAGCACGATCTAGTTGAGGAAAACAATATCACTGAGCAAGTAAAAGAAAAACAAAACAAAGAATAATTTTGGCAGGCGCTGTCAATGACAGCTTTTCTTTCCCCTTCCCCTTCCCCTTCCCCTTCCTGGTTTCGCTGATATCCGTACACGCACCAGCGTATGCCCTCAAAGCCATGACCTTTCATAAAACCATCAACAACTTAGGTCGTGTCGATCAATACCGCCGTTGCTCCAGCCCTCGGACCTCTGATATTCTCTACTTTTGCTTTGAAGACATGACTTGGACCGACGAGAGCGTGAAAAGCGTCATCAAAGCATTCGAACACCAATTCAAGGACACGGCTCTTGAAGCATTCCGTGCTTTGGAGCCGACCTATGCTGACGTCCAGCGGCGACTCGTTATCGAAGCTCTGTTCAGCGACGAAAAAGAGCGTCGTCAGATTCTGCATAAGCAAAACGATGGCAGCTACGGTGACCCCGTGCCAGGATGGATTACATTCACCAAAACGGACAGCGACAAAGGCAGCAGCACGGCTACTTTTGTTTGCAGTGAAGGAGATGATGCTTCCAGCAGACCAATCATGCGAGCCCAGGTACTCCCAGCTCTTCCACAGGACACTCAGTACACGCGTTATGTGTTTCGTTCTCTTCCACTGGATACGCCGTGCCATGCGCGCAGCGTCATCAGACAAGCCATCATCGAACGCCAGAAAGCTACTGTTCACAGCGAAACGAATGTTAATCTCATCACATTTTCACAAAGTGTCAAAGAGACCTCCATGCTTATCGATGCAGATGAAAAAAACGTCGATAAGTGCATCATGGATATCACAGCGAGCCAAGGCAGTGGTTGTGGCAGATACTACTATACAGGAAACGTGTGCATCGTCTTGAAGAATCCGGTGACCCTCTATGACGCACGCAAGTGTCAGTCCTTCCTGGTTATGTACGGTAACAGAACGTTTTATGCCTCGAATTATTCGGCTCACTACCTCTATTGTCAGCGCTGCCACTTTATCGATATGCACTGCACAGACGACTGTCCCGTATAAACAGAACAAAAATTCAACCGCCTTTTACATACTTATGAAATACTGCTAATAAAAAGACAAAGTTGTGTGTACGTATTACTGTATGGAAATCGTTTTTTTACCCTCCCATGTACATTCTGCCTGTACCGCTGCTTGATGCTGAGTACTGTAAATGGCTTTAATATAAAAAAGGTTTTAAGGAAGATCAAGCAATTGATTGGTTTAGCCCGCTATCCAATTGTTTTCACTGGAATCGGCGTCAACGACAAAAATCATGGGATCCAACAATCGCAATAGCAGACGAAGTGCGTCTTCAACAACGGGACGTTCAAACTCTTCATTGTCACGTCGACCTTCAGGTACAGGCGTGTCACGATCCATGATGATGACGAGTATCGCTTCTCCCAGCAGTACAAGCACCAATAACACCACGGGTGGTGGAAGTTTAACATCATCGACCGCAAGCTCAGGAAGCTCACGGAAATACAAACATTCGCCGTCCTCAGACGCTTTACATGATGAAGTATTTGGCATGATTTGCGACGACGACTACGACAGTGATGCCAGAGGAGACGCTGGTGGCACTGGCAGCAGTAATAATAACGCTGTAGAGATCGATACATCCAGCATGTCCTCTTGCTCGCTGGATAACTTTAGCCACAATGACGATGAAAACAGTACGGACAAAGGATTAAGCGGATGTGGAGACGAAGAGATTCTGAAGGGACGCTACAATGCATATATTGCAAAGGAGTTGGAACGATTATCTAATATTTATCTAGCATATATTGTAAATCTTTGTTTGGCCACATATACACACATATATATATAGCCACGAAGTGATAGCGAAGATAATAACACTATGTACTTCCTACGCACACACCAGCACACACATAATAAGGTTTTCTTTTGCTGTATCCTTTTACCTCGGTTAGAAAAGAGGGACAAATTTAGCCGTGAAAACAGCTTTTTTACCGAGGATTTATCAACAAGTTATATTATGATGCATCCGAACATTACTGGCTCTGACATGTATGATTGTATCAAACCCGCCATAAGGTTAAAGAAAAAGTATCCAACAGATCATCTACATTGACATTGTCCATCCGCCTCGTAACAGTATTGATAATTGGCAAGTTTGTAAATATCATACATACAGTATAGTAAACATTTGATATATGTATTTAGCGAAACATTAAGAGCCAAAACAGGTCCGTATATGTATGTACTTGACTACGTCTGGTCTATTCAGTGCCTTGACAAACTAAAGTACATTAGAATGCTTTCACATCCATGAGATAACGATTCTCGCTGCCAAAAAACACTGAGCTATTTAGATGGAATTTGACGCCGACGACAGTTATGATAAGCTCTCGCTGATTATGTGCTAGAGTAGCCTTCTATTGGGTAGAAGACTCTTTGTCGTTCCATTCCAGGACAATATGAATTTAAATTGTAAAAAGCCAATATAATAATGTATACACTCCTTTTATTATATGTTCGTATCTACAGCATCCCTGCCTCCGAGACTTCGGAATGGTTGCTTTTTTTTCGTAAGTCAGACTTCTTTATTATGATGTTATAACAGCATCATTTGCCTACCGCGCCAAGCCCTTGAACGGTACAGGAATGAATGATCTGCGAACACGTCTTAATTCTGTGCTGTACTGTACTTGGTGCGTTTTTGTTGGTATGGTAAGGAAAATCATCGATATAGTTGACCTTCAAGGTCATCAGAAGACTGTATATCAGTCCTCGTCGATTTTTGCTCCAACGTATTGGCTTAAAAAATGCGAGCACATAACTGACGCGATCATAGGGATTTGGTCGAAGTAAGCAATTTGGGGTCGCTTTTGCCACATAGGCCAAACTGGGAGAAAGGAACTAGTCAGGAGCGTTAGTTTCTAAAGGGAGGAATATGACCAAAACAATTAATTATCAGCTTGAAGATCAATCAGCTTATATGGATAGGACCCGACGGTCTAGACTATAACGAGCATAAATGACGGATTGCCTTGTTCCTACGAAACTTATAATTCACCAAGAAGTAAGGACGCAAAAATAGATGACCGTGCAGTACAAGTGCGCCAAAGCAAAGTGTACTAAAAAAAACGACAAGGACAAAGTGGTGAAGCTCGGTAACGGTAGGAGAAGGAGGATCTGGTTTACAGCCCTTCTATTTGATAATAGCCTTTAACAAACAGACCTGGGCCGGTGTTGGCTGCCTCATTCTGAATGTCGACTCCTTTATTCCCGAATCACAGCATTGTTCATGACAAAATCAATGTCACTTTAGCAACTAACTCGAATGGCAACTATGTTGCTCAATGCAAATGTCTTTATTGTGCAATTAGGAACGAGAATGACGAGTCTCGCTCGCATATATGAAGAAGTCTTACAACAATACTGTATAAAACACGCACAAATAAGTTCTTTGATACATGATACTACTAATCAATAATAGGGTGTCGATGTCTTAGCTTCCCTGCTCTTGAGCAGGTACTGACAGGAGCAACCACTGGAAGGTGCATCGACATCTGCTCCCGTAACCCTCTCACCACAAAGCTAGGGTCTTGTCTTGGTCGCTTTGTGGATCACGGAAGGTCGATTGGTATTGAGATGCCCAGTCCGGTCTCACCAATCGCGAGTGCCTACAAAACAAGCACCACCTGCCCACCCACCCACCCACCCACACACCAACCCACCCACTTACCTTCAACCACCAACCTTACGCCTTCGTCGCCTGTGCCTACAAAACAAGCACCACCACCCACCCACACACCCACTTACCTTCAACCACTTACCTTACGCCTCCGTCGCCTGTGCCTACAAAACAAGCACCACCACCCACCCACACACCCACTTACCTTCACCCACTTACCTTACGCCTCCGTCGCCTGTGCCTACAAAACAAGCACCACCACCCACCCACACACCCACTTACCTTCACCCACTTACCTTACGCCTCCGTCGCCTGTGCCTACAAAACAAGCACCACCACCCACCCACACACCCACTTACCTTCACCCACTTACCTTACGCCTCCGTCGCCTGTGCCTACAAAACAAGCACCACCACCCACACACACACCCACTTACCTTCACCCACTTACCTTACGCCTCCGTCACCCGTGCCTACAAAACAAGCACCACCACCCACCCACACACCCACTTACCTTCAACCACTTACCTTACGCCTCCGTCGCCCATGCCTACAAAACAAGCACCACCACCCACCCACCCACCCACTTACCTTCAACCACTTACCTTACGCCTCCGTCGCCCATGCCTACAAAACAAGCACCACCACCCACCCACCCACCCACACACCCACCCACCCATGACCCACAAAAACTGCGTTAGCCCCCCCTCCCTCCCCACACATCCACAGAAAAAAGTGAGAAAAAAAGAGAGGAACTTACCATATGTGATCGTGAAAAAGTGAAAAGTGAAAAGTGAAAGAAAAAGCGAGGAAGCAACACGCTGCGGAAAATGGGTGTCTTTTTATGGGCAAAGTTCATTTCCAAAAAGAACGCTGGTCTGGGCCCAATGAGATTCTGAAGGGACGCTTGCTTTTTTTTCCTTTCCTGTATCTTTTTTTTTGCGTACAAAAAAGTAAAATAGGCAAAGATAAGCTCCGTGCTCAACAAAGCGCACAACAATGACAGACGACAGTAACACGATCACAACGCGCATTATCACACTTTGGCACTGTTTTTTATCTTTTTTTTTTTTTACTTTCTGTGTTCGCGTAGTTCAGTTCGCGAAAATAATGGAAAGGAAAAAAGTTTTATTATTCCAATGCACATCACGTAGTTCAGTTCGCGAGAAAAATGGAAAGGAAAAAAAGTTAGTTCGGAGGATACGTTCCGAGCCAATCTGGTTTGCTTTTTTCGCATGTATCATACTTCACGCGCACCCTGGGAAAAGCAGACAGATAGGATATACGATCGACGCTGTTTTTCTTGAAAAGAATCCCTTTCTCTGCATCCACCACGCTTGCCAGCTTACGATTATCGTTCGTTAAGCTGACTACCGAGCGAGCTCAATGCGAGACTAAAGACGACAAGCAGTCTGAAACCACACCTCCATAAACGTATACAGTGTAGTGTTTTCGCCTGGACGAGTGACGTCCCCCAACTTTGGTTCCATCCCCCCATCCAACCCCCCACCCCCAACTTTATTCACGGCCAGCACGGAAGGTCTGCGCATGAAGAAGCCGAGCATGACAGCAAAGTACAATGGAGACCCTGCGCAAAAAACATCGTAACTTGGCCTCAGAGCCTCGAAAAAACAAGGGTTGAGTATGTGCGTGTTGTTACGAGTCTGCACATTGCGCTGGTTGCGGTTGTGTGAAAAAAGCGCTGCGAATCGCTTCGCAAGAGCAGCCGCCATTTCGCTCGGAATTGGTCAAAATGGGTGACGCGAATAAAATTAAATGTGTTTTGACATGCTTGTCCTGGCAACAAGCGGCGTTCAGGAACATGGATTGTCATGACTACTGAATGCCATGGCAATAAGAAGCTTTCTTATGCAGCGTGGTCAAGCAAGCCTCATAAAGAAGAATGTTCACTGTGAGCGGTAAAGAAATCATGGGTGGAGTGAACCGGAAAAGGAAAATTTCGTTGACATGCTTTGTGCAGATTAGAGCAACTACGAAAAGGAAGCAGGATACAGAAAACGCGTTGTTCTTCTTCTCTTCTTTTCTTACGATGAACCATCATACGATAAACACCAAAGAGTATAGGCTATTACAACTTCGACAATCATATTCACTGCTCCTTATGAGAGCAATTTGATGCACGTAGACTGGGTTCCGCCCTCATACCCGTGGTAGCATTAACAAAATCCCAAAAAGTAAGCTATTTTACATTGACACGTACGCTCACTGACCTGACACGTCTACTCTGTCTGCTGTGATAGACTTTTGTGGGGATAAACTAATAGACGGATCGCAGACATGCCGGATATTAATTATTTCCAAGATGAAGAAGGATGAGGAAGGTCGAGTTTGGATGCCATGATGATGGATGTTGTCTTCCGAGTGAAAGGAGTTATTTTCGCTTTGATCAGTGTGTCCCTTGATGCAGTGCCACCTTCGTGTGTTATTCATGCTTTTCGACAGGTGACAATTTGCTCAACCCAGGTATTCGAATAGAAAGGAAGTGTCGACTAATTACGAGAATAGAACAACGGTTAGTCCTGATTTATTCTCATTTTTGATCGATGTTTGAGGGATTATTGATATTGTCTATATCAGCTCATCAGTGTGCGTTGTTTTCTCTAATCGCATTATAGTAATTAATAAGACGGTAAAGTGGGATGAGTTGTCCGTATCGCTTTAAAAAGTCGTGTGGTTTACTACACACAGCTATCGTTTCTGTGTTATGTACTGTATATCTAATAAGAGAAGCCTTGTTACATGCTGCATCATGTGCTATAATGTATATCTATATCTTTTTTCATGGCATTCTACGGACGATCGTATGCATGCATAGTTAATGTCTTGCTGCTGGTTGATGAGCAAACCTGTTTTAGTGTGCGCGCCAACACTCTCGACAATCCATTGGGCCTGTACCATGACCGAATACATTGACACAATGCTATATGAAGGAGCGCGCCAGACCAGGGTCGACATGATTTTTTGCAGCTTTTTTTTACGAATAATCAATTTTCTTATATGAACAGCAGTGAAGAGCAGATGCATGAGTTCATATACAGAAAACGAAGTCCTCTTTTTTCGACAACTGATTGAAAGCGCCGTCGAACATGGCGGTACTGAGTGTTTCGTAAAAGAGATATATGCGCTCAAGAATGAAAACCAATTTGAAGATGATGCTGTTCTCGTATTCTTCAGTGTGTATTAATCTTACACTTACAATCCATCATTATGTTGATAGAACCAAGACACTAGTCTTAACGAAAAGTTAATCAAATGTTGTGGTTCACAATTATAGCTGACCTGATGAGCGCGCTGGAACCGATTCTACTGTGATTATGCCTCTTGGGGAATGTATGCTGCTCTGTAACCAATGACGCGCAAAAGCAGATTCGACGAGAAATTGATGTCTTTAAGTGGAAAAACATGGCTCTTTGCATAACTGGAATGAACTCGATACGTACATAATTTCCCATTTATGCTATCTATGATACACAAAAAGAATGCATGCGTTATCGACATGTAGCAATATGCTGCTTGTATTCCACACGAGTCAAGAAAAAATTGTGAGCATGTGATGTACAAGGATCTTTACAGACCACTATCCAGTTGCTCTCTATTTAGATGTATTACTGTAACAAACATATTTGTACAATCAATCAAGTCGATTATAATGGATATCTTTTGCCAAAAGGCACTGTCTTTGTGTACAATACATATACCATGAGCTTCTGCGATAAAATAAATCACCATTCTGAGCTAATCATACCCAAGCGATATGTGGATGACCCAAGGAATGTTTTAAAGCACCGTGAACGCGAGTGGCAATGACCATGACCCATTTGTGTTTGGTTAGGGGACTAACAAAAGCCATGTAGACGGATCTGTCCAGGAGAACATATGGTAAGATCATACAGTCAATTACTAGTGAATCTTTGAAGTAGCGTGATATGTGTAACTCATGTAGTCTTTTTACAACAGTACCAGTTCTAAAAGGAAGTACAGATGGCTAATTTTTGGGCTCGAATCCTTGCAACAACAACAACAACAACAACAGCAGTGAGCCTGCTCTAAATAGTCATGGACACCCACAGTAACCGAACCTGAATGCTTACAATGATGTTAGGTTAGCTGTCACTCCTCTTGAGCCCTACCTTCGTTTTGTGGAAAGACCGAATCGGGTTACATACTCGATTGAATGTTCAAAAAAACTGAAAAACTAACGACTATATTAGTAAGGTCTCCCAAACCATTCGGTGTGAACAGTCGATGTAGTGGGTGAGGAAGGGTTCCGTGGCAAAAAAAAAATGAAAATATATGTTGCATTACTATAGTACCCAGATATATAGTTGCGTCGCTTGTTACGCGTGCATTGATCACCAGAAGAACCAAATTCTCTGAACCAAGCCATTGCTCTATCGTTTTCAAAGTTAAAAACAGGGGGGGAGGGGTGAATATGTGTTTATATATAATGTATACAATTGTGGATGAAGTGACTTTGTACAGATATGCAGGACTAGGGAAAGGAGTGCAGCAATGTTATATTGTTTGTTCCGAAATAAAAGACGAGGTGGATGAAAAGAAAAAAATAAAAAAGGTATACGTAGATTCTTTCGGATTATATGCCCAACAATGAATCCAATTCTGTGCTGAAAGGATCGCAATTCTTGCTCCACGCATCGCCCAATATATCATCCAGCCCTTTGAACAGACCCGATTGATCATTCAAGGGCGTAGTGACATCGGGCTGTTGCTGATATTTTGGAGTGGATGCACCATCTTCGCTGCCTAAAATAATGATATTGTTGAGCAATGTAGATCCGTCAAGCTTTTTCCTCTGCAAATATTCATGCGGCATACCCTCGGGTGTCTCACTGTCATGACTTGTAGTAAAGAAGTGCTCCAGGTCATCTTGTACACTTGTAGAATCCATATCTTGTTGTAATAAATTTTCGATTTCTTGTAGCGAATAATTGGTTTCCTTTGCTGGAGTAGGACAAGTAGAGGTTATGACAGGTGCTATAGGTTTTCTTTAGTAACCACGGAAAGAAAAGAGAATCTTGATTTTTTGTCCATCCGATATGAAGAGGGGCTTACCTTTATCTTTATCCGTTGAGGCAATAGCATTGCCATGAGGATGAACGTCAACTTGAGATGGCTCGGTAGAAAGGTTTCCAAGATGTCCCTGCATACGCGCGTTCAACAATAAGTTCTCAATGGTATCTTCCAAAGGAAACGCACCTGGCGCAGTATTGGGCGCCAAGGTTGGCGATCGTCCATCTTTTTCTTTGCTGTACTTTTTGATCCGGGGTATAGAGACATCCTTCTCTAGGAGACTTTCTGCTGAAGGCTGATCAAACGGGTATGGACACTAGATCGATAAAAAATAAAGATTAGTCCGTGTACTGCGCGATCTTGTGCTAATCAATCTAGATTCCAAAATGTCTTGGGGTGGGGATGAATCATTCATACCTTTACATTCTGGCACATTATTACTTTACAGTTAAAGTTGATGGAAAAAGTTTGTAGTGCTGACGAGCACTTTGGGCACGTCCGATCGTTCATGTCGGTTTGCATAAAGTGTGTAGAAAAAAAAAGGTTAAGAGTGGCTTTTGAAACATGCAAGCGCTACGCTATAAGCGAGAAAGGTAAATTAGCAAATGTGATTGGCTGATCCTATTCCCTAGAAGTACGTGCATGCATACGTTACGACGACAGATTATGATACCACACAACCTGAAATCAATACACACCTTTCCGAATGATGTTGGCAGCATCTATGTTTTATATATATGTTTATATATATATATATATAAGTACGTAAAAGTATAATGGCAGTATGATGGAAGGAAAGACGAATGAAGGGGCTGAAGGAAATAAAAGGAATATAATACAAAAAATGGCATCACTACGGGTGTTGTGTATACTCAAGTCTTTAAGTGGGGATCTTTTTGATAAATAGGTTCTCTTTTTGCGCTCGTTCCAGCTTGCTCGCTCGTAGATGGTATACTTTTCTAAGCTCGCGGAATTGCTTTACAAAGCCATCGTGGTCTAGATTCCCATCCAAGAAGCTCTGTGCCACGGATTCTGATAGTTCGTCAGATTCGTATACACTTGCTTTTAACCTGGTAAGCACCGTCGAAGATGAAAAACGCTATACAGACATTGTGCGTATGCCACTTACTTAGTTTACCTCTACTACTCTAACCATATAGCCATAAGTGTCTTTTTGCATACGACTTACATTAAAAGCTCCATGTTGTTGTCGTTCCTTATCATCAAATTCAGATCGCAGCTTCCGATACTCTTCATCTAACTCCTTTGCCTGGGAACGTAGCTTAAGTACAGCATCTTCTTTACTTAAACTCTTTTCTATACAAGCATAGCCCGGCAATGTTAGTTATAGCCCATGCCTTTCCTTTTAATATATCCCTTCCAATTTGACTCGTTAGATACAACAGGGGTTCCACATACGTGCTAGATTCTCATTGCCGTTCCGTAGTTCTTCCTGGACAGTTTTCATGCTTCTTATACGCTCAAACGAGTTGAAAAACAGCTCGAATGCCACATCATCTGTCAAAAGTTCCTCTAACTCTTCGGTAGTCTTGTTTGCAATCGATCCGTATTCTGCGGTCGTCAAAGCTGAAGAAGGCTGAGCTGCAGGTACTGGTGGCGGTGGTCGGTGACCGTAGCTATTTATATCCCGTGCAATATTCCCTGACTGATCAGTTTTTGCCATCCATAACTGTTACAGAATCGGAAGACCTTTTTTCTCTTTATGATTGAAAGATGTTAGGTGACAATACCTTTCCTCCAAAGTTGCTGCAGTATCATTATTACTGTTGTTGTTGTTGTTGCTGCCATTCGTGTTTTTTCTTGCTGGTGGTCGTTGCATAAATTCTTCCATAATATCACTGACAATTTTGCCAAGCTGAACCTGGTTTGAAGCCCAACCTGACGGCGTTAAAACGTCTTGCACCACAACGTCTGATTCAATCCAGGGATGCCGCATCCCATTGGGCGACACTGTTATTATGGGTGGTGCTTCGGGAAACTCGGGAGGTAAATTGACGAGCAATGACGCGGTCAGTTCGGGTGTACTGCACGGAAGTTCGTACATTTGCCCGTCAATGATGACTGTAACGCTGGCATTATGCGAATAGAGAGAGGCAATATGCTGCTTTTTGCTATACAGTGTAAGAATGAGTGTATGAGTAACTGAGATGGCCTTTCTTTCTCTTGTTGTTGTTTAAAGGCAGTAAAAAAAACGCTACATTTCTTGCAAGTTCGACATTGAGTAAAGAATAAGGGCGTCCTGTAGTACGCAAAGGTGAATCGCAGCTTGAATCTTTGTGGGCCTGTTACACAAAAAACAAGCGTTTTTTTTTGTACTTGAAATAAAAAAACCCTTTCTCCCCTTCATTACCTATCTCTTTTACTCTACTCTTCTTTCACTTTTTCTTTAACTTTTACATATATTAAACTATGGGTTTTTTCAGCGCGCTAGAAGCTATCGCCCATGGAGGAATCCAGCAACCAGAATCCTACGCGAAAAAGAAGAACTACCACTTTGAACATGAACTCGGTAATAAAGCAACACAAGCTTTTGCCTAAGTCCACATGCGATTTGCGACACCAAACAACTGCTTACACATATAAAAAAAAACCGATGTGCTTTATCTTGAAAGGACGTGGGTCCTTTGGTTCCGTCAGAAAAGCAACTCGTGTCGCGGATAAAAAGGAAGTCGCCGTCAAAATCATTGCCAAGAAGACAGTGAAGGGTCACTTTGATATGGTGCAAACTGAAACCGCCGTTATGAAGGACCTTGATCACCCTAATGTCATTCACTTGTATGACTTTTTCGAATCGCGGTAAGAGCAATGCAAGGACGCAAACCTTTTTGACATTCTTCATCTTGTCTATGTACATTGTGTTTTGGAATAGTTTTGAGACCTTACTTCTCTTGTTATATTATAGTGACAAGTTCTATATGGTGTTTGAACTGTAAGCCTCTTTTAGCTCGGATCGAGCCGTTTTATTTGTATTTGTGAAAGAAAGCTAAACTCATTTTAGGGCTACGGGTGGTGAATTATTCGAACGCTTATTTGAACGCGGCAAGTTCACTGAGAAGGACGCTGTAAGCAATAGCCGGAAACACGTGTTTTAGTGTTTTTTTGTGGGAGGAGAGGGAAACATGCGACTCACCATGGATTGTTTTTCTTTGTTCAATGCAATACTAGGTGGTCGTTGTTCGATCGATACTGAACGGCGTTGAGTATCTTCATTCGCACAATATTGTTCACCGCGGTAATATATCCAATTAAGATCGGCATGTAGACCGCATACGCACAAGCCTGCCTATTACCTCTGCGAAAAGAGGATGCAGTGTAACTAACTCTTATATTTTATAACGAAAAAGATATGAAACCCGAGAATCTGCTGTTCAAAAGCCCCGACTCGGATGCTGATCTAGCAATTTGCGATTTTGGGTAAGTTGACATGGGCGGCTTAATTGTCGCGCACACACACACCTCCCTTCTTTGTGATGTTAACGGTTGATTTACAGTATCGCCAAGGAGAACGATGAGGCTGGGTCCGCTCTGGATACCGTGTGCGGCTCTCCTCTCTATGTTGGTAAGCACACGAGTCGGCTTTCACATTATTTTGTTCCTCTTTATTGATTTGTTTGTGGCGCATCTGTGTAGCACCAGAAGTATTGCTCCGGAAAGGCTATGGATCACCCGTCGATATGTGGGCTATAGGGTAAGAAGCACACACTGTTGTTTGTATCTTTTTGATGAGAAAAAAAACTAAACAATGCCTCTTTTTTCTACCTAGTGTGATCACATATATGCTGTAAGTGTCCCGGATCTCTAAAAATGACTACGAACTTCGTGAATGAAATGGCTCATCCACGTGTTAATCTGTAATATATGCTCCTACTTAGCCTGTGCGGATACCAACCTTTCACCTCGGAAGATCAGATTGAACTCATTGACGAAATCACCAATGCTCGTTATGAGTTTCATGAACGTTACTGGCGTAATATCTCTCAGGATGGTAAGTACCAGTCTCTTTCTATTGTGACAACAAAAGAGCCTTATTTTGGAAGTGTCAAGTCCGATCGAATCACTGAATGCACTTTATTCTATTAGCCAAAGATTTTATCCGCAGATTGTTGACGTTGGATCCAAAGGCTCGGCCTACGGCTTCCGAAGCGTTGAATGATAAATGGATGACGGGCGCCGATGCTACAGACATTGATATTCTTGGCACCGTCCGTGAGAACTTCAACCCGCGTCGAACGCTCAAGAATGCTGTACGAGCAGTCAGTGCCATGAACCGCCTCCGATCAGGATCGCTGAACAAAGACGGAGAAAAGAATGGTGAGGGTAATAAACCTCCAGTGCCTGCACTGGCCAAGGTCCTTAAAGCGGCAGCGGCTGCTAAAGCCAACCAGCAGAAAGCAAATAACGGTGGTATCCCTGCAGCAGCTGCACAGTAGTTTCCATTTTTCCGTTCTGTACTCTTCCTCACACAATTTGTGTCAAAAAGAAACCCGCCACAGCCACAAACAAACCAGCGAAACAACTCATCTGCCCTTTCTAAATTTCTTCCTTTCCTCCGCCACACATGCAGCACAACGCATACCATGCACCTACCGCCTCTTTAGTTACTCTTATATATTACTTATATTATACCTTTATATGCTATTCGTCATCTACATCTTTTTCTTTTCTTTTTCCCTTTTCTTTTTCCTATCTATTAATTGATTACAAATCCTTTTTTATTTATTTGATATGTCTCCGTTCAAAATCGCGTAATTAGATGTGTCGGCTGAAAGGCGCAGTGGAGAATAATTGGAACCCTGATATATATACAAATACCGGTGCCACGGGTAGCACAACGCAATATGCAGCACAGACTGAATGCTGTCACTACTATAGCTTCAAGTTAGAGAGACATTGCTGGATAAACATGTGTAGCGGATAGGGGTATTGGTAGCCATAAAGTGTATAGTAAACAACAGCAGTATATAATGCGAACTTGACAATGTGGCTATCATAAATGAAACATTTGAGTATTATTCATGGATCATCTGTGCTAAAACGGTTGCTATACAATACTTACTTTGAGAGACTGCGACTGTCCATGGTGACCAGAATTAAAACAATAAATAGCATCGGAATATCATCCATGACGGATGCCAAGGACGGTATCGGCGTTTGCCATCCTACAGCGATTAAATCCCGGGCATACACTACGACTTCAGGCACATTGTACGGAAGAAGCGCCGAAAGAAAAAGCAGAATCGTCTTTCTTTTTTGCTATTGCAGGTGAGTCAGTAAATGCGCGCCGTGCTTCATTCAGAAGCAAAGGCTGTTGTGAAAGCACATGTAGTTACCTTGGAATCGATGTCCGTGCTAGCATTGGCTGATTCTACAGCTGCCACAACAAGTAGCCAGTAAAGATAAATAGCGGTAACAGTCACAGGAACCGGAACGGCACGTATAGAAGCTAATGACACAGCAATCACGAGTCTTTGTGCAGTTGTCCTGGTCAATGACAACGCTGCTTGTCGAGGAACGACAAACCGTAATAGACAGACCAGGGAATACACAAGAATCCATATCAGGCATAATGCACCAGCACCAAGGCAAAGGGATACCCCGGGTAGCCACCAGAATGCAAAGTCTTGTGGCACATCAAAAACCAGACCACCCACACTGGTAAATGCCACAAGATTGATGAGTGCACGTGCAAAATGCAGGTCGTCTGAAAAAAAATATTTAACAATACAAGTACTCAGTATCCGCATATTGGGAGAAAAAGCGACGGAACGAGATGGGAGTTTTACCATTGATTAGAACAACAAGCGCCACAATAAACATGGATGTAGGGATGGACGGTCCATAACGAAGCACACTTTTACCCAGGCTGCCATACCAGTCGATCTGCAAGTGTGCATTATGTACCTCGCGCAATTTCCAAAAGCGTAGCTGTAGAGAGTCAGCTTCTCCAGATGCATAAAAGTTGATCTCGACCGAAACGTTCTTCTGTTTCAACCCAACGTGAAATTTGCTTTCGCCGCCCATGTTCTGTTGAATTATTGGCGCGAATCCCACGTCATCACTGTTATCCTCTTGACCTTGAGTCCAAAATGTGAGCTTGTAAGCAAGCAGCGGATTGTAAATGGCCGGAAATTGAACCGTTGAAAAAAAAGGTTGTGGTTGTTGAGGGGGAGAAAGTTCAAATGAAATGCCACCATGGATAGCCATGTCCCAGATCGACTCGGTGATGACCTGAGTTGCTTCTGTATTCATTTCAGCCACAACGAACGTTTGATCGTCGTCGCCCTGCTCCCACACGCCCACACTGTCGTAGCCTTGCATTTGATGATTTTTCAGCTCCAAAAACCAGAACGCATTTCCGCGATAGGCAGAATGATGATCTGCCGGTGTTGAGGATGGTACTAGCACAGACTTGTGAGTTACATCCGTCGTACATTTCGAATCTTTGCATAAAACGGCACGGACGCGTCCATGGAAATCGTTGGACATCAAGTTGAACACTGCGTCGCCACCTTCTAGGATCGGCAATACTGTCAACTGAGATGAGGCCGGCGCATTCAAACTTCTTAGCCGAATTCTGTCAACAGCTTCCACTATCAGTGGATTTCCAACTAGTAGTCATGGTGATATATCAGATTAGCACTTGTCGCAGCATTCCTTAGTTAATACATATACTGCAAGCTAAATTTTACCTGTAAGACCAGGTAAAATCAGGGGCGATTTGATGAAATAGTTTTCAAACACTTTGAGTGGTGCGACATCTTTCGATTGCTGCTGGACACTGTCGATTAATGCCGCCGAGACGACACGTACAAGTTGATTACACCATAGTATCGCCATATGATCACACGTCGTCCATACTTTCGGGATAGCAGTCGAGAAAGCTGTCATGCCTGCGTCTTTGGGTAATATTGCCGCATCTGAATTGACAATGCTATCTGACGTCCCTCCTGCAAGCGATACCAGCGTAATGTTTTCACTAGACGGAAAGCGGATCTGCTCATAAACTCGGGCCATTTTAGGTCCCAACATAATAGGCGGCATGGTATGCGGTGTGGCAAGCGTGAGGATGGTTTTGATGGTGTTGGCTCGATAGTTTGGAAGTGTCTGCATCAGTCGCGCCACGACACCGCCCATAGAATGGCCGACAATAAGCACAGATGAGGCTTTTGATGGGTCATACAGCGATAAGATTCTTCTGACAGCATCGTTAAGATATTCAGCTTGATCATATAGAAGTTGTCCGCTCATTGCCGAGAATCCTTCGTTTAAGTCGACTAAATTATCATATGTGGATAGAAGTAAGTTTTTTCTGCGGATACCAGAGTATGGGAGAGGAGCTCGCGCTTAAATAAAGCTGTTGTAGTTTATACCAGTGAAAAAATCAATTCGCTCTCCATTTGGCTTATTTTGCTTGTGGTAGTACGTCGAAGTGGCCGCAATGGATCGGACCTGCTTGTAACTGCCTGCATGGCCAGGAATAAATAGTGCTGGTACACCGTTTGGCTTATTGTTTGTTTATTCAATTGTTTTTTCTTAGTTGTCGAATTATATACAACATGTTTCCATGTCTCTGTAAATATCGTATATCCATGATAACTAACTCAAAGTCTCTTTTATTTATTGATTCAAACAGTAGATTTTACCTCGTTTGGTTTATCCATCGCGGTCTCGCGAAATAGATAAAGTGCGTATTTGTGAGCAAGACGCGATTCCGGTCCGGGATTGACAGGTACATAGGATGGACGCGAATACGACATTGTACAAGATTGGACATCGCGTTGGTGATGAAGAAAGGAATCGACCATGGACCCCAAAACGGCCAGCGTAAGCACTGCAGTGATTGCAAGTGCACGTCTTGACAGTTTATTGCAACTCTTACTGTCCGGCATCGGCGATGTCGTCGTTATTGTTTCCGTCGACGTCGTTTTTACTGTTATTTTCCGTCTCTTTTAGCAAGCAGCTGGTTGAGGTGGTGGAGCGGAAAAAGCGCATATGTTGAAATTTCAGGCACTCGTTGCCCCAGCTTGTCCAACCTGGTGTCAAACACCGGGCAAACAGCTCCAAACTTTTCGGATTGTCGGGCAAGTAGGCTTTCAATACTGTATCGAGTGGTGGTTTCCTCGAGTGCCGGCGACACGGAACGCTGACAATGGCATGCTGGCGAGGAGGCAATGGTATCGATGGTTGAGCGGGAGCAGTGGTGCTAGTCGTAGAGTCGGTTTGCCGAATACCCAAGATCAATTGTTCGTAGGGTTTCCTATGCGGCGAGTCAAGCGGAATGACTGGTTCTCCTTGTACGGTCACTTTGAGCCAATACCAAATCCCAACTTCTTGCAATCCCCAGGATTTAAACAGCTTTTCGATAACAAAGCGCCGAAACTTGGGCTTGTTGGTTACCCAAACGGCAACCATGCCGTGAGGGGCGAGCAGTTCAGGAACAGGTATTTGGAACAGGTCATAGATGTCTTGCGTTTCGTATTTGGACGATCGTCGCACTAAAAAAAGATAAGAGTATATGGTATCAATATCGATAGTATCGTAAGGCTGCTGTCACATACAACTTACCACTTTTGTTTGGCCATGGTGGATCCATAACAATTAAATCACGTTTTCCAGCCTGCTGCACTGAATCATCAATTTCATGTTAGCAGGAATATCATATATATATATATATATATGTGCCCGTAACGACCTGGGGAAGGGAGACGTTACCATAGGATACAAGATCTTCCATGCCCGTTGTCAGGTCGCTCATGAGAAATGCGGATTGAGGCGGCACCAAATAGCTGTTGTTATCCAGCGTAAGGACCCTGCAGCATGTATCAGCAGGGTTATGCACGATTCGATGAAACACATCCAATATTTCCATCGTTGTCGTCTCTGTGTCTGCCAAATCAACTTGATCGTGCTCTTCTTGCTGAAAAAACCGTTGCGAAGCTTGTGCTAGTTCAGTCAGGCTGGCAAAATTGATCGGATCTCCTGGATCACTGTCGTCATTAGTTTCTGATGATGGTGATGATACTTTAGTGTAATTGCGATCTCCAAAAGCTGCTTCTTTAACGATTGGCAAGATGGGTGAGAGGAATGGTCGCGCGTTGGTTTCGTGCCAATCAGCTGTCAGTGTTTCGCTGTCATGCCCGCGTTTTCGTTTCTGACCAGCGATCGAGGAGGTGGTATAGTAAGGTTGCTGCACGTCGAATTCGCCGTCTCGTAAATGATACTGAGTGGATTCAGTTGTTAATCCTTGAGAGAAGGCATTCTCACAATCGATCACAGTAAAACGATCTGTATCCTGTTGAACAACACTCATGCAAGAGATTTTTTCTTTCCGCGAATGCGCCTTAAAATAAATAATCAGAAAAGCGGCCCTGTATGTTGCTTCTCTGAATCATCGATGGTTCTACTATGTATGCATACAAATATGTTAAAGGCTAACTCACTTGGTTTTCATACGCGAAAGTGATGGTAGCGGTGTCCCTTTTAAATATGCTCGCTCGTATTAGTGCAAGATGCTGACTTAATTGTCGCACATCATATCATGTAGATAACTGCATTTTCAATTCGGTTTATGTTATAAGAAGAAAATAAAAGATAGTGCAGCAAGCTTCCAACATTGACTTTACTGATTTCACTGAACATTGATCCAGAGAATATACATTTAAAGTGGTTTGGCACAGCATTTATCTTTATTGATTGATAACTTTGCTATTTTGGCACTGATACTACTCATAACAGCTACTAATTATATGGAGGAATATTAATTATATCTCATGCTATCAGAGAGAGAGAGAGAAATGTTGATTCAGATAGATCAGATAAACAAGGTAGTGATGATTTGGTTCATTGGAATCGGCTGTTGTTTTGTGCGTAATGTTGAGGCGTGTACCTGTGCTGCATTGTCTGGCACACCTTAAATTTTGGGTTGTATAATCATTGGTCTTTTTCACACAGCTCTTTCGCCCACAGACACATTGTCTTGTTCATATTGTTGTTGCTGATGGTTGTCCAACTGGTGCTCAACATCGTTGCTAATAATGCTCATACGCCTACTATTATTCCCCTGCACCTTGCTGTCTTACCGTCCACCAAGCTACGCGCAAAGGTGTTGCAATTCAAATTCATCAGCCGAGCGGACCACTTGCGCCCTCAACGTTACTGGCAGGCATCATTACCAGCTACCTCCGCCACAATCCTCCTTTAGACATCTGGACCAAGCTTAAAACGAACCCATTGTGCGCCGATTACAAAGTGTTAACTAAAGCAAGCGCCGCTACAACGTCACCCTATTCAACATATCATCAACGCGCATCTTGTCAAAGAAGTTCAACAGCGTCGTACAAAGTTCTCATCCGTGGCCTGTGCACTTGCGACGCCATGCTGGGATCCAGTGCTGCTTCTCCCAGCACATAACACTGCTCGCCATCGACCAGTGAAGTGGAGGATGCACTGCTTGCCCTCCTATCCTCTCAGGGACTGCCGCTGTGGTGCTGCCACTTTCTTAACTGCCCGCTGGTCGGACCCACACTTCAACAACTGCATGAGGTCTTTCCTTCGCCAGTGCCAGCCGACCAACATCCTGTCAACACTATCTCAAATGTACTACCACGCCACTCGAGAAAGGTTAAGTGTGGCCATGGGCGGTCTACCTGGCCCTTGCACCTCCACACACTCTGGGACTATGACAGAGGTTTTTGGGGTTTCGACAAAATCGATTTGTCGAACCTGTATAAAGAAATACCGGTCACTTGAATTCCCGAAGCTCCAAAAGCGGAGGAATTATTCTTGTACCGATCGATTTGTTTAATTGGCCAACCTGTCTTTTTTTTGTTATTAAGTCCTTGTTCTTTCGCACTTTCTTAATCATGTTCACCACCCTCGTATTCCACGACGAAACAGAAAGTTTTACCCGTCCTGATCGACCTGTATGCTTCAAATTCATAAAAAATTCTATAATAGAGAATGAGAGATATAGGACCATGCGTTTTAAGAAAGAGACAACGAGGAGAGACAACGAGAAAGAGAGAAAGAGAATTTCCGATTCTGTAGGCTTAGAATAGTACTAACTCAGATACAATCACTTAGCGACAAGTGAAAGACACCCAAAACTCCGTGCCGGTCGAAGATGAGGCTGTGGACGATCATGCGGCGCCGACTGGTGATGTGGTGGTTGAAGAACCCTCTGCAATTGAAGGCGTTGCGAGCACGGACGATGACAGCACTCGCCGCAAGGTGGTACCCAGTGACCAACAGGATATCTATATCCTCGAGGCGGTCATGGATGCTGACCCCTTTGGCAAGAAAAAAGGCCAAAAAGGAGAAGCTTGGGAAGCTGCTGCTCTCGATGTCAACACACGACAGCAAGCCAAGATCGCTAGAGGTGAAGCAGTCCCTTTGACAAAAAGTACATAAACGATCGAGTGCGTTTTTTGGTGGATAAGGAAGAGAGACGCATAAAGCGTGTCGATCTCGACTCTGGCTTTGCTGCTGATATCCCACTCATGTTGCAAGAAAAGTGTGCCGATCTTGTTTCCTTGGTAAACTCATATGAGATCTCAAAACATCCTCACACACACCGTTACCTCTAATGGCGACACCGACATCTTAAATACCGCCTTTAAAAAGAACAAGTAACTCACTGAACTTTGATTATCTTCAACACATTTTGTTTCTATTTGAACTTGGCAGCTCAACAGCAATGGAAGGAGAAGAGCAGACGAGAAAAGAGAGAAAGAAAAGAAGCCTCAACTGAAAACCAAGAACGAACAGACGTTGGAGGCTGCTGCTCTGTCGAGTCGTTGCGGCTCGAGAAAACGAGACAAAGGCAAAGATGCAGCAGGAAGTGACGACGTCGTGAATGTTGACGGCTGCAATGATGATATGTCGTTCGACAAGGATGACTTTATCGAAGCCGAGATGAGCCGAATTGCAGACAAAGAAGAAAGAGATCTAGAAAAACTCAGGAGCCAGCGTGCACAGTTTGTAAAAGCGGCTAAAGATGTGGATGCACGTCTCAAACATCTTGAAGATGTTGTGCAGAAACAAGAGCACTTGATTAAGTACTTGTGTAGCTTTTTCCCCTCTCCTCCCCCACCGTCATCCCTATAAAACGTCTTGTACTTTTGTAGTAAATCAAATTATTGTTCTATTCAATGGTGGTGGTAGTAGTGGTAGTGGTAGTGGTGGTGGTGCGTAAAGCAGCATTTGCAGGTTCAAGATATTGTCTTAGAGTTGGTGCTTCGATACTGAAGTATCGTGTTGCTTGTCATCCCCCAGACAAATCTTGATGGTTTTGAGAAGGGTACCGACAATAAAGTACGTGCCTACTGGATTCACCGGAAACTTTTGACATTTCTGGTATGTAGTCCAGAAAAGCAAAGAAATTGACGGTACGTCCAAACTCCCATTCTACATCGTTCCGGACCTTCGAGATCTTTTTGTTGTGATGAATTTCCGGACTTGTTTCATCACCTTATAATCAGTTGACGCGTTTAGTATATATTATATATTGCGCAGTAATCACCATGTGGGAAGCTGAATGATGCTACCAAGTTCTGGTGACGTTGGTATGGCGGGTCACTGTAAAGAATGAATTTGGTGCCATCAGCGAAGTTTGAGCCTTCTCTCCGGCTCTGGAAGAAGCTGGGACTCGGTCAACAAGTACCCATCATGATGGCACCACAGATTGGGTCAAAAAGACATGTTGTGATGCCATCAGGGGTTGTAGCGGCTGATGCTTCACAGCATGCTTATGCTAGTATGCATTGTATACATTAGTTATCGTGTTTATTGGAGTACAGTAGTGTATGTTCAATACCTGAAGAAGATAAATAACGCATACAATAAACTAAACACACAACGTACCTTGTGACCACTGTATACCAGATTCTGCTTTGTTGTGGGCTACAAATACCCCTCACGGTACCATCGATGAACCCGACGCATTTGCTCAAGGGAGCACCTATGTATTAGGTATACTCGCTTAACATTAAATTCATTCGTTTGATCTGGTAAGTCGTTTATACATAGCAGTACGTACCTTTCTGCTGGAGCGATCAGCAAAGAAATAGTTGGTGATACTTGTTGGGCGACACCATTGAAAATGATGCTTAGTTTATTTTCAGGACGATAGAATACTTCCGCCCAAGTCCTCCAAACGACGCAGATAATTCGCCAAAGCCTCGATAGTTCGGACGGGGAAAATGATGTCGGTGACTACCTCTAAGATGTGGTATACGTTGGATTATACATACGCAATGAAGCAAAGGGGCTCATTCCAGCCGAAGCGAAGCGAGGCAGGAACAGCAAGTGGTACATGGAATCGACAAGCAACGCATCATGGCTTGGCGTGAGGATGATATACAGTCAACCGTACGGGTCGGTCAACTGGAGAATTAGGACATAGAGATGTCTAGACAAAAGTACGTTTGCTGCAGATCATGGAGCGCTCTATTATACTTCCGCTGTAGAGCCTGCCTGCCTGCCTGCTGCTGCTGCTGTGTGGTACCTGAGTAACTGCTTTCTGATTTTTGCGGCCGCCGGTGTGATCGTGAAGGTGATTGTATTGCTTGTTGCTCTTGTACGTATACCAAAAACACGTTCTCGTTTCTATCGAGATAGCTGTTACCTTGGTTACTAATTTAGGCCGTGTCTTAAAATGCAACCGTTGCGGTTGCTGGCGATGGTCATCATCATAATCATAGTGTAATCAGAATTTGATATTTGTTGTATAGGTGCACTTAGGATACTGTAGCAGTGATATCATACTGTTTTGATGTGATTGTAGCTCTGTTTACTACCGTTTGATTGCTGACGCTAATTAACATTGCTCGTAATAACTTAATTATTGAAACAACCTTTTATAAAAAAAGAGAAGCAGTATATAAAGCGAAAGTACGTGTATGATACCAAACATACTGTGCGACCAAATGGAGAGATGCTTGTGGACTATCACACTGCCCGCTATCATAACAGCTGCTGTTAATGCCATGCAGCAAGATCATTATCATATAGGTAATATACTCATTTTGGTTTTAGCATTTGCTGCTATTGCCAATGTAAATTATCCCCTAACGCCAATGATTAAAGAGTTAAAGTATTCCAGATCAATCAAAATTTTGTTGTAGTTGACATTCAACCTACATACAAAGAGAAACATATGCACTTTCTAAAGGGAAGTGCCGCTTAATGAGTCAGTAGTGTTGTGGTTTTTAGAGAGTGGTTGTTTGTAGATCGGCGAAAAAAAAGTAACATCACAAGTAAAAAGGTGGTATGAGAAGATGCCGTAGCGCAAATCACAGGCCAACTCGAAAGCTCATGGATTTCATATTCCCCTTGGCTTGGCCTGGGGGAACAAGGACGTAATACTTCTTTATTTTTTAGTTTGTATGGCGTTGTGTCAGTAGTACAACATAGTCTGTCGTTACAGTACGCAGTACCTGGCGGAAAAACGCCATTTCTGCTGGAAGTTCTGTATAGGAGGTGTACTTTTCTACTTTGTCCATGGGTGCCAGTTGCAAGGTATCATAATTATTCTCGATTACCGCTAAAGAATATTATAATACCATCAGTTTACAAGGGTCAAGTATAAGATTTGGTAGTTCTCTATCGAGAAGACTATACGCGATCGGCCCTTCTACTTACACATCACTTTCTCAGGTGTGAGAAAAGTCCTTCCGGTACTTTCTTGCCATTCTTCAAGGACAGGATTAAAGTGATTGCATATTAATTTGACATTGTCAAAGTCGGTGTAAGCCAAAGTAGGTGATCGATCAGGCGGTGACCTGCGGGTCGTTGTGTGGCTTACTATTATATGCATATTTAACATGACCAATGATATGGGTTATCACTATGCATGTATAACTGTCTGAAAAAATAACCATCAATAACGCGTCCCTTACCGTGCTGTGCTAATGCCGTAAAGTCATCGCTTGCACGTATAATTTCATAGTACAAAGTATCGTAGCTTAGCACGTCCGGTAGAAACTTTTCACCATGATTTATGCTCAGATTGAACACATTCATCATCTAAATTATGGCTTGGTTAATATTTCGTTAAAGCCGCTGTGCTGTGTCTTCTTAAGTGTGATTTATGCAAGAAATACCGAAGATATATAGGTTTCAAAGTCCTCGTTTGTCTTCAGATCATCCAAATGGGTTACTGTAAAGTGAAGTGTCGCTGTCAAAGTAGACCAAAGTTCTGCCCAGTGATAGTCTACAAAGATATATTCATAATTGTTGCTATAATTTAACGTAGGATGGGAAGAAGCTATTATTGCAACCTACTTTATATTTTGACTTCTTACCTAAACTTATCTCGGAATAATTTTTCAGGTAAAGCAGGATGCGATGTATGATTGAGAACGCAATTCTATTGTGAATCTTGATTAGCTATCGCTCAATCGTGGTGCCTCAAACATTTACATTTTTCTCTTACTTGTATGTTACAAGGCTCAGTTTTTTTCGCATATTGTACTTGAGGAAAATTACAAGCACGTCCAGGATGACACAAAAGAGTGATCGTGGTTTCTTTACGAGAGGTAAGGGTGTAGGTCGCTTATATATCGATGGCGACAGCGGTAATGCCGTTGTTTTTTTTTTGTTTGAGCAATCATTCGACAAAAAAAAGCATGTTGGTTTGGAAATTGAGAAAAGGAAAAGCTTTATTGTTTACCTGGCGACATAATCGTGCAGTCATCTGAGAATCTTCCTTTGCAATATATTTTAATACGGAGTAGTTTTCAGACAGACATAAAAGCATTAAGAGCGTCAATCGCGTATAAATGAATGATCGAGGGTTACGGTTATGCTGAAAGAGATATGAGCAATATGAAAGGAGCTCGGCGAGAGGGTTGAGATCTTGTTTTTGCTCAGAATGTTGTGTGCATATTTGCAGATATACAATGATAAAGTGTGGGTTTGAGCTTATCAAATCGTATAAGACTAGAAATAGGGCCGATTCATAAGGCGGCCTAGATTTTTTTTCGAGATCGTAATTAGTATATAAGTGTAGTATTAGTGATAAAGAAATACCTACAAATCAGCAGCTGTTTCTATATTATCAATGTCGGTCGAAGAAGGTGAATTCGCTGATGCAGCAGCAGGACCCGAGAACCAGCTCGTCATGTATGACACAATTGACTTGGTCACCGTTTGTTCATCATCCTTAAGGTCCATATACGGTCTACACATGGGAACAAAACCCACATTCTTTACGAATAAGCAAGTCGTAATAACCTTTTTCTTTACTCATCGTCATCGTTGAATTTACCTTGTCATTGACGGCAGTATTTGTGTATACAGCATAACAAGCACCTGTTACTAAGTTTAGGCACAATGGTTGCTATTGCAGGTATTTTTCTTCGGTTTTTTTTTTCATGCTAACCTCCAATACGCGACTATCTTTGCAACGAGACAATCGTGTGGAATATGGATTTCGAATTTCGGTTTTGTTATAATTTGCTAGCATGCCCCAAAGTACCACAGTATCCAATAGCTCGTCTCGGGCAGTTCCCTCGCTGCCTAGAATCTAAGCAACAGGTTTAATATAACAGATCTGATGCAATAAAGTTTTTTTCTAAATTAGTCTACCTTAATAAGCGTATTAGATAGGTCACATTGCATAAAGTAACTACATGAGGTTTAAACAAAGAAAAAGACCAATTAGTGGAACTCTTACTATCCGCCGCTCCTTTTTCTACCATCAGAATATTACCCATTCAGATTATTTTGATTGACATTATCGTTTCCCGCCGATAATATGATGGCTAACTTGAGCACCCGGGGACGAGCTCCTGGATCCAACAAACGCTCACCCATTGCCTTGACCAAACTGCTAAACATGGCGTCTGCTTGATCCAATCCGGTCAATAACTGAATGATATTAAAATGGCTCAGTCTTTTTTTCAGGAACAGTTGGCGCACCAGGCACGTCAAAATATCCACCGCGTGCAGCTGCCGAGTTTTATCGTGTCCGTTGCTGCTACTGGTGTCCTGCTTGACATGGTCGAGACAAGCACTGAATAATTGGTTGAGATTGGACTTGACATTTAATAGCGATTCCTCAGAAGTCGATTGGATGAGTGTGTTCAAAAACTCGACATTGACGGGCAGCATAAAGTAGGTATCCCAATACCGGATGGGGTCGTCTGCATGCCATTTCGTGTTCTTGAGAACAAAAGTCAAATTCGTTTCGGTAGGATGTTGTCAGAATTGTATAAAAGGGTTCCAGTTTTATTTATCCTTACCTTGAAAAGGTCCTCGGTTAGCTCAACAGATTTTTCTTTCCACTTTGGTTGTGTTCCTTGTTTTTGCATAGTTTTTCTTTTACTTGTGGTGTGGTGGAAGGAACGGTGAAATAAAAATTTAAAGCTCACGGAGCACAATAGAAGATAAAGTGCTTACAGAAAAGACTTTATACTGTTGGCTTTTGCTTCTCAGTCTGTGTCACCAGAAATTAAAAATAATGCACGAGTCGCATGTTCCCTTGTTTTGGCGTGTCCTTGCCAAGGAGTGGCAACAAGAAAAACGTTTTAATACGATTGTGGTATCAAGATGCTCTAAGTCGTTATGAGAGCCATGATAGGCTCCCGATATACTAATATGATATATTTATTTCCATTCTTTATAGGGGGGATTTACAAGTGAGTATGTGCTAAATGAAAAATGCATTAATATATGGATCTACTCTCTTATCGTCATTTCACTTTTTCTAACTTACTTTTGTGCATTAGGTCCGATATCCAGCTCCGTTAGTAAGGCGTTTATATCCGTTTTTCGCATTGGATTTATGGATGATTTTCTGCTTGGTGTGATCTGTATAGAAGTACTAGTACTATCCGACGCACTGCTGCTTTCGGCTTTTTGTTGTGGTTGGGCTGTAAAGAACTGTTGATGAGCTTCCTATTCCTTCTAATCACTTGATTATACTTACCAAGCGCCTCCTTTAAATTTTCAACCTTGATCGAGTCTTTCTTCTTTAGACTTCCTCTCTATATCAGAAAACACGTATATAGCATCAGTAAACAATGGCGATATATCTCCAACGATGAATAACCTGTACTTTTTCTCATTACCTTGCTAGGTTCATGACTTGACCATGGGTTAGACAATCTTGGCTTCTGACCATTAATATCGTTCGATGCACGGATACGCATTGATTGTTCATGACTTACTAATAACAATAACAATCATAAGGACGGGATATAAACGAGTTAGCAAAACCAACAGCATCACCCATTAAAAAGTCGCAACAAACTTACATAATGCTTCCGAGCCCCATTCTGCATAAAGTTTGCTTTCCAGCTCCAATCCATGCGTATCCTGTTCATCTCGTAATTTCGACGAAAGTGACGCGACAATAACATGTCGATCCAAAAATGCATTGACAGGCGTCGGATGGCTATGCTCGACAAATTGTCGATTTTCAGGCAAAACAGTGACTTCGTACCACTGGCTAGATCGTTCTCGTTCCTGCTGAATTCGTTCCGTGTACTCGACCAAATCATCCACACGATAAAACTTGCCCACCATGGTAAGCCATGCAACAGCCACTGCTGCGATTGCACTTTGTCGTGCCGGACCTTTGAATGTACCATCTTGAACCATGCTTTGAAGTTTAAAAACAAGCGGTACAGTTTTGAGTGTGGCATCGATACCGAACCGACGCGTCAAGGCACACAGAATTGTATAGAGTGCATATGCATCTGCTGCATCAAAGCCGGATTGCTGTACCCACTCGACGATTGTGTGGCTGACAGTATTGACAAACACGATATCGCTGTGGTTTAATAAAAGATGCTAAAGGGATACAAAATGTTATTATGAGTATGTTTGGTCGACAAGCTCTTTCCTTATCGATACATACCAATGGATATCCACTAAAGAAAGACGAGCAAGGAAATTACACAATTAGCTTGCCTATAGCTCTTATTTCATCGTAGATTATACGTGTATACTGTACCCTATGATTGGATCTTGTATAGGTGTAGTAGTCTCAAGACATTGAACTAGTGAGCGAGCAAAATCGGATCGCGTTTCTGTTGTACATGAAAAATAAACCATCAGCGTGTCTTTATGCAGAGAATACATGCTACGAACGAACCTGGATTTTTATCCGTAAGTAATCCTACACCAGCTGTCCAAGAACCAGCCGAAACACGGTCCTCCAGCGGTATTTCCGAGGGTGGCCGCCTTCCACTGTGGATCGACTTGTCGGATGTGGGCGTAAGTGCCTTGTGCGCAAGTGTAATGTTGTCCAAACATACAAGGACAACGTGTCGATATAAGGAAATCGGTATACCGTCCACCGTTTCCAGGGTCGTGCTGGCTCGGAGCTTGGCAATAAGGTAGCCCGTCATATCATCCAATTGGTTCTGATAATATTGTTGTGATGCCAAGCCGCCAAAACTATGCAGAATGCCTCGATGGATTGCGTATTCGTAAAGGACCTGTTGATTAACACGTTCTTCTTCGGGTAATGCTTCGCGGAGTACCGTTGTGACATGTAGTGTTTTGATCAGGAGCGTAAACAAAGAGTTGAGGACCTCAAGAACTGAAACGCCAAGAAGCGGTGCATTGACTGCATTCAATACTGTATCCAAGATCGACACCAGGGATGCGTGCTTGCTGTTCAGGTATGCTGGTTCGCTTGCGTTACTACTTTCAAGCTGTTGGAGCGTTTCGGATATTAATAAGTAACGATACTGTGCCTGCACGGAATCGAGAATCAGCTCCATGATCGATACAATTCGATCGGGTGGCCACCACTGCTCCTTGTCTTCCGCAAACCTAAAGCGTGCGTGAGCGTGCATGCAGCATCAGTAGCAGGCTTGGGAAAACAAGTACTTACTGGAACACAAGGACCAATGCTGAACGCACAGCGGAACCATTTGACTTTGAAAATAATATACCGGTTGTCTGGGCAGCCAATGCCTCGATGGCAGTCGATTCCACGGGTTCGCCTTTGCTAATAATAGATTGTTTGATATCTATTGAACCTTGGCCTTTCTCGAGCCGATTGTCGGCGTTTCCGGATGTGATCAAGCTCTTTAAAAGTGCAGGTAATACAATGTCGAGTTGGGCCTTGAAGTCTGGTCCATGAAATGCGTTGGATGTCACGGCTGCTTGCATGGCTCGGTGACCGATATATTGCATTCTACCCAGATTTTAAACCATCCATTAGGTCAGAGAGAATTCTACACGGCGCATACATTAAAAGTCCTTTATCCCGTCTCATCCCACCCCCCCTTTTTGTCTCAAAGGCTCACTTTAATGTCAAATCTTCGTCTGCGTTGGTGTAGTTGCAAAATTCAGCAAACTTGCGTAAAAGTCCCTCAAAGTCCCCTGTTAACCCAGGATCAATGCCCAGCGTAGATCCATCGTGATAGTTACAGAAGATGACGAACTGCAGGAGCATAGTTTAAAGAAAGTTTTAGTATAAACCATCGCCCAATTACTAATTGTCATATAGCCATAATCAACCCGCCTCCACCTCTCTCTCTCTCTCTCTTTCTCCCCAAAGTAGGTGTGCTTGGAACAATCTATCATCTTCAGCATGAACCCCGTTCCTCCTTTTTCCATTTATTCTGAAATGCCCTTCTTCATCACACAGAGTGCCTCTTGTCGCCCTAACCCCCCCTTTTTATAACCAATGTAATTGATGGATGCATACCGTCTCACAGGCCAAGTCTTCCAATTCAATCTCCCGGGTATCTAATATTTTGTTGAGGATGCGGACGACCCACTTTGAAAATAAGTTCAAATCACGATGACATGATTGAATAAGCGCCTTGACAATATCCAAAGACACCTGATTGTTTCTATATTGGAAAACACCAACCCCATGTATTTAGTTTCAATAACCTCATGGGCAAAAAATCCACATACGGACCACCCAAAGTCATTATAACGCATGCGTATTGTATGTATTGTGCTTACTGTTTTCGACCCTTGGCAATGTCACGCTCAACCTTCTTTTCGAGGTAACTGCCAACTTTGGTGAGCTTGGCAGGCCGAGAACTGGCATAAAAGGTAAGGTAGCTTAGCTCCGAAGAACGAGGGCCCTTTTCGCCCTCTTTTGTCGGATAACAGTTTTTGATGAGTTGGGCGTGCTTGACATAGTGCATGCACAATGGGCTGAAGCAAGAAGACACCATTGAATGTGTTTTATAGGAAAGAGTTGTAACGCGTCGTTGTTAATGAGGTGTTGTAGTTTGTTTGTTTGAAAGTGATGCGTTTCCCATTAGCAGGATGGGGCTGGGTTTTCGAGGTCGTCTTTTCGTAAGGAAAAAGGGAGTGTCGTCTCGCTTGGTGATAGAAAAACAGCCCTCTGGCGTATTATGGCGGAGGAGGAGAACGAGGAGCGCTGTTAAACAAGTTTCAAGAAAAAGAAAAGAAAGAAGCGTTTGCGAGTGGAGGGGGTGGGGGCGAGGAGGAGGAGAGAAAGAAGAAGGGTTTTACCGATGCAACAAACAATCAGTGCTTTTAACGCAATGAAGCCATGCAACTGGAGTGGAGTGGAGTAGTAATAGTATGAACCCGAGGTTTATCAAAAAGAAAAAGAGAAATTCAAGCGCGTGCCACTTGCCTGGTGGATCGCCTGTGTAACACTCGTCATGGAGACAGACAGACCATGTGCTCATAATAAAGTAATAGCACTCAGCCCTTTAATTACTCTGTGTATGTACCAACTTGGGGCATATTGAAACCCAACACGTCCGATTCCATCACACACATGTCTTGTCGATTGATAGTGCTATATACTGACCGCACTACAAATAGGTAGGCTATCAAACTAGAACAGCCAAGTCGACGGGTTGTAAATAGTGATAATAGGGCAGGAGCGAGCGGGTGACGACGAATGCCTCGCCAGCATCGAATTGCCTCAAAGCGTTCCACCGGCTTACCGGGTAAGGACAGCCGAGAAAATAAAAGAAACCAGCTGGATGACAGAGTTCCAGTGATTTAAGAAGGAAGCTCCCCATTAAAACGCGTTGTATTCCATTCACCGTCAGCAGTACTGGAGCTTAATGAGATTATGCAAGCTGCTGAATTGGGTCTGTCGTCAGATGAAATGAGAAACTCACAGTGGCTGTGTAACCTTCGACTGACTTGGTGAAAAAAGAAAAGTTGTGCCGGAAAACCTGGGCTTTTATATAAAAAGAGTAAGCTTTTCTACACCTCTTTTTCTTCTTTCTTCTCATACGTCTTTCAAGAATACAAGGCAAAAAAAAAACGATGCTCACGTTGACAACCGCAAAGTACATAATAGCCTACACCATTGCCGGTTTGGTCGTTGCCCTTTGGTTCAGAACAGATTCCAAGGCCAGAAAGCCATTGCCATCGCTACGCGTGAATCCCTCGGACAGCTACATTGCTGATTTCTATCCTAATGGCAACTACTTGGAATTGCCCATGGGCACCATGCGCTATTGGCTGTTTGGCAACCCCAGTGGTAAACGCGTTGTCATGATTCACGGTATTAGTACCGGGTCCCCTAGTTACGACAAGCTGGCGCGCTACATGGTAAATAAGATAACTTTTTTTGCGGTCGGGTTGGAAAACTGACACACATAGTGTTTGTTCTTTGTCATTCATAGGCGGATGCAGGTCATCATGTCCTTGTCTTTGACCTTTGGGGTCGTGGCTACTCGGATGCTCCTGCTACTTATTATGATGAAGGCCTGTATACCAGCCAGTTGGCATTGTTGCTCCAGAAAGTTGGATGGCACTCGGATGTCGATGTGGTCGGCGTCTCTCTCGGAGGTAAGATGTCTGTCTGCAAAGCTTTCAAACTGTAGCTCTGACTTTTTTTCTGGTGATATCAATTATAAGGTGCCATTGCAACATCATTTACTGCATTCTATCCCGAGGTTGTCAACAGACTTATTCTCATTGCACCTGCAGGTCTGATGCAGGCAGACTCGGATGTCCCGCTCTATGGCAAGATCTTTAGACTTCCTGTCATTAGCAAACTTGTGTTGAACCCAATCCTCAAGCCCGTTGCGACATGGGGTATCACTCAATTCTACAACACAGCACGTCCTGTTGGTAAGAAAAAGAACGAAGATTCGACCCGCATTGCCGAGGCTGCTTTCTCGCAGTTTCAGAAGCACTCTGGTTTCTTTACTGCTTTCTTGAGCACCGTCATGGACTATCCCTTGTTCGATCTTCACAACCGTTACAAGACCGTCGGCCAACGCGATACCAATCGTAAGGTATTGCTAATTTGGGGTACAGCTGATCGTGTAAGTGCTGCTCTCTTTTGATCTTTCTATACCTTTGTCACACCCTTCACCATCCCAAAAAAGTCGATTTGGGATTTATGTTATCTTATTTTCCACCAAATTTTTTCTAGACCGTTCCTTTCCGTCATGCCAAACTCCTCACATCGTTGATCCCGCAGACCAAACTCAGTGTTTATGACGATGAGGCCCACGATGTTCTCATGTCGCGCCATCCTGAAGTCAATGCCGAGATCAAAGAGTTCCTAGCATAGATAGAACAACGATGGTTATAGTAATTGAAGCATATCCATACATTTGCTACCTTTGTATATGTAATTAATAAACCACAACACGTTATTATAAGTATCTTTATCAGCAAGTTAGTCAATCATACAAGATTTTTTCCTTTCAGACTTCATTTTTTGAACCTTAATGGGCTACTTTATTTACCACGTCGCACAAGGCCATTCATGCTTCCCAAAATGGACAAAAAATACTTACAAAATCTGTGCACGGGCAGCATCATTATCCAAATACGGCCAAGTCTTTGAGCTGGACAAAAACTGGCGGCGACCCATGGGTTTTATCTCCGGAGCTCATTTTTCTTTTTTTTACTAATCTCATACCAACGTATTATTAGGCTGCTGATCCAGCTATTGGTTCTTTTGTAAATGTACACATTTACACACATGTGATTATGATTAGTGGCTATATGCAAGTTGTACGGGAGAGAAGATTATCCGCTTTGTTTTGCGTTAACGAATATGTCTCCGCGGCTCTTTTGTTTAAACGATGAATCGTAATAAGGAGCCCAGACTGTTTTTCAAACTAAAGCGGAGGTGAACTACAATCGTACTGTATCATCAATACGCTATAATTATCATTGGTGTTATAAACATGCTCTAGCTGCCAGCATCAGATATATTTGTAGTACAACAGTCAAAAAGTTTGATCACCAAGAAGAGTGTCAGAAAGAATACATCTATGTTGTAAACGTTGGTCAGAAGACTATGATAACCCTTTGTAATATCTGCCTTCTAGAGTCCTCCTGACTTGCATTTGCTGAAGATGAGAAAACAGAAAAGGTGGCTTGATTCCCTGATCAGAAAAAGAATCTCTTTATCATACTATTTACTCTATTCAGTGCTATGTACAGTACTGCCATTGCTTGGTGTTGTATTTCATACAAGCTTGCTAATAACGCTCTGTAATAATATGATACATAAAATATATCAATGGCAATGGTGATAAGGAAGGGGATCATTAGTTTTGGGTGTTGTTTGTTTGTGTGATACATTGATGATTCGGCATGGTTCAGGTACAAGTTGATTTCAAACGTCATCCGAAAGACACAAATTGCCCGTTTGTAGCTGTTTGCAGCCTTTCGGACGCTTAAACGACCCTTCAAAGACCCAGTAAAATTATAAAAGGCCCAAACGGTAATCTAAGAAAAAATTTATAAAGCTGATTCCTGTTGATGGAAGCAACGGATCGGTATTCTCCTACAACATTGCGAAACCGGACGGGAAACGACTACGAGGCCGCTGGTTCTTGTATTGATCTTGTTTGTCCTGTTCTACCCTCTATGTCGTACGCATCTTGGTCCAGAAGTTGGATGAGTATATCTGCTGTGAAGGAAGCCTCGTCTTTAGGATCCAATTGTAGCAGACGCGCTTCGCTTTGGACCATACCGGCATGCAGGCAGGTGCTTGTGGCTTGCTCAAACCAGATGCGTTTTGTGAACGATCGAATAGCACGCCAGTGGGGGGGGGGACTAGGAGGTCTTCATACATTTACTGACATCCTGCCATTGGGCCTCTTTGTAGTCGTTGCACCACCTATTTGCACAGGTCCAGCTCTCGACCGTACTTTTGCCGTCGACACGTGCAATGGAGTGGCTTGGAAATCTTCTGCATGGACATACCAGTTTCATGTAAATCATGAGCGCCACAGTTTCGTACATGTTGCCCTCACCAGTGTTAAAATGTACTGCCCAGCAAAGTCGCGAGTTGCCACGCAATCGTAGCTCGTGAGCACCCAGCAGGTCCACAAGCTGAGTACGCATCCGAGAAATACAATTGTCGTTTGTTGCCATTAGCTGTCGTCAGTTTGTCGTTTGTAGTCTTTCGGACATGTTAAACGACCTTCCAAGGCCCTGTAACGTTGCAAAAGGCCCTAACGGTAATCTGAGAAATTGGAAAGTCGGTTGTTTTCCAAGATACAACTCAAGAGTGCCTTAGTGTTTTGGCATGTTTTCATTGCGGCTAGCAGTACAAGTGGGCTCACCATGTTGTTTGTCACTGCTAGCGGGGCGCTTCTTTTCTGTCGTGTTCGCAGAGCTGTCAGCCGAAGCTTTTATTCGGATCACTCGCTTCAGCTCGATTTATTGATTTTGACCGTAAATATAAGAGGAAATAATGAGGGGAAATTAAGAAAAGAAAAGGAAAGTAATGTAGTACCAAGTCACTTTAATTTTACAGCATTTAATTGTTTTGATCCAGACTTCCTCTTTTCGCACTTCTAAATTCGTCGTCCCTCTCCTCCCGACTAAAGTTGAGTAGCTGTATGCTCATCCTGCACCTACCTCAATCTACTTGTTTCCCAAGATATCATCAATGAGATAAAGGAAGATTGCTCATAGAGTAGCAACTGTCAAAGGAAGCTATTGAGTGCTCAAAGATACTCATCGAAAAGCTCAGGTTAATTTGTGTACAAGTGATGAACGTCGCCTATATCTCTGTAGCGACGTAGCTATCTCGACCCGAAGCTAATAGACCATATTATAACCATCAGCTCGCAACACATAATTAATGAGCTTTGCATGGTGTTTGATACTGCCCATCTATTTCAGGCTAATGACTAAGCGTTGTATTCTTAACAAACAACACATTGCACCGCAAGCTATACACCAACACTCATAAATAAACATATCGAGCTACTATTATGGAAAGCGATATAAATGAAGCAAATCATCATCCCATGAGCTACTTTGCTATAAATACTTATAGTAAGAATGTAGTAGTTTCAATCTATAATACGCATCCTCTTAAAGTTATAACAAAGGACAGTCGTATGCGTATTACAAGATGTCTCGAATGAGAGCGGGCTTCTTTCTCGATTTGACAGCTCAGCATTTTGAGCGGGTCAATTTTCATTCTCTTTTTTTTTCTCGCAGCAAATACACACACACACACACAATGATCATTGAGAATGCACGAGCAGGAATGCTGAGCAACTTTGAAGTGCTCCGATTACTAGAAGAACAACAAGAAAAACAAAAGGCAGCACAAGACAATCCTAATGGCATTGGCGTACCCGAAAACTTACGCACAGTGCAATTCGAGGTATATATATACATAATAGAAGTCTGATTTATAAAGCATTGTCAAAGAAAAAGTGTCGTCCTTGATCTTTCAATGTACGTGTAACTCATTGTATATCTTTTTTTTTTTTTTGATAAAAAAAAAAGTTGACAGACTATTTAAAAGGAACGCCAAGCAGTACGCAAGACGAACAACAGGTCAAGGATTTCGTGGAGGCAATGAATTCGTACGAGCTAACGTTGGCGGAAAAATTACAGCTGTTAAACTTGAGACCGAAAAGTGCAGTAGAAATATACCTTGTAAGTGTGGTAGTTTATTAGAGTGGGGGTTGGGGGGGGGTCGATGGTAGGTGTGGCTGATTATCGGTCGTAACGCGTATAGCACGGGGAAAGTGGCTGATCTCAAATGCTTGGCAAACGTACTCAATGCTAATAATAATACTAATAATAATAATCCTGCTGCCACAGTTGATCGAGGAGTGCGAAGAGCGGTTTTCTGAAGATCAGTTGGAAGAGATGTTGCAGACGGTATTGAGCGTATTACCGCGCGACGACGACTACGAGATGGAAGAGGGATACGAGGAGGAAGAAGGAGGAGAAGAGGATCAAGCGTAATGCATGCAAGAGTGTGCGTGTAGAATACATGATAGGCTTGCGGGCCGATGGTGTGTATGTGCTTAGCAGCAGGCCAGCGACTACTATCATCATCATCAATGTGTGTGTGTGTGTGTGCAACGTAACACATCTCAACATATCAGATTTTTTATCCCCCTTCCACCACGACATTTGCATCCGTTTCTCTTTTCCACTGCTTTCCACCCTTTTTCTCTTGGCCTTTTTCTGTCTTTTGTTTCCCTTCTCTTTCTCCCCCCGTAAATAACAATAACAATAATCATAATAATGGAAAGACCACAGCAACAACGAACGATGACGTTGGGTCCGTCTGCCCCGATACATGATTGGGAAGTCGAGAAAGTGACGGTATTCTTCTTTAATCCTTTCTTGTTTGTTATTGTTGTTGTTGCTTTTGCACTCGTAATAATCTCCTGTTTCGTTTTTCCCTTTTGTAACAGCTTTTGAATGACCTTGAAGAGTATCGGGACCGGGCCGAAAGCCTTGAACGGAAGATCCAAGCGGATAGAGCAACCTATGAACGCAACACTGCAAGTGTACGTATTTTACACACACACACACACACACACACACACACACATACAGAGAAAGAAAGAGAAAACATGAAACACCAAACCTTGTTTCCTGCGCTGATACACTTTTTCTCTCTCTTGATAGCTCCTACGTGAAGTAAAAATGAAAGAAAGTCTTTTGGAAAAACGGGCGCAAGATATTGAGCGCCAGCTGATGGGTCAAGTAAGCTCCCGGTGACACCGTGTACTTGCTATGAACAGCCCGCATATAGCCTAACTCACTTTTGCTCAACCTTACCTGTTGTATGTGTACAGATACAAGACATGCAGCGACAAAACGAAAACCAGCGCACCGAACATGAGGATGAGATCCAGGAACTACGAGCACGGCACGACCATGCGCTTGCCACTGAGCAGAAAAAACACGAGCGCCGTCTAGCGAGTATGCAGGAACGAATTGAAAATGTTTCCGAGCAACGCGGGTACAGAGACCAAATCGAAACGCTACGCTCGGAACTGACACGGGAACGGTCGCAACGTGCACAAGACAAATTGGAATGGCAAACGCGACAGCAACAAATGGCCAGTCAGACGGCATCGCAACGCGACCTGTCCGAGAAACACAATGTGGAAATGCAGCGGATGCGTGAGCTGTTCATGAACGAATGTTACCAACAGTCGATGCAGCATGAAGCAAGGATACAGAACTTGCGATCCGAGTACGAAGAAGCGTTGCGGGAAGCCAGAGACCAGCTCGAGACAGAACAGGACGTGTGGGCCATTGAACGACAGGCACAGGTGGATCAGGCGACGCGCGTCGCACAGCAGGAGAAGGAGGAAGCTATCAAGAAGCTCAGTGAGGAGTGGCGCGACAAGATGTTGGATGTGCAGACCAGCATGTCCAAGGATGCCTCAGCAATCCAGCAGTATTGGCAGGGCAAGCTGGATGAAGCGGAGGCAACGAAAAAGGCAGAAATTGAGCGGCTCAAGGGCGAAATGGAAGTCGTCAAACATCGACTCGGCAAGGAAATTGATCGAAGGAAGCAGATGCAGGCCAAATGGGCTACGGCGGTGGAAAATGAACGACATAGCAAGGTGTATCAGCAACAACTCGAGCAGCAACTTGACACACTTGGAAAGGAATTGAACGAGGTAAACAAGTCTTTTTGATGCACGGCGTACTTTTTGTATTTGAACGCACACTCAAACGTAAAAAAAAAAAAAAAAATGCAGATCCAGCAGGACTATCAACATTCATATCGGCTGGGCCAGCATCTCCTGTCACTCTCCACCGTGACAGATTCAGGAAACAAGACGCGTGAACGAAAAGAAGAGCTGGCAGACATTCTCCAGGAGTCATTGCGCAATGTCACCGCATGGCACTATTCACATCATCACGAGCAGGTGAGATGGCAACAGAGATTGCTACAATTTGCATTCACAAGCCAAGTCTAACATAGTGTCTCTTTTTAGTTTTATTACTACCAGGAATCACCGTTTTATGCATAGTTTATAGCTTTTATGCCCGAGACACATCATCATCCATCATCCATCATCTATATCCTTTTCTGTCATGTGGCACATTATATCATCATACCCCCCCCCCACTTCCTCCCATCTACCCATCTCCGTTGTACAGAATTTTTTAAGTGTGATTTCTACTGTAGTTTTATTATGTTGTTCCTATACGTGTTCAAGAATGCGGCCTATCATGTTCCACATTCCCAGCTGCCTGGTTGCATTGCCAAGTAAATTAAAAAAAGACCAGCGTTCGAAATGTGGCCCACCCATGGAATAACAGCCGCGGAACAATCTGTGGTACCGAACTTGATCATTGTAGCAGTTGGATGATTCAGGGGATGGGTTGTAAAGGATTAGTCCAACAGCACAATTCATGCACATCAATAAAAGTAAAAACACGTGTTTGAGCTAATTAACAACACAGACTATGTAACCGAGGAGCATCAGTGCATGTATATATAAAAACACACACACACACAGCATGTCACATGAACATAACCCGCGGAACTCGCTTTCCACCTCCCTGGAACCCTATTTAACTTGTATCTTCCCACATAATTCCATCGAATGCCGCAAAAAGACAGTTGTGTTTGTGAAAATGCAAAGAAATGTATTTGGGTTCAGTGTGTGTGTGTGTGTAAAGATAAGAAAACAAAAGAGGATATACTTTCAAAAAAGAAGACTGCTGTGACGATATGTATAAAAATGATTCATGCGTTTTTGGGGGGAAAAAAGGAGAGATAGACATGGTGAGGCATTTAAAAATGACGGTGGATGCTGCTGACAAGGGGAAGGGAGAGATATATGAGGCAATTGTATGATGATGATGCTGATTGTTTGTTATAAGTAAAAGGAAACAAGACGATCCAAGTTGGTGATACTTGATTTGGACGTCGCCGTCGTTGAAGTGGTTGACGATGAGGACAATGAATCCGTTGATCGTGCCATGGAGCTCGATCCCCACGTTCGTTTTACTGCTGGGGTAGCTTGTGACTCGGCAACAACAAGACGTAGTTTCGACTTTTCATTACTGCTGCTGTTGCTGCCAGAGAGATACGAGGAGCGACCTTCGGTTTCCATTATGCTGTCACTCGCTGACGACGAAAGACTGCTATTACTTTTACTTTTGCTGAGCTGTAAATGTCGTTCGCGCAGGAAAAGAGGGTCGATATCGGATTGAATAAAGGTCATGGTTCTTTGCAGGTGCTTTTGGAGAATACAGACGAGAGAGGGAGAGAGAGAGAGTCGGGCAGGCACGAGTAAGAGGAGAAGAAAGAAGCCGTCTCTTTTATATTAGCGTTGTTAACGGATAAACAAGTAGAAAAGAATTGAGGGCGGGGTAACTTGAAAAGACTTTCTATTTATATATTCTTTATTTCTCAATTTGGATGTGTGTGTGTGTGTGCTCTCTGACTCAATGAGACGGGCCGGGCAATGTTGGCTTGGATCGTGGCCAATCACGTTCAAACGAGTTGAAACCGGTAACGTCATGGAAATTTTATTGGGACAAGCGGTGTGTGTGCGCAGACATCATCATTTCGGCCCTAAATGGAGGCAGCGTGGGGGGGGGGAGGGGGACGTCAGTATTATTTTACCGTTTAGCAAAAACCCTAAAACACAACAAACACTATTTCATTCTTTACTTGTTAAGTTTTGTCACCGTGTCTGCTGGCATCTTGAATTGGATCAGGCCCACAAAGGCCAGCACAGCTCGAATGTTCTCCTCGATTCTTGCAACCGTCTTTTTCCGGCCCATAAATTATTTAGTTTGCTTATGTTTACTCCGCTCCAAACCCCCCCCCCCTTCACCCTCTTAAGCCCCAAACCAGACTTCCATACCTCTTTGGCCGCTGGCTGCGAAACAAGCTGGGGCCCCGTGAATGTGGTCCACAGTTTGAAAAGCATATCCGTCACCATCAGCAACATGTCCGGCACATTTTTGCTGATCCCTTCGTCCAGACGTTCAAACTGCTCGGCTGTCCGTTGCACCAGTCCCAAGTCATCCTGCAGAGGAATCACACCACTTTGATGGATCACGTGGAGTGCCTGTTCAAACGATCCTTCTTCATACAGACTACGGCTCCGTAAAAAGTCGATAAGCACTCTGACCGTGTGTTTCTTGGATTCCTTGATAAGCACGCCGATATGTTGCTGCTTTTCATAGTCGCCTAGCGTCTTGAGTGAAAGGTTGATGATTTCTTCGTCCGATGCACGTCTGCGTAACATTTGGTCTGGGTCGGTTGCCCGTGGTTGCTGTAATGCATCACCCAGTTGCTTGTTTAGGATGTCAACAACTTCATTGTAGTCCTGCAACAATTATATTAGTACTTGATTAAAATAGAATGGGGCCCCCGGCATCCTCTTCTCCCTGTTGTGCTTCAGCTTTAGTTTACTTACTCCTGTCAGTTCATACACAAAGACGGCCTCCGAGTAGCGTCCTTCCTGCGCATACTTTTCAGCGAGTGGTTGCAAAATGGCTTGAACAAACGCTCGTTCGCTCGTGATACCGATCAGCTCCTTGTGGGCATCCAACCATCCCCGCTTATAGAAAGAAGAAAGATAAGGTTTTCTATCCAGCCAAAAGTGGCAACACAGTGATGATATGATGCATTCTACTGTACCTGACGACCCTGTTCCGGTGATCGTACCCCCAATATCGCCTTGGGATCCTTACTTCCCAGGACTAACTCTTGGATATATGTATGGGATAAAGTGATCATATCGTCAGAGTCATGTCGTTGCCAATCAGAGTAGAGTGTGAGGAGGTAGATGTAGTTGAGTGCGTTCTGTTCGTTGCTGGCTGCAAAGATGCGTATGTACTGGTATATCAGCCGGGAAAAGTTAAAGCTGACTCGTTCGTCATCCTCGACAATCACTAGTTTTTGTTGCCATGACAGAAAATTTGCAAGTTAATAATAACCTTAAATTTCCCTTTCTCTTCCTCTCTTATCACAACATCCTTCCTCCGTTTCCCACACAATATTCGTTAAATCAGAAACTTTACGTAGGTCAATGCTGCTTGTTAATAGGTTCACTGGGATCCGTAATAAGCCATGATAGGCAAGAGCAATCGCAAAGTGTACCGCTTCTACCCGGGTCTTTTCATTCTTGTAGAGATAGTTTACAGCCTTTTCATGCAAATTAGTTTCGAGTTAAACAAAGTCCACGTTTTCCAAAGACTCCTTCTTTCTGCTATCTCTTTCAACCTCCCCTTCAAAAAAAACTTACCCGTTCAAATTGCAAAGTCAATAACAGCACCATGAAATAATTTCGAGGATTGGTTCCGTTTTGGTCAAACTCATTTGGATTGAAGCTCAAAATGAGTTTTTGTATGTCATTCAGGTTATATCGTTCATAGTCGTATGCTTCTCCATCCACTGATTCGCGCACCAGTGAAAGCTGTGAGGAAAAGAGAGATCATTGGACGCCTATTAGTATCAATGACACTTTTTTGAACCACCCCCACCAAACATCTCTTTGCTTGGGGGTTGGCTACTGTTTATGATGCCGCCGTATAGTATTTACCTGTAACCACATGTAGTCTTCAGTTGTGCCAATCTCGGGCAAACGCTTCTTATTGAGCCCACAACGACCAATGATCTTGTACAAGATAAGCTTGTATGGATCAGCGTTCTGTTGTCCGTATTCTAGACGCTGATAGTCAGCCACAACTGCATCGTGTGTTGCTTTTCGCAGTCGTCGATCAGGCGATTCCATGTATTCGGTAAAGTATCGAACAAACTGTGGTTCAGCACTAAATAGCTGCTCGTTTTCCTTTACGTATGCTAGTGCTTGCTTAGCATAGCCGCTGCGGATAAGTAGGTACAGATAGGTCCAGATGGCCGTGCCGTTGACAATCTAAATTCAGTGTCGTGGTAAGTCCCTTTTTTCCTCTCCAATACCTCATATCTAGTTTTATTGCAAACTCAAATATGCAAGAACTGGGTCTACATTATTATATTTTACCTCAAATCGAGAATCTGTCCACTTTTCAGAACCCTTTCGGAATTTCAGATCCATGAATACCCGAAGACGGTGAGCTGGTGATGGTACACCGCCCACTTTGGCTTGAGTTGCATGGCGTACTAATTCATCGTCGATATATTCGGTGAACCTAGAAATATGTATAATGATTCGGGTTAAATATCCACTCACTATGCTACTCGCTCATCTTTTTTGAGATAAATCCTTCACCATCAACTTACTGTTTTTCGAGCCAGCTCTTTGCTGAATCAATGAGCTTTCGAGTCATGCTCACTGCTACCGGCTCGCCGGGTTGCAGTTGTGCATATCTCTTTTTTGAATATTCGGCACCGTTGTCATATGCGGCTTCTCCAGCCAAGCTATATAATAGTTTCCAAATATCCAAATTGCGATCATGCACCTAAGTAAAATAATGTCAGTCTACCCCTTCTTTCTCCATTTTCCTGACCGTTACACAGATACAACAGTAAACCCCTCTACGTGTCATTATCCCTTCTCATCAACCCACAAACCTGATCAGAGTCCACCGATTTGGATAACTTTGCAAACTCTTCGACAACTGGGAAACTTTTACGGGCCACTCTGGCATCATTCATTTTAGAGATAACAGCTGCATAATCCAGCACACGTTGACGGGAAGCTGGCGATGTAGCAGCAGGCTAAGATGAACAAGAAAAAAAGCATGCGTGTAAGTTCTTTTTTTTTTGTTGTCTGACAGCATGTCTAACATTTCTCGTTAAGTGTATTTCCGTTTACCATCAAAAATCTATCGTCATCGATTACATTCGAACCTTGATGATGATGATGATGATGATGTTGATGGTGATCCCATCCCTCCAAAACACGACGTTGAGTTTTCCGCAGGTTGGCTTCCATCACGCGTTCAGCCTCTTCCTCGAAATCAAACTGCGTCTATAAAATATGACAGATAACCATACCGTCAGTCCCTTTTCCTTGGCTATTTTTCTTTCTTTTTCATTTTTAATCCATATATTTTACGTTTTGGCCGTATTCCGTGATAACATCAATGATACTGCGTTCGTGTGCCTTTTCCAAATATTTCTAGTGTTGACGTTGTTTTATGTGAGCAACCGGATCGCGTGTGAGAGTACGTTTGCACGCGTCTACTCTAACTGGTACTTGTATATACCTCCACGTCCGTGTCGTTAATCTTGCCTGAAGGTTCAAAGATCCGACCCGTGTCCATGGCATTTAACTTTTGCGCCAGATCCTGCGTATTGATTCCATTCTGTGCCAAAAAGAAATGACTACCCATGGTTTTTTTTATAGAAATGACCACCCATTAAAAAGGATATTATTTCTTCTCTAAACTGTGAAAGATTAGATTAACGAGAGTTACTCACGCTTGAGCAGTTTGTTCCTGATCGGCCTTGTTCTTTCCAAATAATCGTCGCGTTTCTGTATCGATCTGGTCTAATCCACGTTCCAACACGGGTAGCTGGTCTCGAGTTGTGGGAGATGCAAGTAATTTCGAGCTCTCGTATAACTTTTTAAACGTTTCAGTCGCCATTGTTTTAATATTCTGCAGCAGAAAAGAGGATAGCACCCAAAGGTGCCTTTCCAAAAAAAAAAAATATAAAATGAGCGCTCGTACCCTCCAAAATTATTAAAGTCCGACGTACCTTGAGTAGGATGAACAAAAATCATGCGAGGCGCATATACACTTGTTCGAAGTGAGGACGTATATAGCAGCTACCACTTTTGAGCCCTGTGGGCATGGAAAAGCTAGTGTGTGCACATGATAGCAGTAATAAGTCGAGATAGTTAGGGCTAGCAGCTGCTCCACACAGAGTAGGAAATATGACCCCACCCTCAACAACACCATGAAATGACAGGACAGAACATGCAGTGCCCACTTGGCTTGGAGCAAATTGTTGATAAAATATATATGTATTAAGAAGCAGGCTCGCGTAATTTATGAATTTCTGATATTTTGAAAAATCACACGAGCCGTTACAAAACGATGGATAACCATGTGCTGGCAGTAATCTGCTATCTCAGAAAATTTCCTAATGAAACTGTTAAAAACGATAAAATGACCAAAAAAAGGTGGGCGCCCTGGATGCAGCATCACCATCAAACAGGTAAAAATCACATCACATATGTCGTTGCCACGAATCACGATTGTGTACGTCTGGCCACAGCGTTAGACGAACAATGTGGGTGCACAACGCAATCGCACCCACCGTGATGGAAAGATCAAAAAAGTATGTGCTGGTCTGTGTGTGGCATTATGCCGAGAACTTTTTTCCCCCTTTTTGTGCACAAGCTGATGAAGCAGAAATTGTTTACTTGAGCGTTTTCTCTACTTGAAGGGAAAAGAAAAAAGGTACAGTACTTATCCAGGAACCAGGGTCTCGGTAACCGGAGAATTACCTGAGCTAGTGTTGGCGACAAGCAAGCATGAGGATGTGCCTTGACTCTCTTCTCCACAGAAGGTTTCAACGCGAGAATGAGTTTACCTGAATGGGACGCCTGTTATCACTGCTGATGAGCAAGAGATAGCAAGCCAATCTTAAGTACACAAAGAGAAAGAGAGAGAGAGAGAGAGTCTGATCGATATGACTCTTAAAGGAAAAAAGAAGGATCCTTTCTAACAAATCAACAATATACCAAATCAAGTAACCCGTAATCGCCGACTTTCTTTTTAAGAGAGCGCCCATGACTTCACTATCCATCATCGTTCAACAGCAGCAGGGACGACAGCCCAAACGTTAAAACAGAGAGAGTTTCCGTTTCAAAGTACTACTGATATACACCGCGCTGATTCAAAACAACAAAGATGCGGGGTAAATTTTTCATGTGAATGGCTACGGATGTGTCCGATCAAGAGCAAGACGTTCTTCTCGTCTTATTATGCGGTATTTGCTATCCTGTGGACGCATGTATGTCAAGCAGAGGAGAAGGGGCAGAGTGAGAGGGTATAGAAAAGGATATTAGGGCTCATTTTAATTTCCTAGGAATCCTCCTCGGACCCCCTGATCTTACGTGTTCTGTTGGGCCCTGGAATCGAGGAGTTGTGATCACTTGAGCCGATCCTGTCCTGGAAGGTGTCACCATGTGACAACCGAAACAACAACAACAACAACAACAACAAGCAACCCATCTCAAATGGCAGCAGCAGCCACACAACGAAGCCCATAGGATGAAAATTTCCCGTACCAACCCATCCGGAGCCCCAAAAACACAGCTTTCCACAAAAAAAAACCTTGTGAAATATATAAAACCTATAGAAAACAAAAAGGACAATGCGTCTTTACCAGAATTGGCGCTGCACATCAGGAAAAGAAAAATCTTTTTTTTTTCACACACTTGTAACAATAGTACACTCACGAAAGATATCTTGAAGATGCATCCTTTGGAAAAGCATCATCCAGAGTACCTCAATCACATCATGATGCGGTTCGGACACCATCTGTCTGTCCACCAACGACAAACGGTCAGCTCTCAGTATAGTGGCGTCATGTCTAGCTCGCCCCAAGGTTCAAGGATACAGAAAAAGCTCTGTTCCGTCACAGCGCAGCATCATCATCATCGAATACTACCCGGCAGCATCCTATGCAATAAAGCAGTTGTCCACATATCTAAACCATCATCATCATCAGCAGCAGCACCTGAACAAAGCACAGCAGAAGAAGAAGAACTAGAGAAAGTAGATGGAGGCTCAAATAAGCGGGATATTGTGATGGCAGACAGCACGCCCGCTACGGAAACAACTGCGGCTTCTATCTCCACAACGGCAACAACAAGAAAGGACGCTTCCACAGTAGCTGCCAGCGCAACCTCAAAGAAAAAACATGCATAGTAACTAGATACCCAATACTTTCTCCCCTCTCCTTCCTACACTCAACATTGTATTATTGTTATTGCTACAGCCATTAATTTGCATTTTACTGAACTCTACAAACATAATAAGATGTGTACTATATTACCCATTACTTGTGCATTTTATTCAGCCTCGTCCGTTTGGTCAGAGTAAACACAAAAAAAAAAAAAGAATCCGACTTCTTTGACCGCCCTGTACGACCTGGATGCCAACATGGAACAAAAAAAAAAAAAACCCTGCTGTGCGTGGCAAACACACATACTGGAAATAACCTAGATTTCTTGGTTCCACAAATGGGGATTCCTCTTTAAGCAGAATCGCCCGAGAATTATATCCTATCGTACGGTTCCGAGCTTAAAAAATGCCCGTAAATATGCCCGTGGACCTTATCCTTTTTCCAAACATGATGCAGATCTCTTCTCTTTTTCTTTGTTCTTTGCTTTTTATGCACTAGATTCGAAGCATAGAAGATTGGATACAACCTACTAAACTTGTGTTTGTGGGAGAAAAAAGACAGGATTTGTATATTGATACGACGTGAGAGTGTATCGATATGCGCATAAGATAGCTGCATAACTACTCGCTTCTCCAATCTTCCGTTCGTGGTTCGGTAGATGCCCTTAGTATGAATATACATTCCAAGAAGAGTAGAATAAGAAGCATTGATGCACCCTCGTGAGGGCCAGCTCGTCATATAGCGCTTATCCCAAATGATAGAAAATGATGAGCAAATTTCGGTATATTTGGGAAATTCCCTTATTCTATTTTTTCTGTTTTCTTTTCGACATTAAGGTTTTACGTTTAAGCAATCGTTCAATCATGCAGTGCCTGGACGCTCATAAAACCTAAGGCCAAATGGTGTAGAGGAAGAGTTTCAGAGTACAAAAGGAGGGAAGGAGCTGCGGGTAATTTTTGAATTGGTTGAAAGATGATGATTCAACTGCTATCATGGAGTCACTGGGCTTCAGCTGACAGAGAAGAGCTCATCATCCCACCATACTGGGTTATTGTTGTCAAGAATTTCCAGGTACATCAAAGCAATCAAGTTTTTGTTTCCCACACCGCGATCTGCTCTCTGACTGATGTTATCATTACAGACGTAACTCTCAAACTTCCGCCTTACACGTACTCACGAGGAGCTGTGAGGTCTTTTGTGTTATCTTTCATGATTATTTAAGCCTGTAACTGCTGCACACAGTACCCACTCGCTAAACCAATGTCCCAACTTGTTTCTGCGGGTCAGCTAGGTTAAGCAAGTTGAGGCCTTGCTAAGATATATATATTCTCCCAAATATGCGGTGGGCGTGAAATTGGCGCAATCTACATCACCGATCTGGTTGACTAGGCCCAGTAAAGTTTAGGACTCTCTATGATATTCCGATATATTACATCATACTATTGTAGCGATCAGTCGCGGTAGTTTGTTGGAAATATCAAAGCTACATTGTTTATCAATCCAGCTGGTTCTTAGATAGATTCAACAGATATCGGTTTATGTAGCGCGTACTATTTGGTAAATACACTGCATCCGCTGGAGCGGCACATACTTTTATCTTCAACGCCAGCGATTAAGTCTTCTACTAGCTCGAGTGGACCTAAGTTGGATGCTCTTAGCAGCCAATAGATAATTTGAGGCACTCTTTTGGACTCATTCAAAGGGAACTTTTTACTGTAACCACGATTATGTTTCTTGCCTTGCTTTATATAACTATTATTCCTTCTTCTAGGCCAAACCTATCGCTGATGAAACTATCAGTTGTCTCAGTGCACCTTTGTTCCGATGTGATGTCCAAAGCTGTTGATAACATCCACATATGCTGTACATGATACTTTTTGGCGTTACTATCAGTTTCACTACTTGGATTTCTTCACGGAACAACTGTTCTGCCGAACTTATGCACCTTTTTTTTAATTTCAGAGCAGTCTTATCATGCTTTGTTATAGTACCTTTCTCTTTCACTTTTTTAACAAAGAAAACGAAACAATGGAGCAAGATCTATTGGAGAACGGAAAAAAACGACGAATCCTAAGTAAGTTGACTCAGGCAATTGTGAAATCGTGTCAACACAGGGATCTGATCTCTGCTCCGCAGTAATTACCGTTGACAATGAGATTGATTGAAAGCTGATTCTTGCCATTTGCTTTTTTTAAAAGCTCCCAAACGTAATGTGACAAGATCAGCCCGTACTAAAACACACTTGATCTCCTTTGGGTATTATTGTGAATACTAACAATCGTTTCTACTATGATATCAATATAAGGGATGCAAAAGAAATTGAGGGATAGCAGCAACAACCGGACGTCACAATGCATGGAGGTATCGACGATCAACAGCCAGGAAAAGAGCACCCAGCATCCTCTCAGTAATGACGCGTTTCACTTTGCCAGAAGAAAGTTTAAACAGTCAGATGGCACGCTCTTCTATGGTGACGGTGACCGGATGAGCGAACATCATAAGAGAAACAGAAAGAATCATTTTCCGCAGCAGCAGCAGCAGCAGCAAAAGCGACATCGTGGAGCCAATGATACCTTGGCATGGAGCACCGCTGCTATACCAACTCACTTTAATACGATATCCAGCAATGTGACGATGGATCCTTATCAAAACCTGTACGTGCTTGATACATCCTCTTTAAATTTTTTATTGCGGTCAGTCCTGAAATAGACCTAATGCTGCTTGGATATATCGAATCTCTCTCTCTCTCTTTTGTATATACATAGCAACAGCTCACCAACAAAGCAAAACATTCCTGTTGACGTTGGTAGTACTTGCAACGATATTACTACTACGACCTCAACCACCACACAAGTATCCTTTAGCAACTCAAGCATGGTGAACAGTATTAAAAACCAAGCATTATACAGTGAGCTACCAGCAGAAGCAGAAGCACAATTAAACGAGATGCATCGCCTGATCACCGAGCAAGTGAGTTTATCTGATAGCATCGATGCGCAACGACAAAAGCAACGAGCACTGTACAACGACGAGATATTTGTACAGACAAACAAAGATATTGATTACTATGAGGCGCAATCGTATAAAAAGATGCTGCAAGCTCACATGAATAGCGAGCCAATGAATACTACGAAGCATCAATGAGCCGGAACGAAAAAACGCAATACTTATCATGGAGAGTTCTTTAAGATCAGTTCTGGCAACAATAGTTGACGTCGTTAATAGCACTTTTTATCAACCCATGCAACTGTCGTCTCTCAAAACCCTCGAGTAGTATTATTCATATGCCGAGATATATATTGTGCGTGAGCTTATATATGACCAAGGTGTCATCGGATATCAGCCTTGTTTGAAAAGAGTGTTTTTACTCAAAGTAATAAAAGACAGCGCATCTACCAGTCGGTACAGTAGCCCCTGTGGTATTCTGTGTGCTCTGAATATCTTTATGCGACTCGGTTCTCAGCAAACTATGAGTCAGTGGATACAACAACAGTGATGGTCCAGTCTCTTTTCCTTGCTTTACTACGTTTATTATGTCCTTTCCGGCACACTGAATCATCGACGGCCGTCGTCGACAATTGGATATCGCTGTTTTACCTTACAGTAACACAAAAGAGCGTATGTCTGACCTTTTACAATATCCTTATAATTTTGCGTACGTACAGAGCTCGCTAGAACCATTGTAAATTTACGAAAGTACTACTGCGATACTGATAGTGGAAAAACTAACAATAATGTGGACGGGGATGGCGACAATAAGCTACCAACATTTTCGCCGTCTCTCCTTTAATGATATATGGTGTTTGTAGTCATGATCGTTGAAAAAAAAAAGCTATGAAATAGCACTTTTCAAACCATTGTATTTCCTATCGCCAACTCCAACAATTAACGGTAGATCACGGGCTTGCGACGCGACGCCGTTTTTGTTTCAAAACAGACCCGTAGTATATGATAGGTCAATGTTTTACCCTAGAGCTCCAGGCGAGTCTTCCGCAGATTCACCCCCCCCCAAAGAGACTCGGTTAGTTTAATAATGAATATATAGAAATTTAAAAAGTGTGTTGTAACCTTACCATTCTTATCTCAAATTTGTTTGCCTAAGAATAGCTCATACGAGGGTTGGATCTCGCAAAGCTATCCATGTATTCATGGTACTACCCTACCTCCAAACTAAAACGAATACCTACATGTGAGTAGGATATCAATCAATGATGAGAGCCCACGAGCCTCAAATTATTTACTACATACATAATGCGTACAGACAGAGCACACAGATTCGTTTCGCTAGACGCTGTGCCTTCTATTCTGTAAGTGAGAAGGCAAGGGTACAGTGGACCAACATTTATGGAGACATATATACGTTATTCGAGCGATGATGTCCTGTGCATCGACATTTGGAGTGGGAGAAGAGTGTGATGGATAATGCTGTGAAGAGTTGCTTTACAAGATACTTTTTGACGGACAGCCCCAATATCACATAACTACGCACTAGGCTTCCAACCCCCCTTTACCCCAAATCAATGGGTGTGTGGTCGCAACATCCAAGTCAAGAATCATTTGTAGTGTGTTTAAGATATTCATTTTTTTTTTATATTCAAATCATGAATGTCACTTCAGGTACGCTATAATCAGAGAAAAAATAATCAGGATTCTCGATGTGGCACACAGCGATAGCCTTGTAATAATCTTGTTCCTTTTTAATCACGGGAGATAAATTCCAACCTGGACTTCCATGGTCAAACGCTATCCCAGAAAGTATCACGTACTGCTTCGAGACATCAATGTCTTCAGTGAGATCAAACTCAAAACGAGTGCACTGGGAGGAAGCATCGTCATTCCAAAACAGGGATTCCTTTTTTTCTACCGGGATAAACTGCAATAATGTCTCAGCCTGCTTAGTAAGTTCAAAATCCTCATACGGATCGTCGCCGTATATCTCGTCCAGTATCGCTGTTTTGCTACTCTTATGTCCAGGTAGCCGAACCGAGGTCGAGAGTATCCAACGGTCCATTTCATCTACACTATCCTCGGTAGTACTGTGACAAGTAGGCTTCTTCTTATTAGATGTGGGTGGAAGGTCCCTGGGAGTTAGTGTCGTCACCGTTGTTCTCGCCTGCTGTTGTTGTTGCCGCTGGCTGGCCATAATCAGGATTGATGGATCGGTGGAGATGCAAGCACAGGTAACTTGCAATAACCGTCCCATTATCTTGTAATTCTGAAAAGTGGTGCTTGGATAAAGGTGTCCATCAACGACATGCTCTAGATAATGTTTTCCATTGACACCCGTCCAGGATGGTATTTCGAACTTTTGGATGGGTCTGTCCTGGTCCAAAAGCGAAGCATCGCCAAAGCAAAGGATAGAGAGCTCCGCCTCGGCAAAAGGAACGATATATCTAAATGGTCACGAGCTGCATACCACCAAAGATGCACGTTACGTCCGACAAAGAGCAGTCTTTGTGATAGAAGCGCCTCCTCCAGGGTCCATAAGCAAGTGAGCCATTGAGAACTATTGATCTGATAATGACTGTCCATTGCACGGTTATCCACATTATTATCTCCTTTTGGCGATGAGCAGCTTTGAAATTCGGGCAAATAGTACAACGGCACAGTGGGCGCATCAAACGTATCTCGCGATGTTTTTCTCCCTTGCTACCTTGGTTGATGCACCATTGGTCGTACCAGATGTACTTTATGTTAAAATCCTTGCCTATTTGCTGAATAATGCCTTCAAAGACGACGTATTTTGTCTTTGACGGGATTCGTTTGCGGCCTCTTGATTTTCGTGGCAATTATCTTTCCGGCAAAGACAATCTTGTGTCTGCCTTCGTCAACTTGTTTGCTTTTTCCCGTGAACCTCGTCTACAATAGTTTCTCCGGATTGGTTCCAGGAATAAGAAAGAGCGCAATATCCTTCGTTGACAGTAGACCCTCGGACCATTTGCATATCGGATATTCGAACAAGCCAAGTCGGCATAAAATCAGGCTTTGGTAAATTGGAAAACTTTCGAGGCGGTTGAGTGTAGGGACCAGAGTGCTGGAAAGGAGTTGTCATACACCATTGCTTGGTTTCGTATGTGATACACATGGTGTTTCTTATAAAGAATGCTGTGTTACTTTTTTCCTTTGTTCTTGGTAGCTTTTACTTTTAAAGTAATAATTGCCTACCTGTAGGCCTGTTACAACTGTATGCTGAAAATAAGGAAAATGGTGGTGTTGATTCTCTGATAGCTTCACTTGTTAGGTAAGGCAGCTGGCCATCAGACAAATCTCTTGCTGCTATAAGATACGCAAGAAGGGGCGGGTAGGCTTTTTATATTTTTTTTTGAAGGTGTGTAACGTTTGAAGTATTTCTCTTTGGAAAACTGCTCTCCTTTGGGATATATAACGTAGTACAGTAGTATACGGCGGGACTCGATCCATGCGATGTGGCTTAACCTTGGAATCCATTGACTACCCTCTGCGTGATGACCAGTAGCTTATGTATAAATGTACATACTCTGTTCACAAGCAATTTAAAAGAGATATTCTACTGGATCAGGAGCGACATACCTATAAGAATGCAGCAAAATTGAACGCCTTCTCGTTTACTTATTACATACAACACACTGTGATTTACCTGCAGTCCGATCAATGGGTATGACAGAGAATTTCTTCGATTGATCGTCACCGAATTGTAAGGTGACACTAAGTGTTTGAAAAAGTAGGCGTACACACACTAATGGCTGTAAACAATGATGGTTCGATGAACGCTAAGCTTTTGTACTCGCCCCTATGAAACTCAGTTACAATGATGGATACATTTAGAGAGTGGACCCACGTGGTTCCATTAAGAAAGCCATTCTACTAATAAAAGCGAGATAGAAGTAGGATTTTTATTTAAAAACGATCAACTACATTTCTGTATAAGGGCCCACGATACGACTACTATATTGGTTGTCATTGCATTGCAAATTCAAAAAGTAAAACAACTGGATCGTTGATATCAAGCCTTGTTCGGCAATTGGGGTGTTGAGTACATATCCGAAATAAATTAAGCCCTGTTTGAAATATGCAGTTACAGGTGTTGCATTGTGGGAGCATGAAAGGCTCGAGACCCAAGGCAGTGGACATTGAAGGGACAAGAGAATTGAAGTGATTTAGGGAGGGGCAAAGAATCATAAGGTGAACGCAAAGCGAACGGATGAGTAGAGTGAAGAAGTAAACTAGTGTCATCTGCATAACAGTTGAGATTCCACACTCACCCACACCACCTGAATGCCATTGTTAAAGAAGTTGCTATCATAAGATAAGAAAGTTTATGCACATTCGGTTACACAGAACTTCCAACCGTCTGTCTCACTACTGGCCTGCTTTTGTTACATAGGTGTAGACGAATCATCCAACAGGTCTATGCCGCTGTAGTCATATGGTGAAAGAGAAACTCATTGTTCAACAAGCTTTACTTTTGACTCCTAGTATGTTTACTGTAATATGCACAAACTGTATACATTAAAGTTACTCCATGCGTATTCCTATACACCTGCCACCAACCATTTTAACCACGAACAACTTATTCTTTGGGAGATCTTTTCCCTCACGGTATTATATATTACTCTTAATATGCTTTATGTCTACAACGTTAGATCATGGCTAATTCAACAATCCACCCAGAATCTTGTGGCTTTCTCCAAATATTTACAATGGTATCGGTTCATGGACCTGACAAAAGAATAAAGGAATACGAGTCAGCAAAAACAAACAAAACAGCTTGATCAGTACCATGTTACAACTTACAGCATCCATGACAGTATGCCAGTCTTCAATCATCTTGAGCCGTGCATCTTGATCGTTTGGTGCAGTATCCTTTTTCCACAACACAAACCGAGATACAGGCTGTTCCGATTTTTTAATTAAACGTGGTTTTTGTTCTTCTTCTTCTTCTTCTTCATGTTCGTCACGGTTTTCGGGTGTTTGTACATGTTGCCAAATATGTCCTACTCACAGTAGTTTTAGTTTTTTAAATAAAATAAAGGACTAGATTTAGTTACCTTTACAAGATTCTGGTAAATCAACGCCATATCCAATCAGTCGCCGGCCCATGACAATGGTTTCATAAGTTGCGATTGAATTGTGTTGATGTGCGATCGATGTTGTCGGCGCGAACTGAAAAAAGTCTTTTGAGTTGACGGGTCCTTCTAGTGGACTTGTAAATGGAAACAAGTGTGCGGTAATGGGTACAGTAGTAGTGGACTGTTCCTGATTAGACATCTTTTAAAAAGCTTATGGCGATATACAACAACAAGTCAGATCAGAATTTATATTTTCGCGCCCGCCCCGTCACGCAGCAATGCCAGGACATCAAGCAACACAAATGTTGTCAGTTCTGTTTTTGTTCCCTTCCTCTAGTAGCCTTCACGATGGACGCTGTACGAACCTACTAATTGCCCTGAGATGAATCGCTGTGCTCAAATGGCACAGGAACAAATTCTGGGCAGTATCCTTCTAGCAGTAAAAATGTTCAAAAGCGCGTGACATATTTTTTTTTTCGCTAACTAGCACCCGTCATCTGTTGTTAGGACGCATGGCTCTTGCTGGGTGCATCACAATCTTTGGGCTAAGCTGATGATAATAATATTGATGATGATGAAGATGGCTTTGCTTTGTGTAGATAGAATCATCAGAACCTTGTTTGTTTTGATGATAATATTAGTTTTAATAAATCAAGGATCTAGGTGGCATGCATAAATATTTACGTTTGAACTTGCACTGCTTTTCCTTCTTTTTTGTCAAAGAACCCTCTATCTCTGGCTCCTTGTTTTCCCTGTTTGATATACTACCAAGCTGTATCCTGGGAGGAAGGGTGAGGAAGAAAGAGAGACAGAGCCTTACTGAAAGATGGCAAGTGATAGAGTCGTGGCAGCGTAAACGGGATATATAAACGCCCATCTGCTGCATAACTGTTCTTCTTATCGCGATTGTAAACACACTATCGCTACATGAACAGAACGAGACACCGCAAGAGTATGATGCGTACTTTGCATAATGCCAAGCTGTCACTACGACGTAAAACATGCGACACAATAGAAGATGAGCAAGAAGAAGAGCAGCTTTTCTGCGATAGCTCACGGCAGGAAAAAGAGACATTGCCTTTTTCCGAGCCAAATTCTGTATCATGTAGATCAGAAATAAACCTCCTGTTCTTTTGGTATGTTTGCGCGCTTTTCATTTACTGCTTGGCTCTTGCAACGCTGGCGACACTTGCAATCGCACCATTGATGATGACTTGCGTGTGCAATAACGATGAGAGCAGCACACCAACAGGGCAAAGTACATGATTGAACAAGATATATCATAGAAAGGGTGACCCGATGATGCTGCATTGTATGTATGTGTACAGATACAGTGCATAATAACGCACATAGAATAGCGCACACCCAAAAGGAACCCTTCCTTCCTGGGGGGGGGAGAGAGAACGAGGATTGGCAAGCGATGAGGTTCCGTTGTTGTTGTTGTTGTTGTTGGGTTCATATCGGCACCGTCTTCTGGTATCATTCATGCTGCGCTGTGTTAGAAAAGAAGCGAGAGTGGGGGGATGGGATTACCTATTTGCAAGAAAGGGTCTCGTGATGAATATAAACACGCACCACACGCAGAGAAAGCCAAAGAGAAGCGGCCTCAATGCGTCTATATTTGCAGTTCCCTTCTAAGCTTTTACTTTTCCCCTCTCTCTCTCTCTCTCTCTCCTGTTTTTTTTTCTCTCTTTTTGCTCCCTCTTTTTCTTTTTTTTTTACTTTTCCCTTGGACTCTGGACTCTGCTTTTCTAACAAAAAAAGAAAAACTTTAATAACGCGCCTCTGCTTTTAATGAACAATGACAATCTTTGATCCAGCACCCGACAATGTCTTTATGCCGCCACCACCTCATGTCAAGAGCGACAGTCCAGGAACTCAGACCGAAGAAGACATGGCATTGGAAACCAGTCAGCTCATGATTCGTTCACCCGACCCAGCAGCAACGGCAGCAGCAGCAGCAGCAGCAGTGGCACTCGACCACCCACTGCACCAACACCAGCAACAACAAGACCCTCACCGCCTCCACCAGCACCACCAACAACAACAACAACAACAACTGCACAGTTTACATAGCCACCAGCAACACCACCACCATCCTACGCCTATGTCTATTGAGCAGCCCTACAAAAAGTTTAGATATGACCCTTGGTCCGTTGAATATCTATGCAGCGATCCTACAAGTCCGTTAGCCAACATACCACTTGAGGTACGATTATCTTGATAACAGAAAGAAGAGATACACACACACACACACACAGACAGAGGAAAAGGTGGAAGGTTTTAATGGCCATAAGAAAAGTAGCAGGCAGTGTTGAAGAAGAAGAACAAGTCAACCGGGTCACTCACTCACTAACCCACCCACACAAAAACGTCTTGAATAGTCCATTTTCGAATTTTCGGCCTTTCAACTATTATCTTCAAACGAACAAGATGAACTTGCACGGCTATTGCCCACTGTGGATGCCACCACCACCACCACCACCACCAACAACAACACCAACAGCGAGAGCAACAAAACCATCACTGAGGCATTTTTCTCCAAAGACCAGAACCCTATCTTTTGGAACGCATTGGATGATTGGCAAACCATGCTAGCCCACGGCGAACTTGGCAGTAACAGCAGCAGCAGTAACACCACCACCTACACAACAACCACATCGTCATCGACTACGGATGATAGTAGTACCAACATGCCTTGCGTGCCTCCAGAACAGCAAACTACCCTTACGACTACAAGCAGTGACAGCTTTAAGGTAAGGTGAACAAGGCTTATCAGTGTCTGTCAGTCAGTCAGTGCCATTGTTGACCCGCCTACATTGTTAGGATGAAGCCTTTGAGACATATTGGGGGGAATTGAATGATAGAGACAAGATGCATAATGTTGCAGGGTGAGTAAGCAAGAACAACTTTAAAAAAGATGGTTTCTCTCCCTCTCTCTCTCTCTTTGCTTGAGTCCTTTTTAAATTGGACGAGCAGAAATTGCTAAACCATCTTTCATATACATAATGTCAGGGACTCCAAAAACATCACACTTAAAGATATGTGCCGAAAGGGTTTGATACGGGAACGTGATGTAATCGTATACAAACGGAATTTCAGTGCTTGCAAAGTGGTCGTATCCAAGTCCATGACAGTAAGTTATTTTTCTATCGATATATGCAGGGGGGGGAGGGGGAGGGGGCGAATAATTAGGGCAGAATTGAGAGGATGTTACTTTTTGCCACGACGAAAAGGTTAGATACTCAGAATGAATGGATTGGTAATTGGGGGTTTTTTAACTAGGTGGTCAAGGCCGATGGGGCGACAGGGATCTCGATTGAATTGGACAATGAGATATTCGAAGACTTTGAAACGCCCACTGCATTGGAAACCAAGATACTGGATCAACATGGCAAGGTCAGCAAGGATAAGCGACCCAACGGCAATGCATTCAAGAGCATCAGGCTGCTGCGAGGAGGAAAGGATCTGGGCCGTTTATTTGACATTCGTAAAGATGGATTTGGCGAAAACTAAAAAGAAAAACAAAAACACCACTGATTTACATAGTGTTTGTACATCATCCTAACCTACCCTCTCTCCCTCTCTTAGTTCATATCACTCACGTACCTCCAACCAACATCATCATTATCTTCATCTTCTACATCATCACCACCATTACCATCATCAACACCACCTACATCGTCATCTATTTTTCTTTCCTTTCGTCCTTGTCTTACAAAATAACATCTCTGTCATCATCTTCCGAGGCATCATCAACCGCTCTATGTACTGTAGCAACAGGATCAGATGCATATGTATATTGTTGTTTTTTATTTTCTGCATAAGATAAAATAGCTACTATGTCCTAAAAGGAGAAGACCATCATCATTATCATCATCACTTGTCATCCTATTGTGTTATTGTAGGAACTGCCGTTCCATTCTTCACTCCTTTTAATTACTGCTATTAACAAGATTGCTGTCCATCATGATTAACGCTGACATGTACTTCAAGAGATGAGCACTTACAATGCTGCCATGTTCATGTGCACTCGTATAGTGCAAGTACAGTAGTACAATGATGATTACACAGTGGCCTATTTTCGTACGCATTGTATGTCTTACCCCCGTCAGCGACCCTTTTAACTGTAAACGACTCAACGTACGCATTATCATTTACTTTTTTTGTCATGACGTCCGAAAAAAAAAGTTTAAAACAACCGTACGACTGAGGATGACAATAACCCCTACATGAGTATGGCGAAAAAAAAAAGAGACATTAACTTTGAGGCTAATATGATATACACATGGAGTGCTTTTCGAAAAAGTATATTATTCTTTGTTGTGATTGTATGTTATGTAAACGCGAGAGTAGAGAGAGAGAGAGAGAGAGAGAGAGAGATCAGCAAGCAGAGAAAATAGAAATATGTAAGATGATGTCTTTTCAGCTATACTTCTAAAGTGTTGAGTCGGGTAAAAAGAAGTAAAAACCTGTTGGAGAGAGAGTGCACGTGTGTTGCCAAATTTTTTACACAACGGAATATCTTCCAGCGCCACCACCGCCTGTTCGAGCATCCACTTCCATCTGCGCAACCGTGGCCTCCATCAAGATACGCTTGATTTCGGCCTTTGCCTTTTCAACAACCAATTCAGAGTCGCCTTCAATGAACAGATACAGCTTGCGTTCGTTCTGCCCAGGCTGCTTGCCTGGTGGGAAAAAGGTGCCACGTGTCGTGATGGCTGCTCCAGAAACCTCGGTGATTTGTGAAATTTGTTCCTAAGCGACAGCCGTGTCGATGGTGATATATAACAATGGTTAGTAACCATGCTTCTCCTTGCTCTTTTAACATAGAACCCCTTCTTCTCCGCTGATCCTCATATATGTCATAATCAAGATTTCTAACCTTGTTGGTGACTCTCCAGCGAGCCTTTTGAGGGTAGTCGTTGATGATGATTTCTTCTGCATATACCGGTCGACCTTCCTCCTTTTTGTCTTCTTGCTGCACTTGCTGCAACCCCGTTGTACTTTGGTTGAACCGTGTGTTGATATCTGCCATTACGTCATGTGCGTTGCGTTTGTTGGTGCCCAGCATGCCGTTGATCCTAGCCGCCACCTCTGCAGCAGCCTTCTTTGCTGCTTCTGCAGCCGCACTGACTGGATCACTGGATGTGGCGCCGCTTTCGGGAGCACCTGTACTTGCTGCTTCTGCTGCTGTCGCGGTACCCGTTGTACCACCTGCCGCGGCAGGAGATCCAGCAGCGGGTGCCGCAGGAGATCCAGCAGCCGCAGGTGCAGTACCAGTAGATGGGCCTTGTGGTTCTTCTTTCTTTCCAGGTCCAGAAACAACTTTAGTTTCGAGCTCGAATTCTTCTTCATCCGATTCGTCCAGATCTTCACCACCGTAAGCCTGGTGTTGAAAAAAAGAGTGGGATTAATATCAACCATAATAGCTTTCTTCAACATGTCCTATTCCATCAGCAACCAAAACAACTTACTCGCTTTTGAATACGCTTGACCAAATCACGATCCTTGTCAAAGCGCTCCAGACCTTTGCCACCGAAGCCAGAGCTAGCCATACGTTCTTTACCAGCCTTGACCTTTTCTTGGAATTGATCCGCGAGGGCTTGCAAATCCGCAGGTATTTCTTGTCCGCTCGATCTCAGTGCCTTACAGACATCCATGGCATACCGGTCTTGATCTGGAGTGATAAAAGTATAGGCTGTTCCCTTGTTACCAGCACGACCTGTTCGGCCCACACGATGCACGTAGTCTTCCATGTGGTTGGGACATTCGTAGTTGACAACCAGCTTTAATTGCTTGACATCCAATCCACGGGCAGCCACTGAAGTGGCAATAAGAATGTTGCTGACGCCAGATTTGAAATCAGCAATCGTGCTATCACGATCCGCTTGATCCTGTAATAACAAAAAGGTGTCATTAGTATATGATTATAGCTGATAAACATAACGAGAATGCGTGGTTTACCTTTCCACCATGCAGAGATTGACACGGATATCCTCGTCGAATGAGATCACGCAACAGATTATCAGCAGCTTCATGTCGATCCACAAATATAAGAGCTCTGGCATCTTCTTCACCTTCATCATTGAAGAGTTTGCCGAGAATCTCCAATAAACGCAAGAATTTGGTGGAATCCTCTCTCACTTCAACGTGCTGTTCAACATCGCTACATACGACACTTCGACCACCAACTGTGATCTCCAAAGGTTTTCTCAAAACTTTACGAGCGAGTGCTTCCATCTTCAATCAAGGACAAAAAAAGTTTAGTTCAGTGTATAACTAGTCCATTTTGCCATATGTTTCTAACACGTACCTGACGGGGGAAAGTGGCCGAGAACAAGACAGATTGCTTGGCTGGTCGCACATTATTGACAATTTTCATGACCTAATGAAGACTTTCGATTTAGTTATTTCTGCCTTATAAAGCCAACATATTTACAATTTGAGAGGAAAAAGGGAAGGTTATCCCTGCCGTCACTCTACCTGTGGTTCGAAACCCATATCAAACATACGATCTGCTTCGTCAAGCACCAAATAAGTGACACGCTGTAAGTTTGTCACACGACCTGAGTTGGCACAAAGCAAATCAATCATGCGTCCTGGTGTACACACAATAATTTCACACCCTCTCTTCAAATCAGCAATTTGATCCTTGATAGGCGAACCGCCATATGCACATACAGCCTAATAAATACAGAAAAAAATTTACTAAGTACATAATGACGAGAACAAGATATTTTGCCCCACCTCCTACTTGTATACATATAGACTGCAATTTGAACTTTTACTTACTTTAAGACCAAGGACTTTCAAGAAGGGTTTACACTCGCGATGGATTTGCGTTGCCAATTCACGCGTTGGCGTCATAATCAAAGCAACAGGTCCTTCTCCTGCCTCCAACGGTCTTTGATCCTTGATGTGACGAAACATGGGCAACAGGAAAGCAATCGTTTTGCCAGAGCCCGTCTTGGCAACACCAATCACATCACGACCATTCATGATTGCGGGGACCGCTTGCGCTTGGATTGATGTAGGTTTGTCAAACTTGAGTTTACGGATCACCTCCAAGCATCCGGCAGGTAAACCGCAGTGCGTCCATTTTTGAATAGGCTTCGGGCAATGCACACCCCGAATCTTGATATTGTCTAATTCGATACGCAGTAAATCGACTTGTTCCGGTGTCATGTCTTTGAGCTCTGGAGGTTCGATATAAAAGTCTTTACGGAAGGGTTCATAGTCGATTTGCGAATGGTCCACAACGGCAAGATCTTTCTTTTTGGCCTTTTTAGCTGCAAATCTATATCCAATATGTTAGCATTATAAAGACAAAAACAAAATGATAATAATAATCACTTACGCCAAAATATCCTCTGGATCACTGCCATATTCATCGTCATCTTCTCCCTGCTCAGGTCCTCCAGCAGCAGCAGCAGCATCTTCCTCATCCAAACTGGGTCTGCCTTCGGCATTCGAGGTCTTTAATTCTTCCATACGTTTCTTGTCTTCCTCATTGATCTTGCGTGCTTCTGCAGTGACATCCATCATGTACGCTTCGAGTGGGTCCACATCGGCATCGTCAACATCCATGGCTGAGCTTTTTGTTGTAGCAGTAGATTTCGATGGTGGAGGCGTAGATGGTGTGGTATCCATGGCAACCGGTGTTGCGGGTTTTTTCTTTGCAGCAAGCGTCTTTCCAAATCCCATTCCAAAACGCATCATGCTCTTTGGTTTCGTCGTTGTCGTCGGTTTATTATTTCCATTACTGGTGACACCGTTCTTGTTGGTGTTGTTGAACAGATTGTTTCGTTGAGGTAACGGCTTACCCACCAATCCATCGTCTTCTTTCTCGACGTCCGACTTGGCAAGCGGCTTGAAACTTTTCTCTGCATCACTGCGTGCTTGTTCGCTTAGTTCGTAGTCCATTGTCTCTTCCTCTTCTTCTTCTTCCTCGTCGTCTTCGAGACTCCAATTCTTCCCATTTTCTTCTCCTCCTTCTGTCGCAGCCTTTTCTTCCATTTGCACATCGGATTGCTTTTCATGCGTCGTTTCTGTTGATTCTTGTTGCACTTCTGATGTTGCTGTTGCTTGTTCACCATCATCAGGAGTACTGATTGTATCCTTCTTGGTGGTGGTAGCCTTGTCTTGTTCTTCACCATCAGTACCAGTGGCAGCTTTGGCCGCTTCTTCCTCGGCAGCTTTCTTTAACGCTTGTTCTCGTTTCCACTTTTCAATCTTTTCTTTTCGTTTACGTGCTAATTCGTCTTTATCGACCGGTTTGTCCTATGTAGAAAAAAGAAAATTGTTGAGACTATTCATCTGTTTGTCTTTTTATAAATTCAACATGACATATTTGACACATTTGCAAAACCAAGAAACCTAATTAGAAAAATAAAAAGACACTTACCACTTGAGCAGTATCCGGAGAAGTTCCTGAACCACCGGCATCAGTTTTTTTGCTTGTAGTATCGCTTTGTTGTGTTTGCGCAGTAGTAGCAGTAGTGGACAATGAACGATGCGCTTGACTGCGCGAATCAGTCGTTTTACTACTACTACTAGTAGTATGATGACTACTTACATTGTCATTATGATGCCTGCTGCTTCTACCAGCCGCCGAATCACGGTGGTCACCACGGTCACGGTCACTACGGTCTCTTGTTGAACGATGGCGATCGTCGTATCGGTGTCTATCATCGTAGTATGAACTGTCATGATGGCGAGAAGATCTTTGTCTTGACGATGAAGACGAGGTCGCTGTTGTTGCAGACGATCGATGTCGATAAGCGGATCGGTCTCTGCTGCCACTGCGGTTTCTGGATTCTCTATAATGGCTGCCGCTGGTGCTGCTGGTATTATGTTTCCTTCTTTTACTGGAAGGTGAAGGGGATCGATGCCGACTAGGAGATGGTGAACGGTAGGATGGCATGCGTTTTGTTGTTCAAATGCGTGAGAAAGAAAAGCAAAATTATAAGTCAAAAGAGACGAGTGGTTAAAGTGTGGATATGCTTTGGGCTCCCTCCACGCACCAACGAAAAAGTTGAGCGGAGTTAATTGCCAGCAAACCACAGGGCTTGTTGCGCAGCGCTCTACATTGTTCTACAATGAGTCGAGGGACTGGAGTGATTTCATGGAGCAAAAGTAACAAAAGCCTTTATACGTCAATGGTGCATTAAGTGAAAGAATGTAGTAGCGTAGTTAAAGGCATTGAACTGGTTCGCTGCTGCTAGTATATGCACATGCATATGCTTTATGAGGATAACGATACTGTAAAAGATAAATGATTATGATATGAACAACAAGTACACTGATGTGTACTACTGACCACCATCATTGCTGCACAATGTTGCCTCGTCAGTCATAAGACTGGCGGTCGAAAAGGAGGGCTCTTATTCAGCAGCTGCATATACATTTGCGTACTTGAAAATTAGTAGAGACAGATCAATACAAGCTCAATTACGGTAGACTACGGCCATGTTGAGCTACTACCACCCATGGAGTGGGCAAATTAACGGCTACTCCATGATGGCGATGCCAAATAACAATAGTGACGGTCACTTATAAAATTTGCTACGATATTTTTTGCTCTTTAGGTATACGTATCTTACAATCTAGCAACAATAATGCCAATAGTCTAAAATGCGAGCAGCAGTAAACTACAGATCAAATGGGTCCTCAACAGTATGATGTATTGAAAATATCCCATAATCCTAGTTGTCTACCTAGCTCGAGAGTCTAGCAACCATAAAAACAGTTTCTTGAATTTGATATCGAGCTTTGACCGAATGCATAGTAGTAAAGACTTATCTTACGGCATGTACAGCGAGGAGTCTACTTCAATTATTAAAAAAGAATGGTCATAACGAAGCGAAGGATTTGTAAAATGCCGGCATTCACTAAAGCGGAAACAGTTCATAAAAAAGATCATCACTTCGTTTTCTGTCGTAGCTACCCCCATCTTCATTATGCTCTGGAACTATGAGACTGTGTTAAGCACGCTCTTCGTATTAGATTTGTTCGTGTAATTTCGAAACTTATGGTTCACACTCATTGCATCCACTAACTCATTTTCTTTCTAGAATGGGCGCGCGGCAATTATGTCGCAGAATTCAATGCATGTTCTTGACAATCGCTTGTAATAACAGCCTATATTCTATAACAGCACTTGTATGACTCACTTCTGTGAGGATTTATTAGCAACAAACTTTACAACGCCATCGATTGACAGAATATCTCTTAGAGACGTTACTGCCCCTACTACAATAGTATCGATTAACATGAAAGTGCTGTCGCAGCCACCACAGAAATTACAGTAGCTTCGCAGCACCGCCATGTATATATCACTATTTACCTGACCTCTTTCTCTCACTACTCGAACTTTAATTTTTCTTTGTATACATATCATAGTTAGCTTTCGAATCTACTCCTTATATTGATGCTTTTATTACAGCTTACCATCAATTACCATATATCAAATGTTTAGAATCAAGTAGCAGCTATATATTTTGATACGGTTATGTAAGTTTTCAGAATTGCATATGATATTGTTGTCTCTGTGATACGAGATTTCGATTTTACTGTTAAAGTGCCAAAAGCAAGTCTAATCGGAGAATCTACGAACAAAGGCATTGACAGATGAGGTGCTAAGCTTGCAATTACATATGATATGATATTTGTACCTTTCATACTTTACAGGCGCTCTACTATCAAGCATAACGGCCAAAGGTACGAAGAAACAGTCAAAAATAGTTGACTCAATTAGACATTTCTTACTGCGATGAAATTTCTACCCATTGCAGAGCACAAGTGAGGCAAGGTATACTACGCGCTTGACATGGATTGAAAAGGTACGACTTGGTAAGGCTCATAAGAAGAGAATTTTCTGGCTATCTTTTTAGTGTGCAGAGCTTTGAAGATGACTATTTAGTCAAGGATGTCACGGATCATCCATATATTTTCAGAACTCTAAATAATATTTTACAATTCTACGATACTCTTGACCATCAATACAGGTGGAGGCTCCGGCACATCGGCAGCATCCCATCCTCATTTTCCATTTCATTCATACAGCCATTATCAGTGTTGTATCATATATGCAGCATCTTCAGCTAATATTCTTTGATAATGACGATCGTCATCATGATGAGCTTCAGTGAATAGCTCATGAATCTCCTGTTTACTCCAAGCCCTTAGCCAGCCATTCGTCTACATTTTGAGGTCTTTGCCCATCATCTGGGGAGCCTATCGTTTCAAATGTGAAACGATTTTTCCCAGGCTTGTTGACCGATCGTAAACTAGTAAATAATCACAGCAGAAATCTTTTTATAACATCTTCTGTGACGATCATGAGTCTATACTTGCGCTTTCATGATAAGCTTCATGTTCAACTTTACCGAAGGGTGTAGCACAACATCTGTGGCTTATGTTCGAGGTTCTCTCAAAGAAATTAAATTTAGCCTTAACGCTATATATTTAAAAGAAGTGGTATCATACGCACAGCGATCTCTCTCTCTTTACGGAGAGCTGTGGGGAGGTTAGCTGTTTTTCCATGTAAGAGAGCGCGTGAGCATCAAAATGGTGCGTGTGATTGTGTGTGTTGCACATGCTAGCCCCTGGATAACACTACTTCGTATGCGATAATGTCGTTGCCATCTGTCAACTAAACAAAAAAGCATATTGGAAACACAAAATACGCACTACGAAACGAAGTTACTCATTAATGAGACACGCATAACAAAAAAAGGGAGGGCAATCATCCGCTCAAATGTCTTTCTTTACAAACAAGCAGCAACAGTAGCTTGCCAAGGCGAAGGTTTTATTCATCCTCATCCTCATCCTCCACACACCCCCCACCTCTCCTCCCCTCATAATTTTGTTACTCCTTTTGATTTTCTCTCTCATTCTTCTTTTCCACCTCTTTTTCTTTCGCCATTAATAGCAGTAGTAATACGATTATCGTTGCTATTACACGCTCACTCTCTTTTTCTCCATATGTCGACTATTGTACTACTTGCAATATATTTTAATTTGCATTAAACGACGACGAAGAAGAAGAAGAAGACGACGAAGATCATGATGACAACAGCGACTGCTAGTAGTATGACAACGACGAATAACGGATTGAATAACAGTAGCAGCTATTATTATCAGCACAGCCGCGATTTAAACGTGCGATCTGTTTTGTCTAAATTCAGATTAATTGATCCGTCAAGTCACTGGAATAGCAAAAGTGAGGTACGCAATATATTACACTAGAGGGGCACCAATATAACTGTAGAATAGATTTGTTGACGAACAACAAACAAAACAATAATAGACGCGTGCAAAACTGTGGACAACGTTGGAAGACACCGTAACGACCATTCTGATGGGCTGCCTCGCTGTCTTGCATCAAGGACTTTCCTATAATTCGCCTCGAGTCGCTTCGCACATGAAATCCATCACGCACGGCTCAGCGCTCTTGTCTCGTATCATACAATATTTAACAGATGCTTTACGAGAGCATGCACAAGAGATGACGAACTCGTTCGTCAGCAAAAATAAGTCAGCATCGTCAGCAGCAACAAAAGCATCAGATACAAAAAGGCGACAACAATTAAAGTCAACAGCATTTCGCTTATTGGAGGTGACAGCAGCTAACAGTAGTAGCAGCACTAAAAGTACCATGATGGCAACAGCACCAATTAATTTCAGGGATAAAGTGGCCAAGACGTATGCGATGGCTCAGAGAATTCACCAAGAATCAAGTTCTATTACTGAGCAAGTAGCGCTCGTTGAGAATCTGCTATCACAACCACGACAACAAGAAAATCACCACCAAAACAATAGTGAAAAAAGCAACAACAATGTGAACAAGAGCTTTGGAAAACGTCGCCAGGTATGGTTTGAAGATGCAAGGTCGGCGCTGTTGAAAAAAAAAGTTACATTACATTACATGCGGGCAGAAAAAAAGTTGGAATGTTTGTTGTCGTGAAAGGCAAAATCCATTAGTATTGACTAGCTATCTTCTCTATCTCTTTCTTTCCACCACCCCCTGGCTTGGTGCTGCGTGTGGCCCTGCATAAAATGCTGATGACGGATGATGCTGATATATACATGTCAAAACATAGGTAATTCGAAACTCGCTCATAGCTCACACGAACCAGCTCGTGGAAGCTTTACTGGAATTCTCTGCGTCATCATCCATTGTCATTATCGAGAAGAAATTCGCCCAATTCAATTACAACCATAACAGCGCCGTTCTTTGTACTAAGAATAAGACTGATAATCGGCAATCACTTGCCCCCCAACCACTTCCACCTTCTTCTTTACTCCCATCACACCAGCGACAAGAGCACTGTCGTCACAAAAAATCGGCTACCACTACCACCATAACCGCTGTTGCTGCTGCTGGAAAAGGTAAAGATTGTCGTCCATCGCATGGTTATAAATCAAGGGTCGATCAATGGCCTTTGTGTAATGTGACGCAGTTAATTGGCCCTTGCTTCTTTATCTACGCGTGGTCTATGTGCGGCGATGGTTGGGTCAACAACCTGCATTAGTACTACAGAGCTATCTAGTCTATTACACATTATAGCATGGTGTAGTACAGTCACTCACTCTACGTTCTGTAATTTAGATCGCATGGAGCTTGTCAACAACGGAGCACCTGTACCACCTGAGAACCACAACAACAACGCGGCATCATTAGCAGAAGAACAAATCCAAAAGCAGCAGCACATGGTGATGGATACGGATCGCCCAGCTCCCATCAAGATGCTGTAAGTTTTCTTGAAGCACTAAAAAGACTAAAAAAAGGCCTTCTTGCTATTCCTTTTTCTAAACGTTCCTTTACGCTGTTTGAAAAGCAGAAACGACAGTGAAGAATCTCCAGCCTCCTCTTCAGGCAAGTATCTTTCACAGTCTCCTTGGTTTGTTTCCTTTATTTCATCATATCTGAGTGCGTGACGGACATGAAAAGAAATACGCGTAGTGTATATAAGCTCGCTGAGCCTTATACGTTTCCTTGCCTTAAACTGCCTCTCTACGTAATGTCTGCCCTCCTCCGATAATGATGCACTTGCTGCTGCACTGCACACCACTCCTACTCTCATTAACATTGGCACCCCAGAGAAGCAAAGCAACCTAATTCCTAACCTTTTCTCTCTTTCTCTCTTCTTAAATTCTTGGTTCTAGTTGGCAAGCGATTCCTGCGTAATATATCTGGATTCAAAAGTCAACCAGCAATGACAAGCGTCGCATCCCGAACTGCCACTGCCTCTGTCAATCATAATCACCATCACCACCAGCCTGGTGGTGGCTGCTGCCATCAAAATTTGCAGCAACAGCAACAAAATCAAACTGTATTACTCGATGACCTTGTCAGTTCTCGAATCAGCAACAGCAGTAGCATCAGTAAAAGTAGCAACGACAGTATTAGTAGCGGTACAAGCATTAGCAGTAGTAGCAGTACTATAAGCACTTATAGTGAAGCAATGCTGATGATGAAAAATGTTGGATCAGCAGCACAGCAGCCAGCAAACACACCGAAGCCATCGAAAAGTGCCCAAGCATTAAAGCATCTTCTTGGCGGTGGACGCACCAACAGCAAGCGATCGAGAACGACGAACGGAGGCAACAGCAGCAGCAGCAGCAGCAAAATGGCGAAGAGCATGACTGTTCATTCTAATGCATCAGCGACAACGATAGCACCATCAGTAGCGGACAATATTGACGCTAATGAGCAGCAGCAGCATCAGCAGAAGCACTCCCTGACGAACAATCAGTATGCAGCATCAGAAATCCAGCAACAGCAGCAGTCTGAAGCAACAAAGGTAAACAACAATGACGCTTGTGAAACAGGAGTAAAACTAGCACCACAACCGCCGACAAGTGCTGTCAAACGCCAAAAGGTAAATATTCAAAGGACAAGTACCTTACTCTCTTTCATTTTCCAGCTTATGGCTGCGATGCTACCCTTCTTGTTGCCACCTGCTGTATTTGACAAGAAGAAGGTCGATACTCTTTCTCGATCGCATATTGCCTGCTGCGTGCATTACCTTACCCAACCCCTTACTCCATCACCCCCTCCTTTCACTCTTCCAACTAATAACACCCCCTAAAATTATTGTAGCCAGATTTAGACGATGCAACAGTACCACCATCGTCCTCGTTCTCATCCTCCTATTGCTCTAATCCTACGACATATCACCATCAGTATCACGCTCCTCTTCTTCTTCCTCCTGCTTCTACTACTACTAATACTACTACTTCCTGCTTTTCTTCCTCTGACGATAAGGACGAGAATAAACATGGAGAAGCATCACCCAATGATAACGGCTACCACTGCTCTTCGACGAGCACTACTGGCCATCAGGATCTGCAGCAGCAGTTTTCAACAAAAACGACGCAACAAAGCAGTTACCGTAAATCTGTGCAAACACTTGTGCCGCCATTTTCAAGGCAAACAGCTATACGTACTCTCGAGCATAATTCTGATGAAGATGAACAACAACAACAGTTTTCAATAACTTCAGCAGCTACAGTGGGGCAAGATAAGGAATCACAGTCAAGGTGTAGTCCACCTGTCGATAAAACTAAGCGAGCAATGCACCGAAAGCGTCAAATTACCAGCAGTGACGATTTGCCATCTTCTTTTGCTCAGTACCAGCTAACCAGCAGCACAGAAGAAATTGAAGAAGAGGAAAATCAGAAAATGATACCATCGGACTCCTGCTATTTTTCGATCCAATCATCACCATCACAGCAATCAATCGCACAAGCAGCATCAACGAGTAATTTGTTTACTGCAGAAGGAAATCTTTCTTCACCATCTTGTGATGACGAAAATGACGATCATTCTTCAAACGTATCGGTAACTACATCATCATCATCATCAAGAAAGGATAACAGCCAGACGATAACGTCGCCGCTGACGACTAAGAAAGGTGATTATGAACAGCAACAACAACAACAACGGAGAATACAGCAACCACCAGTGGCAGCACCTAAACGGAGTAAGACGCCAAACGTACTTGTTTCAATCTACCGAGAGCATGCCGAGCCAACATTTGTATCATCTTCTTCTTCCAGAAGCAAAGAAGAAGATTCATCTGCAAACAAAAACAACAACAACAACAAACAAAAACTTCTTCATGCACCGAATATGACGAGTGGCACATTGAAGCACTATCGATCAGAAAGTGACTTGACACGACTCAAAAACATTCGGGCCACACCAGTAACGCCAAATCCCACCGCCAGCACACGGAAAGCTGTAGCGACACAACAGCAACAGCAACAACAGGAAAACAAGAAGACACCGTCATCATTATCTCCGTACCTGTTGCCACCGAGCCAAAACAGCAGCAGTGGATCTTTGTCTTCAGTATTCAAAACGCTGGTCGTACCACAAAGGAGTAATCATAATCGAAGTAAAAGTAATGACAATCGCATGGCTCAACCACAGGATCACACGAAAAAGCCACCACCTGCTGCAACAGCGGCGGGTGCTACTGAGAATGGTGATCATGCAAAGTGAGTGTGTCAATATTTGGAACTATATTCTTGCCCCCTCCCCCAAAAGAAAACAACAGCATTTGACACATTTTTATTATGTTTCATACTCTTTTCTTTGTCACTAACTGGCGTACAGCAATGGCAATAGCCACCAGCACCATGGTAGCTCATGGAATCTTTTACGGTCCATCCGGCGGAACCAATCATCCCTGAATCTGAAAAAATCTGCCTCTTCTTCCTCCTCTTTTTCCTCTCACCCTTTACAAACAGACGATGAGGTTTGATGCGCACTTTTCTCTTTCCTTCTAAAAGTTATGGTTTCTTACACTTTGTTGCTTCTTACACAGATATTGCGGCAAGCTGGCCTTGATCCCATCAAAACGTCCTGTTCTTCTTCCACTACTACTATCTCATCAGGTATGTTTTTTTTTTTTCAAAAAACAGCATGTTTGGAAAATGCGCAAAAAGCTTACATAGTGCTATGAAAAATTTGCACGTATCATATGTATTCTGATATCGACATAATATAGGAAAGAGTGGTAACAGCAATACAAAACTAAACAAACACCACCACTACGTTCACGGACGAGACCAACCACAGCAGCAAAAGCAGCAAAAGCAGCTGCATGTATCTGAAAATGGACGAGATGTATTAGTGCTCAAAATGGTAGCTGGGAAACTACATGTAGTAGCTGGTACTGCCGAAAAACTGTTTCTGAAACTAGCTGATGAAACTGCACAAGGTAAAAAATGTCGTCTGTAATGTATCAGCTGATTTGAACTAACAAAATACGAAAACATTGTACTATGATAGATCTGGATTATGTCGATACATATATCTTAAATCATACGGCATTTACTGCTTCCACGGAGTTCTTGGAAAATTTGATGGCACGGTTTCATCTCGAGGCGTTGCCGGGTGAGGCGGAATATTTCAAAAAATGGCAACACTGTATACAAGTCAAGTAAGTTGCAATGCCAGTAATTTCTAAAAGATTCCCAGAGCAGTTCTCCAAACAAGTAACCCACCAGTTATAATGATATTTATATTAATAATAACAATAATAACCTGTTTATTTGTAAAACCGATAGGGTTTTAAACGTCATTTCTCGATGGGTTAAGCTGCAATACCAAGATTTCAGGATAACGCCTGTTTTACAGACCCGATTGGAAGCATTTCTTAATGGCGACATTAAACGAGCAGGATTTACAAATGAAGCTAATATGATTAAAGAAGCATTGGATTTGCAGGTATGTTTTGGTTATGTTGCAGCTTTTTTTTTGGTTCACATGATCATCATGGCAATCATGCAATACTACTACGTGCATGATTACTATCATTAGTCATAATCATATTATCATGATCTTCATCCAGTAGCACTTCTATACTAAGAATGGGTTGTTATATTTAGATGGCCCGGCATGCACGACAAAGACATTCGCTTGTGGCACTGACATCCCATTCGCTCGCATCATTCGGTAGCAGTGGTAGCAGCAGCAGTAATTTCAACAACAACAACAGTAGTGCAGTATTACCAATGTCTCCAAGCTCACCACCTACACCTTCGTCACTTGTTGGATCGCCACCATTCCAACGTCGACCATCTACTACCACTATTTCAACAACACCTTCTTCTTATCTTTTTTCATTTGTATCTACACCGCCCAGCTCTCCGACCTCATTATCAACACCTACCAGTACCACTTCATTTTCGTCAGCACTGGCTGCCCTACCAATATACTCATCATCATCACAATTACTGTCACTAGAAGCGCGCGATGTTGCACGATACTTGACGCTTGCTGATTTTTATACGTTAAAATGTATTACGAGTTACGACTATCTTTGCGGACAGTGGCGACGGAACGCAGCATCAGGTGGTGATGATGGATATATTGGAATGATGACCAGACGTGCCAACATGGTAAAAGAAGAATATACACATAGATAAAGCACTATATCATAAGACAGGCAGGAATGATTTCTCTAACAGAAAATCTTATTTCGGATTCTTTCACTAGTTGACGCATTGGATACCGCACGAGCTACTCGCAGTCAAGACTACAAAACAACGACGTTCCGTGTTACGTAAACTGATCGAAATTTCCAAACTGTGTCTGGAATGGAACAATTTTCACACGAGTATGGTGATTACTATGGCGTTGACTAGCGCACCAGTTCAAAAACTTGGTCAAGAAGTTTGGGAGTCGTTGCCAAGTCGAGACATGAACACCTTTGCCATGTTGAAACGCTATTTGGATGTGAGCAACAACATGGCCTATTATCGACAAGCTTTAACGAAAAGCACCACCGCCGTCAAAAAAGCTGCTGCTCCCGCCGTACCTTTTTTCCCACTCGTCTTGAAAGATTTGACGTTCTATTCGGACGGTAACCGGACGACATATGCCGACGACCTCATCAATTTTAGCAAGTTTCGAACATTGACACAGTTTGTTCACCAGATCGTCGATTATACCAATGAGAATTATTGGTTTGCTGGTGATCTGGAACACCTGGCATTCTTTTCTGAAAAGAGCCATTATCAACCCTCTTGTACGGCTGGCCCGTTAGATCATGTAGCAGAAATAATCGAGCACGCACTTCGAGCAGTAGCAGATTGCTGTGATGATCCGCACTGCGAAACCCGATTACTAGCTCAGTTATAAATAAAAAAAAGCTTACTGCGACATGTCAACGAAAAATGTAACGGAAAAGAAAAGGGTAGCATTTTAAACTAAGTCTCCATTTTGTAAAGAAAGAATCTTTACTACTACATTTGCTGTTCTGCTACTAATAACAGTAATCGGATAAAGCGACTAACTTGCTCAAACATTTACGACCATGTGACTCTGCTGTTGCCCACCTGCAAGTATATCCAATGTTCGTATGCAACGACTGGATCAACTCAAGACCATGGATTAAGAAGTGTACAGATATAGAAGAGCATCACTCACATACATTAATGACTGGTTCGAGGTACATAATCCACTTTTGTTAATGTTCATACATACTTGTTGTTACGATTATGTTTTTTATCTTTGTTAGTTCATCGATAGCCCTAGATGCTCACTCTGCTGACACTATCAGCACTTGATAGACGTGACAGAGTGATTATGGATTAACATCAAAGTACGGCGGGCTTATAGCACACAGTACATCAAGTCAAGAACATGGAGTAGCTATTTAGATAAGTGCAAATAGTTCATCCATTTATTGAACATCCGATTCCTGTTAACGTCAACCGCCAGATACAGCTGAAAGTGCTGAAAGTGCTGAAAGTAACGAATATTGAAGCTCGGCGGAAATGATGTCTCGGCAATTGTTGCCAAGCAGGGTGACATCGAAAAGACTGGTGTCATAGGATCGATGTTAACGAGGTTGCAGTTTACGGGACGGATTGTATTACTACACTTTGCTGTTCTCCTTCCTTTTTCCCTTTGCTGCTTTTTAACATAGAAACTAAATCGTATATAGGATACGATCAAAGTATGTCAGTTTTCCGTCGGCCTGAAGCAAGTTCCTATGATAGAATAGATGAACAGTTACATACCGTAGGGTATGATACCCGCTGAGAATTCTTATAGACTATATGCGCGTGTCATCATCATCAACCGATATAACCAAAAACTAGTGAGTCGTGTTTATCAATTATAGACCTTCTTTACGCAATGAGTTGCTTACCTCAGGGTTGTACCTCAACCCACAGGATCCAGGACCGTTGCTAATGCTCAAGAAAGGGAGCGAAAAAGAGAATATAGGGACAGAGACAGGCCCAACTGTCGCATGGGCGCAGGTCCATAAAGAACCTAGAGAGCAATCGCTTTAGTGGCAAATGATTACCCAGGGAGCCACCGGCACTTGACCCGCTGACAAGCTACCGCGGCCGTCGCCGGCATATGCGCTCCCCCCCTGTAGTGGGTAACTGCTTCTCGTTATCCACCTCACGAATTTTGACATTCGCACTCGTAGCCGGGGACGCCTTGAGGGAATCTCACCCTCAGAATGTTCAGATTTTCAGGCTCAACTCGAAGCAAACTATAAAGAATGCTCAAGGGTTGCCTGCTTCGTATCGCAAGTGAAAATGGGGGTTTGAGCCATGAAAGATATGAATACACCCCGCGTTAATAAAAGCAATTGCTTTATTTCTGTAAGAGCCTTTAGGATAAAATACTATATCGCTCGGCTTTTGGGTCGATTGCATCACTATAATTGAACGTACTGTACGCGGTACAAAAATATTGCGACGTTGATTCGCTTTTTAACGTGTGCACTGTACGCCAAGTATTTTCTTGAAGGTTTCTATTTATTTGTGTGGAGTGAGTGCTTGCGTTGTTTTATAAAGATCGGGGGAATATGATGATAGATGTTGATGGTGGTGATGAAATGATCGTATAGTACAATAAAACTTTTTTAGGCTGGACTAACAGAGACTGTGAAGCCTTCTGTTCCTGAAGGTACCACAGGTTCTTCCTCGTCCGTAAAAGGCGTAGGGGTAGGAGTTGCTGCAAAATCAGTTGCAGAGGGATGATTGGCAAAGCTGTTTGATGGTTGCTCTCCGGGTGCACTAGTAGTAATACTAGCTGTAGGCAATAGACTACCGTTGTCATCATCGTCACCGTCACTTGCATCCATATCCATGTAGAGCGGAGGCGAGAGCCATTCGTCCCAATCTTCGTCATTGTCACGATCGCCAAAGACATGCAATGCGCGCACACGGATACGATAAGTCCCTGTTTCCACGTACTGCGTTTTGCTGATAATCTTGTCTGGCTGGTACTGACCATCCCACTGATATTCATGGAACACAGTAGAACTTGACGTCATGGAACGAGTGTTGCGTGGCAGCCATGCACGGCTAAGTGGACCGAGCTCGTCAAATGGCACGGTTCCAATTACCTCATCGTCCTGCACAATCTCCAAATCCAAAAGCGGCGTGCCTGTCAACAAGCGCACCAGAACCGTTGGCCGAAGGAATTTAGCGGGCTTGTACTTGCCGGTTTCGGTGTTCTTGAGAATAGTACCGTCTGGATTACCAACGCTGGGGAATGGATACACGCCATCGGACGAGCGATCCAAAATAGGTAGGCGAGACATATTTCCGACCATGCCAATGTATGGAACAGAGGCAGACGTGGTTTTGTTGACGGTCTCAACGCCAATATAACCGCCATAAATGGCATGCGAGTTTGCGTTAAAATTGGATGGTGGTTTCAAGGTCAGTTGAACCTCCACAGAGTCACCAGCAGGGACCTGAACTTGTAGCTGTTCGAACGAAATCGTAGCGACAGACTTATCCTGGACGGCAAAGCTGATGGGCTCGAGTGGAACATAGTCAGATGTGTTTTTGACATTGTAACCTGCCACAGTCAATGCAGGGCCGTGCACCAGATTGAACGTTGTGTCCTTGCTGCCGTGGTTGTGAATAGTAAGTGTCTGTGTCTCTACGAAATGCTCGGTGTCGTTGAAGCTGAGCTTGGAGGGTGAGACATGGAACTGTTCATATCCTTGAATAGCGCGCACGACACTAACGAGGCCAGCGCCTTGGCGGATAGGTGAGTCTCCATATTGAGGGAACCGTGAAATCGGCGAGCCGACTTCATATATGTATCAATATTAGCTCAGGAAGTATTGACGTGACTGGTGGATGGAGGGGATATTCTAAGGTTGACATTACCTGGACGGGCAAAGTTCATTAAGGCACCCTTGACATCTTCGGGGCTCAGGTTCTTGCGCTGGCTTTCATCCAAAGCGCTCAAGAACAATGCAATAGAACCAGAGATAAGGGGTGCAGACATGGAAGTGCCAGACAATACGCCATAACCGCCCTTGTAAAGTGGTAGGGTCGAGAACATGTCGCCGCCAGTAGCAGTCAACTCGGGCTTCAGAACAAGTTCATTTGTAGGACCAAGTGAAGAAAAGCTGGCGATCCGGTTGGCTTCCTTTTTGGGAGACTTGAGCGCAACCAACGAGCGCGTAAAATGGCCTTTAACGTTTTCATCGTTATGAGCATTTTTGCTGTCGCTCTTTGAGGCAGTGGTCAGTTTAAGAATGGCCTCGGCAGCGACCGCATTGATGAATCCGACAGGTAATTGAGCATTAGCGGTTCTCGTATCGGGCTCGACCGTCTCGGTGCTATCCATGTACACAAGAGCGATCGTAACATCGGCGTTCTTGGCATGGTCCAGCTTTGTCATCAAGTCGCAGTCACCACTAGCATGGATCACAGTAATAGTGCCCTTGTACTTGTGGCCGTCATCGAAAGGAGAACATGAGTCGTTGATGGATCTAAGCGGTAAGGTTTGGTTGAAAGAAATCGGCTGATTGACAATGGTGCGGTAAGCTAGTTTACATAGAATAAGGTTATTTGTTGTTCCACTATGAGAAGCAAAGAGAAACAAACAAACGTACGGATATCAAGAAAATCAGTGTTATCTTTCGTCACCTCTAGGACGAATCCAGGCAGCTGACTGTTCATGGAAGAACTAACAGCAATGACCCCATTTCCTGTTGCGGGAGATGCTGTCAGCATGATGCCGCTTGTGCCAATGTTGCCACTAGCAACCACCACTGTTTTTATATAAAAATAGTTCAAGGCGTTAGATTTTGGCTTCTTCTTCTAAAATTAGAAGAAGGTTACACCTCTGCTGTTCTTCTTTGTCTCTCTTACCATGCACGCCTCGTGACACGAGCCTATCAGCAAACACAGATACAGCGTCTTCGTGCCATCCACCATCTTGACCAAACGATAGATTGAGAATATCCATGTCGGCTTTATAGGCCATTTCCATGGCCTTGAGGAATACATCCGTAGTCGCAATTTGTGAGTTGCAGCCGAAAACTCTACAGGAAACAATATTGACAACTTTAGCATTAATGATCTACGAATTGGTTGTATGGGCGATCTAGAACACATCCCATCCATGCGCGTATACTGTAGAATCAAGCTAAATAAATTTCATCCTAGTTTCTCTCCATACCTCCACATGCCTAACGTTGCTGCTGGTGCTGTACCAGTCCAGTTCTATTGTTGCAGTATATCATATGGATCTTAGTCTATCTTTCTCCTTCACATGATATGTTCTGGCTCAAATATCAACAATGAGCCATCGTCGACACTTACAAGTTGGGTATCTGTGGCACCGATCAATCCTACATAAACAATAATAGAATACGGTTAGACAAGGTTCACTGTTTACATGACGTAGTAAATGCGTGTAGAACACTTACCTGACACAAAGGTGCCATGGCCGGTAGCACCAACTAATGAAAAAAACCGCGACCTCGGGTCAGTTGATATAATTTTAACAGCAACTCTGGTTTTTTATTTCTTTTGCTTTGCCTGCAGAGAAAAGAAGAAAAGAGAACAATAAAGTGTACCTGCAGTAGGGGGGCAGTTATCCAGCGGATCGTCGTCCTCTTGAATTGATTCGTGCGTTCCGTTATATGCATCGCCAACCAAATCGTAGCCGAACTCTATTTTACACCCGGAACCAAAGCATCCGCCAAGTGCTGGGTGGCGATAATCCACACCGGAATCAATGACGCCAACCCGTACGCTGGATCCATTGACGCCAAGTTCGCGGTATGCTTCGTTGTAGCTTCGGGTCAGCACTGGCACTTGTTCCTACGATACAAAGGCAGCAGCAACAACGAAATAATAATGATAATGAATGACGACAACGAACAAAAACAATCAAACTCCAATATTTCATGGCGTTGCCTCTTTTATATGTAGCAGGGCATTTCTTAATGTAAAAAAAAGGTCTGCTTCTGTACTTACAGGTGAGTATCCCCGCCAACTCATGGCTTTGTCGACAACCTTTTCGGCTGTATCCACGATACCGGTTGGTCGTGAATGATGTGTGATTGGCCAAGCATTAATTATATCTGGGTGGGCAAGTGCGGCCTTTGCGGAAGCGGAATCATCAAATTCGACCGAGGCACCGTATAACAGGTCGGAATCGTATGTGTAGCGCACCACTTTACGATTGGGAGAGTGTTGGTCGCCGTCGCCACTGTCAAAGAATGTTGATTCGCTCGGGGGACGTAAAAGTTCGACAATGTACCCATTTCGGCCATTTCGACGTTGTTGTTGTTGTTGTTGTTGTTGTTGAGTAGCAGTACTAGTAGTGATAGTGCTAGAACACCAGAGCACCAGTAGTAGGGGTAATAGTAAACTAGTGTGATAAAGCATTCTTATAAGGCTCCTTCAGCTTCAAACACCCCTTGCAATTATTAGCACAGGCTTGAGAGACTTGTAGAGGCACGGAAAAGAAGTGAGGAAAGGGGATGGAAAAGAAGAGTAGATAGGTAAGAAAGAGAGAGAGAGAGAGAGAAGGAAAGTAATGGGACGAGAGAAAAGAAGGAAGAAGAAACAACAAAAGTGGAGGAGGGATGAGGGAAGGGTTGCCAGTTCACGAATAAAGTAACAAAGAGGACCTGTAGTTCGTACTTCGCCCGTCAGTAATATAGCAAGCACAAGCAGAAAGGGCGGAACAGCAAACGGAACACGCGATTGCTTAACTAAATTTAGTAACATGCGTGCATTTGAAGCTGCCAACAGCGGTTGGTATGGTCGCAATTTTTCATTTGATGAGGTCGGAGCTGAGAAGGCTTCTGCCTCACGCAGCATATATTTGGACTGTGTGCGAGGTTGCCTTTTCCTTGTTTAAATCATACAAATGACATCAGTCCCTTATACTACTGCAGCTGAAGTGTAACGCTGACTGCTGATACGGATATTAAACAGTTTCTTTGTGTTGCCTAAGCCTTACATGGACACATTTACAATTTTGGAATCCCAGTTGATAGCATATTAACTTTGCTCAAACAACCATAACATTATAGACGTCGCAGCGATACACTTCTCGACATGTATTATAAAAACGATTGAGATCGTCAAAGCCGAGAATATACAACACTGAAATGTTTAATAAAACTGCGACGCACAACACGGGAGAATGTTTATAACGATGATCTTACGGATGATATGAACTAGCTGCTTCATATGATATGCTGGACCTGCAGAGCTCGAATTCGGTGCAGCTTGTGCTGTTGAGAGTATCTTTTGAACGGGTGAGGGTCTTTTATGGGATTTTTGAGGGGTTTAAGAAAAAGCAGTAACCTGGATCAACACCATCCGCGACACACGCTTAGAATCACTCTACTTGCGACTATGTCTTTCACGCGCTTCCCGAACGGCAACATTGTTGAATACATTCAGTTCCTCATGGAAGATGAAGGCCATTTGATGTCTGGGTGGTATAGTCGCCGGTGGGTGGATCATAGTATGTTGGGCGTGTAATGTATGCCACTTCACATGGTAGCAGAGTGTCGTCTTGTTGGTGGACGATCTTGTCAAGTTGGTTACGGCTACGATCATCAACTCTATCGATCGACTTGTGGATTATTGTGACAGTGCGCTCAAGTCTATATATAATATTTAAAAGCATATTCATTGGTAGCTTAAAATTGGCAAAGGCGGCAAAGCTCCTTGGAAAATGTAATTCTGCTTGGTGAACAGCAACGTAGAGACCAGGTTTCGCCAAATGTATTGAATCGAGATGACAATGAGCACCATTCGTTTGCATGTACCCAGAGCATGGGCGAGAAGCGGGATCACTGTGTAAAATGTGATTGATCAGGTCATCCAAATCATCCTTCGCCTCCCGAAACAGTTTTAATAAACCGCTAGTCAACGATGTTGCTTCCGTTCTTTGCAGCTTCGAGGCAAAGATCATGCTCTTTCTGACGTGAGTTATACAGTATACGTACAACCTCTTTGAATTTAACGTTGACCTCATCATAAGGTCTTTTTCTAGCCATTGTACCAGCTTTAGGACTTGATTTACCAATCCTCATCCTCAGCATAGCATGAATGTCGATAATGGCCTCGATTAATGGGACCCATACTTGCGTTAAAAAGTCATATTCTGTCACCCGATCGATGTTGGTAGGATCCAATAAGAAGCTGTTGTTTTCGACAATCACCAGGACGACGTGTATAAGATCCAGTAATTTCTCGTTTCACAACCATTGGTTTTAATATTGTTTACATACCTCTTGACTTTTTCAGCGTCGTTTGTACGTGTCAAGATAGCAGCAACAATATCCCAAGTTTGGCTGAATACCTCAGGAAGATGTGGTTCACAGAGATGTTACTTTGACGTAAATAGATTTTGTATCACATGCCAATCATCATCATCATCATTGTTTGAATTCAAGAATTCTCTGGCCGGTGATACATTGACAAGATCTAGTATTGACGACAAGCCGCATTTCATCCAGTGCCGTTCATCATCGATATTAAACTCTCCTGCTTTCAATCTCTAATAGAGTTTAAACGCTTGCTGCTTGAACATGGCCCTTTTAGTGCTTTCTTGATAGATCACGCCGTCTGCTTCTTGCTTTGATAAGTATTTGGAGATCATAGTGAAAACATCATCGTCCTTCTGAGCAAGTTCAATAGCAGATTGATCTAATTCTCGTCCAAACTCCATTGCTCCCAAACGTGTAACTTCGGCACCATTGATGCTTTGCCAGTGCCTTTTCTCGTTCAAGTTCCCAAGTCAAAGTAAATTGAATGAAAGGACTCTTTCACTTGTAGTATTGTGCCACACGTGTGCAGTAGTTATTCAATGGATGATGATCATTTCTTCTGCTTTGCTATGGTGTTAAGAGAGTTGTTGATCAGTTGAAGCCGTTTTTCCAATATTCGCGGTTGCTTGACCATTTCAGCAAACACAAGCTCATGATTTGCCCAGTCACCAGTCTTCAAGACGTTGAACAGCGGAAGAACATTATAACTCTTGCAGTCGTCGAAATTCAGGGCGAAAATCAGACAAGAGACCATTGGGATAAGGGGGAGCGCATTACTATCATATGCGTGCAAGTCTCCGCGGAGTATTAAAAATACGCCTTTAGGAATTGGTTTGTCTGGTTCAAACTTTATAAATCTTAATTAAATGGCGATATAAGCGCTTCGCCAATCGCATACTCGCTAAAGCCCGGTCGCCATGACTGGTGAACAAAAACCCAGTGAGCCAGAGGGAGAAAATGTAGAGCAAAATGATAAAGGACTTGAGAGAGAAAACAAAAAGGGGAGTATCTAGGGTTACAAGAGTGCACAAAGGTTAAGAGAGATAAAAAGTGGGGCGGGAGCTTGCGGCTACAAAGCGGCAAGGGACAAAATTGGTTTGTCTGTCGGTCGGTCGGTCGGTCTAGGTGTCTGTACTCTGTAGCGTCACGCCTATTTTTAAAAGTTCTTATAACGAAGACGTCAGAGACCAACGAGTACTGGAGAATCCACTGTATAGTAACTGACCTGTAGTTTATATATTGTTATTGCTACAATTTACTCAATTTCAGCGATCATCACACAAGCCTCAATAACGTGTCGCCATTTATAACAAAAAACTCATAAAGTGAATTAACGTGTCGGCATGCATATAATATGAGATGTATCTATTGTGATTTGATGAAACCAGGAAAATAGGAGCTAAATTAACGTGTTGCCTAACAATAACAAAAACTTAAAAAAACTACAACGTGAATTGTATCGGCATGCACATAGCATAATATGGCTCTACTGTGATGATGACTGTTTGACTGTAATCACAGTAAATATGGCAATTCAATTGTCTTGCCATGCTTTCACTTATGCAAAGGGAGCGTAGACAGAGTATTAAGTGAAGACACTGTCAAATACGTGGCACATCGTGTCACGGCAAATCGCGTCACGAAGTTACGCGCAAAAGAAAAATAAAAACAAAAAATAGAAACAAACGAAGTTTCCTTTTTTGTGTTCTCCTTTGCCCCTTCCATTACTTTGTGCTACTGTTCTTTTCCTTATTATTACAATCAGTAAAAACAATAATGCGCGGGGGAGAACGATCCGACGCAGATCGTGCTCGTGATGCTGAACGCCAGCGAAGACGGCGTGCACGTCTGCGTGAAGACATGGATGAGGAGCAACGTACGCAGGATCGTGAGGCGGCACGTATTCGACAACAACAACGACGCGCACGCATGAATGAGGAAAACCGTGAGAGAGAACGGGTATGCCCTGTACTAACGAGTCTCCTTTAACCCCCATATCAATTGCAACAATATATACAATAAATACATATATTCAACCATATCATCATTACAGACTAACATCATTCGTTTTGTTTTTATTTATTCCTTTTGTTTTGTGTGTGATTTATATGATGTGTGACAGGAGCGAAATCGTCTTGCGAGAGCGGAGGCCCGTCAAAACGAAGCATATCGTAACCGAGAGCGGGTATGTTAATAGATCCTCATACATATTATGCTCTACCTTTCCCCGTATAATATATACATGCCCAACCGTTACTTTTCTTGGTTTGTTGCAAATCATAGGAACGAGACCGTATTGCCAGAAGTGAGGCCCGAGAAGATGAGGGTTATCGCAGCCGAGAGCGGGTATGTTGATAGATCCTGACACATATTATGCTCTACTTTTTCCACTGGTCTTCCTCTCTCACTCCTTTCCTTTTCTCATTTATCACACACGCAATCTTCCTCAATTATTCCTGGCAGCAGGCAGGTGTGGTAGCTTTATCGTCAGGAGGAAAGAGGTGTTAAACGGTGTTGCTTGTTCTAAGCAAAAATTATTTATGCTCTTTGTTACGGCGGCCACTCACCCGAACTGCTTCCAACTTTTCCCCTTGCCTTACTTTCCTCTACCTTTGATGATTCAGTTAGTCACTAAATCAACTTCTTACTAGATCCTGCCGTTGCCGTCGGAAAGGTCTTTCTTTTGCAGCATTCAATGACAACAAAGTTGTATGTTTTAAACCCTTGGGAACAAATCCATTCTTGGCTGATTTATAAATAAGATAATCATCTGTATGATAGCCAATGTTGTGTGAACGGTACTGCCATTACTCTGAAAAAGAGGCAAATAAAATATGATACTATGTATAGGCGACCGACCTTGTTAAGTTGCGTATATCAAAAACTTTCACTCTGATTTATTATAGCTGCGCTAATCGTTGACGTGCAAAAGTTCTGTGCAGGTGGATGTTTGGTTGCGTGTATCTATCACGCTCATTAAACAAAGTTCATTCATGTCAACTCGACTGCTGAACTTGTGATGCACAACCATAAAAGTGCTTGTGTTCACGAAGAGAAAAAAAATGATGAAAGTGCTGTTGGTGATGGTGCATGAGTTGAACGAATCTAGGTGTGATGCATAAATCAGCAGCTGAAAAACTAACAGCACAGGTTGCTTGCTTCGCTCGAAGATATCGAACTCTCATTCACCATTTTTGTGTAATGTTTACATTTACTATGTACATTTTGCATATGTTGTGTCAATTGGAAGGGCATTCATATCTCAGGGATATGAATGAGGAAACCCAACCGAGGTAAATCAATTAAGCAGTTTTGGTTTATCTTCAAGAGTAAACTCAAGAGAGAACAGCTTCTGGAGGAAGAAACCTTGACAACTGGGATTCATATGGCATGCAACCAGGTTCTAGTTAGTGATCTTGAAGGATTTTGATAATACTCTATCGCTAAGTTTGACGACTGCTTCAACAAACTTCCTATCTAGTAAAAGGCTTATGTACATATTGCGCATTACTCTTGCGTGATATATTAGCTATGGGCAAACTGCAAAGTTGACATTGTGTAAATGGTTTATTATTCGCAGTGTGAATGTATGCCCCAATCTGCTGCCTCTAAAAATCAAGGCTTCTTACCATTTCCCGCCGTCAGCGAGAATTAGAGTGTTTTTGTGTAACCGGTTCACAAAGCAGGTTTTTTTTGTCACTGATTCCCGATGGAGAAAGAGACGTGGAAGGCTCACAGAGAAAGGAATCATGAGAAAGTTGTGATTATTAGCCAATAACAACGGATACATTGACGCATACGAAAGCTATACACATCACTAAACAGAAAACACAACAAGCTCTAGTATATGTATTTGTACGACACTTTGCTAGTTGTCCGTTTCGGCTATCTGTCTGGTCTCACGTTATAAGCTTCTGTTCAACTGAATAAACATGACAGCATTGGTGGTTTGTGGTCAACAACACTAGTTATGGGCAATCATGCGTTTTGCAACAGTAGGTTGACTTGCTCGACATAATACCCACACGAGCTACTACATACTACCGTAGCAGCCATGAGCATGCTTTGCACTCACTGGATATCGCTTGTGTATTGCTGGTAGGCTGTAGTAATTTTAAAATAACGATGATTCCCCGCTCTTATCCTGTCGTTTTTGCTTAATTGATGATTTTTACCACGGCCTACGTCTACGATGGTAATCGGCAGTGATGAACTAAGCATGGAAGTAAGGTAAAACAGAACAGCCGGAAGTGAAGTTTTTTTTCTCATGATCATTAATGTGGTCACGACAGGGTGTGTAACCCAAGCACCAATGTTTCATCCATCACATCCGCCTAGATTATTTCGCTTGATGGTTGGATGACTGACCTCACATTATGACCTCTACACCGGGCAACAACAACAAGTCTGGTTGTTACTATTATGTATTACGTAGTATACTGTTAAGAGTCGTGGACATCAGCAGCAGTAGTAGATAGACTCCATTGTTATCCCATACCATATTTTTCCTTTTTCCTTTTTACTTGCTCATGTTATCAATAAAGATTATGAAACGTTACGTAAGACGGTTTGTCCCTAATTACAACTCTTTTGGACAGTGGGTGGCGGGTGCACGGCCAACACACACATACAACTTGCTGATGATGAGTGGTGAGTGAATAAGGAAAGCAGCATGACACAATTTACAACATCACGTGAGAAGATCCGTACTGCTTGGCTGCTTGTTGGTGCTTTGTGTGTGTGTGTGTATCGCTCGTCGTGCGTGCGAAACAAAAGAAACAGCATAGTGGGCTGTACCGTCAAATTATACAAATGCAGTATAGTGCAAGTTGCACACCACACAAAGCAACACAACACATCAAGGCGAATCATCCTCTTACAGTTTTAAGCACCTCCTCGAAGCATCGTCATCCCTCACAAATATGTACAATGCAGAAGATCATCATAGCAAGCAGCCCTCAGATGATTTGCTGTGTGTTTGTTGTTTGTTTGTGGAGAAGAAGGCGAAAGATGGATAAGATTATCGTGATGCAGGAGAAAATGCGAGGGCAAGAGAAAGAGAAAGAGATCTGTTTCCTTCCCTTCTTCTTTCTCATACTGCATAGGTACGCCTACTTAGGGACATGAAGAAGGTAAAACGTGGGGGACAACAAACAAGTTTGTATAGCAGCACCAAGTGTAACGCACACCACCCTCTTCTCTCTCTCTCTCTCTCTCTCTCTCTCTCGGGTGAGCGGTCGGCCCTGCCACCTGCACCCACAACATTCACACAACAAACGCACAAGAACAACGCCAGGTCTTTCCTAATTGAAATATAATCACAATCTTTCTTTTTTTTTCCCGCTCTCTCTCTCTCTCTCTCTCTTTCTCTCTTTTTCTTTTATTTTCCTTCTCTGCCATTTTAACGTACCTACTGTTTTTGCTTTTTACACGATGCTCCCTACGTCCGATAGCGAGCGCTTGTTGCGGATCGATCTCGAGAACGACCAGCTCGTCATGTACGGAAGCACAACAGAGTCTTCCGGCTGCGTCTTGCGCGGTGTTGTTTCGCTCAACCTTGTACAGCCGACCAAGGTCAAGACTATTGCACTGCATTTTTCTGGTAACATCATCAAGCGACAAGTAGTGCGTAAGTAATTTATTTACACTTTTCGTGACTTGTTGGAAAGGATGCTTTGTGCTACAGCAAGATAATGCTCTATTAGCTAAAAAGAATCAAAACATCGTCATGTATGCAGAGCTTGGGAATGGACACGAACGCGTGTACGAAGACGACCACAACATCATTTGCCATACATGGACATTCTTACCACGCCATAATAATAACGGTGGTGCTCAGCAGATGCACAACACGCTGGGAACAGGCACCCACACCTACGACTTTGAGCTACCATTGCCAGGACACCTGCCTGAATCCACGCGCGTAGGCAACATTTACGTCGTGCAATACACTCTGAAGGCCGTGGTGGAGCGACCAGCGTTTTTTGCCCGCAACTATATATGCCGACGGACGATCCACGTGGCTCGCCGACCCGAAGAAGAGGAAGCATGGAGCATGATGCCCGACTATACCCTGGATCAGCACCCTGTGGCAATCGCAGATCACTGGGCCGACAAGCTCAGCTATGCCTTTACTGCACCCAGCAAAACCGTTCCTCAGGGTGGCCAGGTCCAAGTGTCGGCCACCATTGCCACCCTGTCCGACAAAGTTCAAATCCGCTACTTGTCTTGCTATCTCAAGGAGTACATGTCGTGTCGAAGCTGGGACAGGGAATCGCCACCCCAAAGTAAACCACGGACACACAGCCGGATCATTCACTATACCCAAGTGAAAACCAACTTTGAGGATATTAATCTGACGTTCCCTGTGCCGACCTCCCCGGACGATTGCCAGACCGATTGCTTGAATGAACAGGTGAAAATTCGCCACCGGTTAAAGTTTGCACTATCGGTCGTCAATCCGGATACTGGGAATATCTCAGAACTGCGGGTCATGATGCCCATCAAGGTCTGTCCGCCGCACGAGCTCCAACACGACTATTTGCCTGCGTACGATGACCATGCTTCCTCTATTCCTTATGATCCCGTGGCAATGATTGCATTGCTACGCAACAGACGGTCGTCGTGTAACATTAACAGAAGTCTCGCATTGCCTGGTTACAGTGCGAGAGCTCAGCAACCTACGCTGCCAAGCTATGAAGAATGTTCCCGGTGAACTGTATATGCCCTGCTCTTTATCCTTGTCCCATGTATGTTTTCTCTTCTTTGTAAATAGTAATTTTAACCCCTCTTTCGCTTCCAATATAATACCCACCATCCGTCCCCTTATTTCCATTCTGCATCATCATTACTGTCCATACTGATAAAAATAATATAATTAATAACCGCTGAAAAGAAACTTTTATCATTATGTACAGTCCAAGTTTCTCTGGGCGTTAGAGAAAGTGTATATAATATTTACAGAAAAAGAATCGTGGCTATCTATTCTTCATACTTTGCTGTGGCGACATAGGTCCAATAATCCATGCCACTCTTAATGAATGCCATGACCTCATCGATAAACCTTCGCGCCACAATCGCCCCATCCACGTCCTTGGCGCCGATCGTCAGCCACTCTCCCAACTCCTGGATCACATTTGGATCATACATTGACATCATCTGGCTGCTGCTATTACTAGTAGTAGCAGTGGAAGCGTTGCTTCTGGTATTGGAAAAAGAAAACGACCTGCTGTTAGTACTACTACTGCTGCTCCTAGTCGATGTGGATTTGCGTTGCTGTTGTTGCTTGTTTGCTTCATAGGGCGTTAACAGGACAGCCTGGATATGCCGCTCGGTGAATGTATCGGACGTTTTACCCATGATGGCTGGTATTTCGCGTGCTAGAAACGTGCTAACCTAAATACAGCAAAGAACCAGAATGTTTTATATTTCCCACAACAACACCTCATAGAAAGTTTTATTCACCCGTAACAGCAAGGCCCATTGTTATTAGAAGAGGTTTTTATACCTTGGGAATATGCTCTGGGGTGATATAATGCACACCAGCAAATCGATTTAGAACAGGAGGATAAATGACACGACTGAAAGAACGAGGATGAAGATACATCTGACGGCGTAACGGCAAAACACTATCCTGAAGCGTCGTCGGCGGCGGTTCAGGAGAAGGGTCGTGAGGACTGTCACTAGCAGCGTTCGCAGCCAGGCTGTATTCTTGAAACGTCTTTGTTGTTTCGTCCATATTGTAGACCAGGGAATCAACCAGTTGCTTGCATAACGGACAGTTGGGCACAATGTTGATCCACTGACGAATGCACTGGAAGCAAAAGGAATGGTAGCATGGTTGTAGGAATGTGCGGCGAATGTAGGGTTGTATGCATATGGAACACGTCGGTTTTCGAAGGGCGGTGGGATCGTGGTTGTCGTCAATAGTAAAAGTAGTACTGGTGCTGCTGTCACTAGTGGTACTAGCAGCAGCACTTGATCGTCGTCTATCGTCTACTGCACTCGCGATACAATTGCTGGTGGAAGTGGTGTCAGTGCCCAGTCTTTTCCGCTTGCCAGTTATGTTCTTTGGAGACTGCATACAAATAAAAGGGTTCGGATAAAGGTAAACGGGGGGTGGGGAGGCGGGGCCAAGCAGAGAAAAAAAAACCTTTTTTAAGAAGAGGAAAGACGGGGATTCGTAGCTCAGCAGCATCTTCTTCTCTTTAATTCATATATCCCAACCCCCTTTTTATCTTACAGTCCCTCTATACATTAGTATATATCAATACAATAATGCCTGCCATGAAATCGAAACCAAGAGCAAGTGCTATGAACGGCACCAACAACGCCAACACACAGCCTTCCGTGAAACACAGCAGCGGCAATATGGATCGTGAACGTGACAAACGACGCAGAACAGAAAACAACAATGTTGGCAAGGAATTCCAGACTGTAAGCGAACCCTGCCTCCGTGTGCCTTCAGAACATGTACTAAAGTGACACATTGAACGGCCAACCTGATTTCTATACTAGATCAACTTTAACTCATTGGACATGCCGGTGTTACGAAAGTATGCCCGCGTTCACAAAATTAAGGTGCCTTCGAAATGTAACAAGGAAGAGCTCGTGGCAGCAGTTTCTCGTCATTTTGCGAACCAGACAGTCAAGGAGGTGGATGCCATTACGTGCTTTCTTTACACTGCACGATACAGAGGTAACTTTTTGCTTGGAGATCTCTCACAGTGTGTGTGTGGTAGTGGTAGTGGTGTCGAGAAGACTTAACGTATTTTCTGTATTACAGATAGCGTACTTCGATTGCCATTGAATATCCACTGATCGGCAGGCCGGATCTTTCTCTCTCTCTCTCTCGCTCTCGCTCCGTTAAACTCTCATCGCCACCATCCCCATTTCTCTCTAATATCCTTCGTACTATCTTGCTTTTGACTTTCTCATATCCCATCTGACGGGCATCTATTTAGTGGTTTTACCAAATTAAAGACTCTTGTTTTACTCTAAGAAGTTCAGAAGGCGGATGTTGATGTCATTGTGGAGTTTGTACAGGTTACCAGAAGCGGAAAGAGAGGGGTTCTACAATAAGATAATGATGGTGCAAAAAGAGCAGACTGTGTATCCGCGTGACCCTTGTTCTATTTTTCTTTTTCTTTCTCTCTTTCTCTCCCTCTGTGCTCCCCAACCCACTTGGACGATATCCTGCCATACTACTTGATCGATGGACTATTACAACATACTCGAGTTACCACACGATGCGTCTGAACAAGATATCAAGAAAGCATACCGCCAACTTGCATTAAAATACCATCCTGACAAGAACCATTCGCCCGAAGCACCCGAAAAAGTATACTTCTGCGTCTAACATAGCACTATATACATACTTTGTGCATATAAGAAAAGCTCACTCTACTCCCTTTGCTCTATCACATCGCTGTCCTGTCTACTTTTTCAGTTTAAAGATATTAGGTGAGAGACTACAACAAGGAAGAGATTGGAAAGAGTAGTAGAAGGGGCTCACCAATTTCTTTCTTATGTATCAAGTCGCGCATATGAGATTCTGTCGGATGAATGTAAGTGATTTCAAAATGTGAAATCCGGCAAGTGGGGAACGGCCAGAAGGAGAGGTGAGAACTGCTGCAGTGTGTAACGTGTAATTTTCATGCAGCCAAGCGGAGGGTCTATGACAACAAAATATCGGGTGCTGCTGCTGCTGCTGCTTCTTCAGACGAGACCCCTTACTTTTTCCATTCAACGCCAAGGCAACAACAGCAGCAACAGCCACCATGTAAGCAGAATCGATTCAGCTATACAGACGATCCATTCACTGGTTTTCATGTAAGCAGTCATTGGACGGAATAGAAATCACCCGGGACCACTGACTGATTTATAATACCCATTGACCCGAAATGTATCTACAGTTCCGATCTCCCGAAGAAGTGTTTGCTCAGTTTTTCGGTAGCCGTGATCCATTCGCTATTTTCAGTAAGGCCTTCCCTCTTGATAGAAACACATTTTGCAATGAGGATCTCTCTGAGTGGCTGTAAACACTGTTTCCATTAGATGACCCATTCTTTAATGGCGCACCAGGTGGTGTTGGTGCTGCTGGAAACGATCCATTTGATTTCCCATCCATGTTTGGCCGAACCACAAAAACAACACGACAACCAGGCAGCATGTTCATGACAACAAGCTTTGGCGGGCCAGCGGGAGGACTAGGCAGCAGAACATCAACAAGCACCACAACACGTTTTGTCAATGGCCATCGAGAAACAGTAACTATATCCACAGTGCAGGACCAGCATGTAAGTCGTTTCTGCACTTTACAAATGTGGGCCAAGAAGAAAGATGATAGCGCCTAAATATGCGTGAATCTGCAGGGAACGCGAATCATCGAAAATTATGGTCATGGTCAACGCCGTGTCATTGACAATGGTGTGGAGGTGGAAAATAATCTTGACGATCATCAGCGAAACTATTCCTGTCTAGGCGATAGGGATGCACCGATTAATACGATCCATCAAGGACAAGAACGTGCCCGACGTCAACCAGAAAGTACACAGCACACCAGGATACCAGGTATTGTGCTATAATATAGAGTGTAACATGGTTGATAGCTCTCGATTTTTCCATGTGCTGATTGTCTTATATGTAGTAATCAATCAAGAACACGATTACGATACTAGCAGTACCAACAGACTCTCAGGGCAAATGCCACCGACGATGAGTTACCCAGGGAATAATAACAGCAGCAGGTTGTCCGATTACCAAAGCAATGGACTGGAAGCGGGACCCATTCATCAGCGTAACGGTGGTGGGCTTTGGTACTCTTTGAAAAGAATATTCTGTTGTTTCTAAAATAAACAAGTAAAAGCCACTTTCTCCAAACAGGAGACAGAGAGAGAGAGAGAGAGAGAGAGAGAGAGCGTGTGTGTGTGTTAAAAGATAAGGTTAAGATAGAGATGCCATTCCATTTATCTGGGACATCCTATCTTGCTGCTGACGATTCTACACGCCTCAGAAAGAAGCGTAGACAAGATTGTCCATCTCCATCATCCATCATTTCTGATATCTCCTCTTCAAGTATGCAGCATCGCAGTTATTCCCGCTCTCTCCTCCCTCTCCACCGTCCTCCGCATCTATGCGCATTGACGCCCGATTTGTCTTTTATGTTGGTTCGTGGCGAGACTTGCCTGCCACACACATCATCACAAGGAACAAGTGTCTTCATCGTCCAAAGTGGGACACGAGTACACGGGTGAGCATTTTAAGATTAGACAGCTTTTCACAAACTATAATCTTCTCTGCTAATAGTACGCATATCATATTGTGGATTGCTACACACACACACACACACACACACGAGCAACACAGCAGGGTTTTCTGTCCTACCCATTTGGGGCACAGGGCACACACATATTTCAGCCCTCATGACGACAATGGTGATCAAGGGCACTACCACAAAAGAAAGTTACCGTTTCTTCTCTTCTTTCTCGTTCTACATGATTCTGCTGTATCTCTGTTTTGCTACCGGCTGCTTTCTTTTTGGCAAGTCGGACTTTGTGGGTAAGGTTGCGAAATCGTCATTGATCGCATAATGATAGAAAATGTGGCATGTGAAGAGAGACAGAAACAGGCAGAAGAAGATGATTTCTGCAGAAAATAGGTAGTACCTGACATATCGTGGAGACGGACATTTTCGATAATACTCTAGCATATCCTAACGATACAAATAACCACAGAGATAACCAACATCGATCATCAACAACAAACATACGCGGTAATCATCGTGTGTCTGCCTCTCTCTGACATGCATGTTATTGAGGAGACATGAACATTTATTTTATGTATGCTACAATACTATGTTTCTTTTGCGGGTGTTGTTTGTCGATCGATTGTGACAAACGTTTGTTACATAACAGAATCCAAGTGTTACTGATCTGTTCTGTTGAACTAAGCGGTCTTGTTGTCTCTTTGACTTGGCACCAGTGATTTTGGCAGTGGTGCTGGCTGCAGTGGAGATTTGGTTTCTGTGGCAACGAATGAACTTTTTATCTCGCGTGAATCGCGACTGATTTCTGTCAGTTAATTTGCGATATTTTACAACTGGCATCATTCCCGGCCGGCGTGTGAATAATTCGTGTTATACTAATGACAGGCAGTAGTAGTATATTCATGTATCACATAGATCATTCCGATAGAAATCTTAATGATTTCTTCTCCTTATGGCATATCCGATTCGTGAATGACGTTGAGTTAGAGGTACTATCCGTTTGCGGGAACAATACCTTTGTAGTTTATAGGAGATATAGAAGAGAGACTATTATATTACACGCGTCGTGCGTTAGTTAGATTTGGTTTAGACGGTCACTCGTCAAGCTCGCTTTGCGTGAAGGAGTTTTCTGTTAGTGTTGTAAATTTAGGATACCACGATGTAGTAATGTTGCTGATACCTGCACCACCTGAGCTATACATACGTTTTATGCCATCGGTTGGTCCGGCAAAGTCAGCTATATGCACTCAAGGATAATAATCACGGTACTTATGCTTGGATTTGACTACGATCTTCATGCTCGTTTTTGGATAATATCGCTAGGAAAAGCTAGAGTGGAGTATCAAGCTAATGAATAATTCCCTCGACAACTTATATTGACATTGCACAGCTAACAACTTCCCTTGTTCTTATGATCCTCGTTGTACGAGTACTCGCTGGGCTGTCATTCGATCCCACAAACTCATGCTTGCTATGCCAGCAAGGTTTTTTTTTGTCAATGCTAGCTGGTTTTCGGTTATTGATACTTTTGAAGACGAGGGACAGTATAGAAAATCTTTTTAATAGGAAGTTTGCTTTAAAGATCAGCTTCGTCCTTGTGTTTTTCCTTTTACTTGATAAGTATTGCTAATACCATAACAAAGAGCACATGTTTGATAGACGGGGGACAACAACAACAAGGCCTTTATTTAAATTGGTCAATTTCCTAAAGAGGCTCGTCCAAAAACGAGAGTGTCGATGTCTTAGCTTTCCGGGAAGGTGCATCGGCATCTGCTCCCGAACCCTCTACCACAAAGCTGGGTTCTGTCTTGGTCGCTCTATGGATCTCGGAGGGTCCGATCGGTATTGAGATGCCAGCGGTCTCACCAATCCACTTACCTACTTAGAAGTCGCCCCGTGCCTACAAAACAAGCCTCAGCACCCACCCTTGCGCTTACCTACCCTCACTCACACTCACACACACTGAAAAAAAAAGGAAGGGACTTACCACATGTGATCGAGAAAAAGCGAGGAAGCAGCACGCTGCGGAAAATGGGTGCCTTTTCATGCACACGTTCAAGACCCCGCTTCTTTTGAAAAAAAAAAAAATAATACCCCCACTCCCATCCACAGGTCCGTGCTAACAACGCGGGGAACAATGACAGATCTTCTGTATCGTAGCGACAGTATGTAACACTATTACAACGCGCTTTACCACACTTTGGTACGCGTTTTTCACCTATTTTTTTTTTGTTTCTATCTTCGCGTAGTTCGTTCGCAAAAATAATCGAAAGGAAAATTTTTTTTCGGAGGGTACCAGCCGAAACCTGCTTTTTGTTTTGGTTTTGTTTTTTTTTCACATGTATCATACATCACCCGTACACATGCCGAGGAAGTAAACACCACGTCTGATTGGCTTTGTGTCGCTACTGCTAAGGGAGGTGGATGAGAAAATGAGCAAGCCCAACAGCACTATCAACCTGAAGAAGCAGCCTGTATCGATAATAGTAGTTCTAGGATGACGCGCATACTATGCTGAAAACAGCCATGCTGCTCTATAGTCTGCCCTTGACAGTTTAGTTTAAGCTGTCCACATCCATCATTGCGGGCTTGGAGGATCGGCAACCGATAATTGCGTGAGAATCGATGTCTACTTGGGAGACGGAGTGCTGGGAGTCTCTCCTGTGAAAATCGTAGGCTGGACCTTATGGTGCCTTGTGCGAGCAAAACATCCCCTTTTCTTTTCTGCCGAGCATCAGCATCGTTGAAGAAAAGGAGAGGGTGTGTTGATATCATCCAAACGTCAAGTCGTTACAATATTTTGAAAGACACCTCTTTCAAAAAATGGCATTTCTGATATATTATAGTGCACGCCACGCTGAACGCGAGACTCGTTTACGCGACAAGGCTAGCAGCAGCATGAAACAGCAAGTTCAGGAAATGGTATTAGGGAGTCCTTGAACAGCCTGGACCGCAAGTTGCCAGTCTATCATGATCATGTGGGCGTGTGTGCGCTGCGCACTGCTTTCCATGAATTGCAGGGGTTGATGATACCAAAAGATATAAATACGCCCACATTTTTCAGGCCATTTCGTTTTTTCTCTTCACTCTTTCTTTCCTTCATTTTTCTTTTTCCTTCACTCCCTTGGTTCCTCCTGGTCTTTCTCTTGGCTCTTCCCTTGGCTCTTCCCTTGGTCCTGGTGTTGCCTCCGTTGCGCCTGTCCAACCCTTATTTCCGGTAATCCTGGCTGCCTCCAACTGGTCCCTGCTTTGGTTTGTCCAGTCTCGCGTTCAACGGTGTTGGTCACAACCGGTCTCCTAGTGAGACCAGAGGACAGAGAAATCGTTCTCGGTTTCTCGCCATAGAAATATGGTAGTGTCCTTTTGGTTGGATGCCTTGTTCCCGGTCTGGTCTACTATGGTGGGAATCGCGTTCGACTCTCAGCAATCGACTCTCGGCAATCGACTCTCGGCAATCGACTCTCGGCAATCGACTCTCGGCAATCGACTCTCAACATCGACTCTCAAGGCTAGACTCATCGCTTTTTCTCTTCTCTTTTCGATCACGTATGGTAAGTCCCTTCCTTTTTTTCTGTGTGTGTGAATGTGAGTGAGGGTAGGTAAGTGTAGGGGTGGGTGCTGATGCTTGTTTTGACACGGAGCGACTTACTGTATTAGTTAGGTTTTTCCCACCATAGTAGACCAGACCGGGAGACAAGGCATCCAACCAAAAGGACACTCCATATTTCTATGGCGAGAAACCGAAAAGGATTCCTCCGTCCTCTGGTCCACTAGGAGACCGGTTGTGACCAACACCGTTGAACGCGAGACTGGACAAACCAAGCAGGGACCAGTTGGAGGCAGCCAGGATTACCGGAAATAAGGGTTGGACAGGCGCAACGGAGGCAACACCAGGACCAAGGGAAGAGCCAAGGGTGACACTGGGGATCGCGTTCGACTCTCGGCAATCGACTCTCGGCAATCGACTCTCAACATCGACTCTCAAGGCTAGACTCATCGCTTTTTCTCTTCTCTTTTCGATCACGTATCATAAGTCCCTTCCTTTTTTTCTGTGTGTGTGAATGTGAGTGAGTGTGAGTGAGGGTAGGTAAGTGATCGCGATTGGTGAGACCGGACTGGGCATCTCAATAATAATCGACCTTCCGTGATCCACAAAGCGACCAAGACAAGACCCTAGCTTTGTGGTGAGAGGGTTACGGGAGCAGATGTCGATGCACCTTCCCGTGGTTGCTCCTGTTAGTATCTGCGTAAGAGCAGAGAAGCTAAGACATCGACACCCTATTAGTAATTAGTAGTTAAATGTACCAAATAAAAATTGTTTCTTTTAACTTTTCACCCGTTAAACTTGTATGTACATGTTTGATATTGATGTAAGACTTCTTCATGCGAAGCGAGGAAGGAGCTCAAGGGCTCGTTCAAGAAGATGATATATGTTCAGATTTGCTGCGAGATCATCAATTTTGTTCCAGATTGCACAATGGAGACAGTTGCAACGAACAATATAGTTGCCACTGTGATCGTCTGCAAAGCAGTCAATGTCGATGGAGAACAAACTCCGGTATATGGAATGAAATTTGCAGCGCGTGTAGCGATCCTCTACAATTATCCTTTACTCAACTCCACAAATGGTTTTTCTCATTCTCAAATTCCAATTCTCCATATTCCCACAGCGGGCGAGCTGGGTAAGAGGCGAATAAGAAAAAAAAATATGAGTTTGCTAACTGTGAGTAATGTTAGCTGGAAGTGCGCATACTGTAGGGATTCACATTGCGTTTAAGCGTTGCGGCAAAGACAATTCTTCAAGTTATCATCTTGAGGCTCATAAACATCTTTTAATAGTTGGCATTCTTGCAATCAATCAGTTATAAAAGTAATATGCCAAAAGACCGACCTCTTTACCATTGCACAGTAGTGCCGCTGCTACGTTGATGGAAGAATGAGTCATTCTTTTATATCTTGTACGTTGACACAGTAACTCCAATGCTATGATACGCAATATTAGTGAAATTTGCTCAATACTACCAGGTATTGCTTCCCCAGGAGCAGCTGCACATTTTGTCTTCAATACTGGCACAGCTTCTCAGCAAATCCGCATCGATGCACCTGGGCTACAAGTGTAATCTTACAAAAAGAGTAACAAATGCAAAGTGCGCCATGATTCGTACCTTCTGAACAGCATCCTTAAAACCAAGAATGAGGGCAACCATCATTGTTCCCTACCATTTCTTCTTTCAGCTGTTATGCTATATTTGTTGTGTCGTACGGCAAATGAGAGCGTTTCATAAAGTAGTCATATCTCTTATCATAGGGCTAGGCTCAGGTCATGTAAGATATCGGCGCCTTACTATTATATGTTCTTCCGGAGCATGATACTTTTTTTTGTAAAGCTAAATATGTTGTCAATTGATACCAAACCCGCTTACAGTGAGAAATAAAATGGTACAGAACATGGGGACAAGTACTTGTTTGGGTGCGAATATCTTCTGCAAATTATAAGAGTATTGTATCTCAATTTCGGTATGGGAGGAGAACTGACTATTCGTTAAAATGTGGAAAGCGAAGACAAAAACTTTAAAAACAGAAGGAAAGAATTCCCGCCTGCGGCCACTTTACAGAACGCTTAATGTGATATTGCCTCGATGAAGTGATGATAAGAAGGATCGATATTACACATGAGACAACTTTTACTGATCCATCAAGTATGGAAAATGTGCATACGCTGAAATGGCAGCAAAAAAGCTAATTTTTATCAAAAGCACTTGTCAAAACATGCGAATGAGCAACGTAGCTAAAGTTTTGAAAGTAATCTCTCATATGTGCTTCGAGGGATGCTCCATGGTTATCCACAGGTGATTCTTTGATCGCCTCGCTTGTGAACTTGTCAGAGAAGTTCTCAGCAAGCTCAGGTTTGGTCTATTAGAACAATTATTGGGAATTAGCATGTGAGATCGACCGACAAGGAATGCGCATATATAGGTCTGAATAAAGTGAAACTTACAACAACAGGTATAATGGGAGGTGTCATTTTGCGTGCCTTGAGGTCTTCCCAGTTGATTTTGCGGAACCAGCGGTGTGATTTCACGCGCTTGGTGCCATCATTGCCACTTCCAAGACGACCATTTGGATTTTTACGGAGGAGCTAAAACGAGCATGTCAGAATAAGTAAATTGTTCCTGGTGCGTTTGTGTGTGTGGGAAAAAGAAGGACGCCGCCGCCACTTACTCTGTTTAGTAAATCTTTGCCATCATTGGTAACATAGTAAGGTACATTTAGTTTCTTGTTCTGGATGGCATCAAGCGTTTTCTTCTTATTGTTTGCACGGAACGGAGTCTGTTTATAAAGGTAGAGCGATTAAGAGTTTAGATAACGAGTCAATTTCGTTCGTGGGCGCCTAAACATGTAAAACGAAATACCAGAGAACTTACATCGCCCGTAAGCATTTCAAACATTAAAATGCCCAACGTCCACCAATCAACACTTTTATCATAGTGCATCTCCATCAGGATTTCTACACAATACACGCATTCGTCGCGTCTGTATCAGTTTATAAAGCAATATTGACGTCATTGATTCCTCTCTCTCTTCGTTCGATTTAGGATCTTACCAGGCGCCATATACTCGGCCGTGCCACAAATGGTATTAGCCTTGCCATCCGCACCGAGGGCTTGTTTACTAAGACCGAAATCCGTCAAGAGCACGTGGCCTTCGGCATCCAACAAACAGTTTTCGGGTTTCAAATCACGATACACAATACCGAGCGAATGAAGATGCTCCAATGCGAGCACAAGTTCTGCAATGTAGAAACGTGCCACTTCTTCAGAAAACATTTGCTCTAAATTCATCGCAATGACAATAGTAGTAAAAAAAACAGCAATCAGTAAACAGCATGACATTATGCAAGGGGTAAAAAGCAAATAAACGCAAATACCTGCAGCCATCTGTGTGAACAGTTCTCCGCCCATGGCATATTGCAAAATCAAGTACAGGCGATCGTCCGTCTGAAATGCATACAGGAGCTGCACAATAAACGGGTGTCGGACTTCTTCAAGAATTTCACGCTCGGCCTTGGTATGTTCAGCATTTTTCGCATGCACAAACAATGAGGCCTTCTTTAATACCTTCATTGCGTACAGTTGATTCGTTTCCACATGACGACAGAGTGACACTTTGCCATAACTACAATCATGGAGGATACGTCATTGATTAATTTTGACTCTACACATAGCGTAGACTTGACAATGCATGACCGGCCCAAACGAGAGCATCCTTTGTCAAAGCATCATGTAGTGCAAAAATAGAAAAGGAGAAAACTTACGCTCCACGGCCAAGCACTTTTAAAGTTTCAAAGTCGGCCTTGCACGCCTTTTTGTGTGTACGTTTTGATTCTTGAACGGAGGACGAGACATAGTCTTCGGCGAGTGGCACTTCGTACAGTCGTTCACCAGCCGCGATTGGGGTCGGCTCGGCTGCATCGTTTTCTGAGGCATAGCCGCTTTCAAGACCGCCATTATTGCTGTTGTAAATGCTGAGGATACTGCCCTTGTTGACGCTGGTACGACCACCACTATTGCCGATCGCAACCTCGCCATAGTCGCAATCGTTGTCATCGCCATGATCGCCACTGTTAATGGCCAGATCGGCTTCATCGAATTCGAAAACAGCACTCATCGAGATTGAACAAGCAGGAGGAGACAGTTACTTGAGGGTTTGTTGGATAAGAAGGGTTTGGAATATAACAAATAATGTACAGTTAGGTAGAAAGAGAGGGGAGAGATATAGTAGCAGTAGTGATAATAGGTAATGTAAGATGCAAGAACCTAACGCTGAAACCCAATGCAAAGACGACGTGCCACCAATCCGAGTTTAATAAGGATCAAGTCAGTTTTCATACAGAAAAAGAGTTGAAGAAAGAGGTTTTCCAACAAAGAAAGAAGAAAAGGGATGCGAAAGGCATATTGCAACTCATTCAAGAAATAGGGTCCGCACTCGGGGGGGGGGGGATCATCCAGTCACGTAAAAAGAGATTTCGCCAATACGGTTACATTGAATCGGATTTAGGCGAGACTTCGTTGCACATAATCCAGCTCTCCGTCTACCAGCAAGAAAAACACACACAACCCTTCTCTTTTTATTTTTAAAAAAAGAGAACGAGAGAGAGAAACTATTTGTTTTAAAGTGCTACATATTTACTACCACTACCACTACCACTACTATCACCATCACCATCACCACCTTTGCGTAGATACCTAAAAGACCTACCCTCAGAGACACCGCAACACTACACAGCCTTCTTTTTATCACAAAACTTTTTTTCTTCTTCTTTCTCTTCATAATGGAAGTCGACACCAAAGCAGCCCCTCCGCCATCCACCAACACTACTGCCACTACCGCAGACTACATGGACGAAGACCCCATCAATCCCTCTTCCGAGCAGCACCAACAGGATGCACAAGACCAGTCAGATGACCTGTTTGCCGTCGCCTTGTTGATTGATGAACTGAAACACGAGGACGTTCAATACAGATTGAATGCCATCAAAAACTTGCCAGTCATTGCCAAGGCATTGGGTCCAGAACGAACACGTAATGAGCTCTTGCCATTCCTTCAAGGTAAAAATATTGGACACCTCCAAAAACACAACTCGATCCTTCTTTTTCTTTTTTCCCATCATACACGCGTCCCAACAACTTTTTTTTTATTAATGAATGGGTGCCCGATGCAAAACAACAACGCGTTTGCCCAATCTACTTTTTCCTTACTCCAACTTTTTCTTAACCCCTTCTCCTTCCCTTCTCCTTTATACAATCCAACTCTATGAGACAAAGCAACTGTGGTTTTATTTTCTAACAATTCTATGAATCAGAATGTATCGACGATGAGGACGAGGTCTTGGTTGTATTGGCTGAAGAGTTGTCCAACCTGACTGAATCTTTGGGTGGCCTTGATTTTGCCTATCATTTGCTCGTACCTTTGGAAAATATAGCAGCTGTGGAGGAATCCTCAGTACGAGAAAAGGTAATGAATGTGTGAAAAAGGAAGAGAGAAAGGGTGGTCTTTTGACGTATCGTTTAAAGAATGAGTCGTTCTCACACTGTGCATTTCTTAGGCTGTTCAATCACTTTGTCAACTTGTTGGCATCCTTGCACCAAATCACGTCGAGCAATACTTTTTGCCTCTGCTGAAGCGCTTGAGCATGGGCGAATGGTTCACGAGTCGGACATCAGCTGCGGGGCTTTATGCTGATACGTACAAAAGAGTTCCGGCCAATGTGCAGGTTGAACTGAGAAAGTGTGTTTTTCATCGCTTTGTCCATGATGATGGTCGTGATAACTTTGAGGGAAGATGTACGAAACATGTTTCTGATTCGTGTGCTTTTTTCTAGCATGTTTGCTCAGCTTGTACGTGACGATAGCCCTATGGTCCGAAGAGCCGCTGCAAAGGCATTGAGCGTAAGTTGAACGATCTGGCTGACTTTTTTTTTGGAGGGGGGCATTAGTTGTCGGTAACACACAACTTATGTGTGTGCACCTTTTAGACATTTGCGCAACAATTGCCTGCAAACGATTTGCTTGGTGGTGGATTAGAGCTTTTGCAAGAACTCGCACAGGATTCGCAGGACTCTGTTCGATTGTTGGCTGCCGAAGATTTAGTAGCATTCGGTAAAATGTTCACATCCGAGCAAAATAGCCAGCATCTGCTGCCCATCTTTAAAGCGTTGGCAGAGGACAAGTCATGGCGTGTCCGATACATGGTTGCATCCGAATATGTTGAGGTAACAATAATAATTTTGTGATCTTCTAGAATTTGTTCCATTGTAGAAAAGACGCTAAATATCTCCATATTGGTGAATTTTAGATTGCTCAAGCATTCGGCGAACCTATTGTGCGTGAACACTTTACTGAACCTTTCCTTAGCTTTTTGGATGATCCCGAGGGTGAAGTTAGAACGGCAGCAGCAGGACGGATCACTGGTATGCACATCATCATCACCATCATCATGATGGTTGTTCTTTCGATGGTAGACTTTTTAAACATTTCATTGCTTCAGTCCCTTCTAATGATGTTCCATTTACTGGCGTGGGTGATGTGTTTTTTAGGATATGCCCAGCTTGTAGACAAGGACGTTGCCATTGAGCGGCTATTACCGTGTGTCAGAGATCTCGTTGCGGATGAGAACCAGCATGCCCGTGCTGCGCTTGCAAAGGAAGTCAGCGGTTTGGCTGTGATCGTTGGACAAATGCCGTAAGTATCCCACTATGACTAGAATATATATATAGTCTAAAAGACAGGGGTCAAAACATGCTGATCCCGATGTTTTTCTTCCTTACCGATACATAGAACTATGGAGTACCTGTTGCCTACATTCTTGCAGCAGCTCACAGATGATTTTCCAGATGTGCGGCTGAACGTCATTTCCAGCTTGGACGAAATTAACAAGGGTAAGTAAAAAATCAATTGGGTCGGGTCGGTGATTAACCATAGCATTAGTTGGTAGCAATAGCTATTTGGAGGCAATGTTAATGGAGTGTCGTGTGTGGCGATCACAGCAGGAGTTCCCGAGAGGAACAGGGCTTACTAACTCAAATATGTTGTGGGTATGCTCATGTAGCCATCGGAATCGAGCGTCTTTCACAAGCGCTCCTTCCAGCCATCCACGAGCTATCCGAAGATAAACAATGGCGCATTCGACTTGCTATTATTGAATATATCCCTCTATTGGCAAAGCAATTTGGCGCACAATTTTTCGAAGAGAAGCTCTTGGATTTGTGTATGGCCTGGTTACGCGACAAGGTGTTTTCGATCAGAGAGGCAGCCACAACAAACCTCCAGAGACTAACCCAAGTGTTTGGTGCTGGCTGGGCGGAAAAAGCCATCATTCCACGAGTGCAAAAGATGGCGAGCGATGATAATTATTTGCACAGAATGACGGTCATCTTTGCATTGACGGTACGTTCCAAATACCACGTGCTGTGTGTAACTATGGATTTCATGCTAAACAACGCCATTTAATAGACCATGGCAGATGCACTACCAGCAAATACTGTTCGAGAGTCTGTGCTCCCCACTGTGATTGAATTATCGAGCGACCCTATCCCCAATATCCGGTTTAATGTCGCCAAATCTTTGGAGACGATGATACCATTGCTCAAGCAGAACCAGGCCATGTTAGAACTCGTTTCTAGTATGGCAAAACCGACGCTGGAAAAGCTTAGCACCGATAAGGATGGTGATGTTAGGTTTTTTGCCCACCGAGCATTGGAAGCAGGTAAAAGGCCACCACTTACTACGAATGCTACTGCTAGGTGATTGAATGTTTGTTTTGGAACCAAAAGACTAACACTGGTTTGAACGTAGTTTAAAAGAAACTTATCCACCACCGTCCTTTTATAAAAACAAGAAACCCCCTTTCTTACACATCATCTTTCTGCTGTTTTTTTTTTCTTCTTCACTGTCTTTCTTTTTCTTTCTGCCGGCAAACAAAAAAGACCGATCACCACTTATCAACGACGGCGACGACAACGACTGCAACCGCACAATTACCACCAAATCCCCTTCCTCACGAAATTCAACAACACAGTATACACTATACGAATGTGTATATACTATATAGCGCGAGAAAAGATTAATCCATGTCTTTTGTATATTACATACTCCTCTTTTTGTTTTGTTTGTTTCTTCTCCTGCAATTCGTTTTTTCCCCGCTTTTTCAAGTGTCTCTTTCTCTTGCAATGGTTTTATTTCGTTCACACGGTTTGGGACTATGGTTTTTTATCCCATCATTTCGGATACATCAAGATCAAACATGCTCTTTGGATCTTGCTTCAACTTGGTTCGATCATCCTTGACAACTCTGCAGTTTGACGGACCAGAGAGGGTTTAATATGAGTGCATTTGTAAAAAACCCACCCATATCTTGTCAAAGAAATCAATTACTATACCTGCTGTCAATACGCAGATCACCAGTTTCAATGCCAACTTGAGGTTCAGGTGTCACAGCATCGAGAACATAATGATTATCACAGTGAGGGCAATATTCGTCCTCATCTTCGTAATCTCTATAATGGTTGGTTATTCACCAAAAGGCCATTTAGAAAAAAAACACGGCAGCTTCAAAAAACATACACAAATCTAGTCAATCAAGTAAAATAGTATTTTGTATACCCTACCTCATGTCTTTCCGAAAAGCCTTTTTGCATTTTTTGCAAGCAAACACCATCTCGTCTGTTTTGCGTAATGGATGATCAGATACTTCGGCATGACATTCTGAACAATCAAACCATCGACGGCAGCATTGTGCTCTAATAGCAACCTGATTCGCCCCAACCGGGTTGATGAGTGGGAAAAAAACTAATATATTTGATTATATTTTTTAAGCAGTACCTGTGCGTTGAGAATGTGTTTGCACATTGTTTTCTAATGAGGGTATATAATATGCGAAAGAAAGAGAAAGAAAGTAAGGAGGGGAAGAGTGTACAAAAAAAACGTGGAATTTTCAGGTCCAGCGAGATAACCACTTCAGGCACAACAACAGACAGATTGAGAGCAGATCAATCAAAGTACACCGGGATATGACAGGTCATGATGGTCCGCGGTGTGGTCTGCGGTGGTGGGGGTGGTTGTGTTTCATCTCCTCCTCTTGAGCGATACATGTCAATATTCACATATAGATAGAATGCAACTTGGAGCTCATCTGTCAAAGCTTCGAAACATTTCTGTCAGCTATGCTGATTTTTATCAATGCATCCTCACCCCGTTCAAAATATTATTCCTTATTTTTACTTACAACAAATGACATTTTGTGGATCCAGGTGATAGCTGTTAAGAAAGCTGACAAAGTTATCCGTTGATATCTTGACCGAGGCAAATCGAGCGGTGTCATCCGGAAGCTCGTGTCCCGCTAATAGATTCATCCCAAGATTTGGAGGGTGAGAGTTCATCCAAAATTTCGCGTTTTCGTCTGTTCTGTAACTTGTCTTTTGGTTTACCTAATTGTGGATTTTCCAAGTGTCGATAGACGGTTTCACATTGTACTAGTTCGGTTTCTACTACCAGTTTAAACACGCCGGCCATGTTTGCGGAGAGCGTCAAGTATTTGCCCATAGATTTCAATCGACCAGCGGTGGTTTTCAGGGCGTGCAAGCTTGGTAAAAGAATGTATGCCTGTTATTTCAAAATAATTAGTAAAAGTTAAATATTCAGTCGTCGAATGTTGCAAAGCGATAGTGGAAGTTTACATCAGGTGTGCTTGCTATTGTAGGCTCCCTGATATGTCGCATTCGTTCTGGTGGAATGATGGATACGCTTATTTCTTGGCCAATGGTGCTCGAAGACCCCACTCTATTCTATATAGTAGTCAGTATACTTCAGCAAGAACTTAAATATTGACTGTAAAGTATTATGGACTCTTGTTTTACCTCAGAAACCATGCTCCAATCTAGGACAGGTTGATCACGCTTTTTGCGCAGCGCAATACGGACGTCGATTGCTTGTTGTGCAGCCCGTGTTGCTCGAACTAGGTCATCAATAACGACTGACATGTTGATTTCGTTGTTGGATGTACTTTCTACGCGATAGTTCGAGAACAACGATGCCTATAGTTATAGAAATCAGTATATCTTCAAGTATCAATACTGTTGTTTTAACTCGAGGTCGACGTCGTTGTACATACCGGCTCTGTTTTACTGGTTAAGATAGGATGCATATATGTAGTCAGCAACATTTGAAAGCGACACACATGTCTATGCCAAACGTATCAAATACGGCATAATATACGATAAGCTACTTACGTCCACGCTTGAATACTGCCGTCATTATCAGAATGTTTGATCAGTCGCACACTGTCCTTGCCCAAAGACAGAATGCACGTTGGTCCGAGCTTTTCGAGCGTCAACGCGATCTCTAATTAATAACGTACGGTCATTGGGAGTCAATCGCTTATACGGAATGTATATACAATAATATAGGAGCGTGAAAAAGCAACATACTGCCGAGACCAACAGGATTAGCGAGATTGGCACGAAATCGCATGATCGATCGAAAAGTAGAAAACGTGAAGGAACGAAAGAAAGCGTGTGCGACGCTGCGCTTTTTCTAAATCTGGGAAAGAAATTAAAGGCACGGTTTGAAAGAGAAAGCAATTCTATTCGTGTACTTGACTTTATTTGCATGATAATAATCAAATGGTATTAATATTATTATACTGTTATTACGTTGTATAGGACAACTACTGCTACTTTTAGCCAAAATAAATGGACAGGACATGTTGGCTAACGTTAAGTCCAAACAACGAAGCAATGTACAGAATGACGCAGATGACAATGGGGTACAGAAAGAGTTCGGTATGTACCAGAAACGGTAATGCTATGGAAGAGCGCATTAACATCCACAACTCCTTGCCTTTTCAGTCCCTCCTTAGTTATTTGAGAGCTTACCGTTGAATCCAAGAAAGGTGCCATAAATGTACCATACCGTAGCAGCAAAATACATGGTGTTGCCAACAAATAGTGAGATCCAGTTGCTGCGTTGCAGTAGTGGCATGAAAAAGAATTGTAGGACATAGAGGACGAGGAACAGAGGGAAAAAGGAGTTGCAATGCACATCAAACGAGTATGCCCATTCTACTTTTTGATCCACTGCGTGTGCCATATGATTGTGCGTCAAGAATCGATTCGTTACGAACCTATTACATATTGGGTATACAGTTAGTCTTCCCTATCCACAATCTTGATCCTCCATCTTTTTTGTTTCTTGAGCTATGATATATTAAAATAACTACTACTAACCACGTAAATGTTCCCACTAAGGATCCCACTAGTAAGAAATCAATAAACACCATAAACAGCATTGCACGCAATATGCCAATCATTCCCAGACCATATACGAGCCCCCATGCAACAGCCGATACTATATAACCAGGTGCAAATTTAACATTTAAAATATAATAAACAAACAAAACACCCAACCCGCTCAACCACACGTACCGCATAATAGTGAAGCTAATAAAACCAAGAATGCCGGATCGTCTCGTGCCCATTGATTCTTCGTTTCTGAAATGTGGAAGAGATTCGTTTACTGTCAGCTACTTTTTTTGGTTGCCCCGTGTTTGCGTCCATTCCTTCCATTATCATCACTACGAGGAGATACTTGCGTTTATGATAATATATATTCCGGTACCTGTAAAACGGTCAATGAGATGTCAATAATCGTTATAGCTTATTCAGCTTATTCTTCTGGAGACTTACACTCTTCTTGGTGCAATCAACAGATAACCCATCTGCCATAATGCAAACTAAAATATACACAAAAGTAACCGGCATGAGTGTTTTTATGCTTGTGAACGAAAGGAACTTCTTGAGTATTCAATAGGAAGAATGGTGGAAAAGAATACCTCAAAGTCCATTTGTGGAAACCGGAATATTCTTCGTATTATTAATGGAATAGAGCGGGAGGAGCGTCGATGTCGACGTGAACCGTCGAATGATGGCGGTGAGCTACGTGCATAGGTGTTAGTGGTTGGCAGCAACGACATATTTCGTTTGTGTGTATATATAATATATGTTGAGTGAAAAAGCACTGAGCGACGATCCTAGCGGGGTACAACGACTACACCTACTCTCTTGTCAGCACGGCTTGTCACGCGCCCATTTTCCCTGCCACTACTTTCTACCCCACGCTTTGCGTGCTTACTTGAAACATGCAGGAATTTTTTTACAGCTACTATTACGAGTGTATTTAGCTGCATGTCCATTCAGCTTACAAAGATATAGAGCGTCAATCAATGGGCCGGGAGGATACGAATTTAACATCCTCCATCGCCTACGAAAATGGACCATCAAATACGCTGTTCAATTTGATTGGACGCGCTAGCAAGTAGTATTTATGCTGGATACTTGTTCAACAGTTATACTTTATACTATGAATGAGCTATTCTAAACAAAATTAATCGTATAATAGTATCACTGTTATATATTTCATATCCTTTTTATATAACATGATGACCGTAAGAACCTACAAGAGTCTGTTCTATTCTTGTTCGTGGTAAACTAGTAGTATCGCAGGTATCTTCGGTCAACAGGCTTCTGCATAAATATGTACTAAATAAGCATTTATCACATTCAATAAAATAAAAGTGGATCCTATCACAACAATCAATGTGTGACAGCTACATGACCTCATGTAGCATCATGTTCATCAGTTTTTTTCTATTCACGACATATCATTCACATTTTCTTGACTACAGCTCACCTATATTCATCAACCATCGATGTCGCATCATATGAGCGCAATCAACGACAATAACGCCTATTCGACTGTATTTGAGCATATACATACGGTATTTGACACAAGTTATATCATGAAGCGATCAGGATAACCACAACAGCAATAAACAACCATTGACAAATCGAAAACACTGTGGCCACCCTTATCGATTTTAGAAATATATGCGTCATGGCCATGTGACCGCAGGGGAGGTTCGCCGACCGTCACGCTGATGCTTCTACCATAATTAAGATGAGCCCTGAGTTAGCCCTCGGCCATGTTTGTGCAGCGCAACTCTATTTGTTGCCGAAGTGAAGTGATTGCTACTTGTGAGCGAGGTTTCAAAGCTTTACATGGGCACAGAAACCCGACTTCAGAAACACAGCTTAATCAGCTCAAAGCGGACGCCGAGCGACGTCTCAAGATACTAATCGATCCCGTCAGCCATCTTCTTCCCGAGATTATCGAGCACCATGTTTTGCAACATTTGCATCAAATGAGTTATTGCGGCTAAAACTGGCCACAACTACCTGGTACGAGCGAATCACTCGACTTCCATCGCTGTGGCGGCCCATACAACTTGGCAAAGACGGCAAAATAACTTGGTTGCTGCTTTCTTCTTCCATTGGACAACATGCATGGGATTTGATATAAAAAAAATACACCACGAAAAACTCGGGCTATGACCGAGATCATTGAATTAACTCACAAGAAAAATGTATTCTTCATGAATACATGCTTTTCCTTGACCGTCAACTTCTAAATATACTTCTATGTTTCCCTGCCCCCACCCCCACTCCAACCTGGAATATCTGGTCAACGGGAACATGCCTCTGAAAAGATAATTGTCAATGTTTCTAATTTGAGACACGTCGGTGTGAGCGGCCAAGAGACTGAAGTTTACCTCAAAAGGCTGTAATTAACTTCGCCGCAGCATTATACCATTGTCAGCATTGATTTGAAAATGACTTTTTATAGGTACACCTGAGAATATCTTATGGTAATCCTCACAAGTTGTCCTTTGCTCCGTTGCCTATCAAGTCCCACTACTGACTGGAATGTCTTGGAAGCAATCGGGCACAATTTGTCGTCTTTGCGAGCAGTCACCATCAGCAGACACGACTGTGGAGTCTCAGAGCGCGTCATGTCAATTCAATGGCGACAGGCAACAACAACCACATCATCCTCATAAGTGATGATGCTCCAAGCAATTTATGAGTATTGGGTAGTGAAGACCGAAAATAACGATTTTTCGCAACAGCGTGTACAGCGGTTCATCGGCTATGATCTCAGTGCACACTCGTCACCTCTCATAGCAACACGCTTCTAGAGCTCATGACAAATTGCGATTTAATTTTTCGGATAAAGTACATAATATAGAACATATATATAATTTCAATCTGTTTATATTTTAATAAAATTGAATTTTGTTTAAATAAAAAGATAAAATGGGTGAAGTGGATGATATAGAAGATATAATCAACAGTGATTCTTTTTAAAAAAATTTAAAAAGAACATTTACAGTATTACTAAAAAACTGGAAGATTTAAATATCTAGAAATTACATATAATGATGTTATTAGATCGTTTAAATTCATAATAGATATTACAGATTCGAAAAAGTTAACTAAAGAATATAAATTTAAGAGAAGAAAGAAAACTAAAAAATTCAAGACTAATCATGACAAATAGCGCCAGCAGTAGCTCTTACAAAGCATCCGGCGCCAGCTCATCCCTTCCCAATCTCTTCTAGCCGATGTTATTTTATAAGGCTGATGGAATTGGATTAGAAACTTAAATAAAATTTTCAAAGATCAACAACTATATGAATGAACTTGCTGGACGAAAGTACGTTGAGAAGGGAACGAGGAATATGCCAATATCTAACCAAACAAAACTGATGCAAAGCCCTTTTTCTCCGTCTTTGAATGTATATACAGTCGAGATCGATATGCGATTATTCATTAGAGTACCTTTAATCGATTGCTATTACATTTTAAAAATAAAACCCTGTAAATAACAAAAGATTACGGTACGCTATATATCTGGACTCCAAGTGAAATTTGTAGATGAATACCTCGCTTATCATTCAGCGCGCATAATTTTGTATGCCCAGGAGCGCGATCGCAGGTACGCTTGGATTAATATGAGGATACGATACTGAAACCTCGGCGATTTCATACTTATTCGCTAATTGTTAACCCTCAGTAGCATATCTCGTATTTTGAGCTTTTTTCAAATGAACGTCTACGAAGGAAACTATAATCTCGCCCGAGTTGTTGATCAATTGAGCGAGTTATTCAATATACTTGATCATATTGTTGTCAGAATACACACTGCTGTGTAACCAAGTGTCTTTTCTTATTGCCGTATAGCTTCCATTTATTTTTAGCTTCTTGTAGCTTTTAAAAATTACGCGTTTTGTAATTGCTTCCTATTGAATATACTGTTGTCTGGACAATTCTTTTTTGATATGGAATTTGCACTGGTCAGCAAAGATGTACACTTGGTTAGTTAAATCCTGGATCGTGTCCTGTCAATTGTTACATATTTTTAAATTTAAAGATAGTAGCACTAACGTAAAAAGAGAGCTAACAACACGGTGGTCATAATCTATTATCCTGTTTCTTCTTAAATAAATTCCTGTAAACATGCAAGAGAGAGAAAAAGGAAAACACGTGCTGGATGTAGTCTCTATTAGCGATGTTTAAAAGGAAGCAGTGTCTGGCCCTTGTTGCTTAATGTATGATATGATGCTCAGGTGTAAAATGTAGTATACCACACATATAGTGGCACACAAAGCCCCTAGCCACAGTCGTGCAAGAATTATTACCTTGAGGCTAGAAATCGGTATATATATTTTAAAAAAAAGGTCTTTCACCAAGTACGACTGAACGGGCGTATTGACGATCAACTTCTCTCCGCACAGACTGATGTAGTGTGCATTCTGCTCCCTGTAGGTACGTCATTTCTACAAAATACATCCGACTCTAGGTCTCCCGCGTACATGCATCAGCATTTCAACTCAGTGAAAAGGCTCCCGCATGGAGGAACAAGGGGTAATTTGTGTACTCCTCCAAAGAAGGAAAGGGCCAAATTGTGTACTATGGCTTGGGTGCGGGCTCGGCCAATAGTTCGTGTTGATGCGGGCTTGGCGATAAAAGGACAGACATCAATTAAGTGTGTGCGTCAACTTAAAGTTTTCCCGGACACAAATAGCCCAATTTAGGTAAAATAAAAAAGCTTCACGCATCGCTGCTGGAAACGCTTCGCTTCTTTTCTTCATTGAACACAACACATTTTTTTACATTCACTCTATATACACTTCCCAAGCAATATATAGAAAAATGACTCAAGGAGAGAAACTTCATTTTTATGATATTGCACAGAAGGTCGTGCAGCAGATCCGCAGGTAAAAAGACCAAGAAGAATACAGTACTCGAGCAGGATTTTGTCTGTGTTAGGCCCCCATCCACCTCTCACATCACATACACCATGACGGAATACATGCTGACAACTACCTCTACGTTTTTTGTTTATGATTAGTGAGGCGCATTCAGATGCCCATCAGATGCTGCGTAGCTACCCAGGCAACACGAACAAGGCCAAAGCTGCGGAAGTCAAGACCTATGGCATTGATCATCCCGCATCGACCGGTGTTATCTATGTGATGGATCGTGCTATGCAGAATGGGTTTACATATGGCGACTCGTCTTGGGGTAAGTTATTATAGTTTTTTGTATTTGTTACGGCACCGAGGGATCGAGTTTTATATTGCGTCGTAGTAATACCGTCCTGTTTAATAATATCTCGTCCATCTTGTTACTGTACAAATTTGCTAGCTAACTTTGGTCAGGGTGCACCTGAAGGTAAAGAATTTATCGTCGTCAGATGATAAAATAGTTTTTATCTGGAAACACTGGAGGAAAAGATTCATACTTACCATATGATGGGTGTTGCATTGTCACCAGTTGGCCACATTGACGGTTGCGCGGATAAACCCACGTCAGTAGACCTTCCCGAAGCTTCATACGAGTATGCTCCTACAGCTGGTATCACCGAACTTCGTTCGGCCGTGGCCAATCTTTACAACGAAATCTATCGAACTGATAAGGAGTCCCAGTACACATATGAGAATGTAAGCTGACAACTACTCCTTAGTATACTACCGACAGCTTGTTGACATCTGCCGGGTGAGCGGGAAAATCCAGGGAACAGAACGAAGTAGAACTCAGTGCTGACAACTACATTTTAGGTATGCATTGTGCCAGGTGGTCGTGCAGGCCTGACGCGTGTTGCTGCGGCCATCGATGATATCAACGTTGGCTATTTTCTACCCGAGGTTCGTGAACAAAAAGGGAACGTGTGTAATAATGATGGGGCACGTTTTGCGCGGTAAGGCGGGACACAAGTGAACTAATTACAGTGGGTGACCTGTTGTTGGATCACTTTGTAAATTTTTAGTATACCGCTTATGAGTCCATGTTATCAGTGTTCAAGCGATTCGTGCCTATCCCTACTACCTTGGAAGCAGAGACACGCTACCACATCGATCCATCCACAATCCGTAAAGAAATCACCAACCGTGGTCTAGGACTTATTGTTGCTTCTAACCCCAGAAACCCCACGGGTCAACTTATTGAGACGGAAGAACTTCAAGAATTGGTCACCATCTCTCGCGAGCGTCACGCGACTCTTGTCATGGACGGTACGTTGTGTGCGTTTATGTATAGTAAAAAACAAGAAAGCTCAAAAAACCCTTCTGACATGGGCACACCACATTGCCTGACACCACCCATAGAGTTCTATTCAGCATATATTTATTCTCATGACGAGGCGGAGAATGGTAGAACAGTTAGTATCGCCGAATACGTTGAAGGTAATCAAGGAGGGGTTGTCCAGGCAAACAAGTTCTCATTATTACTGTTACACACATGCGATACGAATGACGCAGAATTAGTATTGTGGCACTCATGCATATGATGTTTTAAATACTTCAGATGTCAACAACGATCCCATTATCATCATTGATGGACTAACGAAAAACTTCCGGGTAAGTGTCCCTTCATGTCATTGACATACAAAACAAGACAATATGAAGAGAAAAGATAAGCTGCCTTCCTCTATACTTATAGCAAAGGGGATTTTCTTCTTGATAGCTTCCTGGCTGGCGTATCTGCTGGATCGTCGGCCCTAAGGATGTGATTTCGTCAATGCAGAGCTGTGGTTCCTTCCTTGAAGGTGGTGCGAACCATCCTCTCCAACTCGCAGCAATCCCGTTGCTTGATCCTGATGTTTACAAAAATGAAGCAAAGCATCTTCAACAGCACTTTAGAGCCAAGCGCGACTTTGTCCTCGGTCGCCTTGAAGAACTTGGACTTAAGGTCAAGGTCCCCCCTGTCGCCACTTTCTATATCTGGCTAGACCTGACAGCTCTGCCATCTCCCATTGATATCGGTCTCACCTTCTTTGAAGAATGCTTGAAGGAGAAAGTGTAGGTTTTACTCGTTTACATATGCGAATGGGAATATTTAATGATATAATGGATGGAATCAATGTACTTATTTCGTAAGTATATTTTAGTATTGTGGTTCCTGGTATCTTTTTTGATGTCAACGTAAGTCTTCAGTCCATATTGATGTTTCCTCCATTGCAAAGCCCTTTCGACTAAGCACAACATTTACTACTATAGCCTGCTCAACGTCGTGAACTCTTTGAATCACCATGCCATCATTTTGTGAGACTCAGTTTTGGTCCGCCTATGGAGGAGCTAGCCAAGGGTCTTGACGCCATTGAACGGGGTATGTATTTGTGATTTATTTACAAAAGTATATGTGTAAGTGGAGGATTACAATGAAAGCAGAGACTAAACAACGTCTGCTCTATTCAGTGATCAACAAATTCAAGAACTAAAAAGATGAAGTTGGCGGGGAGCGTGTATATGTGTGTGTGCGTGTAAGTTGCGTGCGCGTACGTCCTGTATATTTAAAATAATAAATCGTCCTTTCCACCAGACTGGCTATCCTTTAATTGTTCAACATCAACTCCATGCACAATGACATTCCGTATCCGGTCCAATCGTTCTCTTTGAAGTTGCAATAGTTCGTCCATGTCGTCTTCGTCCATAGGTTCTACTGCTTGTTGGTGCTGCTGCTGTTGACCATGATCCATGTCATCCATGTCATCCAACGTCAGATCCATGTTCTGAGTGACTGACAGATCCGTTCCCATATCCTCAGCAGGATGCATTTGAGACGACTCTTGCTGATGCTGTTGTTGTTGCTGCCCTTGCTGTCGCTGTTGTTGTGCCTGATCCTCCTGTGTCGCTGTTCTTTGTTGCCAATCCAACTGCAGCACGCGCTTGGATTGTTCCTTGAATATTTAAAGATGATTGTTGGAAACTCCTTTGGAATAACATGTGCAGAGTACGTACAAACAGTGAGCTTACCAGTATATAATAAGTCTGATCGCAAACAGTTTCAAATTCATTGCATTTGTCCAATAACTTTTCGGTCAGAAAGGAAGGAGTGTCATACGATTCCGATTCTAGTTTACTATTTGGGCGCGAGTGATACAACAGTGATTAACATATAGATCCGTTCCTTTAACACTCGCGCTTCTGTTGGCTCTCCAGTAATAGTCCTGCGTGTACCTGTTTTGTGTGGCAGCGAAATGTTCAAGAATTCGAGCAGCGTGTTCTAAAATGCCCTGTCAAAAATAGAATTGTAAAGATTACAGTAAAACGTTAGCTTAACTACAAACGCTTCTTTCGGTGGATCAGCGACATACTCCTGTAAGAAGATTGTTTAAGGCTGCAAGTTCAGCTTGAAGGGGTCTTTGAATTTGTTTTTGTCCTGGATGACGCATCGGTGGTGGCATTGTTATATCTTTTTGTGGGTCGTATAAAGAAAGTAGAAAATCAAAAATGCGGGAGAGAGGACCTCTAAATCCTGCTACTCATGGCACGCGACAACATACACCGCTTTTGTTCATACCGGTGTCTCCTATCCGTCTTGATACCGCTTGCTTTAGCTTTAGGACTTTCTGCTCCAACGAAGTATCACACTTTGCTTACAACTATGGCAGCACGAGGTTAGCCAGGAGTAATCATGGGACGATAGTAACCAGGCAGCCTCACTTGTAAGTACTAAAGCTACCTAACAAAACGACGTATCATGGCAACTGCTTATATGATGTACAGTAACCATTTTGTGGCTCTTCAGCTTCCTTAGCTTTCTTTAGTCGGCAATGTATTTATTCTTTAAACTAGGATGAAGATACAGCATGCCGAAGAAAAGTGTGTGGTACGTGCCACGACCCTGAAACCACTACTCTCAAGGAACAGAGCAATAAGTTCATAGGCTACAATATATATCGCAATATAATCAATTTTTTATTCATTTACATGAACACACATAGCAGGTTATATATCGACGAGAGAAGTGAGGATACCGTAAAAAAAGTATCCCAAAGCTCACACAGCGCGTTATCCAGGTCAATGCATCAACTCAAAGTGTAAGAGGTTCGGAATTTCTATTTTACCGTGAGGCTGCCATTGAAATTACCTGGTGGTCTCCACAAGTTCGAGTTCTTTCTCTCATTTGCGATATCAAAATGGTAGGCATATGGACGATGGATGAACGAGAGTTGAACAAGATGAAGAGAGTGTGAAAGATGGGATGGATGTATAGATGGATGATGTATACAGATGGATGGATCGATTCAACTTGAAGAAAAGAGGATGGGATGAGAAAAATAGATTATCTACTTCTTTAGCATTTATCGATTGCATTTTCCACATTGGAAACTAAACTTGAAACCTTTGCGATTTCTTTTTCCAGGACGCTCAAAAGCAGCCCGTTAAGCTCGCCCGTGTCATCAAAGTTCTTGGCCGCACCGGTTCGCGTGGTGGTGTGACTCAGGTCCGCGTCGAGTTCATGGACGATACCGCTCGCAGCATCATCCGTAACGTCAAGGGTCCCGTCCGCGAGAACGACATTCTCTGCCTCTTGGAATCCGAACGTGAAGCCCGCCGTCTTCGTTAAAATGTTCAACAAACAAAAAACAATAAAACGCAAAACGGAACTCCACACAAACGCAATCTTTACAGCACAACTTTTTCTGTTTCTTTCTTGTTTATGATGATCTCTCTCAGCAAAAACAGAATAAAAAGGCGTCCAAATTGTTGTGCAACTTTTTATTTGTTTTTGTTCTTTCTTTTTATTCAAGGGGTGCATGACCGAGCCACAAACGTAGTCGCTTATTTGAACGTTCTTGTGTGGCTCCTTCTGGCTCTTGATAGGACATGCGTCGTCGTGTTTTACTACCACTGGGTTCTTGTTCGCTGGGCCTGTTGCATACACAGGATGGAATATGAAGGAATATATATGAGCATTGGGGATATTGAAGAAGATATAAGGAAATAAAGTCTTTGACTTACACAGCAGCAGCAGGAGTAGTAGGTGCAGGAGAGGATTCGTCAGCCATTATTTCGCACAATTGAAACTGTCGTTTCATTTCCTCAAACGCCCATCGTTCGGCCTACCGAGAAAAGTTGCATGTGAGTTGTTAACCAGTCAAGGCGTGGTAGAATTTGGACTTACAGATAGTTTCGTACGCTCATCGCCCAACTTAATGGCAGCCTCTGTTACTCGCCGCCGTTCGAGAAGTGCCTCCTTTTGCAGTTTCTTCAGTTGTGATGTACGATCAGGTATGTCTTCCAGGGCTGAGCTTTCGGAACTGGTAAAAGATCATGTGAGCATCCTTCACATTCTTATCGCCTTTTCTTTTCCCATCCATTTTCTTGTGAACCTACTCTGATAAATCTGCTGACGCCTGCTGTTTGGCATAGTCGAAAAATCCTCCCTCCTCATATCGCAAAAAGCTACTTGCTTTATGCTCATATTCGATTTTGATTTGCTCTAGAATAGACATAATTTTTCGGTTATCAAGCATTTAAATGAATATTCACATCCACATACGATAAGAGTTTTGTCCTTTACCTATTGCTTCTACCAATCCATCATTGCTTTGTGATAACCGTTCAATTAGTCGATCTTTCTCGACAATATCCTCTTCACTATATGCTTTCCGTTTCGCTATCTGTCTGTCCCATTCTTCTCGTAATCTGGCCAGCAGATCATGAACGCGCTTGGTAGCTTCTTTCCCTCCGATTTCCAACGGTAACCTTAAAACAGGAAGATCGTCTTTGCTTATCTATATAGCAATAAGATCATATACATGTCCATGTATAAACGTGTCACTTATCAAACAAACGTTTTTACTCTCACACAAAAGCAAACTCCTTTCATTTTGCATACCTCTGCTGGGAACGTCTCCTTATAATTTTCCACTTGTCGTTTGAGAAGATTAACTGCAGTACCATAGATATCCAACAATATAGTCCTTATGCCCTCGTTTTCTATCCGCGCTGCCTTTTCTCGGTCACTGCTTTTCTTTAAAAGATCGGAGTACATGGTTCGTTCCTGTGGTGATAAATGTCGATTAGAAGATAAGTAAAAAAAAAACAGAAAACGGACCTTGTGTGTAAGTAACAACATACATCTGATACAGCTGGCTGATCATATGCATCAATTCCAGGCAGCGTGTCATTGATCGTCATTGAGGCCATGTTGGTCTTGTGTCGTTCATCCATCAATTTATATAATCGATCTCGCGTTTTGGCTTGTTCTTGTTCGTGCTTCCGAGTTTCATGCTTGATTTTAAAAGGAACACAGTACTTAGTGATAGTTGTTCTCGGTAGCTTCCATCGAATTCCTCATGCTGTACCCTCCGTCCCTTCCCTAACCAATCCTTTTTGATATCAGAGGGTGTATACTCACTGCATATTGTGTCTTCATATACTGCATGTTATGTTTTGCTTTTGATAATTCCTCTTTAAGCAATCGATTTTGATTAGCTTCAGCTTTTAAGCTTTTTGCAGATGATCTATAATTATAGTACATCAGTAACACCACCACTTATAGCCATCCTCTATCTCGTAGCCCCAAAGATTCATCTCGAAGAAAGAAACACCTTACTCATTCTTTCCCCGCAATTGCGCATTTTCTCGTTTTTGCCCTTCAAATTCTTGATTCGTTTTATGCTAGGAAAAAACAATGTAAGATAATTGGGCGCAATTTCCATATAGGAATTATACTAAAGGTTACCAATTTCGCTTGTAACTGTTCTTGTTCCCGTTTTAAGTCGTGTATAGTTTGGTTCATTTGATTAAGTTCTTGTACAAGTCGCTAATACAAAGAACAATAGAAAATATTCATTGTTAGTATCAATAGTCATGGCCATCAGCAGGTACCACTGATATTGTGTTCTTACATTTTTATCGGTTATCACGGCTTCAAAACAGTTGATAATCTTGCATGCGTCCTGATCGTCATTACTCTTGAACTTAAGTGGTACTGGGTATCCTTCGGCCGTAAGCATCAAGTTTATATAGTTTGCAGCTGAATCAAAGTTCGACACTGTACAAAATCTAGGTCATGGGTTGTCCAAAGAAACCAAGTGAGAATCGGATCGGTCGAAAAAAGAAACGGTTTCGTCGATGACTTTTGTTTCGTTGTTTTCTTTTGCTTACTCTTCTTTTTTATTTTGATTATTATTATCGTCGATATGGTTATAGTTCGCGTTGTCATCGTTGTCGTTGTCGATCGGGTTGTAGTGGTGATGGGTGTGATCCAGATCGTCAGATAATGGCGGCTCTAGCACTCTGAATGTATATTTAAGCATAAAAGGAAACAGAGAACCAGCATTCTGTATGCATTGTGAGCGAGTAGCTTACCCTAACTCAAGAGTAATGTCATCCATGTATTTAAGTAAGAAAGGTACAGAGAGGAAGAGAGTATAATATCGTTTCACGCGAGCAACTCGCACGCGCTTTTTTTTCTGCACAAAGTAGAATAAATAGAGCCAATCAAAAACCGCGAAACCTTAACAAAGAATATACAGTTTATCACACTTTGCATGATTACTTATAAATATTAAATACTGTTATATAATATAAGGTATAGAATAAAGCTATGATGCATGCTTGTAAACGTGAAAGTTGATGTTGATACTCGAGCCATCCGTGAGGCTTTGACGCTGTGTGATGATGAATGGATAGACTGGATTAGGTATAATGAAGGTAATAGTAGTAGAGTTACTATGTATAAAGAAGAAGCTTAGAACTTAGTGTAAGAGGTAAACAAAACAATACGCAAAAAAGGTAATCTTACTGCCGCAGATCTGACTGGACTTCATCAGAGCTCGTTCTTGCATCTAGCATGAATTTATACAGAGCTGTCTGTCTGCAATGGAACGGGATCTGGTCCATTTGCACCTTTGTTCTGGGAAAATGATCATCCGTTTTCAGCATACAACATTGTAAGACACGACAGTTTCATCGAGTGATATCTGTGATCTGCGCAAAAACTACATACCGATCTTGTAAGTAAAGCATTCTCTTTGGATAGCGAAATAGCGAAGGATCAAGGTAAGGGCTGTGTGGTTGCATTTCCGGTGGGCGCGGCAAAAACAATGACAATTTTTGCATTGCAATTGCATCACTTGTAAATAATATTAGATGTTTTACGTGGCAGAATAAATGTAAAGATGAGTATATCGATGTGTATATGCTGAAATTTGTTTGAAAGTTTTCCTTTTGTCTTACCTTCCTTCACTTTCTGGTCGCCGCCATGTCTTTATCAGTTTTTCCAGTGCTTTTCGATCATAGATGGTGGTTCCGCGTGCCGTTAAATAAGTCTTTTGAGCGCCAATGCCAGCATTTTTATAGAGTCCCCCATCAACTACTGGTTGGATGCTGCTGTTGTTGCGCTGACTATGACTATTCAAGAGCAAGTCTGCCACTTTGCTGCTAGTATCGTCGAACACATCTTCTATTTCGGCTCTAATCATGTTGAAAATGACAAACAGTGTATTGCTCTGCACCTTGGTGTGTTGATCAACCTAGCAATACCATTGTCATCATTTTAGTTATAAAAGATTATCGCTGCGGATGTCTACAGCGGTAATTGCTATATACGAAAACACTTTTAGTTAAAGCGCAATATGATCATGTACTTACGGTTCTCAGTGGTGAAAGAAAGTTTGGTGGGAGGGTTGTCATCTTGATGAGTAGGCGATTACGTCCAAGGAACTGCATTCGCCACATTTTCAGGGTGGAATATAAACTCAAGTTGGCGTAAAAGTACTGTAGTCCTAAGCCTCTATGATAGCGAAAAGATATTACAGTTTAGTGGCTGGGAACTCATGAATATAATCTTTTCCTTACTTTGCTGCTGCAATGGAACGCTTATAAAGCTTTGAAAGCAAAGCCTGGAATAACCCGCCATATGGAGGAGCCCCCTTTGCTTCCTAATGGTTATTAACAGACAATGTATCCTAAGCTTTTTGGATTTGGGCGCTACACAGGAGTGACAAACCCATTTCTTTACTTTAAGCTTTTATACCTTGTCATCGGCTGATTCGTAGTATCCTTCCATTCGAAGCAAAGTATCGAGTTCCTTTGCTGTCATCAATCTACTACTGTCAGCCTCTTCTCGTGGTAACGCCTAGTAAAAATATATGAATTACTATATATGAGTATTTTTTAATACATGTCTTCACTATATACATCATTACCTTTCCCCAATCACCTATTGAAGAATCACTTGAGTTTCTGATATCATCATTCAAGTCTTTTTCGCTAGACAACGAATTCGTAGAGGTGCAGTAGGACGACTGATCGTTGTGCCATTGATTCTCAGCTTCTTCATAAGCAGACAGTAACAGCTCATCGTCGTTATGCAGGAATTGACCAAACGATTGCAGCAGGTGAAACCTTCCGGAGTCCTGCATAGAAGAAAAATCCAAAATAAAGCACATTTGATTGTTGTGAATACTACAATACCACAACTATTGCCACCACCACCTTTTGTGCAACGACTTGGAACTTACGTGAATTTTGAACACATGAATCTCCTGTGTTTGAATGCAAAGAACGGAGAACAGTTCCTCGACAATGCTTATGCCTGCATGGTCAATGAGATGTATGTAATCGTGTCGGAACGACTGTTGGTCCACCACCTATAATTGACATGCACAATCATCACATGTTACTTGTTGTACGTAAAAAAGTTCCTCGCGTTTTGTAATAGATTACCTTGCCCGTCTCGAGCTCAACAATATAAAATGCATAATCGAACAACTGAATTGTAATATCCAGTTCATGCGGAATGCTTTGCCGGTGATCGGCTGAAGAGCCAGTGGATATGCACGACGAGACAAGAATCATCTACACATCCATCGTCACAAGGTTAAACACATACCCCAATCTCTCTTTTTTTCTCAGTATAATAAAGGGAACCTGTATTTTTTTACATGTTTATGATTCTTGGTGATCAAGCAGAACTCTTTGCACAATAAATGGTTATCCGGCATGCTCAGCATACGCGTATAGTGGAGCGAAAAGAATTGATGAAAAGTGCTTGGCGTTGATGATGACCGTACTTCTTCACTTTTGGGGTCATCGTATGCTGTAGTAAGGAGCAGGTGTAGACGGATGCCTTGCTGGCATGCAGTGAAGCTAATCAAGTACTAATGCATCAAAAAGAGTGCGTTTTGGTACAGATGTCAATCAGAGTGTAGTGTAGCAACTATGTATGTTGCTATAGTACTTTTACTTGACGTCAAGCCCATCATCAAGCTCGTAACTATCATCATCATCATTACGAATTGCTGGTTGTTAGTACCTTTCCGTCAGGTGTGAAACGCTGTATATTGGCACAATCAAGAGGCATGTCGACGTTGAAGAGTGTGTGGTTGGGTGTGACGTGAGAAAACACCTTACGGATGCCATTGGACATTTTGCAACGCTTTTGGCCTTGTCTACGTGCTTGTAGCTCATCATACAAGCGCATAGATGCTTCTCCTTGACGTTTAAGTGACTTTCGACCGCTCATGGCCTTATATACCTTCAAGGAAATGTAGAGGAGAATAGAAAAAAAAAAAGAGGAAGGAAGGCGTAAATAAAAAATTGACGCGTGAGACGCGTCTCAAATGAAATACACGTCTTCTTTTCCAAAAACGGAACAGCCAATAATTCTACGCTGCTTCCCCTCTAACTTACAAACATACGCTACATTATAGTTCTTATAAACAAGAAGAAAATTAAGCTATCTATTCATAAACTTGTAATGTATATCCGGCTTATCTACTGTCGCGTGGATCCGACCGTCCATCTGCTTGTATCCATGTCGACGGCTACATGAATTTGAGGTGAGGAAGTAACGCAGTAACAGCTACAGCCAATTATTTCTTATGTGTCATTAATAAACCGACGAATTCTTTTTTTTTAAGTACGTGCGCACTGTAACTCTTGTATAATTATGAAAAATATCACGCTTCAGAATAGTATAAATCCGCGTATACAGCCCCTTTAAGCCACAATGTATACCGTTTTCAATTGTGAGACGCTTGCTATGATATTGCATACAGTAAGTAGATGGTAAAAAGGATGCTCCTTTTATTTTTATTAGCACCCCCATCAAATGGTAACAGTCGCTCATGCTATGATATTAACTTACGATGATGGTAGGCAAAAGACGAGTTGAAAGGGATAACTCTTCTGATTTGGCGGTTGTCTTTACAACATACCATGTTGAATTGATGGAGTAATATAGCTAGCACTATTGTTCAACACCAAGCTTGCTTTTTCCGGCGTATCCCAACCGGGTTCTGCTCGTGAGTCCATTATTCAAATGGCAATAATGGAACAATGGCTTTAACATACAATGTTGTATGTATAATAACTGAGCGTTGTTGGACAGAATGATCCATCAGATCTTGCATCAGTCACGAGAGAACGCCCAATTTAGCAAGTTATTTTCTTTATCGTCCCGGATCGTTTCGAAAATCAGTTTGTCACACTCAGTAGGAATGGAATTCGCGCCCTAAGAAAGAGATGCATAAGGCTCTTTGAAACCAGTAAACCTGAAGCCAAATCTATCCTCAGCCGCGCCATATTAGGTTTGTACATATGCACACATACACGTATTGCAGTAAACCAGAGAACATTACGTGCATAGAAAAGGACACGATCAATGAGCATACAATTTCCTGGGTACTCTATTGTGCTACGGTTACAACTGTCGTCAAGCAATCTAGCTTGCAAAAGAAGACAGGCTTTGATGCTAGTAATGGGTCTGCTAAGAATGGACGCTTTGATGTGCCCATCAAGCTGCAGCAGAAAACGGTACCGTGACGGCATCAGCAACGGTTATGGCAGCATATACTTTTGGAAATAGCAATCGTGGGAGAGTCAAATTGATTATTTTGAGACGGGGAGGACGACCTTACAGGTTACGTGTCCGAACTAGACTAAACGGGATGAGGCCTTTCTTTATTACATATGCATGGGACACGGGCACAAGCCAACAGAAAACGGGTCGGCAGGATAAAGTTACAACTTTAAACCGTACAATGTGTGTGTGTGTGCAATTGTAATAGGTGGTTATGGTGGTCGGTGTATGTGTGCAAGACTATTTCGTTTGTGTGTTTGATTCACGTTTACGAAGATTATGATACAACACTTATTGACAGATAATTGCTTGTTTTTCCTTTTTGTTTCCATCGTCAGCATCTCTATCGTCAAGCGGCGGCGTAACGCTGCAAAAGTGTTTCACGGCGTTGATGCCAGTAAATTCGTTCCGTAGGAGTCATATACGAAGCAGGGTGGTAGTATTGCCGTGTTGCAGATGCTGCTGCTGCTGGCGAGGATGGCCGCTGCTGTTGTTGTTTTGGTAAAGGTGTCTTTTCATTTTGTGTTGTTACTGGTGTTGCACTAGGCAGTGATAACTTGTCCCATCGATAGAACGTCGCTGTTCGTTGCATGACTGGATGGTTATTGGGAGGTTGAAGCAACAACGGCTGTCTTTCTGGATCGTCAGTACTAGTACTATAGATGCAACATGTTCTTGTTGGCAAAGACGATGTTCTTCGTGAAAAGAGCATGACGGCCACGCTGACAGCGGCAAAAAGCACGGCTAGAATAATAACAGCCACACCAACAATGATAAGCCAATCCCGCACACGAAGTGTTTGACAGACATCGTTCTCTTCAACCATAGAGCACAGCATAATCGACCCCCTTGATATAAAGCAAATCAGAAAAAGAGAAAGAATGAAAGAAAAGAGAAAGAAATGTGCAGCATGCGAGAGAGAGAGAGAGAGAGTGTGTGTGTGTGTGGGTGCGTGTGTGAATTTTTATAATCTTTTATATAAACAATGATGGATCTATTATTTCTTCTCAGGTTCGGCTTCAAGTTGCTGAGCAGGTGTATCATCGCGACCGGGGCCTGTTGCAATCAAAATTTTTGCGTATCAGAACCTTAATCTATCATCTCTCTCCTCCCTATGAACCGTCCCATCATCTGCATAATCCCTAGAAATCTTTCCTTACCAGTCTGTTCCCAAGGCGACAAGGCGCCCTCAAAGTTTCTGAAGGCCTGGGCCAATTCCAAAGGTTCAGAAACGACACGCTTCTTCTCTTCATCGTAACGGACTTCAACATAACCGGTGAGAGGGAAGTCCTTGCGGAGAGGATGGCCCTCAAAACCATAATCGGTCAAGATACGTCGAAGATCGGGATGGCCGACGAAAAAGACACCAAACATATCATAAACTTCACGCTCCTGCCAGTTGGCGACGCTGAACAAGGGCTCTACAGAGGGGACGGGCGAAGTTTCGCTGGCATAAGTCTTGACGCGGACACGCGCATTATAACGCATGCTCAACATGTTGTAAACGACCTCAAATCGATTTTCGCGCGATGGGAAGTCAACGCCGGTAATATCCTGCAACGAGTTGAACTGGCAGTTGGTATGGTCACGCAAGAAGGTCATGACAGGTTCCAGACCCGAAGGGGCGACGTACACGGTCAATTCATCCTTGTAGACGCTGAATTGTTGAATAAATTTGGGCATGGTTGAGATGAGATATTTGCCGTATTCGTGTAAAGCATCGTTGCCAGACTTGTAGTTGGGATCAGCTCGAATCTTTGTTGTATCTTCGCTGGCTGCTGCTGTTGTTGATTTCCCAAACGTTATTTTTTGCATAATTCCGTTAAAATATATAATTGAATTCTCTCGTTTTTTTATCCAGCAACTCTCAAATACTGGTGTGTAATTGCTGTTTTTCTGTAATGCGTACCTTGGAATCGTGGAGCGCTAATGGCCAACGAACGCTTAGCAACAGTAGCGCGGAAGGCTGGCTTGACTAATTATTATTTTTGGGTAAATAAAGAAGGTATTTCCCGCCTGTGGCACGGTATTCGTTGATATAGCTAGCAATGGTTACCTGCTTGTTGACGAGCAACACGAAGCGTGGTGTTCAAAAGTCGCGAAGCCATGGAAGACGATTCTTATAAAAAAAAAGAGTGGGGAGTGCAAAACCTTGGCCGAGTGGAGGGGAGCAGACTTTGGTGTGATTGAGTTGTTTTGAATGACCCCGCTCAACTATAAAGCGACGTCACGGTTCTTCGGCAGCAGCAGCATCAAGCAAGACACACAGATTTGCCCAAATGGGGGTTACGGCAGTTCATTCTACCGAGCCATTTGAATGCTTTATTGTGATTTTAAGTTTACCCTCTCCCCATATTGCTCGGTGTTTCGCTTTCATTTTTCGTGGCATCAGCCCATGTCCTTTTTGTAATTCCCTTCTTCTTTTCACTTGTCTTAAACTCATTAACCATGGAGACTGCCATCAGAAAGGCAACACGTCTAGAGTACCAACCTCCGAAAAGAAAGCATTTAGACAGTAAGAAAACGACTTCATTACTTTTTTTAGCTCAATTGCATAACAACAATAACTCACGGGCCACCTTATACTATTCTCAACCAGCTCTAGTGTCTTTAACTCACCAAGACCCTGCCAGTGTTGGTAGCATTATGCACGCTCTCGGAAAACGCTCAAAAGAGAACTCTTGGATTGTAAGAAAGCACATGCTATGTCGTTTTATCTGCCTCTTGTATATGCTTACTATATTTACCCTTGGCAACCTTTCACACGTATATATTATGTTGTAGATTGCATACAAGATTCTTATTATCATCCATGTACTAATTAGAGAAGGGAATGGCCACTATGTCATCGACTACATGTACAACAATCCCGGTATTATGGAAACCCGTGTTCGTGACAACAAATCCTCCAGTAAGTAATATTCATTAAGCCTTGTGAATGCTACTTTATGACCATCCCTCTAGTTTTAAATGACATGTGCGACTTTTTTGTGTAATGAATTGATAAGCACACGCGCAAATGCAAAATATTGGCATTTACAAGGGCTATTTGGCCAGTAAGGTGCAAATATATGGAGAGACAAGAGTTGATCAAGTGAAAAACGCCGGTCACCACAAGGCTGGCAGACTTCGGCATTTGTCGGTTTCGAATGGGTTGCTTAAGGAAACCGAAGTGTTACAAAACCAAATTACTTCAATTGTGAATTTCAAGGTAAAGAAAAGCTCCATGGCCATGACTGCCGTTGTTGGTTAGTGACACTTTGATATACTGAAGAATATGCTTCTTTAGCTTAATATACATGGTGTAGATGCGGATATTAGTCTAATGGCATTTCGACTTGTCCTTGAAGATCTGTTGGGAGCCTTCCAAGCACTCAATGAAGGCATTGTAAACATTTTGGGTTAGTAGTAAGCAACAGCACCCATTTTCTAATTATTTTTTTCGAGAAAATCTTTGCATGTAGTTTATTCACGTCAGCTGACATGAAATGATCAATTGCATAATTCAGAGCATTATTTTGCCATGAGCAAACCAGACGCTCGAAGGTCACTCGACATTTATAAGCGGTTCGCCAAACAAACAGAAGATACGCATAGCTACCTCGATCACGCGAAACGATTCGAAAACGATATGCACATGAGCATTCCTACAATGAAACATGTAACGTTAACCCTTCTTTACAGCTACTTAAATCATAGCTAACACCACCATCATTAGGCACCTCTTTCGTTAGCAGCAGCATTGGAAGAATATTTGAATGATCCGGATTTCGAGTCACAGCAGAATGCTACTTCGCAGTCTAAGCAGCAACCCAAAAGTAGCGGTAAGCAAAAGGAAGATGTAATGGTGCAGTTAGAGGAAATATCGAGTTAACGATAAATGTTTTAAAAAAACAGTAGCCACTTCTCTGCAGCAGCAGCAGCAGCAGCAACAACAACAACAACAACAGCAAACATCCACTTCAACTCCTCCTCACACACAGAACAACAACAATGCTACACAGCCACCAGCAGCGACGACGATAGATTCTCAAAAACAGCTTATCGATTTCTTTGGAAGTATTGAAAACGAGCAAGCGACAGTTTTCCATCCACAGCCAACAGGGGCTACTACGAACAGCATGTCATATATGCCATCATCACAATCAACAGGTGGCCTGTTTCCGCCTGTACAGCAGCCACAAGCTACAGGCAGCATCAGCAACCCATTCCGATCATCCACTTTACCTATTGGAATGCCTTCACAGCTGACTGGTGGGCCGCTCTCTGCACAGCCTACTGGAGGTAGTCAATCAAACCCGTTCCGAACACCATCGCATACTCAGAGCATGTTCATACCGCAGCAAACGACTGGTTGGTCATCGGCCTCATCAGCACAGCAATACTCGTTCCAGCAACCTCTCCAACAACAACAACAGCAATTCCAGAACCCTGTGATGACAGGCGCGTCATCCTTTAGCACGTTCCCACAACAACAACAACAACCGCAACCTCAGTTTCAGCCGCATCAACAAGCACAACAACAACAACAACAGCCGTTTAATACTAACATCTTTGTTGCTCCCCAGGCAACGGGCTCACACAACCCGTTCCTTTAGAAGCAAACAAATCCACAACAGCACACCCCCCCTCCCATTTCCGTCCTTGTCTTCTCATCCTTCTTGCTCCATCTCAAGTACACATTCTTCTCTTTTATTTGTTTTAATAACTGCCTTTCATCACACTTCCGTCTATTCTTTTTGCTAATTCTATCTGCGTATATACACCACACACGGCTATTTCTATCCACATGTACAGCGCTGGAAATTAAAATTTGGCCACACATAATTAAAAGAGCAAAGTAAGCTTGATGCATATGATGTATAAACTACGTGTAGTCCAGTTTATTGTGTATGTATATGCTGAAACCACTTTATATAGGATCGCACTTTAATGCTTATTGTATCTTATTAATGAGGACGTGCTGTATGCTTTGTATTTTGCCATTTCAGATAAGAACTTCAAATCGGATTGAAGAGGTCCAACAGCATTTTCTGCTTGGCAGTGTTTGCTCCTATTCATCCCGATTCAGATCTACTTTATGATTAGAAACGTATAATTGATTCACTGTGTCCCGAGCTGATCATGCAGCACAAATTTAAAGGGCTGGCTGTAGGTTTTCAGGTCCAAATTTCCCCTTCTTCTTATTACTATAAAATGCTTCATGAACTTATATTTGTTCTCTCAGGATTCCCAAGCAATGTCTTTCTTCCATACCCACCAGCTCCCGAAAAACCATGTACTTTTGCCATCAAGTCCGATTTTCCTAATTTACATCCTGCCGAACGAGAATCGTTGAATCGTTTAGGTCAATTCGGTTGGTTCTACTCTCAACTCAATGAATTCTGCAAGGACAACAATCACCACCACCAACCACTCGGCAACAACTACAACAGCGAAAACAAAAGATCGACCATTGGTGCATACGCACAAGCACTCATGGCATCCCTTCATGGAACACTTGACGGATATCGACAAGACATTTTGTCCATGGAACGACATATTTTAAACAAAGACTACGACTCTGGCGATGGCATAGTACCAACTTCACTCCTGACGTCTTCTCTTGGCCACTGGGAACTATTGCTTCCTGCCCTACTTCAATTTACTCAACGACTCTCGGAACAACTTGTTATCACCAGCAGCAAGGGCAGTGGGCTTCTATTACTCGATTTCGTATTAGATGATGCAAGGACGGGCCACGACGCGTATCGACGCGTGATGGAAACCATGGCAGCGCGTCTGTACGACGTACTTTACCGGCAACTTACAGCATGGATGGTGTATGGTCATATAGCAGACGAATTCTTTGTTTCTGCAGCAGCAGCTACCTCACCATCATCGTCATCGTCACAAACGAACGGCAGCAACGTGGGATGGCAACGTTACGTCCTTGTCAAAGATCGAATTCCTACACGCATCCCACCTGCTCTAGCTGAATCCATTCTCTTCGTCGGCAAAGCAGTGGCCACAGTCAAAGATCCACCTGAAATCATGAAACGCGAAAACCTACAACTCCTCGTGGCACTACAACATCGACAACGCACCCTCGATCACGTCGTACAACACATGCGGAAAACCACAGCAGATTGGCTATTTTCCAAAGTATTAGTCGGCGAGCATGCATTGGGACGCTATTTTACATCGTTTCGTAACATGTTTCTTTTGGGCTATGGTGATCTGACCACCAACTTTATCGAAGCATGCACACAATGGCGTCAGCGCGCAACACTATCCAAACGATCGGTATCTTCGGCAGAAAAGATCTTTCGGCATCAGGAGTTTAATGCTTTGCTGGCCAAAGCGTCCGTTGGCACCACAGCAACAACAACACATGACGACGATGAGGATGAATATGATGACGATGTTGATCGATTATTGGACGGCTACAGTGTCAAGATCCTGGAAAGTCGAGGCGGAGGAAGCGGATTCAATGATTTACTACTCATTGATGTAGCTTGCACGCTACGATACGATTTGAAATGGCCTATTGATTTATTCTTGAGCCAGTCCGTGATGCATCAGTACAGCAAGTTATGGTCCTATCTGATCGGGCTGAAAAACGTGCAAATGTCGCTTTATGAATCCTTTCTGCGCACAAGTCAACATGCAATCTGGCGCTTACGGTCTCACATGTTATACTGGGTGAATGCGTTATGGAGTCATGTCCAAGCCAATGTCATTGATGTCCATTATCAACATCTGATGGACATTGTATCGATATCGAACGATGATCACGACGATGACAAGAGAAAGACAAGGAAAAAACAATGGACGTATAATACGTTCGGTGGGGTCAACATCAACAACATGAAATCGTTAGATTTCGAGGAACTGCAAAACGCGCACGCGGATTACCTGCAGCATGTGACACGTGGTTGTTTGCTCGCGTCACCTGAGTGTGTCAAGTGCATTCAAAGGATCTTGCGGGCATGTCTGGACTTTTGTGGGGTCATCAAGCAAATCAATGAAGAATGGCGAGGGACCAAACGACGGAAAATGGCAAAGACGGCAGCAGAAATTGTCAGACAGTGGACGCGTGGGTTGGAGCAAGAATCTGCCATGACAACAGCAGGCGATCAAGTGGACGCTATGGAAAAGGTACAGAAAAATGCATCCAAAGAGAGGTATATTCTATAGAAAAGCTCAAGTATATTTGGATAGGAATTCATTGCCATGACGGACCAATTCTTTGACCTGCTTACAAACGCTTCCCAAGATACCAAAGTAAGCGGGAATGTGGACATGCTGTTAATGCAATTGGATTACAACAAGTGGTATTCGGGAGACCGAAGTATGCGTGCTTTATAAAATCATATGTACTATTTGAAACAGGTTGAACTTGGAGAAATCAGTTCAAATTGAGGCGTGTGGGATTGTGCGTAGGATGTGTGTGCGTATGCGTGGGAGCAAATCATGAGTTTCTTTAACGAAAAACGCTTGCGTGTGGAAGGGGGGTGGTTAGCTATGAGGTTGGAGGGGACTATTCACAAAAGGGGTTATTACTGGGTTGCGAGTAAGCATCTTTTTTAAAGACTATACTAGTGTGAGCCGTGATGGGAGAAGCTCATATATAACGATCTGGGCTCGATCAGAATACGTGCGATACGGGAAATATTATATGGAATTGTTGTGTATATTGGTGTGTGCCAGTTTTAAAAGGGTTGCATTTGTTGTTGCTGTGATAACAGTCGCTGATGGAACTGGAGCTGCTCCTGTAGCTTGAGAATTCGTTGTTCTTGTGATTCTTGCGATGGCAGAATATCAGTGGCAGGTGACACGGCTTCGCTGGCGCTATCTGAAGAAGTACTGCTGTTGCTGCTACTGCTGCTACTGCTGCTATTGCTGGCGATACTACTGTTGCTTGAGCTAAACCGTCTTGCATCTTGAACGCGTGCCTCCAAAGTCGCAATCTTTTCGTGCAACCCTTTATTGCGTTTCTCAAGGTGTCGAATAAAATCAACGGCCTTGAATAGCACCGTGCTTTTGGAGTTGTTGATGTTTTTGAGCGTCGGAATGAGATCCGTGAGATCCTTGAATCCGTTACGAATGGTGCTTCGTCGCTTTTGTTCAGAGGCAATATGATTGGCGCGTTTTTCATCTTCTGTTAATAGTTCTCGGGATGTTTTGGATCGCTTCCGCGGAGTGTTCATCATCATGCTACTACTATCATCGTCGTCATCTATACTAAGCCGTTTGTTGTTGTTGTTGCTGCTGTTGCGCCGCTGTTGTTGTTGTTGTTGTGATACAAAGGGTAGCTGTGACGATGATGATGATGGTGGTGATGATGATTGTTGACCAGGCGTTGCCGCCATCACGGCACCACTCAGAAACTTGCGCTTTTGTTCGTCCAGCGATTTCAAAATCGTACTACGCCGTCGTTCCTCTACTTCTTCTTGCTGTGGATCAACAAAGAAAGAATCAAGAAAGTTGGAGAACTCCTTTTTATCGTTTTCATCCAGTACGTTTGTGTGACTGATGCTGTTGTTGGCAGCAGTGTCATTGCTATTGTAGAGAAGAGGCCAAAAGTCGGATGGTAATGGAGGTGCTGATGAAGAGGATGATGCATTGTTGATGGATGAAGATGATGAAGCGGCAGCAGCTGCATATGCTGTTGTTGTTGTTGTTGCTGTTGGTGCTGCAGTAGATAATGATGTTTCTGGAAGGAAAGGGATCGATAAATCCGGATCAAGGCCAAAGCTAAACTTGAAGTCTACATATATGCACATCATGCGTGAGTGATATATTGTGCGCGCGCTTCATAGATAAGTGAGCGCTGCTTTTGTTGTCGATGCCGCTGTTGCGCTGGTAAGCATATTATTACCTTCGAAAGGTACAGGTTCTTGAAGCAATTCTTGTGGCGGTTGATAGTTCATGATGCTCGGATCGTAGACCCAGTCGTAGTCGGTATTCATCGTATTCGTAGCCGGAGAAAACATGTGTTTGAGAAGGGCGAGCGAGAAAGAAAGGAAGAAAGAAAGTGAGAGAGAGAGAGAGGAAGAGGCGCGTTTCGTCTCTGAGGATTTCTCTCTCACTTTACTTATTTCGCTTTCACGTGGTTACGCTTCTATGCACACACACACACACAAACACACAATACAAGCCAGCGCTCTTGCTCAACAGGCTTCTTTACATCATAGTAACTGTCTGACGAAAACACAGACAGCTCCCCTTAACTTGACTTTTTCTTTTTCAATGAGCCTTGGCAGCGGAGAAGTTTCTCAACTGTATGGCCACTAAATGGTATTGATCACCTTCGTCAAGTGCTTCAGTGTGTATGCGAGTCGGCCAAGAAGAGGGTACCCCGCATATTTGAATTCCCAATAGGGCGAAAAAAATTGCTAATAATTTGGAAATCAAAAAAGGAATCGTCCTCGTGCAACGTATCTTATGAATTTTGGAAATCAATCGCTCCAATCAAAGTGCCTACCCCGCATCCTCCGCGCACATGGCTCTCGCCCCTCTTTCTCCCAATTTTGTATAACACGCTACTGCTGTCGTTTCCCATTTTTTTTAGTGCGCATCTGATGATCGAGATGCCCTTATTTCTTACAGATGCTCTATGTCATCATCAACTTACCCGACAGGAACTGCCGTGGGAACTTGACAGACAGACACAGAACAACAATAACAGTGGTCTGTGTTGTTTACACTTGTTTTTGAGGCAACATCTTACAGCCATGGTAATCATCAAAGAGTCCTTGTTTGATCTCAAGTATACATAAGTAACGTCGTCCAATGCTAGCCATGGGGTATTTAACGCGTAACAAAAATTGAGGGAAAGGCAGTGCGTGGCAGCAGGACGCGCTGTCGTCGGACACTCTGTAAACCTTCTTTCTACCTCTCTCTCTCCGGCTGATCATTGGGTCACCGAACGCATTAGGTCGTCTACCGAGGCGTCTATACAAATAAGGAACATTTGGATTCATACTTTACAAAAACACAATCTATCTCGAACCAATACAAACACAAGCTAACATTAGAAACTTACGCGGACACACGCACACACGCACACAAAACTTATTTCGTAATTGTTGTTCGAAAGCTCTTTATTACCATGTCGGATATACATTTAGTGCAACTACTTAAAAGTGTAAAATCCCGCTGACATACCATGGTATATGCTTACCCCATCTCCTCTAAACCGCGCCGATCCGAACTTTGTCGTTCCTGAGCTGAGTAAAGGGTTCAAAGAAAACCCACCACCGCGTATGCTGGGTTATATTTGACGATGACCCTCTCCCGCGTAACTACCTTGCTGTATCCAACCCCTTTTGATACATGGCTTATTGCCCTCTGCTTTACGTGCACAATAGCTTGTCCTGAGCCACGTTTAGTAATCCTTGCCATCGCAGTAGTACAATGCGTCAGTGCAACGTTATATTTTTTAACAAGTAAGTGTATGATTATAGGTCATGAAGCATTTGCATTCAAACAATAACTCTGCAACGGATTAACCATTCTTAAACACGTCTACATCGTCATCGGAGCATAGCTAGCGGTAGCTCCTAGCGCACATCACTACCGCTAAATAAACCAGCCAAATGAAACAGCCCAGCAGTATGCTACTGTTGATATTATTGTTTCCTTAATCCACCCATATCATTGACCGATGTCCTTTTGAAAGCTCCATGTAATTTGGAAGATAAAGGCGCTGATTTTGGTCAATGTGCCGATACGTCACTATCAGTCTCAGTGCTTTCGAATGTAACCTCTTATGGCCTGGGACAATTCACGGCGCCATCGGCGCATCTAGTCCAGACTACTTGAAAACTTGAAATATTAGCGCCTCATACGTTCTGTTCTCACACGAGCTCTACCCTTTTCTTTGTTGATCACAAAACAAATACTTTGTATGAAAGAGCTCAGAGAAGGTTAAATACCATCGTACGGATACGCTTGATCGATCCAAGTACTTAGATCGTACCTGCGTCATAATCGACATTTGCGTTAGAAAGAAAGTTGCACATCCATTGCCTTCGCGTGCGCTTTGCGGTACAAATTCGACCACAGCAGTAAAGTAATCCAGTTTTCTATGTATTTCTTCAACCTTTCCTATGTTCCTCTCTCTAGGGTTGTACAGCTCCGTTCACATAAATCACATGTGATTATAAAGCACTCGTTACTATTTCTGACAGCCAGCTAGTTTATCTTGCTTTATTGGATGACAAGTGGGGCCAGATTGTCGTTTCATCATCGGTTATGATTTAAGCTATCTTGTCTTTTAATAGTTGTACTAACTGTTGCGACCGGTTTCTCACCTCGATATCTACAGTTTTTTAAAACGGTTGGAAAAGAAAAATTTATAAAATAGTACTCGGATGCTTTATAAGCCAATTAAGCCAAAAGTTGAAAATATAACTACTAATGAGAGTACTATGGATGATGGCAGTTAAAAGAAAGATGATGCTTTTCAGCGTGACAGGCTACAGCACTTAATGCTATGTGGTCAGCGTGTTCTTCTCTTATGTTTAGTTATTTAATCGCTAAATTCTGCATTTTCGCTGTGTACGTCTGGAGGTAGCAAATGTAGTAGTAATAGTATTTGTAAAAATGTATCATACTGTACAAAAAAGCGTTTTCTATACAGTATGAGCATTTGGTGTTGTCTACGTGGTTGCATTCATCATCGCACAAAAAGTTAACGTGGAGGTGTCTCCCGCAAGATTCATCATATATACAAAGACCCAGTATTTGATATGAGTAATCGATCGAAAATGAGATCCTACAATTACACGCAGAACAACACTTGTGTTTTCTTCTTGCATTTATCGCCAGGCAAGCCAGGGCAGCAATCATAATGATATGCTCTTTTACTACATATTCATTTCTTTATTGATATTGCTGTCAAGCTCGCATCTTGCGAGTCATACGCCTTATGTATGTCGTATACGTTGCGGTTGAAACATACCGAGGAGAAGATAAGGTACAGTAAACTGATGTCAGATACTCACATGCCACTTTCCCAATCTTGGATACGTGTACTATTATGTGTGCTTCATTATCAGCAGATACTGCTTAATAAAGAAGAACACTGCTCAGTACAGTACAGTAAGATCTTTCCTCAAGAAGCGTACAACCCGTTGCGATTAATCCATGGAGTACAAGGGGAGAAATGCCAAAAAAACACAAATACGTTTTAGAAGCATAGAAGTTCTTCGTACATAATTAGACATAGCTAGCAGTAGCGAATCGGCATAAATTCTTCTCATGGCAGTTCCACATATGAAGCAAACATTTTATCACATGTGCAGTCGACACTACTCGTCAAAGGCGTATAGCCCTGGCAGCACAAATGGGAGTTTCTTCTTTTTGACACGATGACTTAATTGAGACACTGTCTGCACTTACTGGTTTTTTCCAAATTACTTGCGCTAAGCAGAAATGATTTTGCGTCGTTGAGAATGAAGTTTCGCGTATAACTTAGCCTTTTTACTCTGGGTTGCTAACCTTTGTTAACCTTTTCACTTTGGGTTGTTCAGCACAATGTCGGAAGGTAGTAAGCTAATGCATCCAGTAGGAGGTTTCGACTCACAGTCTTTTTTATTCACAAATAACAATAGAGACACTCGATTTTCTTTCATACAATGTTCCATATCATTCAAGACCTGGCACGGATTTCATGAGCCGTCAATTGCTGAATACGACTCTTGTTAAAAACATTATACTGCCGACAATATTTGGTGAGTGTAATCTGCTGGCCATGGCACATATTCCTTGTGATTCGGTAGAGTTGTAAGGTTGATGAGCAGCAAGTGATCGATGTTGGCATGTGAGAAAGGATATCATGGCGGCAAATGGGTGAAGCGGTGGCTTCACGTGTTCGATGATGCTACTGGAAGCGAAGACGCATTGTGTCGCCCATGGATTACAGTTTTTTGCTTCGAGCAAAAAGGGCCTCGAGCTGGATGGCTTGATATAATCACCGACTTCTTTTGATATTTTGGATATGGCAATAGTGAGAAAGATGGGCGGCTTGAGTTAAGCGAGCTTTGCCCTTCAGATAATGAATTGCTGCATCAGGGAATACAAATTGGATGGCATTGACCTCCGGAATACTACAATCAATGGTCAAAAACTCGAATACTACACCAGACGAATCACGAAGAAACGTCAACCATTGGATGATCGGGCCAGCAGAATGGTCGTTCCGTGAACATGTATGCAGCAGGATAGCCTGTTCCCGTGTATTGATCGCAGATAACAATGGTATACATGATATCAAAAGTGCGGCAGGTAATGTTGTATGTGGCATCCATGCAAACAGACATAGTATGTTGAAGCTGAGCAATTTGCTGCTGGGAGAGGATTCCAAAACAGAAAGAATCCACAAGAGAGGTGTACCCGATGGGATTGCCGCGGAAAATGATATTATTCTCAGTAGGAAGACGTTCATCAAGCCAAACTCGTGCTGAGAGCAAGTCGTTCTTATGGAAGTGATACATCGTGCGTCTTATCTAATAAACTTTGGAATTACACATGCATCATATTGACTATCATCCTATGGCTCCTTACACACCTTGGTCCACATATTATAAACGTCTTCATAATTCAACTTGCGTTGTCCGGCACGGTGGAACCTTTGGAGATCGTTCTGTTGCTGCTGCTCTATAGCATCCATTTGGCGTAATATACGCATGCGTATGTCACGGCAGTTGACGCCATCGTTCAGTTGCTGGCGCACGAGGTTCACAACAACTTCCGGGATGCCTCACTACTGTAGCCAATCATTCGTAGATAGAGATCTTGATTGACGGTATGCTGCACCTTTACTACCACTGGAGGTAACTCCTCGCTCCTACGATTCTGCCACCGTGTTGGGCCTGGTTCGTACATTGTAGTGTCACAACTGTCTATCAAGTTAATTAGGCATCCATATACTACTATAACTTTACAACCACATAAGAAAAAGAAACAAAATGCAAGAATGACCCAACTCACCAAATATTGTCGGTAGTATAATGTTTTCAACAAATTCATATTTAGCAATTGACGGCTCGTGAAATCCGTGCCAGGTCTTAAATGATGTGGAATATTGTATGAAAGAAGATCGAGTGTCTCTATTGTTATTTGTGAATAAAAAAGACCGTGAGTCGAAACCTCCTATCATACTGGATGCATTAGCTTATTTTTACCTTCCGACATTGTGCTGAACAACCTAAAGTAAGAAGATTAACAAAGCTTATCACCCCAGAGTAAAAAGGTTAACAAAGGTTAACAACCCAGAGTAAAAAGGTTGACAAAGGTGAACAAAGGCGGGGTTCGAAAAATGTAAAATGCTGCAGGTGCAGGATGCCACTTCTCCTACCTAATACCTCCTCTCGTTATTTTCTCATTCATCTGCTCTCCCTCTTGATTTCACAATTTTCTAAAAAAAAAGTAGTACTTCAACACTAATGAAGCTACGCGATTTACCACCGGAAATCCTAAGCTTGACGCTCCAAACCTTGCAACAACCCGACTTATATCAGTGCATCTTTGTCAATCGACGTTTCAATGCCGCGGCAATACAACATCTTTGGCGAGCGCCTACCATTCGCAACCACGCACGCTTCAAACAGTTTGTGAAATGCTTACGGTCGAGTAAAAAGCCAGTTGGTAGTTGGGTCCGACAATTTCGCATTGACTGGCAGCAACAGCAAGATCAGTCTCTGTTTGACGACGACGATTGCTTACTATTGTTACCACACGTGCCTCAACTCGAAGATTTTGCCGTCCAAAATTCGGACCGTTTGACGGACAAGAGCATTAGTTCTATTGCCAACTATTGCAGCCAGCTCGAAATCTTGTACTTGAAACGAGCCGACATTACGTATCGGTCTGCACATCACCTTGGTATGAGGTGCAAAAAATTACGGAAATTAACGTTTGACCACTGTCGCAAGCTGCAGTCCATGGCATTGCTACCGTTTGCCGATTGTCCGCTTGAGTATCTGGATTTGTCTGGATGCAAGTGGATCAATGTCGAGGATACGGCCTATGATATGCGTGCATTCAAACGGCTCCGCCATTTGGATATTGTGTGCAGTGACAAAACAGCCATGATGAACGACTTTTTGCTGGCATTGGCAAGGGACGAGCAGTCGGTTGTAGTGATGCCTGATCTTATGTCATTTTCGGTAACAGGATGTAATGAAATTGGGGATAATGCGGCTATACGGTTTATTGAAGCGCATCCGCAGTTGGAGTATCTGACATTGATGGCATGTGGTATCACGGATCTGACCTTGGACGCGATTCAGCGGCATTTACCTCGGCTGCTCTATCTCGATATTTCGTTTTGTCAATCGGTCACCATGGGTGGTGTGCGGCGACTCATCCGGGGAAGCAGGCTACAAATGATCGGGCTAAAAGCCTGTGGTTTGCGCAAGTTTCAATTTCCAGAAGTGCCGAGAGGCAGCGATCTATTGAGACAAACACAAGTGGATATCTTCAATGAGGCAGAGATCAACCTTATACGAACATACCCCGACGATCTGCCTCAGCCTCTCTTTGACGATATGCCCGCAGACGAAGTAGTGGCACAGTTTGAAGAAGAACAAGAGCAGCAGGGACACCATCGGATGCAAATTGATCCGCCTGCTGCTGAAGTCTCTGATGAGGAAGAGGTGGCGGCTGTATATGTTTTAATCCATCAATCTCTTGAAGCCAACCTCTTGTAAATAGCCTGATAAAATACCCCTCCCTCTTTTTCCTTTTTCCATGCATAAAAACGGTTGATATGTTTATTACGTGCTGCGGATTCATGCATCCTGCGGATCTACAAACATGGACCTCTTGTGCTTCCTTGTCATCATCCTATGGTTACGCAAATGGCTATTGTGTGGCGCAGCTCTTTTTTAATGATTCTAATATAAGTAGCAATGCTTGCCTTTGATGAGGCGAAAATAAGAAAACTCTCTCTTGTGCACAAAGAACACTAGTTTTGGCATAGCCATGTTCTCCGCTCCTAGAAACCTTCCCAAAACACTGACGCTCGAACCATACATTGACCAACAAGCGCACGGTTTACCAGACAAGGGCCGACACATTATTGGACAATTCGATGATGATTCCATTGTCGTCTATCAAGCCTATTCACCAAGTATTGCTACGTACGCGGTCGAACACCAACGCTTTGGAAGCAGCAGTTTCAGCTTTGACCGAATGTCCTGGATCAAGACGAGCTTTGCATGGATGCAGTACCGGTGTGGCTGGAATACCAAACCGCGTCAGGAGCGTACTTTGGCGATTCGCATTAAACGAGACGCATTTGACAGCATCGTAGCTGACGCTGTTGGAAGTCGTTTTATTGAAGAAGTCCACGGCACCAAGGAGAACTACGAAAAGATTAAGAAAGCAAGCGAGGTGAGACGGCAGTGGGATCCTGATTACAAACCGAATCTCGAGTTTACTAGGATGGAACGACGGGCGATACAGCTTGGGTTGCGAGGCAACACGTTACGTCGCTATGCTACGGAATGGATTGTATCCATTGAAGACATCACACCATACGTCGAAGAGATGAGGACTAGGCTACAACAGGCCCACAATCCTGTGGCGATTTGGGTACCCGTGGAACGCGTTTATAAAGAGGAAAACAAGTGGTGATAGTGCTCGATACCGATACCAATAATAAACCTTCCTCAATCTTAAATTCAAGCAATAAAAATGTATATACATATAACCAAATCCGTAGCAAGAGAATGCTCAATTATCAACAGAGCAATCTATTTTTGATCGCTCAGCAAAAGAATTACCTATGGTGATACGTCAAAACATTCATGATTTAACTGTTTCTCTTAAAAATCATGACCTTCTGTTGTTATCACAGTTGCAGTTGCAGCACCAGAATCAATTTGATTTACCGAAGCACTGTAGTATGTAGCACTTTCAGTGAGCCACAATTACAATAATGGTCTGACAGAGGAACACTGGAATCACGTCATATAATTGTCTACAATACATACATAATTAGAAGCGTGCCTTTTATGAGTGGCCGGGGAAAATTACTTTTTGGATCTGAAAAGCTTCTGACTACTATGTACAACGCATATCGTCATCATGCTACAGCATCAATCACTTCCAGATATTATGTAGCAACAATCACACAGCTCGGCCACGAGTGTATGAATGATGATAATTGTATACATACAATAGGTTATACAGCACTCTATGACAGAATATGCGCCGCATATTTCCAAAAAAAAAACCAGAATGCGTAAATCAATTCACTTCTCGAAGGATCGAATAGTGCTATATATAATGCAACACAAGATCATTTTTAAAATAGAATTTTACATCCATGTAGCATATATAGAGTCTATATAATAATAAGGTAGTTAATAACATATTCCTTCCATCACTGGAAAGCTGGAGAAGGTCATGGCCTATCGATTTTGACAGGTGATCATTGATAGCAGCTATGATGTTCCTTTTTCATGCATCTATATCGTTATTATGATGCATAAGAGCATGATTTGAAAATAAAAACAATGAAAAGATGTGTTACACAGCTGATATATTAGGCTACTACAGCAAACTTGCCTTTGTTAGCTTAGCTTAGTTGTTTAAATTATACAAGTGAGCAGAAGCGATCGCCCACATGTGGTTAGTAGTCAAAGAGAACATTTCAAAGGAAAAGCTGGGCCAAAGAATCGGGTGCACAAACACGCTTAAGTAAAGACAAGAATGGAAAACCGTATTGTTAGTTGGGTTAGCAACAACAACAACAACAACAACAACAACGATCACCCGGGCAGGTTGCATGCTGCAGATATTCAAGCCATCAATATTGGTAAGCAGCTCCCTGATTTTTAGTTTGTTTGTCGTACACAGCAGAGCGTAGTAATTTACCACGTTATATGCGGAATCCGATAACAATCAGACAGGCAGCAGCGGAATAATTTGCCATGACGGTAAAATGGCAAAGCAGTAAAAACGGAACGGCAAGGACAGTCCACAATTGCACGGTGCTACAAAAAGTACAACACTGCCACCACTTGTCTCCATCAGACAGAATAACTGCTAACTAGCGTCAGTTGACCGTAAACGGGGGCAACAGTGGAAATTAAGAAAATAGACAATTTGCGATGATGATGATGATGGCTGAGCTGGTAAATTCCTTGATCTGACCCAAACACCAGAAAGTGCCTCCAATCATCACCTCCCACATCCTTCACTCAGTCCTCTTTCGGGTAAACGACGACGCAGCATCCATCCATCCATTAGAATACACGTTCGATGTAAAAGAGCAAATTTACTTGTTTCGTAGCATTTCCCACTGCACTTGACCTGCAAATAGAAGCAAGGCCTTTTTTTCTAATATAAACTTTCCACTTCATCTCTGTTTCGGCCATTTATTTCATTTAAACTGAAAAGACAAGACACAACACTGCGGGTGTTCTACATAGGAAGCGCACACGTAAGACATGCTAATACGGGTGGTGTTAAAGTTCGGCCTTTCAATGATTCGCTCATATGCTATCTTTAGCAAGTTAATAGCCCAATACTCCTTCCTCTCTGACAGCAAAAAAAAAAAACGAACCAAATAGAAAAGACCGCGTACTCCCCACTTTTTCCTTCTTTCTCTACTTCTTTCTTTCGCTCATGGACAATTCATTTGTCAAGACACCGAAAGAGGTGTGTGCCCATTTTGGGGTTGACCCCAACGTGGGTCTAGACGAAGGCCAAGTAACAAAACTACGACAAAAGCACGGCAGAAACGGTAAGCCTTGAAACTCGGAGGAAAAGCTGTGCAGTGTGTGTGTGTGTGTGGGTTCGCTATAGGAAAGTTTAGGAGAAAAATAAGCAGCAGCGACAGCAGCAACAACAGCGACAGGACAACGTTTTAAATATGATACAACGTATGTGTCCTTGTAGAGTTACCGGAGGAAGATCCCACACCATTATGGCACCTTATATTGGAACAATTCAAGGATCAACTCGTGTTGATTCTGTTAGCAGCCGCCATCATCTCGTTCGCTTTAGCCTTTTTTGAGGAGCACGAAGGACCCGAAGCCGCAACGACGGCATTTGTCGAACCGATTGTCATTTTACTCATTTTGATTGCTAATGCCACTGTGGGTGTGCTGCAAGAATCGAGCGCCGAAAAGGCCATTGATGCTTTGCGTGAATATTCACCCGATGAAGCCAAAGTCCTGCGTCAAGGCGGCCAGCTCCGCAAAATCCGTGCTGAAGAACTCGTCCCCGGTGATATCATTGATGTTGCTGTCGGCGACAAAATCCCTGCTGATGCTCGTCTTTTGGAAGTCTTCTCCAGTGTCTTTCGCGTGGATCAGGCTGTCCTCACCGGCGAATCTGTTAGTGTCAACAAGGATGTGGAACGGATAGCGGATGACGGTGCGGTCAAACAGGATCAGCACAACATGTTGTTTTCCGGTACTACTTGTGTGTTGGGTAAAGCGCGTGCTGTTGTCGTTCAAACGGGCGCTTCGACTGCTATTGGTGATATCCACACCTCGATCTCATCTCAAATTGCTGAAAAGACTCCTCTGAAGCGCAAGCTGGATGAGTTTGGTGATATGCTCGCCAAGGTCATTACTGTCATTTGCGTCCTCGTCTGGATCGTCAACATTCGCCACTTTAATGACCCGTCCCATAATGGTTGGATTCAGGGCGCCGTGTACTATTTCAAGATTGCCGTCGCTTTGGCTGTTGCTGCTATCCCTGAAGGCTTGGCAGCTGTCATCACTGCTTGTTTGGCCCTTGGTACCAAGAAGATGGCCAAGTGCGGCGCTATCGTTCGAAGCTTGCCCAGTGTTGAAACACTCGGCTGCACAAGCGTCATTTGCTCCGACAAAACCGGTACTTTGACAACGAATCAAATGAGCGTCTCGCGAGTATGTATGCGCATGAGGAGGATCACCTGGGCTTTGTGGAGTTGGATAGGCTATCTATTTGAAGAAATTAATTTGTGTGTGTGCGTGCGTCTTTTCATTTTCTAGTTTGTAGCGGTGGACTCTGCATCCGGTCGTTTGAAAGAACTTCATATTGAAGGCACCAGCTACGAACCAATTGGTGCTGTCAAGACTGCAGATGGAATGATTACTGCACACCTGCCAGCCAGCAATGCGCTTATGCGCGAAGCCGCTTTAGTTTGCTCCTTGTGTAACGATGCTCGAATTGTTTACGACGAGGTAAAGAAAAAGGAATCTGGATAAGCTTTATTGGGTGAAAGATTTGAGGTTGTGCGTAAACGCTAAACTACATGATACGGACTCTATAGGCTGCTAATAACCACCAATGTATTGGTGAACCTACCGAAGCAGCACTTCAAGTTTTGGTTGAAAAGTTGGGTACAGATACATCCGGCGTGAACGCCAAATTGAGCACGCTCTCGAAAAAGGACCGAACCACTGCATGCAACGACCACTACAGCTCCCAGTTTAAGCGTCTGGCCACGCTCGAATTCACCCGCGACCGCAAGTCCATGTCTGTCGTCGTCTCCTCTGGCACGCAAAACACGCTTTTGGTCAAGGGCGCACCCGAATCTATTTTAGACCGATGCCAATACGTCCAGACACATGAATCTGCTGCACCTGTCCCCATGACCACTGCGATCCGTGATGAATTGAACAAGAAGATTTTGGAATATGGCAAAGGCTTGTCGTTGCGTTGCATTGGCTTGGCCAAGATTGACAATGTCAACATGTCTACGTTTGATTTGCGCGAACAGAGCTCATTCTACAAGTACGAAACCAACATGACATTCTTGGGTTTGGTTGGCATGATGGATCCTCCTCGTCCTGAAGTCAGTGCCTCGATTGAAAAGTGCAAGACTGCCGGTATTCGTGTCATCATCATTACCGGTGACAACAAGGATACCGCTGAAGCCATTGGTCGTAACATTGGCGTTTTTGAACCGGATGAGGATTTAACGGGCAAGAGTTACACGGGTCGCGAATTTGATGAATTGTCACCTGCACAAAAGATTGAAGCTGTCAAGCGTGCCAACCTGTTTTCGCGTACTGAACCTGCCCACAAGCAAGAGCTGGTCGATTTGTTGCAGTCTGTCGGTGAAATCGTTGCCATGACGGGTGACGGTGTCAATGATGCCCCCGCTTTGAAGCGTGCCGATATCGGTGTTGCCATGGGTAGCGGTACCGACGTTGCCAAGTTGGCTGCTGACATGGTTTTGGCTGACAATAACTTTGCCACGATCGAAAAGGCTGTTGAAGAGGGTCGCTCCATCTACAACAACACCAAGCAATTCATCCGCTACTTGATTTCCTCCAACATTGGTGAAGTCGTGTCCATCTTTTTGACCGTTCTTCTTGGATTGCCCGAAGCTTTGATTCCTGTTCAGTTGCTCTGGGTGAACTTGGTCACGGATGGTCTCCCTGCTACCGCTCTTGGTTTCAACCCCCCTGATCACGATATCATGCGTCGCCCTCCCCGTAGCGGTAAAGAGTCTTTGATCGACGGCTGGTTGTTCTTCCGCTACATGGCTATTGGTACATATGTCGGTGTTGCTACTGTCTTTGGTTATGCATGGTGGTTCATGTTCTATTCTGGTGGTCCTCAAATCTCTTACTATCAGTTGGTATGTGCTCTTCTGAAACTCAATTCCAATAGATATCATTGCTAACATTCAACTCTATCCATACGTTATGTCATCTAGTCCCATTTCCATCAATGCTCGGACTTGTTCCCTGAAATTGGATGTGAGATGTTCACCAACACCTTCTCGATGAAAGCCACCACCATGAGCTTGTCGATTCTTGTTGTCATTGAAATGTTGAACGCTATGAATAGGTAAGAAAGGGTGGAGAAAGCGATAGAGACACGGATACATTGTTATCGCATATACTTATCCCCTACTACTTTACTAGTCTGAGTGAAAACGAATCTTTGCTCACCTTGCCCTTGTGGAGCAACCCTTACTTGGTGTTCTCTATTGTCCTTTCGATGGCCTTGCACTTTATGATCCTGTACGTTCCATTCTTCACTCAACTTTTCGCCATTATTCCGTTGAACGTGGAGGAATGGAAGGCTGTCATGTGGATCTCGTTGCCTGTGATTGTTTTGGATGAGTTCTTAAAGTTTATCACTCGCACTTGGATTTCTCCTCCTACCAAGACCGCTCATGCCCAGAAGAAGTCAAAGAAAGATTAAAATATTAAAAGATAACATATAGTTCTAGAGATTTTTATAATTGTTTTTTTACCCTCCCTAACCCGAAACCTTCACAACTCACTACAAATCCATGTCGCTTTATATATCAGCTTTTTATACATATATATAAAAGAATAATAGAGAAGAAAAAGGAGTGTGTTGATTTGTCTGTTGCTATAAATGCTAGCACATAGTAAGATTATTGTGCTGAGTTGGAAAATACAGGCGTTTCTACTCTTTTTTATCCAGCTTCGCGCTCTTGAATCGCTGAAAAGCGGGTGAGAGGATGTAGGTGGGTGCACGTGATCGGGAAAAGGGGGGCATAGGGGTGCTATTTGCAGACATAACCTTTGTCATCCCTATCACAGCAATGTTGAATCCGCCTACTGCATCGCGATTGAACGTACTTTGGCTGCGACTGGGGCACGTAAGCTTCGTGCACTTGAGAGCGCCGTTCGCCGGTCGCAGCTTTCCATCCTCGCCACGGTATTTTTGCAGTGTTGTTGGCTCGTGGCATTATGGGCAAGTCTTGCTGGACCGGTACTCGTCAGTGATGCACAGATGGCTGTTTTCCGGTGCGTCCAGTTCTTGCTTTAATTTTTTGCTTGCACCTTGTTGGTGCTTCTTGAACCCTTTGTTGCCGGCCCGCCACGAACCAAAGAAATGCAATGTGGATTTGATCCCAGGTAGGCGCCAAGCCGAAGCTAATTTGCTGTGGTATATTTTATGACGCAGCTCACGAGTGCGACCTTCCTTATACCGTCTATCTGCATCGTCGATACCCTTCCTTTTGAAGATCTCGCGCCGTTTTTGGTGTTTCGTTGCAAATGTTGCAGAGTTTTTCTTCTTCGACGTGTAAATATGTGGTTTAGGCAAGGGGGTTGGCAACGATATTGATGATTGCTGTGGTATGCCTTGTTCTTGCGTTGTTGCTGATGATGATGCAAAAGATGGTGGCAATGGTGCAATTAATCCATCGGTGTATTGCTGTATGGTATCAAAGATGTGAGTGGTAGTCGTTAATACAGCAGTAGCAGCGACGACATGTCCTGGGTCGATACCAGCCACAGCCAATGGATTGTTGTTTTGCAGAGATTCGAGAATGGTCTTTTGGACAGTTGACTGAACAAATTATCAAATAACCGCAAGCATATTAATTACTTTCTCGTCGATGCCATGTGCGTAGTATAGAACAAGTTAACTTGACCATACCTCGATCTTATCGTCAGGGACAATTCCCTTGGCCACGTCCTTGCCGATACAATGCATTTCTGCGACGTACAACTGCGACCTTGCGTCAGCAAGTTGCCTGCGGGTTTGCGCAACGTCTGCTTCTACATGGCGGATTGCAGCTCTTGCAGCCTGAAGCTCTTGATATAGCTCAAGATCCAAGCTTCCTTCATCTTGGTCCGACGACGGAACTGTCTTCCAATGTCGGCGCGCTTCTCTTCAAGAGTCCCACATTCTTTTAGTAAGCCAGGTAGTCGACTTGCCAACCTGCGGATCCTCTGCCCCAAATTAGTCTTGAGTTCTTCAATATCTGCCTTGTCTTCCTTCTGTGCTGCATGTCGTTTCCTTGGCCGCCGTTCCTCATCTTGACTTTTTCGCTTGCGACGCTGCGCTTTTTGCTTTTTCTTCTTACGTGCCTTCGCTGATCTGTTCTTTCCAGACAATCCCGCTCCCGCTCGCCCTTTTCCTTTCGATCGAGACGCTTGTCCTTTGCTTGCGACTTTAGCCACACTTGTACCCTCATCGCTTCCAATATTGCTGTCGTCATCACCGGAGGAGTTGTCCTGCTCTTTTTCTTTTGCGGTCTCCTTGTCCCGCCGATCAGAGTCGCCAGTCGTGACAGTTCTAGTACCAAGCACCCGCACTGTATGGCGATTGACAAACGTAACGCGGTACGCAAGAGTCAATTTCTTGGATTCCATGGCTTGTTGGATCTTGGGAAGCTTGAAAAATGCACCGAAAACATCGCGCTTGCGCCTCCAGTCGACTGCCTCCCTTTTGCTTGTAATCTCCCCTTTCGGTGTCTCAGCTGGGATCTTGAAATCCCCCGAGAAAAGGGTGTACAAAACGTCGGTTGATATATGCAGGGATTGGTCTTTTTCATCGACAGAAGGGAAGGTGGCCCATTGGTTCTATTGAGGACCGATCAAAGCTACAGCTGTGTTGGTGATGTATGCAAGTGGCGCACATTGATGGATCGTCAGGCTGTCCTTGTCATCGGTATCGTCGTCGTCATTTTCATCACTTGCCGGCATGTAATACGGTCTAAGAGCATTGCAAATATGAGCAGCAGCTTTACATTCACTATGCGCAAGGTTTGTCCCTTGAAAAGCAGCATCTTTGATGGTCTGTGCGCTGACGTCTTCCGTGGCCTTGTCCAGTAATCTCTTGATTATTGATACCAACGCTCGGATCTTTCGAGTACTCGTTTCAGCGTCTTCCGATGTTGCTGCTTCGTCGTCTTCTTGCTGCTCATCTGCAGTGCAGACTTTCAAGGGTTTCGATTGCTGGACACCAGAACGAAGCGGCCGTGTCACTTTTTGCGTTTTTTTTAATGGAGTCTGTTTCTTTGTTGGTACCAGTAGATGAGCTTGAGAACCTGTCGACCTTTTACGAAAAGAAGGCACGTCAGACACTATTCAAGTATCGTAAGAGAGGCAGTAGATCAATAAGTGTAGATCTTTACCTTCGCCTTCTACTCCTGCGTTTTCGGCAATAGCTTATCGGTGACTTCTTTGCTCCTCTCTCGTACGATGGCCCACGTGAGTTTTTTGATGTAGTAATGCATAGTGTCAATGGCATGTTTTTTGGAGACAGATGCTTTGGTTTCCGCTTATGCGTTGTTCTGCTCTTTGGCAGCTTTCTTCAGTTCAAAATATTGCGAACGCTTTTCAAGGAACGCAGACAGTGTAATATCCAATAAACCAAAAGAGACAGAATAAGTCAACGAGACCCGAAAGGAATTGAAACTGGTTTATTATGATAACAAAAGTTCTCACTATTTATAAGAAATGGCTTATCCTTGGCAACTACCACAGCGTGTGCATTGAACGGATGAATTGATGTTACAAATCAATTATATAGGATTAAGTAATGTATGATGCGTGAGTAAAAGGTACATCCGGGTAAATGCCTCAGATAGTAGCTAATGTGAATTACGTGATCCGAATAATGACAACTTCTTCCTGAGCATAGCTGATCGGTGTTTCACCAAGATGTGTATGAATAAAGAAATGTCCGCACAAGTGAGGTTATGAGGGAAATAACAGCAATCGTTAATGACCAATTAAAGAATATGTGTTATTGATCATGTTGGATACAACATTGCCCCCTGCCAGGTTGGAACAACCGTAAGATAAGTTGTTGCATTGCACTAGCCTTCAGTATTAAGAGAAGTGACGGTGTCAGAAAACTCCAGTTATGTAAAAACCCAAGGGAACTTTGATGGGAAAAAGATATGGAGAAAGACGATGTCTTTAAGTGCGTCTGCGTTTGACGTTGCGTTCAGAACGACGTAGTGATGCAGTTTGTTTGCGTTTGCTTTGCGTTTGGCGAGGCTGAGGTGGCTGTGCCTGTTTTGCCTGCTTTGCTTGGTTGTGAGTGTTACGAAGCCGAGGAGGCAATCGCTTACCCTGATTTGAATTGCTATCGTCTCGACGTTGCCAATATTTTTCAATCAGCGTCAAGTCATTGAAATGCTCGATGGGTTCCCAGGTATCGTCTTCAGGCCCATATCCTTTCCAACGAACAAGATACTTATAATTGCCAGGAGAACCTTGGTGATCCACAATAGACTGAACTTCAAAGAAATCTTCACCAGAAGCGATGGTGTCCTGAGAAATCAGTTTGATATAATGAGGAGGAACATCACGACCCAGAAGGGCGCCTGTAGAGTCTGTAAGAACGTATTGACCATTCCCTTTGTTTTTGCCATGGACAGTGTAAGGACCTTCATAACGAGCATCGGTCTTGGATCGACGATTCATGCTGACGACCATAACCTTACTGCCGATAGGGAATTCCTTCAAAATACGGAACTTCTTTGCGAATTTCCCTTCTTGTGCTTGGTGTAGAGCTTTGATCCGGTCACGAAGAGCAGGAATGACAACCTCAGCCATCTGTTCCTCTCTTTTGTCAGTGTAACGAATCTGATCCTCAATGCCTTCCTGTATCAAATTGCTGTAGTCTTGCCAGAGATTAGGTTGACGAGCGAACATGACCGAAAACGGACGGGAACGATGCAAGGCAGCATGCTTGTTATTGATAGCAAGTTGTGCACTTGGAAGGAACAGATCCCAATCATCCTTTTTTCCGTGTAAACGTTTAACGATCACGCTCTTCGTCGTATGAACCCATTTTTCTGCGCAGCCATTTGCTCTAGGATTGTATTGCGTAATGAGGCGTCTGTCGACGGCACAGTTTTCCAATAGATGACGAACGACTTCATTGCTGAATTCAGAACCACGATCCATTTGTAGGATTTTTGGGTAACCAAAGTCTCCAAAGATTTGAACGAGATTCATAGCAATGGTAAGTGCGGTCTTGTCAGGAAGAGCACGTAAAATAACGTAGCGAGAAAATAAATCAACCATGACCAAAATATAGTTGTTACCACGAGGTGTAGTGCAGTTTAAATCGCCTAGGTCAATAGCCCAGTGATCGCCAGGTTTATCTGCAGCGATGCTACGAAGTGGGTGATAACCGTGTTTGCCAATATTGAAACGTTGACAGTCTGGACAATTAGCAACGGTGTTTAAAGCGTCTTTCTTTATAGTTGACCAGTGTAGGCCTTGGCTGTGCATTTCATTGATGATTGAATCAGTACCGAAATGGCCATTGAGATGCGCTTGTACCAGGAGATTAGCACGTTCATTCTCGGGTGGTGTCATGTATTCGACGAGTGTTGCAGCACGTTGAGTGAGGGATTGAGAAGAAGAAGAAAAGCCGTTTTTGTTTTGTTGTGACTTTTTGAGTTTACCCAAATATGGTGAAGGAGCGATTCTTTTTCCTGTAGTATCATCCCCCGCCAGCTTCTTTGGCATAAAAAGACGGCTGAGCGTGTCCGGTAAGATGTTTTGCATACCAGGTAGATGAACCACTTCAAAGTCATAGTCAAAGATAGTGTCATACCAGGTAACCATCATCGGATTTGCTACAACTTGTGTGTGCAGATAAGTTAAAGCTTTATGATCAGTAAAGAGTGTGAATCTGTTACCCCATAGATACTTGTGGAATTTGCGAAAACTGAAGACAACTGCTAAAAGTTCACGCTTTGTGACACTATATGACGTTTCAGCTTTGTTTAAAGCACGTGCCATGAAACCAATGTATTGATATCGGTTGTTTTTGATTTGGTAAAGACAGCAACCAATACCAGTGTCAGAAGCATCCGTTGCCACATAATAAGGCAAAGATTCATCAGGTTGGCTTAAGACAGGAGCAGATTCCAAAGCAGCTTTGATATTGTTAAAAGCGATGGTGTGTTCTTCTGTCCAGTGCCCGGATAAATCCTTTATGTTGCGGAGCTTGTCAAGGGGAGCTGTGAGCATAGCCACCTTGGGAATGGATTGTCGGAAGAAGTTCACTAATCCAAGAAATTGTTGTATGTTATGGCCAGTTTGAGGTAAATTCCAGTCATGGACGTTAGCAACTTTGCGTTTATCCAGAGAAATACCACCAGCATGAAGACAGTAACCAAGGAGGTAGACTGACTTTTGAGCCCAGGAGCATTTGTCACTGTTGAGCACGAGATTGACCTTGGAGAGACGACTAATAGCGTCTTGTACGTGATGTACGTGTTCTTCCATAGTGTCAGAGAAGACAATGATGTCATCAATATAAGAATCCACGTGCTTCACACCATTAAAGATGATATGAACACATTTCATAAATAAACTGCTCAAGAAACGGATACCAAACGGACATCCCACAAAGGAATATTGTCGATCGTTAAAGGTAAATGAGAGTTTTGCTTGATCTTCTTCGTGTACTTTGAAGCGTGTGAAAGCGGATTTCAAATCAAGACAAGTGAAGACAGTCGCGTTTTTCATCCGTCTTGCAATATCGGAGCAAAGAGGGATTGGATAGGACTCTTCAGTTGTACATAAGGCGTTCAGTGCCCTAGTATCAATACAAGGTCGATAGGATGTAGGCAATCCTGTTTTCGGATCCTTTTTGGGTGCAAATGTCATAGGATTGTTCCATGCATTACCAGGAGGAGCGTGTTTGATAATACCATCAGCTAACCATTGATCTATCTGTGTTTGAAGAATAGGAATCAATTTGTCTGCTAAAGGATATTGACGCCGATTTACAACTTTTCCTTCAGGTGTGTGAATACGAACAACCGATTCGGGAAGAGTGCAAAAAGCAGAAGGAGGAATGTTTATATTTTCCTGTATGTAAGGTTGAATAGATTCAAGAAATTGTTTGTGTTGCTCTGGTGTACCAGCAGGAGAATTGTTTGGTTCAGGTAAATCTTCTGGTTCAGGCAAGCTAGGACGAGAAGAGCGGTGCCAGCAAGAGGCGAGCCCTTTCAAGTAAATACCAATAAGAGGCATGAGATCTGAGCCAATAGATACTTCGGCATCAGCATTGAATTCAAAGACTTCAAAAGAATGTGAGGCAGTGATTCCGTTGTGTAAAATCTTTATTTCGTTTGTATGACCAATTCTACTAATGCTCGGGCCAGGAGCAGCCAAGTTGACCTTTCCTTTCATGGGAGTGACAGACAGACCCAGAAACGACCGCAGCGAAGGAGTGATTGCCGAAAATGTGGCACCCGGATCAACAAACGCCCAGGTTTCATACTCCTGTATAGTAACCGGTACATAAAAAGCTTTAGTATTCTTGTAAAGATGACGTGAAAAATCATGTGAAGACTTACAATCATAACAAGCTTTGTGAAGTGAAGCATCGACCTCTTCCATAACCGCGTCTTCCAGAGAAAGAGACGAGAACGGGGCAGAAGATGGTGATGGTGCCGTGTGAGCCACGGAGGCAACAGCAGCAGGGATCGGCGCGGGAGCCGAAGAAGGAAGAGAAGGGATTGGCTCGGAAGCCGGGGTGACTGGTGCGGAGCCAGAAGCAGACGATGACTCGGAAGCCAAAGTTGCTGAACGAATAGCCAAATGGTTGACTTGACATCTGTGCGTTTTGTCCCAAGGGGCACCACAGCGGAAACACTTCTTACCACCTGACGATGGCGACGACAAGCCTCCCAAACCCGCAGAACCAGCACTTGGAACCACACCAGACGACGACGACGACGCACTCGTGTGCTTTGAAACCTTGCCAGACGAACCATTGTTGCGAACACCTGTCAGCATGCGGCATTCTTCTGTCGAATGGCGGCCAGCACCGTGCAAACGGCAGACCTTGCCAGCAGAGACCTTCTTCTTTCCCTTGTTGTTTTTAGCAGCGACAGGCGAGGACCAAGGGGAACTTGAACCTACTACGGAAATAGTATCCAGAGAAGCACCTTCTTTGCTGTGTTTTGACACAACTACCTTGCCGTACAGCGTGCGCGCCAAGTTTGCAGCTTGGTCAGTGGAAGCCCGTTGGCTGGCCGGCAGATGAGCTTGGCTCAAAGCAACATGCTGTGTGAGCTCCGGAAGCAACGAATTGATGTAAAGAGCGGCGATGACCTTGCTGTCCTCGCAGCCAGCTTCTCTGCGGATCTTGTGAAAACGGTCGGTGTACCGTTCCACCGATTCATTACGGCTCATGCGCAAGTTAAACAACTCTTGCATGCATTGGGCTTGACGTTCGGCATCCTGGATTCCATAC